AGAAGAGCAGACACATGACGGGAAGAATCTTGAACCATCGTACTATTCCCGTCGTTGAATGAAAGCTGCAAGCCCGAGAACGCGAATTGAAGGTCACATGCGGAGCAGTGTTCAATCAAGAGATGAAGCTTTAATCGCCACTATTTGATTATTGGACCTCGTTCCGAATGGCAGGTCGATCCTGGCCGAGACGGAACGGGACGAGGTGCACCGTGCTGGGGAGTTGCCGCCGCCAGTCTAGAAGTTTCCTTCTCCACCGGGGATCTTAAATTGAAACGGCCTCAGCCTCATGGGCCAAGCCCTGTGATCTCGGGATCCGAGATTAATACTGCATGAAAGGGCATAGACGATGGGTGATAGCAGTAATCACTCGCCACCATGGCGATCACTGCATCGGTATAGCATCATTAAGCGCCAGGTACACGGAACTTATCCTATGCCATGTGAAGTCAGCACACCCACCTGGGCGCGTATGCTGCTACGTGGGAGAAGATTAGGCGCCGAATGATATTGCAGAAGTGATGCTGGGGGCGCTGGTTGGCTGAGACGAGGGGGACGAGCAAGCACATGCTCATAAGGCTTGACTCTTGCCCCGGAGCCACGTCTGGTTTCAGGAGCTTGAAGATGACGACGGAGGAGACCTGATACTGTGCAGAACCGGAGCAACTTGCTTTGACGCTTGGCTTTGCGTCTTGGTCTGGTTTCGACGTCACGCGTTGGAAGTCCAAGCGGGTGGGTTGTGGGAAGCGCAGGGCAACGAAAGCACGACGGAATGGAATCATGGAATGGTACAATACTCGGCGCATGGCCCCCATCATAATGGCCGATGATAAGGTGGGAGCGGGCGGCTACATGAAGATACAGCAACGTTGCTGTGGCTGCGGAGAAGACGCGTCGGAATATGGAAGGTAGCGAACAACCCAGAAGGCGATCCGTACGATGTACTTACGATAGGTATGTGTGCTCTGTACCGCGATGTTGGGCACATCCCGTATGATCACGGAGGATTGCCTCCACGCAGCCATTCGGTACCGGGCTGGGGGGATCGGCAAGAGGAGAAAGCTATGCTGTATGTATGGTTTCGAAGCAGCCCTGTAGAGGCGACAACGTGATGTTCCTGCGTAGATGTACAGAGTAGTATGTAGTATGTTGATGGCAGACCAGCATATCATGATGATAGATCAGCATATCATCGTGATAGATCAACTATGATCTATCATCTGTATCATCTGTATCCATGATGACCCGGGGGGGCGGAAGAGGAATGAGGCTTGACTCTGGACTTTGACTCTCGACTCTTGAGCACGTGCATGATTCAGGCGTGGCTGCGATGCGTGGGATGCCGGATGCGGGACGGTGATTGGCCCACGTACGGGAATACGGGACAGCAGAGAGGCCAGGGACGCAGCGAGAATGCTGCCCGAGGGAAAAGCAAAAGGAAGAAGCAACAAAAGGAAGGAGGAGGATCCGTAAATGCGCCAATCAGGGCGAGGGTTGGGGTATGCTTTAGTCGGATATCGGGTGTGATTATTAATCTCCGTGTATTATTGCAGCATAAGCATGGCATTATGTTGTATTATGTTATAATCATGTTGTAGAACCACCCCCTTCGATCCGGATGCCCGCGGGATTGATACGGGCCGTCCCCGACTCGGACATAGTTGTGGGCGTGGCAGTGGCATCCTTTGGAACTTCATAAGCCAGAAACAAGATCACATAATCACACAGAGTGGGAAGACACGATGCCTTAATACTGTAGATGATACAGATGATACAGACGAGATATGATATGTACTGTACATACTACATAGATACACACTGCTGTTATCCCGTCCTCCGTCATCAGCATATACCACTGACAAGCCACGGACTTCTTCCCTTAGGCAGCAACCGAGCCGCCAGTGAGAGCCTCTCAGTCACCGCCATCTCTTTCTCTTGCTTTCTTTTTTTCACCCCCCGGAAAACTTCTCTTCTCTCTCCTTGTGATTCTCCCCTCCCCCGTCAATCAGCCTTCATCAGATCCATCCATCCATCCATTCATCATTCGACCATCATCATCATCATCATCATCACAATCATCCTCGTCTCCGGACCCCTTCAGAGTAAGGTCAAACTCGAAACTGCCGCGGCGCATCTACTCGGCCCACCCTCCGGCCCACTCTACGGCCCACCTCGCCCCCCCGACCGCCACTCACCAGCCCAAGTCTTTTTCCTACTTTTTTTCCCTCCGGGCCACTCATCATCCTCCATCCTTTCTACTCATCCCGTAACCAATCACCCTTTATCATCTCCATTCCCCCCCATCAAATCACCTTCCAGAACCACAGACATTTGCCAGATCCTATCGTGTCCCGCCCCCTTCTGCCCTCGCAAATTCAGATAATAGGCTACTACTGCCTCGCATCCGCACGACACGAAAAGGTCACTCCGCAAGAAGGTCCCTGGCTGTCCATCCAGGAGCCTGCACGGAACACAGCCAATCCTGCTCGCCCTCGAACCACCCCGAGTGCTCGTCGCCCAAGCCCTATCAGTGTCGCGAAAGGCCTCATCGCAAAAGCAATTGGCCCTCAGCGCAATCAGGTGATTAAATCCACCTGCGGGAAGGATCGTTGTGTGTGGTGCCACCGCCCAGCAATCATCCTCGAGAACGGCGGCGACGTCGTTGTATTGGTGAGTCCCCTCCCTGGGCGCAGCAACGGAGGATTGCTTCGACGTTGAGGCTTCCAGTGACAGCTCTCTTGCCGCGCTGCGCGTCGCGCGACCCTGACGAGGGGAGCTCGCGGTACAAGACGGAGCTCGACTGACGTGTGATCTCGAGCTTTCAGGAACAGGATTGTAACTCCTCGAACCCGATCTCTCTCTCAGATACGGATACTGGCGCGACCTGCGGTGGCGCATCTCTCTGTCCTGCTTCGCGACTCCAGCCCCCCGTCCGGCCTCGCGAGATCGCATCGCAGCGCAGCCGCATCGCGTCAACCACAGCGCAAAACAACCTCAGAGGCTCTGCGACTGCTGCACCGCGCAAGTCGACTCCAATCTGCTCGCTGATCGAGCGCGGTACGTCGCGCCGCCAAAGTCGCCAGGCAGAGGACCTGGCCGGTGAAGCTGATTGACAAGGTAGGCCTAGTTTTGCATGAGCTTCCTGCATGGCCAACGCATCACACTGGTCGAGGCAAAATCCCCCATCGGGCCCCAACCTTCCCACCTCCCAATCGTTCTCGAGATCTCCTGAGCATTGATCCCAAACTTCATAACTAATACCTGTGGTTGGATAGTTCCTTGCGAAGCCGTCGACTATTCCTGGGGAAGGCCTCGTCCCTCAAGTGGATCGTAGTCACCGAGGACCCGCGCAAAGCTATTCCGTCGACTGTCTCGAATAGCCTCAAGCGCGAACACCGCCTCACCCTCACGTGGGCGCTGGGTAGTCGAAGCCCGATCCGCACGCCTTAGAATATTCCTACCCGAACGCCTCCTGACTACATCAGCTTGCATATGCTGTGGTGCTGTCAATTGCGGTGTACACCTACCAGATCTCTTGCCAGCTCATCCCCGCATATCGAATTGGCTAGCAGGCTTCTTTACTAGCTATCCCTCCGTCCAGGCGCTGTAACAACGGTCAACGACGCGTCTTCTGGAGTCAGTGCATACTCGAATTCTGCTTCGATACTCGAACCCAAGTCCGCCCCGACCGTGGCAAGACTTTAAACAACCGATATCAACCTACCGCGACCAAGATTCTCGAAATCTTCGCCTATCAAGAGCATATCTCTCTACCGACGCGCGCGACACGTCTTGCAGATCCGCAGTTTAGACAGATCCGACCCTCCCAGGACACATCTTTCTTAAGGGAACATTTCCCTGCGTACAAATGATGGAGTACGCGCAATATCAACAGCCGGCGCAAGGCCAACATGGGCACAATCCGGGTCACATACAAGGCGGTTATCCAAATTCGGGCCAACATCCAGGCGCCGGGCCGCCTCTCACATCTCCCTCCCAACAGCCACTTCACTCTCAGCACGCTGTGCACAGCCAGACATCGCCAATACTCACCTCTCAACCGCAGCAAGCAGGTCAGAGTCATGGACACGCGATGCAACAGCAGATGAACTACCAGCCGGCCTATGCGCAGCCTGGCATGCACTATGGCATGACTGGGATCACACCACAAGCTGCGGCGATGGCAGCCACAGCGGCAGCATCTGGCCAAGGCTATGCATATACCCTTCCAGATGCTGGCTTACAGCAGACCTCGCCAAGAATGCAAGGAGTTAACGTTGTAAAGCAAGAGCGAGGAGGGCCCAGGTCCCCGAAACAGATGAACAACCAACTCGTCCAAGGACGACGGATGAGCCAGGTCGCCAGTCCTGCTGTGCCAAATTCCCAACCCATTATGAACCACGGCGGCGCGCCTCGACCCTCGGTACCACCAATGCCAACAAATCAACAACACCCACAATCACCAGAACTAGTCTCGGGAGCAGTTGAAGAGTCGCCATTATACGTCAATGCCAAACAATTCCATCGCATCCTGAAACGCCGCGTCGCGAGACAGAGGTTAGAAGAAGCCCTACGTCTGACGTCAAAAGGGAGGAAGCCATATCTGCATGAGAGCCGACACAACCATGCGATGAGGAGACCGAGAGGCCCTGGTGGACGATTCTTGACTGCTGATGAAGTCGCTGAAATTGAGAGGAACAAGAGCGAGGGTGGTGGTGACGAGAACGAAAAGGGGTCGCTAGAAACTCCAGCAAAGAGCACGTCCAGCGGTGCTGGAGGGTCTGGCACTAAAAGAAAGGCTGAAGGCGACAATACTACCCCTAGTAAGAAGGCCAAAACTGATGCCCCTCCAGTAGGGGGCAGAAGTAGTGCCGAAGATGAGGATGACGATGAAGACGATGCAGATGATGATGGTTGAACTGTCACGTGGTCTACCCCTGGGCTACAAAGAATTCCCTTTGTCATCTTGTTCGTTTACGATTTGACGACAGCGTTTGCTTTTTCGCATGCATCGGTTACTGCTTGTTCTTTTGATTCACTTCACGAGCGCAGGTCGGGGCGGGTCTCACATCTAGGCCTCTCGCGACGCCAAGGAAATACCTATATAGGGACAGTGATTAGTCAGGGAGTTGTTGATTTCCATCCCGGCTGGGTTGCTGGCATAGCCTTGGACTTCAGGGATGGTTGGGTCGGGTTGCATAAGGATGGTCGTCAGTGGTTTTTCCAGACACTCGTTTTTACTCTGCCATTCTTCTTGCCCGTCGCCCTCTGGATAACACTAGAATCCCCCCCTTGTTTGTCACGTTTGCATTTCCTCTGCTGCAGTTGATATATCCTCTTCTCTATTACATTCTTAGCGCAGAGCTTGATCTGTGCGATTTTCAACCTTTGGTTTTGTAAGAGCAAGTAAATTGTCTTTGGTGGATTTTGCGATTGGGTACCAGCTATGATGGATGGGATTTGAATGGGACGTTCTGGGAGGAGATTAGAGAAAACAGGCACATGTCCGTCACCGGATCAAAAACAGCAGAGTGAGACTGAGCAAGCAGCACAGGGCGCAGCTACCTCATGCAAGGGAATGGCGCGTGGACCAGGCTTTGGACGATGGGTTTTTCCTTTTATCTGTCGTGTTTGGCGGCGGGTGCTCAGGGGAGGTGTACCATATTCGAGGGCTCTGGAGAGGCTGATGCGTTATGTCAGATTGCAGAATGAGGGGCCGTAATATGATACCATTGAATTGTGTTGATGCTGAAATTGTGTGCGATGTTATCACCTTGCTAGTTGTCTAAGTTATATGAAGAAGATACCTTACCCTATCACCCCTCCCCTCATATCCCACTCACTCACTTCCTCTTTATCAAGATCCACTCCACTGTCCCATGCCAGCTCCAAAAACATTCATAAGCACCTTCCTTACGCGACCTACCTACTTCCATTCTTCAACTCAAGTTGATCAACTCTCACCCAATTCTCGGTTAATCACCGTATTGAGTAAGGGAGGGCATTACGCAAATCCTCCCATCCCCCCCCCTCTTTCCACATCCCCCTCCCACTCCTTCATACCATAATCAAAAGACAAAAATCATACTTATCATCTCTCCTCTCCTAGTCCCAAAATAACCATCAAAATGTCATATACCTACCTAGCTATTATAACCTATTTTATAATTCATTCTATATCACCTATTTAAAACTTGTCGTTATTATAACCGTTTCCTAGGTAGGTATCAAAAACAGAGTTCTTTAAGAAAATGATATATACAAGAAAACATAATCAGTCGTGCTTTATAAATAAAATGTATATTGATATAGGTAGAGCTATTTATTTGATATTGGAATTATTATCTATATAAAATAGTGAGAGGGGAAGGGGAAGGGGATGTGAATGTGAGAAGAGGGAGGATAGGTATGATCGGATTTTGCGTATTTGCTTGCCCTCCCTCCCTCACTTAATTAATATGGTGATCAATGTAATCGAGGATTGGGTGAAGAGTTGACTAACCGAACGATTATCTTTGGATGAAGTCTTCTTCTGATGTGTATAGCGGTCTTTTTTATGTTTTTTTGAGGGGGCTTGGGTTGATGATAAGAGGATATATATATAGATAGGTGAATAAGGCTGTGAGTGAGTGGCTTGGGGAGGGAGAAGGTAAGGAGAGGTAGGGGATTGATTGATTTTGGGCGTAGGGATGGACTGGGCAGTATAGAGTAGAAAACACACACCAACACACACACACCCACACACGCGCGCGCACATACTATCTCTCACTTTCTCGACATGTCAATTGCTTATTACTATTAGGGGTTTTATTCAATTGATTGAAAATATGTAATAGAAAGTTAAGCATTCGGGAAAAGTCAATGATTGATCCCTTCCCTTGATAGATGGATGATTTACAGCTCACTCAGACGCGTCCGAAGTAGGAATACCAATAGGGTTCATCTATTGGTATCTATCAGCTACATGCATATGTACAGTTGATTCTTCTTTGCCATTATCAACCCTTCATCAATCCTCCAACCCACAACCTCCACCATTCGCCCGAGGACCTTCTCACCACGGTCCCCTCCATACATCCATCCACCTATCCATCTGCTCTCTGATCCATGGTGTACCAAAAGACTCCATGCAAGCAAAAGTAGCTTCGCTTTTCCCATTACCCATATCCTGTCAAAAAAAACACAGAATACTTTCATTGCCCAAAACGGCAAGAACCAAATCCCAAACGCCAGCCCAACTGCTTACAGCTGGGGCATTATGTGCTCATGGTATCATGTAAACTGTGACCGCCTGTACGCCGGACGGATATGCAATCATTGAGTGAACCGAAGCCCCGATATGTCGACTTCTTCAGAGGGATAAGGTGTTGACGTTTCAAGCCCCTCATAACAACTACCTCCTCCATCCCACATTCCATATAACGTGCGCGATATCCCTGGCGGTGTTCACAGTGTCGATAACCTTGCCAAAGAGTCCTTCTGACGCCACGCTATCCTCGTCTTCTTCGTACGGCATCAGCATTCCAGATGGGGTCCTCCGCATGCCCGGGGGCTCTCCATTGAGGCTTGATGATGAGGCCGAACTATGCAAGTTCTGGGAACTGTTTTTGCGCTGTCCGAAGGCATTCGGTGGCTGCCAATCCAGATCAGCATCATCCTCTTCCTCCTCTCCAAAGACCCTCATCGATGGTTTCGAGGGCCTAAGCGTCTCCTGAGAAGGGGAGGGTGATAATTTGACAGCACCCCAAAACCCATCATTGCTATGCTTCACTGCCGTCTCTTGAGGCTCAGCGGCGTCCTCCATGTACTTTAGTGTCGTGGATGGCAGCATGGCAATCGTCTTGCTGTCATTATTGCCGTTCGGTCGCGGTGTCGCTGATCTTTGCAAAGGGGGTAATCTTCGACTCGAGTTGGACCTCTTCATCATGATGCCGCCATCGTCAGAATCGCTATCGTCATCGTTGTCCATCCCCAGTGACTCGGGCTCTTCGTCATCGTCCCCCTTCATGTCCAGTGCTATACACTGCTCAACCTGCTCGTTAAAGTGAATCCGCTTCCTCTCCGTCCCAGGCGATTGGAGGCCTGACGAAGATATTGAAGAGAGAAGGCTAGGGTGCTCCCGACTCAACGGTCGCGAGGAGTAGGAGGTAGGGATAAAGCCCGTTCGCACAAGATCTGGATGATACTCATACCCATCTGATTGCTGTGCCTGTACAGCTGCAGCCGCCTGCTTCAAGAGTGAGGAGGAGGATAATGATCTTTGAAGCATTATCTCCGATACGCTGCGCTTCTTCAAGATGGGCTTCTTATTCAAGAACGAGTTTGACTTGGAGATCCGACTCCCGTTGACTGGAGAAGCCGGAGGGATCCGTAATGACTTGTCCGAACCCGTCTGGAGAGGTCCGTAGAGCCAGGTCACATCGCAGTCCTTGAGCCTGACGAAGGTTAGTACGAACTGGTTCGCCCGACAGCGCCCGACATCCGTGGACGAGAGCAGGGACTCACCAATTCAGGGTCTCCGGAGACACGGTCTTCAACCTATTCTTCGACTTGGCCCATGTTCGCCACGAGGCGTTCTCCAACCGCGCACTATTGTTGTATGCTTTCCGCTTGGACACGATAAGCTTCCACGACGACCAGATATCCTCCTCCCTCCAATTATGCGACAGATAGTCTACATGCCTGGACGGCTGCTTCCGCACGGCCGTGTCATCCTCCGCATGCTCGATGTGATCGGGGGACTCCGGCCGCGAGACAGTGGTGGGGGTGCTGTTGGGTGAGACGGTGTACGAACCACCGGTCTGGGGGCTCGTGGGAGGTTCCAGATCTTCGACTTGCTCGAAATAGCCTACTTCGTCGTACGAGGGAAAGACGATCTGGTCTTCCTGATCTTTGTCCTCACCGGGGGTATCGAGCGACAAGCTGCTGGCGGGGGTGGAGGAGAAGGAAGGAGCCGTGGAGTCGGCGTGTGGGGTGCGCGGGGAGGATTCGCTGGAGGAGAAGGTGGAATCGGAGGGAGACGAGATCTTGCCAAATCCGATCGTGCTCCGCGACCTCGAGAGAGTGGTGGGATACGACGACGGCTGCGTGACAAACTTGGGCTGGGAGTGCGATCGGTGGAGGGAGCTCGAAGACGAGAAGTAGCGGGTCGCTTCGGAAGTGAGCACAACGGCCATTTCGGGAGGGGAAGAGTTGAGGAAGAAGTCTGCGTCTGGGCGGCGGAGGAGGGTGGTTTAGGGTCGCGGGGGACCAAGGAGCCTCAAATGATCTTCCCTTCCTGGCAGTGTCGAGTTGGATGTCAATGTTGATGCGGTCGAGTTTTGCCGAGGGCCTGAGAGATGCCTCTCTTCACACACTCTCCCGGCGATCTGGATGAACTGGTGCACCTCTCATGGAAGTCAATTCGGAATTTGGGGGGCAAACGAGAGGAGTCGGTCGGGGGGAGAGAGGAGGGGAGTGTGGCGGTGACCGGGGGGGTTTTGAGACAATCGAGGGGTGGCTCAGGCGAGACGTCGGTTGTGGAGGGTTGCTGTTGTTGACGCAGAGGATGGATGGGAGTAGGCGATGGAGAGAACGAGAGGGGCAGAAGGAGAGGAGGGCTCTAGAGGGGGGACGTAGGTCGAGATAAAAGAGAGGAGAGGGAGAGGAGAGATCAGAGGAGAGATCAAGGAGATCAAGGAGATCAAGGAGATCCTCGGGATGGAGGAGGCGAGGAGGTGGGGGGGGAAGAAGGGATGTAGAAGAGAGGAGGAAGAAAGGGGGGAAACAAAAGAAGAAGAATGGAAAGATGGAAGGGTAATGGAGTGATCTGGAGCACGTTGGGGCAGACAGGACCGAGGGCCTAAGGGACCGTAGCGAGATCTGGGTTTGCTAGGGCAGGATCATCGAGGGCCGGGGGGGAAGAGTGGCAGAGTGGCGGACAGTCGGCAGGGCCCAGGTTCGGGATTATTAGATTATCATTATTCTTTTCTGGTACGGGCGGGCAGGATCTGGAGTGAGATCAGGCCGGGGGAGAGATGATGTTAGGATGATTCTGCGTGTTCTTATGTTCCTCGCTCAGTGCAGGGCCGTCGCAGGGCCATCAGATGCGAGGGCAGCATCTGGGATGGTCTGATTCGCATCGGCCATTAATGATTACGCTGAGCGAGGGCAGCATAGCGGAGCAGCTTGTCTCACAGTCCCAGATGCCAGACCCGAGAGTCTCCAGACGGATCTGATAGCGGAGAGGTCTTTCTCCTCGGCCTCTCTCTTTTTTCTCTCATTGTCTGCAACGAAGAGGAAAAGACGGGCGCAGATAGATGGATGGAAGGCATGTAATCGACAGTGCTGCGCGTATGCTGTACATCCTGACATGCCTTCTCTACAGGGGACATGCGGAGGTACATGTACGTGTTAGATGTACATCAGGTATGTCTAGCTAGGTATGATACCCTAAGGTACATGTTATGCAGATAATAATAAACAATATCAAGGGGGGTGAAAGGTGTAAGAGATGCTCAAAAATTACCCAAAAAACCCTTCCACGATCATCCACAATCATCCACAATGCCCCCCCTCATAAGGTAAACAGGGCAAAAAAACGACATGCACCGGTCCCCAAAATCCGGGACTCCTTAGCGCGATGCGAGATGTGTGGGGGTGACAGTGTGTGACAGGGAAAAGCCAAGGGCCCAGAACCTGTGGCCGTGGGGACTGCGAGTTTATCCCTCCGACTGAGATGCCGTATATCCTGCCTTCAATATTGTTGCTATTATTCTTGATATTATTATTATTGTTATTATCATTATCATCATTATCATCATCATCATCATCATCATCATGATTATCCTACTCTGATGGTCTTCTCGATGAGTTTATTCCCATTCTGGTTTATTGTTCTTTCATTAGACTGCACCACTACCGATCGTATTATCATCGTCTAACGTTCGGTAGTGCGGGAACCGCCGGGTCGTGCGAGTCAACCGGTCATCATGTATCCTCTCTCCTCCTCGTCTTCCTCTCCTCTCCCCTTCACCATCCTCCTCCCACTCCACCTCCGCCTGTCCTGTCGCGGGAGATCTACCGTGGCCTTGCCCTTAAGACCCCGTCACTATTAATCCTTAGCACCATATCATGATGCCCTCCATGTTGCTGCCATTATTGCCAGCTGTCCATCAGTTGTATCTGCAAGTGCCGCTTTTCCCATGAGCTTACTGTACTCCACAGAGCCCGAACCATAAACATGAAACATGCTCCATGAACCTCTTCTTCCGATTCCTTCAACTATCCAACCCTGCCGAACTGCCCGTCGTCCCGCTTCTCCTCTCCTCTGCTGCCCGGAATACCTTTCCGACACAGCAGCTTCCCTCACAACCCCCATTCTCCAAGGCTGTCTAGCCGGGCGCCTCGCAGAGCCTCCATCCCATCTCAATGCGGCCGATCTGCCTGTCCCAACCTATATTCTATCCCGATGCAGGCTAGACTGCCTTCCTGGTCGGTGGGACGTCCTTCTCCCCGTCTCACTTCCACCTCCAAGCATGCCAATCATCATATACGCTGGCCCCCCGTGTAACGGTGGACGGTGGTGGACGTATGTACCACAGACAAATCGGGACAGACACGATCGACGCCTTGTCCCCGCGTTCTCCGACAGACTATTCACGTCTCTTCTTCGGACCAGTTCGATCTCCCCCGCATCCCGCACGTTCAAGTGAGACCTGGAGTCGCTGAGAGTCATGTCTTATTTCCCATTGCTTCTCGCGGTTAGCTAGCTAGCTGTCACTACGCGATATAACTAACCCTCCGCAAAGTTTCCAAAGATAGGTATCAATGACATCTACCCTAGGAGCATTTGTGTTCTCCCAGATGCTGTCTCCCTGCAATTGCTCTCTTAGATATGAGATGAGACTTGGCCGCTATCGCCATCCTTGAAACCTACTCTCGATCCTTGGAAGCAGCAGTGGAACTCCCATCTCGGGTTCGCCTGCTTTCAATTCTGGCGGCACGTTGACTTGGCAGGTTGGCAGGGCCGGTCGGGACGACGGCTAAAAGTGGACGTCGTGGATATGTTGTACAAGGCTATTGTACAGCCTGAGCTCTTGCAGCTCAGAACGCGGGCGCCAGTCATGAAGGCTGCCCAGCATCTCGGGGTTTGATTCTTGCGCAAGATAGGAAATGAGAGCCACGGTGGATGACAGGCAGGTATATGCGGCATCAGCGCCGAGTGGGCTTAGATACACTGTGAATAGAGTAAGCAGGGTACTTATCAGTTGAGGCACCCCGGTGATGAAGATTCCCATGCCTCGTTGGGGTTGTACTGCCTGTAATGGGCTACATATGCATGATATTGGATTCTTCTTAATACCCAGGACAATGGACTCACGGACAATGGACCGTTTGCTGTCAAGCAAGCTACCCTGGAGAAATGCAATGCAAGTACTTGTACTGTACTGTACGTACCTCCCCGGCCTGCCCACTCCTACCTTTATCCACATCCAAGCTCAGAATCACGAATAATCACTCGATTCCCTAAACCCTCGATCCCCCAATCAATCAATCCATCCAGAACCACATTCTCTTCTCCGCGCACTCCCCACTCCCCGCGCGACCGTCATAGCGGGGACTTTCTCCTTGATAAGAGGAGCCTCGCAGCGCACGATCGGCAGCCGGCGTGGGGGTGTGGAGCTCGGGTCGAGCATTTACCGCGTATAGCAGATGGACGCAACGGTCAATCAGGATTGCTGAAGGTCTATCGTTCACGAAACCTGCTTTTGGTAGGGGAGCCAGGTCGTTTCATGTAACTTCAGTTCATGTATGTATGTATGTATGTACTATGTACCTATAGGTAGATCGGTTGGTCTGCACGAACATAACGCCTGTGCAGATGGCGTTTTGGACATGTAGGCAAGGCAAGGTGGGCAAGCCAATCATGAGGAATCAATCATTGCGAATGTCGAACGCCAGCTGCCAGGACTCTTGGCAGCCTCCGGAGCTCTGGAAGATACCGCCCATCCCCTTCGTCGTGGCGAATTCCCCTTTCTAGTTACGAGGTACAGTGTAGACCGTTTCTCAACGGCGCATTGGTTCTCTGGGCAGACCTCAAAACATGCCGCAACATCCAACAGTATCCGTTATGCGTTCTGTAAAGGTAGGTAGCTTGCTGTACCTCCCCCTGTCATCTTTGTCTATCTGCATATCGACCGAGTACAGAAGAGACCAATCGATCAAGTGTGGCTTTTCCGGATCCCCGCCCACAACCGTCAGTCATTCAAAGCTCCCCACCCTCAGCGAGTTCATATGCACTCACTCACATATCTTTAATATAAAACACTTTAATATATCCCCATCCAACATCCTTAACCAACCAACCAACCAACATATCCATACCTAGATATTCACGCATCAGCCAGCCGGACCTCGGCCCGCGTCTCCGCATAGAGGCTACTAACCTCCATGAGCGCAGCCTCGAATCCTATCCCTGCCAGCACGCCGGATAGAGCCTTCTCTCCAAAGGACCCTTTTTTATTTTAATTTATATTATTGTGTACTGGAGGGGGGATTTCCCTGGGATGTATCCCTATTCGACGAATGCGCGCATATACGCAATGCATGCGATATGTATGGTAATAAAGTATAGGAACTTGGTAAGCGTGGGAACGGCATTCGCCCCGCGCGTCGATCAAGGATGGGGTCTTCCTTTCTCACAGGTACTTAAAGTCAAGGGGGAACGCGCTGCAGATGACTTTGTAGCTGGTACTTGCTATGACTTAACTTATTTGGGGAGTTTTTTTTCTGCATCTTCCATGGCGAGCCAAGCAGGCAAGCAAGCAAGGTCCTTGCGGTGTACTGAGCGGTGTATTATGCTTGTTTGTATTGCCTAGGGCGGTGTTGTGTTTTCTTGAATACCCTACATATAGGCAGGGAAGGCAGGGAAGGTGTGGCGAATTCGGGGCTGGCCAGGAGGCTTGGTTGGTTCGAGACTTGCTTCTGCCATGCATCTACCATGCGTTACTCAACTCAACTCGCTGCAAAGCTGCGGTGAGGTGTTCTTCCATCCCTACCCCAAGTCCGTCTCCTCCTATCTGATTACCTTACACCACGTTCGGGGCAGCAGAGAGTTCAGCTGGATACCCCCCGCCTTGTCCAGACCGTTCAAATCCCGCTCCGCCTGCTTTCCAGCAACTGGGCCCAGCCCTGTCGCGGCCATGCCCCCCGGGCCGCTCCCAGCTCAAGCGAATATGACACGTCGGATGAATGGCGTGGGAGGCGGCAGAAGGGGTCTTCTGGAATCGAGATCTGGAACGACGTGTCTTCTGAGGGGTAGATCACTCCTTGTCAGCGGCGCGCAATATATTTCTCGCAAGCAAACAAGCAAGCATCATGTACTCTGCAAATGATTCTTCGGGGGCGACGGCACTGCTGATTGCTGTTAATTGATTTGATTCGGGGTGAGAGAGGGGAGGTGGCTGGACGGGTTGTGCGCTGTCAGATGAAAAGACCAGCGTCTTGAGATCGAGACCCGAATCCGACTCCTACCCCGCTCCAATTCATCCATTCTTTTACCAGGGGCTCGAGGCTCGACATCCATCCACGGACGTTCCCGTTCATCTGCACCACTTCTCGGCCCATGGGCTTGCACAGCCCTCTCCCCCTTCCATCCCTCAACAATCCCTATCTCGGGATGGCGTACATCCCGAACGCGGGACGGGCATCTTCATGCGCCTGCTCCCTCCCGAAGCTGTTCGATCGGCAGATTGGAGGCTCGTCGCTAATGTCTTCCTGAAAAAGCAAGAGAGCGAGACCGACCACTCTACTCGCCACTCTCAAGGATCCCGGAAATGCGAGGCGTGCCCGAGCAAGTAAGATACGCGGCCCGAGGGATGTACATACAACCCTCTCCCGCCCTCGCCAAGCATGTGAGAACCATGCGGAGCAGACGTCCCCTTCTAGAGAGGCGAAGGACGTTATGCATACTCCATGTTACGCAATTTCTACGCATGGATTTCTGAGAGTGGCGAGGAGGCGCGCCGTTGTGAAAAGGAGGGTTACAAGTACTGTAGAACACGTCTCGTTGCATCTCTACAGTCGGAGTCGGAGTCTGGGGAAATATCATGCCTGATAAGCCACAGCTCACTCACGTCTTGCGGAGATGCTGGCAAAGATTCGTCTGATTCTTCAATGGCATTTGATATGATCCACTGCCTATAAGAGACAATCGAGATCTCCCCCGCAATCGCCGGGAGCCACGGGAAGGACATGATTAGGAATGTGAGCGTCTCCCAATCAATTGGTTCTTCGGATGAGTAGCACTACCAGCCAGTATCATGAATCTTCCATGCTTTTTTTTTCCCAACTACCCTCGACGCCCCTCTTCATTCATTCATGAATGGACGAAGACGACGAATTCACCGAAGCCCATCCGTACGCAAACGGTAGAATATAACATCCCAATCAAATAATAGAAGGTAAGGAAGGAAAGAAGGAAGGAAAGAACGGACTGGAAATCCATTCATCCTTGTGGAAACTCCACTAGGAGCGCACGCGCGTTAAAATGTACATTTGGAAATACATCTTGGTTTCGAAGGGATTTGAAAGATTTGTAGGACACAGTTCAGATTGGTCGTCTAGGAGACAAGACAACTACCTGCTTGCTGAGGAGGCGTAACCAGTGGGATCTAGATAATTGGCCCAATGAATGAAATAAGTTCGAGGATATTAATTTGGTTGATGGTTTTTGAAAACGATGGAAACGAGCTTCTGCTGACGGGAGAGGAATTACGAATTACGCAGAGAAAGACCCAAGCGTTTCGATTGAGAAGGGAAACTTTGCATTTGATTTATTGAGAAAATTTTATTTACCAATAGCTACCTTAGGTAGATATCGTCAACTCGAAACTTTATGAACAAGCAAAGCCCCTTTAGCACCTCGATCAACAGTTTGTCTGTCTGAGCGCCTGAGGCATCAATATTCAGCCTTCTTTCCAGCCCCACAACCACCCATCATCAATCGCGCTCCATCCTCACGCCGCCCATCAGCAGCAGCCCCAACTACCCCAACTCCCAGCATGTTATTCTTCAGGTCCGTCCCATCCATCCATCCATCCCTCTCCCTCCCACTCACCCCAGCCCAGCCTAGCCCAGCGCTCACTCACTCACTCACTCTCTTCATAAGTAAACTAAAGCTAATTCCAGCGCAGTTTCTTCAAGACGCTCGTCGACCACGAGGTGACGGTCGAGCTCAAGAACGATATCCAGATCCGCGGCACGCTGAAATCGGTCGATCAGTATCTGAATATTAAACTGGATGATATACAGGTCGTGGAGGAGATTAAGTATCCGCATCTGGTGAGTTTTTTGCTGCGTTGAGCGGGAAAAGGGAAGGGAGAGAGAGGAGAAGGGGGGGGGGGGTGATTGATTGATTGATTGGATGATTGATGGGGTATGATGAGGCGGATGCTGATGAGAGCGTAGTCGTCGGTCAAGAATGTTTTTATCAGAGGCAGTGTTGTGAGATATGTACATTTGCCGGGAGCCGCGGTGGACACGGCATTGTTGGAAGATGGTGAGTTGGGCATTCATTCTCTCTTGTTCCCCTTTGTTCGGTTTTTCGACATACTGACAGGGTATCAATAGCGACGAGGAGAGAAGCAGCGCAACAGGCGTCGAAAGCGAAGTGAGAGTAGTCGAGTGAGATATTGATAGGGATATGACAATTGCTGCGCCGGAGCTCTAGAGAAATTGGGTGGAGAGAGCAGTTTGGGTTTTTGGAACGAAGACAGCATGAGAGATACGTGGGGGGCCGGACAGTTCCCTAAATACTTCTGCTTGGGATGTAATGGGTTCTATAGGTCATGCGGGGGCATAGCATTCATCTAACATTGAGCATGGCATGGAGTTCAGCGGTGGTGCGTTGGAGGCATTGTATGTATGTTATGTACGTATGTACGTATGTACGTATGGTTGGGAAGGAGGCCAAAAGCTATCAGAACAAGCAATACCCACCCTATAAAAACGATTAAAACATTTCAGCCAGAACCAGCTCAACACATCACCAGCCTGCTTGTGAGTAGGATCAGATACTGAGTGATATATACTTATACCTATACCTATGACCGCCCTTTACTTTTTGCCCCTTTCAAGGAGATCCAGTCACGAGACCTCGCGTCAAGCGATTCAACTCTCTCCCTTTTCGCGTCGACGGGAGACCCCACTCGGAAAATCAACGACAAGTTGAACCTCTTCCGGTCGGGGTGAACTCGAGGTTCTGCCTATGGATTTGCAAGTCCGCGATTGTCAATAGGCACTGTGCAAATCCCCTTTCCATCATCGTGCCAGATCCGATAAAGCCCTGCGAAAACGAAGAAGGCTTCCTGCTACTCACTACCTAGCCTCGGTGGCGGGCGGATATCCTCTGGCTATAACCACATGCGGCAATGTTCAGGAAACCTAGAGAGAACGTCTCATCGTCTTCAATCAAGACATCACCTGTAACGCCGTCTATCGGAAGACCCCCGACGCCACCGACCAGCAGCAACGCCGCTCCTCCTCCGCGCTCCAAATCCACAACCGTCATGGCATCCCGCAACAAGGCGCTCACGCCCCGCGCGAATTCGAAAACCAACATGTCGTCCGCCGCGAACCGCAGTGCGAAGAAGCCCAGCGCCTCCGCCCCGAAGCCCAATGGCAACATCCTCAACTTCTTCAAGAAGGTCGAGAATCCCCTCAAGGACGAGTCCATCTTCGTCCCGCGCGGATCCAAGGATGTGGTTCCGGCGCGGCCGAGCCCGGAGATCATCTTGGATCCGGATGTTGAGGATTTGTATGCGGATGATGATGCGTTGGATGGGGCCAGGTTTAATGAGGTGGGGGGTTCGGTGAAGAGAAGGAAGATATTGAGTGGGGATATAGCGGTTGAGAAGATGGGTGATGATGGTGGGGATGTTGGGGTGGATATAAGTGCTGCAGTTTGTCCACCTCTGGTTGAGGAATCGACGGAGACGAAGAATCCAAAGTCTAAAAAGCCGAAGAGGAGAGGGCCGTTCCTCTCGGATTCGGATACTGAGGATGAGGTTGGCGATGTGATATTGCCAAAGTTCGCTGTGCAGGCGCGAAACAAGGCACTGGACGGGCCGGACAAGCACGAGGATTTAGGGACCTCGTCGGCGCTTTCATCGGTAGAACCTTCCGGGTCTGATGATCAGGTCACGTTCAAACGTCACAAGAGGGTTCCAATAGCTAAGGCTCAGGCTAAGTGGGAAGCCCTGCAACCGAAAAAGCGGGCGCAGCCCAATATCCAAGTTGCTGTGGATGATACAGCGGACGAGTCAACAAACACAGGTAACGACGTTCCCATTCCGTCGCTGAACAAAGAAGAGACGAGCGTGGATGAATGGGGAAAATTCGACGATATAGAAGACTTTCCTGATGATGAATATGCCGAGGGGGAAGAGTTTATCGAACGGAAGTGGATGGAAGAACAAACCCGTCTAGAGGACGAAGGAGTCCAAGAAGAGGAGTTCAATGGCTTTCCCGATGATGATGAGCTAGGAAAGGGAGCTCCTGGAGAGAGAACAGCGACCTGTCCCATCTGTGATTCGGATCTAGGCGGCATCACTCCTGATGAAGCTACGAGACATGTTAATGGATGTTTGGATGGAAATCCTATACCTTTACCTGGACCCAAAACTTCCAAGTCGGGGTCTTCTGAGGTCAAACTCCTGCCTCCGGGGAGCAGCAGTCGGTTCATAAGGAAAGCCGCAATACCTAGGCCAGGACAAGCAAGTCCGTTTCAGATTGGAAACTCGGATACTACTCAATCATCGGCATTCTCCAAGTTGATGTCCGGCCATGCAGAAGATGCTGCCTGGGCGAGCGCTGCGGCCGCAGAGCAATCTGCCAGGGGGAAGCCTGCGTATCAGAGGACGTGTCCATTCTACAAGATCATCCCTGGTTTCTCTATCTGTGTTGACGCCTTCCGATATGGTGCTGTCCAGGGATGCAATGCGTATTTTCTGAGCCATTTCCATAGCGATCATTACGTCGGCCTCACATCCTCATGGTGTCACGGTCCAATCTACTGCAGCAAGGTCACGGCAAACCTAGTAAAGCAGCAATTACGAGTTGATCCCAAATGGGTCGTGGCTCTGGATTTCGAGGCACGTTTTGAAGTGCCAGGAACTCAAGGGGTAGCAGTCACCATGATACCCGCCAACCACTGCCCAGGCAGCTCCTTATTCCTCTTCGAGAAAACTGTTGGAAGAGGGGCGAATCCCAAGATCCAACGCGTGCTACACTGTGGCGATTTTCGAGCCTGTCCAGCACACATCGCTCACCCTCTCCTCATGCCAGACATCGTGGATTCCATCACTGGCAAGACGAAACAGCAGAAGATCGACGTCTGCTATCTTGATACTACGTACTTGAATCCTAAGTACTCATTCCCTTGTCAGGAGGATGTAGTCAAAGCCTGTGCAGACATGTGCGTGAGTCTCAAGAGCGAGCGCGCCGAAGAGAATGACGCATGGGAAGTGGCCAAGCGTCAACGAGCTGGCAACATGGCAAAATTTGTGTCCAAGCCTGAAGAGCCCAACCCGGTCTCCAACCCCAGCAAACCCCGCGGCCGACTCCTCGTCGTCTGCGGCACCTACTCTATCGGAAAGGAGAAGATCTGTATGGGGATCGCGCGGGCCCTCGACTGCAAGATCTGGGCGCCGCCAGGCAAGATGCGCATCTGCGCGGCGCTCGAAGATCCAGAGCTCATGAGCCGCATGACGGACGATCCGCGCGAGGCGCAGATCCATATGCAGATGCTGATGGAGATCCGGCCGGAGACATTGCAGGAGTACTTGCAGAGCTACAAACCGCACTTTAGCCGCGTGGTCGGATTCCGCCCCAGCGGCTGGAACTACCGGCCTCCTAGTTCCCGGTTTGTGCCCTCCTGTCCCCCCTTCTTCGTCAATGCTAACTACCAAATAGCTCGATCGATGCAAGCCCCAGCATCTCCACGATCCTGCACGCGCCCAACTGGCGCTCCTCCTTCTCGCTCACGGACCTGGTACCGCAGCGCGGCAGCACGAAGCAGGCCAGCTGCTTTGGCGTGCCCTACTCGGAGCACAGCAGCTTCCGCGAGCTGACCATCTTCGTCTGCGCGCTGCGCATCGAGAAGGTGATCCCGACGGTCAACGTGGCGAGCGCGGCGAGCCGGCGGAAGATGAAGGGCTGGATCGACAGGTGGCTGATGGAGCGGCGGAAGGGCGGCGTGGTGCGTGTTGGGGGTGAAGGGGGCGTCAAGTGGTAGGTGGTAGGTGGTGGTGAGTGAAATGAGGATCGCTAGTTGAGAGGAAAGTAAGGGTTGGGATTGCGATTCCGGATTGGTTTTGGGAGTCGGGAGTGTTAGAGAGAGGTTAGATTTAGGTATGATTCGAGATATATCATCAATCGTATCACGTTTCCACTCATCTATGCATCATTCTTCATTTTCCTATCTATCTTATCCCCTTTTCCTAGACGTGCGCAAAGAAAGAACCCGACGTATCAGCTGCTATACTATACTATACTATCATATCATATCCTATACCCTCTCTCCACGAGATTTCAACATCATATATCATCTTTTTTATTGCTATTCATCAAGTACTGTAGCTAGGTAAGGTAGCTTAGGGCAGATATTTCATTTTATTTCATTTACTTGCAGACATCCCATTCGCAGCTTTTTAGTTAGAGGGATTATAGGCTGGCAGGCAGGCAGAAGGATAGATAGTTGTGTTTCTTGCATTTTATTTTATTTTATTTCATTTCATTATATTCGATTTCGATTCAGATTTCTCCTAGAAAAAACAAATATATAATACCCCCCCCCCTCCCCCCCCCCTCCTCCTTCCCCCGTGTGCGTACCTATCTATTCTCGCATACCCCCTTTTTTTGCGTGGCGAGCCCCACCCCCACCACCCAAAAAAAAAGTTTTCAAAAAAAAAAAAACAAAAAAAAAAATATGCAACTGCCGTGAATCGAACACGAACCTCCACCTAACAAACTCAATAAGCGAGCTATGGAAGGGTGGAATCCTAACCATTGGACCACAGAAGCTTCGTTTATTTTGTTTTGTTTGTTGGGAAGAAAGGGGGATGGGGGGGATATAAAGATTGGTTTGTTTGGTTGAGGTTGGAGAAGGGGAGAGAGAGGGGGATGTGAGGATTGGGGATTGGGGGTGGGATTTGGGGTTGGGGGTTTGATTGATGGGATGGGAGAGGTATGGATAGAGAGGGTGTGTGTGTTTACTGGTGGGCTGGGATGGTGATGGGGATGGGGATGGGATGGGATAGGTAATGTGGGTTCTTGATGCTGTCTTCCTTATCTAGGTGTCTTTTTTTATGATGATTGGAAAAGAGGAGAGGGGTGTATAAACCTAGAAAGCGAGGAAAAATTGTGGGATATTCAAGATAAGGTGAGGTATGTATGTATGGATAGACCGATATTTAGATAGAAAAATGAATATAATAGAAGAGGGATGAAAGTGAAAACTGCTGCTATCGTGTGATGATAGGAAGGAATAATGATAGGTATTGCTCAGTGTTTTGCAGAGAAGTACCCTTTTTTTTAGTGTTGGAGCAGTTGGATGAAAGGGAAGTGTGTCTTTGTCGAGATTATTTGTTGCTGTTATGGTGGGATGATAGGATGGTGGGATGATTACTCGGTGCTTTATAGATAGATAGATGGATACATAGCTTTTTTGATATTGGTTTGGGTGGAATTTGAGGAGAAAGAGGGGAGAGAAGGGGGGGGGGGAATTTACTGTGTGTATCACGAAAGCAGGAGGAAGAGGGGAAAGGAGGTAGTGATAGTTTCTAGTGATCAACTACAATCCACCGTACAACATTCATAAAACCCCGCCATACTCAAGGTCTGGCTTCGTTTCATTTGTCCCAGCTCACGCCATGTCACCCCGTTACCCAGGATTCCAGGATCATATCAAATCATAACTTACACAATTCAATGCTAGGACGTCACACCATATATTATACATATATTGAAGTACCAAATTTTCCCCAGGGGTAGCGATGGGAGGCGGGGAGGTATTAAGTAGGTATATAGAGGAGTTTGGGTTAAGATGAGTAAGAGAAGAAAGAGAAGGTACCTTCGAAGGTGCTTAGTATCAGGGAATTAGAGTGTGACCGAGTGGTGAGTGATTTGAGATGAGGGCAGGGCTACCTGCAGTATCACCGCAGGTAAATATGAAAGACGATTCGAAGATCTTGGGTTAGGGTGCGGAACGCGGTTATTTGAGGGGCAAGACGGAGACCAAGAATTTCTTCTAGAAGGTCGGACTTCAGGGATAGCGTGCATAATTCAGGGGCTGTTATGCCGGCACAACTAGGCCACAGGATGAAGATCCCGATCAGCAGCTCCAGTGCCCAGGTATATAGCTTGGCCGATCTGATGCTTGTTGCGTGCTGCGTACAGGAGGCACGTGAGGCCTGTGGCATGCGGCAACAACGCTGTCGATATAAAGGTCTGAGGGAGGCATGGACGAAATACCCCGCCTAGGATATCCAGCTCAGTTTCGGGCGGTTTGCTCGGTGGGCGATGAACTGCTGGTTTGAGAAACAGGCGGCCTGAGGGGAAAGGGGGAATTTATAGGTGCCAAAGCTAGAAGACGGTTGCTCCGAGAAACCTTGTGGTAGGACTCCGTAGGCGAGAATCTGGTGGGGTGCAGGATGTAGGATGTATGAGAAGATGCAGGCATTACTGCCACTTGTGAGCATTGCTTGTCAATGACATCTCTCTCATCTGCTCCTGCGCCCCATCTCGTCTTCTCGAGACTCGTATGTTCAAAGAGATCCTTTGTATCAGTGAATCCTCTCCCCACCACGGAAGCCCCGAAATCAACCACCTTCTTTGTGTATGCAAAGTTGCGTGGAGGTACGGCGAGGCCGTAAAATACGACGAATAGCAACTCGAAAGGGTGTATAACGTACAGCCGACTCACTTATGCCGCGTAGGCGAGGACCAACAGAGTATTTGGAAAGGTAATGCCTTGCAAGAAATTCGTGTTTTTCATTCTGTGATGGCCTGAATATACGTAACGGGATCCGTTCTTTACCGACTGGAGGACCTTCAGTTTCGGCCTAGGATACATCTTTCAATTGATGAGATGTAGAAGGGTATAGCTCACGAGAAGAAGCTCGCGAGAAGGCTTGAGATGTTGTCCATCCAACGCTCACTTGACTAACACTTGTTTCCTGTGCCATGGGGCCTTCTGCACAACATGGGAAAATGGATGTCATCTCTGCAGGATCTTCTATCCGATTGTCACCATCGAAATTAATTTCAGCCTTGGCAGACTGAGACAGTTTCAACGAACTCCCTTGCAACCTTGTAGGTTGTGGGACCCTCCTCGGTGTCATCCGATGTAGTCTCTTTCCTACGGAGCTCTTTCTGCATCTTGCATTCCGTGGCTGCTTTCAATAGTCTGAACCCTTTTCCCAGAGAACGCCCTTCTAGAAAGCCTCATGACTACCAAATCCTCTATCAGCCGCCACAGCGTGCTGCCAAGCACTGGGATATATAGCTTCCGTGCTCCAGCGGCGCCGGCCTCTGGACCAGTCACGGCTGACCGAGGGTCAACGTGTGCGCCACAAACCTCTTCGGCGGTGATGGATGCAGACCCTCGCGGGACAAGACAGGGTGCATAGGATCTTTCGTGCAGTTGCAGGCGGCGGGCGCCAAGGAGATCGTGTTTGGCGGGGCCTGTCATAGGGGACCTGTCATACTACTATCTTCGAGGGGCGGTCCAGGACAGCCCGGGGAAGTTGAGCGGACCTCTTGACTATACTGGACTACTCTGCCAGGGAGTCTGATGCCCGCGAGTAGCGATTCGTGTGAGGCCCTGGGAGGCACTGTTGGTGTGTCGTTCCCATGGAGATCTTGGGAATCCGTTGCGGGCTGGCCGTCCACCCGTGGCCGCCGGGGCGTGGTCTCATCTTACTCCTCGCTCCGTGTTCCTGTTGGTTTCGTACTTTCGAACCTTCCAATGTTCGAGGGCCAAGACGCCGATGATTGGAGAAGGGAACTACCCAGGCTTGACGACGGTCGAGTTGGAGAGAGCGATGCGTGCACGTGGGGTTGGGTTAAGGACGGTGGCCTGAGGACAGAACGTAGAAACCGGGCATATCCCGTAGCGAGGAGGGATTTCGCGGAGGAAGGTATCTCCGTCCCGACCAGTGCGTGAACCGAAGGTCCGAAGCGCCACACCTGGAGGTTCGCGTCGATCGATTCGCAAGGCAGTACGGGCTGGCTGGCTTATCTGCTGATGCAACTGCACTCTTCGTATAACGTTCCCTGCTAATCAGTCTCTACATAGCACGGTTACAATCCACAATCGTATTCTGGACGGCAGAGTCGCACGTGCACGGGACGGTATACGGAGTCGGTCGATGATGTGTGGGATGGGGAAGCGAGGGGCAAAACGGGCCACACGAATCGACGCGCTCAGTCCTGGCGAATGGACGCGCCGGACGAGGGGGAAGAAAGCCTGCAGAGGTCAAGGGCCCGGGTGAAGACCCTGCTAGTGCCCGATGCGCCTCCCCACCTGGGCCCCATCTGGAGCTGGCCACCGGCAACGAGATGGGAAGAAACGTGCACGATTCTCGCGCCCTGATTGGCCGGCGTCGACGACGTGCGAAGAATCCGCTGAAAGAGTTTGACATGCTCGATGAAGTGTGTTGTATTTTTGCCTTTCCCGGCACGCGCTGGCAGTTGGGACCGTGGGAATATGTGGCTGATGCCGGGGGAGTTCCGTCAGCCCAGAACGGGGTGGAGATCCGGGCAGAGAACAGTGGGCAGACAGTGGGCAGAGAACAGTAGTGGTGCGCAGACCGTGGGCAGAGAACCGTGGACATGCGATGCGTTCGAAGAACAATGGCATCGCCGCCAGCCAAGGCACGCCGAGAAGTACAAGGCGTCGACAAGAGAAAGGAGAAATGCTTGTGTATGCTTGTGTATGCTTGTATATGCTTGTGTAGGGAAGCAAAAGCTTCTCTCAAAGCTTCTCTTTCAGCCACAGATACAGGGTCGTCCAGAGAAGGAATTGTCGATATACCTGTACAACTACATGCCCTCTCTAAGGTAGGTGCGCACACGGAGTATATCTGATATCTACACGATAAATACAAGACACACCATATACACCGTATCTAGGGCAGCACTACGCACTCCCGAGAATGGGTCGGCCACTAAAGACCAGCGGGTTTAGTAATGCCATCGCCCTCGCCCGTCTAACAAACAGCAAAAATCTACAATACCAACCTTAAAGCTCTGTTGCTGTAGTAGTAACATATTTGAATATTATTTCATATTCGGTGATTAATAATTAGATACTGGTCCAGGTGGTTCGCCGTCAAACTCTAGCAACTCGTCCGCGGCGGCGCAGGGTCCTTGGACGGGCCAAGAAGGGGCCAGGATGGAGCATTGGAAAGATTCGAGAAGGTTTTCGCCTTTGTTCTGTGCATGGCATCTTGTGTTGGTTGCCAGCCCCGGGAAAGATGTTCGACCCATCAGGATGAAGGGCGACTGCATGTGGCCCTCTCGGAGACGGCGTCGACGACACACACATAATAATTGACACACCTGTCTAGCCTCCTCCAGCGACGGTGGGCCAGTCCTGGACTCCTGGACTTGGCCTAGCTGCTTGGCCGCTCCAGCGCTCCTCTCCCTCGCTCTTCTCTCCTACCGTAGCTCGAGCCTCTAGCTCCTCCCACCAACGACCCCAGCGCCCGCGGCGATCCTCTCTCTCTGTGCTGCTGCTGCTGCTATATATCTCCTTCTGCTCCCTCCTCCTCTCTCTCTCTTGATCGTCAGTCCACCTCAACACCACCCCTCCTCCCCCCCTCTCCCCTCTCCCCCCGCCCCCAGCTGGATCTTGCCTGTTTACTCCGTCTAAGGTTCTCGGGTTCTTGAAGATTCAGCATTTGGCACAATGGCGGACCTTCTGCATCACCACAAACATCACGACCCCACCAACCAGGGGATTGTCAGCGTCCCTCACGGCCCCGAAACTGGCGACGACCACGCCTCCTACCCTTATGCTCACAACCCCGACAATGAGAAGGCCATCTTCGCCTATCTCCTCCATCCCGATGACAGCTACACGCCCGAGGGCGTCTACTGGGCCGACCTGCCCATCCACAAGCGCATCGCCTTCGTCGCCAAGACCGACAACCAGGAGGCCCTCAAGGAGCTGCGCTCCATCGGAAGCATGATGAAGAAGGATCCCTTGAGCCCCATCGGATGGTATCTCCGCAATGCTGTTCTGCCCGGTGCCGGTTTGGGTCTCGAAAGGTATGTTTTTTTTTGATTCCCGCGCGCCCCTCGGCAATAGGCTCGCGAACCTATCAATCAGATAATTAATTCTCGCGCAGTTACGTCCTCTTCTCCATCGGTAACCTGACTCCCCTCTTCCAAGCTGCCTGGCCCGCCTGCTGGAAATCCTTCAAAGTCTGCAACGAGCAATGGGTCAACGCCGTGACCTATCTCGAGGTCGTCGGAATCATTGTCGGCCAGATCCTGGTCGGTATCATCGGTGATGGGTATGATCTCGCCCCCACACCAAGCCAGATCCTCGATGCTAACCTCCTTCCAGTATTGGACGTCGTTGGGGTCTCATTCAGGATGCTATGATCATGTTGCTGGGTCTGATCATGCTGGTCGCGTCGTGGGGTACGTCTCTGAACGGATGGGTTGTTTGCTACGCCTGGTCCCTCTTCGTCTATGGTATTGGTGTTGGAGGAGAGTACCCCATGACCGCCACGGCGGCCATGGAGAATGCCACCGGATCTGGGAGGGTCTCGACCAAGGAGGACCGTCTTCACCGTGGCCGCAATGTCACCACCGCTTTCTTGATGCAGGGATGGGGCCAATTCTTCAACCAAGTCATCCTGATCATCCTCCTGCTGATCTTCCACCACGGAAGCGGAAACCCACCTTACTCCAAGGTGGCCACCCAGTGGGTCTACCGTGTCTCCTTCGCTATCCCAGCCGTCGGGACGCTCTGGCTCGTCTACTACCGTTGGTACAAGATGCCTCTGGCAAGCAAGCAGCTCAATGCTATCAAGAAGAAGGCCAACGTCACTGGATACGATCTCCAATCCTTGAAATTGACTTTCTACCACTTTGGTCCTCGTATCTTCGCCACTGCTGGCGGTTGGTTCTGCAACGATGTCTTCTTCTACGGCAACAAGCTCTTCCAATCTCAATTCATCAAGGTCATCTCGCCTACATCTTCTAACAATGTCATGACTGGCTGGCTCTGGAACTTGCTCAACGTCGGTGTCTCCCTCATGGGATACTACCTTGCCTGTAAGTGTTGTGATTGCCTTGAACTGCTTATGCCCCAAAACTAACACGCGGGCCCCTCTAGCCTTCCTTATCGACAACAAGAACTACGGTCGCAAGTGGATGCAACAGCTCGGATTCCTGATGGACTTCATCCTGTTCGTCGTTCCAGCCTTCCACTACAAGTACTACACCAGCATCGAAGGTATCCACGCCTTCCAAGCCATGTACTTCCTCTCCTCTTTCTTCAACCAATTCGGTCCGAACGCTGTCACCTTCCTCGTCGCCGCTGAAGTGTTCCCCACACCTGTTCGTGCCACTGCTCACGGTTTCTCTGCCGCCATCGGAAAGTGCGGTGCCCTCCTCGCGTCCGTGCTGTACAACTACATCACTACGCAACAGAAGTTCTACGTCGTCCCATGGTTCGGTCTTGGCGGCATGCTCATCACCGCCATCTTCCTCCCTGACACCACCGGTCTCGACCTCAAGGAGCAAGAGCGACGATGGGAGTACATCCGCTCTGGTCGCGAGAGTGAATACCACGGTGTGGCCGTCCACAAGCAGCATCTTTCCCTCTGGGAGCGCCTCCGTGGCATCGGCAAATACTACGACCCCGAGCTCGATTACCAAAGCAAGATCAATGACATGCGCGCCGACTGGGAGGCCAAGCAGGCAGAGAAGCAGACCAACGAGGACGGACTCGCTAGCGAGGAGGACGAGTACAACGCTGAAGTCCACAGCTACTTCCACGCCACGGGTAACAACTCGCCCTTCCTCAAGCCCATGAAGCAGCAGCAGCCGTCAACGGACAGCGATGACATGAACGAGAAGGCTGCCTCCTAAGCCTGTCGCCCTCGCCGTCCCGAACTGCATAGATTTCGGATTTCCTTTTTGTTTGTTGTTCGTGCCGGAGGTGGAGCGTTGTATAGGACCTGTACTGTACAACATGTGGCTAACCTCGGCATGTTTTTCCTGATATACTCGCGCCAGAATGGATGGATGGAGGAGGTGCAAAAAGCCATGTGTTTTTCTATCTGCGATACCTAGCGATGTGTGTGGTGCGATAATAGAAAGAAAGCTGGTTGGATATGTGTGCAAATTAGAGATTCCCCCTCATGCAATTTACGATAATTCTGAAGTACCCCTGTGCGCGTTTCCCGACTGATGTGGTGTGATGTGATGTGGCCTGGTTGCAATTAGGGGTCAAATAGGTACTGGATGCGACTCCCATCTTCCTAGCCACAAGCGCTTCCCTGCGCCTGAATCGGGGTATTCCTTATGCACACATGCAAAAGCCAAGGAGGAAGGTTGAGACCAACTTTTTCATTTTCATTCAATTCATTCATACATTCCCAAAATTCAGGATTCTCTTGCGAGCCAACAGCGTGGATATCTATTTTTTTGTCCAATCGCCCTCCCCCCAAACTTTTCCTTTTTCCCCGCCCCCGAAGTCCACTATTGATTGCTATAAACAACACACACACACACACACATATTATATATGTATATAAACACCACCCTACTCCTCCACCATCTCCTGCCCCTCCTCCTCCTCCTCTCCATCCCACCAGAGACAAGGACCTAAGCCTGCATCCTCCATACTCGCCACGAGGGTATACGGACTCTTCAGCGCGGGGGCCGCACCGGTGCCCAACTCCTCACGCGCCGCGGGCCCAATCGGCGTCTGATCAAACCAGTGCTCTTCCTCGATGCGGAACCGCACCGTCTCTTGATTATCGTAGTATAGAAGATCGTCGGATTCTGTGCGCCAGATCCAGTTTTGATCATCGCGGGAACTAAGGGGGAGAGGGGGGTTAGTTGGCTTTTTTGGGGGGGAGGGGAGAGACGCACAAATAGGATCCTTCGGGAAGCATCTCGCGAGGGACGAAGATCTCGTCGAAAAAATGGGTTCGGACTGCTGGGTGTTAGGATCTGAGGGGGGGGAAAGTAAAAAGGGGAAGGGGAGTGGGAGTGTAACGTACTGCGGATTCCGAGGTCGTTGGAGCTGCTGATACGGCCGGTTAAGACTTCATGTTTGAAAGGCCGGAAGACGATGAGTCTGAATTCAACTATGTGGGGAGATAGAAAGATTAGCCTATCCCATCATTCTCTCACTCTCGGATTCCTTGGGAAAGAGAAAGGGGGGAATACCATTGATGTTGACAAGTCCCGTGCCATTCCCAATCTGCCCATCCGAGGCATACAAGAGATCGTAGAGACAGATGCATAGCCCAATTTTCTGGATCACCTTGTTGGCGTATTTGGCATTGATGTTGTCTTCGATTACTTGGGCATGGCTCTTTTCGAGGTCTTGCGGGTGGATTTGGACCAGATCGGCGATTTTGGTCTGTAGCCTGTTAGAAAGAAAATTGATGGGTCTGAGAGATGACACGAGAAGGCAATAAGCAAGACGTACAAGGATGAACATGGCTGCGGAGAGAAGTGTTTTCGTGATGTGCTTCTTGCTGCTCAGGTTGCAAATGCAGGTTTCTCAGCCCTGACCTCCTGACCAAGTTCTGGTGGCTGAGATATGGCACTTGGCCTCAGAATAGGTTCCAATGACTACAAATTCTCCACGGACTCAATATCAACGAGAAGCCATCTGGCCCGGATTTCTTTCCTTCTCTCTTTCTTTCTTTCCACAGGAACTCTTCGCTTCAAGAGACGCCTGATCACGTGACCGGAGAGCAAAAATCGGATTCACTGCAAAGTGAAGTGAGGGTGAGTGCGCTTGCACCAGATTATTTTCTGCTCACTCTAGGAGCGTTTTGTCCTAACCATCAACGAACAACTCTGCCAACGCGATCGCGACTTCGTTCAAGCAGCAGGTTGCCCGAAGAACCTCGATATCAGAACAGAAAAAGCGATCTGCCTGCTGCACCAGTCTAGTGCCTGCGCTGACTAATACGTTCCGGGACGAACGAACGAACGTGCACGGAAAATTGCTTAGGGTGTAGCAATGGCAGGTTCGCGCTCTCTCCCATCACTTCACGCACCCGCGGTTGCTTTCAGAATTAGTATCAATTAACCCATCTTTTCTTTGCTATCTTCAGACTTCTCGGCTCAGTACGAGCACCTCAACGTCGTCTTCCGCGACAGGCCGAAGCCCTTTCACCCCCGGCCGAGTCGCACCCAGCCGCTGCTCAAATACTCCGAGTACGTCGAGATGGCAGGCAATCAACAGTACCAGTTCCCACCACCTCCTCCGCCTCCTCCTGCCGGTCCTCCTCCATCGAACTACCCCCAGAACGCGCCGTACGGATATGCGCAGCAACCTCATCAGGGCCCGCCTCGCGGTGGTGGCGCTCCTCGAGGAGGGAGAGGCGGCAATCAGGGTGGACGCGGTGACTTCCATTCATCATCTCCTTACCCACACACAAATGGTTACAATGGCCCGCAGGGACCACAGCAAGGACCTCAAGGCCAGGGACCTCCAGCTGGCTACAACCCCCAGAATCCTGGTCCCTACATAGGCCCTCAAGCTCCAGGGCCACAGGGCGGTTATCCCGGTCCGCAATGGCAGAATGAACACCATCAGCAGCATGGCGCACCGCATAATGGGCCTCAACATGGTCCAATGCAGCACCCTCCTCAACCAGCCCCGTTGTCTGCGCAGAACTACCATCCAAACTATGCTCCTCAAGCATATCAGCAACCGCAATACGGTCCGCAACAGCCTCCCCAACCCTTTCCGCAGCATCCACCTTCCTATGGCCACAGTGTGCCACCTCAACAGCCACCTCATGGCGGCCCACCACAGCAATGGTCAGGACCACCTCAGCATGGCCCGCCACAGTTCGGCGGCCGAGGCCGTGGACGTGGTGGATTCAATGGTGGCCGTGGCGGCCATGAAGCCCCTCTTATGGGCCCTCCAATTCGTATGGGTTTTGACAATAATGAGCGAGACCACATGGCTCAAGCGGGCAATGGCTTCCCTCCACAATATGCAAATCATCAGACTCCCCCAGCTCCATTCTCCCAGCCTGCGTATCAAGGTTATCCGCCACAAAGTTTTCCTCAACGTCCGCCACTTGACCCCAATCCCTACAACTCTGGCTCCCCTCATCGGGCTAGAGGAAATATGAATTTTAGAGGCAGAGGGCGTGGTGATTTTCAATTTCGCGGTCGCGATAATCGTCACCATAGTGGCGGTCCTAGGAATGCTTCTGAAACTTATCACAAGCCTGCAGGTGCAGACGCTGGTGGCAAGAAGAAGAAGAAGCGCCGGACAAACACCCTCGGCCTTACACCAAATGGTGCTGATCACGAAGATAGTGACGAAGAAGCTGATGATGTTGATGAAGAAGCTCGTCTTGTTACTTTGCTCGGCCCTGATACCCCAATGTACGTCCATAGATGAGTAGAAGATTAGTTCTTCTTGCTAACACGACATAGGATGCCAACTGATATTGACGCATGGCTGGCGGAGCGAAAGGCCCGATATCCTACGAAAGCTCGTAGAGAAGCTGCTGAGGAGGAGGCCCGCAAGAAGCGTGAGCAGGCTCAGGAAGCCAAAAACAAGAACCAGCACGAAAAGTCGTCCAAGAAGGAAGACGGCGAGACGAAGCTGGAGAGACAACAGAGAAAGGCTGAGAAGCTCAGAGCCGAACTTGAAAAGGCCGAGCGTAAGATTCAAGATTCTATGTCAGGTTCAAAGCGCAAGCGTGAGAACGGCGATGAGGGCGATGACGACCGTGGTCAAGTGAGCGATGATGATTCCGGAGATTCATCCAACTCAGACTCCGAAAGCTCCAAGCCCGAGACAATGTCATCTCGCAATGCGGGTCCCACGCGCGTTCCTCAACCACCCAAAGCTCAACTTCAGCGTCACTGCAAGTACTTTTCGACTGGTGGTACATGTGGCAAGAAGGGCAAGTGTCGCTTCGTGCATGACCAGGAGGTTCGCAATCAAGCCTTGAGGGACAAGGAGGCAAATGGTGGCAAGATGACACTCGCTCAGCGCCTCATTCTCAACGACACCGCCAAGGATGATCTCACCATTTTGAAATCCATCAAGTACCTCAAGGAGAAGGGATTGATGTCAGATCAACTCTCTGCCAGTGCAACGAAGTCTGAAGACAGCTTGCCGGCTGAGTCCAAGTCCGAAGAGAACGCCTACCCACAGATGGATTATTGAGAGACTTCCATCACCCAGCCCTGCTATTTCGTCTCCATTCGATCCAGTCGCGGGCACTCTAATCATATTGTCGACGCGTTTTAACTTGTTACACCATAAGGAATACAGGCGGACATTGGCAGATCAAGTACAAGGTGTTATTTGATATGTGGCCGACTATCTGACTCTTGATTGCCTATTGACTCCGTCACTCACCGTTTCATACCCTGCCTGGTCGACTATTTGTTTGAGTATTCATGGTGTTTTCAGATTCCGGGAAAATATGGGGAGTTAAAGGACAGGATAAAGTCGTGCTTGTGGCTGGCTGTACAATTCGACCTTTTCAACAGGCCATCTCATCGACGGCGCTGCTACCCACTTCGAGGCAGCTTTACCTGCCCGTGTTTTACTTCATATGGTTGTTCTTTACCCCATCACCGAATAATTTATCCCATCAGTTTCCTTTCCAAAAAGGCTCGCTCAAGCCGCCCTCGTTCGCTATTCAAGCATCGACTGATGCTCTGAATGGAAGTTTCAGCCCTCTACGGCCAGTAGCTGAATCCAAAATGTACAATAGTCTGCCGCGTCTTTTAGCAAAATAAGAATCTTCCCTTGATGTTTGTTTGTGGTATGTATCATGCTTAGCATACAACCCACAGAGATTCTGAAGAGCGCATATGGCTCGTGCATACCTCACAGTATCGTCGCATTCATTGGACAACACTGGGGCATATCAGAATGTTATTCTTGATTCGTACCTCAAACATATAACCATATACACCGTGGTTGTTGGCGTGAAAAGTTACGCAAAGTCAATAGTCGAGACCCAGAAGTATGCTTCAATTGCTTCCTTTGATATCGTCATTATTTTAGTATTAGCAAGAATTGCTACGGTGCTTGAAGTTTTCGCATGAACCTATCTATCACGTCTCGTCTCCTTGCGAAGTCTGAATCTAGTTTCGCAGTAAAAGATCACTCTTCTATTAACTGGCTCCAGGCCCAGCCAGGAGTGCTTAACTGCAAGGACGGTCCGATCAGAGCCGACTTGTTCAATTGGTCTCGAGAACAGGAACTATCGTCATTTTTCAGCAGAAGCCAGATTTTGCACTCGTCTTCAGAGTAAAAGAAGTGCCCCTTGAATCGGCCCCCTTAATCGTCGCACACTTTCTGGAGTCCAGGTATACGTCGTATTCCTTGAGGTAGTGAGTAGAACTAGGATTGGTAGCCCTTGTCTGGCGAGAAGCTGGGAATCTGGCACAATACTCTCTTACCACGATATCAGCACTAGGAATTTCGGACCGGCTCTTTCCCTAGTCACCCCCGACGGTACCGACATCCAGGATAACTTCTCTTCAAACATAAGTGACCATGGATGGCATACCGCTTGGGAGGTCAAAAAGCAATCCAAGATGATCTCCCATCTTAAATTCTGTTACAGAGTTGTTAAAGATTATCAACTTGTTGGGGAGGGATCATTGGTGATCGAAAAGTCTTCGATATGAATTGAACAGGTAGGGGAGCTCGAATTCGAAATCGGTGCTTTGTTATAGATTGAATTAAAAATTTGCGGCGACTGGTGATGGCAAATATCAGGGCGCTATGCTGATCATTATAGGAGCTCGTTTTGAGGAATACATAGTAATAGATACCTAGTTAAGAGAAAACAAGACAGTTTGAACTATTGATTATACTGCTAGTGACGCCCTCGTGGCTGATCATAACGCATCTATTGAGGAATACGGATAGTTTTCAGAGTCTCTTCATTGCTTCTAGATAGGAAGAAAGAACCCTCTTCAAGACCCCTGGACCAAAGAAACTCTCCCCGTGATTCTCTTCCCTGGATCGCCTTGGCTCCTATGCTTGGTTGGATGATTGTATACTTCCCAGGTAATTAACTAGGGTTGATATCTCAGGATCTAGACTTCTTGTGTGGTGTGTGGCGTAATATGGGTAAGAATTTGTGCAGATGGATATGGGACTCTGGTGGATCGAGGTTAAGCTCTAATCCAACGTAAAAGCAGGTAATTGGTTTTTCGTGAGGAACAGGAGGGAGTGTGATAACGGGGAGAGTCTCAACAGGAAAAATATAATCACTTCAGTGAGTATCATTTGGTCATTTATATTTCAGGACGCACAGAGATCTCATTGCTATCTGTTACACATGCTTTTTTGTGCATGCTGCTATTCGCAGAAGCCATATCCCATTGCATATCCCATTGCACCCCAACCATCCAACGAGCCGGACGAACATTTACTTGAGAGGAATGAAACGCGAAGAGTGCGTAGCACCAATACCAGGTCTTCCGTGCTTGACGGGGTGGCTATACAATTGTTAGCATTTGCCAATCCTCCTAACCCGCGAGAATAGGGTGCACTTACTAAGAGATGGAGAACTCTCCCAAGTAGTGACCGACCATCTCGGGCTTAATTTCGACCTGGTTGAACTCCTTTCCAGAGTAGATACCAATGACGCTGCCGATCATCTCAGGCACCACAATCATATCTCGGAGGTGGGTCTTGACGAGGTCGGGCTTCTCGTTGGGCTTGGCCTCTTGCTTGGCCTTGCGCAGCTTCTTGATCAGGCCCATGGGCTTGCGCTTGAGACCGCGGTTGAACCGGCGGCGGGCGCGGGCGTGGACGACATCGCGCAGTTGGTCGGAGGACAGGTCCAGCAGTCTGTGGGCAAAAGAATAGAGGGTTAGCTTATGTGCTCCCCTTTGAATTCTTCATCCTGCGTGGTGGGTGGGAGGTGCTGCGTACTGGTCGAGGTCGATGCCACGGTAGGAGAACTTGCGGAACGTTCTCTTCTTCTTGATCTCGGCAGCCTCAACTGGGTCCTGTAGCAAGGCGGCTTGTCAGTCTTGGGTTCCATCTCAGGATATCGAGGGGAGGAAGTGGATGGCAGATAGATACGCACGTATTCGTCAGCCATGGTTGCGGTAGTTTGACGTGCGTTCGCTTTTCGAGATTTGTCGAAAAACGAAAGATTCGATGTTGGCGATAGCTGGAGTCGTGTTCGTCGACTTCTTGCCTCGTGGAATTTTGCGATTGAGGTTCTGCTCGCTTAGTAATTAGCGCCAGGATTTAGCGTAGGGCAAAGACACCCCAAGCCCCAATCGAATATCGAGAAGGGGAAATCGGGGGTAAGGTATCTAGATATTCTGCACTTCCGGGATAATAATAATAGAATAATTGGCAACCGTTATTCAATCCATTAGGTTTCGGAATGGGTGTATCTCGTTGCAGTTTTTTAGAGAGGAATGATTTTAGAGAGGAATGATTTCGATGTGGGCTTGCAGATGTCACGCGGAACAAGTATTGCTCGAGCTTCCGTTCTCCATTTCTCCAATCAGTATTTGCTTCAGAGAAGCAATCGATATTCTGAATATGGGTGCTGATTTTGGAAGAAGTACGTCTTTATTGTTTGTATTGCGCTATCTAGCGTGCATGATTGATATCATTTCATGGGAAGGCCGCAAATTCCAGCCTTTTGCCCCCACGACATGCAGTAACAAGCAGAGCCCGCACAACTTCTCCCAGAAGCCCTGACCAGAGCAACGAAGCAATCGCGACATTGATTGATTCTCTAGTCGAAAAGACCGAAACCCATATCCTCGTCGGACTCCTCCTTGGCCTCTTCCTTCTCCTCCTTCTTCTCCTCAGCAGCAGCAGCGGCACCACCAGCGGCAGCACCAGCAGCAGGGGCGGCAGCACCGCCAGCTCCACCAGATGGGACGGAGGCCAACTTGGTTGAGCCCTCAGCGATCAACTGTTTAGAACATTAGCATCCCAATCGCCGTGCCATATGGAAACAATTGGCATACCTCCTGGAGGTCCTTGCCCTTGAGCTCGGAGATCAGGGATGAGAGACGCTCATCGTCGGCTTCGATACCGACGGACTCAAGGACGGCCTTGATGTCCTTCTCAGCTGGAGAGGAGTTGCCAGCGAGGGTGAGGAGGAGGTAAGCTGCGAGGTGCTTCATTTTGATTGCTATAGAGCCGAATTGTCAGGGGCAAGGTCCCAAAAAGAGTTCCAAGCGGGGGAGAGTTAAGGTTGCAGAACAAGACGTACAGTTTGGTTTTGAGTTTTAAGGAACAGGAGATTCAATCAATTTAACCGCAATTTGGCGGAGACTGAAACGTCAAGTTCTGAGGGCTGAAAGTCGAGAAGTGTGGGTTGTATTCGTGATCTTGAGATCCGAACATTTCAAAAAGTTCGCGGGCAGTTTCTGTGTGGAAGATGACTAAGCGAGCCCTCACTAGCCTTGTTCGGGTGTAGCTACTTCCAGTGACCAAGGCGGCTGTAATCATCAAGACCGCAGGGATATATTTGGCGCCTGAGCAAGAATCACCCAGGACATCATAAATACCACGCCCAAGCAACCCTATTCTAGGCACAGTCAAGGTTACTGTGTGCCACCTTACCACCTATTCCTATTGATATCGTCGCCTTCCAGATGTTATGAAACCTCACTTCTTGCCATAGCACGCGATCCGCGTTGACACTTGTTGGTTGTTCTTTGCCTTTCTACGAGAGTCTAATCATCATGCCGGTATGTTACCTCACTCTTTGCTACAGAACAAGGCCCCGTGTATCTCTAACAGGTTGGTAAAGATTGGGGACCTCCTCGCCCAGATTACTGGGCAGCCAAGCCCAACAACGACCGCCTTTGAGCCTTCCTCAAAGCGCAAAGCCGAGGATGATCACCGGAGACCAGTGGACAAGGCGCCAAAGGCAACCACACAAGCAGCCAGCTCGTCGAGACCGATCAGTGATCCACGAAAGCCATCAGAGTCAAATCTGAAGACTAGGCCGCCTGCGACTGGTAATGGTCTTAGTTCCGCCACAACATTCAAGAATGGGCAGCCTACCCCACCTCCGTCAAGCGATGCCCCGAAACAACCTAAGAAGGGGTCCTACGCAGAGATTATGGCTCGAGGTCAGGCAGCACAAAAGGTCCTGGGACAAGTGGGGAAGATTCAGCACAAGAAGATTGAGAAGCTACCCAGCAGACGAGAGAGGATGGAACTGAAGGCTCAGCGGGCAGCCAAGATCCAGAAGGGGCTTGCTCCAAACAGCAAATTCCAAAAGCTGGGGCAGGCTTCTCTTCGTGACGGAAAGAATGGCGTGAAGGAGAATGGGAAGGTTGCTGCAGAGCCCGTGCCTGACAAGAAGGTCAAAAAAGCGGCGTTGGCAACTACGGGGTACGCTGGAACTGCCCGTCCGCATGCGGGGGGCTCCAAAGGTCCTTCGAGATCTAATGCTTCTTCTTCTTTGAGACGTCCCGATAGATATGATGATAGACGGAGTTCAGCATCCCGACGCTATACATATGCCAGTGAAGACGAGGAAGAGGAAGAGGAGCAGGATTATGAATCTGATGTCTCGTCTGATATGGAAGCTGCAGCGTTCGAAGTAGATGAGGAAGAGGAGTTGGCAGCCAAGATCGCAAGGCAGGAAGATGCAGAGGCATTAGCGGAGGAGAATAGGCTGAAGCGGGAGAAAGAGGAGAAGAAGCGGAAACTGCTGGCTATGGCTAAGAAGGCGAAGCCAACGCGTTATTAGGGTACATCACGCATCAGATGGGGATGGAGTAAAGGGGCATTGGGAGGTTACCTGCGAGGGTTTGCGAATTTGTCTGTTTAGCGATATGGCGTCAAGGACCACGGGCATTGAAGGCGTACTTCCTTCGAGACCGCTGTGACAGTATTGAGTCGTTTCGCAGCGCTCATTCTTGAACTATAAATTAATCATACTACGATGCAACAAAGTCTCCCATTGATCTAGTCTGACCTCATTCAAGAAAAACCTATTGACAGCACAATGTTGGTTTGACGAGTTGTATCAGCCTCGTGGTTCGTTGAAATAAGCTGCTGATAACCTAGGCCAACTGAAATCTCTATATCACGTTACAATGTTTGGTGCTTGTGAAACACGCGGCTTACAAGTTGCAGTCTGAACAAAACATGTCACATATTCAACCAATGATTGAAAACAGCCTGCCACTCAATAACGACCTATACGGCCCATCAGAAAGGATGATATTGAATATTTGAAGTAGCAATACAACTTGAGTATAACTGGAAATCGAGAGTATGACGCAGTGGTGGCGTAAATAATGGCAAATATAAATTGTCAGCAAGGGCGGGGGAGACATGAGGATTCTAAAGTAAAGGATGATATCTTGTCAATTGTTCTTCACGCGGACCGCACAAAGGAGCAACAGAGTGAAGCAAAGAAATGGGCCACACATCGAGAAGGGCTATGGAACAGGTTGTATGTACGGGTATTTAGATCTTTAGCCCTCTTTCTCTGCCAAAGCCTTTGCCTTCTTCGCCTCTGCCTCCGCATTCAGCTGCTCATAATGTGCTACTAAAGATTCCATATTTCTCGCTCCCTGACCAGCCTGGACGTTGTATGGACTTCCCGTGTTGAAGATTCTAGAACCCGTTAGCAGGCTGTCAACCAATGTATGGCGTAGCAAGACTCACTCTGGGAACTTCAAATTGACATGAGCGCTTCCCTTATCGCCAAAGAACAGGTGCTTCTCAAAAGCAGCCTGCTCCATCATATTGGCGTGCAACAAGTTCCGTGTTGCCCATCGATCCTTGAGGTCCGAGTAGCCGCTGATGAGCTTTGTCAGGGCTGCGGGTTTGCCATCCGCACCCGGTCGAGAGATTGCGTAGACGCCAAGTGAGAGGGGAATTCCGGCAGCTAAGACGTAAAAGCCAGTCTATATTCCCTATCAGTATGCGATCGAAATGTGAGGAACAGTAGCAGGGTGAGAACTGACTCCGAGCGGTTCCGGTTTGGATGCTGTGCTGTGGTGGCCATGCTCGGTACTTGCATATCGACGTGTGCTTGCCTTGCCGGCAGTGGTGGCGAGACGTCGCCGGATTGCATTCATATTGTTGTGGTTCAATTGACTGTCATTACCTGCGCAGTTGATATTGGAGCTTTGAGGTTGAGGTCCTTCTTGGCGACAAAGATTAGTCAGCGAAGGCGGTACGCGATTAGGATGGCAGAATTTCTCTCGAGACGGTGACACACTACTCCTCCGTATATGTACATTACCTAGCTAACTACGTCGTATTTGAATATCTATAGATTCCAGGTGATTCTGCATATAATGATATGCTAATCTAGATGTCCTTGTTTTAAAGGTATAGATATGTTGGAAAACAACAATTAGGTAGAATTTTGGGAACTTTAACGATCGAGGCCGGCCTAGCCCGTAGATGTTCCTCGATAAACGTGCATTCATAACACTCAGCTCCAACAACCTGCCACTTGTCCTTTTTGAAAATGGCCACAACCAACCCTCTGCAGAACGCTGCAAATTACCTAGACGACGATATTGAGGAATATTCCGATGACGCCGAATCTCTCGCATCGATCGAAACTGACGACGGCGAAGAGCACCTCCCTGAGAAGATAATCGCCGAGTGGCAAGGCAGGCACGGATTTATCTGGTACCTCGTGAAGTGGCAGGATTGTCCTATTCTACGATCTAGCTGGGAAAGTGATACCAGCTTCGATAATTTCTCGAAGCTTTTGGAGGACTGGGAGGTTGAAAAAAAGAAGCAGGATAGGGGCGAATCGAAACCGCTTGATATTGCTGCGTTCAACAAGGCGGTGTTGGAAATTGAGGCGGCCGAGAGGCAAAGGAGGATACTCCGAAGACTTAAGCGGAAAATCAAACGTGTTATCTCCATCGTTACCGCTTGAAAAATCCTGGACTTAGGCAAATCGTCTGGAACGTTGGTTTGATTGGAGGCGAAACGCTGTCAGAGGAGCCTTCTCGTGTTGCCACCTAATTTTCAAGAAGAAAGAGACGTGGCATCTAGAAGATTTGCACTTCCAGGATTTTTAAATCTACAGCATTCCCTCAAGCTGGATTTTGCATCAATCACTCGCCCCAACTCCTGGCTCTGCCGACACCCCAAGGATGGTTTATATATCACTGCGAAGCCTGCTAGGCCTCGCATGTCTAAGCTTGCCAATCATCGCCGAAGCAGCCTCAGCACCCGCGGAGCCTTCAGCCTCGCCAGCTGCAGACACAGATCTTATCTGTCCAACCAATCATGCAGGAGATTGCTATCCGCGAGTCTTTCAAGCAACCGAGGATTTCCAAATCATAAGAGATGGACAGGATATACCATCCGGACTCCACGTACGGTTGAATGTCTATACCGGAGAGAGGGAGGCTCGGCTCAACATACCCATGGAAGGTGAGGACGGCGCAACAATAGAAGAAGCCCCTACCGAACAAGCCATGGTAGTTGTAGAGCAGCCGGAACCAGAAAGTGAAGAATATCCAGCCCTTCGGGATCAAGTCCCGCAAAAGCCACCACCTTACGAGGCAGCTGGTAAGATCCGGCCGCCTGAACCCACCGATGGAGGCGAAATCGGGACATTCAACAAAGCCAAGCTCATCGTAAGCATGGAAGGACGGGCCTTCGACCCTTCACTCGACGACCTCTCTGAATTAGCTCATGACATCTACTATGGCGTGGAAATCGCCAAAGATGGACCTGTTTTGGAAAAGCTCCTCTGCTTGGCTCTAGGATCTGGATCCGACAGATTCCCCGCTAAGGAGAATAAGAGAGATCATAAAGCTGCGTCAATTTTGGCGTCAGCTATTCAGAATAATCCCACAGCGTTGGGGGAAGTGGCAAAGATGGGGAGAATAGTCCTGTACCCGAATTGTGGAGCAGAGTTAACTGGGAGTAAAACGAGGGGAGATGGAGGCTTTGTGAGCATTCTGAGGAATAGGTTGGGGAGGGAGAAAGAACCTTCTTCATTGAAGGCAAAAGTTTCGCTCATCAGCGGCTTGATAAAAGAGCCCAGGATTCGAGACGAGTTCCTGCAAACTGGAGGGATGGAACTCTTGCTGGCGATTTGGTTGAAGAAGGGAGAGCAGTGGGACCCTGTGAGGATGAAAGTTGCCCAGCTTGTCATGGATAATTTATTGGACGAGAATATGGGTGCCACGTTGGGGATTTGGCCTAAGAAACCGGTTTCTGAGAAGAGTATCTGTGAGACTAAGGGCAGGATGTTGGAAGATGGATGCTGGGAGTATCATGTCGAGAGCTTCTTGGAAGCATCCCCTGAATCGTCCTGGGCGGATGATTTCCTAAAGATTCTGCGGGAGCAGAGAGCCAGGCTGGTAAATCCAATACCAGACAGGGAATTGTAGAGAGATTCTTGAAAGCATCACAAAATAAACACAATGCATATTCTTCAAAAAGGACAGTGCGCCATTATTGAAGTACGGCGACGCCTCTGGGAATGTTCTTGACCATAATAAGGGCCTGGATCCCAGACAACCCAGGCTTTTGCATAACTACCTAGGTATACAGCGGGGTATTTGTGTGAGTTATCTACGTTCCAAGGCGGTGAAATTCTGCCGCATTTTATGATTTTGCTCATCCCACGTGCATAAGTCCATTTTCCCTCCACCACCACGAAGGCTTCACGAAATGTCAGCATTCACCTTCTCCTTCTCAGGAGAAGACATAGAAAATAACAATGTTGAAGATACCGAACCTCAAGCGTCGCCATTCTCTAATCATGCAGCAGAAGAAGGCACTCTCAAGCGCCCTTCGAGCTCCGCATTTCCAATCGCGGGGCAGCCATTACTGCCTCCTCAAAGCCATAATCTAGAATCTATGCTGGAAATGCTCCCATCGAAGATTGCTTATAGCACATTAGTGGTGAAACTGGATGATGGGAAAGAGATCTCTATTCCAAGGAGAGAACTTTGGGACGTGAGAGTGCAGCTTATGGCAGAAGATGATGATGAGGGGCTAGGAAACCTAGGCAAAAACGACGTGAGGACAGGAGTCTACGAAGGGGGGTTTAAGAGTTGGGAGAGCTCTGTGGATGTTGTTAAGGTATTGCATGCGAGAAGAGGGGAGGTATTGGGATCCGCAAAGAGAGCTTTGGAAGTAGGTTTCAGTTCATTCTTATCATATCATGAGTCGATTGGTTATGTACTTGTTGAGCAGGGCTGACATGTCTTAGCTTGGATGTGGAACTGCTCTTCCATCATTGGCACTCTTTCAATGGCTCCTGGAGAGCGTGCCTCCCTCTGAGCAATCCACAGGAGGGCTGGACCTGGGCCTCGCGGATTATAACCCAACTGTGCTTCAGTTAGTCACTTTGCCAAATCTTATTCTCACTTGGGCTCAAGCAACGAGGAAAGGATCCTGGGATGCCGAAGGCGAACTCGAACTTGACAAAGAAGTTTTGCAGAATTTCCTGGGATCCTTAAAGTCATATGGCGTTACGTTGTCTTTCTTTTCCGGCGCATGGAGCCCAGAATTTGTCCATCTGGTTGTCACTACAATGGGATCTGGGCCTGCCCGTCTTACGATTATTGGAGCTGAGACCATTTATTCACCAACTGCTTTGAGATCCTTTGCGGATACGCTTGTCTCTCTTCTGGAAGCGATGCCAGAAGGCGAAAAGACATCGTTAGTGGCTGCAAAGAAAGTATATTTTGGGGTGGGTGGATCTATCGAGGATTTTTACGACGCCGTGAGAGCAAAAGGTCTTTATGTGGAACAGATCAGGGAAGAATCCGATGGAGTGAGAAGGGCCGTGGTAGAGGTGAAACCCAAGCCGTAGCTCGTACCACTCATGGACATTCATGTGCAAAGATGATTGTGGAGTGTCCATGAACCGCGAGGGGGAATGCAAGCAGCACACAGCAAAAGTTCAAGTTCAACTCGGAGCTAAACTCAGGCTCGAAAGGCATTTCTCAGTGCCACGATAATTCGTTCTGGAATTGGTTTACTTGGACATCGAATACGAATTACAACATTCGCGTCCTCGCCATGGAATAGGAGTTTGAGTCATCAGCTCCTTAGCATATGGCTTGAGAGGTCTATTCGAAGCGCGCGCCTCTTTGCAAGGCCCTGACATAGCCCGGGGTTATCCCAGGAGACAGAATAAATCAGTGTATAGTGATCTCCTCATCATTTCGTTGGCAACTCTTTATTCGTCCTTGCCCATCTCCTCACTAATCCAAGGCCGCTAGCCACTGTGCCGGAACATGGCTGACAGAGGTGCAGTGATACACGATTGGAAACGATAGCCGTGCATGTATATGTGGGATTACGGGCTAATAGAGCGTGTCCGACTATCATTCATACTCCACGAGATTCGATTAGGGAATCATAGTAGACTCGTGACAGCCATAAACCAGTCAGCTATATCCAATACAATTGCTCCCATCCTCTTTTAAAATGGCCCTAACTCCTGTTTTCTAATTCTTCACTTCTTCCCACCCGATTTCTTCCAGTCACTCGCTCTCTTACTACTCCTTGTCTTCGGCTTGCCCTTATTCTTTCCCCCACCTTTACCAATCTTCAAGCGTGGCTTGCCAGCTTTGGCACTTGCTCTATAGCCCTCAAACACAATACTCTCAGGCGTCTTCGCAATACCTTCAATCTTACTCCCTCCTTCAAGTCCAGTCTTCTGCCCCTGCCCCCTCTTCCCGAGCTCCGTCATATTAGCGCCACTCCCCTCTTTCTTCTTTAACTGTGCAGCTCCAGCTTTACCTAAAAGTTTGCTGGCTCGGCCTTGGAGGGAGGCCGCTTCGGAGGAAAGCTTGGGATTATAGATACGTTCCTTATTGGCGTTTCGGGCTTTAGAGCCAGACCGCGCTGCTTGTGATGCGAGCGCCGTTTTACGAACTGCTTTTGCGCGGACGACGCGCAGAATGCGGGGTAGCATTGGCGGGTATTTCTTTCCGTTGAAAAGGAGTGCGGCTTCGACTGCATTCGGGTCCTATACATCACTATTTAGCATAATTCAAACAGAGAGGTAGAGCTATGACCGACATGAAATTGCACATAGGCAAAGCCCTTTCCAACCCTGGTCTTCTCGTCCCGTACAACTCGTACACTCTCTACTGTTCCTGCCTTACTGAATTGTCGCCATAAACCTTCTTCCACATCAGATGGTATCTTGGAGCGCTTGCGCTCATTCTCTCCGCCTTGGTCAAGCATGCTTTCGTCGTCCACAAATCCAAGATTGCCAACGAAGACGCAGCGGCGGTGGTCTGTCTTTGCTGGATGGGCTACTCCATCTACACGGAGATGGCGGTCGAGGACCATGGTGCCGTTCAATCGCTTGACTGCCTCTCTGGCTGCGAATGCGGATGAGTAGACGACATACGCGTTTGTGCTCTTTGTTGTGGCTGCCATAAGATCTTTTTTCACAAAAGCCGCCTTCTTGGGGAGAGAGGTTCCAGCGTAGGCTGTGGATCTAAAACGGATAGATTCGACTTTGTGGGCAGGCTTCCCTTCGGTTGCTTCAGGGATATCGGGGAAGAAGGAGGCCATGTGTGCTAGGAGAGTCTTTTTGGCCGATTTGGAGGATATTGCGAGGGTAGAGACGTTGGCCAGGAAGACTGTCCGCGAGGCCTTCTCGAGTTCAACCGCATCTTTGCTTGGCGCTAACGATTCGTGCATAGGAATGTCTGATGGAGCAGTCCTAGTATTTTCATCCGATTCATCATCGCCACTCGTATTTTCGTCTTCTGAAGCTTCTGCCATGTCTTCGTCGAGATTCTCCTCCTCTGACTTATCCGCATCTTGTTTCGCTGCTAACCTCTGGCGCTTTGATCGTCGCTCAGCTTGTCGTTCCTGCTCCTCTTTTTCTTCCTCTTTCGCCAATTGCTGCATGTATCGGCTCTCTAAATCTTCCTCATCCGCCTTCCTCTTGCGACTTCGTTCAGGTTTAATGGTAGATGCCTCAATCAGCTTGTCCAGATTGGGCTCCTCTTCGGCTTCATCTGACTCCTCCGATTCTTCAGGTTCATCTGATAGATCTTCAATATTTGCATCTTCAAGATCTTTGTCCACACTGCTCAAATCATCGTCGTCGGCCTCGGACCCAGCCTCTTCCTCGTCGGATTCTTCAGCGGAGTCTGCCTCGACATTGTTATTTTTAGGTGGAGGTGGCTGTTCATAACGGGATTTAGGAGGTGGTTGAACCGGTCCTGCCTATAGGAACATATTAGCTTTCATGTAATGTATTCTCTTCTCTTGAGGAGGACTTTACGCTCGAGGCAAAGAGCAGGGCTAGGGTTGGGTCAACAGCCTTGTCATCAACCAGAATTGAGCTTTTGACATCGCGAACCCCGTTGGACTGCTTCTCGACCGCCTCTGTTTCTTTATGACTTCGCTTCCCCATCGCGAATTATAGTTCGTGAGGAACAGAGGGCAATTCGTCGTTGTGGGGTGGTCGTGCTGAACCTGCAAAAAAATACAAGAAATAATGTCGGGGTTTATCGATACGAACCTCCGATGTGGACCTAGCGTCAAAGTCGGGAAGCGCGATCATGGGGGCTGTTGGACCGAAAGGACCAAAGGCAGTCTTGCCCAGCTCCGCTCTCATCACTCAGCAGAACCCTTCACAAGAGCGACATTCTTCAAATCGCAGGGCGAGCTGTTACCCGTGTATGTATCAGAGCTCATCTTTCACCTCCAATCGTCCACCATTCCTCCAAATCCCTCAGTCCACCACATTTCTACATTGGCGCTGATCGTCTCGCGAAGCAGTCAAAGGAATACCTCCAACGCGAGGTTATGTGAACACCACAGTATATCCAAGCAAGACTGGGCTAGGATATCCTCCAGCGAGCAATGAGCATCGATATGAACCAGGCGGCAGACGCCATTCTGCAAGCCGCCCGACAAGAAGCATCTTTGGACGAGTTGAGCGATGTGGACGGAGACGGCTCGAGCAGCTTGAGCGAGATTGAGTATCGAGAATCTCACCAAGATGAGGAGGCCGAAGCCTCAGATGATCACAGCAATGCGTCCGACAACGATAATGATTCCGAGGCGGAGACGGAAAGACTCGAAGAGTCTCCTAACAAAATTCGAACCCACAAGGACGTCGTCTTGAGCTCCCACAACGACGGCCAAGTCTACGAGCGGAGTCCAAGCAAGCTAAACAATCAAATATCGGCAGATGATGAAGACGGCGAAGAAGATGAAGCCCCATTGTCTGACGACGACATCTCCGTCCACGGGTCCCCTAAGAGCTCTGTTCACGATGACGCTGCCGAACCAACAACGGTCGCAACATCATTAGATGATTCCTCCGGCGAAAAGAAGAGGGCTCTATCGGTCACAGATTCTGATACTCGAAAGCGCAAACGATCTACAGGCGCAGCCAGTGTCTTGGACAACGATGCCGACGAACCTTTACGCAAGCGCACAGGGTCCGTGATGACGCCCGGCGATGACTATGCGATTGAAGACGAGGAACACCCCGAAGAAGAGGGCGATACATCCAATCCTACAAGCGGGAATATGTCTGGTGAGGAAGGCGGGGAACACGAAGACGAGGTGCCTGAAGAGCCCCAACCGCCTATTGTGGCCGAGGAAGAGGCCCCGGAGACGACTGAGATACCAACATCCCCCAAGAAGCGGGGCCGGAAGAAGAAGAAACCCGTTGAGAATGGAATCAGCAGCCACGACGAAGACCCAGAAGCTCGCCCTGAGGGTAATGCGGTATTAAATGGTGACGACGAAAACCCAGAAAATGAGGCGGAGGATGAGGCAGAGATTGCATTAAAGAATGAAGACGAACGTAGGTCACTCCCTTGCATTCAACTAGAGACGATGATGCTGACGACCTTGCAGTGGAAAGGAAGCGCATTGCGCTGGAACAGTTAGGGACAATCGAGCGACAGTTCGCAACCTTCAGAGACCGGTAAGTATTAGTATAGAGATTCAAGACCACCGCTGACCAAACGACAGACTATACGATGATCGCCTTGAGCAATTGAATCGTGAAGAGGCGATGCTTCGACAAGATAAACCCACACATCCTGAATACCTCGCAATGATGCAATGTATTGATGCTCGACGAGACGAGAGGATTCGAGTGAGCCAGAAGCTACGAGAATACGAACTACAAACCCTTAGGACATACGCAGTGGCAAGGAGGAGTCAGATTCTCGTACAATTTAAGCAAGACGTCCGAGCTATACGGGAAAAGAAGCTAGAACAACTGGGTAAACAATGGTACGAGATACAACATGACCGAAGGAGTTACGCCGGCAGCGTGCCAGACTATATCCTGAAGTTTCCGACACGGCGGTCACAGCAGGTTATGAACCAAGTTGCGTACAGTAATGAAGTCTCGATTCTTTCTGGCGTCGCAAAATATGTTGGATTTCCTGCTGCTCCGCCAATGGCCACTGCCACAGATGCAGAATTAGAAGAAGATCTACAAAAAATGGGGGTACGTTGTTGACCTCTCTCCACTCGAGCAGCAAGGTTAACTTTCTGGAAGCTAACTCGAGATCAGCGAGCGAAGCAGCCTCATACCATGCAGCCTGTAGGGTTGCCACTCCAAGAACTGGCCGCGCTACGTACAGCAGGATCGACATCCAGTTTTAAGCCGGCTGAAGAGCAATTCATTGAGCAGACACCATGGGCGAACCCTCAACATCCTTCACACGTGCATCTACTTCAACGGCAGACTTCAGGCCAACAAGCGTCCAGGACAACCAGCCCTCTTTCGCAGGTCCCTCAGCCGCGCCGGCAGTCACACCAGCATGGTCTAGGAGGACCGATTTCGGGAACCTTTTCAAGCTCTTCATCCTCATTGCAACATACGAATGGCCTCCCTTTCGGAGGCCAAGCGTCTGGTCGTGTATCCCCTCACAATCCGTTCTCAAATCCCGCTCACTCTCACACAATCGCCCCGTCGCCATTAGGCAGCCGCCAAACGTCATTGTCACCACAATTGAGCCGTCCGCAACCGACATTGCCAGATGATGGTCCCAAAAGTAATGGGATTCAGCATTCAACCCCAGCGGCAAGTTCTGGTTTCTTGGAAAGACCTCGTGATTTTCCACAGGAGGCTAGGCGAGAGCAGTCGTCTACCGTCTTGGGCCGATTTTGACCTTGTATCTATGATTATGACGGCGAATATGTTATTGGCGTTGAGTAATTGGCATTGGGCTCTGGATATGGAAGAGGTCTGTAGACATAACATAATCATGAATATCTTTGGCAGTGACTTGCATTTGCATCAAGAACTTGTACTGATGATAGATACAATTGATGTTTTGCCTCGATGATACCGAATTGGAGTGTCTTTGTGATCAAACGCCATGCATTCCCATTCACCTGTGCTTCTGTCGAAAAACTCCGGTCCAACGCTATCCTTGTTGTACAGATTCCCTCTTCGATTCCTTCTATATTTGCTTGCTCCCTTTTTCTCCCTTTGTTCATTTCCCTTGAGGTGATTGCGCCGGAGCATCGGGAACTTTAACGTCTTCGAACTCGTCTTGAGAAACGGCTTTGAGTGTGAAAACGTCTGGCAACCGTGTTAGTGAGACCTTGATAGAGGAACTTGAGACTTTTACTCACAGACTCCCATGCAAAAACCAAATATTCCTAATCCTGTTAAGGCATTTTTAACAAGATATGGCCTCCTCGCTCGAATGAGAGCTGCAGATTGTTTGTAATGCTTGTCATAATAGGAAGATCTAGGTATGCTGCAGAGCTTGTCAATATGTATGCCTAATAAACGGATAGTGATTCGAAGCTTACACTGCCATCTTGTTTCGCAATAGAGATTATTTTGTTTTAAAGTACTTCGACTCTTCGAGCGTGCCATTTTCGAGGTGGATACTCTAGTTGTTGATGCCTGAGGCCGAAACCTTATTTAAACCCCAAGCTGCGCGATGAAGTAGTAGTCGCGCGTGTACCACACCTCATGTAAAGAGCTGTTCTCAACCTTCTCACCTCGACGCTCGAGCAACAGTATGAACAGGTCATACAGCACTTCAATTCACCATCAGCGACCAAGTTAATGAGCAACAGTTCCTCACATGCAGCTCCCCTCCGACACCTCGTAGACCTGTGTCGCAGATACTGAAGAGTTTACCATGGCAGCTCCCGTCGCTCTATCAATCGCGGAACAAATAAAACAGTTGGATGATGCGCGAAGACTCGTCTTGAGTGATGCCAACTACTACCCTCAGATCATCCAAGGGATCCTCCCAATCATAAATCGCGAAGCCAGGATAGAACTGAAAAGATGGGTTGCGGATTTCCTTGCAGAGACTTTTGCGAGTCCTACGGTGCCATCGCAACAGAAGGAGACCTTGAGTCTGATTGTTTTGGAGACTTTGAAGTCTATGCTTGAGAACCCACACGAGGATAGTGCTGTCGTGAAGAGCGTTGTGCAGACTGCTGCGAGCATATACCCTTATGTGTTCAGATGGATGTACGTTGTCCCATGCTTCTAACACCTAGACGTGAATCCCTGCAGATGTTAGCACCATAGGACTTGATAGGATTCCTATACCTCTGATGGACATGGCTGGCTTGGTTAAGAGGATACTGGTGATCAGAATCTGACAAGCATGCGTAAACAGTGTCAACAACCCTTATGACGGACCAACCTGGGAACGAATGACTGCGATCAAATCGAGAATACTGCGCATATGGGACTCTGCTCCTACAGGTGTGCGAATATGCTGCATCAAATTCGCCCAGCGAGTAGTATTAGTCCAAACGGCAGGCCCTGATGCCGATCAAAGGGTATGGCCGATTTCTGATTGCTTCTGGTGCTCCAACTAATGACATGCTCAGCGAGGTAATCCGGTAGAAATCTCTCTGTCAATGGTGCCTCACAATCATCCTCTCATCCCACCTCGAAATCTTGAAGCCGAAGCATCAGGTCTGCTTGACAGAATGCTGGGAGTATTCCAAGAGAATGTCAGGTAAGTAGTACAGCCCCAATACGTTATAGCACTTGCTGATGATCACAGCGACGCGGTTTTGGTTAATGCTACTTTGAATTCTCTTTCCATTCTAATTCGAGCACGCCCCCGTATTTCGAATAAGATCCTGAATGTCATCCTAAACTTCAACCCCCTTAAGCAAGCCAATTCCCCTATGACACCGAAGCTTCGTGTTATGGTTAAATCTATGGAAAAGACCACAAGGTCATTGCTCATTCACATTAACAAGCGGTATGCCTATTGCCTGTACTCCCTTGCTACCGGTGTGCTAATAGATGTAGTGATCCCCAAAACCCCCTCGCCGGACGGATCCAGCAATATGTCGAGCGAATGATGAAGTCAAGAATGGAAATTTTCGATGAACCAAGTAGGAAGCGAGGACCCCCTGAACCTACCGATGGATTGGATCCTACAAAGAGACAGAAACTTGGTGCACAGGTCACAAATTCCGCTGCTAGTCGATTATATGTTCCTCCTTTGACTCCAGGGCCTCACACTATTGCGGAACTGTTTACGATAACTACGGATGAAGCACTGAAAACTTTCGATGTTGCTCAATTATCAGAAGACCTAGTCCTCAAGATTGGCATCCCAATCCTACAAAGAATAGATTCGGATACACTTAACCAGGCGATTGAAGTAGGTGCCCAACACTCTCATTTGTGTATTAACTAACACCAGTCTAGGGCATACGAAATCGATATCAATCTCTGAACGCAGCTCAACCGGAAGAACTGAATCCCGAAACTGCTCCCTTAGGTGTTGAGGAGGATGACGACGATTACGAACCAGACTTTTACAGCGCGGAAGACACAGAGCAAATTCTAAACAAGCTTGACACTGCTCCACCAGAAGAGCCAGAGGTCAGAGCACCCGATATGGCTCTTGGAACGTTTACATTGTCGCCTCCACCACCATTAACTCCAGATCAGGCAGCCCAGATTGGTCAAGGAACAGTCTCTCGTGTTTTTGGAGTGATGCAGACCCTAGAAGAACCAGGAAAGAAGACAAAAGCAGGCATGAACAGACTAGCGGCTAGTGCATACGACCGAGATGCTTGGATCACCATTATTACTCGACTTGCAACTCGCGCAGCGGCTGGATTAGAAGAGCCATCCGATGCCATCAAAGCGGAACCCGAAACATCTTCTCCGTTGTCCCTCTTCAATAATATCCGCGAGTCCTTATACATGTACGTGGTAGAAGATTTCCGCAAACGAATCGACATTGCGGTTGCTTGGCTGTGTGAAGAATGGTATAATGATAGGATCCAAATGAAGCTAGGGGGAGAGGCTGTTCTCCATTACGAAAAATGGGTCCTCAAAGTCCTGGATGGAATTGTACCGTATCTAGATGCGAGGGACAAAGTGCTTACCAGATTTTTGAGCGAGATTCCCGGGCTTAGTTCAGCAGTTCTGGACAGGGTCAAGGGGTTGTGTCGAGATCCTGCGATGGTCAACTTGGCATTAACCAGTTTGCTGTATTTGGTTATGATGAGACCGCCAGTAAGGGAAATGGCGTTGGACGCCGTGGAGGACGTATGGGCTACTTGTATGATTCCCCAAATCTTTTCACAAAGCTACTGCTGACCAGACGGTGTAGATGATGATGCAAAACCAATAGCGGCCAAATACCTCTCAAAATGGCGACCAGGCTTTGCAGACCGGTTAAAGGCTCCCGAAGACGACACAAAGGATACGAATGATGTTACTGCCGCAGCATGAGGCTTCTTTCATGTTAGAGAGGGAAACATGATCTTTGGATGTAATTTAGCAACATGGATGTCACCGTAAAGCATGGGATGGCGTACAGGGAATCCGGTACCCGGTATGGGTTGAAAGCTACGGACATTTGTTCTTTATATGAATCGCAATGTGTACTAGTAGTGGTGATGGGCGGGTCTGAACTTCAGGGGTTTGTGATCGGGCTGGTCCGGTTGAAAAAATCACAATCCAAAGGATCGAGAATGTGGATCCCCTACCTTTGACTTCTATGCCATCTGTGATTGAAAGTGATTTTACTAAACTCAAGAGGTATTGCCTCATCGGCAGCCTTTGCAGAGTTCCTATAAAGTCGTACCTGAATATATCAAGAATTGACCGTTTTTCTTCCATAACTTACTGTACTATCTGCCTAGATTAGCGCTCATTCTACCTCCCTTCGGGACTACACGGGAAAAAATACACGTGTATCGAGGTATCCTTAATGTCCCTCCTGTCTTTATATACACATGACTACATAGTATCAGCTGGAGGTGGGGTAACGGGTTGGGCCGTTCCGTTGAAGAAATTCTGTGGAGCGTTTGACTACAAACTCTCCAGAATTCTATATTGCTCTTGTGAGACCCACAGGATGGTTGGTAATGGCACCTTGACTCAAAATATGCCAGTGAACTTTCGTAAAATCAGCCACCGATTACCGAGTAAATCTTGGAATAACTAGGTGATTAGCTGGCTAATGGTAGTACAGTACAATTTCTCTCGATTGTGCAGGCTCTCTTCGGGAAGAGAATAAACCAGCTTTCTGGCCTTGCTCCTATCTTTATTTCCATCAGTATGCGTTTCAGGAAGCATATGAAGAAACACACCACGAGCAGCTCTATGGCATGTCTGAATGATGGGCCCTGTAGGCACAGCCCTTCTTCTAACTTGCTTCAAATCTCATAGCAAAATAAATATGCACTTCATCCAATGCCGAGGATGTAAATAGTAGTATCCCACTATTCTTCCTTCAATCTGGTGGCTGTTGCGGAGCGCAGTCATTCATAAACTCGGCAAGCATATCGATATGGGCTCTTACACCTCCTTCTATCTCCTCTTTAACCTCTGGCTCTTCGGTTGACCAGTTATTAATCCCCCAAGTATCATCGTCCACCGGACCCTCATGATTTGCAATCCTCATTGGCCACTCCATCTTCGCCAACCACTCGATTGGCAACAATCCATATATCCCATTCACTTCCCTCTTTGCAACACCATGCAGCCACCACACATCATCCACTACTTTAGTCATAGCAAAATAACACGCAATTATCACTAACGCTCTAGGATCGTGCTGTCCGATCAACGTCACGAAGCGTCGGGAGACTGTAGCAGCGAAGCCAATAATGCGAGCACGCTCTGGTTTCTGGTGTGCCCAGTTGAGAAATGCAATAGCATGTTCATACCCCTGCTTTGTCTCCGCTCGTGTCCTCTCGGCTTCAGCCGCGAGCTGTTCGTCCATGCCTTCTAGAAGAGGTGAAAAGAACGTTTTATTGTCAGGATGGAGGTTCAGACGAAGTGGCGGCTGCGCACTAATGATTGGGTGTATCCGGTCGCTATTCCGCAGCCACTGCCAGCTGGCCATCACTACTGTCTTGACTCCTTGGAAGGAATGGAACCAGGCAAGTGGTAAGGCGTATTCGCCATCCGAATCATCGAAGCGGCGAGAGGCAGAGGATTGGAAAGCTATGAGGGCGGCTGTGGTGAAAAGAGCTTCAGCATTGTATTCGGAAACACCATTTCTTAGCAGAGACGAGTACTGGGCTAAGGCCGAAGCCATGTAGCCGTGTGAAGCTCGGATAAGGGTTTGGTCATTGGGATGAAGAGCTCTAAGGTGCAGGGCTGATACAGCAAGGATCGCATCCATGAGATATTGTGCATCATATGCTATTGTTGGAACACTGAGCTGCCATGCTTCCTTCTGGGCTTGCTGGTCTGAAAACGTGTTTGCGGTTGATACCGTGTAGTGATGCATGAGCTTGAGCTCAAGAGAACGAGAGGCTGCGGGATTAAGGCTTGCCCTCACGGGGTCAATTGGAGTCCGGTAGAATGAGACCACTGCCGAATTCGAGCCAGGAGAAGAGGCAGAGATACTGGGAGTCTCGGTCGAGTACCGTCCGTTTCGAAGCGGATTCGAGGAAGGGTTCGGAGTCGAGGGTGCGAACCCAGAATCTTGGAAATCACAAGATACGCCATGCTTAGAGCAGTTCCCGCATATTGGATGAAGCTCGTCGCACTGAAGAAACATAAGACTGGGGAAGAGGCACAGAATACGAGGCGCTGACCTTGATTTTGCGGGTCTTACATCTTTTGCAGCCAGCCTTGGACTTCTTGTGAGACCTCCTTGGTGGCATTTCACGGTCGAGGGACGGGATACGTCTGTGGCCAAAGAGGACTGCGCATCATGATACAATTGGAGCTCAGCTGGTTAAGGATTCCCTCGCTGTCCGACGCGGAAGCCTTGGAGAGAAGAGCGGGCGCTGCTTAGTTAGCGAGGTTCTGCACGGAGTAGATCCCACATGGGCCTCGGATGTCAAGCGCAGTGGAGCTTTTGTACTCCATTCCCCGGCCCGCCACGTCGAGAAGAGCTTGCAAGTTGCAATGTAAGGTACAAGAATATCAAAGGACTGGTGTTTCTGATATCCAACATGCGCCTGTCCGCATCGGGGTTGGCACACCGTGAACCCTATAAGAGCCTCAACAGAACAAAGCCGCTGCCAACCGCTTGCGTGCTCTGCCCCCAGGCTAAAGAGGGTTTAGTCCAGCCTTATCAATCACCGATTCACCATCCAGAAATCCTGAATTCAGTTCCCTTTACATCTCCTTCAAATCCCTTGGAAATTTTCATTATTGCGGAATACTTTTCTTCGTCCTTGCCACTGATCACATCACATCACGTTATCTCAACCTAGGTATATATATATTTACTTATTAACTCGCTCAAGGGAAATCTAATCCTCTTGTCTCCAAAGCTACCCCGCATCACCCCGGCTCCTCAAGATGACCTTCACCGACCATCCAATTGAGACCCCACCTCGCGCTCCCTCTCCAGTACAGCGCTTTGGAACTCTGGCCGTTCATGCTGGGTCCCCCCACGATCCTGTCACCGGGGCAGTAATCGAGCCCATCTCCCTCTCCACGACATTCGCACAGAACGGCGTCGGGAAACCGGTGGGCGCCTATGAATACAGTCGTTCCTCGAATCCCAATCGAACAAACTTTGAGGCAGCCGTTGCAGCTCTAGAGCACGCAAAATATGCCCTAGCCTTTGCATCCGGAAGCGCAACTACTGCGGTGGTCTTGCAGAGTCTGGCGGCAGGCTCCCACATTATTTCGGTATCTGACGTCTATGGAGGAACGCATAGATACTTTACACAAGTCGCGAAGGCACACGGGGTGAGGGTGACTTTCACGCCGGAGATCGAAGTGGATATTCGGGAGCACATTACGCCAGAGACAAAGCTGGTGTGGATCGAATCGCCTTCCAACCCTACTCTTCGGCTCGTGGATATAAGAGCAGTGGCTTCTCAAGCTCATGAATATGGCATCATGGTTGTCGTCGACAATACATTCCTCAGCCCATATGTCCAGAACCCGCTTGATCATGGCGCAGATATTGTGGTTCATTCGGTGACGAAATATATCAATGGCCATTCGGATGTGGTGATGGGTGTTGCTGCTTTCAACTCGGATGCTATGAAGGAGAGATTGGGCTTCTTGCAGAATGCGATTGGAGCTATCCCATCTGCGTTTGATAGTTGGCTTGCACATCGAGGACTGAAAACGCTGCATTTAAGAGCAAGGGAGGCCACGATCAACGCTACGCTTATTGCACACACGCTGGAAGCTTCTCCGCATGTCATTGCAGTCAACTACCCGGGGCTGGACTCGCACCCTCATCGGGCCATTGCTAAAAAGCAACACCGTGATGGTATGGGCGGAGGAATGCTCTCGTTTAGAATCAAGGGGGGATCAGCAGCAGCTGAGCGATTCTGCCAAGCGACCAATATCTTCACATTAGCAGAAAGTCTCGGAGGAGTAGAAAGTCTAGTTGAAGTTCCTGGTAGCATGACGCATGCAGGGATTCCAAAGGAGCAGAGGGAGGCGGTCGGTGTATTTGATGATCTAGTGCGGATTAGTTGCGGGGTTGAGGATGCTGAAGATTTGAAAGCAGATGTTTTGCAAGCGTTAGAGAAGGCAGTTGTTTGGCCAAAGATCTCGAATATCTCGAATGGCCTTTAACCCCCCCCACTCAGCATTTGTCGAGTAGAAGTTTGGGATAACAATGGCGTTTGGTGTTTAGAGATTTCTTTGGCTTACTGGTGCATACTGGGACAGAGCTTGCTGTCGGATACATTGCAAGACAGCGAGAAAATCGGAATAGAGTCCGTTCAGTTGGATTGCAGCATCGTTCAGATTGGAATCACACTGATCGGGTACCGGGTGACCTATCAAGCGCAAGGAGGTAGCCGTTGTATGTCGGGAGAGTGATATTCTGACGGCTGTCATGATTTCGGTTGCTCAACTCCGTAATTTGCAATGCGCAACAAGGATGCGTTTAAACAGCGTTGAAGTTTTCTTTAAGTTGCCGAAAAGTTTCGCGTTAGTAGTGCTATGTATTAGAGTTCTCGAGGAATGATAGAAATCATGTCGTATGCGTCACTCGATTTTCGTTTATTTTGGTAGAGGAGATTGGACTCGAGGAAGAGGTTTATTTGGGTATGCTTCTAAACCGAGGTATCTCGCGGAGGTTGGTCCCTATAAGAAAACGATGTAGAACTTGAAGTCTCCTGATATTCGACATCACTTGTTTCGTTAAGATGAGTACCGGTATCTTTGATATTCCTTCAGTCGAACATTCCTTTTCAATCGAATCAACCTCCAGGATCAGAGCAGCATGGGTTGCACATATGTCTCTTTCCCGCACCAATATGGATTGATGATCTTCTCTGGGTCTACACTCCGTGGTTGTTCCGTCAAACGAAACACAAATGTCAAAGCACGAAATGCCCTTAGGAAACTTTGTTTGACTCGAGGCATACCTTGGATCGATCCTATTCGCCTGGGTGACGGACATGAAATTGATCGACCAATATGTGTCAACCCATCCATTCGTGCTAACTTCTCTCACGCATTACCTCTTCTATCACCACAGACCTCAAACACATTCGATGCTTCACAATATCTTCCTACGACGGCTGAAAAGTTAGTTAAATCTACCCTTGTGGGAGCCAATTCATTGAAACCATTCCACTTCGGCGGTAGCTGTGAATGACATGATTGGGCCAGCACAGTACTTCCTACAGAGAGTACATTTCTCCCGAGGTGAGATGATCCCTACCAGACGCCCCATCTGTGGGAGACGGAAAGATATGGAGACCGGGGTATTGTGATGATAGCCTGAAGTGGAGAGCTGGAGAGGTCTATCACCTGGGGCTGATATATAACCCAAAGGTATTTGATTGGAGCAATACTAACAACTATTGGGGTTGTGGTAGGGGCCTGGGGTTAGATGGAGCTGGAATAGATGCAGACGCGTCGAGATAGGGATTTTATAATCTGTTCTGATATAGCAGAAGTTAATGTCGTGCTGCAACCACCTTCTCATCACTACGGAGCAGATATTTCTAGCATTGACATCGGAAGCTGTGATATTTTAAATAAAAATCAGATAGATGGCAATCTGGGAGCAATGAACCGTGACTGGAAGAAAGTTCTCTAAGTTTCCACACGGGGTAGGCCTCTTCTTGTAATTAGACATCGACCCAGCTATTCTCAAACTCTCTGCGAGCTTTCCTCAATAGTAGAGCGTCTTTCGAACCAAAACATACTGAAAGTTGTCGGGCTTGTTCCAATCCAATTACAATGCGAGACCTGCGAGCTAATGAACTCACATATCGAACAATAGTGAGAGGCGCTTATTGTAAAAGCGAAGCCAACCACAGGCCTGTACCCGAAACGCGTCGCGATCCTCGAGGACCTTGCCCTGCGGAGCCCACGACTCCAATATCTCCGCTGCAACTATTGGAACTAGGCGATCTCCAAGGATCTTTGCCATCCGGATCTTGGGGCTTCGCGCCCTGGCCATGAAGATCAAACGTTGAAGAATCCCAAGAGATCCCCATCATGACGCCACACAGACGCGGGAACCAGTCCTCCCCTTGCGTCAAGTGCGGCCTTGGATCATGCAGGTAGATTTGGCAGCTGGAACATGGCAGCTGGCGTTTAGACACGAGGGCGACGAGGGTCGAGCAGCGCGGCAGTCCAGTCCAAACCAGGACGGATCTGGGTACAGTGGATGGGAGCGGGAGCCTTTCTTAGCCTCCACTATTGGCAATGGCTGCCCCGTCAGCGGCGCGGGCCCGATTGATGTCAGTCAATACGGACTCGAGGTTTATATTATTATACCTTCAACTCTCACAAATCCTTCAGTAGTAGAATCGTTGCTTTGTATACTGTGTACTTGCTGCTCTCCAACAATCATCCGGCGACGTTGTTACAGACAGGCTGGGTTCAGCAGATACATGATCACAGACACCCAAGTAGTGGAGATCGCCCCCGGATATCTACAGGGTACCCGTTGGGAGTGGGCATAAGCGATGGCCCATCGACAGTCACGACGTCCTCCGCACGGTTCATGGTTCCAACGCGACAAAAGAAAGATACGAATACATACCGATGCTGGTGGTAAGAAATATGTCTTCTTTGTCACAGCCAGGCCTCCTGCTGCTGGTGGATTCATGCATGCGGGCCAAGGTAGCCCCAAACAAACCAACAACCACGGCCAAACTTGAAACTTCCTAAATTCCCAAGCCATACACACGACTGACAAATGGATTCAGAGAGCGAAAACCAAAGGCCTGTAACGGGCATCGATGACAACAATAGTGCTGCAACCAGTGCACCTCCCGGAACCCTCACCCCCATCTCCCTCAGCGCGATGAATAAATTGAACAGCACCACCCCCTTACACGATATCAAAACCTCGAATGGCACAGTACAATCCGTTTCAGCCGAATCTACACACCTTGACGCCACATATACTGAAGATGCGCGTCGGGCTCAGAGCAAGGGAGACTCATTAGCAATGCCCCATTCAACGGGCAGGGAATCCAAAAACTTTGGTGCCATGTCTCCTCTGACGAGACAAAACTCTATAGGGAACGGCCTCACACGGGCAATATCCTCGGAATTCGGGCCCACAAGGGCATATTCGACGACGAACAATCTGCACTCTCCGGAAGAGGGAAGCATAATTAGCAACGGGACACCACCACCGCAGTGGAGTGCCGCAGTAGGGAAGGCGAACCTAGGGAAATCGGGTCGCGTCATAGAGCGGCTGATGGGGGAAAACGACATGCTGAAACGCGACCTGAATATAGAACGCCTGCGGGCAGAAGAGTCGAACCAAGCGGTGAAGATGGCGGAGGGGAAGATGGAAGCTTTGACTGCGGAGTACGAGTCGCGATTACATGATGCGGCCATCACAAAGACATTGTTGAAGAGGAGGGAACGGCAGGTTGCGGATTATAAGGCCCAAATCGAAGCGGAGAGACAGAAGGCGAACGCGGCAATCGAAAGGGAACGCGTTTGGAGGCAGGCCATGGAAACGTTAGAGGAGGAGAGTAAACAGAAAGTGGAGGAAGCACAACTGTTCGCTGCGTTGATGGAGGGGAGGAACAACACCATGACGAATCACTGGAAGGAGCAACGTGCGGAGGTCAACAGGAGCGTTGTGAAACTGGGCAAGGAGATCGAGTTGTTGGTTCGAGAGAGGAGGAACGACGATGAGAGGATGAATATGCTGCAGTCACTGTGCGAGCAGCAAGCGGAGCAGATGAGAGCACTAGAGAAGGAGAAAGATAACATCAATGCGGCATTCGAGGCGTACAAGAAGGAGCAAGAAGCTCTATTGAAGGACATCAAGCAGAAGGCTACGGCTCGGGAAAGTGAAAACGAAGAGACCCTGGCAGAATCGCGGAGGGTCTTGGGAGAGTTGAGGTGGGCTTTGGGAGTGAAGAAGAACGTGAGAGACGCTCAGTAACGGGGTTCCTTGATGGCTCCTCGGAAGGATATAATTCGAGGCCAACGGCCGTGGAATATAATGGTACATGCTTGTACATTGGATGTACAACGGATGGCAAAAACGGGGAATCCAACTGATGACGCTCAAGCCGAGCCTTTTCTTTTCTTTCTTTCTTTCTTACGATACCAAAGACTGCATTGGGAATCTGGACAGGATAGGCATTCGCTGCAGCATTTTTCGATGCATCATGGTTTGGTGTCTTGGAGTTCGTTTCTCATGAATGGAGGCAAATAGAGCTTCTGATGACCTAGATAATTTTGAAGTCTGCCCCGACAATCGGCAACTTCTTGTATAATAATTGTAGTAGAGAATAGAATATTATTCTATATACGGGGTCATCGAGAATAAAAGGAAGTTGGCGTTCAACCTTCTGAATTTGAACGTAAATATTCCAAGCTCTGAAGTTTGGATTCCCTAGGGCTAGGTATGTACTCCGTACATATCTGTGAAGGGAGCTCGCTTGGGCAGACCCTGACTCAAGGTTAGAGATCGCTCCTTGGCTTGTCAGATTGACGTCGATAATAATTTGCTTATCACTGTAAGATGCAGATCGAAATGTGGCAGATGCAAATCCAAATTCAGGTACCAAAGTCGTTTTATTCTTTATAGACGGTGTGCAGTCAGATGGAGGAGAAGTCGGATGCATTTGGTATCGTGTCGAGCAGGAGGAGACAATCATATCACGACTCTTATCAGAGCTAAACATAACAAATGATTTCGCTTAGTAGTCTCAAAACAATTTCTGATATTTTTCGTGTCATTTACTTCGTAACAATCTTCGTCAACAACACTTGCTGGTGTTGCTGTGACGAAGGTAGACCAGCCAGAGCATCAGATCAGCTTGACTATCAAAAGACAGACAAGAATTGAAAATGTTTTGGATGGATAATGAACTACATGTTGGGACCCATTGAAATAGATCCAATGATTGTTATGTTGTCGTGGCCAAGGGCAAACCTCATTCCGCATACAGCTCCTGAGCACGTGATAGTATCATGTGATCATGGATGCTAGCATCAGATTCTGCAAGTGCCCGAAGAATCCTGTATTCTTTGAAGATCAACCTTACAATGAGAAATTGATCTTTGACATACTCCTTCCTGTTATGCGACCAAGAAACTTACTGCACCTGATTTTATCACAACCTGATTTTATAGGGGCTCGCTAATTCACTTTCCCCTTCTAAAGGGTTAGCGAACATTCAATCTGAGGACTGCTCCAGTAACCTGTCTTCCAACCTTACCCTACCCACAACACCACCTCTCTTTTTCTGCCTCTTTTATTCTACCAAGTCTCTCTCAAGACATCATCAGTGTTTTGGCTCTGTGCAGCCTCTCATTGCATTGGTGATTCAGCAATCCTCTCATACTTTCCCTGGGTACTCCGCAATCTCTTGTTGACCAGTCCCTTGACACGAATTACACGTCAAACCCCCAAACAAAGACATCCAACAAGATACATCTACACTGGTGTCACAATCCTGTCCCACAGGAGCAATCAATGAGAACAGTCTAATCGTCCCCGCTCTTAGACCGTTCATCAAACACATATTTCATAACGGCACCACCTGCCAAGGTCTTCTTCTGGAGGGGAGCTGTAGGTTTTTGACATATTCTATGTCCACACGTTCCTTACTCCTCTTTTAAGATGATTTGATCTACAAGGTAGTGCTATTCCATAGAGCCTACTCTAGACCTGTGTCCCACAACCCGAATTCCCAAAAAGCAGAGGGGACTACCGATTTTTTTTTTAGTCTCGAGGCAACGAGGTATAAACAAACAAAACCAACATTGTCACGAAACTAACAAAATAAGATATTTATTGTCCAAGCCACAGCTTTCTTCCACCTTTAACCACAACCTTAGCGGAGGAAGACGCCCTGCTCTCTCGTCAACTTCTCCAGGTACGCTGCCTTTCTCAGATATGAGGCTATCTGTTGGCTATGAAGTGCAGGAGTGCTAATGGATTGAGGATACTAAAGTCTAGATATTCGAGTCCAAGAGGCAGCAACCATCATGGCCTCAGCAAGCTTGGGCGGCTATGGCCAGAGCCAGGCCCAATCTTCTTTATATCGCCATTCCCAACAACCAACAATAAAATCCACTTTAACAGCTATGACTTACATACCCGGCAAAGATAAGCAGTTGACCTTTGCCAGCGAGTGGGTTTTCAAACCCGAGGGTATCAAAGCTGTTAAGATTAGATTTGAGGAGATGATGAAGAAGAATGACTTGGTAGGTTTGCGATGCTTTTTGCTTAATCTCCTGTTTCTACTGAATAACATCGTTTCTTTATTTTTCCTTGCTTCGTTGAAATCAAGACAAACATTACGCTGACTTCATTGATTCCAGTTTGCAAATCACGAATGGGACCGAGAAGAAAATGTCTTCCGTGTTCGATGCCTTGTGGATGACACGCCTAAAGTCTCTTCAATTTTCTATCAGATCCTGTCCGATATTATCCACCAGTCACACGGCGAGGATTATTTGAGCGACGAGGATGACAATAGCGAGGTGATGGTGGAGAATTCAGACGGTGAAGAAGAACCAGTAGGACATACCAAGGAACCCTGCTCCCGGGATGCTAATATTATCATAGTTCACGAGCGATAAGATTGAACGCCTTTCAGTGTGGAAGAAACGAAACAGTGTTGGATCACCGCAACCGGAACTTGACCTAGGTTGCCCCTTCAAGATCAAACACTATGAGGCATTCCTTATTTGGTCATTTCAGGAAATTAATCGTTCTTTGGATAATGTTGTATCCGACGGAACTCTCGAAATTCTTAAGGAATCGACGGGCTGCGACTTTATCAAGAATCTCAACGAACAAAAGATCTATATTGGGCATTCTTCGATGGACAAGTGTCAACTTGCTATCACCAAGCTTGACAATATTAGAAAATACTCAGCAAGTATTACCTAATCCCTCTTTGTACAGACTCTAACTACATATAGGAGCCTAGACAACCCTACATCAACCACATCTTCTATACAGAGGATCTCGAAAACTATCGACTTAGACTGAGCCGTTTCATTGATAGTAGGATGAGATTCATGGAGACCACGCTTTTTACTTCCTCCCAGAAGGCACAGAAAATCGATTATTATCCTCCAGCCAATGCCCTCACAGTTAGATGTGCCGGTTGGGATTGGGTGAAAGGAAGATACGTGCCTTTGAAGGTCAAAATTATTCCTGCAACTCAGTACTCCGATCTGGACTCAGGACGTGAAGAGTTCATCAACTTTATGTATCGTGGAAAAGGAAGTCTTGATGATGATCCAATGAGACACATCCGGAATGCCCATAAACAGCGAAATCGAGGCAGCGAGAGTAACGAGATGGCAGAAGCACAGGCGGCAGCGGTACATATCGAGGAGGCTCAACTGGCCAGAATTGAAGGCTGGGCCCAGCAAATTCCTCCGACGACTTCAAGCAAACCCCTTCGGGATATGGCCGAAGAGCTCGTTAAATCAAGGGCAAAAAATCCTGCAGTCGAAAAAGCCCATGAAATTGGTGAGTAAAGACACTCAACTATCATAAAACATCATCTTGTTCATATCTGGAACCCAAATTTGCTGACCCTAGGCAGGAGCCCAAGACCAAAAGCCATCTTGGGATATCTACGTTCCCTTCCAGTCGAAGAAGACCAAGGAGAATTCCCCTGTTCCTACCGTTGCTGCTTCCAGTGTAGTTTCCACCGTCGCAACGCCAACTATGACTCTCCCGGTTTCTAGACTACAAAGCACGAACGCCGAAGCTGCTATTGCCCCTCACGGACTCATCGGAAAATACCAAGGCTCAGGCTCAAATGCAGCCCAGGAAGGTCAATCCAAGAGCCCCCTCAATTTGCCTCATCATTCCCGTAGCAAACAACAAGACACGAACTCGTACTTTAAAGCTCCTAAGACTGTCTTTGAGTCTGCTCGGCCGTCTTTGCTCGATGCTGTTATGCCTAACTTGGGCTTTCCTAGTCTTCAGCCTTTGAGAACCTCCTCGCAATCATCTTTGACATCAGAACTCCCACTGTCCCCAGCGTCCGGTTCAGGTTCAACAGAGTATCCCAGCTCTATGGCTCGGAGCTCTAGTCGCACCCAATACCCTCAATTAACACATCAATCTAGAGCTGAAATGCTACAGGGAACTTCCGAGCCATCAACCAGAAATTTTCATACGACTATGAATCAAAAGGCGCCAAAGCCGAACCAGAAAGGCCAAAAGATCGGACAATTTGCTGATAGACTTGGACTACCGGCCCTGCCACCTCCTGCAACTCTCCAGTCCCAAGCTTCCAAGCAACCCCCGGTCATTGACCCCATACCAGAATTCCTCGCACAAATAAACGACAGCTTTGAAGAATTGATGAAGGGTGTTCAAGGATTCCCAGGTGAAGTTGTAGTTCACGCCGAATTGGGTCGGATTTTGTTGAGCGGCATTCCTCCTAAGTTTGTCGCATCAGAGGACAATTTGGAAGGCTATTCTCCAAACGATCTGTCGGGCTTATTGCTATCAAACCCCGAGAGAGCAGGAAACCCAAGCACGACATACTTTACGAATGTCCTCACAAGATTACCAGCTGACATCAAATACCTCGCTGATATGAAGAATGATGCCGGTCAACTTATGTGGGAGCAAATTCCTTCAGCTCGATCGGTTATATACGAGATCTCTTGTTATAATAACAAACTTCCCGGTTGGAATCCCTTCACTATCGAGATTGACGAAGCAACCTTTCGTGCGAGAGTTAAGACCAAATATCAGTTTGGCACAATAAACGTACACGGTACTCGAAGACATTGGGATTTTCGTATCGCGGCTTTTGGTTTTGGTGACGACAATATTAATGAACAGCTGTATGGGGAATTTGCCAATGCAATTCAGAGCTCTTTGTACATCCCGTAAGTTTGATTCAATTTCCCCTAAAGCTAGTTGCTAACAGTCCTCAGTCCAAGATTGACCAGACCCGCTCTATACTTTGAGTTGGACAATTCTTTCAATGTGGATTCAAAGCTGGCAGTGGGTAATATACTCGTTCATCATGTTTCAAAATATAGAAGCACGGATCGCGGAGCAACATCGATGTTGAACGTGTCAGAGATTATAGATCTCAACGTTGAATGCACAGATCCCTACCCCGGCGCAAAATTCAAGGTATTCAAAGCCGAAGCACCAAAGAGTCAGAGCGTACCTGGCGATCCCGACGTCTGGTATGAGGCGAGCATCTCCAGCACCAAGGCCGACGAACAATTCAAGCAGAACTCCACCCTGAAGTTAGGAGATGAGGCCGAGTGGACCCCAAAGAGCTTGTCACAGCTCGATGCTGCTCAAGCAATGTGTCTTCCAGCTTGCCAAATGCTGAAGCGGATGGATGGAGTTGGATTCCACAATGATAATGGAATCAAGATTCCTGCCCGTTCTAGTACATCCGAGACGAGCTATAGGACAGGCACAAAGTCATACTACTACTGGTGATACGACAATTCGATATTCGCGAGCTTGAGGAATATTGGAAGCCTGGGCGAAAACTTGAACCTGGCCTGGGTGTGATTGGCTTGTTACCAATCATATCCACATTCGTTATTGACAAAGGAAATGTTGGAGATACCAAAAGCGAGCTTGCTACTGCAAGATTAGAGCCACGCCTCCATCTGGCCATTTCTTCTGATTTCCAGAGGATGATTGTTGGTGTTGGACAACTCCTCTCTTTCTTTTCTTAAATCTGCAAAATTCCTGCGCGTTCTTCAGCAATTGTGGCAGACAAAGATACCCTTTTCTTCTGCCATCATGTTCTACCATGATACGGACAGCTTCTGCTCTTTTTATACTTTCTCTGTGGTTTACGTTTCTGGGAGATGATGGCAGTTTGGTTTTGCAGTTTGATAGATATTGTACTTCAGAGGTTAGTGTAGTATTAATTGTGGATTAATTACTTTCTTTCTTTACTTTGGGGATAAAATCCCACGAGCACATCTGTCTGTCCTTCACGCCTTGAACTGTGATTGTCGTAAGATTACGGAGGTAGTCTGACATAAATGTTCACGTCTCGAAACTTCTGCGCGGAGCTTTTCATTCGGTACGCTGCGCTGTCTCATTCAACTATGCTATCCTTTCTGATCCTTCTTGATGAGCTAAATCCGTCAACTAGGACCCAATCCACCGCCTGATGGCCTCTCCGTTCGCGAGCTCAGTCTACAAGCCATCTTCGACACTATGGCTGCTCCCCAGTCTGGACTTACCTCCCAACTTCCAAATCACTAGTGAATTTGCCTAACAGCATCCTGGCGTCTTGGAAGTTGACTCCTAGGTTCCTAGCCCTACCTGCACCGCCAAGGCGGGGACACGGCGCGTTTCAAACGGGTCCCGAACGCGCCGCGCCTCTTGGAAGCATACGGATGCATGGGCATGATATGAACACCTCTGCATAGCCGGATAGCTATGCCAAACTATATCCAGGAATACGTGGAGGAGGATAGACTTTTGGATGAGGAGAGTTTGGAGAGATGCAGCGTTTCTATTCGGGGTTGAAGAGCTGCAACAAGCCTGTTATCAGTGTTATGTGACTATGTCGCGCCTTGAGGACCTTGAGGCTAGCAGGAAGGGAAAGGCGTGTGAAACATGCTTATGGAGTGTTGTTTGGTTGATTTACGACGGGATGCTTTGCGTCGGGACAATGAGTCGTGAGGCTTTTCCGTCGGTCCCGCCGCAAGCGACGAGCGACGAGCGACCTTCCGACCTTCCGAATAACCTCTCAGCATCTGCGGCTTGCCGAACTAGCCGAACCAGAAGTATAAGATTACGGGAGCAAGAAGTTAGAATAACGTCGTATCGACATCCTTGTCCTTCCTTGCCCTGCCTTGCCGAGGACATGCGGCCAGAGCCGCGGCTATGGTCTCCTGTGTCGCTCATGCTCTTCTTCGGGCTTCCGCAATCGTCAACGCCTCTCCAGAGCGTCGTCGTCGCATAACGAATCCCAGAGTCCAGTATCCATGAGAGTGGAACGTCTTCCTACAGGCCAAAGCCTACCGGGGTGAATGCACATCAGGGGCTTATGGGAAGGGCAGCAGGTTGCTAGCAAAAGACATGAACAGGCAATAATGCGCTCAATGCTCCTCAACCTTTGCAGATACGCCTCGCTGGTATCTTGCGAGAGTCCGAGAGCCCGTGTCGGCATCGGGTGAAGAACAAGAACAAGACCAGCGTCCAACTGTTGGATATGCACTGTGCCTCACTTGATAAGGCATTCTCCTAAAGTACGGATCGGATCAAGTGATCCCGCATCAGCCTTGAAGGACAGAAGAAATCCTGTAAGCGTAGGTCACTTTCTGGGTGGGGTCTTGTCAATGAACAGACATACATTATTATCTAATGATGTATAGTCTAAAAGAAGCCTGCCAGAGCAACAACTCGACTAAGTCCAGCATTATTAGTCGCGGAGTAGGTCTTCCCTTCCTACTTCTTTGAATATCAGCTCGAATTGTTAGTCTCCGGCGGGGTGTTTGACCACCTTCTGCATTGAACGATCCCAGATCACACTGGGGTTGGCCTTCACACAATCTTCCTATGTATGTATATTAGGGGGTTGGAATGCAGCTATGATCGATTTATCCTTGCTGAAGATGCAGGTACCCCTGCACGTGGGAACAGGTACCATATTGACTTCCCTTCAACCACTGGAGAACTACCCAGTAATGTAGGAAGTATGCGAACTGTACCAAGAATAGCGAGGCTGAGAGCTCAAGCCCTGAGGGCGGATGAACTTCACAAACAAGGGATTGCATCCAGACTCAAACTTCGAATGCTACTTTCTGTATTCTTCCTTGCGACCAACATCGCGGGGGATATTCATTTCATGATTGGGCACAGCCTGGCGAAATCGAGCCACGTACGGGCCGCGCTTGCCGCCATTCAAGTATGCCGTACGTCGGCATAGTATGAAGTTACTTGGGGCAGGTGAAGGACGGCAAAGATAAGTCAATCAGCCTGAAAACATATGGATTATAAGATACAAGGCTTTACTCCTTTCATAGAGTGAGAGAGCATCTTTTGACACACCCACCGGCAAGCGTAACGTCAAGTCCTGATTCCTGATTCCTGTGTATAAACCAACTGCAAAGTCTCCAAAAGCTCCAACTTGCCCACGGCCGTGCATCTGGAAAACAACTATCAAATGCTACAATGTCCGAGCCCATAGCTTCTTCATCGTCTATGCCAGCAGCAACGAGGACTCCGGTCCGTTCAACTTCAAGTTCATTGCCAACGTATTCTTCTCCTACTATAGATCCCCCAAGCTCGATAGACGATAGTCTCTCTGATGTGGAAAGCTCGACACCAATACACAATGATTCCTCTACGACTTCACTGGAAGAGGAACCCTCGGATCTTCCAAAAAGCCCACGGCTTACGCCCAAACTTGATAATTCCAAGTCGTCTCAGAAGACTGTCGCTCCCGTTTTGAAGAATTCCCAGACAAGGAAGACAACACCAAAGAGAAAGGCAACACCAAAGGATAAAGGAGTTGTTTCTTCACTCAAAAAGGAAATACACAGCGAGGAGAAACGGCCCCTTGAAAGAACCCGTCGCTCTGAGAGGATCCGAGCTCGTAGTGTGGGTCTAGACAGCCCTACCTTCAATCGTTCGTTATTTGTCCCAAGAGGTAATCCGTCACCATTGCTGGCCCTGCGGCAGCCACTGGGGAAGGAGGAGGCAGGGCAGGATATAGGCCACCTACACGGGCTATCAGGACAATATGAGTCTCAGAATTCTACGTCAGATACCGAGATTGGAGTGGAAGCTCAAGCTGCTGAACAGGACCTCTCTGCAATCGCCCCTGAACAAGATGGTGCTCAGTTAGAGATTCCTTCGCGCCCGGGTACTCCAAGTGATCATGAGCAAGGAGAAGCGGAAAGTAAATCAGAAGCAGAAGCACAAGAAGACGACGACGAGGAGGACGAGGAGGACGAGGAGGAAGGAGAACAAACCAAAGCAGGAAATATATCAACTCCGAGCAACAAATCTGGGCGACCCCGATTTCGCCCTTACTCGGCACGGAAAGACGACCCCTCGAAGATTGAACTCAAGCCAAAGCTCGATATCAACAGCCTTATATACAACTTTATTATAAAGGACCATACAGTCCCTGAAGAAGCTGGTTGGGTCTATATTCTCCAAGGGCCGGAATATACTGCCGGGCACGTCAAGATCGGCATGACCAAAACCACCCCCAATACTCGAGCAGCAAAGTGGAGGAAGGATTGTGGGGACCCTCTTTTGCAATTAGTTGCAGACGACTATGAGGATGCTTTTGATTACTATCCCCTTGTTGAAAAACTTGTTGGTTACGAGCTTTCCAACGAAAGGAGGAAACTCTATTGCGAACCTTGCAACAAGGTTCATCAAGAATGGTTTGAAGTCGACGTTGATATAGCTCATCAGAAACGACGGACATGGCGAAACTGGATACTTCATCATAAACCATTTGAAGCAGGAAAGTTATCGCCGTATTGGCATTGGAGGGCCGCAAAGCTCAAGACTTCTCTTTACGTAGTTGATTGGGAGGAATGGACTCAACCCCATGACTCCGACTACTGGCGATATTGGAGGCATGAATTGGCTGTCGCTGTGCGATATTGCAGGCATGAATTGGCTGTCGCTGTGCAGGCCCAGTTCAGTACAAAGCGGAAAGATCGCCAATTCTGGAGAAATGGGGCTGACGTGCTAGTTATTTTGTATTGTAACTTTGGTGAGGTTGGCGTATTTTGGGGATGTCTGATGTTGTTGATTCTATGAAGATTGGGATCATTATCATGTCTGATTGATGTCTCTAGTTGAATAAAAACAGTACCGAGACAGGATGCACCTTTGACGATTTCAAAGAGATTATAACCCCTTGGGAATAACGTACCTCAAAGAACGGTGTTTGAAATAAATATAGTTACTCTCCTTACCCCGCATCAGTAGCAATACCCGGTGTCTGGCAAAGAAACCCAAACCCCGTTTCAGCAGCTGGTTAGCCGTCTCAGCATGAGATCGATATCTGCTCTTCTTGACCCATTTCCCCATGCCAAGAGATTATAATCGAGCAGCTGGCGGGAGTTTATTAGGTAGCAGGGCCACTTCCTCGGTGCGGGGTTTGCCACTCGATGTTTGTTATCAGACGCTTTGCCGTCATTGTTAATTGTATACACCAGCCACACGTACCGCGCTACTAGACCCTGAATCTGATTGCATCACAACATTCTGTATCTCGATAAGGGGAATGCTGCCCCTTTTTTTCTGTTTGCATTCGTGAGTTGAGATACTATGTTTGTGTAGGGGATTTAGAAAAAGCTTAAACGGGTCTAGACGTATTTGAAGTTGGCTGTTGAAGACTTGATATCCAGAAGCTCTAGCTTCAAGAAAATCAAAATATGCAAAAGCGCTGATTTTTGGGGGAGGGGAGAAGAAAATCACTTCTATGAAAGTCTTGAATATATGCATAGATCAATTGTTGCGATTTATTTACTCTTGCATTCTACTTGTCATCCTTGAAAGATAACTTTGCATGGGCTTTCATGATAATGAAGTATTTCCTCTCTTCATTAACATAGGATTGATCTGCCAATAGAATTGATATACCAACTTAATAGATGCAAAGAAGACAAATATCTAAGAAGTAGTTGGCAGGAGAACCTTAAGTCTTATTCTACGGTTTTCTACCCCAGTTTGGAAGCAAAAGGGGGTCGTCAAAGTTCTTAGAAACATAGTCCACAGCGTCCTTCTTGATAGTGCCCTTAGCCAGGTGGATGATGTTCTTGACTCGACTTCGATTTCGACGATCTGCTTGCAATCGACGGTTGGTATAGCAACGTATCTTGTTTAGTTCTACGAACAAGGCTCCAGTTAAGAATAGACTCCTTGACCGGGTCCCGGCACGCCTTACTGTATATGGACCATGGAACCTGGGACTATTGTGGGGGTCCAGATCGTGTCTTTGAGCGGCACCGTTCGAGAAGAAGGAAGGACACTGTCGAAACCCTACTGGTGGAGCAAGGCCCAGCGGCAGCGTTACCGCATTGGACATAGGATATCTCAGATTCAAGACGCCAATTTAGAAGATGGTTAGATCGCCAGCTAGGTGGAGGACCCAGAACGTTGCAAGCCGAGGTCCAACAGGTCTGATCTCGAGCTGGATAATAGAGTTCTGCGTAGCTAGGGGCGCGTGTCTCGTTTTGCGAGATTTACAGATCGATTCAGCAGGGGCTCCGTACATCGGAAGCCCAGCCAACCCATAATAATGTCAAAGTCCCGAGGTATTTGATGTCGCTGTCGTTCCCTCTTGGACCTGACTAGGAACGACGGTCCACTTCCCTCGCTCCTACAGACACGAATGTTATGGCTATTCACCCACCCGCTCCACTCCCTTAGCCACCCGTACAAAATTTTTCAAGTTACTATCGAATTCTACAGTGAGCCATATTTATAATACAAAAAGGGAAGAAAGGGGAAGCGACAAAGCCATGATGCGGCCTGTTCACAGTGTTCTTCTCATTGTGTAGAAGACAGCTTCACACTTGGAAGAAAAGGAGTTCGGTCGCGACTCGCTTAGCTCGCCGCATCTGGGTAAGAGGATGTACAGACGTACCTTATACAGTAAGGTAGCAAGGTATGTCAGTAAGGCAAGACATCTCACCTAACCTAGGGTCCCTCAGGTAAGTCAAGGGAGTTGGCATAGGAGGAAGATACGGTGCAGAGGTAAGGGCCATATGGGTCCTCCACTCCGGACGTGAGTAAGCTGGTCACGTGTGCGGCCCGTGATTCCCGAAACGGCCTTTCGGCGGGAGGGATCAATGGTGCCTAGGTAGAACGAACATAGGGATGCTCGGGTAGGGTGTGTTTATTCAATGCTACGTAGCGTATATTGAAGATTTCGATGTACGTCAGCTACAACTGCGCTACACTCTGGTCGAGTGGGGAGCAAGCTTCTCCTTTTGCAGGGAATGACGTGACCTAAAGTTAGGTACGGGCCTCGATTGTAGGTACCTTATATACCTATATATACGTATCATACATATCGACTTGAGCCCCAGTCCCTTACCACGCCGGGTCGTATGGCTCAGCTCTTTCGACATCTATGATCTGTTGTCCCAGATAGCCTGCATCATCATCTGAGCAATGGATTCCCTACAAGGCCGTACCCCCTTGGAAATCGGCCGCCTGATCACCAAGTCAACTATCGTCAAGGCCAAGCTTAGCTGGGCCGACCTGGTCCTCAAGTCCTTCCTCGGCGGCATATTCATTTCCATGGGCGCTCTCTTCGACCTCTCGATCCTCGGTGGTATGCCGGGTCTCCGCGCCTCGAACCCCATGCTCGCAACCTTTATTGCAGGCTTCACCTTCCCCACGGGTTTCTTCCTCATCATCTACACTAATTCCGAGCTGGTCACCTCCAACATGTTCACCATGATGTACTCAGCCCTCCAGCGCCGTATCACCCCTTATGACGTCGCCCGCAGCTGGATCGTCAGTTACGTCTTCAACTTCGCCGGTGCTCTCTTCTTCGCCGGCTTCTTGACTTGGTGGACCGATACCCTCTCCCTCGACGTGCAGAAAGCGTATGCCGTTACCCAGGCCGAGACCCGCGTTCTGGTCCCCTCATACTGGTCGGTGAACTTCCTGCGCGGCGTCGGCTGCAACTGGATCGTTGGGCTTGCGTTCTGGTGCTCCACCGCCGCGACGAACGAACACGTCGCCAAGATTTACGCCATCTGGATTCCGATCTGGGCCTTCGTCGGGTATGGCTACCAGCATTGCGTTGCGAATTATTTCCTCATCCCGATCGGAATGTTCTATGGGACGAGCTTCGGGGTTGGCGAGTTCATCTACAAGAGTTGCATACCGGTGACGTTGGGGAACATCTTTGGTGGCGCTGGGCTGGCCGCCTTCGCCTTCTGGTTCTTGTATGGCCGCGAGGAGGACCCTAACAACGGGATGATTGCAGTCAACAAGTTCGATGGGAATCAGGATGCTGCGCAGGCTCCGAACGGGATGGGGCAAGGACATCAGTCGTATGTCAGGGAGAATCTGGTGTGAAAGGAGAATCTGGTGTGAGCACAAGAAGATGTTATAAAAAAAATCCTCGTATCAAAATTTGCTGGACCTCGAGAGTGGATATCCATTAGACGCAGTGGGCAGCGGTGTTATGGTGTCACATGTATGCCCTTGGTTAGACTTTTCTTTTTACTTTACTTACTTCCCTACTGTACCTGTATTCATAGCCATATCGATACCTCAGAGAGCCTTTTTTCCTTCTTGGACGACAATAGAACACATGGTTATAAACCTAAAGTCAGCTGAGATGAGGGTTGTGAAGGGAGCCCAGAAAAGCCCCTAGATAAGGTAGCACCATTCATCCTCAGAGTTATAAATTATCCCGTGGGACGAATCCTATCTTGGAGGCTTGAACAAAGCAGTTGGTACCTTGCTTTAGCTGAGTCGGCAACGCTCGAGTTTGGGATAAGTTGATAAATATGCAATGCTCATTCAAAGGCGATAAGTCCTGTCAACACGATAAGTCATGTTCCATCTTCAAGTCACAAGGCTAATGACTGACCGATTATCTTTTCTAAAGACGAGGATGCGAAAGTGCCAAGTGAGAACTGGTACCAGATCCTCACAGGGATCGCAAGGGAGGTAAGATTAGGGTCGGTGGCTGAGATTTAGTCGTGGTGCTTAACCGGCGTGGCGCATTACTCGCAACGTGACGGAAACCATGGGGAAATTATTTCTCCGGATTATTCTTAATTATAGTAGGTACCTTACCTACCTACCATCCTAGGTAAGGTACGGTAGCTAGGCAACAGCGATGCACTCAACGACCTCAATTCTTCAACGATTTAATATCTTGTATTTCCTTTGTTATGTATTTGTTTAGACAAAGTCGATAGAGGTTCAGACTCCAGGTAACAACACGATTTCTACTGGCCTGGATCGGGATGAAGCTCGCCATCTTAAGCGCCTTATTGGCGGCCGGAAGTGGGAGTCTCGGGGCCATTGAGACTGCGAAAGGGTTTGAATGGAACGATGTAAGGACAGTAAATTTCCTCAATTCTGTGTTGGAATAACATAGGGACTTGTTTGGGAGAATTTCCTTGTTTGAAGCTTTCATCTGGGGCAAGGCTCTTTTGTGCGTAATGCCAAAAGTTATGCCAATTTCCAATGAAGACCAAGGCTGATCCAACCCCTAGATCACGCCTACAGAAAGCCTAGTCTTTCATGACTGCTTCGGGGGATTTCAGTGCGCGCGGCTCGATGTCCCAATGAACTGGAATCGTACAGATGGGAAGGGAAGCCGGGTTGCCGTCGCCATTATAAAGATCCCCGCAAAAGTCCCTGTTACCGACGAGCGATATGGAGGAGCCATCCTCTCGAACCCTGGTAATATTCCATCTCCCTGAATAGTTACACTCAGTTGACCATAGTTAGGTGGTCCTGGTAACTCTGGCATAACATCCATTCTGGAAGATGGGAAGAGGGTCCAAGCTATAGTCGACGCCACGGTCGACCCTCCTTCTGCCTCATCGTTCAAGTCGGGAGATAAGTACTTCGATATTATTTCATTTGATCCTAGGGGCATGAATAATACTACTCCTCAAGTCACATGCTTTCCCGACTTAGTAGCACGTCAAGCATGGGATCGAGCCATGGCTTCCGAGGGTCACATGACAAGCTCCGACGTTGCGTATGCGACGAAGTATGCTAGATTCATGGCCCTCGGAAGCAGCTGTACAGCAAGAATGAAGATCCATGGCGAGGAGGAAGACAATCTCCTTGACCATATGAATACGCCCCATGTGGTGGCGGATATGGTTGCGATTATCGAAGCCCTTGGAGAATGGAGAGAGAAGGAAGCTATGAGATTGCTCGATTCTCCTACATACCGAGAGTATACGATCAGTTCGGGACATCAGAAACTGTTGGAGGACCCAAGGGAGAGCGGGAATGATAGGGCTGCCATCATCAAGAGGACGAGCTGGAGGAAAGGTGAAGAAAAATTACAATATTGGGGTTTCTCTTATGGAACTGTCCTTGGAGCTACTTTTGCAGCTTTGCAACCACATCGTGTTTCTCGTCTCATCCTAGATGCCGTGGTGGATAGTGAGGACTACTACAGCCTGGAAATGAAACACAACATCAACGACGCTGAAGCCGTAAGTCCTGCCCCCTCCACCATCCTATCATAATCTGATCACACGACCATAGGTATGGCAGCGGTTCTTTTACTTCTGTGCCCTCGCTGGGCCTAAGGGCTGCCCCTTCTCTTCTTCACCGTCCGATACAGAAGCATCGCTACGACAAAAGTTCGACTCTCTCCTCTCTGATTTAGAGAGACAACCAATTGCCGTCCTTCCATCCGACAATTTCGAAACCTATATACCTGATATTGTTACGGTATCCCATCTCCTCGAGTATATCCTGAAAAGTTTGAACGAGCCTGCTATATATTGGCCAATTGTTGCTACCGTTCTTCATGACCTTTATAACGGAAATGGCACGTCTCTTGCAATTGTAAAGGAAAAAGAATTCGTACAAACACCACCTTGCACAAAATGTGAGGATCCGTACAGCCCTTCATGCCAACAACCGAGGTTGGGAGAAGATCCGATGAGGAGCGGTTCTATATGGTGTTCTGACGCTCGAGAATACCATACCACACCACAAGATTTCAAGGATACAACGCTAAGAATGATGGAGGAGCAGAGCCCTCTATTTGGAAGGTATTGGGCTCTAAGGAAGATGCAGTGTGTAGCATGGGATGTGAAACCAAAATGGAAATATTCCGGTATCTTCAGAGATATTGATACTGCACATCCAATCCTATGGATTGGGACTTCGGGTGATCCTCTCTGTCCGCTCGCAAAGTAGGTCCTATCTTCTTCCTTCTAATCGCTAATATCTCGTGTTGATATAATGGCTGATATCTGTAAATTGGCAGCGCGCACAAAATGTCTGCCGCTTTTCCCGGCTCCAGGGTGCTGGAACAAGCCAGCCAGGGACATTGTAGCCCCTCCGCCCCTTCTGTCTGCACTGCACGGCATATAAGAGCGTATTTCCAGACAGGGGTTTTACCAGAGGATGGAACGGTGTGCGAGGTTGGGTACGAGCCGTTTCAAGAGCTGAAAAGTGCCCAAAAGCTGGGGTACAGTGGGGAAGACAAAAAGATTTGGGATGCATTGAAGGAACGTTTTGATGGAGGTTATCGTTTAGCTGGGGTTATTGGAGCTTCGGAGTCCAGTGCCGCTTTGAATGCCAAAGAATGAGGGAAAGCTGTCAAATGGGCTCTTGGATTTGGGAAGTCGTTATCAAGCACACATATAGTAGAGTCTTGATTAGCTTTCCCACTTTCCCGCTTCAATTCCGAAGGCTTAGTAGAATATCTGTTCCCATAGCAATATTTGAGGTCATCTAGGGTGAGTGATCTGCCGATCTCGAAATTGGATAACTCAGCACCATGAATGTGATCAGGTGGATAATCTATAATGTTTCCCAAATCATCAAATCAAGGAGTCTCTGCTGGCACTAGTAGAGCATGCGGCAATGAACAACTTCATGATTCTGTATGTGCATGCTCCCTTCTATAATACCCAAGCTTTTTACGCAAACGCCCAGAGCCGTTCGGACAGACAAACCCCACTTGAGGAAGCAAACATGTGGTACACGCGGGACAATGAGTTATCATGCTGGTTTGACACATTGGCTTTAGCTTCTAAGTAGATGGGGAATTTGATCATACCTGTTTCAGCCATCTTTTCCTCCTTGGCTACCACATTATTAGACAAACGCTAAGTAGAATTACAATCAGTTCTTGAATCTTCATCTCGATCTCATGATGTGTCAAGCACTTACCAATAGATTCCTCAGCAACACAGCAATAGTGACCTTGCCAATCGCTGGGACATAGATGCTTGCCTTCTCCTTAACCGCCGCATTATCGAAGTTCTTGTCACTTGAGAAATTGATGCAGACCGCTCCATCTCGAACCAGCTCAACTGGAACCTTGAATTGGTCGCCTGGGACCCCACTGATGACGACGTCACTTATTGGGAGACACTCTTTCAAACCCCAGCCTTCTTGCTTGTGCACTTGGTGACGAGGTGCCTTGATCCCTTGGCCTCGGGTGAAAAGATCCACGCCATCCAAATCGACGGAATAGACTTTCGCGCCATCGTTGGCGAGGAGAGCAGCAAGTGGTCGGCCGACAACTTCAGAGCGGTTGATAACGGTGACTGTCTTGCCGAACAGTCGGTTACCATAGGGAAGGATTGAGTTGTAGATTTGGAGGTATTCAAGGACCTTGATTACGGCGAGGGGTGTGCAGGGAAGGATGGACTTCTGGGTATTTTGCTCGTCCAGGAAACGGATGTTTTGATACATGTTAAAGAGGTACTTGTGACACAGACCTTCAACATCCTTCTCGGCAGCGACGAGGTTCTGAATATAGCGGTCTTGACCCGAGGTTCGAGGGAAGATGGGATAGTAAACGATGATGCCGTGAACGGTCTTATCGGCGTTGGCTTCAATGATTGCTTGTTCGATCTTGTCCTTTTCAACAACTCGGAGGTCGAACTCAAAGCCGCTAGGAAGTCGTTAGCCTCCGGATTTTGTGGTATCATTGATATGATAACGAAGGAGGATAGTCACGTGCGATTGGGTATATCCCGGACCTCGATCGTTGCCTAGCAACAAGATCTTAAGTACTCGACCAATCGAGTTTCCAGTGACTCTGAATTGTAGGAGGAGGCTTTTGCAGTATTCAAGAGAGTGTTTGATCTCAGCGTAAAGGGCGTACTTTAGACTGCTCTATTCAAACGGGAAGGGCGCAGTTTGTGAACTAAAGACAATGAGACGTAAAGTTCACTCGAACCTTTTCAATGCCACAAAAACTCAAGAGAAAAGATGAACAAAGGTAGTCACTTACTTCTCTCTGCACGTCTTCGCACAGTAATCGGCATAAACCTGAGCAGCTGGGTCCCCATTTGCTAAGAACCCCACCAACTTGGGCTTGATATTGAGTTTAGAAAGACCTTCAGTGACCTCTGCCAACAATCCTTTTGCAACTGTAGCAGCAAGCACGACCTTGCAGGTCGCTGGAGTCGCGGAAGCCATTGTCTTCAGACTTCAGGTAGCCAAAGAGCTTTGCAGGGGCGGTAGGAATATCGTATGCTGTGGAAGTGCGATGTCGCGACGCCTAAACCTGGAGGTTGAAAATTATTTTTCTTATCGCCCGATAAGGCGAGGGGTTTTCTAGTGGGGTATTCTCCGGCCTTTTAAGGTTACTCGCTACAGATTCAGGACTCCGCGATTCCGCAACGGGATAACCAGAGGCTCCTCAGGGCACAGCTTCTGAGTTTCTGGCAAGACAGGGCAAAGGAAGACAAGAGAAGATATAACACTTTCCCAACTCTTGACTCTGTATCTTTCTTCTTCACAGACGCACTCCAACTAACAGGTCCCTGCAGATCTTCTCTGGTGGCGCGGTTGCCCGAAGTTAAGCCGACACCGCCTTGGGATTTCGGCAGAATTTCTTGATTAGCGCAGCTTGATTGAACTTCAACTGGTACCGGATTGTACTTGATTAGATCTTCTGCAATCAACAGTAACATTATCGTCGCGACAGTGGTGCTCTCAACCACTTGGAGATAGTAAGTAATGCCCATCTCCCCGCCTCTCCTACTCTCGGGGAGTGGCACAACCGCAAGGATCCCCAGTCGCTGTGGCCTACCCCACCCCTCAAGCTCCATTCTCGCTGTAGTCTTCAGACTCCTCTCATGGTAGAGATGCGCGTCACCTCCCAATGGATCCAGTGGAGTTTTCATTCTGACCTCCATTATTATTGCCCTGCATTTATGCAGAAATATCCTGCTTTGCTGCAGTTCTCCCGGAATCCCTCTCGAGACCCATCCAATCGCTAACTAATTTGATATTCTTAGGAACTCCCCACGCGTCTACGCACGAAGACCAATGACCATACGTCGTGAAGATGGAGGACAAGAACATTGCCGACTGGATGAACACCTCAGACCCCAGCCAACAGAAGGCTATTGTGGATGATATTGCCGGCAGTATGCATGGCCCTTTCGATTCTGAAGTAGACCTTGTTTAACTGACTTTTTCAAGGACTCGATCTTGCAGCATTAAAGATTTCTCAAGTATTTCTTGGTCTGCAGCCTTATCTGACCAATGAAGATCAACCACTCCCCCAGATAGCTCAAGGTATGCCGTCCCTAACATTTGAAATCCATGATACTTACTATGCATAGCCTTGCGTCTTCTCGCAGACGTTCTAAACCAGCTCCAAGCACCACTTGATAGAATCGATAGTAAGAAATACCTATACCTTTCAAGTTCCTACTGACAATACTAGTACATCAACTTACTACGTACTTCTGCCAACGTCTCGTCAATGAAGACCGACTCGGAAGCTTTCGTGCAGGGATCAAGGAGTGCGCTGAGATATTATCAGCTTTGGCGAAGATGAAACCAAAATTCCCTTCTACTGATGCAAGACTTATCGCTCAGGCAATATTCTCGTTCAACATAGAAAGAAACTTAAGAGATCAGAAGGCCGCCACACGTCGAACCCTCTTGGAGCTCCTTGATACCCTGATACAATTATACAAGCCCAGTCTCATTATTAATGGAAGTTCGAAAGCATTTGTTGAAGGTGTGGTTTTAATGGGGGAGTTTGAAAAGGATCCCACATGCCTGGGTATTCTGTTACCCATGTATGAAAAGTTGAGCAAAGAGTGGGAGCTCAGTGAAGACGCCCTACTTCTCATCTGGGATTCATTCGTCCGCTATTACCCAATCACCATCAGTGGTCAAAATGCTTCAGTACCGACCCCGGATGATCTAAGACGATTCCTGTTAAATTGCTTCATTTCAAACGACACCTACGCAAAGAATGCTTTCCCACGACTCATCGAGCTGCTTGACACTAGTCAAGATCTATCCGCAAATGTCAAGGTAAGAATCTTACGTTTGCAGTATTACATTTACTCACATAAATAGAATGAGGTTTTCCGTACAATGGAAACCTGCATCACGAGTTATTCCCTCCCAGCAGTCCTCGAATGGGCTCCAAAAGTTTGGGATTCTGTGAAATTCGAGGTATGGAATGGGGAAAACGATGAGTTCATCCGCGGTGCCCTCAATGTCATCCATGGAATAACAAGAGCTCTAAGCAGTCAAGCCGACTGGAACGACACTGAAAATCCATCTGTCAAGATCGTTCTTTCAATATTGAATGAATGCAAAGAGCGTCTAATCGATTCTAGACAAAGACACGTAGTTGAAACTGGGAAAATACTGTATGCGGTTGCTACAGCATCCCCGTATGGCTTTTCTTGGGCCACTAGAATGCTCCTTCCGTCCATGTTCACTCACTGGCAGGGCTTAGTGTCAAAATCTGACAAGACTGCTATTCTGGGCATTTTTAACCGCATCTTGGAGGCACGCTTACTTGTCGAACAAGAACTGGAGGCCAAATTGAGGGACGAAGCCTCTTCCCAAGCTACGCCGAGAGGTGATGGCCTTTCACCACCAACCCGGGCCGACTACTTGAGTCAAAGCAAGGACCGGCTTGCCTCTACGCTCAATGAAACTCGACGAAATCTTGTCGATGACATATATTTCAGTGCTATGACTGAAAAGATCTCTGATTCGCCGGATGGCACGCAATTCCGAGTAACTACCATTCAAGGTCTCGTGTTCTTGATGAGCATTCAAGACCTTCTCTCGGATTTCGAGAAAGGTGCCATCATTGAATCCCTTAATGAGATCCTTTTACAACCGAATCAAATCGACAGTCTGAGCGAAGCAGCAGCGTCGGCTCTCCAAAAGATTTCCACGGGCGATCCCGTAAAGTTTCAACAAATTACTCTAGTAAACTTTATGAGCAAGCTTCCGAAAAGTATATCTGCAGATAAGCGTCAAAGAAAATCGGAATTGGACAGTGTCATCGACCTCTTGGATTCTTTAACAAAGATCGCATGCACAGCAACTTGCAATGCAGAAACCGGTCAGTCAGCAACAGAAACAGATCCGAAACATTATGTCTTTGATGTCTACCAAAAAGCCTTGTTATCAAAGCTGTTCGATATCATCAAGCAAGATGGCCAACTTCCATACGCAAATGTTATCTTGGGAGCCATCTACCGAGGTCTTGTGTCATTTGATGGTGTGCTCGATAAAGAACTAAAGTCAACTCATTCGGCGAAACCTTTTGTTTCATCGCTTCACCCATACGCTTGGATTCCATTAACATTGCTCCAACAGTTTGTTAAGATCAAGCATGGCCCGACCAACTCTGAAACCCCATATGTGGGACTTGATTTGCCACTGGATAAAGATGAAGTTGTCGACAGATTTGTTAGTTTGCTGGGCGATATCATCACTTTGGCGCTCCGCTCTAACCAGACAACCGCCGAAAATAACTTCCTGAACAGTCGCGATGTACAAAGTCCAAATGTCTCCAGTCAAATCTGGTCCCTATTTGTTGAGAATGCCCCTGAAAATCTTAATAGCACTCAACAGGACTTAATATATGGGCCTGGTGACAAATGCTTGGCCAGTGCGCTCTCGATGTCTTTGGTAGCTGGAGTTCGTCGTGAGGTAAGTCTTCGTTATCAGCAACCGCAGCAGGCTCTTTGCTAATATCTTAAAGGATAAATCCAGGCTTAAAATAGACGTTGGCAACGCGGCCCTGGCGATGATCAAGAATGCTACCAGCACCCAAAATGAGTGTTCTTTGTATGCTCGTGTCTCGATGCTGTACTTCCTCCAGCTACTTGTCAACAAGTTCGGTGCTGCTGAGGAGAAAATTGGAGGTCGTAGCCTTGTTGAGATCATGGTGGACCTGATCCACAGCTGTAACTCGAATCCCAACGAGCTTGAAGTAGAGCGTTACTACCAAACCCTCTCCTACTTCACGGCTGCAGCCCTCGCTTGTCGTGATAAGTCTGACCAGACATTGATCAGTCTTATGGTTCAGGGAATCAAGGATCCGAAAGCTGGGCGAAAGGTGGCAAGAAGCTTCCGTATCCTTCTGGGTCCGTCAAAAGTCATGTGCAAGGAGAACTTCTGTCTCCTGCGTCCAATTCGACAAGGACGCCTTTTCCAATTTGCAGTCGAGGAATTTATTAAGCTCTGGCGTGCTTATTCATTTGAACTACAAGGAGATCCAAACGCTAAGGATATCAAGACCAATTGCTTGATTGCTCTCACTGGCTGCCTTGCGTACATGGACACCAAGGTTTATCTCAGTCACGTCAATGAAGTCTTTCCGCTTATCCTCGAAGGCACGAATGTGCAGAATGATGACTTCACTAAGTTGGCTTGCATAACCATCATTCGCACTCTTGTCCCGGTCTGTCCCGGTGTCATTGAATCTCATCTTGACTCAGTGATCAACCGTATGACAGATCGCACACACAACACATACTACTCTCCATCAGATGCAAACGTCGCTAGCCGTGCAGCCGCTCTTGAAGTTCTGGCTTTGCTTCCTAGACATATCGACAAGGTAGCTATGCTAAAGCGGAAGAACAAGGTTATAAGTGAGCTGGATACTGCGTTGGCTGATGTTTCGATGGAGGTCCGTACACAGGCTCAAAAGTGCAAGATGTGGTATTTCAACCTCGTTGAATAGGCCACCTTTGCCAAATGAGATTATGGATTTGATTTCTTCGGGTGTTATCAGGCATTCAATGACTGCTCGAGGTACGCATAGCGTGGGCGTTTTACCATTGTTGTCAGATCGACTACACGAAATGGCGTTACGAGTAGATAGGCAGGCATATGGAGGCATGAAGACCACATGATATCTGAACAATAAATTACAGTTGCATGAATGAACCCTTTCTGTTTTATCTCAGACCCGATCAAGTGAAGAAGTACTAGTGATGGTAACTCGCACACATGGTGTAGTAATTGCTTGCGGCAATCATCCTCTGGGATTAGATAGTGATCTTTCTCTCAAGATAATATCTCTGCAAAACGGCCAGGTCATGTCACAGAATGCCGTTCCTGAATTCATCGAATGATTCATCTGATTTTGACTTCCTCCTAAAACGCCGCCATTGTGAACCATCCTTCCATGTGGACTTCCTCAACAAATGCTCAATCCATCAGAGCATGTAGCTCTATTTCCCCGCCACTCTCTTAGGTAGAACCCAATTTATGCTTTCTTGGCCCGCCTCTTCCCTCCCTTCCCCGGAGTCGCAGAGCTCGCCGCATCAGCCTCGACCTTTGAATCCACAACAGTCGCACCAGAACTCTCTGCCAAAAGACTGTTCCACTTTTCTTCCATCGACTTCGTATCATCGGCCTTCGCCCCAGCGCCCATCTTCTTCTCGTCAACCACCCTCTTGGGGTCCGCCGCCCCGATCACCCCCACATTACTCGCAAGCATCTGCTGGAATGGGATCGTGACAAAATGCCCTTCCTTATCAAACCATTCTCTAAAGGGCCTCGCGATCCTGATCTCCCTGCTCTTGCCACCTGCCCCTTTCTCCTGTACCGTAATGGTGAGGTGGTAAATTGGCACGTGTTTCTTCGTGCTGCTCTGGATCGAAATCTTATCTCCTGCTTCGTTGGTCCCAACATATATGGTATTCTTCTCGACGCCCCATATCCAGAAGGTGAGTAGGCCGTTGATGCATGTGTAGAGGGCGACGGCGGCTGCGGTATAGTATTTCGTGGCTTCAAAGCCGAGCTTGTAGTCCCAGTAGAAGGTCGCAGCGCAAATGCCGAAGGCTAGGTAGCTGAGGAAGAGACGGACATCGGTGAGGGTGTGCGATTGCTTGAAGGAGAGACTATTGAGGTAGATAGGGATTGCGTCGTCGGTTGTGTTTTTGAGGTCTGTTAAGGGCGTCAGTCAGTGTGCTCTTTCAGCTGATGCTGTGGTTCAGACAAAAGAGGAATCAAACGGAGAAAAGAAGTGAGAAGGCAATCATACCAGGTAATGAATAGACCGCAACTTTCTCCTGAGAAGCGGCCATATTTGCAATCCAATCGTATATGCGCGGATATGCGCAGAATGGGAATGCTGGTTTGAACCAGTCGCGTATGCGTAAGGGAACGTGTCTTGATTTGAAGTTCTCGGCACGAACCGAGTTTAGCACCGAGCCTCACCTAACGTCGAGCAAGCTTCAGACGACTCTCGTACCAACGGCATCGAGGTCGCAGTGGAAGTAGCACAGCAATCATGGCGCAAGTTCCGGTTCAAACGATCCATCGGGATCCTCAGCTATTGTGAGCACTGCAAGAGTAAATCGATAGGGTCTGTCAATGCTGATATGAATGTAGCTATTGGATCCTGATCCCCATCACGGTGGTCATGGTAAGCTGCCTACCAAACCGCGTGTACCACGCACAGGAATTCGATTGACACTCTCCCAGATTCTAACAGGTGTCCTGCGCCACTATGCCACCGTTTTGATGGCCTCCACGCCCAAGAAACAAGAGCTGCCAGCCATTCGCGAACAACGCTCCCTTCTCCGCGGCATCAACCTGCGCGTGAACGCGCACAATCTTTCTCCTTCTTCCTTTGAAACTCGCAAAGCTTACCTGGTAAATGCCTACGAAAACGGGGCGTTTTTGAAAGAGCCAGAGAAGAAGGGTCAAGCGGCACCGAATCCGATGACGGACCCTGCGGCTATGGAGGGAATGATGGGCATGATGAAGGGGAATATGGCGATGATCGTTCCCCAAACGCTGATCATGGGGTGGATTAATGCCTTCTTCTCGGGATTTGTCATCAGTAAGCTGTCCTCTGAAGCTAAATGGGAATGAGTGCTGATATAGGCCGTCCAGTTAAGTTGCCCTTCCCGTTAACGATCAAGTTCAAGAGCATGTTGCAGGCAGGCGTGGCTACTAGAGATATGGACCCGCAGTGGATGTCCTCTATCTCCTGGTATGTGCTTTGCATATTTGGATTGCAGTCTGTTTTCAACTATCTCCTTGGGAGTGATAATGGTAAGATCCTTTCAACTCCTGTTCACTGGAATATCGCTGATTTTAGACAGCCGCCAGTCAAATGCAACAACAGATGGGACAAATGGCACCTGGAGCCGGAGCGCAGATGTTCGGGCCTGGCGTGGACCCGGACAAGCAATTCCGCGGCGAAGCAGAAAATCTAGCGGTCTTGGCCCACCAGTATACATTGGAGGGAGTTGAGGAGAGGCTCTTGCAAAGCGTGAAGGTTTAGTCTAGGGGTATAGATTGGATGTACACGGATGCTTGGATAGCCCTAATAGAACTAGCGGATTGTTGCCAACCCAAAGCTGCATGTGCACCTGCGTCATTTTCCTCCGGTGATAGTCAACACACTGCCAACTGTGTTCTCACTGACAAGCTCTGCTATTTCGGGGCTGAGTATTGTTGACAGAAACCTGAAGACTATGGCCATTGACCATCTCATCATCCCCAAACAAGGGGAACTCCTTTTTTATTTTGCGGCAATTGCGCGTGACGTCGTTACCATGTGTATACCACAGTGCGAATGATATGCGCTTCTATCCAGTGCCTCATCATTCGGGACAAGCATCCCTACTTCCCTGTATTTGATGAAAAACTCAGCTCTTTGGAGAAAGAAATATGAGAACAATGGTCTTTGAGCTGGCCGAAGTCGGAACAGCGATAATTGAGTTTCGCGTGCCGGATCAGAAGATGTCGAAGGGGCCAAGTCGAATCATCTTCGTCCGTCTTGTCCCACGTGAGTTGTATAACCCTGGCAGGAATATTACCTCCACGTACCGTCCATAGCAGAAATGCATCGATAACATCGTTCCGCAAAAGTGGTATCTGGTATTTCTCTCCAATTATCCAAATCCTTGTAAGTTGTGAGTAGTCCAGGATCACTGTTCAAGTCGTCTGCCTCTATTTGGTTGGACTGGCGGGATGCTATGAAACTTCCTCGATCAAGAGGTTAGTCAATCAAGACTATAGGCAAGGTCACGGGTGCTAGTCACTCATTTGTGACAGTGTTTACCCGCATTTTAGACGAACAAGAACTCAGCCCCTTGTTTCTGATTACATATTCTGTCAGACCATCTATTCCACATATAGCCAGAGGCTTAGGAAAATGGGCCATTTTATTCGCTCTGGTATACTTATTTTCTCAGAAAGCTCAACAGCGTTCGACAGCCTACATAAGACAAAGCAAAGAAATCAAAGATTCAGCAGTAATACCCGCCTTCTTTTGGAGGGACTGAGTCCTTAAAGTTATAATTGTTGGCTTAAATCATTGCCGCAACAACTGAAGATCTCAGGTATATAGGTACTAAACGGTATTAGATCTCTGGATGCGGTGCAGTTAGTTGTACGTTTGAAGTTGGTCGATAAGATGCGGCTCTGTCGATTGACGCTAAGCGATAGTCCGGGGATAGTCTAGTCTCATTACAGTAAGAGGATGTTCCCGTGGCGGGCCGTTCAGCCGAAATAAGGAACCTCCTGGATGCAGGACAACTGTCAAACGGTGAGAAGCGAACTCGATTGAAGAGTGAAGGTAAGGGTCTAGAGGCTCTATATATACATGAAGAGGTGGTAAATTGGTTCCGTCATAGGTATGACGGAATCTCAAAATATACCTAGGTCCCTATTAGGCCCGTTATTACTTCTATATGCGACAACTCACCTACTGTTCCAATACCCTTCTTTATGGGGCTTCGGCTTTCCTAAGCGTAGGTAAGCTATTTAAAATCCTATCCACTTCTGTTTCTAGTTCATTACTAGTCTAGCTATAACATTGCTGCCGCGGGCATTTGAAGGAACCGATACCCACGTCGAAGCCTCGTTTGCGCTTTGGACCTTACAAGACCACACCAATTACATTTCCTTTGTCCTGCAACATGAATTGCTAGTAGCTTTACCAATAATCAGGCCGTTACCGGCGGTTTGGACGATACAGATTGACCTTCAACACATCCAGCCGCTTGCTCAGCACCATCTCCGCCATCCACAAAGCCGAATTTCCTCCAGCGCCTTGACGCAACCAAAACCACAGCACCAAGACGTGGATGTTGGATACTTCCTATGGGCTACTCCTACCTGGAGCTTCCGCATAGCAAATAAGCTCGGCCAACTGAACCATCGACTTCCTTACGCGTAGGTGCAACCTATTCCGCAACTCCAAATCGATCCTGATACTCTACATCTAGCACATTCAGTCTCACTACCATCTCCTCCCACGTTAAGATAGCGAATATCAGACTCACCGATACCTCTCGCCTCTCGCTTCTCGCCCCTTGGCTGGCCTCACGAGTCACCAACATGGTTTATATTATGAAAATCTATGTCGACGGTGGTTGTAGAGGCAACGGACAACCAGGATCGATAGGTGCTGCCGCAGCCGTTGTCAAACTTAGATTTGGAAGACAGAAAGCTTATACTAGAATCTTACCACGATATCCCAGACCAACAAACCAAAGAGCAGAAATCACAGCTATCATACTTGGATTGGAGCTGGCTCTTCAAAAATTTGACGAGCTACATACAAACCCCAGGCTAAAGGTCAGGATCTATTCGGATTCCAGGTACGCAATCGGGTGTATGACGGACTGGGTGTACAAGTGGTGTAGAAACGGCTGGATTAATGCTGCTGGCAACGAGGTTGCGAATCGAGATCTCATCGAGACGGCATCTGATCTTGATGATATATTGGCAAAGGAGGGGACCGTGAAATATATCTGGATTCCTAGGGAGCAAAATGAGGATGCGGATGGCTATTGCAATGAAGCTCTGGACGAGGAGTGTTGAGATGGTGTCTAATTCCGTGGAGCGTTGAGCCATTTGCGAGCGTTGTGGATGGGGCTTCTGGTCTAGATTGCATTAATCCTATCACAGAAAGCAGGTTGAATTGATCGTAATGTCATCACTACATTGGTGCTCAGGAAGCACATGCTCACAGAAAACAGTTGACTATTTGGATACGGCTAAAGCGATAGAGAAGGTTCCTTTTAATAAAGTTTTGACATTCTGGGGAAGACGGCACTAGAATAGCGAGCCTCGGCTTCCCCACAAACCCCACATGAGATTCAAAGTCCACGGCAATGTACCTACCTCTTGTACCTCTATAACTCTGCATCCATCGCCATGTTCTCTCAATCCGTTCTCCCAATTCCCCCTCATCCTCCTCCTTCTCATTCCCCCAAGCCACCTTGACTTAATCAACTCAATAGCGACAGCGACAATGACAATGACCCCCCCGGCCCCCATCACCACGCCCCTCACCACCCTCCTCGGCATCCAGCACCCCATCCTCCTCGCCGGCATGGCGCGCACCAGCGGCGGGCCCCTCGCGGCCGCCGTCTCCAACGCCGGTGGACTAGGCTGCATCGGCGGTCTTGGATACTCGCCTACGCAGCTGCGCGAGATCATTCACGAGCTGAAAGCGCACCTCTCGTCGCCCTCGCTGCCATTCGGGGTAGATCTCGCGCTGCCGCAAGTCGGGGGCGGCGCCCGCAAGACGAACCACGCGTATCATAAAGAAGGCACGCTGGAGCTCCTCATCGATGTGATTATTGAGGAGGGCGCGAAGCTGTTCATTAGCGCGGTGGGCGTCCCGCCGGCCCATGTCATTAGCATGCTGCATGAAGCGGGCATCTTGGTCATGAATATGGTGGGCGCGCCGAGACATGCGCAGAAGGCGCTAGATGCGGGGGTGGATATAGTGTGTGCGCAGGGCGGCGAGGGAGGGGGCCATACGGGGGATATCCCGAACTCCATCTTGATCCCCGCGGTGGTGGATATTGCGAGCCGGTATCGACCGAAGCTGCTTGGTGGACAGACGGCTTTGGTCGTCGCGGCTGGAGGGATCCATAATGGGAGGGGTTTGGCAAGTAGCCTGATGCAGGGCGCGTCCGGTGTGTGGGTTGGGACGAGGTTTGTTGCTAGTAAGGAGGCGGGTTGCAGTGAGGCTCATAAGGAGAGTGTTGTCACTGCAACATTTGAAGATACATTGAGGACACTGGTGGTTAGTGGAAGACCGTTGAGAGTCAGGAGGAATGAATGGGTTGATAAGTGGGAGGCTCAGCCAGAGAAGATCAGGGAGCTGACGGAGAAGGGTGTAGTGCCCCTTGAGTTTGATTTAGAGGCTGGAAATGATATTGATTTTCCTCATTTAATGGGAGTTGTTGCTGGTGTCGTTAATGATGTTAAACCAGCCGGTCAGATTGTGGATGAGATGGTAGCTGAGGCGGTTCAGATGCTCAAGCAGGGCCAGACATATTTGACAGGATCAAAAAGTAAGTTATGAGATAGTTTGATAATTTAATAATATATAACGTGTCTGAAGGTTTTATTTCAGCGAGATGAGAAACCGCTGAGGATACTGTTGAATTGACCCGATTATCTGCCCTAACACCCAAATAACCCAGCCGCGAGCGCTTCGCATGCTTGTATAACGCCAACCATCTGTTCTCATCCCAAAACAGCGCTTGCAAATTAAAAGCTGACAGAAGAGTAACCCAGAGGAAATGCTCGCTCAACCAAAGTTCGGTAACCTTGCCGGCACGAAATTATTTTTTGCACGGTCATCAGAGCCTTCTCCTGTTGCTAGAGGAGCTGATCCTGGGGCTGGAGCATCATTGCTATGATCTAAGTGACCGTTCCCTGTTATCGGCGCTGATATATCCACAGCTGGCGATTCAAGCTTCGTCTCTGATACAGAGGTTTCAGCAGGTGTAGAATCTTCTTCAACATGGAGACCTCGTTCGATAGCGAGCCGAGCAGCAGCCTCTCGTTTTCTTTCCACTTCGGCGTCTTCCTCAAGTTTAATTCTCTCCTCCTCTTTTTGTAGATCCGTCAACGACGGTGTCCCAGCCATTTCAGGAGTAAGTATATCTGGGGTAACTGATAAAGATGCACCCGAGCCTTTGCGTTGACCGGATAATGATGATTTCGATCGAGTTGATGCCGGAAGAGTTCTCCCAGAAACGTTTCTTGATCCAGCCGACCCTTTCCCAATGCTGCTTCGAGTCTTGCCGCTGCTCCGGTCATCAGCACCCGAAAGTGTCATCCTCCTTTCTAAGACCATTGCAAACTCATCATCCAGAGGCACCGCATCATCTTCTCCATCACTTGGGAAGAGGTCACCCCTTGATCGGAATGAGTCTGACGTCTCCCCCGAACTGGTCGTAGAACTCCGCTGCCTATTATGTGCTTTACTTCCATTTCCATCCTCCTCACTATATTCTTCCGATATCAAAGGTTCCCCCTCTTCTTCACCTCTTCGCTCTGAGCGTGATGCCCCAGGATGTTCCTGCAGATCTGCAGCACTGGGTTTGTACCGCAACGTGCCGCCAAACTTGAAAGGCAGGCGTCCCAAGAACCCTAATGCGCTAGTACTCGGGATAACCGTAGGATCCGGATCCAAACTCTTTCGTCTCCCTCTCGTACCGTAACTCATCCCTCTTTTCCTCCTCGGGGGCCGATCGACCCCATCACTAGGCCCGCTATGCGATCCGCTCCCGGCCAACAACCGGTCCAGCTCGTCATTCCCCCAACCCAACAACCCTCCCCCCCCAAGGCTATCATCCTGATCCCAGTCATCATAGAAGTCAAAACTCAGCTCCGCCCTTCCCCTTGTTCGCCCACGTTCTCGCAATCGGCGGGCACGCTCCTCGCGGTCGGGGAGGCACTGATCGGTACATTGTTCGAAGCAGGATGCAATCGAGGCGAAGCATGGATTGATATACTTGTGCTGAAAGGTCCAGATGCCCGCGGCTGCATTCTCCGTCGCAGATTCAGCGTTCTGCGAGATCTGGTTCCACGTTCGTCGGATGCGAGGATCTTCGAGAAGGGGTGCCATTGTGATGACTGATGATCTTTCAAGTCATTTGAAAGTCCAATGGGAGTGGAAGTTGGATGAGGGAAATCAGGAGAGGGTTATCAATGCATCAGATTGAGTTGCGACGGTCCAGCGAAAATCTGTGATGTGTAGAAGTCGACATTACGGAGTTCGATCGATCAGGTACTAAGTGGTGACGGATGTGGCCCAAAATGCGGGATTGGGCTCTGGAGTTCCTCCGCCGGCCCCACGTGATATCTGAGTCCTGACATGCCGCTAGAGGGATTAGTGCCGAGCTAACCGCTTTAGCCTCAGGCCAACCGAAGTGGTGCGGACGACGTATGTGGACCAGCGTCAGCCTCGAACCGCAAGGCTGATTATCCACATAGGACTTGATTGAATGTCTGCAGGACTAATCCAAGACGTGAAAGCCCGGGGTTCATCATAGTCAAGGGCAGAGAATGTATATTGAGTGCTCTCTCTGCTAATACTACACGTAGAGGCAAGAGGGACGCCAAACGGAATCCCGAATGCAAACGTACGTAATGATACAAGGCAAACATCGGTCGTCTTTCATTCCTTCGTTCAGTGCTTGTTGCCATTTGCAGCACCTGCTCCATTAAAGGCCGGAGGAGGGGGCGCTGGGCCGAATGGCTTGGGTGCCTCTGGCATCTCCTCTTCCGTGTCCTCGTTGAACTCTCCCTCTTCACTTCCATCCTCATCACCTTCTTCTCCTTCATCATCATACTCATACTCGCTCTCCGTGCCCTCCAAATCTCCCTCGGCATATTCTCCTTCTACACTACCCTCTGGCATAGCCATATTCCCAGGCACGCCTCTTCCCTGCTTCTGCATCTGATTAATGATGCTTGTAAGTTTCTCGTTCTTTTTTCTAAGCGCTTCAAGGTCTTGATTGTTTTTCGTGCGTTCTTCTGCCATTTCTAGGATGTTCCGGTTGGTGAGATCGTGCTTTCGAGTCAAGGCCAGGTTCTCCTTTTCAAGGCGTTTCGTCTTCTTCGACATCTCTTCCATCTCCTTACGGAACGTGAGAAAAAGATCGTTGCTGTTGTTAAGTGTATCCTCAACCTAGCCAAGTTAGTATTCCGACGGACGCCCTGGATGTGTTGAATCCTACCTGCTTGAACTTTTCCACGTAGATATTGAGCTGATTGCGCAACTCCGTCTCGGTTTTGGAGAACGTCAGAACCTGTGCGTTCAAAGCTCGAGAACGGCTCGCTTCTGCCTCCGCTGCCTTGCGTTCCCGATCATATTTGGCAATATGATACTGAACCTCCACTTCCTTCGAGCGTAATAGGGAATGGAAATGCAATTCGCGAAGCTCATATTGATCGAGCAATGATTTGAAGCGTTGCTTGAAACTAGAATATTGCGATTAGAATTCGTGCCAAGGGATAGGGACGACGCCACAAACAGTTCTTCGACCTCTATATTGACAACCTGAGCTTGAGGATGATCTTTGGCCTCCTGGTAATCCTGGAGCTGCCACAGCACCTGTCTGAATTTCTCATCCCAGGCGGTATGGCTCGTTTTCTCTGTATCCTGCAAGGTCTTGTTCTCGCCCTATGCCTCATCCGTCAGCACTTCCAGACGAAAGGTACATCATTTCCTACTGCAGAACGAACCTTGAGTCGATTGTTTTCCCGCTGGAGTTCCCTACAGAGCTTCTCCAACTTTTCCCTCAGAGTCACGGACTTGCTAAGCTCGGTTCTAGCATGGTCCTTCTCCTTCTGCAACATATCGCCACGCTTCTTATTCTTGAGATTCTCGCGTTCTAAACGTTTCATATCTGCAAGGTGTTCGGTAACGCGCTTCTGCAAGGTCTCAATCTTCTGCAAATCGTCCATTTTGGAAGTGAGGTTGTTCAGCTCTCGGTTGGCTTTCTTGACTTCGCGTTCTTTTTGAGGTGTTAGCAAAGCGCTCTTTCGTCTCTTATTGAAGAACGGTTTTGAGAATCCTTGACCCATCTTGGTAGGCACAAAGTGCGAGGGAGGGAACTGCAGAGGGAGAGTAGAGACGGCAATGGGCAAAACCGCATGTGCGGATGCCAAAAGATATTCACTTCCCAAAATTACCCGAAGGGCTTGTGGAATCTTTCTTTACCGTTCACCTCCTCCACTGACAAGGACTTAAACAAGAGGGAGGACTGGAATGGGATTAAACCAACCAATTTCCGCCTCCTGATCTTTTTCGCCCGCAGCATCGAGCTCCAACTGCGAGATCTTGGCCGCTATCAACTTGGAGGCTTCACTATTGTCCGGCATTTTCTTTTGCTTTCCCTTTTTCGAAGCATTTGCCGAGCTGGATTGCTGAGGCGCCCCGGCGTCATGATGATGGTGGGGGACCCCATTTGTATAGGACGAGTCGAGGTGAGGGTGACTCGCAGACGACGCTCTTGAGCCCGCCGACACCGAAGCATGAGTCGGGTTGATGGCGCTCGACATGGTGCATTCCTGGTGCTCGTTGCTTCGAGATCCCAAGCTGGCTGGCGCAAGCACAGCCGCGGATCAGCGTGAGTGGGACGGCTCAGCAGGGTGGTCGTTGAGCTCGTGTCCTCGTGTCCTCGCCGCCTGTCCTCCCAAAGAATGGCGTCCTGCGAATCCCGAGCAGAGTCTGGAAATGTTGTTGCACACGGAGCTAAATCCAAAGCAGGCTAGGTAGCAGGGTGGAATTGCAAAAGAACTTGGTTCGCGCTGTCGACGGACCGCATCAGCGGGGGAGAGCTGTATGAAGCAATATCTATAGATATAGACCCGGACAGCACCCACGGGAAAAAACTCACCAGTGATAATGTTCGCGGATCCGGCCTGGAGGTTCTTTCTCTCTGATGGGATGGGCTCGAGGCAAAGAACTGCCGCGGCATGCTGATTGGCTGCTGCGGCTGACATATAAATTGTGCAAGGGTGCTGGTTATGTAATATTTTTATGCTTTTAGGCGATCCCAGAGCGAGCTCCTCCATAAAGAGTCGTTTTCTTCTTACTCACCTCCTATGCGCTGGTGTAGGTTGTGATAAATAAACACATTTGACAACTTCTACCATCAAGGGTTCAGGATGTTGCGCACCGCATCCAAAGGCGTCGTCCGGAAAGGCGTCACCGAGCTCGCCCAGTATCCCAAGCCCGGAGAGAAGCTGCACGGCTTCACTCTCTTGCGCGCGAAGCATGTCCCGGAACTCGAGCTGACGGCGCTCCATCTGCAGCACGACAAGACCGGCGCTGATTATCTTCATGTTGCGCGGGAAGACAAGAACAATGTGTTCTCGATTGGGTTCAAGACCAACCCTCCTGACGATACAGGTGTGCCTCATATCCTGGAGCATACAACACTATGTGGCAGCGAAAAGTAGCTAGCATCCCATCTTTTAATGAACCCTGGCTGAGTGTTTGTAGATATCCTATTCGTGACCCGTTCTTCAAAATGCTCCCTCGAACTCTTTCGAATTTCATGAATGCCTTCACTGCTTCCGACCATACCTTCTATCCTTTCGCCACCACCAATGAACAGGACTTCAAGAATTTGATGTCCGTTTATCTCGACGCCACATTACATCCGTTATTGAAACAGACAGATTTTACACAAGAAGGATGGAGGATTGGCCCCGAGAACCCTCGGGTTGCGGAGGCTGAGGATTCGGCGAAACCAGAGGACAGCAAACTCGTCTTCAAGGGGGTGGTTTACAATGAAATGAAGGGACAGATGTCCGACGCTGGATATCTGTACTATATCAGATTCCAGGATCACATCTTCCCTGCCATCAACAATTCTGGCGGAGATCCTCAGAAGATGACGGACTTGACATATGAGCAACTGAAGAAATTCCATGCTGAGCATTACCATCCTAGTAATGCTAAAGTCTTCACATATGGTGATATGCCTCTTGCGGATCACCTGAAAGAGGTAAATGCTCAACTCAGCGCCTTCGAGCGAATCCAGGGGGATATGGAAATACGGAGACCGATTGATCTCTCCGGCGGGCCCCAACATATCACAGTCTCTGGACCAGTCGACCCGCTGGTGGACAAGGACATGCAATATAAGACCTCCACATCGTGGCTAATGGGGGACTCGGCCAATATCCTAGAGACCTTCTCGCTTGGTCTGCTGTCTGCCCTATTGATGGATGGGTATGGGTCGCCCTTGTACCGGAACCTTATCGAGGCTGGCCTTGGCACTGACTGGAGTCCAAACAGTGGGTTTGACACTTCAGGAAGGGTAGGAATCTTCTCCGTCGGCCTCACTGGTGTCAAGGAGAGCGACGTTCCTAAAGTCAAGGAAGCCATCCACAAGACTTTCCAAGAGGCCTACGAAAATGGGTTTGAAAAGTCAAAGATTGATGGGTATCTCCATCAACTGGAGCTGAGCCTGAAACATAAAACTGCTAAGTTTGGTATGCGTCTTATGCAACGCATCAAGCCCAAGTGGTTCGAAGGTGTGGATCCCTTTGAATCTCTGGCTTGGAACGACACAGTGGCAGCCTTCGAGAAAGAGTTTGCGAAGGGTGGTTATCTTGAAGGCTTATTAAAGAAATATCTTCTGAATGACAATACCCTGACCTTCACGATGACTCCATCAGCAACATACGGCGATGAACTTGTCCAGGAAGAGGCTGCTCGTCTCGCCGTTAAGATCGCTGAAGTTACAAAACAGGCGGGGAGCGAAACAGAGGCTCGCAAGCAGTTAGAGAAAAGGGAGTTGGAGCTCCTTGAAGAGCAAGGAAAATCAAATACCCAAGACCTCAGCTGTCTGCCAACAGTACATGTCAAAGATATTCCCCGGCAACAAGAAACACATGAGTTGAGAGATTCAAAGATTGATAATGTCAATGTTCAATGGCGAGAGGCACCAACCAATGGTCTTACCTATTTCAGGGCTGTGAACACGTTCGAGAACTTGCCAGACGAACTCAGAGCTCTCATTCCACTTTTCACAGACTCTGTAATGAGATTAGGAACGAGAGACATGTCAATGGAGCAGCTTGAAGACCTGATGAAGCTCAAGACTGGTGGCGTTACTGTTGGATATCATGCCTCTCCTTCGCCCACTGACTTCAGATCGGTTACCGAAGGTATGAGTTTCTCCGGAACAGCTTTGGACCGTAACGTACCTGAAATGTTCCAACTGCTGCGAAAGCTCGTGCTTGAAACAGACTTCGACAGCCCCGAGGCCGAGCTTCGTATTAGACAACTTCTTCAGGGCGCGGCAGATGGTGCGGTCAACAACATTGCCTCTTCTGGTCACGTATATGCCAGGGGCTATGCCGAGGCTGGGCTGACAAAATATGGCCGATTGAAGGAAGAAATCGGCGGCCTATCGCAGGTCAAGCTCGTCACATCGCTTGCCTCACGACCAGAGTCAGAGGGACTCGCTGATGTGATTGAGAAGCTCAAAGCTATTCAACAGTTGGCATTTTCTGGCTCGAGCACGTTCCGAACTGCAGTGACCTGTGGCGGTGAGAGCGTCTCCAACAACGAAGCAGCTCTTCAGAAGTTCCTGTCTTCACTCCCTAGAAACGAGTCCTCTTCGGTCCGGATCCCTACCCCAGATTTGTCGAGGAATGCGAAGAGCTTCTTCCCACTTCCGTATCAAGTATACTACGGTGCTCTCGCCGTCCCAACTGTATCATACACATCACCAGCTGGTGCGCCTCTTCAGATACTCGCTCAGCTCCTAACTCACAAGCATTTGCACCACGAGATTCGGGAAAAGGGAGGGGCTTATGGCGGAGGTGCGTATTCGCGTGGCATGGATGGCATCTTCGGATTCTATTCCTACAGAGACCCGAACCCTCAAAATACCATGACCATCATACGCAATGCTGGCCAATGGGCTGTTGAGAAGGAGTGGACCGATCGAGACCTTGAAGAAGCCAAACTATCTGTTTTCCAAAGCGTCGATGCACCTCAGGCCGTCAGCGATGAAGGAATGACACGCTTCTTATCAGGCGTATCAGATGAGATGATGCAAGAGCGTCGCGAGCGAATGTTGGACGTGACTAAAGATCAAGTGCGGGAGGTCGCGCAGAAATATGTTGTCGAGGCATTGGAGAAGGATGAAGGACGGCTGGTGTTCCTCGGAGAGAAGAAACCCTGGGTCGACGGCACCTGGGAGACCAAGGACATGGGGATCTCATCTCAGGAGCCCGAAGCTGTAGGTGAGGCGGATGCGAAGGCCGCTGCTGTAGGCCCGTAATGGTCAGCAACATGTACGTGTATTTTGTATATTACTTTGTTCCACTCCTATGTTCTATGGCGGCCTTGTAATATAGATCGCTCAAGCGAGCATATATGATAATTCATTGCCTATTGTTGAAATGATCAGAAGGCCAGATTGTATCGAAACAAGCGGAGGCGGGTCGGTTAAACGCGTTTATGTTCTGCTACTCTCCTTTTTTGATACTACGCTTGTTTCTCAAGAGTCAGAGATCTATCAAGATAAACCAAAATGGCAAAACTCGGAGATCCGAATGCCTTCAGATCTCGTGGAAAATCCTTGCGGATTTTTAAAGTCTTGGAGATTAGTCCCCAGGAGGGCTGGTGTTTCTACGGTCGTGTACACTCACGCCTCCACGGTTCCTCAACGCCCATACGGGTCGACTCTCAAGAGCCAGGGTAATCCTACGGGAGACTGTTTCACTCCTTTCGGGCCTTGGTTCTATGTACCCCCCATGAGTCTAATCTCCGCTCTTCTTCTCGAGGTCACCAAGGCGTCCCAAGGTGAGGAAAGATTGCACTGCGCGTGCACGAAGAGCTGTGTATAGACACCAGTAGGTGTCAACTGATTTTAAGGTTAAGCCCCGCGAAGGGCTAATCCCAATACCAAGCTTAGAGCTTGAACTCACTGCCCCCTCCACTTCTGTGGCTCAAGGGATGGATTTAAGAAGGGTGACGTTACTCACATCTTCCAATACCAGCTGTAGATAGTGAAGCGGCTGAGTAAACAACCACCACACCATCCTGCTGAACGGTGAGATCAAAAGCCTTATTTCGTTATATGAGGAGCTTCTGATGGGGGACATTTCATATTCACTCAGTTTTCGAGCGCGAAATGTCACGTGCTGGGTGGTTGTTTTGCTCTCGCTCGATCACCAGCGTAAGCGAGGCTCCCTCCCTTCATATAAATTCCTTACTCTTAACCCTTCCTTCAACACTTTCAGCACAACAACTCCAGGCCATCAACAACACGCTACTACGACAATTCACTTTACCTTGCCTTTTGCTTTTGCTTTTGCTTTTGCTTGGGGGCTTTGGGGATCTTCGACACTACAACCACATACTACATATTGCTCTTGCTTTGCTCTTGCTTTGCTCTTCTTGCTCTTCTTGCTTTTGCTTGGAGGGTTTTGGGGATCTTCGACACTACACCACACACTACATATTGCTCTTGCTTTGCTCTTTGCTCTTGCTTTGCTCTTCTTGCTTGGGGACGGGAGGATCGGTCTACGACACTACGCCATACATTACTTTGACAATTGCTCTTGCTTTGCTCTTCTTGCTTTTTGTTTTCTTTTTGCGTTTTTCGACTTGGGCCCAACTACGCGAACATATTTCTACCTCTCCAGCTCCTTTCAATGGCTGGCAGATCAGATATCATGTCTCCCAGATTGAATCCTTCACCAGAGCAGAGTACCAGGTCTCAGCCCTTACATGGCTATGGCTTGCAGATCATAAATCCTGTCTCATACATTCAATACGCGCTGCGGACAGATTACCACGTCTCCAGCCCCCTTTATTGGCTGGTAGATCACAAGTTATGCCTTCGGGCCAGCGCGACATCAAGACAAGCGCGTCGAGAAACCCGCCGCGAGGCTGTGGGGTCCGACGCCTGATCTCCGTCTTATTTCAGACCTGTCATCCTTGAGCTGTGGGATGGCAGACTAAAGACGCGAGGACATTCTCAATTATATAGAAGAAGCAATGTTATTAGTGTTAAATAGAAGTTCACAAATGCATTATAGTCATGGAATCTTCTTGAGTCTCCGAATTTGACTCTGAGCATTATCCTGTGATATGTCTATCTTTCGAGGGCGCACCAAACCAACGCCACGGATATAATCTACAATCCATATACATATTGCCCATACCCCAGGTTCTATGATAAGTCCAACCTCAATTAGTTCCCCTCAACCGCTCTACTCTCATCACCTCTCGGGAGCTGATCGCAAGCCCTTGCCAAAGTCCTGTACCGACCCCAAACCACATCCTTGGGCAGCATCCCCAACACGCTCTTCAGCCTCTCCTTCTCAAACGGTAACTTCTCCAACTTAATTGTCTCCAGGATATAATTCACCACCGTCGTTATCTGCAACGGCACTTCGCGAAGCAGCGCCGCTATGTCCTGTAGCGAGAGATCGGGATTATGATACCAGAGGAAATAGCAGCGGAGCGAGGCCGGCGCGGCGCGGTTCTTAGGATGCGAAGCGCGGTAGGAGACGGAAAGCGCATCAGCGGCAAGCACGGCGGGATGTTTTGGAGCACGGGATGATTTAGATGGGGTTCTGGATCGGGTGGTGGTTGGGGAGCTGGCGGTGGGGGCCTGGATGTCGAAGTCGGGATCTAGCTCGAGGGTCTCGGCGGCGGATTCTAGGTAGGAGGGGGTGAGCTTCGTGTACTTCCGTTTTGATGTCGTGGAGGGTTCGAGCTCGTCGGGATCGAGGTCCTCGTCGGTAGGGATTTCTACGCCTTCGGCGAGACGGATGGGTTTATTTTCTTCGGCGTGGTATGGACGGGGTGGGGTTGGATCTAGAGCTTTACGCTTTATTTCTAGGGTATCATAAAGATGCACTCCAGCGTAAGAATCAGAAGCTGCATAAATAATCTGATCCATAGCCAATGCCTGGCTCCAGTCACTGCCTCTGACTTCTCCTTTGAGCATAGGCAGATGAAGATGTTCTTGGACCTGAGTAGCGAGCGAGACCAGCTTTTTATTGATGAGCTTGAAGTCTTTCGACGAGGAGAATTTCACCAGTTTGTAGAGGTGACTGAGTTCGAAAAGCCCTTTGGCATTGATGTTTAGGAACTTTCGAAGACGGGTGCAGTCGGCCTTGATCGCCACACCAACCTTGCTGATAGATGGATCCTCCATGATTTCCTTGAGTTTGGGGGCAACCAAGTCCTGGATTCTGTCCCCCGGGTATAGCGCGATATGGAAGAGGGCTATTCGGTCCTCGCTGGCTAGTTGGATCAAGGACACGTTTTTCTTGATTCCTGAGTTCCTATTCGAATCCGGTTTCCACTCAATATCGAAGCCAAGCACTTTCTTGCCACGGAAGTATTGTTCCAAAACCCTCTCCGTTGTATGCTTGCTTTTGCAGTAGTGGACTTTGACTTTGGTTTCCACTCCATCTACTACTGGGCCGCGGTACAAGGTATGGGACCAGAAGGATTCGGGCGAGCCCGGCGCCGCATTTTTCGCTCCGCGAAATATCTCTTCGGACATCTTGAACAATGTTGTTGATAGTGGGACTTCATTCTGCTCTGGATCTTCCAGCAGACTTTCGTCTGCTGGCGGGTTTGCTTCTGCTGTACCATCTATGGCTGGAACGCTGGATATTTCCACGGCGGTGGTTTCTGAGGTAGACCTAGCCTCCGCTTTCGAGTGATCCTGCCCAACATCCGCCCCAATTGTCGTACTTATGGTTCGAGGAGTATTGATCCTGGAGTTCCCCCTGAACACAATAGCGCAGCTTGGGTTCCATAATCTCTGCAGGCTGGGTATGGAAGGACGAGCGGCAGAAGAACTACATATGAATCTTAGTAACTTCCATATTCTATGAAGATAAATGTATATATACGTACAAGGACTGTCCCATCCTAGACAAAGCGGTTGTTGACCTCATGCCATTAAAAACAAGACTTGAAGAATCCCCCACGTCTGCCACTGCAACGATAGCCGGCCGTCGTATTGCCTTGCCCATCCGTGATGCTCCATGGCCACTAAGGAGCATGACGCGAGCGCATATCAAAGAGTTGGAGTATGTCTCTCTACTCAATGGGTGAGGCGGGCAGACGCGCCGTTGCCTGCCGCGCGCGAGCGAAGTCGAGGATGATGCAAACCGAGCAAACATCGGAATCACGAGAACTTCAGAATCTCTAGAAAGATTGCAGGTGACCAAACGAAAGACGCCAGATTCACGAACCGAACATCTGTCAGGTAACTCAGGATCTGATGAGCGATATTCATTCTTCTCTGTGAATACCCCAGTTCTATCTTTGGTATGTGCAATTGCTTTCTTTCTTTCTCTCTTTCAACATAGGTATGGCTTCACGTGCCTCGAATTCTGCTATGGCTGGCCCTTGGCCTCTGTGTCTTGTGTCTGGTCCTATGCTGGGAGCGAAAGAGCGCCTTTGATTGGTGTCCTCTCTCATGGGATTCAAATCTAGTATGCATTCGTATTCTCTTTATCTAACTGACGTTCCCGTTTACAGATTTGTGTTCTTCGCACAAAACGGTTTCGCTATGGCCTCACAATTATTGCCTCTAGGTATGTGGTTCCAGCCCCCTTGCCAGGCTCCTTGTCTGACTTTCTCACCAGAGCTTATCGACAAGTGTGTGGGATCTAAGATTTGGGTTGTCATGAAGGGCGACAAGGGTATGCTCCCCATGCTCTGTAAATCTCGGTGCACAAATCATGACGGCGTCTCCAGAATTCAGCGGTACCCTCCTTGGCTTTGATGACTATGTCAGTAAGTATTTGAATTGCCTTGTTACTCAAACTCTCGTTGCTGATTAGCTTTCAGATATGGTGCTAGAGGATGTCACAGAGTTGTAAGGATGCATCACCCTTGGTCCTGTCCTCCTATTTACCTGCTTGTTTGTAGCGACTACTCAGGAAACCACACTAAGCTTTCGAAAATTCTTCTAAATGGAAACAACATCTGCATGGCAAGTACCCTGCTCTATTCATGACTTCTGGGGCGCTGACCCAGGTGTAGTTAATACCCGGTGGAGAAGGTCCAGTTGCGGCGGCATCATGATGGACTGGGTGTTGGTGATCAATACTGGGAGAGACTGGTATTGGTTGGGCGTTGTTTTTCTGATATTTAAACTAGGTTCTAGCTGAATCCATGCAAGTTTTTAACAATGGCCTTACGTTTAAATCGTTTGACGTTGCACTCTGGAACCCCTTGCATTCCTTTGGCTTCTTCTCTCACCCAAGGAAGTTTCTTGCTTTAATCGATTCTGCATAGCTCCATCTTCAAACCCTGAGACCATAAAGGATGCTGGATACACCAAGGCGCGGCAATAAGCGTGCCAATGCCCTACATTCCCCTCGAGCCCCAGGAAACGAACGGCTTGTCCACATCATAAAGAAAAGCAAGACCATCCTCACCATAAGTCAATCCCTATCCCTTTCTCCTACCTAAAAGCATCTCCAAGATCAAGTTTCTTGGGATTTCCTCCACAGCAAGAAAGAAAGACGCTATCAGCTTTGGATATCAAGAGAAAGGAGGCGAGTCAATACCCGTTTCTACAACACAAATGAATTCCTAGGTTGGAACGAATTCGCTGGCATATTGGATTGTTATGTAGGTGGTTTCATAGAGAATACCTAATCATCGTTTACTGCGAGATGGCACACGTCAGGGGATACCTATGTAGGTAGGTACCTTACTCTCTGCTATTTGAGCAGATAATGGATTTTAATCGTAGTAAATAAGTTTGATAGATCATCGTAATCAGAAAGGTAGAAATGCTTGATGCTATTCACGATGGATTACTTAATTTGGTAACTTGTATCTTCAACTTCCACTTTCTCAGTATTGAAACTGTGGTAATGGTATCTTATTCTTGATCCCCGGGATATTAAGAGCTAGTCCACCGAGAGCCTTAGATAAAGGTTTTGTGAACTGTCGAGCTCGCTCAGCAGCACTACATGCGGGAGAATGCACAGTTCATGAAGAGAGCAGGAATTTATACATTGACGGACGAGGCCCCTCCTAGACATCTCGTTTATGCGTTAAGTTTAGCAGCAGGCTCTCCTGCTCCAAATCCCCGAATCCGATCACGCGGCAATATTCTTGTACCCCTCCATACCTCTCGCGAATATACTCGTCCATCTTCTCGACCCAGTCCTTGGGACAACGTGCGAATTCCTCCGTGAGACCAATGGATTGAATCTCCGCCATTCTGCTCTCCTTCTCTGGAAGCAGTTCTTCTTCGCTCATGCAATAATCATTTGTTATTGCGCTGAGAGGGATTTCAAGCAGGAAAAGAATCAAGGCAATGATGAGACCGGTACGATCTTTGCCTTGGGTACAGTGGACTAGAATCCCATAGTTAGGGAGAGATGTGAATGCTCTGAGACTCTGAAAATGGTTATTATGGATAGTGAAAGGGGTAGAGCAAGACCTACTTCGGCGATTTCGGGCCCGCAGTGGTCGATCGAATCGAATCCCAGCCCAATAAGACCGCGGGGTTGCAAGACTTCTCGTCCGAGGATACTGACTGCTTCCATGCGGTATCCGAAAGCCGTCAGCGTAAGTAACTTCCTGAGGTGTGATCAGTGAGGGTAAACGCGGGCTGACCCAAAGGAGGGAATAGAGCTCACGCTAAGCTCCAGGTCGACAGCCGCCACAAGAGACTGCGCTCAAACCCCTTCCCATTGATATTGACCTCAAGGTAATTGATACCGGGGATCTTCACGGGTTCTGCAAGGGTACCGTTTGACTGGACAGGTGCCGCAAGGGCTTCCCGTTTCTTTGCTTGGTTTTCATGTTCGGTCCTATCAGTAGTCAGAGGAGCTTTATCTAAATTGATCTAGACTACTCACACTGTGCGCAAATCTAGGATGGTCTTGATATTATATTCTTCACGTAGCCGGACACGATCAGACGGTGTTGCATCGTCTGAAATAAGGGTCAACCCAGTGCCATCGAGACCGACGGTCTGGCAAAAAACTAACCAGGTCTGGCGGAGCGATAGAGCCGTCCCTCCGCAACACGTCTATTATCAGGACAATCAGCTTCAACCAGCCATTTCTAATTGTTTTGTCTACTGGGACGTTGAGAGGGTAGTAATGAAGAAAGAGAAGAAATTGATTCATACTTCTCTCCTAAGAAATCATTGATCGTTTTCCCAACATCGCGAAAATTCAGGATGTTGTCGAGCGGATGTCTAACATTTTCTTTACCAGGGTCCACCTCCACAGGCGCTTTGACGTTGGCCATGGTATCTCCAGCCTATTTATAGCCTCCCAATGGGCGGCTCAATTGAGCGGTCTGCAAACTTGTTGGAGCTTGTCCACGTGGAGGCTTAGAGCCAGGAGAAGGAGGGCGAGAAGGGCTCACAAAGGAGAGCTGAGGCAAGGAGAGTTGAGGTCAACGTTGCGCTCCCTGACTCGCCCGAGACGCCCGAGACGCAGGGGATAACCCGGTGCCGATCAGATTGGCGCGGGAAAGGGTCTGGACTCTGGAGTACAGGCTCCGCAGTATAGTGACTTCACCTTCGGACGGTTGTCCGTACGGAGCAAGATATGAGCAAGGCCAACTAAAACTGTAAGACAAAGTTGCGTAGGGTAGCGTCCACACCCCCGGTTCTGTATAAAAGCTCCGCGCAGCCATCATTATTGTCCGATGGCGAGTGACATAGACCCTTGTTGTTGACCAGAAACCAAGAAACAGGGAAGAGATGGGCAGGGTCTAGGTCACATGATCTCGGCGGATCGTTTGCCCAGCGCCTTGGCCCATGACATCATCACTCGATTGCCCCGGGCGAAGCTCCCTGGCGTGATGATGCCCGTGATGATGATGAGATCTATATATACGGGCAATATCATTATTCTCCCCGCAAACCTCGGCTTTCTTCCTCAACCCTCCCCTCCCTCTCCTTCGACGAGCCTTCACCGTTATTCTACGAGTATCAAGTATCGAGTATCGAGTATCGAGTATCGTCTGTCCCAGTATCGCATCGCCAAAGCTATAGCAAGCACGTATCGAGTGCCCTTGTAGTTGGTCGAAGGGAGACAGCAGAGGCCCTCTCTCCTCTCCTCTACATATCCTCTTCACATTTTTCCTTCGTCGATCCTAGATACACCCGTCTGATCATCCTTGTTACTTCCCCACTCCATCTCGATCATGGCGGTCGAGGTGCAACCAGCGACGACGTCGGTTGTGCCGACGGGGCCAATCGAGACGGTCCGTCAGCCTCAGAGATCATCCGCGACGCTTGAGGATCAGGCCGCCAGAACCGCCTTGTATATTACCAACTACGATGAGCTCGTCACCCCGGCAACCAGAACCGGGCACGAATACCTCGACAGCGATTACAGATTGTCGTCTGCTGGTTAGTTATTCCCTTGTTACGTCCCCGGAACCTGCGGACCCCGTCCAACAGTCGGCTGATATTTGTGTTTGCAGGCGCTGCAGCATCTCTCAAGTACGCGAATCCTCGAGACCTTCCCAGCTATCCCTCTACCGGCTTCAAAAGAAGCGACTCAGCTGCCGGCGCCGCGGCAAGCCTAGGATGGGCAAACCAGAAGCCCTTTGAGCTTTGGCAACCAGATCCGTCGGCATCCGCATCTGCTGCGGCCATATCGGCGAAGGATTATAAGATGCCGCCACTCTGGCAACCCGAACAAAGTTCACATGGCGCCAAGGCGGCTCTCGTAGCACAGAGAGGTGGCGGAAAGGTCGATATCTGGCAGCCGCAAACCTCATCCTGGGGTAATTCTGCCGCCTCGCAGGCGCTGAGGAAGCACAGTACCGGAGGCTTGTCTCCTGTGCTCGATTACGGGTACACCGATCTAGGCCGCAGGCGGTCGGTCATGGCTGCATCAGGCGCGATGTCCCAAGGTAGAAAACGAGCCGAATCAACGCCAGTCGAGCACCCCAAAGCCAAAGTTGAGACTTATCCAGATGAGAAGAATGCTAGCGCCAATGCCTTGAGGGCTGCCACATCTGCTTCTAGACGGCAGAGACGTGGCGATGCCTCCACGGAGATCGGAGCAGTCAACCCAGTCACTGCCTTGCCACGGGATATGTACACATCTCAACCGCCTGTTGCTCCTGAGGTCGATGAATTGAACAGGCAGAACAGCCTGCACGCATCAGCTGTTGCGATGGCTAAGGGAATGTATAATCAGCAGCAGAGGCAGTTTGAAGCCGCCTCGAACGCCCATTATGGAGCCGCAGCGGCTCACGCTAGAAGAGTCTCGACGTCTACATCCGATGACGAAGTACAACCAGGACGCTTCAGCAACCTTCAAGATGCGGCGCAAAAGTTAGCCCAAGAACGTTTGGCCAGGCTGCATGACGAGCATGCACGAAATCGCGAATACCGCGATTACTATGGGAGCCCCCAGCCAACGTCGAGGATCTCAACCAGGGGCAGAGCTAGACGCCGAGCGACAAGTGAGGGCGCTACGGCCCCGGATAAAGATCGGCCCAACAAGACTCGAGCGGACATGTCATTATTTTCTAGTAGCCTATCCCAGGTTGACGCGAAGAAACGGCAGGCAGACCGGGAAGCCTTGATCGCTGCAGCACAGCGAAATGTGAGACAAAGTTTACATGGCATGGATGAAAGAGTTTTTGCCGATACAGGCAAAGTGGCTCCCTCCTTGCTTAGTGAGTGGGAGCTGAAGGCCCATGCTGCTGCGCAAGAACAGAATGAGAACCGTGTGGAGAATTATGGGAAGGTCCATATTGGTGGTGGGAAGTTTGTTGATCAGAGCGAAATCGATATGGTCGCCCAAAGAAATATCCAACCAGTTCTGGATGAAATCAATGAGGCCGCTGATGGGGAGAGAGAACGCCAAGCGGCATTAAAAGTGGAGCGAGAAACCCATACTAGGAAGTCTACTGAGCAGAAGACAAGGGATAAGGAGTCCAAGGCAATTAATAAGAAACTGAAACGTATGCTAGTCCTGTTTTATTTCTGATCCAACTCGAGCTAATTCGTAACAGAACAAGACAAAGAGGAGGAAAAGATGCGGAAGGCTGAAGAGAAGGCAGCCAAAAAGGAAGAGGCGCGACGGGCAAAGGAAAAGCGCAAGTCTGGAAGGCATGGTGCTCAGGAGGCAGAATCAGCTGAGGAGGCAGTAGTCACTGAGCCAGCTGCCACTGAGCCAGCAGTCAGTGAGCCCGCAGCCACTGGACCTGCTGTCACTGAGCCCGCAGCCACTGGACCTGCTGTCACTGAGCCCGCAGTCACTGGACCAGCAGCCACTGAGCCAACTGTCACTGAGCCAGCAGTTGCTGCACCCGTGGCTGTTGCGGAAGAACCAGTCGCAATTGCACAACGCCGCTCAGTCTCCGAACCGGCGCCTATCCGTACGTCGATGGAAGACCAGGCCAGTTTGCGTATGCGCGAGCTCGCCGCAGCTGCGAATAGAGACAACATGATCGAGACTCCCCCTACGCCGCCTGCGAGCCCGCCCGGGAACAAGAGGGTTAGAAATTGGTTCAAGAGTAGGTTTTCGAGGCGGAAGAACCGATCCCTTTCAGAGAACGAGAAATCAAAGAAGGAGGGTTTTGTTGGTGGTGCTGCTCTGACCGGTGCAAGTGCCAATAATAGCACCGCGAGTCTCCACGGCGCTCACCCCTCCTCAGTGCGCGATGTAGCCATGGCGGGCAGGCCTAGAGAGGAGGCTAGAGAGGAGGCTAGAGAGGCTGTTAAAGAGGCTCCTAGAGAAGAGCAGCCGGTCCTCGAGTCTCAACCGGAGAGAACAGCAGGCAGGACTGGGCGTCGAGCGTCAGAAGTCAGCTCGGTCTCCACAACGGAAATAGCTGGTACGGCGGATGAAGAAGAATTCCAGGAAGCGAGAGATAACTTCGACGAGGCACTTACCTCTCACCCCGTAGAGAAACACGTTACTCCTGTACGGGACGACGAGGCACTTACCTCTCACCCTGTAGAGAAAAGCGTTAGTCCTGTACGGGACTCGAAGTTCACGGAAGAGATCTAAAAGCATCAACGAACTACGGCTGTATTCTCACCAAATTCCCGAACAGCCTTGTCGATTTTTGTGTTCGTCCCTTGTTATCCCTCTGTATGCGTTCAGTTTGGAGTTTTGTCGGCTCGGGGCCTTGGTTAGGAAATGGTCATGATGAGAGGAAACTGGCTGTACTATACTGCACACCTATACTGCACACTCTATTATATATGCAGGTTCCGATTGCTGATGTGCTGTACATACTGAACGAGTAGGATGAAGGCGTTTCGCAGGATACGTTTGCCCATCAGGGTTTCTTGGGGTCTTTGTTTTACGTTAGGATGTTCACTTCCTCGAAATATTGGAGGGTCTATTAATATAGTGAGCATATTCACCTTTCCATGGGGGTCCTATCTATAAAACTTCCGTCTTCATTCCTTCAGGGGAGTGCCATCCATCCACTCATTAGCACCTATAAATAAATACATTGACCAACACTACATTCATGTGCCCCGTGCAGTCACGCTTGGAACTCACTACCGAGGCCAGCAAGTAAGAGGGCTAGGGGACCAAGCCGGAGTCTCCGTGCGGAGTGTCATAGAGAAAGCGGAGAGTCGGAGTTGATAAACGTAGTATGATACTTCCCCACATGGTGTGGATTGGTGTATGGCTGGCTTTGGATTCATTGGGATGATGATATAGATGATGGTGAAGAGATCAGGAGGAGAGTAGACAGCACGAGGGTAGAAGAAACATCTGAATTGGTTGATGAATGGATAGGAAGGGAATATGGTATACCTTACCTATCCAACTTCTCAGCACAAGCTGTAAGTGGCAAGGGGAACAAGGCAGGCGATGGTTGACATCATTGAGATTTAAGATTTGAATCTCTAAGGGCTGCTGATACCCTTCATTTGCCAGAATTGCACGACAAACAATAGTAAACCAGTGCAAATTAGTTATAAGATATATTTTCTCCCTGTGAGGTTGTCACAGTAAGAGGCACCGATGAAGTCATCGATCGCTAGCCCTGGACCCCTTTTCCTTAGCGAGCTGGCCGATCAGGACCCCGCAGGCACATGACCTCTATCATGTGATCTCGTCTAGCATTCAGCCTTGCAACGAGTTCGGTTTCCTTCAGCCGCGCGGGATTGAGCTTTGCGCCACGGAATGCCTTGACTTGCTTTGTCTTGCTTGACTTGGTCCACCAGCGCCCTCTCTGATGGACTATCTTAGCTGATCTCTCCTCTCATATTCCGCACTATGGCTGTCTCGCCCCTCATCGTACCTCCAGGCTCTGAAAGAGCCACTGCGGCTACCAAGTCCAAGCTCTCAACAACTCAAGTACCATCTAATGGCGCGACTCCAGAGCCCGCGCATGCAATCAACGGCGCGGGCCCTGATCTTGCAGAGCAGATGAATGAAGATGAGAAGCATAAATACGTCAAAGGTGCGCCGTCTCCATCGAATTCTGACCCCATTCAACTAACCTCTATGCAGGAAAGAAACTCGGTGAAGGTACCTATGCGAACGTCTACCTAGGCCACCTCCGCACCGATCCCTCGCACCTCGTGGCTATCAAAAAGATCAAAGTGCAAAAGGAATACACCGAGGGCATGGCACCTGACGCCATTCGCGAGCTCAAACACCTACAGGAGCTCTCGCACCCGAACATCATCTCCCTCCTCTCGGTCTTCTCCTCCAAAGACCAGAACCTCAACCTCGTGCTCGAATACCTCCCGCTCGGCGATCTCGAAATGCTGATCAAGGACATCGAGGGCGTGCGCTACGGCGCGCCCGACATCAAGGCCTGGATGGGCATGCTCTGCCGCGCCATCTGGTTCTGCCATGAGAACTTCGTGCTGCACCGGGATATCAAGCCCAACAACCTGCTGATCGCGGCCGACGGCGAAGTCAAGCTCGCGGATTTTGGTCTGGCCCGCTCCTTCTCCGATCCCTACCGCCTCATGACCTCCAATGTCATCACGCGCTGGTACCGCCCGCCCGAGCTGCTCTTCGGCGCCAAGCACTACTCGGGCGCCGTCGACATCTGGTCCGTCGGGCTGGTGTTCGCCGAGCTCGTCATCCGCACGCCGTACATAGCGGGCGATACCGAGGTGCACCAAGTATCGCTGATCTGCCAAGCGGTGGGGACGCCAACGGAGGAGGTGTGGCCGGGCGTCAGCTCCCTGCCCGAATACACGGTGCCCGACCCGCCGAATCCCGTGCGCGGCAAGGATCACTACCTGGCGACGTTTGGGACGGCCGGCCAGGAAGGCGTGGATCTGCTGATGAGCATGCTGGTGCTGGATCCAAGGAAGAGGATCACGGCTAGGGAGGCGCTGCAGCATGCGTGGTGGGCGAGCGAGCCGAAACCGACGCGCAAGGAGGACTTGCCGAGGAAGAAGGGAGGGGAGGAGAAGGTTACGGAGGATTTGAAGAGGAGGCCAGGCATCTTGGATGATGAGCGCGGGACGAAGGTAGCGCGGAAACTCGACTTTTCGAGTTTGAAGTAAGGGGAAATGTTATATACCAAGGCGGGGGACAGAGATATAGGGCGTTCTAGGGGTGCATTACATATACATGGTGGTGTTCGGCATGTCAAATTTGACCCAAAAAAAAGTCGTTGAATAGGTTCCAGAGAATCATGACTCCTGCAGAGAGCCAACTTCGTAACATTATATATGGTATCACTAATCACTATATACGATGATCAAGAACCTTCCTCCACTGTCATTTACTCACATAGCCAAGCAGCCAATCCCATACATGGCGCGCTCGACATCCCTCCGCACCGAATACCAATCGGCCCTCCGCTCCGCAAACTCATAAACCTCTTCGGCGCGGAAGATGCCATGGAAGCGATCGCCGTCGGCGATGATGGTGGCCATCTCCTTGGCGTGCTTCGGGTCGATGAGGTAGATCTGGCTCAGCTCGCGCAGGGCCTTGAAGTACTGCAGCAGGTCCTGGTTGCGCAGGGTGCGGATGTAGCCGAAGTAGAGGTTCATGTCGGAAATCAACTTGACGGCGCCGTCGGTCGAGATGCGCTGGCGCTTGAGGTGCTTGCAGAGCGCCGCGAAGAGGCGCAGGCCGACTTCCTGGTTGAAGACATCCAGCATGTTCTTGTCTGTGCTGCCAACCAGCATCTTGGTGTGCGCCTCGACTATCGTAACCACCTGCTCGGCGGCCTTGGTCGGTCCGATGTCCATGTCGACCGCGCTGCTGTTCGCATCCGGCTGCGGGTTGTAGTCGGTGGGCGGCTGGAGCGTGGCGCAGACGTACTCGACTTCGTCCATCAGGACGTCGATGCCTTTGTTCAAGCCGGCGGCTACACGCTCGTCGAGCATCTGCTCGAATTTCTTCTTGGCTTTGCCAGCTGGATCGAGGAAGTCGTTTCGATCAGCTAGCTTGGTGGCAGCGAGTTGCTGTTCATAGAAGACGTCTATCATCTGGGAAATTAAGTCCCCAACATTCACAAGTTCCAAGAAGGTGACCAGGGGTGCCACACCCTGCTGATGCTCGCTGACCTCCCGCGGGTTGTATTTTGAGAGGTGCTCTACGGCTTTATCGAATCCGCTCTTCACATGCCGGTTTCCAAGAATCTGAAGAAGGTCAACGAAAATCGCCTCGCACTGCTCTCGAGCTTCCTCCCCGGTCTGGCCTCCAAGACGGACAAAGAGCGCCGCCCTTTCAATACTAGCTTTGGCAGCATGAGTCAAATTTAATGCAACTTCGATGCTGAATAAAGACCGGATACCCTCAAGCCTTGAAGCCATCAGAGCGGCTTTGGCAGCAAGTTCATCTGTTGGAGCCTCAGCAGGGAGTGGTGATCCAGTTCTATCACCCGGGACCACCCCTGGAGATGGTGATCTCGAAGGGGCGGGGGATATCGCAGCGGGAGTCAAGCTGGCCGAGCTTGCTATCGTTGGTGTAGGCGTAGGTTTGCTGGCAGCAAATGGAGACGAGAGCGGTAAGCTGGGTAGAACGTTCACTGGCATCATGATTACCTTCTTGAAGGAGCTCAGAAAGTCTTTCTTGTCTGCCTGTCGATTGAAATTTGCCATGAAGAATGATTCCGTCGTAGCTTCTTGTTCCGAAAGCTTATTCTCCCAATTCCCCACTTCAGCCTCTGCCAGGCCCTTGAAATAATCAAGCTCTTCTTGTAGATACAGATCCACATGTGGTTCGAAGACCTTGGAAACAACCATCTTGACTTTCTCGAGGAAATCATCGCCCGAGTTTCTTGAGGGTTTCAGGCTTAGGCCAAATTGCATAGTCTGCTCGAAAATGCCCGAGACTGCCTTTAAATACGAAGGTATACTTCGTGCGTGCGCTTCGTCAAAGAGAGCAGTGTCATATTCCATCAGAATATCCTCTCCCACCTTGTCCAGAAGTATCTGCAATACATCCTCCCCTTCTGGGAATACCCGGTCGATTATATCTGCCTGCTTGTTCAACTCCTTCGAAAGATTCGCCAGAAAGCTGCGAGACGGATCGAGGGATATACCCCCTGAGGGAGCTTGGTTGAGGCAATCCATTGAATTACGAAGTACTTCTCGATCCGAGAAAATGGGATGCTTTTGCACGAATAGCTCTATCCCTGCATGGCCCCCATTCAGCACGCCGAGGACATGAGCATATCGACGCATTCTGCCGTCAATATCCCAAGCTTCATAGCCTTGCTCAAACTCTCGTAAGACAGCGTTCTCAAATATCCCAACCATAGTCTCCAGCTTTTCTTCCCGCTGTCTCCACCCCTGTGCCCAATCACTCTTGGCAAACACTTGTAGATGCGATAACATCCGGGCTTGCTGCTCCGGATCTCGATAGACCCTGAAAACAATAGGATCCATATGGCTCTTCGACCGCACCAGATCAAAGTAGAACGGCGCCAACGCCGCGTATATCTTCCCATACTCGACCCTCGCCGACCCCCTAATGGATTTAACATCCGCAAACACATTCAGCAGATCCTCCGCGTTCAGCATCGGGGCTCTCGTCGCCCCGCCCCTCGACGAAAGCGGCGGCGACATCGTCAAGCTCTCCAACCCATCCGCCTCCGCCCTCGCTGCAATTCTCTCATTCAACTCAGCCGACCTCCTCAAGCGATCCTCCTCCACGCCCGCATCAAACAACGTCGTGCTCGTCGGCATCGTCCTCCCACCAACCCCAATGCCGATCCTCTTCCCCTCCTCCTCCGCCTTAATCCTCGCCATCTCCCTCCTCTTCCTCAGCGCATCCTCGAACCGCCGCCGCGCCTCCCCATCACTCCACACCCCCATCGCTTTCAGCCGCCGCACCCACCGCGAGTCCTCGTACACCATCTCGCGCATGCGCGTCGACGTCCGCGCGAACACCAGCTGGTCCGCCACCGGCAGGTAGTCCAGAATCGACGCGATGATCTCTGCGGGCAGCACCGCTTTGCTGGTCCCCGTGCTGCTCATCTGCACCGCTTTCAGTGAGCTGATGATGTGGTTCATGCCGGGCCCGCCCGCGACGGGCGATCGTGGGAAGTGTGACATGTTGCCCGTGTCGAGGTTTGGAAGGCTGGAGTCACCGCTCCTTCATGCTGCGTCAATTGAGAGTGCGGCGTTTTGGTGAGGGGGTTTGTTTATGGACGTTCCTCGCGTTTGGAGGATGTCAGCCTGGAGCAACCCGCCGCCTCGCTTATTGGAAATGTGGAGTAGCTATATACGAGGCTGAAAGTTGAACCTCCTCTTCCAAGTCCTTTGAACCCTGTTTTTATTTTCTTGCCAATAGGTAGGTATACATGGTTCTTCAGTAAACTTTTCTAGTACGACATATGTTGAACTACGAATTTACAAATTTTATATGTCCAGATCTGAAGGACGAGTATTTTGTTCCTTAAATTGGATCAGGAGATGGAGATATCATCACAACTGCAGGGCTAAAGACTTTTTGACTTCTATTAGAATATTCTCCGAGGTGCATTCATTAATTTCTATCCTATCATTTATATTATTTCGTTATTTTCAGTAATAATCATATCCTCTATTTTTGTATTCACATAGGTAAGCACCACACCACAACGCCCTGAATTGCATACTGGTGATTCGAGATGAAGATCCGCTCTACGAATATATTCCCGATCCTAGACATCGAAGTCCTCCCTCCGGATACCTCCTCTATCACACATACTCCTGAAGAGACCACCGCGTTCGTACAAGGCGTATGGAGTATCCAGCTCCGCAATGCGGCCTTGATCCATGACGCAGATGCGGTCGTAGTTGATGATGGTCTTCAGCCGGTGGGCGATGCACAGTAGTGTCTTGCCCTTGAAGCCCGTAGCGATAGTTTGCTGGATCTTATCGTCAGTCTCCATATCGACGGACGAGGTGGCCTCGTCGCAGATGATGATCTGGGAGCCGCGGACGAGGGCGCGCGCCAGGGCCATGAGTTGCCGCTGGCCCAGCGAGAAGTTGAGACCTTCATCTTCCACGATGCCGTCGAGATGGATACGTCCGGGTGATTTATCGTCCAGACTCGCGTCCGCGGAGACGAGATCGGACTGGCGAAGGGCGGACCAGAGTTCGAGATCGGTGTGCTCGTTGAAGGGGTCGAGATTGCTTCGGATAGTACCTTTGAATAGGGTGGGGTCTTGCGGGATAATCGCCAAACGAGATCGTAAATCGTGAAGACCGATGGTGCTAATATCCAGACCATCGATGGTAATTGAACCTCCTGAAAGTTCGACAAGTCGGAATAGAGTTGACATGATACTGGATTTTCCAGCGCCTGTACGGCCAACGACCCCAATTCTCTCGCCCCCTTTAACGTGCATTGACAAGCCGTTTAGCACAAGAGGTAGGTTTTCACGGTAGCGCATTTGAACATTGTTAAATATGATCTCGCCAGATTCGGGCCAAGATTTCCGCACTTCGACGGTATGAAGTGGCGCCTCCTCTTCAAGTGATGTTCCGTAGTAGTGAAGACGTTCCGTGGCGTTCATTCCATTTTCGACTTCTGCGAGTTGTCTGACAGTGAACTGGATCATTTGAACGATAGACAGGATATAGCTCAGAACCAGACCGGCAATGGATGGCGATACATCGAAACGAGAGGTAACAACCAGAATACCCGTAACAAAAACCAGGAGATTACCTATAGCATCCAAACGTGTTGATAGCCAACGTTGATTGGCAAAGGTAAGGAAGTAGGCACTGTCCATCTCATCGATTGCAGCTCGAAGATTGGCAACGAATTGATCTTTCAGCCCGTAAGCTCGGATGCTGGCTGTCCCCGATAACCCCTCGCTGAATTTAGCAAAGACGTTGGAGCGAAGAACGGACTCGAACCGTTTCATCTCTCTTGCCGATGCGCGATAATAGCCCGCCGCGAAGAGGAACAGTAGGAAGAGGGGTCCAAGGGCGATGGCGAAGTAATGGAAGTATGCGATGATCAAAGAGAAAACGGATATGATCTGTGCCATTGTCAAGAAGTACATCCTCATGGCATCTGTTAGATTATTATCCATCACATCTACGTCTCGGGAGAAGCGATTCGTAATTCGGCCAAGGGGAGTGGTGTCAAAGAATGACATGGGCGCTCGAAGTGCGCGTTTCATAGCTCGACCGAGCATCCTCTTACTTGCCCTTGTGCCGAATACCGTAAGACTAAAGGCGAAGAAGAACAGTAAGAGGGCTTGAACAGCACCAAGTGCAGCGTAGACGCCGATATAGGTACCGGTAGAGTAGCCCCAACGATTGGATGTCCACCAACTCACTTGTCCTCTGTTAGCAAGCAGATCTCGACGGTATAGAAGATAGGGGACTTACGCCAAAGACTGGTTGTAATATTGGCGCCTTGCGATAAAATGAGGAGAGCCAAGACAAAGGGCGCGACAAGAAGACTGCCAGATGCGCGGACGTAGTCGAGATAGACAGACCAGGGCACACTGTCGACAGCTCTCTCTTCAGCTTGCATCAAGGCAGGGCCCTTCTTCTGTTTCTTCTTGATGTCCTTCTTCTCCTCCTCGACCTCGTCTTCTTCGCCCTCGCCTTCCGTTTCCTGCTTCTCCTCTACGGCCGTCGTCTCCATCAACAGCTGGAAGCCGGCGTGGTCCCTCATAAGGTTCTGGAACGTATCTATGGCCTGGATCTTGCCATCTTCCATCCAAATGATTCTATCACATCGGTTGAGAACCCAAAGTTGGTGGGTCGCCAGAATTCGGCACTTGTCCTTCAGCAAGCCCATTATTGCATTATCGAAGATATGGCGACCGACGTGGGCATCGACAGCGGACAGTGGGTCGTCCATGATGATCAGGTCAGCATCGAAGTAGATAGCTCGAGCGATATTGAGTCTCTGCTTTTGCCCACCGGAGACAGTGATACCTCGCTCTCCAATTTCCGTCAGGTCGCCATTTGGTAGCATCTCGAGATCAGTCTGCAGAGCGCAAGCGTCAATGACACGCCTATACCAGTCTGCATCCATTTCCTTGCCGAAAAGAATGTTTTCTTTCACTGTCGCATTTTGGATCCACGCGTATTGCGGACAGAATGCTCTACTCGCACCCATCGTAACATTACCTCTCGTTTTGCGCATATCGCCGGCAAGTGCTGCTAGAAGAGAACTCTTTCCAGATCCAACACCGCCAATAACGGCGACCAGCTCATTCCGACCAATTGAGAAGTTCATATTGTGAAGTTTAAATGGTTTCATCTCCTCGGTCAGAGTGCTTGCGGTGTCGGTTGTACTGTCACCAGAGGAGGGATCGTCCGGAGAGGATTCAGCCGTGGCGGCTGTTTTTTGGTCTTTGAGTGCTTCTTTTTGTAATTTCTTCTCTGCCTTTATTTCGTCTTTTGTTTGTTTCTTCGCATTTGGGTTGGCCTGATCCGGATCCTGCGTTACTGTTCGCTCCCAAGTGAAGTCGGCGTTTTCTATCACAACAGCGTTTTTAGCACCCGCATCGAAGAAAGCGTCTTCCTTTTGTTCTTCGCTCAACAGGAATTCCTGAATACGGTATATGGACGACCAAGCATCGGTGACTTGGCCAATTACCAGTGGTAACAGATTGAGAGGCATCCGCAGCGAGTTAAAGAGTGCAAGAGAGGAGAAGATGTAAGCCGGCGCTAGACCGTGGTTTGTTAGTGAGTATGTGATAAATGCCAACATAGACGCGAAGATCGGTAGCGACATAGACACAGCGTTAATTGCGTTTCGAATTGCCAACAGAACCTGAATAGCGCCGATTTCGCGGCTTCGAATTTCCTCTATTCGGGCGAGAAAAGCGCTCTCCCACCCAAAAAGCTTCACAAACCTGACAGCCTGCAGAATCTCTTGGGTAAGGCTTACTCGTTGATCAGTAATTTTGTTAATTACTCGTCTTCTGGCGAAGAGGGTTTTGACTGCTTTCGTCAGGAGGGGTAATCCGACTATGAGTAATCCAAAACCTGCGAGAGCGCTGTATGTCAAGTTAATGAGAAGCAGGACCAGTGCTAGAGGAAGAGAAAGTCAGCAATTTCCTATTAAAATGCAATAACAATTGTTAAACTTGAGAAGCAGACTATGCCTTCTATGAGCTAATTGACTGGCCAGGAGAATAATGTCTTCCTGCTGAAGAAAAAGGTCTAGAATGGGAAATAATCTGTGCTTTCCACAAAAAGAGGAGGGATTCCTTACTTAAAATGCATGCTAATGGGGCAGTCCAGATCAAGTGGAACATTCCGGATGCTTGATCCACCCGATATGTATCGACGGACATCAAGTTGACGATTCTTCCATTGGCCCATCCGGTCCCGTCACCAGCAATTCCGCGTCCTGCATCCGGTACAGACTTTGGTCCACTCTTACTGGGATCCTTCTTTGCCTGGCCTTTATCCTGCTTCTCGGCCACTTCAGTTCCCTTGATCTCTCGACCCCCAGCTTTAGCCCGACCAGAGATGCTCATAGCTTTTTCGAAGATCGTCGAGATTAAGACAGCTCGTGACTGCCCACCAACAATCATCCCGCGGTAGATGAAATGGTTCGTACCCAAACTCTGACACATTTGCATGGCTGTGATTCCAAAGACTAGCCCCAGTCCTTTTCCAATCGATGGTGGAGGCTTCCCCTCGGTCTGTGCAATATAGGCGTCCTCGGCGAATTGGATCAGGTATCGAAGAGTGAACGGAGACATAACTTGGAAGATATTGGCAAAGAACTGACAGGTACCGCCAATCCAGAATTCCACCTTGAACGTCTCGTGCATCGCGAACAGTAGGGGGTATCGATCCCCTCGTGCCACCCTCTTCTTGAAAGAAGCCTGCAACTTCGCGGTCAGGACGTCCGCTGATCGATCAGGGTTCACGATCCAGATGTCATTCTGTTGAATGGGTCGTCTGTATCCGACCTAAAAACATCAGCATAATGATCTTAGAGCGCGCGGTCAAAGCTTGAGGGTTGGGGAAGCAATTGGGGGGTGTCGAAAAGGGGGAGCTGGGCGGGCAGGTTGGGAGTATTCCCAATGCCTCAGAACATTTCCACGACTTGAAAGCTACTCCTTTAAGCCGGAGCCACCGCCCCGCGAGCTGAAATTGACGGAGTGATTGAAGATAAATAACCTACATTCATTAATGGTGCTATCCACTGGAAGTAGACCAAACTCAAGAATGACGCGTTGTATTCCCTGGACACGCTGCGCGTCTCTGGCACCGGCGGTATCGCCCCCCATCTCAAAGGATTAATCTTCTCGTACCAGGCTTTCTTCACGAGAGGAGCCTCAATCTGGAAGTAGGTCCTCGACATGGCGCTGGTTGTTGTAGCAGAGCTCTTGGTATGTTGAAGTCCCTGGCGCGTATCTCCTCCATCCTGAGCCAGGTCGGACCCGACATGACTCGAGTCGGAGGGCTTGCTGCAGGCGGTGATCTCAATGCGGTCTTCCTCCTCTTTCTTGCCATCATGCTCGAGCGGTTGGTCGGGGCGCGCATTGTCGACAGCGGCAGCGGTGGCCGGGTCGGTGGGGGGAAGTTGATACTCCTTCTCTGCCTCTGGACCAGGGTCGGCCATGATTCCTGATAACTGACGAGGGAGAAGAGCAGTCCATGAAGAGAGAGAAACGGGCGGACACTGCGCAGGAAAAGACGGGGACGGGAGAAGAGAGAAGAGGATTGGACTGGGACTTATCTATCTCGATTCTAGAGGAGCGGTAACAAACAAATCTTTTCCCTTGCCTTGAAGCCTTCCCACCTTCCACTTGGTGCGTAGTTCTGCCCTTTTGCGGGCGCATTTTTGACGAGCAGGGGTGTCTGGATGGATAAAGGACCTAGAATTACGTCTACGTTTACTCCGTCGGAGCATCGGCGCTTCGCTTAGCCGATGCGGAGTTTGGCGGGGCTGGCGCCGGATTTAGTGACTAAGCACTTTTTGGCACCCTTATTGGCTGGATGTCCTAGGCCTTGGCAATTGTACCCCGGACGGCACGCTGTGAGTGGGCGGCTTTCGTAAGCAGCAATCGGGACGATGCCTTAAATAAAGGCGCCCGATACTCTGATTGTGCAACGCCCCATGCTCTATACGAAAATACTCCGTAAGGTACGTACATCTTGATTTCGGCACGGCGCTCTATATCTGGTCTAGCAAGAATCCACGGAATTAATGCTTTCCGTCTTGGAGGTCGGTTATTGAAAACTCAAGCAACAAGAACGCTTTGCTCCTCAGCCGTCGGACAACGAATCTCGCGATAAGTATCGTTTCTGCCTAATTGGGTAAGTGATGCGGGAGAAGCTAGCAAATTGCTTTAGTGCTCGATATGGTTAGGTCCTGGACTAGACACTCCCTTACCTAGGTAGGTAAGCCATCTATCAATACATAACACCACGTGACTAGGGTCCCTCCACACTTGCAAGATCGTGTCTGCTTCTACGGAGGGGGAGAGGGATTCATTGCAACATACGACGGTACAAGTGTACTGTGATCTGGCTGAGAGGGGAGCGGAGATTCTGTCGCATATCGTATCTGCTCTCACTTTTGGAGCATCCCAGGTTGCTTTGGCTCTGGGTGTGCTCTGAGTGAAATCTGGGGCGAAGCGGGGGGCTTTTTGTTGCACATCGCATCCGCTAATCTTTGGGGTGTTGAACGTTGATTTCAAGGGGCGTGGGATTGTCCATCACGTGTGAGCATGCTCGAGGAGGCTTTCATTTTGTTGCACGTCGCATCACTGCTAATCTGCAGAGCGTTGAATGCTGCTCTCAACAGCCGTGCGATTGTCAATCACGTGCGAGTACTCGAGTGGCTTTGTTGCACATCGCATCACTGCTAATCTCTAAGGTGTTGAACGTTGCTTTCAACTGCAATGCGATTGTCAATCACGTGCGAGTGTACTCGTGACTCCGGCATGTTAACCTGACATCAACGACCCTCATCTCTCAACCACGACCCCGACTCTATTTTACTCAGCAGACATACTACTCTTCTATATCCGCACAATACCACGAGCTGCTTGCCCCTTGAGTTGAACAGAATTTAGTGCTGTACAGTCGCAATCGCGGTGGGGTAAATCGTTCGATTGGCCAACCTCAAAAAGGCTGCCGGCTCATCGACTCGCCGACTCACCGACTATCACCGACTATCACCGGTCTACATGATATCGGTGCGAGGGAGCACCGAGAGAAGGATCCGTCCTTGCTTTGAAAAGAGCGGTGAGCTGGGGGCACTGAAAGAGTCTTGATTCTCTCCTGGTGTCTTGTATTTCAAGATAATTTGGTAGAGCGATCATCCCGGTCTGGCAATGGATAGATAGCTCTGTCATTAAATGCCGATTTTGTGTAGCTCACTCCCGGTTCCCGAAACTCTCCTTTATAGCTGCCGAGCACTGTTGTCTTTGATAGACTCTGAATTATCAAGAGATGGTTGAGTCTTCGTCCTTATAGCACCAGTTAGTCGAGCTGTTGCATTGCTATTATCAAATCGTGATAGGTTCGGAGGTCATGCTTGAACCGTTTCGAGCATTAGACCTCGGAGCTGCTCGTGGAGCTTTCTTCCTCTTTGCTCTTGGATCTAGATTATGACTTCTGAATCCGTCACTGAGAATAAAGATATTCTTCCGTAGGGAGAGTACAACGTTTCCAAACTTCCGATGGGACTGGTCAGCTAGCCCCGATAGAAGTATTCTATTATTTTTCAGACTCCCACGCTTTGCCTGTCGTCTTTCACCAGTGCGTATTCTTATATACAATACATTAGGGTCAACATCATCACTGTCCTAGTTCTATTCAGACCTAGATCTATTTATACTCCGTAAGACATATCCTGTCGTTGTCGCTAAGCTTTCTCGAAGCGCCCTAAGAGCGGGGAATTTGCATCATGATTACCTTACCGAGCGGGTGATCGACCCCCGCGATTGCCGGATTCGACAGTTTGTGCAACGCAGGTGGGTCTGGCTGCTGCCCTATGGACCCCGTATAGGACCCTGGAGGCTTTATCGTATAGGTACCTAGGTACCTTATCTTATGTAAGAAGCTGTACCAACTGGATAATCTCCCGATGGAATCATCGCCGGTCACTCTGCTCACTTTTCCTCGGATTCACTCGTTTCCATTCTATCCGGTCCAAGTTGGATTCGATATACACGACAACATGAGGTATTTCTCAACGCTGGGCCTGGCCGCCGCCGCCGTCACGCTGGTCATCCTCATCTCCGTCTGGCGGGGAGACGGCCACACCTCTCTGTTGCCGTGGAGGCCCCTTCATACACCATCAGCCCCCGCCGGCGTCAATTACCGCTCCGCATCCTCACGGAGGATCATAGACACAACTTCTGAGCTCGGGAGGGCGAGCAATGCCACGCTGGGGGTATGTCCAACTTTTTGCCTTGTCACCACGGTCTGACTAATCATTTATTGTGGACACAGTTCGAGAAGATCTTGGTTCTGGCCCTGAAGGAGCGATACGACAAGCGCGATGCCATGATCTTGTCCAGCTCGCTGACCGGCTTCGACGTCGACTTTGTCGACGGCATCAGGGGCGAAGACATCGCGCCCAAGGCTCTGCCTCCGGTACTCCAGCCACCGTGCCATCTCGATATATCTTCATATGGCTGATGTTCACCAGGGTATGACGCTACAAGGCGGGGCTTTGGGTTCTTGGCGTACACACATTGATGCTATCTCAAGGTGCGACATGAACATCGTGGGCATATCTTCTGCCATGCTTACCTCCGGGACAGTATTGTAGAGAGGAAGCTCTCCTCCGCACTCATCATGGAAGATGATGTCGACTGGGATATCCGCCTCCCTTTGCAGATGCCCGACTTCGCGCGAGGCGTCCGTACCCTCTCCAACATCCCTCTCGCGGCCCCTCAACACTCTCCATACGGCGACGATTGGGATGTCCTCTGGCCCGGCCACTGCGGCGAGGTTCTGCCCGAACACGATGACCGCCGATTTATCATCAGCGACGATGTAACAGTAGCTCCAAAGGAACATCAACCGTGGCTGCGTGCCTTGGCAGATTATCCCGAAGGCACGCGCCTGGTCCAGAAGGCCGGCGCGCCAATCTGCTCGTTCGCATACGCCGTGTCATTCCGCGGAGCGCAAAAGCTCCTCTTAGCCCAGGCCATAAGACCACAGGCGAACCTTGCGTGGGACAACTCTCTGGCCTACCTCTGCCGCGACGGATATCTAGATATCAAGTGCTATTCCGTCCAGCCCACGCTCTTCTTCCATCATCGACCAGCAGGCAGCGTGAGCAAGGATAGTGATATCATGTCTGGGGACCCCGAGGCGGTTCGTGAGAAGGGCGTCACGGAGAACATCGTCCTGAGTTCGAGGTTAAATCTAGAGCCGATGATAATGGGGAATGGGGAGTTTGTCATGCAGTGGTGATAAGGTGGGTAGTCGAATGAGCGTAAAGAATAATACTACATTGTGCCATGCGTTTCGAAAGCTATCTCGTCCGTCATTTATTGCCCATTGGCTCTTGACTCTCTCCACCACCAACAGATTTCTCCCTTGGAGGAAATAGCGCAGCACATTCACATATCCCAAACCAAGACAAAACCAAATCCCCAAGCCAAATCAACAAAGTGTCAAAGCCCCAATCCAATCATCAATCCCATTTCCTAGTCCCTAGCCCCTAAATGGAAAGAAGGGGCTTAAATGCTGTGATATGTAAGGTGGGAGGGTAGGTAATGAAAACATAGCAGCCGCATCAGCAGCAGCTATAAGTACATTACATTAAATTGAAACCAGATGCTTGAATTTCTTTTGTGATGAATTGATTTAGTGGTTAGATAGGTAATGGATCAGAGCAGTCCAACGCCTACGAGAGTTATGCCTGTCTATCTGTCTATCTAGAGCGATAGTCAGGGGCTTATGTGGAGGGTGTATATATACCTTAGACTGGCGGCACCACGGCGCCTTAGCTAGGTAGGTAGGAGGGGTAAAGGAGGGGGGGGAAGGGGGTTAGTTTTCTTTCTTACATGTAGAAACCAAAATGTAAATACATATATAGACCTAGCTCTCATACCTACCTTAATACCCACTAGAGAGGGGTATTCAATGAAGTAGGTAGGTATCACGTTAATACTACTATAGGTATGTATATCTTGTTTCTTTTTAGTCTTATGTTCCTGCAGAAATACCTAAGGTACTGAAATGAGGAATAAATATATACTACCTAGGAGGAATAGATAGGTAGGCAGGCAGACAGCTTTCATGGACCATAGTACCTACCTTAAGGTACCTACTAAGGGTAGGCAGGGTAGGGTAGGTAGGTAGGGTAGGTAAGGTAGGTAGATATCCTATACCCGGTCTAATACCCACACACCATATCTTCCCCGATCAATCCATCTCAGCAGTATGTATTTCATGCCGTGCCTCAGGGTTCTGATTCTCGAACTCGGAGAGATTTGGCTCTGGCTAGCGCGGTAGATGTCTCTAATACCTCGGTAGGTAGGTGGTAGGTGAACGTTTTCTTACTTTTGCGACTGGCGCGGGATTGCCCTTGCTGGACCCCCTCGCTCAACCACTCCTTCAAATCCCACCTTTCGGCGACTCCTCAGCAAATGCCTCTCTCAAGCGCTCCTTATACCTCTCCTCCTCCCTAATCTTTCTCTCAATAATGTCCGCCGTACCAATTCCCCAATACGGCGAAACGACCTGGTCGAAAATTAGCATCTCGCTGTGTTCGGCACAGAATCTTCGTTGGATATGCTCGTTGAAAACGCGGAATAAACCTTTCGGTGTGTTGAGAGCTTGAAAATACCAGAAGCTCCCCGTCTCCCAGCACTTTTTCATAATGGAGGACTGATTGGTGGAGTGTCTCTTTTGAATGGATGTTTCGAGTTGTCGCTCTTCGGCGGCGAAGGCGTCAATATATTCGCTGACGAGGTGTGAGTAAGTCTCGAGATGCTCGCCATGCTCTAACTGATCGATTCCCCTCCCAGAAAGCCAGTACGGGGGTGATTGGAGTTGGATGGGCAGGGAACAAGCCCATTCGAGGTCGATGAGAGAGGTGATGTGCCATTCAGAGTCGACAAAGATATTACTCTGATGGAGATCGGTAAGGGTGAAGACGAACGGCCCGTGACGGTACTCGCGCTGGGCAAATTGAGGAAGGGTTGCGCGCATTATCGTCAAGGCTGCGAGTTGTTGCTGCCCATCATCCTGGTCGTGGATAGAATTCGGTTGGTAGAAAATGCGATTGTCGTGACAGGCTAAGAGATCAAGGAGATAAGGTTCTACTGTTGTATAAGTGTAGTCTCTTGGTATAGCACTAGGCACGCCTTCATTCTCTAAGGATTGAAGCTGGAGGGTTAAAGGACGATTGGTCAAGGTAGTGATCCCTTGATTGTTCACAGTTAAAGATCCGATAGACCCTAAAGGAGATCGGTTTAGGGAAAGGACGATCCGAGCTAGATCGTGAAAGAGGTTAGAACGATGCGCCTTATCGTGCCGGAAAACCTCCCAGGAGTCGGAGAGCATCTCTCCCTGCGAAACACGGCTTATAATCATGTAGCCTGTCTTTAGAGTATCTCGACGATTTCGGTCGATATATCGGCACGGAACAGGGAATCGAAGCCACGAAAGCAGCGTTCGTCTTGAACCCCACTTCAACCGGGCGAGGAGGGGTGTAAGTTCTGGAGCTGTGAACTAAGAATATAGATAGTTAGCGAGGTTCAAATAGACTGACACTATTGAACATACCGACGGGCCATCAGGAAACCCAAAGCCAAATAGAAAGGGTATCGAAACGTCTGGACAGTTTTCCTGAATCCAGAGATATGAAGCCACTTCGCAACGCAGCTTCTCGTCCACATTTCCTGGACAGCTTGCTTCTCCAACTTTGTAGGGCAATGGAATGCGGACGAGCACCGAGCGCACAGCAGAGGGCGGACTGATGAAGACAGGTATGCACACATTGAAGCTACCGCATAACCACGTCTCTGAATCAGAAGCTCGACACCTCTCTACTCCGAGATGGAATGAGACCAGAGCCTCGATCTCGGCCTTGTGGGCGGTTAAGTAGCTAAAGAACTCCTGTCGTCGTCGTGGATATCCGATTAGAGAGAGGATATTGTCATCATCGCTGAGGGCTCGGTCTAACGAGATTGTGCCTCTCAAAAGAGGCAGCGTGCTTGGCATATTGAGATCAATTCTGAGGGAGAGGAAGAGGAAAGGGAAGCATCTTTGTATATGGAGGTAGCTGCGAGGCTGGTGTCTGGCCTCGAGGTTAAATGCACTACGGTGACCATCGTTCCTGGATTCCAGACCCCTGTTTCGGTCACCGTACTCGGTAGACCCCGGACCCCGCCGCCATAGATGGTTTCCGCAGAGCCATGTACGCGCTATACGGTCATCCTCGAGGCCTTATATCCCAGGTCTCAGAATACCTTGGTGAGCAAGCAGTCGTGCAGCCTCACCTCTGTAGGACCGCGGAATTCTCTTATCCCTCTGCAGCGGCGTTGATAGTAAGCTCTACCAGTTGTTGTTCTACTTGTCCTCGACTAGCATTATCACCGTCCGACAACTGCTCACTGTCTCATTTCTTTTCTTTGTTGCGCCTCTCCCTCGCAACACTTCCGGAAGACAAGACTTGCCCGCCAGCATAGAAACCTTCAGGAAAGCCAGCTGTTGGCGTTTTCAACCTATAGTAGGTTCCATGCTCTGTTGATTCAGGCGTATAGTGATAGCTCAACTTCCCGTCGTCGATTTCCCAAAGACGGTACGAAGACATTGCACTTCTTCGTTATAGGAGGTTCGGGATGCTTGATCGGTTATTGCGTATATGTTGATGCTAAACAGATAACCCTTTTCAGGTGGATTACCACCGCTATATAACTGCTCGAAACACTGACAAGGCTTTCGCTCTGTTTTGCTATGCATAGTGCAGCAACAATGACCTGCTCCTATCGTGCACAAACATGCATGCCCCATCCAGGTTCTGTCCAGCCGAAGAAGCCAGAAGCCTTAGTCAATCAGGAGCAAGTTTACCAGTGCCCCACAGCTCCCGTCAATCTGGCTCTTTAGGTAATCCGACCCGGGTTGCTTGTCTCGCGATATCAGCCCGGCTTAGAGCCTTCAGCTTGACCAACAATCCCTGTACGTGACTCGTCACGCTATCACGCTATCACATTTCCTCCCATTGCCTTGCTTGCTGCCTATGAGGGAAGCAATAGGCGTTGAATTGCAGTAAAGTAGTTCGGACAAGAGTCAAAAGATCACTTCGGGAGTAATTGCTGGCAGATGTAATACTACTTCACACAGGCAAACTACCCGAGAAGTCGCGAGTTTAATACTGCGGGGCTGGGTGTGGGGTAGATGGAGAGTAAGGCTTGAATCACTTGATTGACGGACCGCTGTAACTCTCGATGGTTGCTTCCAGTAAAAAACATTCTAATTGATCTTCAAATGTTGACAATTGCCAACTCGACCTGTGAACTACTAGATAGAGATACGGCGATTGCTGAACTGAGCATCAAAATATCGCGGTCGATGATTTGGTATACAAGTACACGGCTCTGAGGCCTAAATGGCACAGTCTATCCACACTCCGTTCCATGAAAGAGCCCCCATTGAACGCCTATCTAAGGTATGCCTCTCATGCGCCAATCTTCTTCCCGGCACCCAAAGGGCCATCTAATGGAAGCGGCCCCTTCACATCTGCACCTGGACCATCTAACAACTTCTTCGCTCTGACCTCAAACGCCTCAATCATAACGCTCGCAACCTTCGGCGCAACAGCCTTGCTCAAAGCCGCATATATCGGATTCGAAAACAGAAAATCAATCGACAGATGCACCTCCGTCTGCTCCCGCGCCGGGAGGCCCATCCTATTCGGCTGCAATTGCCCAGCCGGAGGCTTATACTGAAACGGCTTCACATGCCATCTCGTGCGTATAGATTTGAAGATATTATTCGCGACCGCTGGGGCATCAAACGTCGCTGCGTGATGCGCAAGGTCGGATTTGGGTAGATCGGTGACCGCTTCCCCGCCGAGAGCCTCAACGATGGAGCCTGGCACGCAGAATAATCGGCTGGTGAAGGTCTCCTCGAATCCGCCCCAGCCGATTTTCAGGTCTCCTTCCGCGGGCCACCGATTTCCGTTCGCGTCTGGAGCGGACCACTTCGTGACTTTGGAGTCGAGGCAGTAGGGAAGGAAGCTCGAATAGCTGTCGACATCGGCAATGATGGTGTAGAGGCTGCTGGGTTTGTATGGGAGTATTCGAGTAGCCGTCAGGGATTGTGATTCGACTCCTGGAAGTGTGATGAAGGTTCGTTGTGGAGCTTTGAATGAGCGGATGGCTGTTGGCCTAACTGTTCGAAGCAAGGCTTTTGTTGACATGACTGGCGGGCGCCCCAATTGGAGTAAAGCAAAGTAATTATACACAAGGAGTTCTCATTACAACAGAAAGAACGCAAACGATGGAGGGAACAGTTTTGGCCTCTTTTTGGAAGAATGTGAGGTCATTCAGGAACTGTTCCACTTGTGTCCGGCAGAAAAAGCCGAGCCCAAGGCGGTGAGCAGAACACTTAATGCCGACTAGGAAAAATATCTTCCACACTTTTATTCTGTCTTCTCTTTTATATTTTCTTCTCCACTTCCTCCTCCTGTCCTTGAGACATTTGCTACCCAAGTCAAGCTTTAAGTTCTTACACTTAAAAGCTGTCTTGGTCTTGGATCCTCATTCGAGGACTTTGAGGATGGGGTCGAGTGATGGAGAGATTGTCCACAACTCATCTGTAGCAACTGATCCTCCACAGGTCCCACCACATCGGTCCCACGATCCCGAAAACAACCTCAAAAGGACAGACCCATTTCAGTTTGGCTCTCGACTGCTGAGTGACGAAGACAATGTCTTCGAGTTCAATGCCTGGGGTGAGTCCAGTCCACCGCCGAATCAATGCATCTTCGATCAATGCTAACCTGATGCCAGATCATGTAGAAACTGACGATACTTACAAGGAGTATGCAGAGCTACAATACGCAAAACAACGAGAAGCTCCCGTCTCAGAATTTGACAAAAGTAAGCGCCCTTCTCTCTCTTATCAGTCGTCTACTTGCTTCCTGATGATACACAAATAAAGCATAGTTCATCTGAGGTCTACTAGCCCATGGTGAAACAAATTCGCAAACGTCTTTCGCTCCTATCTGAATTCCATTTAACCTCCTGCTTGAGAATATACATCATCAAGTCTGATTACCGTACTGACAATTCAAAGACAGATTCAACGCTGATCCTGCCAAATGGTGGAATAATTTCTACAAGAATAACACCGCAAATTTTTTCAAAGATCGTAAATGGCTCCAGCAAGAATTCCCCATCCTCTCCAACGTCACCTCAGCCTCCTCTCCTCCAACCACACTTCTTGAGGTGGGCGCCGGAGCAGGCAATACAGCGTACCCAATTCTCAAACACAATCAAAATAAACATCTCAAAATACATGCGTGCGACTTCTCCAAGAAGGCCGTCGAAGTAATACGAGAAAATGAAGCATATGATAATGGCGTGAACATACAGGCCGATGTCTGGGATGTGGCCGGAGACAGCTTGCCGCCTGGACTGGGTCCAGAGAGCGTAGATGTCGTCCTGATGATCTTCATCTTCTCGGCCCTCTCACCAAGTCAATGGAAGAAGGCCGTGAGCAATATCTATACCCTCCTCAAGCCGGGCGGCGAAGTGCTCTTCCGAGATTACGGCCGTGGCGATCTGGCACAGGTTCGGTTCAAAAAGGGCCGGTACCTGGAAGAGAATTTCTATATCCGAGGAGATGGGACGCGAGTCTATTTCTTCGAGAAGGACGAGCTCCATCGCATATGGACGGGCAAAGACCCGGAATCCTCCAGCGATGCCTCTGATGCCGAGAGCACTGGCTTTGAAGTCGTCAACCTGGCAGTGGATCGGAGGTTGCTGGTCAACAGAGCGAAGCAGCTCAAGATGTATCGATGCTGGATGCAGGGACGGTTTAGGAAACTGCCGTCCCCCGGTTAATTTAATGAATTTCTTGAACTTATTTTGCTTCCTTGTGACTACTTTTTATGTTATTTTACCTTGACCCCTGTACATTTGTTCTCTTTATTCTCGTTGAAAGGTCGTCCCCTCCAACTGACCAACTTGCATAATCCCGATATCGCCTACCCTGCCTCCTTTTCTCCAGGCTCACTCCTTATCACACAATCAATCACACAGCGACATTTCATCTCAATTCATTCGAACCCATAAGAGTGAAAACCCCTTGCTAAATTAACACCAGAACACATGCATCTCCCCAAACCATAACACGTAAAAGAAGTAGGCCATCTCATATATTTATTTCATTTTATAATAGATGACTGAGGATATCTTCATTTAAATAACAATGCGCCGATGAGTAAAAACAACCCCTTCTCCCCCCCTTCCAAAAAAAGAAAAAAAAAAAAGAGCAAGAGCAACAACACCCCTAACCGCCCCGCCAGCTCGCCGCCAAATGCATCATGCTTCATTTCATTCAAGTTCATGGCACCCCCGCGTGATAGATGAAAAATTTCGATTAGGTAGCTTGACGCCGGATCTTTCTCTCTCTCTCTCTCTCTGTCTCTCTTTCTTTTTTTTTCATGGTCTCATCGAGTCATGAGACTCCATTATTGCGTGCGATTTAAAAAGAAAAGACAACGATCAAACAATCTCAAAACGATATCCCGCAAGTTTTATCTCGGACCGAAAACAAAATGATAGGAGAATAGCAAATAGATAATGAGATTCCCGAAACGCTTCGCTCAAACAAAAATGTCAAATCAAGCCCTTATTATGAGAGGAAATTGCAACGGTCAAAAGAAATCATCCCCTAGATGGTGAGACAGACAAAACCCGTCCTTATGGACGGGAAAAAGACATGTCTCCCCTGAACAGCGAAGCCGCTGGTCACGTCACGCGTCAACAAACCGCCTGTCTGATCAACCCCGAAGGCCTATCTAACCCAAACTCGCCAAAATAAAAAGAGATCTATTCCAAGCAAGGAGACGTTCCGCAGCAGCAGGGGAAGAAGGAAATAAAATCAAAGACAATGCCGCCCATATGATTGACAACCCTATAGGAGAAAGATAGGGGTAGAGATGATGAATCTAGGCATTCTCGCATCCACGTGTGATGGTAATCGGTATCGCCGCCGAATCGATTTCGCTTTTTTTCTTGTCAGGTCTGGAGAAGTCCCTGGTTGGAGATTTTGTTTTGTCGACTTTGAGATAGGTAGGTGAGGTGCAGAATGGCGGAAGGTAATCACATGACGTGACAAGCCGCATTTTGTTCAGGTTTTTTTGGACCTGCGACCTGTTAGTGTTAATATAGTACTGAGAATCTGAAGAAGACATCATACCTTTTCCCGACGACTTAGCTGGCTTCCCTGCCATCCACCCTAACACCCCTTTCGCAGGCTCGGCTTTCTTTCGACTAGTCTTTGGTGCAGATGGAGCTACACTCACAATGACTGGGGGACCACCCGGGCCACCGCCCCCTGGTCTGGGAGGTGGTGGCCCACCTCCTGGTGGCCATGGCGGGGGAGGGCCGGGCGGGCCTCTGTTACCGTTCGCTGGAGGCGGAGCACCGGGAGGACGGGTTCGGCCGTGCTCGTGCCGACTTCGAGGACGTTCGAATGGGGGTCCCGGTGGGGGAGCGGGCGGACCTCGAGGAGGTTCAGGCATAGGCCACATATGCATAGTTATAGACCAATCCGGTTCAATCATTGTTTCCCACACCTGTGGAAGAATGATCTCTCCATTTGGGCCGATGAGATCGTAATGACCTTCCGCTACATGAGGACCAATGATATCAACGTGCAAGAAAGCTTGCTTTATCAACTCCTCCATTCCCTAAGAGGATGTTAGCTCAAATACATCTGGAACGGATAGGGTAGCTTACCTGCCAAGTCGCACACAGATGAAATGGGAAGCTGAATTTCCTGCCAACTGCATCCTTGAACTTGATTGGCTTCTTTTTGTCGTCTTTCGGAGCCAGCGCCTTTTCCACAGCTTCTTTGGCTTCCTTTTCGGCCTTAGCCACCGCCTCTTTTGCCTCCTTTTCGGCCTTCTCGACGGCCTCCTTTGATTCCCGTTCAGCCTTTTCTACCGCTTCTTTCGACTCCTTTTCAGCCTTCGCGATTGCTTCCTTTCGTTCTGCCTCGGCTTTCTCAACTGCCGCTTTTGCGTCCGCCTCGGCCTTTTCTACAGCAGCCTTAGCATCAGCTTTGGCCTTCTCTTCTGCAGCCTTCTCCTCCGCCTTTTTCCTTTCCGCCTCAATCTGCTTCCTTGCATTCTCTGCACCCAGCTTCTGAGCAGCTTTCTTCTCTTCCTCAAGTTTCTTCTCCCAAGCTGCCTTCTCCTCTGCAGCCTTTCTATCGGCTTCGGCTTTAGCTTCAGCTGCCTGTTTCGCTGCTGCTTCAGCCGCTTCCCTAGCTGCAGCTGCTGCATCCCTAGCTGCAATTTCTTTCTGGGCCTTTTCAAAGTCGAGGGCTTGACTTTTCATTTTCTCTTCGATTGCCAGCATTTTCTTCTCCATCTCTGGATCGCCCACCACGGAGGGGTCGCTAGGCGGCCATTGTGGAGGGTAGTAACCCAGGTGCTGTGGAGGCATTCCGGGTGGAGGATAGCCTGGATAGCCATATCCAGGCATTTGAGGATAAGGCATCATCTCATGGCCCGCATGAGGTGGAGGAGGCGCGCCGTATGCAGACATTGGGTGATGACCACCATTGAAATACCCAGCCCCCCCGGGACTCGGCGCAGGCTGTGGCGCAAATGGATTCGAGGAGGGATATTGATAGCCTGCTGGGGGTCCGTAATGCGTCAACGCACCAGGAGCCCCAAATGGGGGCGCGTATCCCCCAGCAGGAGGGCTGGAAAAGGCACTAGGGGCATAGCTTGGGCCTACCCTACCAGCATATGGTGGTGCTGATGGTGGTGCAGGATAGCCGCGGCCATAGCCTGGATAATCGTCTGGATCCCTACATAGCCAGCGAGTTAGCAACTGTTTAATTGGCACAAAACAAAATGAAATTCTAAAATATGCTTCGTGAGCTGCAGAATATGTTTACGTACACGCTTGATGGGGGTGGCAGTGGCGCCTGCCGGTGAACGCGCGCTGCAGATGGACGATGAGTTGACCTCTCAGTGGTTGTGTGTCGGCGACTCGGTCGACCGGACGGAGGGGCCTGTGGCCGACGGCTCGAGGTATGTGAATGCGATGCTGAATCGGACGGCTCAATATCGTCCTCGTAGACCTGGTCCCAAGAGCCCGATGAGAATTCTTCTTCGTCGGTAATCGAGTCCGATACTGATCTGGACGAACTTGTGGCAGGCGATTGTTCGTGGTCTATTCTGATCGTCATGCTGTGCGCACAATACGTTAGCGATTCTGCTCGAGTCAAGTGCAACACCCTACGTACGGCATTGGGCTCGAATTATCCAAGGAAATATCTCGATGGGAGATAACCTCGGGGAGCGGTGGTGCAGGGCGATATCGCCCAGGAATCTATAACTTCAGGATAGGTTGATGTGTGCGCCGAGTACCAGGCGCCAACGAGAGAGTAATGGGGAGGATATGGAGTACTGGGCGTGCGCAGCGAGGAGGCTGTTGGGCCGTTTCGATTGTTGTGATTTGGGTATCTAAGGTTTGTTGTGCCTGGTGTGTTGCTCCAGGTGCGGGCCGTCGCGAATCTAGAGCAGTAGTGTGATAACCAATAGGCGATTTTCGAGACCCGCGGATGCTCTAGAGTCGTCGTGCGGAGGTGATTAATGCTGATGGTTGATAGATAGCACCAGTAACACCAGTATATTTGGCTGGAGAGGATTCGGAGAGAGGAGTGGGGATGTGAGGGAGGCGTGGAGGGTTTGTGGGAGGTGATCAATGTGCGAAAGAAAGAAATTCTGGAAGGGCGGCCCCTCTGCAGTCGAATTAGCGCCAAATCCCCTCTTTGGAACTTCTCCCTTCTCGGCTTTGTTTTGATCTTGTTTTGCTCCTTTTCTGCTCTTGTCTTGCTTTGCTCTGCGCTTCGTAGTCGCCCGCTCGCCCCTGGCAGTGGCAGCAACGCCGCTTGGTCTGGGCCTCTGGCGTGGCCACGGCGGATCAAACACGGAGGTCCCAGACAAGGCTGGGCCGTCTGGATATGGAGGGGGGGTGGGAAAAGCTCACCTTGTTCTCTTTGGCGGAAATGCAGTCGAGTGGTAAGTAGTCGAAGATCCCACGCTCTCAGCTCACGCAGAGGCAAATGGGCTTTGGGATCGACAATCGATCGATAGAAATGTGGATGCGGGCAGGCGGGCGGCGAGAGAGGAGAGTTTGCGTTCCCGTAAGGGTGTAGACGGGCAGACAGTCACTTGTCCGTTTGGTGTGGTGTTTGGTTGTTCGTGATGAAGATTATGAGAGGGGACAAGCAGTGGTGTCTCGTGTTATTTTGGCGTTGAGATTTGAGGTTGATGTTGATGTTGATGTTGATGTTGCCGCTCTTTGGTTTCCGGGGGGGTTATGTCATGTATGGCCGGATTCGTTGGCTGCTGCAGGCCCAGCGCTGCGAGGGAGCGAGGAACAGAATGGATCTCTGGGCAATTGTTTTACACAATGAATCAGAATGGGGCAGAAAACCACCCCTTCGCAGAGGAATGTGAATCTCAATATAGGTCTGTTGCACTCCTTAAGCAGAGGGAGAGAGAAAGAGCCGCTTCACCTCAGTTTCCGCTTTACTTTCCTGTGATCTTGGGCCTGGCGGGATCTGCGTCTGCGCATTCTGAGTATCGCACAAGTAAAAAGAGACCTTTCAAATTGCGGGAGCCGCCGAACACTTCATTGGGATGTGATTATTGGAAGGATGAGAGTATGCAGCAGAATACGTTGGAATTCCGTCAAAGTCAGCTGGTCTATTGTGGTCGGCCTACTCTATCGTAAGGCTGTGGTCATCTAATATACAGATCTTCTGCGCCTCGAACCCGCCAGTGCGTTGTCCGAAGGTGAGACCACGATGTTCTAGCATCGTCGAAAGACTCATCGCCCATCACCGACCAGCATCTGCTAAGCCATAGCCGGCGAGCCGCTCAAACATCTACTCGGTCAAGACGTCTCCTGCAGCCCAAGCATCGAATAGTTGCTGCCCAAGAAATCCCGACTCTGCCCAATGTACAACGCCGTCCTCCTCATTGGGTCTTTGATCCCTCCTAGTGGTGCCACGAAGGGTGGGCGACCCGCCACCCCAAGTCTGTGAGGCTGTGAAGTTGACGCATGTCTGAAGGAAAGAAAAAAAAAAATTGGTAACCAGGAAACTTTACGATGAGTAATTTCCCATCTGGCATCAAGAATTGGGGTTTTGGGAGAGACCCAACCCCCGCAGAGCGGACCTGAAAATCCGAGCGATGGATCATCTATACCAGGACATGAAATGTGTGCCTTGCATACTTATTTCAGCGAATAATTGGCGCCGACTGTCGGTCTAGCAGTTCTTTCGCTGCGATAATTTCTGCTTCATCATAACCTTGCCATCCTGCTTCACCACTAGCATTGCGCCGGATAATTTCAGCAAGTTTCGAAGTGGCCGCCTCATTCAGTCGTTCTACAGTCTTGATATCTGGTGGTGGGAGTCCAGTATCCGACTTTGATTGGCGAGAAGCTTGAGGTGGGTTTGTTATGAGCCGACCGGTTGTCTGTTCTGTGTTAAGAATATATGATAGACAGAGCTCTCCACAAGGGGACCTACTAGCTTCAAGCCGTAATAACCCCGCAAGTAATCATCGCATAGTTCAATACTCCTACAAAACCTTCGCATCGACTCGGCAAGATACTTGTCCGAGCCAGAATCATTCGTACTGGCGGCCATATATAGCACTTCTCCCAGACGAGCATGTATCTATTCGGCATGTCAGCAAGCTTCCTTTCATAGTTGAATGGGACTACCAACATTCCAAGCATTAGGGGTAATCAGCAAGACTTCTTCCAAAGCAAATATACCTTGCGGGTACATGCCTTGGGAGACGTACAAATCTGCTAACTCCGCCCACGCCTCCGCATCGGTAGGAGATGCATCGAGGAATTGATTCAAAGCCGTAATTGCTTCAATGGTTTTATTCAAGGATTTTAATACCACGATGCGACGTTTCGATACAGGCTAGACATGTCAGCGTAGCTCAATCCAGCAATCAATTGGAAGCTCACCATATTTCCGGGGTCTTTGGCTAGGATAGTCTCATATTCTCCAAGCACTTGCTTCAATGCAGCATCATCCTGTGCTGTAGCTTCCTGAAATAGCCCCCTTAATGCCATCACTCTTTCGTTCTCTGCGCCAAACCGCTCTGTAAGCCGTTCAAGGCAGAGATGCGCTGATTGTTCGTCGCCAGTCCGCAGACACGAAAGCATGAGATTCTCGTAGGTTGTCCATAATTCTGGAGATTCTGCGGGAGCCCAGAGCGAGCTCAGGGAATAGGAGGTAATTGAGGAGGGCGCGTTGCGGAGCAGAGAGGGGGCGAGCTGTGACAGTTGCAGAGCGACGGATGGTGAGAGGTGAGCTGGAGGGTGAAGCAGAGAGGAGCTCATGATGGCGATTTGTGTACAGAGAGAGGACTGGAAATGTATGTCGACCAAGTAATGGTAACTCCAGATGCCAAGCTGCTGAAGCTGTCAGGCTGTCAGCTCTCGGAGAACGGAAAACGCCGCTTATTAAGGCAGGTACCTACCTAGGTACCTAGGTACTTTGTTGGTGCCAGATTCCTCAGGTTAGAACTGACGCCGTGCCTTGGTGGGGGTAAGGTATCTCCGTAACTTTACTGTATACTATCACAAGATCTCGTGAAGCACCTCATATCAATCGCGAAGCCCTTGTTCCTCTCGTCGGACTAGAAATAGTGGTCGCATCCATATTCTAGTCTTGCATCATGCCGAACGCATCTCCCTAGGATCTCCATTCAGCCCGTTTCTTCCCACAAAGGACTGTTATCAGTCCTCTCCTCACGATGTGGGTTCCCCCGTGGGAGCTGATATCAGAAGCCTTTGGTCTCGTGCTAATGCTGCGGCAGGTTCGAAAAGTCTCTCTACGACCTTATTCGGGGTCTGCGGAACCACAAGGGGAACGAGAAGGAATATATCCAGAACAGTCTGAAAGAATGTCGGGCAGAGATTCGAAGCCAGGATATGGGTTAGAGGCCATCATGACATGCGGAGATACAGATATTGACGAAATGTTGCAGACCTCAAGGCCACCGCACTGCTGAAGCTCGTATACCTCGAAATGTTTGGCCACGATATGTCCTGGGCTTCCTTCCACGTTCTGGAGGTCATGTCTTCGCCAAAATATCTCCAGAAACGAGTCGGATACCTAGGCGCCGTTCAGAGTTTCCGACCTGACACAGAGGTTTTGATGCTGGCTACGAATCTATTGAAGAAGGTATGGGTTATTGGGACGAGTATTGAAGGAGGAGATACTAAAGTTGGTCTAGGATTTATCCTCTTCATCCGCAACTACCATGTCTCTCCCTATCATAACCCTTCCACATATCATCACACCTTCTCTGGCCCTCTCAGTCCTCTCAGATCTACTACCGAGATTAACGCATTCACATCCAGCGATTCGAAAGAAGACGATTGTGACCCTATACAGATTGGCTCTCGTCTATCCGGAAACCCTGAGGCCCGCATGGCCCAAAATAAAGGAACGATTGATGGATGAGGGTGAGGATCCAAGTGTGACAGCCGCAATTGTAAATGTTGTGTGCGAGTTGGGTTGGCGGAGACCTCAAGATTTCTTGCCTCTCGCTCCTAGATTATTTGAGCTCCTCGTGGACAGTGGGAACAATTGGATGGCTATTAAGCTGATCAAGCTGGTCGGTACAACTGTGGCTGGTTTTATAAGTATGAGCTAATATTTTGTAGTTTGCGACCTTGACCCCCCTTGAACCTCGACTGGTACGGAAGCTTCTACCACCGCTTACTTCTATTATTCGAACGACTCCTGCTATGTCACTCTTGTATGAATGTATAAATGGCATCATCCAGGGTGGCATTCTAAATGGTAGTGATGAATCTGCTGCTGGGGAAGAGATTGCTACTCTATGTGTGAGTAAACTTCGGGGGATGATTATGGTTGAAGGAGACCCAAATCGTAAGTGTTCGTCTGATTTAGCCCGCAGCCATTTATTGACCGGAATTAGTGAAATATGTTGCTCTGTTAGCTTTCAACAAAATTGTTGTCACCCATCCCTTTCTCGTTGCTCAACAAGAAGATGTGATTATGGACTGTATAGACAGCCCGGATATCTCAATTCGATTACGAGCTTTGGATCTTGTTGTTGGGATGGTCAGCAGCGATAATCTAATGTCAATTGTGGGTCGATTAATGAGACAGTTACGAAACTCCGCTTCAGCGCCTTCCGATGACCAGAATCATGTCCCAACAGCTATTGAGCCAGCCGCAGATTCAGATGATGAGTCCCCGGAAGTTACCATAAGACCTGACAAAGGATCCTCGAAAGACCCTCTGCTTCCAGATGACTACAAGATCGATGTCATCAATCGAATACTTCAGATGTGCTCCAGTAATAACTACGGAAACCTCGTGGATTTCGACTGGTATATTGATATCCTAATACAACTGGTCCGAAATGCACCAATTCCAAGTCAGGCATCACGTTCACAAGATTTGGACTTGGAAACAAAAGAGATGGCGAAGGTTGATGTCTCAGAACGGATTGGAGATGAGCTGCGCAGTGTTGCAGTGAAAGTGAAAGCTGTGAGGTTACAGGCAACAAGAGCTGCTGAGTCCATCCTCATTTCAACGTACACCGATAGTTCTACTCAAGTCACTGTGGGGCTCGGAGCCCTGAAACCTATAGCATGGATCGTGGGAGAATACGCATCTTCACTCAACTCCCCCGATGGTACCTTAACCGCTCTTCTACACATCACCAGAAGCTCAGTCCCTGCGGAGACGCTTATAGTCTATCTGCAGGCTGTACCCAAGATATTTGCTTTGATGGCTGGGGATGACCAAACCCCATGGACACCGGAACGGAAAACAATGATATCGCTTCTGATGGGTCGTATAATCCATGCCTATGAACCTCTGGCCATGCATCCCGACCTAGAAGTTCAAGAACGAGCTGTAGAGTTCTTAGAGCTTTTGAAGTTAGCTGCTGAAGCATCCTCGGGACAACAGGCATCATCGGATTCCACGGAGCAAGACACGCCTCTGCTTCTCACGCAGGCAATTCCGTCCTTGTTTGTAGGGCTTGAATTGAACTCTGTTGCAGTTGGGGCGCAAAGAAATGTTCCAATACCCCCGACGTTAGATTTGGATCAACCGATAAATGCCAACCTTAACAATTTGTTGAGGACAGTGGAATCGTCGTCATTTGATGAACAGGATGAGGGCGAGTTCGAAACCTACTACTACTACCAACAGCCAGAACGGCCAGCTGCAACAATTGAACCCGCAATCAACCGTCTTGGCGATGGTTCAGGGGAAATCGTTCAGTCCTATCAGCAAGGGGGCGAAGAGAGTTACTTGGATCCCGATATCATTGCACGACGGCGGGCAGAGCGTCTCGAGCGGCACAGAGACGATCCATTTTACATTGCCCCTAATGATGAAGAATCTGGGAGATCTACGCCATTACATAATATCCTTCAAAGTAACAATGGACAAGACTTGGATATCGATTCAATCCCTATCATGCAATTGGATCTTGGGAAGACCAGTCTGCCTTCCGGACGAGCGTCACCAAAGAAACCGTCAATTTCGAAGGCGCGCCAACGCATACAAGTCGCTGCGGATGAGACTTTAGGCACGAGTGGAAGCTCAACACCGCGGAATGACGATTCGGAAAACAGTCTAGATGGACCCAGATCCCGACCGAGAAAAGGAAAGCATTTACTTCTACAAGTCGATTCCAGCCATATTGGCAATTTCTCGCTCGAGGGTGACGGTAGTAGCGGGACCGATTTCGAGCGCCAGCAAAAGGAAGAAGAGGAGATGGCCAAAGCGATGCAAGAAGTTGAGAGGCTGAGATTGGAGATGCAGAGGGCGAACGAGCGAATCCAGGCCGCGCAGGGAGTCCCACCTGAAGGGACTGTCGTCAAGAAAAAGAAGAAGAAGAAGCCGGTAGAGGGAGAGGCCGGCACTGTCGTTAAGAAAAAGAAGTCAAAGAAAGCGGCGGTTGATGTAGTAGGTGAAGGAGAACCTTCCCCCGCACCCGAAGATGTTGTAAAGCCCAAGAAGAAGAAAAAGAAGCCCAAGGTTGTTGAGGAGGGCGCTGATGTTCAGCAAGATACATAGGGGTTTGAGGTTCAAGCATAGCGGAATGGGGGCATCATTGGCGCGTTGGGCATTTCAGCGTAGGCACTGTATGTAGCCTCTGCATTGGGACCGAGTCCGGCCCTAGAAAGATGGATATCATATTCGTATCTATCCCGCACGTAGATTCTATAATCAAATAAGGATTTCTGGAATCGTCTTAGCTTTCTATTATAATGAGAAGTCGATAGCAAATCCGACAATTGCAGCTAATAACCATGACGATAAGCATGCGGCTCTTCCCATCAGGTTGGGGGTAAACACATGCATCCTCGCTAATCTTATCGTTATCGTACCCAGCTCTCCAAAAAAATATAAGTACTGTAAATAAATTTCTCCACGAGACTTTAGACTCTCCAATTCCGCAACCCCTACGCATTGCGAGAAGAAGACAAAATGGGATCCAAAAATCATAACCGCTCAGAGCAGGCGTCTTCTGTGCCAGAAGATGAGAAAGCTAAGAAGGTGAAGGTTGACGAGCAGACGAAAGGTGAATCACGGGATCTCTAACCAATTGTAGGCGGGACATATGAGTGCTAACGGTGGCGACAGAGGAGCGCAAGAAGAAGAAAACGAAAAAGGAGGAAAGTAAGACTGAGAAGGAGAAACAGCGGGAAGAAACCGTGGAGAATAAGGATGAGGGAGCAGGGAACGAATCGGATGGCGAGAAAAAGGCTAAGAAATCGAAGAAGAGGAAAAGTCCTGAGGAGGTGAAGGAGGTGCCTGAGAATGAGGGGAAGGCTGAGGAATCCAAGGAATCGAAGAGTAGAAAGTCGAAGAGGTCGAAGATATCTACGCCGGCAGAGGTCGAAATGGCTGGGCTAAGTGTGGTTTCCGGGACAGAGGAGCCTGTTGCGGAAAAGAAGGAGGAGGAGAAGGCGAAGGAAGAAAACAAGGAGAAGGAGAAGAAGGAAAAGAAGGCAAAGAAGGAGAAGAAGGGGAAGGAAGAGAATGAAAACAAGGGAAAGGAAGAAAAAGATGAAGGGAAGGAGAAAAAGAAGAAAGAGAAGAAGGAAAAGAAACACAAGTCTGAACCTGCCTCTCAACTCGAACCCAAATCCGAGTCTGAATCTGCAGACCAGGTAGGCCTGGCCGACAAAAAGAAGCTAAAGAAGGAAAAGAAGGAGAAGAAAGAAAACAAGGAGAAAGAGGAGGAGAAGGAGAAAGGGGAGGAGAAGGAAACCAAGGAGGAGAAGGAAAAGGAGGAGAAAGAGGAACACAAGGACAAAGAGGAGAAGAAGGAGAAGCAAGATAAGAAAAAGAAGGAGAAGAAAGGCAAAAAAGAAAATGAGGAAGGCCAGGACGGGCAGGAAGAGAAGGAGAAGAGGGAGAAGAAGAAGAAGGAAAAGAAGGAAAAGAAAGACAAATCCGAAGCTGCCTCTCAACCCGAACCCGAACCTGAGCCTAAATCTGAAGACCAAGTGGATCTGGCTGAGAAAAAGAAGCCAAAGAAGGAGAAGAAAGAAAAAAAGCAACGAGAGAAATCAGAAGCGTCTGGCGAAGCAGCTGGTAGTGACGAGGGTTCTTCGAAGAAGCGCAAACGGTCAAAAGATCAAGACGAAGCCGAACCCGCTGAGAACAGCAAGCCCGAGAAGTCGCACAAGAAGAACAAGGTCGAGAAGCAAGAGCCAGCAAGCAGTAGCCGTACCAATGGCGGAGAACAATGGAACCCAGATGCATTAACAGGTGATGCGGCCCGGAAGGAGAAGTTCCTTCGCCTCTTGGGAGCAGGGAAGTCAAACGCAAAGCCCGTCTCCACGCATACGTCGCATACGAGCGTCGCGGATATTTCGAGGGTGCAGAGCGAGTTGGAGAGACAGTACGAAGCGGGTATGAAGATGAAGCATGATGGGGGAAGCAAGAGAAGAGGCCTTGGAGCCTAGAAGTCCCTGTATGAAAACCGCCCAAAAGTCTTGTCTGTAGATATCCCGGTTGGAGTTAATTACCCATTTGTATTGGATATAGATGTATCTGAAAGAGCCCCATGAACTCCCTGGAATTTCGCCTGTTTCCCGTGTCGACGCTCCTTTTATATATATAATGTACTGTACACCCGGCCTGTCTACAATAGACATGACATGCCGGGTCTTCTTTTTATATATCCTCCTCTTAAGATGATGCTATGCGCAGCGCAGATGCACCTTTCCCGCTCATAGCAGCACCCAATGCCCTCTCCCTCCTTTCCTCACCATATCTGCCCTGACTCCCCTCGCGCCGCTCACCGGAAGAAGATGCGACTCAGCAACTCAAAAAGCAGGCCTCCAAAAACCACAAAACCCAGCAACGCTATCCCACGCCCGGAAATCAGCACATATTCCACAATCGCATTTACGTAGGATCAGGAGAAAGGCAGCGACAAAGATAGAAAAAAGTAGAGAGGAAGGCAAAGGCATACCGAGAGCAACAGGCGAGATAGGACTCTTGAACTCCTGCTTCTTCTTGATCTCGCTGGCGGGCTTGCCTCGTTTCGCGGTCTGCTCCTTCGCGAACTTCTGGTTGCGCTTGCGCTGCTCGGGGGTTTGTGCCTGGAGGAAGTTAGTTGGTATGTTGCGTGAGAGAGTGGGTGAGGTAGTTCAGTAGCTAGATGGACATGGGAGACATACCATTGTGGCGGTTGTGGTGTGGAATGGGTCGCGAGGATGGACGGTGGGAGTTGCAGGTGGAGATGAAGGAAATGAGAAAGGAAAAGGGGTTCAAGTTCAAGGAAATTGGAGAAGAAGTGAAGGAGAGTGTTGAAGTTGGAGCTGGTATTAACTTAGGAATACGATATTCTGGGATGCAATGTGTCCGATACTTGGCCAGAACATGGGGTCGGTTGTGCAGGGTTCCCACGGTGCTCCGTCGACGCGCTACAGCGCCGGCAACAACCGTTTTCATCTGATATTCAGGCCGGTTTTTCGGTTTCCTTTCTATCAAAAACAATTATTCTTGGAAAAATCAATTGAAAAATCTTCAGATACCGCACGATACAGCCAGCCGCTATCATGAACAGGATAACATCCTCAAGCGCGCGCAGATTCGCAGCTCAATTGCGCAGACCCAACGCCGTCTCGCAAACCAGATGGAGCTCGACCGAGCCCACTGCATCAGATCAGAAACCCGTCTCTCCCCATGTAAGTCCCTTGCGCTAGATACACACACAGGACCTGACAACAACAGATCGGTTTCTACAAGACGTTCGCGCGGCCCATAGCCAAAGTGTTGCTAATGGCGACGTTCACATACCAGCTGGCGTATTTCGCATGGGTGAAGTTGGAGAAGGAGGAGATAAAGAGCGAGCGACGAGGTATTTGATTCCTTTTCACCTGGAATGAGACCGAGTTGGAAAACGAGCTGATGGGATAACGGCATAGCGGAGATTGAGAGCTTGGAAAAACAGTTAGAGGAATTGACAAAGGGGAAGGGGAAGGAAAAGGCTGCTACGCCTTGAGTTGAGAGGAAGAACTATATGGGCCAGGGGAAGGGCTCTCTGGATTTGAAGCTCTTACGTGACTACAAGTGGGTGGTGTTCTATACTTGCCCTACTTTATCTGAATGAGCTCCCCGAGAACGTGTTGACAGGCCTGCTCCCGACGGAAGGCAGACCGGGTGGCCCAGTCGAGTTGGAGCCAGGCGTCTGTGGAGTTTAGGAGGATGCCTTTCGAAAAGCGGAGATTGTATAGCTGTCAATAAGCTAGGTAGAGTTATGTTAGACCTAGGTGAGCGACGGCGTACTAGGTTTGAGGCGGATTGTCGAGTACGAAGACGACAGCGGGCTTGTGTACATCTACGACTGGTTTCAGAGCTCTGGTGAGGGATAGATATAAGGAACCTCTTCCTTCATGGTCTCTGCGCGTATATGATCAGCCATTATCGAACGCCCTCATGCCTCTAACATAAGGCCGGAAAAGACTTTGCAACATTTGCAAGGTCCTGCAATGTTCTCTCCCTTGCAGTCTGTCTAATAAGCGTTCCATCTGGATTCCAAATACTGCAAAGTTGCGGTATTCATCACGGGATCTAGTTATTCCATGGAATACCTACATACGCTACGGCTCCTCCATGATCCTAGCTTTTCCATCCTTCTTCATCATCATATTGTCAGCGTTTACTTTCCATCTCTTTTAATCGATCTTTGATTTCGATGATTATTCTTTCAATCAACGAAAAATCTCTTCTGAAAACATGTTATCCATCGTCTTTTCCCATAAAATATTAAATCAGCCATTATCTCGGTTTTCATCCTATACATATTATAGCCTCATCCGGTCCAAACTCCAGACTCACTCTAGACAACGGCTAGTCGAGAGCTCACTACCATTCCCAATCTCCTTATAGATATCTCGAACGGGATATCAGAAGCCTATAGCCTTATCGTGAGCTGCTATGCTTCGCGGCTTGCGAAGATGGGATCTCGGTGAATAGCCAGGCTGGGGTACGTATGAATACCTTAAAGAAGGATGATGCAAGACAATGCAAGGTATGGCAAGGACTGGACAGTCTGTGGAGAGGGGTATGAAGGACCGAAACTTCCTTTCCTCACTCTTTCACTTTCTCTAATTCCTTTCTGTCACCTCCTTTCTCTTTTCGAGAACAAGTCCTAGCAGATACTCAAGGATCAGGTCACGCGACACGCATCCAGCGAGTCCCAAAATGCCAGCCAGGCTCCTCCCTACCTGCCGCGCACCTCGCATAGCACAGACGCGGCAGCATGTACGAGGAGCAGCTTGGTACCGTATGTCGGAAGTGTATATAAGTCGCGGTTCCATCTATCAACGGTTCTCGGTTGGGCCAAGATATAATTTCGTCTGCACGGAAGGAAGGGACTTGGAAATCTCTAGGGAATAGCAGGTATGGTTAGAAGATCGAGAGTGAGGTGGCTAATTCTTGAGTCAGTAGGGGAGCGAGGAACTTAGAAGAAAGACGTGAGGGAATTATCATCCCTCTTTCCCCATCATCTATCTTCTTTCCTTTCCGTGGATCTTCTTCCTTACTTACCTACTTACAAGTGCAAGTATCTCAAGCCATGGCCTACCATTCAAATTCTGTAGGCATGGAGAATGAAGAGACCAGAAAAATCTTTAACAGAGCAGGGATTCTGTTTGAAGCTTTGTTGTAGTTGGTGGCTCAATCAATCAAATATTAACTGTTCTCTGGCGCCTTCTAGGGGTCCTTCTGTTCTGGCAGTAGAGCCGAAGACAAGGAGGGGGCGGGGCGCTATCTACAACGTGGTAGGGTGGATGTGAGATTCCTTTTCTCCTTGGCGCCTGAGCTAATCGCATGGTGGAGATTGATGGACGACTCCAGAAACATGTCATTGAGACAAGGGCTTGAGAGTTGTTGAAGGCGACTCAAGATATGGGTTCTAGATCTCATAGCCAAGAGAGAGACGTTTACCTTCCTGGGATTATCAAACGAGGCCAACGACACGATCCCGTCTTCTTTGTTTCTTCTCGGCGCGTGAGGAACCCGCAAATCAGGAAAACACCTCAAATGACGAAGTAAAGCCGTGCCAAGGCCTCGCTATCCTCTAGAAAGCCCCGTTCTTGTTCCGTGCTAAAGGCTGCCGTCCCACGGTCCAGCAGACTAGAAGTTATCTGATCTCTCCCTCCTTTGGCGAGGGCCGACGTGGGGAATAACGGATCATAGGTATATGAGGTATACAGCAATACTTGTCCAATACCAACAACCTCTTGCCTTACCTAAGTAGGCAGGACTAAAGTAATTATTATGTATGGTTGTAAGTACGACGGAATATCACTCGTTAGGATAGTTGTGGTGAGACTGGGGACGGAGCAACCCATCTTCTTGCAGGCAAAACCCGGCCGAGACGAAGCCCCACTCGGGAAGAGGCGGCTAACATCTTATCAGATCATCTCTTCCGCCCGCCCGTGTTCGCATCACGTAAAGAACCCATGGTAGTGACTGGGGGCCCTCCGATCCGGCCCCGAGGGTAGGCGTTTAGCAATGGCCCATGGATCATGGTATGATGTACGCACAGTACCTATGTATGCATATACTGGCAAAACGTACGCGTCGTATAGGAAAAAGTGGACAGTGGCTTAAGCACCACCGGTATTGGTTGTTGGTGCGAGTATGAGCGGGATGCTACTGTAGATGAGAGGAGAGGTCTCGCGACGCCGCTCTGGAAAACGGAAAAGCGTCATGGGAATGGGAATGGGACGGATGGTCCAACCCCCTGGGGAACAGAGCCGGTTGTCGCCGCACGTGGGATGGATTATTAGGGCTGGGCTGGGCGCAAGCGGTTCGTGGACCGGCGAGAGCAAGGAAGAGGGAGGTATCGGGCTGGGCACGAGGGCATGGGGTTGAAGAAGAGAATGAGTTCAAGAAGAGAAGAGGGGGACTGAGCGGGATATGGAGGAACTGGGAGCACGGGAATGTTGGAAGTTTGGTATCTCCGTGGGCGGGATAGGATTGGGTATGTGTATAGGTAGGTAGGTATGTGTGTGGGCGAGTATGTGATGTGTACTTGAAGGGTCTATTGTTGAAGAGAAGAGAAGTAGGTAAATACAGATCTGTTAATCTTATCAGATCGAAATCAATTACATATCAGATGGATGGGCGCAAATTATCAGATCGCGGTACATTATCAGATTGTCTTAAATTACAGCACTTTCACCAATTACCCGAATATCCTCCCGTTTTACTCCGTCCCTCAGGTACGAATACTCCGCAAATTAGTCAAGGATTATCAGATGGTTTACAGGAATTATCAGATCCGTCGCAGACATGACATCGGCTGTCCCGCGCAGACCTTGCAGAACACCAGGGTCCAGATCCATGTCCGCCCCGAACGAAAAGTTTCTCACGCCTCAACTCCCCGCCCAGAGCGGACAAGAGCTGCGACGCTGGGGCTGGCCCTGCTGGTCACTTGTCCATCCTGCAGCCAAGTGGCATCAAGTGGAGAGCAGCTCTGCCCGTCGAAGGGCCATATAATCATATTCCGTACATATGCGCGGAAGTTTCCCAAGTACTCCGTAGTAGGGCTTGTTCGTACTTCTTAGTCTCCTTCCAAGCGTCGAAAGGCTCTGGTAGCTGCCCCCCCACCAAACGCGACCCAACTTGCCCATCTTCCTCCCCCCCTGCCCTGCTTCTAAAGCTGGCCCAGGTAGGGGCCCCGTCTCTCTCCTACGTACTTCTTGACTTATAAAGATTGTCACTCTCGCTGTCGATCTTCCCCTCCGCACTTCCGCACAGAATCCCCTTGGCTCTCCCCTTTCTTCTTATCTCCTGCTATTCCTCGCGATAGAGCTCAAGATGAGGAAGTTCTTCGGGGATCGCAGTAATAAGGACCTCGCCCAAGAGCTCGCTGTCGGCCCCGCCCCAGACCCTATCGACTTGGATCCCTCGACCGAGAAGCAGCTGCCGACGTCGACAGATGATGATAATTCAATCACGCACCCCCCCAGCGAGGAGGCCCCAAGTGAGGATGCTCAAGATGGTGTCAAGAAGGTCGAGGCCGTCACCCTCACCTGGACGAGGAAGGAATTATATGTGGCATATGGCTGGTGAGTACTCTGCTCTTATCAAGGTCATGACCTAGCATTATCAGGTCCGGCCTTGCGGTGCCTCGTTGGACCAGGCTGATCTTGGCACAGCATCTTTCTCGTCTTCTTCGTCGTCTCTATGGCAGAGCAGATCCAAAACAATCTGAGTTTCTATGTGACGTCCAGTTTCGCGGCGCTGCCGTTGACCGGCACGACGTCCATTCTCTCGGGCATCATTGGCGGAGTCATCAAGCTCCCGATTGCCAAGTTCGTTGATCTGATCGGACGTGCTGAGGGGTTTGCTATCATGACTGGGATTGCTACGATAGGTATGGGGTCTATATCCTATGCACAAAATCAATGAAGCTGGCACTAATCCATCTTGCAGGTCTCATCATGATGGCCGCTTGCCGTAATGTTGAGACGTACGCTGCAGCACAGGTAAGCATCTTCTGTCCCCTGGCTTGATAATTTCCTGATGGTCAACAGGTCTTCTACTGGACTGGATACAATGGGATGCTCTATGTGCTCGACGTTTTCATGGCAGACACCTCGAGCTTGAAGAATCGAGCCTTGGTTTTTGCCTTCTCCAACACCCCCTATATTGCCACTACGTTCATCGGCCCACCAGCCGCTGCGTCCTTTCTTCGGACCAGTGGCTGGCCGTGGGGTTTTGGTACTTTCGCAATCATCACCCCGGTCATCGCGATGCCCATCTGCATCCTCCTGTGGGCTAATCAGCGAAAGGCGATCAGAGAAGGTGTTCTAAAGAAGAAGGAGAGAAGCGGGCGGACATTTGCCCAGAGCGCCAGCTATTACTTCTGGGAATTCGATGGTACGTTTCCCTGACAAGCTCCCCAACTCCTCTTTCTCAAGCTCACCGTCTCAGTCATCGGCTTGATCCTGGTCTGCGCTGGCTGGGCCTTGACCCTGCTCCCCTTTTCCCTTGCATCCTACCAGTCTAAGGGCTGGGGCGCCCCGATAATCATCGCCTTCCTTGTCGTCGGTCCCTGCTTACTTATACTCTTCGCGATCTATGAGAGATTCTTCACCCGGAAATCCTTCATCCCTTTCGAACTCCTCACCAACCGCAGCGTCATCGGGGCCTGCCTCCTGGCCGCCTTCCTCTTCATTAGTTTCTAGTAAGCAAGCCTCTCCCCAAGCACCCACCACATCCTAACCCGCCCCGCAGTCTCTGGGATAGCACATTCAACAGCTACCTCCAAGCGGTGCACAATCTCTCAATTTCCGACGCCGGCTACGTCAGCAACATCTACAGCATCGGGTCCTGCTTCTGGGGCGTAGTCCTGGCCATCCTCATCCGTCTCCTCGGCCGCTTCAAGTGGCTCGCCATGTCGATGCTGTGCCTCGAGGCCCTCGGCGTCGGCCTCATGATCCACTTCCGCCAGCCCAGCCAAGGCATCGGCTACGTTATAATGTGCCAGATCTTCATCGCCTTCGGCGGCGGTTCCCTCGTCATCTGCGAGGAGATGGCCGTCATGGCCGCCGCGCCCCACCAGAACGTCGCCAGTATGCTCGCCCTCATCGGCCTCTTCTCCTCCGTCGGCGGCGCCATCGGCCAGGCCGTCTCCGGTGCCATCTACACCAACAAATTCCCCGAGGCCCTCGATGCTGCCTTGCCGGGGAACGCCACGCTTAACTCCCAACTTTACGCCTCCCTGGCCACGCAGCTCACGTACCCGATCGGTAGCCCGGAGCGCGACGCCGTCATCTACGCATATGGCCGCGCGCAGTGGTTCCTGACGATCGCGTCGATTTGCTTCTTGGTACCTTGCTTTGTCTTCATTGCGCTATGGAAAGATTTCAAGGTCAAGGAGCTGCGGAAGGTGAAGGGGCGGGTGGCGTAATAGCGGATTGCGATTGCTGAATCATTGTTGTTGGAATGGCTCTGTGATAGTGGATATTTGTTTGTTGTTGCCTGTCTATCTTTTAATACCCACGCCCCTTCTGCTGCTGGAGTTATAAATTTGTTTTATTAGGTATACATGAGAATAAGATGGGACTATGTACCTAGAGGGATAGAATATAGTTCTCTGAACTAACTTCTTTCTGAATCTATCCCCGAAATGTTTCGTTTGCACGTCGCAGTTCGCCGCCGAATAGCTACCTAGGTAGCTAAACGAATGACCCCCTTTCCCCCCTCGAGAGGCTTAGAAGCATGTACAACATGTTGAAGACAATCTAATGTTTTGTTAATAGGAATATACAAAGATTCAAAGAGGAGACCTTGGCGCAATGGGTCGGGCAACGTATGTCCTCAAATTTGTTTATAAAGGCTTTTGTAGTACGAGTTTTTGCTGTCCGGTAATTGGCTGAATTGCTCACATATGTCCATCCACAGATTTCCCTCCGGCGAGTAACGCAGAGGTTGTCAGGGCGTTAGCATGTGACCTCGGTTCGTGTATATAGCTTCTAGTGACAACGCTCTGAATTCTACAGACTTACCTTACACCACATAGAACGATCAAGGACTATGACCTGACAGCCGGTTAGGAGACATATTCCCCGGACGAGAAGGACAGCGATACGACCCAGAGGAATAGCCTAGATGAAGGCTGGCCAACATGCCAAGGTCATCATGCCGGAGGAGCCCTATCACGGGTACCAGGAATAGCACGAAAGATGGCCCTCGCGGCTTCCTTGTAGCGGCCTCTAGTGACGCCCTGCTCTCACGAAATAACCAGACAATTATCAATCATGCGAGCAAAAAATAATCAAAAGCTTGTGGACTACACAATCCGGGAAATATGAGACTCGCTGCTAGACTCCTCGTCTTCGGAGGAAGTGTAGAGTTTGCAGCAATGCAAGGAATCTCTTGTTATATGGGAGGATATTTGTCATTTATTACCTTTTGTTGCTCTGGAAATGGGTATATGCGCTACACAGGTATACACCATTGCTCCCGAAGGACTGCACTGGCGGCGAGGACGGGGATATGGATGCCACTATCTGCCTTTAACTTTGAACGAGTCAAGCGACGCGACTCAGTCCCCCACCAAGACACTGGGATCCTTCAAGAGTTGCACCAAAACCGTCTTGGGAAGTGCAGCTGTGAAAATCAACAATGCCTCGTATGGTTCTTGAGGAAGAGATGATGGACGCCGAGTTGCTACTATATGGAGATTCGCGGTTGGGCTACTTCCGCTGCTGTTCCTCGAGCGCTTTGAGGAAGTTCTGGATGCCATTCAGGATATATCCATCTTAGGCTCAGTGGACTGTGCATATGAAAATCTTCCTCATCCAATGCATATCTCTTGGAATGAGGGCAGTCACTTAACGGAGGGAGAATCGAGTTTGTCCAGATTGGAATACAATTCCCCCAGCACTGGCATAACGATCTCTGCTGAGACGACTACCTCTACCGTCGTGACCTTCAATACACAATCAAAGTAGAACCTGAAGGCTGAAGGAACAGAGCAAACAAAAAGAACCATTATTGAAAAGAGAGATCGAACTTGACAAGCAGAGTAAACCTTACCAACTCACATCAGAGGGGGGCCCTCGGATGGTACCGTCTTTGGCGATCTGGAGTGGTAAGGTTTGAAACGAGGCGAGGTTAAAGGCAATACGGAGTGGGGTTATAAACAAGGATAGGGTCAGAGTAACAAGGCTATAAACACCCGCGTTATTGGAGAAATTGAGCCATTTTACTGGCCAGCGACGACGCCAACCCCTGACGCCGCGAGCCGAAAGCACGAATGCAACCGCGTTACTGCAGATTGTGAAACCTAGAGTCGGCCTTGACACTCGTTGCTAGGCGGCTTTGGGGAAATTCCAGGCCCCCGCTAGGCCAAAGAAGGAACTTTCAGGACCGTAATAAACAGAGATAAAACATCCCGTGTAAACATAAACACGCCGCATAATAAAACCTGTACCCCACATGATAGGCAGTGTTCAAACTTCACTTCCGAGAGAAGAGACAATAACAACAACAACACCTCCACATTCTTTGCATCTTCTCCTTGTTTACATTTGACCTTGTCTTTGCATCTGCTTCGCTGCATCGCATACAACGAACACGATCTCGATCCAACCCTACTTGCAATCGCTGAATCTTGGGGAAGCCACGAAGGCGCAACAACATACAAGACTCCCCCTCCCCATCCCGCTCTTCCTCGACTGACGCTCGCTCTCCTTTCTTTAACCAACATACATCTAAGAAACCCGAGGAACTCCAACTGCTCGTCCTCCCCGGTCTTTCTACCCTACCCTCGCTCTCTGTAAAGAACCTCCTCCTTCCTGCCATGGCTCTTCAAGCCGCGTACAAGCAGTTTCTAGCTGCCCCGAACTCGAGCTTCCTCGCCAGCAACGCGTCTCTGCACTACATCACAACCCTCATCACCATCAACGGCTCCTCCGAGATAATCAAGCACTTCAATGGTCAAATCCACGACCTGAAGAAGAAGGAGGAGAAGTTCCTCGATGTGGTCGAAGGCCAAAATGCCCTTGCGGCAGAGGTTCACACCACCATCGAATTCCTCGCGGGCGGTGGAGCATATCTTCCGAACTTGGATGATAACTTCCTTGCTGATCGCACCGTTACATTGCCAATCGTGAGTATGAGCCAACACGCGCGCGAATCATACTAACCTCTACAGATCCACATAGTCAGTTTCGATGCGGACGGCAAGATTCAACAAGTGCGACAAAGTTGGGACCAGGGTTCTCTCCTCAAGTTGATCGACGTTATCGGAAGGACTGGGCGCAACTGGCCAATTCGTGATGGCAAGGACCAAATCAAGCTGATTACCTCAAGTGTCAAGTCTGCTGGAAAGCCCGCAGATGACAGCTCCTCGGAGGACAGCCTTGCTAGATCTCGCGGAAACTCCCAAAACGTCACTCGTGACCCGCACGCCTCTCTTTCTCTCTTTGCCCCTCGCGAGAAGGAGACAATAGATTCTCAACCGGCTATCGTTCCACCTCGCGCGTCAGCCAAGCCACCCCCACGCGATTACAACGACCTATTTGTTGGAACTGATGAGGACGAGTCACCGGCTTCTCCATCGAACTCTGCTGGAGGGCGCACACCATCTCCTTCTAAGCCCACAGTGATCGCACCGAAGGTTGGCGCCGGAAAGAATTTCGCCCCTTCGCGTATCTTCGATATCGATGGAAACGAATCACACAGTCCGTCTGCAGATAAGACTCCTTCTACAGAGCGCCACTACCGTCCGCATCCTGCCAAGTTCCAACATTTCGATTTTACTGATGAAGGCGAGTCACAGGATGCGCCTAAGCCCAAGCCTCTAGTCGAGGTGAAGAAGAGCAGGCATGGGAGCCAGTGGAGCTTTGATGATTTTCAAACTCCCGAAAAGGTCATTCCAAGCAAGGTTCTCCGCAACAATGATGTGCGCCACTGGAGTAATAGTGAGGACGAGGCCGTTGATAGCCCAGTCAGACAAAAGCAGATTCCCAAACCCCGCAAAGACGCCGAAACTCATTTCGAACTACAGGACGATGGAACCCCAGAGGGTGGACCCCGCTTAGTCGGCCGACCACGAGGTGCGGGTCAAAACAATGGCCTCGGTCTCTACAAGAACAATTTGTATGACGAAAACAGTGGACTCCCTGGGGGTGATGAACCCAGACACATTAACACTATCGCAAATGTGAAGGATAGATCCAAGGACTTTGAACCCCATTTCACCATGACTGATGATTCTCCCGCAGCCAAGCCAGCTCAAGAACGCCTTCCTGAGGATAGAGCCAAGGCTGTCAAGATGATGGATGCAAACTGGTCTGCATATGATGAATCTCCATCTCAAAGAGAAAACATGCCAGCTTCACGAGCGAGATCCGATGTGGGAACCGGCAAAGGCCCATTGAGTGAGAGCACGAATACGATGAGCAATCGCAATGACAACCCCAAGGGCATCATGATCGGTGGTGACGGTATGGGAGGCAAGAAGGGAGCCGGTAGACAATGGGGCTTCGGCGATGACAGCGACGGTGAGGAGGTGGGTGGTAGAAACCAACCAGGGAAGTACAGGACTGGCAAGACACAAGGCAGAACCCAAACAACCGGAGACGACTTCTGGGACTTCTAGGCCTACCTCACGAGTGCGAGGTAGATGAAAATGATGACGGCTGCTAATGGTGATACGAATAACTTTGACGAGCATACCACTTGTTTTCCTTATAGTCTGCTGTTACGATTACCGACGCATAACATGCGGTGTTTCTCACGGTTTCTTTTGTGGCACTCGCGCCATTTTCCCCTAGTAGTTATTGTCGGCGACAAGGTTCATACCACTTGGTTGGAAAAGGGCATTTATATTGATGCAATTCTAGCGAAAGTGCGGTATGGCATAAGCAGTTCGATTACTGGAGCCAACATTGAGCATTGAAGGGGGGGAAGGAAGGTGAACTGTACAACTTATTCTTGTTAAGATAGGGTCGATATTGATTGAATACCGCTATGGCATTACAAGTTCGCTACAAAAGGATAAGGTAGGTGAGAAAACTAATCTTGAGCCGTCGATACCTCCCTCCCCCCTTCTATTCGCTAGTGCGACGCTCTCTATAACGTTTCCTATATTAAATCAAACAGCACTTGAACATGACCCTCTGCCAATCTTCTCTGCCTGTTCTCTGTTGGAAAGCTTCAGAATACCAGTGGTAATAATACGGCAGACAAACTATATGCGAGCAAATAAGAAAAGTTGCCCTGCCAAAGACACAATAACGAGTGTTATTACTACCCTAGTTTGGGACTGGGCAATCCTATGGCTGGTCAACGACCAAGAAGAGCACACGACCTCGGAGTCTTCTTTGTTTTCACAAAAATATGCCGTCCGAGTTAAGACATGAAGCCAAAAAGCTAGACAAGCTAGGGTGACGCTTTATGAAATCCAGATAGTTCTGGTCGTATAGTCATTACCCATAAAACCCCTAAATGGTGCCAAATTTGAAGATGCCCCATAACTTATAAGAGACTAGCCTCTCTGTGTTATTCCCACCGCTCTTAATCGTCCCAAAAGTCCTTTCCCCCATATTTATTCCCAATCAGCGCTTTTCCGTTATTTTCCACCTCTACTCCATCGTACGTATGAGATGCACCTATCGCCTTCCCCTTCCAGTCACTACTGAAGGCATCGCCAGTCTGAGCCTTGCCTTTGATCACAACATTCGAGTAGTGATGACCGGTAAGAGTTTCTTTTGCAGCAGCCTGAAGCAGAGGATCCACATCCTGAGCAGCGCTCTCGATTAGCTTCAGAGACTGTTCATCGTCAATCTTTGCCGTTTCCCGCTTCACAAGTTTCAGTCGAGTTTGCAGCGCAGGGAAAACGGCTTCAATGTTGTCGATGAGGGAGGTAATGTTTTGGATAAGCTCTTTGTGTTCAGACCTATGGTAGAGAGCCCAGCTTGCCGTCTTCAAGACTCCGCTCAGTCTCTTCTTCTGTGGTCTGATTGCCAGCTCCCTCAACTTGTTATCCAGCGCTATGACTTCAGGGTCCACATCCTCAGGCGTGAGTATAGAGAGATCCTCTCCAACCTTCGCGTTCAGCTTGTAGTTCTGTGAGATCTTCTTCGTGTTTGCGAAGAGGACTAGAATTTGGTGCAAAGCATCCTTCGCTATTTGGATTTCGGCAGGAGTTGCGTCTGGTCTGCCCAACTTCGGGTCATTGTAGATATCGACAGCTTCTCCCCAGCGTGACAGACGGAGCCTTGCAAAGTCGAGGGTCAGTAGATCTGTCTGGAAGTCCCGTCCGAAGTGACGCCCAATCTGGATGTACTTGAAGCAATCAACACAGGCGGTAAAGGCAGTAGCGATACCGACGGCGCTGGCGGCAATGCCAAACGGCTCAGCCATGCTATGGGTTGATTGAGTATGTTACGTGCTAGAGATGAGTGCTTCGTTCTGTCAAGATTAGATGGGAATATCCGGATGTTGCGGGATCTACGGTTCGTCCCGGACCGGTGCCCAAAGAGGGTCGCGGGGTTGTTGAAGGGCGCTTGCGCCAGCCAATCTGGGAATCCCACCTCCACTTCGCCGCTCCAAGCCAGCTACTCTCCTCCACCCTTCCTGACGATCAAGCAGATATACGAACCCAAATCCAACAACCTTGATTCCTGTTCGCGAGCGCATAGAAGAGAAACGGATAGCCAGACATGCAGACGCCAGACCGCGGAAGAGGAATCCCAAGCAAGATGGGGCATAACTACAGTGGCATATGCATCGAAGGGGGTAAAAGCCAATTAGGGGATGCGTACTATAATTATTTCGGTGGGCTTATGCGAGACTGCAATCAAGACAGAACTAACAGCAATCCAGCAAAAGATAGCCCTCTTGATCGTTTACCGTACGCAGTGGAGGCGCCCTTTAACTCGTTTTCCCGACAACACGACGGTGACGACACCACGTGCCTTGACAACACCCGAGTCGACGTCCTCCAGGAAATATACAACTGGGCAGATGGTGAAGACAAGAGAGGCATCTTCTGGCTAAACGGCTTGGCCGGCACAGGAAAGTGGACAATCGCACGAACTATCGCCCGCAAATACTACGAGCAGAAGCGTCTCGGAGCGAGTTTCTTCTTCTCAAGAGGCGGTGGAGACGTCGGCCATGCTGGTATGTTCATTACGACTATTGCCCACCAGCTTGCGGATAACGTACCACCTCTCCGGCAATACATTTCCCAAGCTATTGAGGATTGTAGCGGTATTGTGAGCCACGCTCTCGGCGACCAGTGGCGTCGGCTTATCCTCGGTCCGTTATCTCAGCTGGATGGCGACTCCCAGTATATTCTTGTAATTGATGCTCTTGATGAATGTGACAGTGACAAGAACATTCAGACCATTCTGAGACTGTTGGCCAAAGATCGGACAGTCCGACTACGAGTTTTCCTGACGAGCAGACCTGAGACTCCAATCCGATATTCCTTCCGTGAAATACCCCAGGCTGAGCACCAGGACTTTATTCTCCACGATATATCGCCAAAGACTGTAGGTCACGATATCTCTATCTTCCTGGAACACAATTTCAAAATCATTAGGGACGAACGCGAACTGGGTACAAGCTGGCCGAGCCAACGGAAAATTGACCGTCTAGTCCAGAATGCAGGCGGTCTCTTCATATGGGCTGCAACTGCTTGTATGTTCATTCGCAAAGGGTTCGTCGTTGAAGAAAAACTGGACATGCTTCTTGAAGGCGATAACTCTACTAATACACCAGAAAATCATCTCAGCAAGATCTATATCACTGTCTTGAAGAATTCGAGCCGAGACTACACCGAGCAAGACAAACAAAGCTTGTATAGAATGCTAAGAGTCATTCTTGGAAGTATCGTTATTCTATTCGAGCCCGTTTCCGCGGGCTCCTTAAGCAAGCTACTCTCTATTACGAGACATATGGTTAACCAGGCGCTAAAGGATCTTCATGCTATCCTAGCTATCCCAACGGACCAAGCACGCCCCCTCCGCCTACACCATCCTTCATTTCGCGACTTTCTTCTCGATAAAGATAGGTGCGGTGATTCAAATTTCTGGGTGGACGAGAAGCAAGCCCATTTGATGTTAGCTGATCGCTGTATACAACTTATGTCCTCCCTCAAGCAAGATATCTGTGGCCTGCACGATCCGGGTGTCCTCCTAACCACTGTGAAAACCAGTCAAGTGGAGCAATTCCTTCCTCCAGAGGTTCAGTATGCGTGCCGGTATTGGGTGTCGCATCTCCAAAGGAGTAGTGCTCACATCTTTGACAATGACAAAGTTCATCGGTTCCTGCGGGAGCATCTGCTTCATTGGCTTGAGGCCCTTAGCTGGATGCAGAAAATCTATGAAGGAATTCGTGCAATAATTTCGTTAGAGTCTATTGCTTCGGTGAGCTTGCTTTGGCCTCCTGCAAGGCTATAACTAACTGTTCTTGAAGACTAGTGACTGTCCTCTCTTCTACAAGTTCATCCATGATGCAAAACGATTTGCCCTGTATAATCGACCTGTAATGGAGCAGGCCCCCCTCCAGATATATCTCAGTGCACTGATATTCGCACCAACGAACAGCAAAGTCCGAAATGAATTCCAAGCCCCGGAACTTTGCCGGATGAAGAGATTGCCTGATACTAGACAGCATTGGAGTGCCTTATTGCAGACCCTTGAGGGCCATACTCTTTGGGTGAACACGGTCACCTTCTCAGAGGATGGGGACATGCTAGCGTCAGGGTCACAAGATGGCACAGTACGGCTCTGGGATCCGACTACTGGACAGTGCCTACAGACTCTCGAGGCCCATAATAGCCCGATAATCACAGTCGCCTTCTTCTTAAAGGACGAGGAGATGCTAGAGTTAGGGTCAGCGTCAGATGATGGCACAGTGCGGCTCTGGGACCTGGCTACTGGACAGTGCCTGCAGACCCTCAAGTGCGGCAGGGTAAGCATGGTCGCCTTCTCAAATGACGGGAAGACGCTAGCGTCAGCGTCAGGATGGTTTACTAAGACGGTACGGCTTTGGGACCTGACCACCGGACAGTGCCTACAGACCCTCGAGTGCGACAGGGTAAGCAGGATCGCCTTCTCTAAGGACGGGAGCACGCTAGCGTCAGCATCATTCGATAACACGGTACGGCTCTGGGACCTAACTACCGGACAGTGCCTGCAGACCTTCGAGTGCTACGATATAAACAAGACCGCCTTCTCTAAGGACGGGAACATGCTAGCGTCAGTATCAGTATCGTCAGATAACGCTGTACGGCTCTGGGACCTGACTACCGGACAGTGCCTGCAGTCCCTCGAGTGCGGCAGGGTAAGCACGATCGCCTTCTCCAAGGACGGGAACACGCTGGCGTCAGGATCGTCGTGGGATAACACGGTACGGCTCTGGGACCTGACTACCGGACAGTGCCTACAGACCCTCGAGGGCCATAATGGCCGGGTAAACACGATCGACTTCTCCAAGGACGGGAACACGCTGGCGTCAGGATCATTAGATAACACGGTACGGCTCTGGGACCTGACTACCGGACAGTGTCTACAGACCCTCGAGGGCCATAATGGCCGGGTAAACACGACCGCCTTCTTTAAGGACAGGAATATGCTCGCGTCAGGATCGTCGCTAGATGGTACGGTACGCCTCTGGGACCTGACTACCGGACAGTGCCTACAGACTCTTGAGTGCGACGGGGTAAGCAGGATCGGCTTCTCTAAGGACGGGAACACGCTGGCGTCAGTATCGTTCAATAACACGGAACGGTATTCATCGTTCGAGGACACAGTTGGGCTCTGGGACCTGACTACCGGACAGTGCCTACGTATCGTCGAGCCTATGGCGACAAGCTTACACATTAGAAATCCGGTCATTTATCATGATCCGGGACAGCCAAAATCTGTTGTCAATATGTGGGTCACCCAAGGTACACAGAAACTTCTGTGGCTTCCACAAGAGTACAGAAATCCCTTACATTCAGCTGTCCATGATAACATGCTCGCTCTTGGATACGGGTCTGGTCAGATTATAGTCCTTGAATTCGCCTCCTATTGAATTGATTTAGTATTCAATCTCTTTACACAACTAAACTATACATCACTCTCTTATGTTTTCTAATCTCTATTTAAGAGGAGGGCCTGGGAGGACTGGTAAATTTATAGTGCCATGTATTGCCAGTAGAATTGTTCAGAAAGCTCTGGCAAATTTCTTCTGAGCTCATGGGCAGATTGATATTAGTACAGTACTAGTAATCCGTAATGTGTGGTATTATCTGTACTCGCGGGGTAGATGAGGGGCATGCTGCTGTGTGGTTAATATAGGTATTGTACGACGACTTTGGCCATGTCATTATCAAGTACGTGAACCATACGACCGACGGTCTGAAAAGAGTGACAACAAGATGTGTAACTGTACCTATGTGGACAGAAAACATTTCGTGTGTGTTTTGAAGCTGAAGCCGATTTCACTAGTGGCTGTCTCTACTCATATTTTGAACAGCCTCTTCATCACAGGTGGCTAGACTCTCATCCAAGCTCGACTCCTGCTTCTGGGTCGCGGCATCTTGCGTAATTGCTTGTGGTGTGTGGTAGAAGGAATGGAGGTGGAGAAAGCTTTCCCTCATCTCTCTTTTGATTCTCTTCCTGATTCTGAGACACCATTGTTTTTTGAATGATAGTGAAGTTTCTTGGGCTGTGAGGGGGTGTGGCGGTGCGAGATGAGCCGTTGGGATCGGTGATGATGATGGTGGGGTTGGACATCTTGTCAATGTGGTTGGTGGATGGATCTGCATAAGTGAATCTTTTGGGGGGGTGGGAGTGTGACTTAACTTGTATTTTTCTAGGTAAGTTCGATGGCGCGAAGCTCTTATTCTGAAGGTTGAGAATGTGGTGAGGAGATGGAAGTTAGAGAAGAGGTGGGCGGGGTTTTTATAGATGTATAGGAGAGTAGTTTCGGGAAAGGGCTTTGTGAGGAACAATGGCCCGAGAGTCTTTGTTTTTTTGGTGTTGTTTGTTCCATTGTGGGAAACAAAAGGCGGTGATAAAGCCGCTTTCTCTTCTTTGAACAGTCCCCAGAAACAAAAAAGAAGGTATGTTAATTCCCGGTCAGGATCATCTTCTTGTTCAGAGCTGACAATGAGAATAAAGCTACTCGTTTCTCTTCCTCCAAAACTGATCCAGAACAATGACGCAGGGATCTATGCATGAGGAGTTTTCTCCTACCAGTTATACCCCTTGAAACCTTGTTACCATCTTGAATAATAGAGTAGCTGGTCTCAGAACAAGTAGTTGATGAGACATGCCTGGAGGTTTAAAAACTGAAGTCGTCCTCTTGAGAGTTGGATTTTTTTTTCTCCTCATCATACATCATTTTATCCAACAACAATAATAACAACTACAACAACTACAACCCAATCCATTCTTATCCCAACCCATCGTTCACCATCCATCCAACGACCACAACCAAATTTCCAAGAACAAATCTACAACCATGCCTCAAAAGCACTCTAAAACGACCTTCAGATGCGGGCATCAGGAGATGATACCCGAGGAGACAACAATATGGACGGAACTGAAGCGCTGGACGCACACAAACACACGTAAATCTTCCTCCCTCTGCAGCAACTGTCAGAAGATTAACCCAAGGAAAGCACCACCGGCACGAGGAACATCGCAAACGATTGCAGCACTGGGTCTCGCCGAGCATACTAACGCCGTGGAAGCTCTCCGCCAAGTCCAGCACCGCTGGGAAGATATCGCTGCTCGGACAACAGCAGATCAGATTGAAGAATTTTCAGACGAGCATCGAGCTACAGCTTCTCATGCTGAGCAGGACTTGAATAGAATGCATGTGTTTTGGGCAGAGAGACACGCAACGCACATGAGCAGCCTCTCTACTGAGCTTATGCATTCCGGTCGACGAGGACCCCTTGACTGCCGGCTATGCAAAGAGTATGCGCAGTCCCTTGTTGAGCCGCAGTACCGACTTGAGCACCCAAATGAGCACCAACCTGATCGTCCAAACGAGTACGAACTTGATCGCCCGAACGAACCAGAAATTGACCAAGAAGAACTCTACGGCCCAATGATCTTCCCTCCGAGGTCACGAACACCAGATACTGACGTGTACGAGATGTACGAGATTGTGCCATTCGAGGGATCAAGAACGTCACTTGATAGCGATGCTACTGAGGGTATCAGAAGAGCGCAAGACAGCTTTGATACTCCGGATATGAGCCCCATGAAGGAAGGGTACGCAAGACCGCCAAGCAGAAGAGGACAAACTGTCGGGGAAAATGAGGAACAACCATCCACAGTGATCTGCCGGTATGTCTCGTCTCCTCCTGACCCCGACAATCTTCCTGACATTCCCAAAGAGCTTCGTGATCGCCTTGCATCAAGATACCTAGAACCATCTTCGATGCCCGAAGTTCGTGATTGTCTGGCACCAAGTCCCACAAGAATATCTGCGGCCGCTGCACGAGCTCTGTCTAAGCTGGCAGCGATCAGTGAAGAGGGTTTGGTCTCAGAAGAACCCACAACTGATCGTGAATCGCTCCCATACGTGTCACCAATGAGAGACTTGATATCATCTAGACAGCCGCGCTGGGGTCAAGGAGTTCAAGGGCGAGAATCTCCCGCGACTGTGCAAGTCAATAGGGATATAGGGGCGGATGCCAACAAGTCCGAGCTAGTTCCTCCCTCTGATAACTCCGGAGAGGGGCTCCATGGGCTAGAGGTGAACCCAACAGGTGCTCCTCTCCCAGAAGTCGCAGCCGAAGAGATACAACAGCTAGCTGACCTAGCAATCGCTCCATTACGACGAGAGGATGCCATGACTGGGTCTGCAGGCGGACCAAGTCTTCATGCCATGCTCGCTGAACCAAACCCGGGAATGAATATCACAGTCCATCACAACAACTAGGATGATTGTGATCATGAAGAGAGTCCGGCTGATTCAGCACTTCAACTCTGGCAACCTTCGCCAGTGACTCCAACGGACCGGGGATTGACTCAAGGGGAAAATCCAGCATCACAGCTCTGGCAAACACCTTGCCTTGAGATGCCAACAAGGAGAGAACTGGCCCAAGCAACAAATTCACACTTTATCGTTCACCCAGCAATTCGGCGACCAAATCTGCCTCTTACGGCCCTAGATACCTCGCCAGCAGGAGGCACACTCTGGCAACCATCTTCAGCGGATCCAAGATGTACGGAAGTGACGCAAGCAGAAAACCCAGCATCACAACTCTGGCAACCTTCCCTAGTGACTCCGACAAACCGGGGGTTGGCCCAAGCAGAGAATCTAGCACCACAACTTTGGCAATCTTTCCTAGTAGCCTCAAGGAAGCAGGGATTAGCTCAAGCAGAAAACCTGCCAACACAGCTCTGGCAACAACCTCTCCCTAAGACGCCAACAAGGAGAGAATTGGCCCAAGCAGCAAATGCATACTTTGTCGCTCACCCAGGAACTCGGCGACCGAATTTGCCTCTCACAATGCCAGATCCCTTGCCAGCAGGCAACACCCTCTGGAAACCCACCCCACGCCCCCCGTCTCCGCGTCTTGACCCGGAAAGCCTCCTAGGCCGCGCAGCCATCCAGCGCATCAGAAACTATCTGAAGTACCCCGATGCCACGCCATTGCAAATACTCTCTATTCGATCATTGCCAGATACGCTGATAGATCCTAGCGATCTGTTGGGGTTTGCAAAAGACGTGCTGTCAGTAGCGTGGAGGAAAGAAGACGAGGACGCCTCGAAGATCATCAGAGCCGGGAAGATCGACCCCGAATCCTTCGATGGCAAGCATACACTCCAGCGGATCAAGCGTGCCCTCGAGCTCCCAGACGACGCGACTCCGACAGATATCCTTTCCGTCGCCGTGCTTCCAGATTCTCTAGATGCGCCTGAGGAACTTGAGGCGTTTGCGGCAGACATACGATCGATAGCGTGGAAGGAAGAAGATGAATTAGAGGCAAGGCGACGACTGATGGCAGCCGTCGATCCCGCTAGCATCCCCCTCCCACGCAGTCCCCCACCCCGTCCCTACCGTCCCGACCAGATCGATCCCGACTCGCCAATAGGACTCGAGATGCTGACATCCATCCGTACCTTCCTCTCCCTTCCGCCCACCGCTAGCCGCGCGCAGATAATCATGGCGGGTAACCACAGGATGGAATGCGAAATCTACAGATCGTCCTTCGAGACCGGGCTAAAACCCCCCGTGCACAGACTAGCCCTCAGTCAAGAGGCCATCCAAAGACGTAAGGACTTCCGCAAAAACATGGCTTTGATCGCGTGGAAACCGGAGGATTATCATAATCCTGGAACAAGCAGCACGGAGGAAAAGAGTGTCTTTGAGGAGGAGGATGGTGTGATGGAGGAGGAAGAGGCGAGTTTCTGGAGGCCAGTGTCGAACCTGAGAAATGAAACGGTCATTGACGAGACGGATAGCAATGAGTGGGCCATTATTGATGATGAGGATGAGAATGGAGAGGATGAATGATCGACTGATCACATCAGGGCATTTCATATGTAAGTCTCATGGGAGGTAAGCTGATTTTTTTCTTTTCTTTTTCTTTTGGTATGTCGCAGGTAGGCATATATCGCAGGTAGGCAGTACATGAAATTTCGTTTCTTTAGACACACTTGTTCTGTGAATGTGAATGTGAATGTGATGTGAGATTGTACGGAGTAGTGAGGTTAAAGTAAGGTATCACAACTTATGCATGACTTAATTAGGAATAGCGCCTGAACCACTCCTCGATGCTGCCGGCACAGGATCAACAGCCACGCAGCAGCATATAATCTATATAATTGCCGCTTGGCACAGTTTTCCAGTTTCAGAATTATTGTCTTCTCACGCCTATAAGGTCATTTCTACTATTCTGTCTGATAGCTAATCCTGGCCATCGCCCATACTTCCTTCCAGCAACTTATCCATTCGCCGGATCAACCATACAATAATCGATATTCCCTCCATTATTTCCCCAGTAGGTAGGGAAGGGTATGGGCTTACCACTGGCACCAAAGAAGACAAACGACAGAATGAAAACCACGACCTGGGTGCCCCCGTCCAGACCTGCGCAGAGGATGTAATTGTACTTCAGGAACCACTCGGACTTGTACTTGCGCAGGTAGAACTGGCTCCAGAACGCGACCACAAAGGTGGTCATGCACGGTGAGTTGATCCCCGTGACCAGCCAGCCCACATGCCACGCGATGATCGACACGTTCAGGTAATTGAAGCCGGCTTTGGGGTAGAAACGGTGGAGCAGGTAAATGGGAAGCGGCGCGGCGAAGCCGAGCACCAGTCCGAGTGGTACCCATTGGTACACACTACCGCGGGAATACATATACTTCGCGAGCCCGCCCCAGGTTACTGCTTGGGTATTAAATGATTGAAGACCCTGATTTACTTTTCAGTGCATCTTCTCGTGCCGGATTTCATGTGAGCAAACTTACTGCACCGGACCAGATGTGAGTTCCTTCTATCGACAATAATATCTCTCTTTGAGCGCTCGTGATGGAGATGGTAAGAACGTAATTCAGGATTGCTCCAACGAGGGTCCCTATCATTTGCATGGTAAATGTACAGCGAGGACTTAGCTTCGCGTACTGTCCGAGCTTCAGATCTTGCAGCAGAAGGAGTGCCTGATTGGTAGAGTTGTAGCCAAAAAGCGTGAAGTACCTTTGCGACAATGGTGGTCAGCAGAGCAAGAAGAAGGATCCGTAGTTGACATACATGTTTGTGAGAGGATTTCCCGGCTCGAGATAAGCTCCAATCATCTGAATGATAGGCTGAACAGGAAGGCTGAACCCAGTAAGACCGAATTGGGCGCCAGTGAAAAGAATCATAATCGAGGCGAGGATGTTAGCTACGATGAATGCCCACCAGGACATTCCTGAATGTGCCTCGTAAATGCATACCAATCCAACAGCACTTGAAATCAAGAGAACAATCCCGTACCACCAGTTCGGACACTCTTTATAGTGGCGCATAAGTTTATAATGGGGATCCATGTCCCGCAGCTCCTCTTCAATGTCCTCAGTCTTCTTCCAAAACATCCACGCGGATGGTTTGGCCAATGATTTTAGGTTGTCCCACGCCATGAAAGACCAGGCGCCTTTCAAATCATCCCAATTGTAGAGGACTAGGTGAGTAATAGTTGCGGTGATTGCCATGTTCTGGGTTAGAACGTACGAGGCAAATGTCGCAGCCATATACGGGACACCTTCAACAGCCAATTTTGCTTCGTCTAGGTGGCCGTTGCTATCAAGCACAGCTGTTTGGTTGAAGACAACATATTTGGTCGAGTTTGATGTGGGTGAGAATAGAAGCTGGGAGAGGAAAGGAAAATCCCTTGCTCGCCAAATATTTCCATAGAAAACACCCAAGAAAACAGCCAGATTGAGGATGTATCCAATGAGCGTATTAACTTGCGTCTATAATAGTACTTAACAAATATTGATTCGGAGTTGGTTTCTGGCACGTACCTTTAACGGCAGATATAAAGCACTGCTGCCGATATACTGGAAATCAAGACACAGTGACAATATTCCGAGTCCCTCGTTCCCGTTTCCGCCGCCAAAAATATTGGTGAAGACCACTTGCAAAGATTAGAGTCTTAGGTTGTTTCGTAAACTGGAAACTCACTACTGTTCCTTTTCGCAAGGCAGAAAACATTTACTGCAGTGAGAATAGGCATCATATATTCTGGTATGACCTCCCAGACAAAGATGATACAGAATGCCCAATAAAAAATCTTCAATTGTGGCTTGTTATTTGCTTCTTTTCTATGGAGAGTCTCGAGAAGAGACATGATGGGTAAGTTCACCGGGTAGAAGAACTGGTATTCGTCTGGTCAAAATTTTCGTCCTAAAATAAAGGAATGATGTTGACTTACTTTCGTTGGATACACCAAGACTTTTCGCAAGAGTCCGGCAACTCCATAACCCAAGATCTGGGATGAGAATATCAGGAAGATGCAGACAGCTGCATTGGGTGTCTTCGTGTACCATAGTCTCTGAACCGCGATGACCTCGGCCGCCATGGCTGAACGAGCAGCAGTAGAAGACATGATAAGAATCGCGGCGTGCTCTTTATGGTTGAAGGAATGAGGGTTGAGCCAACGGCCGATGAACCCAGATTTAGGGATAATAAACTGCATCATCAGCGCAAGGACATAACTGACCACACAGAGGAACGTTGCTGAAAGAGAAATCCCCTGGGGTTTGAAATTGTAGATAGTAGCTAGCACGGATGAGAAACATGACAGTCCAAGGCCTGGAAATGGTCAGAAATGCCCACAAAGGTCATAAGAGGCGACTCACCTAGGAACCACATTCGAAACGTCCATGGGTTGAGTGAAGGATCATCCTCGACGTGCAGCGCATATAGAGCGATCTCTTCCATGTTATCAACCTTCTCAGCCGCCGTCATATCCTTTCCAACATGAAGCGATTCCTCGTCATTGGAAATATATTGGATATTATCTTCCATTTCCTTCTCGCCTGTCTCCTTATCACGCGCATACATAACTCTCTTCTCAGACACCTCATGGACTCTGAGCTCTTCAAGCGCCTCGATCCCAGTAGAACGGGCCGTATCGAGGGCCAACTGAGGGCCAACACTGGGGGGCGCCTCAGCCTGCCCTTGAATCATGGGATCCATATTGGCCAAATCTCAGATTCAAGTAGGAAGGACTGTTCGCTGGAGCGACTTTTCGAGCGATTGGCAAGGAACGCGGAGCTACGAGTGACGAGGGAACGCCATGCTATATCTCGAGCCGATAACCCTGGTCTGTGCAAATATCACAAGGTGGTAGTGTCTTGTGCGAGTCTGGGGAGTACAGACACCAGACCATCGTGCATATCCTCGAGATCGCGGGGGTCGTTATCATTCATGCATATATCCCTACAGCATCGCAGTATAGATAAGGTGCAACGAGATAACCCGATAGACAACAATTCCGGTTACATTCGCAACAACCCATATCAAAGTAGGTAAAGATTTGCAGGCAGTTTAGATGGCCACTATCATCTCTATTTACCAAAAGTGCTCTTTGATATCTAACTTATAAAAGGATCATTCATATTCTCCATCACAACAATATACGTAACGTTGCAACGGCTCTGCGAGGCCCTTCAGAAATCGTATGCCTTTATCCGGATCTATCAAAGCACGCCTTATCTTGTGAAATATTCCAATGCTCGTAGACCTTACACCGCATGGAGACGCGTGAGGACAACTTGACAAGATCTTGCTCTCTTTGTCTACTGAGACGACTTCCTCAATAGATGCAGTGATTTAAAGGTCAGAACAATAAAATTATCAAGAGAAATCCAAGAAACAACCTGACAAAGCATGAGAATAAAAGCATTCCCACTTGGGTTTCGATCTCGAACTCGCTTGAGAAGGGCGTTGCGGGGTCTTCGATCTCGTTGATGCTTTCACCCACCTTCCTAATCCGGGGGAAGAGCTCCAGGCTGGGGTACCTATGGTACAGCGATAGCTGTGTCTGAACTGTTGGAACTCTTGGATGATCCAACTCGGAATCCCATACCCCTCGAAGCCAAGGCTCAAGAGTGGGATCATGATGTAAATCGGGCCTTGCAGCGACGATCAGATGGCGTCTGGACGCTGGAATGCATTCTAGATAGATAAAAATTCGAGAAACAGGTGTATGATGGCCTAGACGGATGAAAACAAGCGGTTTGCTTTGGCAGCAAGGTATTTGGAGGAGAAGAACATTGTAAAGAGGACGGGAGCGTTTGTAGGACCTCGACGGAGGGTCTCAAGATCCCAACCAACTTTGGGTGATATTTTGAAACGACATCTTTGATGTGTGTTTGTACGTGATGAAGGAGGTCGAGACCTTTATATACGAAGAGTCTAGGGAAGTAGGCAGAAGCCACCGAGAGGTTGTTCTCGGCCGAGGTGAGATGAAGATTCCGCGGCGAATCCCTGGTGGGCACTAATGCTGTGGCAATATAAATCTAAATAAAATTTACAAACATATCAACTAGCAGGTCGCTTAGCTCAGTTGGTTAGAGCGTGGTGCTAATAACGCCAAGGTCGCGAGTTCGACCCTCGTAGTGACCAGAAGTCAAATATATCTTTTTGCTCGGATTTCCTTTTATTTCTACATTTTTGAGGCTGCTGAGGCTGCGCGCCGTATAGATTTCTTCGAGAGAGCCTCAATCACATTCAGTACAACAAATGGTCGCTTAGCTCAGTTGGTTAGAGCGTGGTGCTAATATACAAACAAACCTGTATACAACGCCAAGGTCGCGAGTTCGACCCTCGTAGTGACCAAATCGGATGTTTACTTTTGCCTCTTTCATCCTTGTTTTTTTGCCCCAAGTCCTTCCTTATATCACACTTTTTTTTCCCCTCTTATTTCACATCTTTCTCAGTCCTTTCTCTAGAGCTTCTGGAGGATTTCATGCATACAATAAACGGTCGCTTAGCTCAGTTGGTTAGAGCGTGGTGCTAATATGCAAAGATGCAACGCCAAGGTCGCGAGTTCGACCCTCGTAGTGACCAAAAAGAACCAATTCTTTTTGTTCTTCTTTTCTTTCTTTTGCCTTTATTTCAGTTTCCTGTCTTTCTTCCCTATTCCCTTTCTGTAGATTCATCATTCTTTTTGGATGTCACTGGTTCTTGTTTAGTAATCATCTCTCCTTTCATAGCCCATTCTCATCCGACCCCTCCACCCACGTGTTCTGACCAATCGACCCCTCATTATTAGGTAAGCCAAGGTACCTGTGGACTTTGAAGTGGTAGAACTGGAAATCTCGACGATCAATCGGACTGCAGAGCAGTTGTGCTGCAGGATTGCATGTAACTTATGGGAATGACAGCTTTCTGTCAGAGCTTTCTCTTTTGAGCTCACTTCCTCTATACCTGCACTCGAGATTTCAATTGAGCGAAGCCCGACGCCTGACGCCCTCTTCAATAGAAACCATCCGAGTCTCAGAACCGATGAAGTCGCCATAGTAATCCGCGCGGTCCATTCGGATGGTACAGAGTGGGGTCCCCAGCTGCTCTCTAAGACTCTAACCTTCTAGCACTGCCTATCACGGAACTTGTGCCCACTTATCGCCCGGCATATAGAAGTCCTCGAGTCCTTGTTTCTCAGCGAGTCAGTCTAAAAGCTATATTACCCCTCACCCCCCCACCAACTTCGACTTTATATCCAAGATTACTTCTTTAACCTCCCTTGGGTTGTGATTCAAGAAAAGAAAAGAACAAAACAATGTCTTCCCCAGAGCCCCTAGTCCGCTTCTACGATCTCTCTGGACCCAAGACTTGGTCGCCGGCCTGCTGGAGCACTCGCTATGCGCTCAACTACAAAGGAATTCCATACAGCATCACGAAGCTCTCGTACCCAGCCATCAGGCCAACATGCGAGAAGCTATTCCCCGACATGACGGGTCTAGAGGCAACCGTGCCAATCATTGAGATTCTCGGGCCGAACCACAAAGCGCTCAACAACTCAACGCCCATCGCGGAGCTCTTGAACGAGAGGTTCACGGAAGAAGCCGGGTATAAACATTTGAAGGGTATTGAAGAGGTTAAGAAGTATGAGGCAGAGACGGCATCGCTTGGGTTAGCTTTGTTGAGGTGGGTTATTCAAGACGTGTGGGAGAATGCGCTGGATCCCAATGATGGCTCGAGGGAGTATTTCAAGAAGACGAGAGAAGCCGTTTTCAATTGTGAGTTGAAAGATGTGACGGAGCTCAGGGGAGGGGGAGAAGCGGCTGTCATAGAGGATATCAAGAAGGCGTGGGCTCTGTTGAGAGACAGGATGAAGGGGGAGGATGGAACCGGTGAGCGTAAGTCATCTATCTCTCCACCCTTTACACGTGTCTGCATAGGGCTCATTTTCTGACCGCCTAATATAGCAACTTACCTTGACTTCTATGATGCGGCTCGTGTGAAATGGATTGAGGCATCATCCACCGAGAAGCACGCGAAATTGATGAACTTGTACGGTGACGATACTTTCACGAAGCTTATGAAAAAGGTCGAGAAATACACGGTATGAGAGGCTTCGGAAGTGGTCTAGCTTTCTGTGACTGCTATGCAATGAAGATGATGAAGGGCAAATTATCCAGAGGGCTTTGACAAAGCATCATCGTCAATAGCCGCCAAGAACACTTCTGATACCTACATCTCGGGCAGGCGGTCACTAGTAGAAAGGTCGAGGGCTGTTCTGATAGACTCAAGATGGATCCCCTACTACAGGCTTTTGGGATTTTTGTTACCATAACAGAGACAGTTCTTATAAAGAACCAAGTTCTGTGTCCTTTCAGCAAAAAGTGAATATCTAGTCTGAGAAATCGCTTAGAAAGGCGTGACGCGTGATCTTGCTCATTCACCAGAGATAGCTTCCCAGCACGTACATGGGCATTCTTTATCTTCTTAACTTTGATCTCTTCTTTTCTTCTCTCCCATAAAATTGATCTCTTACAGCAATAAATTTCACAACCACCAATCTTTCAGTCACTTTAGTCCACCACTTCCTCCATCACACCGTCCATCACTTCACGAACTCTTCAACGAACCCCGCAAATCTCAAAGAACGCAATTATGGCGAAGAAGAAGAACTACTACGAAGTTCTCGAAGTTTCTCGTACCGCCAGCTTCGAGACCATCAAGGCATCTTACAGAAAGCTCGCGCTGCGTCTCCATCCAGACAAGAACAAGGCGCGCAACGCAACTCGAGCATTCCAGCGACTGGGGCGCGCCTGGGAGACGCTCAAGGACGAGGAAAAACGAGCCAAGTACGATTCCCGGCTGCGAAGAGAAGCGCGCTGGGCCCAAGAGTGGTACAAGCAGTACCTGAGCCACCTGTGGTGGTGCCAGTATCGCACGGTGGATTTCTCGAGCTTGGATGATGCAGCGGCCTGGTCTCACATACGGACTCAGGAGTGGTTCTTTGAGAACGGCGCTATTGAGGGGTGTAATAGCCGCAAGGAGCTGGATAGAATGACGAAGTGGCTGTGGGATGAGAGGGAGGTTTGGAAGGTCTGGAAGGAGTTTAAGGAGATGAAGGAACAGAAAGCAAAGTCGAAGTCTAAGCAACAGATCGACACGGCGAATGAACTAGAGGCGGCTACTCCAGCAGATGACACTCCATCCAAGACTACTTCCTCAGAGACTACTCCGCCAGATGCTTCTCCAGCAGAGGCTTGTCCGTCAAAGATTGCGGCACCAGAGGCTACGGCAACAGAGACGAGACCGTCAGAGGCAACTCAGCAAAGTCAGGCCCTTGTATCAATGGAGGAGGCGTGCCACTCTGGAATCAAGAGCTTGAAACTGGAATAAGCTAAGAAGAAGTCGATGACATAGGATGCGGATTCACTCTTGCTGTACAAGTTACAACAATAGGATTATGAGAGGCGTCGACAAATCTGCAGCGCGCGGTACTCAACGCTCAGGATATGGAAGGAAGCAAGGAAAGCACAGTACTACAAACTTGCTGTTGATACAGGAGAAGAAAGTCCTTCATCGCAATACACATGTACTTCCAGTTTGAGCTTCACACCGCCTCCATTCCCTTCCATAGGTCATTATGGATGCGAAGCGAGAGTCAGGAAGCAAATAGCTACATTACTCATTCACTCACCAACGCGTGATAATTCAAACCTCATCAAAAAAATGACCAGAATCTGAACCCCTCCATACTCTGTTCTCTTTCTCGCCCCTTGTGAATGTTTTGCGCGCACTTCTGCAGCCCAGCCCAGCCGCAAGTCCAAGATGGAGAACTACTACGAGATCCTCGAGGTGTCTCCCGACGCCTCCTTCCAAACCATCAAAAGCGCCTACCGCCGCCTTGCGATCTTGCTGCACCCAGATAAGAACACCGCTCCTGATGCTACAGAAGCATTTCAGAGACTCGGGCGCGCATGGGAGACGCTCAAGAGCACCGAGAAGCGGAATACCTATGACACTCTCCTCGCTGCCGAGAGACGCCGCTCCCAACCCTCAGAGGCAAGAGCCACTCCTGCAGCACCAAAGCGCGATTATGGGACGGCAACAGAAGAGGATGCTTTTCTCGATGACATGCTGAGTTCGGTGTGGTATCAAGAGCGCTATGGGGTACCACCGCGGAGTGCAGGACCCAGCAAAGATCTTCAAGACGAAAGCGAGATCGCGGCGGCGGAGAATGAGTTGCGGAGCTTGAATGATGATTATGAGAAGAGATTGATAAACGTCATAGAGAGGGTGAGAAAGGAGTATTCGAATAGAGGACTTTGGATGTCGGAAGGACAGTTGAGAGCCGCTGCTGAGGCGGAGTTGAATATGAAGTCATTGCGGATGAGAATCAATGCTTTGAAGGAGAGTATTAGGAAAGGGTTTGAACAGCGCTTGCGTGAGTGTAACGAGGCGCAGAAGGGGACGAGAACGGAGGGATTTTAGTGGGAGCTTTGACTTGGAAGACAGATGCTGAACTGGAGGGTTTGTTGGGATGAAAGTTTCTCTCCACTCATGGTTTGCTTGACGCACTTTATAAAGGAGAAATACATATGGATATGGTTTGGGGAAGAGCTGTCGGCATCGAATTGCTAGCAGATAACTGGATAGCTGGACCTTCCACTCAAATCGAGTTCATGAAACGTCGAGCAGTGGCAATTGTGTTGTGCAACAGTGCTTAACTCAACTCGAGGTACAATTTCATTGAAGAACTGCACTTGCATATCCCCGCCTAGATGGCACTGATCGCGTACCAAAAATCTTTTCGCTGGACAGAAGAGCAAAAGTAAGGCCCGCCGAACCGGGCACGTCCCTAAGAGGTTGGATATATACCTAAAATGCCCCTCTGTACTGCAAAGTTCATTCTGAATCATGATGCACAAAGATCCAGCTTAAAGCATTGAATCCAGCCTCAAGTTTGCTCAATACCCGATGATTTATTTGTCTGTCGATCGGCAAAAAATATGTGTGGACATCAAACTGCTAGCAAATTAACTTCTTTGTCTTGACAAAATGATGGAATAGCTTTATAGCGGTGCATTATCTTAAAGGCAAAGAGGCAGAGTACCTGGTTTGGGTTCTGGGTCTGTTCAATGTAGTTTCCGGGTGGTTGACATGGTGAACACACGATGTCAAGATGTCGTCGCATCGGCAAAATGATCGCTTCGGCAGCTGCCGCTTAACCGCCTGGCGGTGGGATTTAGCGACCCAGCCTGACTGGGCTTTTCCAACGACATCAAAGATCTTCAACACCTATTGCTTATTTTTTCCAGCTTTGCCTTACAACTTGCTCTGAATTTAACCATCATGATTACGAGCTCTCGAAGCAGTTATGGACGACAGCGCAAGAGGAGATGTGGAGATCTTGGTGCATACAACAGCACCGAGCAGGGGGCAAGATGACACTCGATACAGGGCCTTGGCGCGAGCATACCTGGATTTCGAGCCTGTCAATCGCCGAGCCCTTGATTACGAGTCAGAGATTGAAGATGAAGATTGGCAGGCAGATAGCCAGCTCCAAGAGGAACTACTCCGTTCAACGCAGCAGGAAGAGCCAGAGTCCCAGGCATCGTATCGCCCAGAAGATGAACATGAGAGCGTTGCATTATCGAGTGCTTCACTGCAGGACAGTAACTCGGCTCCACCGGATCTATCACAGGAAATATACTCTCCGGAGCTCTCATTCAACGGCGTCTTGGATAATGCTGGTTCGTTTGAATTTCGGGGGCGGCCCACGTGCTCGCAGATGTCGCCCGTTTATGCGCCAGAACGGAGGCAAACGCAGGATTCAGTAAGCTCCTGGCAACAGCCACCGAGCATTGTTGAAGACTCGCAACCAGGAAATGATTTGATCATAGGGGAATTATCCTCTCCAACTAGGATGCTTGAGCTTTATCTCCAGCAAATAGAGAGCTCAGAGGACCGTTCTTCTGGCCGACGAGATGGCCGAGCGTCTGAGGGAATGAGTTCTCAATTGCGAAATGAGAAGCAGCAAAGTCAGTCCTCACAGTCAAAAGATACTGGCCCAGATCCGTCCTCCACGTCTGGTGAACCATCCTCGCCACCTCCTCAGAAGCCTCCTGAAGCAGCTCCTCACCGCATCGTTCGCAACCGTAAGCAGAATATATCTTACACACAAGAACCCAGGATTCTGCGGAAGAGGAAGCATCCTGAACCCAGGCCTGTCGCAAAACCTAGGGCTTCATCTGTTCCGGTAACAGGAGCCGTCCAATCCTCCCTTGTTGCTTCATCAGTTTCAACGAGATCCCGGAAAAAGCAGCAGATCGAGATAACCAAATCCAGGAACATGACGTGGCAGGAAGAGATTCCTTCTAGCCAGGCCCCTCCAACTATGTCCATTTCAAGCAGCTTCAAGTCCTCTTTCGCATCTGTCATGGAAATCCGGCCGCCTCCTCCACCAGTCTCAATGAGCCATTTAACACCCGAAATGCTAGTTACGGAATCACTGCGACAACTGGCCAGCAAGATGCCTCTAGCTCGGCTCTATCGGCCACAGCAGCAAATGCGCGAACTGCGGCCCATGGAGCGCGGCCATTGGCTGATCGATTGCCAGGGGTGGAAGGAAGAGCTGCGGGGCAGACACTGGGATTGTCTTGGGAATTTCATCGGGAAGGGACAGGCGGGATGGGGCATCTGGTGCGTTCGGGATGAGGAGTATAAGACGGTGAGGGTTTATTGCTGGGGTTCGTTGGTCGGTTATATTTACCTCCTTTTGTATATGGCGAGTGAAAGCAAGATCAAGGGCACGGGTGCCTGTTGGGTAGGTGGCGATGGACAGGCTATTATCAGAATGCCTTCATAACACTAGGTTCATTATTCTGGATGCGCGTGACTTGCTTTTAATTGGTGAGTAGGTAGGAAAGAACTTTGATACCTACCACCTTGCTGCTGTGGATCATTGTGGGCAAGGTGCATGTCAGAGCACCAGGGTGAAGACACATCTGACAACCCCTCCTGGCCTACTCCCATCTATCTCTTCATGTTAGTTCGGCCAATAACAGAAGACTAGCAAGAAGCCCCTTAATAAGACTGTCATTGCACATATTGACGTTTCACCCATGGATCACTTGTAATTTCACAGAATAATCATCATTGCAATTTGCTACCATTCTAGTTTCCATACTCAACCATGCAAATACCCGTTTTCCTTGTACAGCTCCTCAATAAACTCATGTCTCTGCACTGCCTCTTCAAAGGAGCAAATAATCTCCCCCTTCGCAAATTTCTGATACACCCGGCTAACGTTCCTCGCTGGGACCGCAAAGTCCTCGAACTCATCCTTGGGAAAAGGCACTTCTTCGACGGTGTCCTTGGCGAAGTCATGAATCTCAACCTTGGTGTCTGGAAGCCCGATCTGGAGGAAGGGGTTCGGGGCCGTGACGCGAATCTCGGCCTTGGAGCCGTAGATGCGCCATTCGAGACCGGGAGTGTTCTTGAAAGGTGTCCCTCCGCGGAGGGAAAAGGAAAAGGGGACTCCGGACCCTTTTATGATGCCCGAGAAGAAGATGGTATCGTCCGCAGTTTTGGGATGTTTCTCGTCAACAACTTTCCCTTCGCTGTTTAGGAGTTTAACGAAGGGCCGACGGTTAGCAATAATCGAGTTGTGTTTCTCGAATCCGTAGCCCAGGACTGTATGTGTTTGACGGGTTAGTTCTGTGGCCTGATAGAGGAGGAAGAGGACATACCTTGCTGCACAGCCTCCAATGAATGGGCAAAATGAATAGTCACTAGATTACCCCCTACCTCCTTCTGTCCCAGATACTCATACGGTTCCGAAACAGTATCTCCGCCATTTATTGCCGCACTAACCCATGTGCTGTTCAATACCGTTCCAATTCTACCTTCCTCGATCAATTTCTTCACCAATTGAACGGCCAGGGACTGTCCAGCCTGCAGTCCAACAACGGCCTTCTTCACACCCCCTTCGTTCTTCAACCGGAGAAGCTCCCTCGCCTCAGCTGCCGATTTACCGAGTGGCCATTCGACATATACGTCTTTGCCAGCCTTGAGACTCGGGGCTATGGTTGGAAAATGCCTGTCAACTCTCACGGAACAGACGACCAAATCCACATTCGGGTCATTTGCGATTTCTGTACGGCAAGAGAAGAGAAATGTTAGTCACATGATTGCCTTCATTTCCTGTCCACAGAGTGTGCTTTCGGTTGGAGAGTGACATGAGATAAAGGCGAACCTTCAGGATGGGAATATGCGGCAGTAGAAGCGGGGAGCGAGTAGAGCTTGATGGCCTCTTGTGAGGACTGGACGCTGCTGTTGCAGATGGCGACAATCTCGTACTCCTTATTGGCTGTCAGGTATGGGAGATGTGCTCCAGGCGCCCAGCCGGACTTGGATAGTCCTATGAAACCGACTCTGATAGGTGCCATTGCTTGAGTGATGTTCTTCTGATTGGCTTTTTTAGGTTCAATATGATAAAGGCAGAAACTGGGCAGGATATGGGAATTTTAGACGGGAGGCTGAAGTTTGCTTGATGCGGGGTCGGTAGATACCTATATACCTAGTAATACCGGGTATATATGTATAGCAATGTCGGTGGCGTCATCGCTGCTTTGAAATCAGACCAACACCATGCTTTATAAAGCAATAGAGGAGCGACCTTTCGGCCTGTAGTTCTGCCGGCTTCATGGTGAAATCCAGTATTGGCAGATACCTAGCTACGGTACCTTGGCTAGGTATTTATCTAGGTAGGTAGGTAGATTGCAACGCATTATCAATTACCGTAACAGTAGGGATGAACATTTTATTTAGTTTACTTCCTATCATGGCCTAGTCAGGGGGCCAATTACCTCGGGTCATATTAGCGACGCGGAGCCGCGCTTGCTTCCGTCCGTTAAACTCTAATCTCATCACCACTCATAGTACTGGTTGTTGGTCACTTCACATCAAACCAGGCCATATCCATACCTACAGCGATATCAGGGATCAGCAGAGGAGACCCGGGAAATCTTTCTGATTTGGATTTGATTTTCATCGACCCGACTTCATCCTAATGACATATGCCAGCCACGTCCATTCTCAGAAAAAGATCAATTCAGGAAAAGAAGAAGAAAAAGGTACAGCAGCATCTCAGCGATGCACCACTTCGAAAGAGGTCGACCGAGAGCTCTCCCAGATGCTAGACCGTGTACTCCAACAAAGCCATCCTCCGTTAGTGAACGGAAGGAGCGGTATCAAAATAAACATATGCACACTCTCCAGCACAGCTGCATAAAAGCGTGCAGACCTTTCTGCAGCAGGAGAAGTAGAAGAACGCCGTTCGGTGAATGCTGAAATGGGTTTGGTGGGAATTTGGGAAAAACTTGGAAGGGAAACTTTTGAGGTTTTCGAGGACCTTCATTTGGCGGCATCTGAGGTATAGGTATCGTCGTGGCGCCCCGCGCCACCTAGAAGGAAATGTACGTTATGCATTATGTGTGGGTGGGTATATCTGGGTTCAACCGGCTCCAGTGACCCCAACTGAACCGTTTTGTGGTCGTCCCCACCCCGAATTACGATAGTCGTGACGTTTATTATCGGGCTGGCTATCTGGATTGCCGTTCCGATGCGAGTAAGGTGATGGTGCCTCGGAATCCTGACCTTGCCAATGCTGGGGAGGTGTGTTCTGATTGTTCGAACTACTATTGTACGGAACATAGTTCTCCTGAACATGTCTGACACTACTCTCATTCTGCCATGCATGAGCTTGGGATGGATCTGTGTCGACCCTGGTCACCACCGGTGCTAATGGTCCACTGTCCTTGGACCGCGAACCTGGGGACGGGGTTTCGGATGTCTCGACTTGATGTCTTGGGCCTGCATTTGTGCCAATATCGCCATATCGCCTCAGGATTTCCTTGGTGGTGATATCACTAGGATTGGTAAAGAGTGTCGGATCACTAAGGATAGATTGAAGGTCTTCAGGCACCTAATAAAGAATTAGTACACGATGCCAACGTATAATCTAAATAGAAGCCAACTCACCTCACACATCTGCTCGTTGCATTCGATGAGAGTGTGCACAACCTCAATGGCAAGGAAGTTATCGTCAACAGGCGTCTTGGCGTTGGTGAACAGAATATTTGGCGCAATAACAGTTGCCAGGTTATGGGTGTCCATCTTAGATCCCGACTCTTCATCAACCTGGTGAAAGGAGGCAACCCACTTGAAGAAGGAGCACAAGATTTCCAGGCAGTCGCGATGAGCTTTTGGAAGTAGACAGCAGGTCAAATGAAGCACCCGCCGCCGCTTATCTTCGTCAGCAATCTTTTGTGAAGCGATAAAGAGGCGGTGTAGTTTGAAAGTCAGCAATGGATCCGGAAGCTCTCGGAGGTATTTCTTAAGTAAAGCTGCGACTTGCACAACGTTCTCCTTCGTGAGATCTATCGCGTCGCATCCGTCCTTGTCAATTATGGCCATTGACTCGTTCAGCCTTTTGATATTACCATTCTTTCGGAAGACACCTTCCACAGATAAGTCCATCTTGCGCATTGTGGTAATGGCATCGTCAACAATGGCGGGTATCCGTAACGCTCCAGGGCCAATGCCATCAGTCGAGTCTGCTCCATCCCTCTCAATAATGACTTCGAGCGGTACACCAAATACTCCTTTCTTCTTGCCGCCCTTCTTAGTGTCATTCTTGAAGGCTTTACCCATCTTGTTCCAGAATGTTGGCTTTCTAGTCTCAATCAAATTGAGTAATTCTTCCATCGTGAAGTGACCTTCCAACATCGGCTGCATCGCGATGACAGCCACATGACGAACAATAAAGTATTCCAATGCAGATAGTTCGGAGAAGTATTTGTTGCTATGCTCACGTCGCTGTGATGAGGGTTCTCCTTGCCCAGGCGCATCAAGGGCATTTCCACTGGAGAAAGTGCGCTGGTGGCCATTGACGAGTTTGGGCTCTGTGACAGACGTTCTGAATGGGTCGTGACGTGCGTGCTTATATGCATTAGGCCGCTGCTCCTTAGCTTGCTCGGCGGCAACAATCCTCGGAATGTCATCCAATGTAAGTGCGTCTTGATGTCCAAACATCAGCTCAGTCCTTGACTCTCCATTACTATCGCGCTCCTCGACGATTTGAAAACCAGGATGTCTTGAATCTGACCCGTCAGCTCCAGCAGATCCCGGTCTATTACGTCCACCGTCCTGGCCATCCATTATCCGCGACGTCCTCGCCTTCTTCATGGTGGATGAAAGATGCTTGTCCATGCGGGTGCTTCGAAGCCGACGCACGTCATTGAGAGTATTTTCATAAGATGACGGAGTTGGGGCCTCATCAACCGGTCCTCCATACGATTTTGAGCGAGTGTCTGATCTCAAGAGCGGCGGATCTGCTTGTGCAGATAAACGATGACCTTCACTAGAGTTATAACCATTCAAGTTCGGGTCATCTGAAGTGTGGGGAAGTGTACCACTGGTTCGTAGTATCTCCAAAAGCCTTGCTAGCGCAACTCTCAGGAGGAAGACGTATTGTTGCAACCTGGTAACTCGTTCAAACCCTCCAACGGCTCCAGGGCTTTCGTCACAATTATTGCAGTATATTCCTTGATCCTGCTCACTCCATCTCACGTCTTCGAGGGTCTGCCCCAGTTCACGTGAGCAATTGGTGCACTGGAGGCATGCCATATGCCACCTCCGTTCTCCACAGCGAGCACATTCATCCTCGATTGGCCGTTTGCAACTAACGCACTGGTCCGAATTTGGCGCAGCTAGCCCTGGCGTGCCTGTCGTAGCCTCCAGTGATCTATCATCGTTCTTGACGGCTTCCATGTCGCTGAGATCATCCAGAAATTGATGAAGGCCATCTGGACTTTGTTGCTCCCGTTCCACCTTGAGTGCACCTTGAAGGCAGATTCGGATCAAGAGCTTCAGATAGTGAGCCAAACCAGTGACAAGCGCCAGAAGTTCTTGGGTAACTCCAAGCTTTCGGACACCTGTCTCCTGAGTTTTTGAGAGCAGTGAAAAGAAAGCAACTATCTTCTTGCATAATAACTTCGCCTCTCGCGAGTATGAAAGTCCTATCAAGAGTTAGTATGCTATTGAAACAAAACAAAAAAGAATGCTTAAACTACGCACCCTTGGACCCTGATGATCTTGCCATACTCGCGTCAAGCTTATCAGCAGAATGGAAAAGCATATCAACGTGCCAGATGAACTTCTTGGCAACCAAGACACCATCCACATAGGCTCCATTGCTCACGTGTAAGAGCATGTCTGATATGCAAGCGGCTGATGACTCTTCAAAGGTGGATAGAACACTCCAGATCCTATAGACCTTCTCCTCCATTCTCTCCTCTTTCTCCCGTACGGCATTACGCGCTGCCTCATCTTCGGTATCTTCCAGTTGAGGCGTTTCAGCGACGTCCTGTGACGAAGCAAGCCGTACATTCCAGAATTTGTGGATCATATAGCATTCTGGGTGCCAATGCTGATTTTGGCCATTGCGGAAGATTTCAACAAATTGTTTCAGGATTGCTGTTTGGCATCCGTTACATCGTTGCGCAAATTGAGTGGAGTAGTGATAGTGACAATAGACTTGGCCGTCGTGCTCGTAATAACTATCCTGCGCCCCGAATACTGTAGGGCATACCGAGCAGGTGAAATGGTCGATGTGATATTTGCGATCGAGGGCCGTGATGTAAGATCCACGTAGAGCTCCATTGCACTTGTAACATATAAGGTCAAGTCTTCGAAAGTAATCGGTCTCGCAAAGGGGGTATTGGCCTTCTCCATTTTCCTCGTCAACGGGGAAGAACTTCGACGCTACTATCTCCCCACAGTCCTGCAGAAGCAAGAGGTTAGTGAATACAGTTCATAAACACAACAAGATTCACGTACCCGACATCTGAAGCAATCCAAATGGTACGTGCCACCGAGTGCACGCACGAACTGGCCAGTCAAAGGTTCCCCACACTTCTTGCAAATCCTGAGTTGGCCGCTGCCAGTCTTTCCATTCCGTGTGCGTGATCGGCTGCGCTCTCCGCTGTTCTTCTGTGAACCTGCATCCCTCTCTCTGTCTCTACCAGCTGTACCGACTGCACCGTCCAACAATGACAGGGCCTTGATATCATCTGCTATGGATGCGCCATTTGGCCTCGGCAGATGTTCGTCCAGCATATTAACGTCTCTGTCTGATTGATACCGACCACCATCCTCACTGTGTGATCGACCCCCGTAATTACGTCCATCACCAGATGGTCCTCCCTCTGATTGAGGACCCATCGTCTTGTATCGATAATTCCTCCCTCTTCTTCAGTCACCTCAATATATCGTTCTATTCCCGGTGTCTTCTCTGAAAGGGATAGAACTCCGAGGTCGATCCTGTCGAGTCGGATTCGCCAGCGTGAAGGTATTGATGAAGAGGGACTCGAAGGGATGGACTCAAGATTGTTCTCTGGATGGATCCGGGAGGCCTACGTTCTCGAGTCGCATGGGTCCTATCAATTGGCCTCTGCATATGCGATTGTGTGCGGGCGACTCAAAAGCCAAAGGTCGGGCGTGCAGAACCTGAAACAGCTCCCGTCAACCAGAATAGCAGTATGGTTCTCGGAACTGGCTACTTGTCTGCACTATGGCATCAAATACGAGGCTCTGGACTGTGAAGGATATCCGGTGGGTGTCAGTCTGCGTGGGGGGGTTCGATCGCGTGTAAGAGTGGATGTGGAGACGGTGGGCAGCAGGTCAAGGTAATTGAGGTGTTTGCTGTCCAACACGAGGATTGTTGCGACCGTGTCGCAGAGGGGCTGTGCAATTCTGCGCTGTCTTCATCAAGGGAAACCGGCGGCCTTGGATGAGAGAGGGCGTAAGGAGAAACGAACAACGAGGGCAAAGACGAAGGCCAGATGTGCGTAAGTTATTTACTTTCCCGATGGTAGGTATTTCAAGACGTGCCCAAAGACGAGGTCAAGATCGGATTGTCGCCTCGTATTCCAGGCGGAAACAACATGGGCGCCTTGGATGTCAGGCGGCAAGGGGGTTGGAGTTGGGCAGAGACGGTTATTCCCGCTGGATGACAGAATCACCCGTTGTGTGCATATATAAAAATAGGTCTCTTTGTATTTCTAGGCCTGTTGTTATTGCGGTGTCTATATAAAAGGGCAAAACCTGTCTGGGGATCAAGTCAGACAGCCGGAGTCAAAGCCATTGCCAATGCCATTGCCAAAGCCAATACCAATACCAAAAAGCTCGAAGACAAAGCCCCTCCCCTCCCTTATGTCACGGCTATGTCACGGTGTCCCAGCAACCCTACAACGGCTAAAGAGTATCCGCAAGCCACCCACTACCAGTTGAGAAGGCTCAAATCCCTCTCCCTATAGCTACAAAAGCAACATCCACCTTCAAGAAGAATACGATCGGGGCTCCGAGGACAGGTCATGCCGCTTTCCCCAAGAACCCCGCCCAATCAAGTAAAAAGCAAATCCACACCAGATTCACAAAGGTAAAAGGCCACCTATTATTCACTTATAAATAGATGAAGAAGCACAATTGCCGAGAAGGCTATAACTCAATGCCGTTGTACTAGTACTTAGGTACCTTAATTACCTTACCTTAAGGGTTCCGTATAGGCGCTTTGAATATACTATACTATGCCATGCCTTATTTATGACAGCAAGGAGATGCAGAGGCTGAATCTACCTACCTAGCGTGATAAAGTACACATGGATAACTTTGATAACTTTGATGCCTTTCTCTCTTCCTTGTAGAATTACTCCGCAATTGAAGGGCGTTGAAGTGCAATGATAGAGATAGTCAGCCTCACGGGTGAGACAACCTTGAAATTCCCAAGTCTACCCGTCCAAGCGAGACCGCCTTCTGCCTTGCTGGAGCAATCGCGATCCTCCACCAAACGAACAACATTCCCCTCCAACACCGAATTCCCCAGAGCCTGACGCCTTATGAGCAACCGCAAGAAGAGGAGAAACTGCTATTTGTTCCATAACGCGTGATTGAGCAGCCATGTCGAACCATTCCATTATTCGCATCACAAGGGTACGTTGGGCAGGACGTTGGTAGTGGGGTCGCGAGGCTGACAACACATTGTAGGAGTTGGCAGAACTGCAAAAGTCTACGGATCTCTGTAAGACCATAGCCCTACAACCTGTGACTTTTCGCAAGGGTACAAGACTGATAGTGACCTTTGTAGCTCTTGCCGTTGCCTGCCGTGATGTCGATGTTCGGAATGTCAAAGCAATTATCATCGGGCCTCCCGACACACCCTACGAATTCGGATTCTTCGAGGTTTGTGTGGACCTGTTGGGCTATATCTGTTTATGCTAATATCCTCCGAGTTTGCGGTCAAGTTCGGCAGAGGTACGATTATTCTGGTGAGGGGAAATGCAACATGTGGCTAAGGAGACGTGTAGACTATCCGGGAAAGGCCCCGACTGTCCTTGCTACAACTACAAACGGAGGTAGATGTCGCTTCAACCCAAACATCTATTCGCAAGGGAAAGTGTGCTTGTAAGTGATCTCACAGCTATGGAAGTCGGATCGTTTGCTTACGTGTACTCAGGTCGATTCTAGGGTAAAGCACATTTGCAATGCAGGCAGACAGAGAAAGCTAACACTGGTAGCACATGGCGAGGTGAACGCGGGGAGGAGTGGTCGTCAGCGCAAGGCCTGGAGTCGATTCTGATCTCAATACAAAGTCTGATGTCTTCGAACCCCTACGAGAACGAACCAGGCTTCGAGTCTGCCAATGATGAAGCCGATAAAAAGAACCAGAAGGACTATGTCGCCAAGGTCAGCTGTCGCAAGGTACATTTTTGGGCTACTCTAATTACAACATGCAGATACGCCACGAAACCCTCAGAATTACTGTAATCCAGCGCCTTGAGGAGTATCTCGGCATATCTCCATCCGGCGCGGTGTTACCTACCGCACCAGCAGTCGGGGAGGATAGCGACAATGACCTTGACTCTCTCGATAGGGAGTTGCTTGATGAATCCTCGGTGGTCTTCGATCCCTTCAAAGATCTTTGCAAACGCAGGTTCCTTTGGTACTACGACTCATATCTACTGGCAATCAGCAAAGCCAAAACTGAAGTATTCGACGGAAAGGCCTTCCCACGTATGCCATTCGAGTCTACTGGAAATTGCATGGATGGAAGATTCAATTACAGGGAGCTTGAGAGACGGCTAAAACTTATACGAACCACTCTGGACGCCGAGACGGAGCGCTGGGCCCAGGAAGGGTTGTCTTCTAAAAGCAAAGAAAGCTCCGTTGCTGCAAATCTACAACGACAGTATGAGCAGGTGGTCGAATCATACAAACGCGATAAATCGGTCACACTGGACATTGAGCTTGTCGACAAGAACCCTTTTGTTTGGGCTATTACCTACTTTGGAAGACCCATGACGAATCTCGATGGAGGGCTTTTTAGAATCAAGCTCTCATTCAGTCCAAGATTCCCTGAAGAGCAGCCGAGAGCAAAATTCGAGACGCCACTCTTCCACCACCGTATTGCTGCGGATGGTACTCCGTGCTATACTTCCGCGCGACCGGAGGACGCCAAGTCACACATCGAAGCAATCATTGAGGCTTTGGAGGAAGAGTCACCACCTTATGATCCGAGAACTATAGTCAATCCCGAAGCCGCCAAATTGTTCTGGGGCTCTCCTGAGGACAAAAAATTGTACAACCGCAAACTTCGAAGAGCAGTTCAGATGAGTACGGAGTGAGTTCTCTCTTATCTCTTCAACTATCTATTCAGCTGACACATAACAGGGGATAATGGCAGGGCAAAAATATTGAAAGAGAAGTACTAGAGACGGCCGGGCCCCTCGGTCGTATACATGGAAAATAGCACAGCATGTGACCACCTCATGAATTGATGTTAGCGTTCATTTCCTGAATGTTATGCTTTAGCATGGATTGCATTTGCGGATAGGCTGGCGTAGCAAGGATATTTTCTAATCAAGGATGAGCAGGGCTCGACGGGAGTTCAGTGGACGGGAGAGATGGACAATGGCCAGTGGGATAGGATTGGCAATGGCCAGGTCGGCGTTAGAGCTTCACGCATATAGCAAGGTTCGATTTGATTATTCCTAGACGTTTATATGAGTGTGCCTCGCCCTTTTGACAATCCTGCATCCTGTAACAGGAGACGCGGGTATCCTTTGAAACATTCTCTCCATATCATTACAAAATTATATTTAGATGTCCCTCTCCAGCCATCAAAAAGCAACCTCACCACTCCTCACTCACTGCCCCTTCTTCTCCTCCTCCTTCTTCGCCTCTTCCATAAACCAGCCCACCGCTCTCTCAATCCCTTCTTGCAACCCCACAATCGGTGCATACCCCAAGAGCTTCTTTGCCTTGGAGATATCATAATATCTCGTCATAGAGCTGTACCTCACCTGCCGCCTCGTCAGCTTCGGCGTCCTGCCCACCAGCCAGAATCCCCATTCCAACAGCCCCCCCAGCGCAAGTCCTGCATCCTTGCCAATGACCCATACATGCTCGGTGCCGAGCGTCGAGCCGCACGCCTTCCACACCATGCGAGCGAAATCCCAGAAGTACACAGGCGAATCATTGGTGATGAAGAAAGCCTCGCCGTCGACGCGCTCGTGGTCCAGGGGCTTGATGTTCAACTGCGAGGTCGCGCTGAGGGCGCGCGCCGCGAGCAGGTGGCCGTGGGCCACGTTCTCGACGTAGGTGAAATCGAACAGGTTCTGGTTGTCGCCGAGCTGGAACCCGGTCTGGCCGTTGCGGTACACGTTGATCATGGCCGGGATCAGCTGCACGTCGCTGGGGCCGAAGATGGTGGCCGGACGGATGGAGACGGTGAGGAGTTTGGGGGATGCGGGGGCTCTGTTCGCGGCGAGCACTAGGGCTTCTGCTTCTGCCTGTGCGAGATTGGTTGGTTAGTGAGGAACGTACTGAGAGGGGGGAGAAGGGAGGGGGGAAGGGACCTTCGTTTGAGAGTAATATTCCGTCTGCGCCTTTGGCGGAATGACGGGCCACCTCTCGTCCGCGTTAATAAGATCACTGGAATTGTCACTGATGACACTGGCGGAGCTCGTATAGACCAGCGCCGTGACCCCCGTCTTCTGACACGCCTCAATTACACATTTCGTCCCTTCAACGTTGACTTTTTGGTACATGGCCTTGCTCCCCCCGGCGAGAGTTGGCGACGCCGTGTGGATTACGACGTCTGGTTTTACCTTCTCGAAAATCGGGAGGATGGAGGAGAGCGTCGTTATGTCGCCATCGAAGTAAGCAACATTGTCCGACTCGGGGCGCCGGTTGCGGGTGGTGTGAAGGTCGAGGACGGAGATCTGGGACGAGGTCGTCGAGGAGGAGGTGACGAGCAGGGACACGATGTGGTGGCCAAGGAAGCCGCAGCCGCCGATTACGAGGACTTTGCCCAAGGATTTCTTGGGTAAGCTAGGAACTGGCGCCATTGAGTCTGTAGTATTGATTGTGGTCGTGGAGAGGGAGGTGAGGCTGCGAAGGTTGGATGAAATCTGGGGTCTAACAGATACCCGATTTGGCGCTAGTGAGTTAACCCCTGCAAGAAGCTGCTGTACCTGGTACCTTACGTTTGGTGCCAGTTATCAAAAGAACTTCACATATCGCTTCATTGGGGTCTTTCGAACATTTACAGAGAATGGGCCGTTGAATGATGATTTACTGTGCCCAAGTCAGGCTAGTAGATGTTTGACTGCTACATACCTAAGCCCCTTCTTTCCCGTCTTCCATATCGCACCGGCCCTCGTTTACACTTCTCTGGGTATTGCCGCACTAAGTGTCCTTTGGATCTCAGGTACTGCACTTATGGCACTGGTTTATTAACCATCTTTTTATATCTTGGGTAGTATCCCGTTCAATATATGAGGTGTGGCCTTGGTGGCCGGGTGCCATTGCACGCTTCTCCATTCATGATGCCGTGAACATAAGCGTCGCCAACAACCTGGTGACCGTTCGCACTTCTGCCCATAAAAGTCACCGGTCCCAAGCGTAGAATCATTGGCGTTTTGGCGGCACAAAGAATGTGGACCGTATCCCCGAGTTGGGTCTCCTCGGGTACTGTGCCTAGATATCCCCTTTTTGTGATGAAGAGGCGGCGGTTTTGGAAGGCCATCTTGAGTGCCATCAACCTATTCATCTGCTCTTCATCAGGAATCTGTACAATATCTGGATCTGTTGTTATTTCCGGAGATGTAACAAGTTTCATTGTCAGACCTGTCTTCAGCCTGAAGGCTTGGAAGACATCTCGGGCCATTGGAATGACATCCACCGGGATCTCATCTTTCGATAGTTCACTTCGTAATACCATGATCAGATCTGCCGCCATTGTTCTGAAATAAGCTCCCAGCCAATCTCCCCCACCCACGTATGACCGTTCTATCCGCTGCCTATGAACGATCTTTTCTTCCCACAGGGCAAGAGTTTCATTCAAGGCGGTCTCCTGTTCTGTATCAAGTACGTCACTGAGCTCAGCAATGTCATCGAAGTAGATTCCATTCACGCATAGGAAGTTGGCTTCTCTGCGGAAAACAAAGAACGGCATCCGGCCACATGCCCGATAGCCTCCCAGGTTCCTTTCATGAGAGCAATGCATGGCAACCTTTTTGCTATCTGTAGGAGACACTCGCCAATCAGGCGTCCATGAGGGCAAATCAGAGGATTTCGAAAGTCCAAGCGTGAGATTAAGCACCTCAAGGCTCCGGTACATTAGAATAAGTTGCAGCGCAGTTGCTTTGTAGACTTCTTCAAAGGGTATTTGATAGTCAGGTATGATGGCATAGAGGGATACATCCCCAGCGATGCCTAACAGAGCATAGACCTTGTCGCGTGGGTCTGTAGCCTCTCTATCCCTATAATTCTTTAGCAACTGCAAGAGTGCGGGTGCACTTCCTCGTTGGATGCTTCTTCGAATCGTATCCAAATTTTGCATCAACTGGTATAAGGGCGATTTTAAACGTCGATTGGCCCTCTGGTAGTCTTTTTGCGCAACGCAACCCATGCAGCATGAGTTCACGTGTTTGACCATCGAGTGCACCGCTGGTGTCACAACAGAATCCCAATTCAACGAGCGCTTACCACAGACCATCACTCTATCAACAGAATTAGTAACATAGCCACAAACAATGAATAGTACAGTAGGGGAAGGGAGACTGACAAATTTCTAGCAAGAGCTACCTCTTGGATAATCCAAGTCCTTCCCCACCAAGGAAACAGCAGTATACGTTCGATCACGAGCACGCCCGCCCACTCAATCCGTCCTGGATCATCGGCCTTCCAGATTGGAAGGTCCGGAAGATGGCGATCTTGCGAGAACATTTCTAGCGCATCAAAAGCCCTATCGGTGTCACTATCCCGGTCGCCCAAATAAATGACAGTTGACATTGCCTTGCTATAGATGAGGCTCATATATGAGACCTGCTGAGACCGCTCCTCATCATCCTCTTGGTTGATGCAAAGAGCATCGACCCATAGGATCCGATCCCTCTGCTCATATCTCAAGTGGCGCAGCGCAGTCTCGAGGTTTTCTCTTATTCTCATTGGGCAGCCGTCCACGGTGATGAGATTGTAGGAGTCGATGACACCCCAGGCATAGGAGAGCGCTTCATATCTGGGATTGTTGGCAAGAGATAGGGTGATGAGACCACAGCGAATCGGATCTGAGCTTTTCCCCGGAGCAAGATACAGGACTCTGATATCATTGTCTCGCAGCTTCTGATAGGGGTAGGCCATCCTCGAAAAGGCGCAGGAGAGGTAGGTATAGGCTCACTCATCCATCATATGCTCGTCCTGAAGTTTGCCATGGGGACTGGCCTAGCGCTACGGAGCGCCCAAAAGAGAAAAACGAGAGAAATCATCAAGATAGGCACACTCTTGGTCGTTGCTCGTTGCCAGTTACTAAGTGGCCACTGGCCAGAGCTGCGCTGGAGGGGTGGGGTCAGCTATCAACGAGCCGAGGTCCAGAGGTGATTGGGCCCACTTGGGTCTTCACCGTCGTCTTGCAGGTGGTCCTCTACAAAATCCAGCTCGGGGACCCCAAGCCGCATATCGAAAGACAATGAATGATAGAGACAATGAAAGAGAAAGAGAGAGAGGAGAGACGAAAGAGACGAAGAGACCCTCGAGGGGAGGTTCGGAGCGGATATACTTTCCGGATCACATTCCCCCGCATTCCTCACTGGCCCACTGCCCGTCCGGAACTACCCACGAATCAGCCTTGCCCCAAGCACGTGAAATTCACAACTCGCCGTCTCTGCCGGTGTAGAGCTCGAGTTCCAGGCTCCTTACCTTACCACTGCGTCAATTCAAAAGCATGAGACCTGCTCGAGTCTATTAAAAGAAAAAAACTGAATTAGCTACCACCGGCATTTGATCCAGAGCCACGGTCTTAGAACTTGAGGTCACTCATTGAGCAGATTTTCTGATTTCATGACTCGTTAAATCGCTCCCCGCCCCCCCTTTTTTTCACCCCCCCCCCCCCTCTTTCTGCTCTTCTCCTTCTTCTTTCAACTCTTCGTCCGCATAGGTGATGAATGTACTTGTGGATTAGAGCACGTGAGATGTTGCATATTTGCGATCGGTAGGGCTTAGAATTAAACATCATTGAGCTTGGGATTTCTTTTCGTTGTTGGATGATAATTGGGTTGTGAAGGTGTAGCACATTCAAGGGATCCAGTGAGATAAAGGAGACCGGAGAGAAATCTTGTTTACCGTCTGTTCGTTGTTGTGCATGCAATCTACCAAATATACATTTCGCAGTTCCATCCATTGAGGATGCCTCCTCTCTGAAGCATCTAATTCCACTATCGGCATTCATTTTCATTTTTACCTTCCATCAAATAACGACTCACTCCCAGAGAAGAGCCTATTCCTCTTCTTCCGCGGCCTCCTCCACGGCGCCCATGTCACCCTGCTCCTCATCCTCGAAGCTACCAGCGGGGACTTCGTAGAGTCTCAGAATCTGCTTGTTCGGGTCCTTGACAAGCACGTACTTGCCCTCCTCACGCTGAAGACACATATCCGCGATGGTGCGGACAATACCCCAACCGTTGGAGAGGGACAGGTTCATTTGCTGCGCGAAGTCGCGCGGCTTCCAGCCTACTACGCCGAGGATGACGTGTCGGTCGTTGCTCTTGGGGTTCGCACGGGAGACGAAACTATGCCGTTGGTTAGTGCCTTGAAGGGAACGGGAAAGAGGTGCAGAATACATACCCAAGCTTCATAACATCCGCCTTGGCCATAATGCTCTGCACGGTCCATCTTGCGAGCTTGCAGCTGTTGTTCTTCATCTCCGTTGCGACGACCGCACCACGCTGGCCAACCAACTTAACTCTCCAGTCCAGTGCACCACCACTTCCTTGCGCCTTGTGGTCAAACTCGTTCAGTGCCTTGACGGTAATGAACTGATCCTCGCCACTAATGGCATTCTTTTGGACCGCATCGATCTCAGTTCGTACAACCAGGTGCACAGGGTCCTCGTCATTGAGGGAAAGATCGAATCGGCGGTATTTGTAGGCCTTGCTGGCTGGGGGCTCGGTCTCTTCGGCCGGGTTGTAGAAGGGGTTCTCGTGGGCCATTTCGACTTTCTGGTTCTCGTTCTCGACCATCACTTGGTTAGCGAAGTTGTGGTTGATGTATGTAGCTTCCTCGGCCAAAGCGCTGGGCTGGTTGATAGCATCCTTGCTTCCTTCTGATGCATCCATGGGGGCATCAGCTGCATTCTCGTTAACGGTAACCATGTCCAGAGTGGCATTGTCTCTCTTGTCGAGGAAGACCTTGTTGCCTTGTCGCACGATGACGATGTCCCAGGGGTAGACGGAGCGCGGTGCGCACATGAGCATCGAGAGAATGCTGTCGGTAGCGAAGATCGTAGCCTCGTCCTTCTCGGCGAGTTCTTGGATAACGGGATCGGAGGAGGTAGTGACATTGTATGCAGCACGGTCAACGACATTCAACTTGCGTTCTGCACTCTTAATAGGCTGCTTGTCGAAAGATCGGTCATAGTAGTAGAGGAAACCGTAGCTGTCGATATCCTCTCCATCATCGGTGTCCAGGTTCAACTTCGCCAGACGGTTGAAATCAATCTCCTCCAACAACTTCCAGTCAGGCTTGATGTTAACAGATGCATCACGGTTGCGTTGAGGCTTGTCGTAGTCCTTCCAGCCGAATCTTCTTCCGCCACGCGCACCGCCTCGGCCTCCTCGACTGTCGTACTGGTTATATTGCTGGCCACCTCGTCCGCCAACTCTCTGGAATTGACCCCGTCCACCTCGAGTATCGACTCTTCCCCCACGTTGGCCCCGTCCACGAGCAAATGTTCCTGTACGTCCAAACCGAGTCTTCGCAGAGTCGCGCGTGTTGCTTACGACAGAGAAAGTAGACTCGTCCTCGGCCAACTGCACCGCAAAGAGCGAAGAAGTACCAGCGCCGTAAACTTGTTGATCTACACATAAGAGTCAGTAAAATCCCTCGGTATAAAGTATATGTGGCGAATATATGGTATATGGCAGTCTATATGAGAGGAAGAAATCACACCTCTGTAATTACGGTTGTATTGCTGTCGCCCGCCTCTGCCATCTCGTCCGTCTTTGCCCTCAGCAGTCCAGTCGGCCATGCGACCTAATTTATCGCCTTTGGAGTAGGGTGCGTAGGGAACGCCATTTAACGTGGTTTCGTCGGACGTTGGTGGTCCCCAGGAATCCTCTGATGGAAGAGCCGAGATGATGTCTGCGAGAGATATTCCCGCCATGATTGCGACTTGTTGATACGGTGCTGCCTGTCGGTGGGTTTGGGGGCAGTTTCGCTCTCAAAATTGTAAATATTTCGCGATCGGATTTGTGGACGTAGCGGGGCAGAGAAGCGCGATGGAAACCGATTGGAGCCCCTTGCCGCGTGTGTCCAGACCAGCACGTGATTCTATGTCACGTTTTTCCAATTTTAGTTCAAGACTTCATGGGAGATAAATTCTCGAATAACAGGAGGATTCCTGTACGCGGGGAATTCTAAGACTACGGGAGACACCAGGATCATGATGGTTTCCATAGCTTCCATAGGTAGACATTTGTTTTGTCCTACATTAAGGTATGCTATGTACTACTGTGCGAACTTAGATCTTGGCTTCATAACATCGTCGTGAACCTGGAAAGTACTTTAAAGATTCAGATGGCACCCATGACACACTTCCTTTCGCCTCAACTCCCTTCAAGAACTCCTTCAATATGCTGCGTGCAGCTCCGGTTTGGTATAAAACACGCTCTCAAGCGCATCCCGAACCTCAAATTCTTCCAATACAGCACCGAATCTACACTTGTCAGTACGTGTTGAAGAGGAATAATCAAAATGCAACTTACCCATAACATCTAACCTTGGCTCCCAGATCCTGACATATGCTCTCAAAGTCTTCGGTCGTCAACTCTGAGAATCTCGGATGAGCCAAGATCATCCCCCAAGCCATAACGGGAGTGATCTCGCCATCGAGGTTCAGTCGTTTACTCAGATCAAGCAGATTGGCAAGATCAGGTTTAGACAGGTCCCACGTGTTTTGAGTACTTGTCGCATTGGTATGTCCCGGGTGACTGTGCCCGAAAGGAATATCAGGGTTGGTCTCGGGGTAAGGCTCTGGAGGGCACGTTGCCATGAGCGCATGGCCACAGAACTCGCCTTCCTGCTCACTAGATCGTTCGACGAGGAACTGCATATGGTCCATACATGGTCTCTCAAGCCTAGCCGCCGTAGAAGCGTCGTTAGTTACTGCGGAGGAGGCGACAGGTACGCTTTTGAAGGATTGGCAGGATTGGCGTACGTTAAGACGAAATCAATGCCCGCTTGGTCATAGTCTACCCCTCGCTGAACTTGCTGCTGGGCCATGCTGCGTCCACCCACTCCGACATCATGGGGTGATGCGATATGAATGTGCGGATTCGCTTGCGGCGGAGGGCTGTAGCTCGAAGACCCAGGCGCATAGCTCCCAGATATGCTTCCGCTGGAAGTATAGCTAGCGCCGCCATGATGTACCAGCTCATCAACACCCCCACTGCCGCTCCATGGTATGCCATGCTGGGCGAGTAGCTGCTTCAACTGGCGGTTCTCCTCGGCCAGGGACTCTTTGTCTCGTGAGACCGTACTGAAGTTCTCCTTCAATCGCAGGACCTCTTGTTCAAGAGCTTTAATGTATAGCTCTTTTCTTTCGCGGTGGGTTCTGCATAGTATTAGCGTCATGCATCTAATAAGGCCCGTCGCCACTTACCTCTGAGCTTGTCGATTCAATTCTTGTCTTCTGGTCAAGGCCGGTTTGCTGTCCGGCTTAGGACCTCGCCTCTTCGGTGGCTGTCCATCAACTGGAAATTGGTCAATGGAGTTGTATTGTTGTGTGCTATCACATGGCAGCTTACCACGAGTGTTCTTCTTCTCAGTCAAAGTCTTCAAAAAACCCAAGCTCATGGATAGAGGGCTCTTTCCGTTGTCCGATTGTCCACTACCATACCCACTCCCACTTCCACCGGACTTGGGCCCATACTGATCGATAGGGGACGCAGACGACATGTCGCAGGATAGTTTGGCTCGAGAATAGATCCGGGTGCCGAGCGCAGCTTTATCGGTGGACTGTTAGCCATGGCCTCCTTCTTCTCCAGATGCGAAATGCGAGCACAGCCGGGGTGCTTTAACAGATAGGCAGACTCCGCGCCTCATTCGCACACTGGGGCAAGAAAAATGCATAACTTACCTAGAAAAGCTTTCAGAAGTGTCTGACAATGCCTGCAAGGTCGAGTGGTGGGAGACGGCCGTGCTGCTCTCGTTGTGCGCCTCTTTCACGGGAGGCCCGACAAGCGTCTCAGGAGACAAAAGTTCACCGGAATTCAAAAGTTGAGCTGACTCCTGATCATCGCAGGGATATAGGCGGACGGTAGGCCCAAGTGAGCGAACGACTAAGATCAAAGCCGAGCCTCAATACCTGGGAGTTAATACTGTGGCAGGGCGCGGAGAGATCTCGACATGAAAGGCGGGATTCGAGGGGACCGGAATGGTAGGATCGTAGGATTGTACCAGCGTCGAGGAAGCAAAACGGCTCGGTTACATTCCCCTCCCAAGCGAGCTCTGGGCGCTTCGGGGGGGCAGCGAGGAGGCCAGGAGGTCAGGACAGTATTCTCCGAGTGGGCGTGCTTGTTACCTAAGTAGTAAGTGGCCAGAAGCAGACCCTGAAAAAAGGGAATTGCGGGGGAACGGAGGAGCAGGCCCGGCAAAGGGGTTAGGGAAGCTGAACGGGATGCGCAGATAGCGATAGGGGACGTCAAAGGGGTTCTTCTGGCGGAAGGGTCTGGCGAAGAGACGACGCCAGGTTTCCAACAGTTGGGGACGGGAGTGTTCAAGGCTCAAGGGGGAGTTCTGGATTCAGGTTTCTGGGAATTTGGCTCTTGCGTCTTGGCCCTTGGGGAGCTGGAAGCTGGGAGCTGGGAGCTGGGAGCCGGTTGGGAACTGGGGGACTTTGGGGGGGGCCGGGTTTGGGGGTCTGTCCATTATTGCGGCGTCCGCCAGTGAACCAGTTCGGGGGACGATGCTTCTTGGGCCTAGTCGCCATATAGACTCTGGCTATTCCTCTTCCGGCTATTTCCAACGAGCGGGCGTTCAAGTGCCGATGGTTAGGTAAGCACAGTTGCAACTTGCAGAGCGCCCGCCCAGGAACCCGATGATGAGGCACCGACACAGACACTGCCCGCACCTTATTCCGACCTCATCTGCTGCATCTGCGTGCTGCGTGGGCAAGAATGATGTACACAGGGCATAGAGCGTCCCGAGGAGCCAGCACTGCTCCCCAACCCGGCGCCGGTGCAAGCGAACGGTAGGCGTGGCTTGGTCTATATTTTAGGCCTTATCGTATGGGACCGGCCAGGAGCGGTGAGGAGCGGGCCGTGCAGACGAGCTCCATTTTATGGAAGTTTTCATCCGCACTGCGCAGTATATGGACGCTGGACCTAAGCTAATCACCAAGATGCCTCTTTTCTTGGTGATAAATTCGTGCTGTGCTCCGTATTCTTTGTATTGTACTTCGTAACCTCAAATGGCCAGGATGGGCGTCGCTGATATATTCATGGCCCTCCGCGGGGTCCTTATCATGACACCGTGGGCTGTGGGACTGGTCATCCTGGATCTGCTTCTCTCTGCCCTTCTCCCCATCAGCTGGTTCTTCCCAGACTGGGTCTACAATGCTTCTTCGTCCCTGGCATTCGTGTTGTGGAACTGGATACAGGTCATTTTCGAGGCTATCAATGGCGGCAAGATCACTATGTCCGGCGATACCCTGCCGGCGGGAGAATCCGCCATTGTCATCGCCAACCATGTTAGCTGGACCGATTTTTACATGATTCAGTTTCTTGCTATCCAATCCGGCATGCTTGGTCGCTGTCGTTGGTTTGCAAAGATCGAGCTGCGTCTGGTCCCATTGCTTGGTTGGGGAATATGGGCCATGGGGATGCCCATGGTTAGTAGGCAGTGGACGAAAGATAAGAAAGAATTGGATCGAGTCTTTGCCGGAATTGTAGTCAGGAAATGGCCTACGTGTATGACCCAAATCGCAGTGGAAACCTGCAGATGCTTACTTCATCCAGGGCTCATCAGCTTCAGCGAGGCAACGAGGTTCACGCCTAGGAAATACGAGGAAACCAAAATATGGTGCAAGGAGAACGATAAACCGGTTCCGAAACACCTATTGTACCCGCGGACGAAGGGTTTCGTAACAACAGTCCAACATCTGCGAAAGTCCAAGCATGTGACGGCTGTCTATGATATCTCGATTGCATACAGCCACCACAATAAATTCTTGGAAGCCCCGACGATCTGGGAATCTTTGAGTTGTGGCGATTTGAGTGGAAAGAGAGGGTACAAATTCCACGTCGACGTCAGAAGAATTCCCATTGTGGATCTACCAGAAAGCGATGCGGAATTGGCAAAATGGCTCGAGACTAGATGGATAGCGAAAGGGGAATTTCTAGAAGAGAAAAGAGAGGAGTGGTCGAAGAGCTGATTTCTGGCCAATCAGTGTAAAGCCAATGCGATCACGTGCCAGGGTCGAGTGCTCCTACCTGGAATGGGGTCTACCTTGGTATCCGAGGTAAGGGAGGTAGGTAGGTAGGTAGGTAGGTAGGTAGGTAGGTAGGTAGGTAGGTAGAACTCCAATTGCGATGGTGTCTGGAAGCGCTCAACAGTGGCGACAGAGGATGCTTCTTTGTCCTTTGTTTTCATCCCTAGAATTATCATCATCTTATACTCCAAACCGCTTTATCCTCATACCTTGGTGTGATCTCTTTGTTGAAGACTCACCAAATAATCCAAAATCTCAACACCACAGCCCTAATACTCAATACAACTCACAAAAGCATCGTCAAGATGTCCTTCCGAGCATCTAGAGTCCAATCCCGAATAATGGATCCGGAACTACCACCCAACGTCTCCACCGTCTTATCCTCCCTAATTCCCTCATTCTTCTCCCCAAGTGGCCGTGGCTCCATTTCTCCGTACACCATATCAGCAGGATCGCGAGTCTATTCTCCGACGATGCCGTTGCATTCTTGTCAGGAAGGCTGGCGCGAGAGCTTCACGAGCATTGAGGAAGGGAGCGAAAAAGGGGACAGCAAGGTGGAGGAGGGGTTGTTAGCCAAACAGCAAGACCCCGAAGAAGGGCTACAGGCAGGGAAGAGGATGCAGGGAAGGAACATAACCAAGGCGGCACTGGAGATCGTGACGCTTCTTGTGCTGGGAGCGGCACTTCTGGCTTTGGTGGTTTGGTGCTCGAGTAGCATGCCGAAAATGATGGAATCTCCGCAGAGTGTCTAGGGTGTTGAGGCGATTTGGCTCTGTATTGCAGGTCCTTGATAGGAAGGTATGATAGGTATGGTGGGGTGCAATTCCAGTCGAGCCTTTCATTGTCAATCGAGGTAGTGCTTGTGAGGATATGGGTGTTGAATTTCATTTGCTTTGGTTGTTTTTTCGGTTTATTCTTGATACCCAGGGTGGCTGCTTCTGCGTAGATGTTAAATACCTGCGCTGATAAAATCAATACCAACAGAGGTTCAAGAACGAAAATCAAGCAGGTAATGAAGCCACCTTGAGCAGATAACCAACCTGCTTCCCTAATTGATTATCAGGTTATGTTCCAAATTTTAATAACTTAATCCTCAATATTACTGTCTCAAAGGGGGAATACAAGCAATGAGAGGCTTCGGTCACCAAGTACTCCTGATGAAAGTTGAAAACTCCGCCAGCGTAGGTACGTTTGGTTCCGCACGGATTTTCTGTTTAAATAGGGACACATAGCCAAAAATCCGATCGATCACTTGATTACCGAATTCGAGATTGAGTTTGAATTGTCGAGTGAAATGAGAAACGGAAACTCCTTACCTACCTAGGTAGACTTTGCAAATGCAATTCACGTGGATATCACGTGCAAATGCAGTCACAAGACAGAGGAAACTCGGAGCTCAGGAGCTCGCGGCCTTGACCCCACGTCCCGGCTCACACAAGCCGCATCCCCGGTATCTATGACTCAAATAGCGTAAAGATAAACAAGCAGAGAGCAAAGGAAGGGATCATCACGAGGGGAGGCATAGGTAGCGATCATCAGGAGTGGCAACCCCGCCATCCATTCCCAAGTTCGTCGTCGCGTGATGTATTCTCTAAACCTTCAAACCTCACAATAGTTGAAGGCCTCTGAAATGCCAGGGCGGGGCACACGATCAGAGAGATTCGAGCTGCGAACAACGTACAACCCGATACGATGGACAGTAGTGAGCCTGCTGACCGGCAAGCGGAGAATTCGGCCGGGCGCATCATGCCATCATGCAGGTTTCCCAAAGTTCGAGACTACTGCGCTGTGGCCCGCGAGACAGCTGGTTGGTAACCTGAGTTTGGGAACAGACCGGGTCTTCTAGACCCTTAGACAGTGTCCAGCTAGCCTTCCCGCATGTGGAGTCTTGACCAATGCGCGCGAGTCAAGACGGGGTGAGGGGGGTTTCCAGGAGGGCCTCCGAGTCGTCAGTGTTGGCAGCAGGAGGGGTGAAGTACGTAACTGTTCTTAACTAACGGCATGCCCACACGACGTACGCTGGTTGTACCGTAGTAGGTGCTAGGGTCGGATGCCGTGTCACTGTATCCAGCATGTCTCTGGCTGGCAGCGAACGGTATTATTGGATTGATAGGCGGTGTGAGGGTGGCATGGCAGGTTCCGCGGCAGATGGTGGGATGTTTCTTTCGAGCGAGGGGGACTGGATTCTTTGGAGGTTGTGGAAGAAATCGAAGACAAAAACAAAGACAGAATAATAATAGTAATGACAAGAATTGAGCCGGGATATGTAAATTCGACTCCTAATAATAACCCAGGGGGATGTTGCCAGGCGACTTCGCCTTGCAGGATTTCTTGCGGCATGCCCGCGTAGGTAGGGATGTGGTATAATGCGCAGTCTGATATACCACTGTATACCTATGCAGCAGAGTATGATAACAGAAAACACACAGGAGCAGGAGCCCGTGTTTACCGGTGCTGGTACTATGTACACAAAGCCGAGCAACGCACAGTAGTATTACCACGGAGTAAACAGGCCACACGCGGAGAATGAGATCTGGAGACACGACTTCCTGCTTGCCAGAGCCCCAGGAAACGTTGAAAGGGGCTTTCTCTCGACGAGGGACGTTCAGAAAATTCCACGACGAGGCCCGCGTGACAGTACCTGGCCATTGGTACGCTTGAACTTTGTATAGCGATGGGATTTTTGATGATGCTGAGTCGTGTTCGAGTTCCATCAGCCACGAATGTTTCGTTTTCGCTTCGCCCACCCGGGCACTGTGATTGGCCCATCCGCCCTCCTCCCCCGCTTTTGCATTGACAACCACAGGCGGCGGGCGAGCATCCAGAATCCCAAACTTAAGGGAAGAAATCAGCCCAGAAACTATTCCTCTCCTGGCCACGACAACACCGACAACCTCCATTGCTCCACCAGCACTCCTCTCGCTGCCTGTCGATCGAGTCGGTTTCACTACTTGCTCCTTCACAGGAGAAAGGTCCCTTCCAACCGACCTCCCCCCCCCGGCGAGCGAACCCCCGAATGCTACAGGCGCTTACCAACCCACCACGACCACAGGAGACATCAACATCAATTACCATGATGTCTCGCGGCTTTGCGCATTGCTAGTATCTGGCCCATTGCCTGAGTCCCCCGGAGGAATTCAACGACAATTCCAACCCCGCAGGCCGCGATAACGGGCGACAAAGACGCGTATGACATCAATCGGCCAACGGCTCGAGGAGTCTTCCGAAGGCAACGCACGATACGTCGATGATTGGGCATACGACCAGATTCTGAGGAATCTACACAAAGATGGAGGAAGGTAACAATACGCTGGCACCGCCAGTTGTCTCACAACTGCGCGCGGAAGGAGGCGATCCCATGGCACGATCTCTCAGCGCCGATATTCGCGAGGAGAGGGAGGATCTTCGAGAGGCCGCTGAGCAGACTCTCAATGTTATTATGGACCTCAGCTTCGATGGAACTATCAGATGGGTCAGCCCTTCGTGGACCGATGTTATAGGCACGGCGCCGGAATCCTGCCTAGGAAAGCCAATCAAGGACCTTCTGATCGGAGAGGACAAGGACATATTTGCAGAGGCGGTAGAATCAATGAAGAAGGATGACTCTCGTAGTCAAATCATCCATTTTGCGGTTCAATTAGGGCCTGCCTCGAAATTGGCACCTCTCGACGTGCCGAACCAATCTGAGGGCCACGTGGAAACAGAATCTGTACCAGCTACACTTGATCTTGAGGGACAAGGTATCATGATCTACGATCGTTCATCTGGAGGAGAAAGTCACGTAAGTAAAATAGTGCCTCGCATCTGATCTACACTAATATGTGCTATAGACTATGTGGATGATTCGACCTTGGATCGCTCCCCGGGAGATCCAAATCGACCTACCAGCTATGATCGTTGATGCACTCGGCTCTGGTGCAGAGGTTTTGGCGAGCTATCTCACAACTTTGGCTGAAGTTGGTATGGAAGATCCAGCGCACCATGCTCCACCGCTGCCAGTCCTCTGCCGTATTTGCGAACGTCAGATTCCGCCATGGTGGTTCGAAAAGCACACTGAACTGTGTCTCCAGGAGCACAAGGCTGAAATGGAAGTTCAGATGTGTCAAGAAAACCTCACTGAGCATCGTCACGCAATTGTCAAAGTCCTAGATGCTCTTGAAGCTCGCAGCAGCAGATCAATCTCCGGAGAACAGTTGGCACCGCCCCAAGCCGAGTACAAAGGGATGCCAATTGGACCAAGTTCATTATCGCCATCCTCATCTTCCGGAACTGCTTCTCCAAGCACATCTTCTAGCTCGAGGGAGAGGTCTACTTCTAGTTTTGGGCATGCTCGCGCACGGTCGTTTGCTATTCGTCGACCGCAAGCACGAATCGTTGAGTTATTACTCGATCTTTGTGATACTGCATTGGAGATTAGCACCCCAGCCATCAAGGAGGCATCTTCGCAAGCTCCCGGCGAGTTTCGAACCCAGTCACCTCAATCAGAATCCAGGATCTCACAAGTTATTCATTGGCAATCGCCGAGCACAAACACTTTGGATCAAGAACAAGGGCTGGCGTTATTATGTGCAGACAGTGAGACAGTCGCTAAGACGAAAGTTGAGGCTGTCCTTCGCCATCGCCGAATCATCGAATACTCAGAGCGTATTCGCGTGGAGTTCTCTGTAATCGTACAAGATTGTATTGATGAAGCGATGAGAAAGGCTGCCCGGATCGCTGCCGGCCACCTGACAGAGTCGTCCGACGAAGGAGATGAGACAACTCCGGCGCAAGACGATGGGTTCTTTACAGGTTCTTTCGATGGCCCATCGACATTAGCGATTGCTTTACGAGAAGCCCAGCTGAAACAAGAGCATGAAGCAGCCAGAACATCCTCGCCTGCGATTTCAACCAGATCTAGCAGTCCGAAGGAGTGCCCAACACCAAGATCTCACACAGGTCACATGAGCTTTCTGTCTCAATCGCAGGACTCTCGACGACAGTCATTATTCTTCGAGAGCGATGCCGGCGACAGCGATGGGAGTATCAGGTCTTCCTCTGCAATGTCACGACCTGGCCGAACAGAATCCCCGGTCTCCGAGTTTGGTGGAGACCTTCGCCGTGCCGCCAGTTCACGCCAACATAGACGAAGCGTCATACTTCCTGGCTCCACATCACCTCGAAGACAGGAATCACCTATTCGTATGCCACAACCGTCGTCCCCTTTGCGGATTACAAAGCCTAGGGTTCTCCCTGTAGCTCACGAAGGCATTATCTCTCCTACTTCATCACCAATGCTTCCTGGCACCGAATTTAGCTCGCCTGCTCTCATACCTCATCATCACCGGCGCAAATCTTCAGCAACCGGATCGGATCCCAATCGCCCACCACCATCTCCTCGTCTGACCTCCGTCAGCGCACCTCAAGCACGTGCAGTCCCACCATCTATCAAAGATTTCGAAATCATCAAGCCGATAAGCAAAGGCGCGTTCGGAAGTGTCTACTTATCTAAGAAGAAATCTACTGGCGATTATTACGCTATCAAAGTTTTGAAGAAAGCAGACATGGTTGCCAAGAACCAGGTCACCAACGTCAAAGCAGAGAGAGCGATCATGATGTGGCAAGGCGAGAGCGACTTTGTTGCAAAGCTTTATTGGACTTTCTCCAGCAAGGACTATCTTTATCTGGTTATGGAGTATCTTAACGGAGGAGATTGTGCCTCTCTGATCAAAGTTCTAGGTGGTCTTCCTGAAGATTGGGCAAAGAAATATCTCGGGGAGGTCATTTTAGGAGTGGAACATCTTCACAATCGTGGGATCATACACCGAGACTTGAAGCCAGATAATCTCCTAATCGATCAGAAAGGCCATCTGAAATTAACTGATTTTGGTCTATCAAGGATGGGTTTGATTGGGCGTCAAAAGCGGGTTCTTAACAGCTCGACAAATGACTCTGCCCCAGATCTGCTCAAGCAAGGTCCATTTGTGCGAGCGGGCTCCGTTAGTTCTTCGCGCTCTACTTCGTTCGACTTCCAGGGTCATAACTCTCCAGGGTCAACACCTCAGATGACTCCCGATCTCTCTGGTAGCTTGACAACACCATCATACTTCAGCCTTAGTAGAGACAACAACCACAGGGATTCCCGGCGTACCTCAGGCAGAAGTGATAGCGGCAACAGTGATACATTGAATCAGCTGTTTAGCAGCTTTACCTTGAATGAACCTGTTGGGCAGCAAATGCTCAATAACAGATCTCCAATTGAAGAGGCGGGCGAGGCTGAAAACAATGGCAATGGCACTGGCTCTCCTGATTTATTATCTCTTCATCCAATACCTAGCCAGTCGAGCTCAGAGCAGAAAAACACACCACCACAACCCAGTATGATGCCGCCTCCAATGGCTCTTTTTGACCCGGATGATACAAATCGTCGATTTGTAGGCACACCCGACTACTTATCACCCGAGACTGTGAAGGGCGAGGGTCAGGATGAACGAAGTGATTGGTGGTCCGTTGGATGCATACTGTTCGAATTCCTCTATGGCTATCCCCCATTTCATGCAGAAACCCCGGACCAGGTTTTCGAGAACATCCTTGCCCGCAAGATCTCGTGGCCCGATGACGCAGATTTCGAAGTATCCCCTGAAGCTAAGGATCTCATGAACAAACTACTTTCGATAGATCCGAGTCAACGCTTAGGAGCCAACGCTGGTGATAAATTCGCTAATGGTGGGGAGGAAATTAGAATGCACCCGTGGTTCGAAGGTACAAACTGGGATCGCCTGCTGGAAGATGAAGCACAGTTTGTTCCTGCTCCAGAAAATCCCGAAGATACGGAGTATTTCGATGCCCGTGGTGCAACCTTACAGTCCTTTGCGGAAGAGATGGAGGACCAGACATCGCCTCAGATTTCCACACCGGGAGCAGATTACCCCGAGAGGCCACACGATGCTCTATCGCGTGTGAAATCGCAGGTGAATTCAATCAAGAGAGGTTTGATGCCGCTACATATACCGCCCCATGTACGGGACATGAAGAGTCGCAGACTCAGCGAGCCAGTTGTAGCCGATGACTTTGGAAATTTTGCGTTCAAAAACCTTCCTGTGTTAGAGAAGGCAAATAAGGATGTCATTCAAAAACTCCGAGCCGAAGCCATGGCCGCTCAAGCCAAACAAACCATAGTCAGTCCAAGTGCGAACACTGCCACTTCTCCAGCACCAGTTTTGGAGGGAAGCCCTATTCTTCCAATGCCCATACAGCGGACATTATCGAATGCGAAGGCCACCAATCGCCCTGCGTCTCCATCGGGGCTAAGCCAGGCCAACTCATCACCAAGTAGGGCCTCTCAACCGTCCTCGCCTTTGCTTGTTTCATTTGTTGCTGGTCAGAATGGAGATGGACGGCGCAAGACATCCAGCAATTCCTCGAGTCTTTCGCATCAATCTGGCAGTTCTCTTGTGCCTGGAAATTTCTTCGAAGTACCTCGAATGACTGCTACTCTTCAAAAGTCCGCTAGCTCCGCTGCAGCTTCCCCGATCAAGAGTCGTGGGGGAGGGCCTTCAGCGCTTGCTATTTCCCCTCAAAAGATGTCAACTCCAAGACAGACGAGCAATCCCTCTAATCGATCTCGATCCCAGACTGTTGGGTCACAGGAGGGAAGTCCAATAATAGGTGATCTGTTCTCACACCGCAAACGACGTAGTCAGGTTTTCGACATGTCACCATCATCCTCAGATAATGAGGGTGAGAAGGCTAGCGCTTTACTTCGTGTTCAACGCCGCCGCCAGAGCTCTCGCCGGTTGTCACAAATAAACATGGGTGATGGACCACTTTTCCGTCCCCTCGATGTGCTTATTTGCGAGGACCACCCAGTCTCGCGGATGGTCATGGAGAAATTGCTTGAAAAGTTACGGTGTCGTACCATCACTGCGTCCAATGGGGCCGAGGCAATGCGTTATGCTATGAGTGAAATCAAGTTCGATATAATTATGATGGAGTTCAAACTACCGCAGATCAATGGCGCGGATGTTGCTCGCATGATTCGAGATACGAAGAATGCCAACTCTCAGACTCCTATCGTTGCCGTTACCGGCTATCTCAAAGAGCTACAAGCACCTCATCATTTTGATGCTCTCATTGAGAAACCGCCTACAACATCCAAGCTGACGGAAGTGATATGTCGGCTTTGTCAGTGGAAAGCTCCTGGACTAGACCAACCTACTTCAAGCCCCTTGGGATACCTCCAACCATCGGGTCTCCGACAGGAGAGCCTGAGACTCGAGGACAGCCCTACAACTAGCTCTTCAGGATTTGCTCAGATGCCTGGCAGCAGTTTCAGGGCATCTAGCCGAGAGGATTCTATAAGTTCCAGTCTTTTTGGTGACTCGGAATCCTTCATAAATGAGGACGTTCCTGTAGTCATCAACCAAAGACCCGCAGGAGAATGGGATGAGGCATCAGGTCTTGGTATCAGCCCTAACGAGGAAGCAATTCTAGATCCGGATCTTCCAAAATTGCCAGCACACCTTTTGCACGAACACTCTGCTCCGGGTCGCATGGAACACAAGACTCCGTTGCGACAACAATCCACTGACAAGATTCGAGCCAAGAGGGAGTCGATGGAGAAGCATCGCCACGAGTGTATAGAGTCTGGAGATGATGAAGACGAAGAACTTGGCGATGCAAACGTTCGGGAAAAGAGCCCACGACTCACGAAGTCGACCCATCGCGGTTCAAAGCTTGGTATTGAAATGATGCGAACCAATAGCCGTGGTAGCGTTGTCTCAGGATCTGATTTACCCAGCACTGATCCAGTGGAACCACCACCCACCGTTTCCGAAGAGATACCACCCGCATCTCAGATCTCGGGCGCCAGCTTAACACCTCCTGAAATCTTTACTACACCTGGTGGAAAAGTCAGCGGGATTGATCCAGACCAGACTCCTAAACCCTCACAAAACCAACCCCATACCACAGACGAAGAACCAACTCCTCGGGCACCATCAGCTGCTTCAAACAAATCAGACTATATTGCTATCCGCAAAAGTTGTGAACGATGAATCTCCAACTCCAATTGAACAATTTCTTTTTCTGTGTCAGAACATAGCTGCGGGCGCTTCATTCAAATTGATTTCCTTTCCCTTGTCACAACTCAACTCACGATTAGAGCGCGGCGTTTTAGGGTGTGGAATGGGAAGCCGAGGGCGTTTTGATCAGGTCTGCTTTTGAGGGGTGTCACTTTGCCGCATTTACAAATCCAACCGCTTGCGAGCGTCTTTCCTTTTGAAGTTAAGGAGGAAAATCTGAACTATTCTGTTCTGTTGTCGGGATCAGAAGTCAACTGCGAATTTGAAAATACCTTTCTTTTGTACATGTTAGGGCGGGTCTGATGTGGTTTGATGGATGGGAGGTAACCAAGTGTTTTGATACGATACCCCAAGACCTGGGCAAGATCCTTTCGCCAGTCTTCGGGAAATTGGCATGTGACGATAGGAAGAGTGAAAAAGGAAAGAAAATTTCACGGAATGTTGAATTTGCTGTGAGGTTGTAGACTGAAGGGAGACTGCAATATAAGAAGTTAAATTGGCTTCTCATAATCTTGATCTGTGAAATGTTACTTCTGTTGCTCAAGAATCTGTGGGTCAGTCCTGTTTTCCCTCGACTCCGGAGACATGAATGATACGTGCAAATTACAAATCACCTCTAGCACGTAAATCATACCAGCACGGAGTCCTGAGGAGCTCCAGTAACTCAAGGGGGATATGTTCATGATCGTGGACAATACTCGTCAGGAACAAATAAGATCCCTAGAAAAGAATCACTCGACGTGAATCGAATCGGTGTACATAAGCAAACCCCTTTTCCATAGCCAACGCCTAACTCCCTGCCATGTATTTTGACTAGTGTAAGCCAAACTTATCACTTCCGCGGCTTCTTGACTGACTCCTCATCACTGACAGCATCATCCAACATCTCCTCATCATCTTCCGAATCAAGCACATCCCTACTTCTCTTCAATCCCTTCATTTTCCTTGTCTGCAATTCCTTCAAGTCCTGCTTTCCAAGATGGATCCTGCCCATCTTGTCGCCCATTATATCAGTCTCGATATTCTTCTTCGGCCTCTCCTGGTTCGTCTTGGCCTTCTTCAAAGCTTCCTTCATCACACTCTCATCAGCTTCCTTCACCCTCCCTACTCTGAAATCCATCCTAGGACCCATCTCCTCAACCTCGACCCTCGGTAACTTCTGACCACTCCTCTTAGTCTTGATCAAATAGACCCTGAGATGAATCTTTGGCTTCGCCTCCTCGCCATCAACGCTATCCCTCGCACTGATCGAAACGATATACTGCAACCCCTCAACATCCACCTTATCCGCCGGCTCGCCCTTGAAGAAATCGGTAAAGAAGCTCTTGGCCAGGGTATATTCATTCGGAACGGGGCTCTCAAAGGGGGTGCCAGCAAACAACAGTAGGGGTTTCAATCCCACGGCACACTTTTTATTCTTGAATTGGCTCAACGTCCGAAAGCTCTCGGGATCCAGATACAGCTCCAGCATATCCAGCACCTTGTAAGCGAAAGTGCGCACGAGGGTGATGGCATGCGGGCGCTTCTTGGACGTGGAGCCGAAGACGAGGAGCGAGGCGTCGTTCTTCTCGCTGAAGAACTCCAGGGACGAGGCGTCGTCGAACGGGTGGATCTCGTTCTTCTTGGTGAATTTCTTGGCCAGTGGGATGCGCAGCTGGTACAGGTCGGAGAGCGCATCCTGGGCGATTTGCGAGCAGCTGCTGCCGCGGAGGAAGAGTGCGGTTTTGGGGTTCTCGACGGCTTTGGGGGCTCTTTTGTCCAGGGCACGCTTGCTGCGCGCGTTGCGCGGTTTTCTTCAAAAGCTAGATTAGGCGGGGGTTGTAGAGCGGGCTAGATTACACACTTACATCTGACGCAGCATTTTGATGTGATGCTGTTGAAATTGAGGGGCTGATGTGGGAAGTGGTTCACGGCTTCAGAAAAGTCAAAAGTCAGTCTGTTTTTCAAAAATTTCTTATCGATTTCGATAAAAGATATCAAGGCATCAATGTTGCTGCCTGGCGTGGAATTCACATGCCAAATGCAAATGCCATCCCTGCTCCTGGATCTTTGTGGGGTTCCCGTCAAGCAACATCATCCTCGTGCCGACCAGTTGCCCACTTGCCCGAGCTTCACTTCACTCATGAACTTCCTCAAGACAACGAGATCAAGCTTCCAAACATTCAGCTCTCAGTTATAGATTCTAGAGCGACGATCCTCAGATGCCCATACGACGGCACCACCAAACCCTTCGGCTGTGCGCTGCCTTCACTATCGAATAGACAGACTTGCCGAGGTTGCGTCTCGGCACAATGTCAAGAAGAATCGAAGGCATTCAGGTCTGCCAACCCTGCGCATTTCAAAGCCGTGCGAATATGCTGATAGGGCTATTATAGAGAGCGCTCGAGAGTGTGATTCTCAATCCTCAATATGCGGATTTATTGGCTGTATTGAAAGGGGCGCGGAATGGCGCTGTGTATGGTGCAAAGGTGCGGTTTCCGCATGCGCTGGTGTAAGTCTCCCTCTTGCTTTCGTAAACTTGCACGTGGATGGATGCTAATGTGTCTGGGGTATTGTAGGATGATCTTCTTGTTCCGTTCAGGTACCGTGAGAGAGAAGGCGGCGCTTGTATTCAGAGCTACGAGAACACACGCCCAGAATCTGGCGAAATATGCGACGGTTTACAAGTTGACGATGTTGCTCCTAAAACATCTGGGGAGTGAGCCCGGAAAAGAAGGGCCCTTTGATACTTTTCTGGCTGGGATGTTGGGAGGCTATCTAGTATTTGGGAGGAGGTCGAAGAAGGGACATATTTCATCTGTTAGCAAACAGATTGTCATTTTCGGTAGGGTTCCCAGAACCCCGTGTTTAGGATTATATTCTAACTATATGCCTCAGTGTTTGCACGAGTAATGCTCTCCCTGGCCAAGCTGTCTATCCAACCGGAGGTGGGTATAATCAGGAATCCTGAACTCACGAAACGGATATCTCACGATGCGTGGCCGGTTTTCGCGGCATTAAGTTGGGGCAGTGTGATGTGGTTGTTTAGATGGTATCCTGAGACTGTACAGTCGGGATTGAGGAGTAGTATGGATTATATTTATGTGCAAAGCGACCACTGGGACAGCTTGCGGAATTTCTTGGTCTACAACAAGTAGAAATCAGGAATCTGGTCATACAGGAGCTGCTAGCATGATGGGAAACCACGAGTATATGAGATTCAGGATATAGTCATAGAAGTTGTGACAGACTTTGTACAGCAAGAGAAAGGGGGGTGGGGCGATCTTGTAGACCTAGTAGAGCTTTTGGGTTGGCTTCAAATCTCACATTAGATATGCCCGTTCCTTCACGGACCAGCATCCTCGACTCCCTTGATTTCCTTGATGCTAACTGCCAGAGATTCCCTCTATTATATCATATTCGGGATCTATGCAAGGCTCGATATCGACGTCTCGCCTCGTAGTCCAGAGCCTGAGAGCGCCATGCTTCCTCAACTGCATCATTCTCATCCCTCCCTGTCTCCTTTTCCCCCTTTTTCTCCTGGCACAAAAAGAATCAAATTAAAAAGATATACCACAACGCTCCTCTCCCCCCTGAACACTCATCTCAACACCTTGCTCACACACCTTCCCCCCTCTCCATTCTCAACACTCAACGTCAAACTACCTCTCTTCCCCCTCAACCGCTCCAACCTCCCGGGATTCGACATGCCCTCGCCCACAGCATCAACCAGCATCTCCCACCACGAGGCAAACAAGCCGGCCCACTCGCCCTCCAGGACAAACGTCAGCTCCTCCAACGCCCAAAAGCACGACTGCGCCAGGAACACCCAATCCCGATCCTGCGGTTCCGGCGGGCCGTAGCAGATCCTAACTGTTCGCACCGTCTCGGCGCGCGCCGCTGCGGAGCTGAACATCTTGAGATCTTCACCCCGGGAGAAGGAGAATGCGGAGACGTCGTGGAAGAGCCGCGGCGAGAGCTCGCATGCGAAGAAGGGTGAGGCGAGCGCGAGGGCCGTCTCGTGATGGAGTCCGTGGAGGGCGTTGCTGCATGTGATGCGGCACTCCGGGAGCTGCTGGAGGTATTCTCTGTAGATGAATTGCCGGATCTCGTAGGGCAGCTCAGAGATCGGGAATCGGAAGTTGCTGCTGGCTGAGGATGGGGAGGATGATGATGATGATAATGAAGGGTCCTGAGGAATGGAATCTATGGGGGCTATGGTACTGGTGTTTGATAGACCGTCGTCTTGGTTGTGGGATTTCTCGAGAGCCATTTTATATCTTGTCTTTCAGGGAGGATTTACCAAAACAAGCGGCTATGGGGCGAAGAAAGGACGAAATAGAAATATGATACTTGCCTTGAACATCTGGGAGGTTTGTCTTGTATATAAGAGAAAAGGGGCTGGCGACCTGCACGTGACAGTGAGCAAGTTTGAGTTGAAATGCGCCGAGAGAAAACTGGGGAACAATTGAGCAAGTTGCGCAGGTAATGATCATACTGATATCGAATATCAAATATCGAGCTCCAATCACGAGACAATCCTCGAGCACCGTGTAGGGTAGGATAGCATTTTCCGTCGGTCAAACCAAATGATAACAAGGTAAAGTAAAGTACCTTGTGAGTTATCGAGGGGTGGGTTGGGATAACTCCCCGTTGCGATAAACACACCCCTCTTTTGAACGACCGACAACGTTGAATCCACGTTCAACTGTTTGAAGGGTGTCGTTGTTGGAAATTTTGAGGAAGGTGCAGATGGGAGGAACACAGATGAGACCATGTAAATACAGACGAAACCATGTGAAGTGTAGAATGTTCCTTTTGTAAGCCGCCTTAGCCAAGATGTCGTCCACCCTTAATGCCTACGATGAATACCTCGCTGCCATCGAAAGGGGCAAGCGTCTGTGCAAGGAACTGCAGAGTTTTGTCCAAGAACCCTTGACGTATCCGACCATGCAATCGTTATACGATGTCGAGATGAATCCGCTTCGGATCAACACAAAAAAAATCATCCAGAGGACCTTGGCCGGGTGCGGCTTAAGCACATCCGAGATGATGTATATTGACGTTCGGAATATTGGCAAGGGGGAGTACGACGATGCGGCGTATGCGAATCACTTCGACGGGAGGAGTGGTGTAGTTGTCTGTAGCGAGAATTATAAGGACCGAGATGAGAATGGTCTTGGTCAGCGACTATGGCCGTCAGAAATCCTCTGGCAGAGTTGGTTAGTGGCAGTAAAGAACCGGGAGTCAAAACCATCGGATCTCCACGCTGTTGTCCGATTCCGGGTCGTTAACAACGCAACAAAAAGGCTAATTTGGGAGTCTGCGAGGCGATCGACCTGTACTATAGAAGGCGAGAATGGCCTCCGAGAATATACAAACTGGGATCAAGGATATCATGCAATTCTTGGAAGCCCTAATGGCGGCAGTACAATGAGGATGTTGTTAGACCATAAAAGGGAGATAGGGTACCGTACGGTAGAACGAGTAGTAGTATTAGATGAGGGGAACTTGGCCCTGGACAAACCACAGACTCGCTCATTCTTAATTCTTTTATCACCACGCCGGACACCTCCGACTAGAATCCCTCGACCAACTGCCTGCGGCGCTCACTTCAAAGTGCGAAAGACTAAGCCCTTGCATGGCTGGCCGCCTTTGAAGGATAAAGGGAAGATTGGATTGAAATGATGGACCTGAGTGATGCAGGTCACAGCACAGACTCCCAGCCACTTCATGTTACTCGGTCCGTGAGCCTTAGGAAATTAGACTGTGTGCAGAGACTTCCATCATTAGGATTCTGCACTTGATCATCAATTCTATCATCAATTGCAACTTTTTGGAGTTTTGACAGCTTTGAATGATTACCTTAGGTTTGCCATATGCGGCCTATTTATCTTACTCGCTGATATAATAGCGCGTCTCAAAAGGGTGGCCAAAGTGCCATTCTAACACGAAGACATCTGAGTTCACAGGCCAAAAAGAGAACAAATCACCTTGTGCAAGGTCAAAACGCGTAGAGCAATACCATTACTCTTCTCTCCAGCAATTCCCGAACGGCAAATGCCTAAAGTCGCGAAAAACTTCTCCAACCAGGCCAGCTTGGACCCGACGAATCGACTCCCATGTTGTGAAATCGTTGTCGTATCCGTATTTTTCCGCAGCTTTAATCATGCCGTCTGCCCAGGCTTCTGGGTTACGGTTGGCCTTTTCCCCGAGAGTTTCGAATTCTTTTGGATAAAAAATTGGGCAAATACTAGCGTCCAGAGGGGATTCTTCGCCAGTAACTAACCTCCTACGATCCTCTGCCTTTTCTAGATCGGTTATAAACTGTACAGCTGTAGCAAGGGACACCCTGACGATGTCAATGCTTTTTGTGACAACATCGAATCTGTCCAAAGGCAGAGAATGCGATTTGAGACTTTCGAAGGAAATGGATTCATGCAGCCCTTCCTCCACACCAGTGCGAGCGATCAAGACTGTTTGGTGCTGTGCAATCTTGCGGAGACTAATCAGGCCGTCTGATTCGCGGCGACATTCCTCATGGTAGAACGAATCCAAACGATCGATAATTACGACAAGAGCGTGATAAAGGGGAAGCACGGAGTAATGTTGTGAGCTCGAAGGCTGGCGTTCGATAACATTGTCGGCGCGGCCTTCAACTTGATTGATGAGGCTAGATGCTTGAACGCAGAGAGAGCGGTGTGCCTTTATAATCCCAGCTACTGTCGACGGGCCTGTCGAGGTAATTCTAACTGGGTTCGCAAAGAAGTGACCAAATTCGATGTTCGGTTCGTTGTTGTAGCATCGACGCCATTCTTCGTAAATGGCCGCGAGTATGATCTTTGGCGTTTGATTCTTTTCTCCGGTGGCATCCGTCCGCTGTGCGGACTGCAACCAATAAAACGCCGTTGGTTTGTTGCAAAGATAGCTGAGCTTTTCGGGATCTAGGTTTCCAACCATATCGTCAAGACGTATTCTGTACCGGTCGGTTGTCGCCCATCTAATCCTCGTTTCCTGGCGAAAATTATCAACTCTTAAGAAGTGCCATTCTTTCTTTAGGTCTGCTCTAACTAGCGATTTGAGTTCATTGGAAACTGGATATTGCGTAACAACTGAGGCCCAGTGCCTATCAATTTCTTCGTCCGAGCGAGTGGTTCTCCCTGCTGTTTCAGGTGTCTCATGAAGAGCCCTCGAGGACGCCATGCCGCCTAGGCCTCACATGAGAGGTTCGGATTTAACGGAGATCTGGGATTCGACAGATGCGCTGTCCTGGATGCTTCCCGCTTCTGGGCGGTGGTATTCTTCGATGCCAAATATCACTGGTCGGAAGCTGTAGGTTGTCGTGGTAAAGAGAGCAAACTAGATGTTGTTACTTGCGAAAGAGGTGGTGAACGGGTCCGGGTGGGACGTCCTGTGATAATGTGTGTTTGAATTTGGGATGAACTAAATCCACTTGACTAGTAACTAAATCCAGTTGATTCTACGACCGTGCACAGTTAAGCGAGTGATAGGTGTAGGTATCACAAGTGGATTTGGTTACTAGTCAAGTGGATTTAGTCCATCCCTAGAAGTATAAAGTTCTACATATGGAGCTGTTGTCGGTCGCACGCTTTAAGCGAGACAGGCAATTTGTGCCGGTTTTATTTCCCCCGCGAACCCCTAATCGTTGGCGGTGAACCCGTTAAACAGACCCCCCCTAATACGCCGAACCACCACCAGCAAGCGCGGTAAGATTCGTGTTCCCCGGCTTGATATACGTCTTCTGCTTCGGCAATCCCGCAATCGCGTCGTCCGGCAGACCCAGAGTATCTTTCACGATCTGACTCGGCGTCAACGCCAGCCACTGCGCCACCGAGATGTCGGTGAACTTGGGCGCCTGCAGCACCTCCAAGAAGACGACATCTTCCGTCCCAGTATTCTCAATGTAGTGGCTGCTCGCTGCGGGGATGTATCCCACGTCGCCCGCGGTGTAGTCAAATGTCTGGCTGGAAGAGGGCGCGACAAACACGGTTATGCGAGCACTGCCGGCGAGGAAATAGTTCCATTCGTCGGAGGTCGTGTGCCAGTGGATTTCGCGCATGGCGCCCGGTTGAACGGTCACGAGAGCGGCGGAGAAATGGGAGGCGATGGGAAAGGTGGTCGGGTCGACGATCTTGACAGAACCGCCAGGGACCACATAGGGTTCTTGTTGTGAAAAGTGGTAAGTGTAGGACTCGTTGATTGGGAGTTGCCCGTATGGAGACGTGACGTTCTGCTCAGAGATATTGGCTGGGGCTGGAGTGCCATTGAATATCTAGAGGCTGGTTAGTCCGGTTCGCGCAATTGAGAGAACGAATGTATCAGTAGGTCACTATGTCTGATCTGCTGCCTTGTAATGAACCAACGGATACGTACATATAACTGATCAGTCGGAAGGTGATCGAATGATGATATAGGGGTTTGTAAATCCTTAGAGAGGACGGACTTCGGGTTCCTCAGGAATAGTTCCGAGGCGAGGAATGTGCTATCTTCATTGAAGTCTCCATTGTCGAAGACAAGTAGGAACTCGGTACCCTCGTCAAGAGCCTGAATCGAGTGGGGAACTCCAGCAGGAAAGAACCAAACATCACCAGCGCTGATATCGTCAAGGAAAGTCTCCCCATTCTCATTGACCGCCGATAGTCGTACGCTACCCTTGAGGACAAGAGACCACTCATTGGCGGTGTGCCAATGCAGTTCTCGGTATGCGCCAGGCGCCAGGCGCATATCAACCCCTGCCATTGCAGTTGCAGAGGGGAGATTGTCCTTGTTCTGTTGCCGGGCCCATCCTGAATCCTTGCCAGAACCCAGACGGTTGTGGCTAAGTCCTAATGGCCACATGGCTTGAGGCACAGATCCCGAGTCTGTTCCGGGAGGCGCGAAGATATCGGAGTTGATCTTTTCGTATTCGTACGTTCCTGAAGCCGTTTAGCACTCTGTCCTTTAAGCCAGGATTTTCAGAACTCACGAGGTCCGGGGTCCGTTTGTCCAGCGTCTCCTCTAAAGGGTTGAGGATTTGGCACACTGTTGAAGTCAAGGTAGAGCCCAAGCGTGGCGTCGGCATCTTGACCATTGACAAGCTGGTAATTCGAAACTTTGGCAGAATCACCACCTTGAACGGGAGAGGGCTGTGCGACTTCTCCCAGCAGAGCTTCACTGCCGTATAGAGACCCCGAGGCGGCTGTGGCAGTCGGCGCAACTGCTGTTGGATTGACGCCGCCTACTGGCCCTGAATTCCCGAGGTTGCCTTCATAGCTCATCTGAGGAGCGGGAAGAGCAAGCACTGCTGTAAGCAGAGACGCTGTTGCAAGGATGCTATGCATGTCGAGGAGTGGCTGCATGTTGAGACGTCTCAGGGTCTTTGAATCGCTTGATGGCCAAGCAATAGATAGGAGATCACGACCAATATATACTCCATAGCCCTAATCTACAAGACATGGCCTTGCAGAGGCTAGCCTAGGAACGATCAGTGACGTGCGGATCTAAAGTCAAGTGTTTTCTACCCCTCCAGGTACATTCTGGTGAAGCCGCAAAAGTTTCCTTAATAGAAGCGGTCTACTGACCGGCGGACGCCAGAATCTTCGGACATTTATGCGGTAGATGCGGGCACGGGTAAGGTCCCGTCACACAATACAAGGTTAAAATTGCATCCTAACCCTCGACCAGCATACAGTATCAGCTCTTTCTTTTGGGCTGGTGTTGAGGGGCCCCTTGGTGAGCGGGAGCAGACCTGGATATGGAAGCGATCTTCCCTTGACTGTCCGATTCATACCTAAGTATGCGTGATAGGAATCTATTAAAGGAGTTAGTTACAAGAAGAGTATACGTATACCATCCAGAATACTCCGAACCTACAGCACAGTACATCAAATCGCCGACTGCGGGTGAGCGGGGTCGGGTGAAGAGATCGGTTAGACCGGCTAAGCCCTATATATAATACGATAGATATAGGTAGTAAGGTACTGTCCGGAGTATTTATAGATGGTATTTATAGATACCTCACCTACTGTAGATCCGAACCGGGATCGGCATCTGCAGCAGCACGGGCTCCCTCACCAATGCAGACGTCCCGAATCATGGCTCTCGAAATGGCATCCAATCTTGCAAGCTCAACTCTCTGAAGGTTTACCACGAATATACAAATGCTCTCAATTCTACCCCATGTCGAAATTAATCGCCCTAGAGACCACGTCCCGGCGCGCTAATATGATGTCATGTCAAGGGGAGATGACAAGTTGAGTGAAGATCAGAAACTATCTTAGCTCGCAGCTTGCACTCATGAATCGTGATTACGGGCCAAAACCATGAGCCCCTCGTGTAAGCACTTGAACAGGACGCAGATAGTAATGCAAAAAGGGCAAACGAGTTTGTATAACACGTTCAACGCATTCGTGTTACTAAGGCCGACCCCGCTATACGAGGTACATCTCGCAATTCTTCCTGGAAGCGGTTCGTGCCGGATCGTGGCTGAACAAGCTTTTCTTTGGCTGAAATGGTCGACTTTAGCCTCTGCTTATCCTGAGTGCCGGACCCGGGTGCGAACGGCGCCACGTTCCAACTTCCAAGGCTTTACCTATAGTATGCACGTCAGATGTAGATTAGATAAAAGAGAATTTTTTGCGCACCTGTCAATCACTAGTAGGCCTCCTGGTCAGCGAAATGCGAACCGCGGTAGATGATTTAAAAACTGGCAGAAGCATCTCTCAACTATATCGGCAACCAAAACATCGGTTCGCTGGATTGCAACTTACAATGAGAAGCCCAAGCTATATACTCTGTGCTGTACAATATGTACAGTAAATAATGAGGCGAGGCACAACCTGCTTGTAGGTATACAGTTTGGCTCTCCACGTGCCAAAATACTTACATACCTAAAATACCCAACTTTTGTACCTCATACAGACACGCCCGGAATCCCCGCATCGGGCTTCAGTGCAAAGATGTCGCCGGAATAGAGGAGACCGACATGGACAGGTCCCAACGCCTACACTCCCAACCTACCCAGAACACCCACAGATTGTGTCAAACTTCTGCTTTACACATAAGTCATTACCTTACTCCTTAGGCAGCCACGACAAAAGAAGCAGTTAGATATTCCCTTCTCCATGACAATCGCCTCGTGCGTTCCTATCCACTTCCCTCGTTGAGTCTATCCACACACACATTCGATACTTCACTGTTAATATACCACGTACTAGCCTCGCTCAGTAGTTCCGTTCGTGCGGTGCTATTTCCAGAGCCAGAAATACTCTTCCTAACAGCACCACCCCACCCTAATTTGGCCAGACCTCGTTCAACTCGCTCACGCTGGTCCTCCTGCCAGCTGAGTGGGTTGACGATCAGCAGCGGGAAGACCATCTGCAGGAGACTAGCGTTCTCTGCGAGCCCGGGCCGGAGAAACTCAAGAACCGAGAGAACAGCGGTGGAGTGTGCTTTGACTCTTGCAGAGAGCTCGGCTGTGTCGAGGATTGTCCGGTGTATGGCCGGTTGAGGGGCTTCAGGAGGTGGGATGGCTAGTGATGGGAAGATACGCTGGAGGTCCTGTAACAAGGAGTAGAGGATTGCGTTGGCGGCGTGGTATCGTGCAATGGTCGTTGCCACGAAACTGCCATCATGGAGCCCCTCCTCGTGAGGTTGCCTCTGTGCCTTCAAACTTGGATCTGCTGCGTGATGACCCATAAAATCCTGGTAGGCAGTCCAGAATTCAGAGAGGGTTCTGAGAAGGGTAGAAATGCGAACACCAAGCATGCGTGCAAGTTGAGGGCTTTGGCATTTATCGGCTGCGAGACGGTCGTAGAGAGCCATGCAGTCGGGAATGGCCATGAGGACATCGATGACAGTGTCCGGAAGAGTTTTGGGGTGGACAGAGAAGGGGATTACGCACCAGGCACTGGAGGCGAAGATGGAGGGGGTTCGCTTCTCGATCGAGTCGTAGACCTAGAAAAAGTTAGACGGAGATAGCATATGGTATAACAGAATCGATTGGCAGCTGTGGATGGCCAAGTTTAGGACGACATAAATGGACCGGTGATGCTTCGAAACCAAGCGTGAAGGTAAAGGCCACTATAGGCATTGGACTCGGGAACCGACGTACCATATTTAATCTCACTGTCCGGAACATTCGGTGAGCGATCCCTATCTGGCAGTTTTGCGGCCCTCTCATCTCCAGCAACCTTGCTGCACCTTGGATATGTTGGAACCAGCCGAGGGGTGTCGTAGAGCATGAGATCTCGAAATATCCAAGCATAATCGATGTGCAGATGGCCTCCTCACTAGGGATGTTAACCTCTGCAACGGCAGCACCTCCTGGGTCCGCTGACCCCGTTAATCCAGCCTCTAACCCCGAAATCTGACTCCTCTGACCTACCAATCCGCGAGCATACCACTTGCACGCCTCTATCTGGATGCTCTCGTCATTGACAAGACTGCCATAGAAGGCCATAGTGGCGGCGCGGATAGCGTAGTTGACGGAAGAAGAAGGGTGCGTATTAAGGACGAGAGGGAGCTCATGCATCCATGTCCGCTGCATGTTTCCGGGGTGGTTCTTGCCGAAGGAGGAGATGAAATGCGCAAGGAAGTGTTGCTGGAAGATGTCACATCGGGGAGGATTGTAGAGGGAGGGCATACGCCACATAGCCCTATCGCAGTCTGAGGGGCCATCATTGTCAGAGTTGACGAGGTTGACGGGGTCTGTGGAGGAGATATGTTCGGGCGTAGATACTTGTGGAAGGGGACTGGTGATGATATCAGTCTGGGCAACGTGACCCTCGGGGGATCCCCCTTTGTGGCGCTCTCGGAGTGCGGCTCTTGCGGGAGATCTTCTCCTCTCAGGTCCCTCCTTATCCTTGGGGTCTGGATCGTGAGGAGATGGGCGTTTGGTTCGCCTTGCAGCTTGAGCCCCCATCTCTAGGAGGATGGGGCCGACCAGAGGGCCAGGGCACTGCTTTCCCGCCCGCAAGCATTGCCCGCATTCTGGAGATACTTCATCGCACTATTTCCCAGCAGCAGAGCGTTTATAAGCCCACGGGTCCCGCATATCGTGGCGCCATCAAATATTACATACCTTGATCCTGCGTTGCAGACAGACCTTGCACCCTCTGCTGCGGCCCGATCGACGCACCATGCCGGGGAAGGCGGGAATCCGTCGGGCAGATGAGAGATGAGAGCCTTGATAGGCGGAGCGGAGCGGAGTGATGGGAGCGGAGCAAATAAGTAGGGTAAGGTAAGGTAAGGTAAGGAGGAGGTTTGTATGCGCAACAATGCCAAGACTCAAGAGGAGGAGGCTGAGGAAAGCGGAAAGCCAGCCTTATACGGCGAGATGATATCGCCACTTGCTCTCAACACCTTGACAGGTAGATGCACTACATCAAACTATCAAGACCGGTGAAGATCTGGATCCCTCCGTTGAGAACAGTGCACTGTACTGCAATCGGCATATTGGTAGGAGAAGTGGACGGCATCCGAAGGATATACAGGGTCTTCGTATACGGAGGGGTGTTCGCAAAAATCGCACTTTTCGGAATAGCGTCGTCCGTTGTCGGGCCCTTTTCTTCCGATCTCCGCCCCGCTCCCCGCCCCGCTCTCCGCCAGAGGAGGTCCATGTAGAAGGGGGGCAAAGGAAAAAGAGACTGTAAGTAGGTAAGATATATAGATCCAAGCAGGCCGGGTGTTCTGCTTTGCTGACGCGGGAGAAAAATGGAGAGAAAGGGAGAGAAACAAATCAGAAGTGAAAAGAAACATGGAAGGAAAAGAAAAACTCCAAAAAATTCAAAAAAAAAATTCAAAAAAAAAGAGAACATACAACAGCAGGTATTCGCTGGTGGTCACCCACCCAACTACTAATCTGCCGATCTAAGGCTTGTGTATGGCAGAGCGGACGGGATGCCCAATTCTCCTTAGTCTATGGTCGTATGTAAAAGGATTCGTTTTATTTTAATACATAGACCACATCTAGCTATTAGGGCCCAAAACGCCAAAAAAACATACAACAGTAGGTATTCGCTGGTGGTCACCCACCCAACTACTAATCTACCGATCTGAGGCTTATGTATGGCAGAGCGGACGGGATGCCCAGTTCTCCTCAGTCTGTGGTCGTATGTGACTGCTTTTCCTTCATCGACACATATATAGGTACCTAGGTAGCTACTTACTTGGTATGTATCGATTTGACACACAGAGATCAGAATACCCGTCGAGGCAAATCTCAGTACCTACAGAAAGCTAGATAGTTTGATTATGAAGTTATATCTGCTTGTTTGCCATACGGAGGTTTATAGTAGGTACTTTCTATTGCCAACAAGTACCCGTGTAGGAGCATAAGATGTATGGCTTCTAGAGAGAAATTTCAAAATCCAACAGCATCCTTGGGCACATTGATACCTCTTTGGATGTAATAGACTGGTGTGTGAACTTCGGACGGAATTTATTCACCTACAGAACTATCATTGTTCAACACCAAGAGACAGGAAATAGAAACTTACAGGTTGCATACCACTCGTGATAGACGATGTTTTGAATACCCACCAAGGTGTCTTAATCAAAGGCGATATTTCGTTCCTCCAACCAGAACTTTATTCGAGCAAGTGCACTCCTCCGAAAACTCTCCAAACTCCCTAGGAAAGAGCTTCCCGCATGTCCACCGACCCATATCCCAAGAAACCGATTCCCTCCATGCCTCCGCTTCATCAACATCAAATCCAATCAACCACCAGCATAATATTCTTCAAGCATCAATACCACACCCATGTCCGTTGAATACTTACTGCCCTATGGCGCCCCGCCCCAGTGGCTCAACACCAGGCAATCCCTCGAAGTCCGGCGTTCTGGTACCCTCCCCTGCCTTTTCCCAACCTCCGATCCAAGCTGACGCTATACCAAATAGCATTCATCCTGTTCTACATGGAGAACTCGGATATCGGCAGGATATACTCGAGCCGAGCGCGGGCCCCATTAGCTCGGGTTGCCAAACCGGGGGAGGCAATCTTGGACCTAGGTATTGACTCTCTGCACCCTCCTTCCTACCCGTAGGATTTGTGGATAGATGAAGCCTGCTTCTTCTGACACGAGAGTAGCTTTCCGGCAGTTCGAGATGCATAATCCGGGACTGGCGAGGAGATACGTGTATAGGATTTTCAGACATAGATATGCGCGGTATGCGCAGAATGGAGACTTGCTGCCTTATAGAGCCAGAAGGCGGATGTTGTGTCGAGGGTGGGGAGAGGCGCCTCGGAGCTTGTGATATGGGCATCCTGCAGGCAGACTAGATGATCGGAGGGTATGTTGGGACTTGTCTTCTCTTGAAGCTGCAGCGGGAATCGGAGAATTGGTTTTGATAGAATAGCGTCTGGCAATGGAAGCATTTTTTTTTTGTTCGTCTTAGGCCCTTTGCTGTCATAGCTTGTCAGTCGCTGATGCCACAAGAGTCTCAGTAATTCTCATGAATTAGTATGTCTTTGGGTTTGGTGTTATGTAATTCCCGAACCTTGAGATACCTAGGTACATTTCAACATTAAGGATCGCTGGCCTCTATTCTAAAGGCCTTGATTTCCTCCGTATCTGCAGTCTAGCCGGTTAGAGTCGTGCTGGAATCCATAACCTACATTATATATCCATGACCTTGGCCGCCTTCCACAATACAGGGCTCCTCGGTTCATGAAACTCGCCATGACATCCATAGCAGTGGGTTAATTGCCAGAAAGATGGTATGAAGAATATGAGGAGAGGAGAGTGGGAGAGTACTTAGAGTTCAACGATAGACGCTTCAGTGGCAACAGGGAGAGCAGACCGGATACGGTAGAACAACGCTTGTTTTGAGTATCAGTTTTACACCGTAAGGTCCATGTAACTCCTCCTTGGCCAAATTATGCGAAACCAGGCAGACTCCATGCAGGAAACCATCCGAACTCCATCCGTGCAAGCCCATGATCCCATGTTCCCAAGATCGTACCCAAATCACTTATCCACCGCGGTTGCATCCCCACTAACCATCTTGCGCAGCTCGTATTCCTTGGTGAACTCTCTGCTCAGAATCTCGAGATCACTTACGAGGCTCTTGCAGCAGTTAACCAGGGCTTCCTTGGGGGTGATTTCACCGTCGGTCTGAACGCGGAGCTCGAAAGTGGCGAAGAGAGGATGGGGAACTATAGGCGTGTCAGAAATGCTAGCAATATCCTGCTGCCACACCTTGGGCTGGCTAACTCTTATATCCAGAAAAGATGACATGGGGGTCCTTGAGGAGATGAGCGCGGAGCATGTTGGCAAGCGTGTGGTCTTCCTTGTTGAATGTAAACACCGAGCTGTTTGGAGTTCCTGCGCGTATCGATTAGACGATTCCAGTGCATGCAAGATATGATGGGCAGGGGTAACATACGAGTGTCGGGGGCCTCGGTGACCTTTTTCTCGCCGTCGCCGAGCAAAAAAAGCTCGAATCTATCAATTCTGTCAGCCTGCTGCTAGCCTTGCCTTTATATAACAATTCACTGTGCCAATGGATAGCTGCATGTAGATGCTTTGTGTATGCTTGGGTCCCCCAACAGGAGGACAGAGTCCGACAGGATCCAAAAAAAAAACAACTGACCTGTCTGGCGCGTTCATCACTCCGTCTTCTCTAAAGAGACTCTGTCTATCGCTATACAGTCTGTAAGCAGGTATTCTGACAGTTAATAGAGAGGCAAACTAACGTGGGATTGAGAGAAGCGTAAGAGCGATCTCTAGCAAGGATGTCGTTGGATTGTACGCCTCTGGGAGGAGGGCTGTTACGGTCGGGTGAAGTCATTGCGACGGTTTTCGCTACAGCGCGCTAGCGGAGGCTCTGCGGGTACGCTAACGTGAATCAGGAAAGGCGTAAGTCTGTGTGGTGTCGGATGTCGGTATTACTTCGGTAATGTAATACCCGGTGGGGGGAGGCGGGGTTGGGTGGGATGTTGAAGTTCAGACGGAAGTGGAAGTGGAAGAATGGAAATGTGGTATTTAAAGAGAAGTACGTTTTCGGTTGTCGACAGGCGAACGTGAGTTGCGATTCACTTGATTGAAGTTTTTCGAACTCGAGGCAGGCTCAACTCAGTGAACTCGCTCGATTCGTCGAGTCATCGACCGGCGAACAACTTGAGCCTCAGGTCACCATCTTCCTCCACAGTACTTAAGGGACTTTACGTCGCCATCTCCTGACTTTCCTTTTCTTCTTCCTTCAACATATACTCTCCTATATATACATATCTTGTCCATTTCAGACCCATCTCACCTCGATCATCAATACAAGCATCCCAACATCCACCAACATGGCAGCTTCATCCATCCATGCCGAGACACTCCAATCCCATTATCCCTGGACCACCGCACCCCTCGTGAGCTCTGCGCCCATGCGCCTGATTACCACTGATCCTCTTGCAATCGCCGTCTCGCAGGCCGGAGGCCTGGGGTTCCTCGGCGCGGGTAGCGGCACCGACCTCGACCGCTTCGAATCCCTCCTCAAGTCCACCGCCGATGCGCTCGCTACCTCTCCACTCCCCGGAACGCCTCCTGGCGTCCTGCCCATCGGTGTCGGGTTTATCTGCTGGGGTGCTGACCTGGCCACCGCTATGCAAGCCATTCGTGAGGCGCCTCTCAAACCAGCCGCTGTATGGCTCTTCGCTCCCAAAGATACCGACGAGTTGATGGCGTGGACCCAAGGGATCCGGGATGCGAGCGACGGGAAATCCAAGATCTGGATCCAGGTCGGCACTGTCGCGGACGCGGTGCAGGTCGCTAAGGCCTGTAAGCCAGATGTCTTGGTGATTCAGGGCGCGGATGCCGGGGGCCATGGCCTTGTGCGCTCTAGCTCCATCATCTCTTTGCTGCCAGAGACCGCGGATGCCTTGGCTGCCGAGGGGCTTGGTCATATTCCTCTTGTCGCGGCGGGAGGGATTGTCGATGGGAGAGGTGTGGCTGCGGCCTCCGCGCTGGGCGCGAGTGGTGCAGCCATGGGGACGAGGTTCCTTGCCTCTCCAGAGGCGGCCATTAGCGAGGGCTATAGGAATGATGTGATTCGAGCGAAAGATGGTGGGGTGAGCACCATTCGAACGAACGTGTACGATCGACTGAGGGGTACGGAGGGATGGCCAGATCATTATAACGCACGAGGAGTGCTGAATCACAGTTTCTGGGATCATGAGAAAGGGATGCCCCACGAGGAGAACAAGAGACTGTATGAGGAGGCGTCGAAGCTGGGCGACGCGGGCTGGGGCGATCAAGGCAGAATGACGACGTATGCTGGGACTGGGGTGGGGTTGATAACGAAAACTATGCCGGCTGGGGACATTGTGAGGGAAGTCCTGAGGGATGCGGCGCAGACATTGGCAAGATTGTAAGGAAATTCGATGCATTATATTTTCTAGGTCATATGGAGGAAGTCCTGCGAGTCGGATCTCGCGGGGCAATGTTTCAAGACAGCTCCTCCTAACCGTATATAGTCCATGTATATTCTAACAATCCAAACGAACTCCGGGTATCATCGTATCTACTTCTGTCTAGCCATTCAGATACCTATCCAGATCTCATATCTATAGACTCATAGTCACCGTCATACTATTACTGTGCACCATCAGCACCGGCGGACACCCCTTGCACAACACCTCTAGATCCGCTAGGTACCCCGCCGACGCCGTCTCGCTCTTGCACGTGCCTTCCACGGGGCTGGGAAGCGTCGTGAACATGACGGCCGTCTCCGCGCTATGCTTCCTCATCAACTCGTTCAGGATCAGATGTTGAGCACGACAGGGAAGGTCATTGAAACTAAGCGGCAGTGCCTGGGTGGAATAGGTCGAGCCGGAACGCGAGGGAGCGGGAGAGGGTGGCTCAGGCGCTTCTGAGACGTGCTCTGGCAAGGTGGAGGATGGGCGGTAGGCGGAGGGCAGACGAGAGCGCCGGGTGGGGGGGGAGGGAGTGTCGCTGAACATGATGGAGGGCCCGGGTCCATCCTCAGTCGCGATTCGAGTAATAGGCACAGGCTTGCTGGAGAACTTGGGCATGGTTGCATGTTTAGAGAGCGTTGGGCGCTCTGAGCGGATGTGCGATGGGCTGTCGTTCGATGATGGTGGCTGTTTGATTGGGGTGGTCGATTCTGTGAGCGCGAGTCCTCGAGCTGGATGCTCCGGGACTTCGACTTCTCTCTCCCCGGTTGACTTCTTCGATGGGGGCGGTCCGGCCATCGAATCGCCGTGACTCTTCCGACGATGTACTCGCCTTTTCTGTGTTCCGCTCAGGGAATAATCGCTATCGGACTCAAAGTCATCTATATCTGCTTCACTCGCAACGCTCTCCGGATGATCATTTTCTGCATCCGAGCTGTCGTCTGCAATTACTGCCGAATCACTCTCCTCGTCTGAATCGCTTTCGGAGTCCTCGCTAGCACTTGCTACACTGGCGTGCCGTTTCGTTACTTGTGGGGATAGCCTATGTGTTCGCATACCCAGGTTGACACCCAACTTGGTTATTCCACTCATAGTATGTCTCCTCTTCGACTTTCTTAGCAGTCTTCGAAGGCCTAGAAAGCGCTCGGCTCTCTCTCCTCTTGGGCCTTGTTGAAATGAGGATTCAGGCCAGTTGGTTCGCGTCGTGAAAATGCTCGCTATATCCGAAAGATCCTCAGTCGCTGACCTCGCACCACGCTTTCCACGTAGTTTCTGTATTTCGTCCCACCATTCTTGTTCTTTCAGACATTCCTCCACTTCTTCTTCATGTTCCTTCCCAGGGCTGGCTCCGTTAATGATGATGTCGTATGTTGGCAACTCTCCGGATGCAAGCCAGAATACAAGGACCTCAGCTTGAATTCTTAAATTTTCAAGGAGTGCTTGCACTCTGCTTCTCTCCTCTGGCACCTCACTCTCATACTCAACGAAAACAGCAACCCGAAGTTTGTACGCCTTTTTCCATGCTGGGACGGTATTCAAAATGACGCCAAGTTGAAGTATCAACGTATCTAAGTTCAATATGAGCTGCAAATCCAACGTCGATCGAGACGAAGACTTACATGTATCAAAATTTGTTGTCAAGACATTTTGCTTATGATTTCCCTCAGCAGCAATCTCTGCAGACATCTGAATTGGCCAAAGATCGATATATTTCTTGGTAAGCTCGCCATCATGTGGAAACTCTAGGGATTGGAATCCCTTTGCAACGGCAACATTGATCTGTAGTCGCAAAAGCAAATCCTCGAGAATTGTAACGTAACTCGTGACGCTCGTCATACCCTCTGTCTTGCAAAAATCGGTGGGCAATTGACCCTCGAGTTTTACATCCTTACTATCGCGCCGAATTCGTTGTCGGTTTTGACTCCCCGCCAATGTATTCGACTGATTTGGTGACGGGGTTGTTTCCGGGACATCAATAAGTGGCTTGCTTCTGCGCAACTCATCCAGATTGTAGAAACCTAAGACTGCAATGTTCGGTCTCATTCCCCCAAGTCCAGCACTCAAAACAACATTCCTTGCACCCCATTCAAGGCCGGGGGAGATGGCAATGTTCACAAATGCCTTAATTTTCGAGAAGTCGATATATTTCGTCCAGGCTGCTTGCTGTCTACGGGCTTCAGGTACTGACCCGCCAAAGTCATCTGTTACGATGACGTGGCCGAGGATATACAGCCCTCCTTTCTTCATAGAATTGCAGAACTGGATGAGCTTGTATTGCCGTCGTGGATCGTTGACGAATAATAATATCTGGGGACGCCAGAATTTGACATGCTCCTGCTTTAATCGAAGCAGATACTTGCGAACTTGGTGGTAGATCAAACTCTGGGAGACATCGCCCCAACTCTTGGGCGGACTGGTATAATGGATTATAAGAAAGATGGCGATAAGTATGCCCACGCAGCCAGTAGCATACAAGCCATCGACGAAGAACATCGCAGCTCCAGACACGATAGTTCCAACGAGAGCGGTCTGCCAATTGAAAAACTGGAATGAAGGGCGGAAATTTGGCGCCGAGCTTATCTTCAGCAAAAAACAAGCCAGGTTCATAACAAGAAAGGTCATCTAAAACCATATTAGTTATTGATTAATCCCGGCTTGGTAGTCGATCAGCCAGATCCCTTCTGGCGCTAAGACTGTCTATACTGCGTATAAGTGTACTCACAAGATAAGTCATGGTGACAAAAGACGCAATCTGATTGAGATCGCAGAGCATTGTGATCTGTGCCACAATAAAAGTCGCAATAATCGCATATGTAGGTTCGTCACCTTTCTTGGTTCCTTGACCGAAGATTGAGAATCCAGGCAGAAGATTGTCTCTTGCAAGTGCTTGCAAAAGTTTGGCTGACCCGATGACGCCCATCAATGTGGAGAAGAAGGAGCTGGCAAACTCTCCCGCGAGAATGACAACGCCGGAAATGTTGGTCTCCTGGATAACATTGGCATTTCTGACGAAAGACGCTCTAGTGATGGTCGCAGCCATAGCCAAAATAACCAGAGTATACAAGACGAATGTAGTAGCAAGTCCGTAAAGAGTCCCTTTGGGTATCGATTTGCTGGGGTTTCTCAGATCGCCTGACATACTAGCCCCTGCGAATATACCGCCTGTTGCTGGAAATAGAATACCGAATAGATCTTGGAACGTCTCCTTTCCATTGAGTTGACTCCCTGCCGCGCCTCTCGTAAGCTGAGGCTTCAAGTTGCCAATAAAGGTCTGCATGCTCAATCCAGTGTACTCGATCCCTAGTTCTCTGCTCTCGAAAGGCGACATGACTAGAGCGGAAAATGGAATGCTCAGGGTAGCAATTAAAAGTATAACCAATAGCCCATTACTCGCACGGGCGAACAAGGAGGAGCCAGCAAGACAAATTGCCGTACACAACGCGAGGACCACCGTAGACCAGAGATAAAGGTGCCATGATGATTCGGGTAGCACATGTGCCCAGTTTCCGGATATAGCCCCAAAATTCAACTTGAAGCAGTCGATCAGGCCTACAGCGTTCATTCCAGTGTTGAAAGCGAAGCCCAGATAGAAGACCACTCCTATCGCTCCTCCGAATTCTGGGCCCAGGGATCTCGAAATAAGGTAATAAGCTCCGCCACCTCGAACAGTCCCGTTGGATGCAATCGCAGATAGGGAGAACGTGGTGATGAGATTTATTGCGTATGAAGCAACTAGCATACCCATGATCCCAAGCACTCCTCCCTGACCTAAGAAATTTGTCAACATGGGCTCAAAGGGGGCGATTCATAGTATCAAGGTAACGGTAGCGGCAGAACTGACCCAGGATAAAGCCAAACCGCAAGAACATGAGAATGCTGAGAACATTGAGACATGTTGGGACATATACACCTGAGAACATGCCCAGCTTCTCAGCACCCCCAATTGGTCGAGGACCAAGGCCTCGCTTTGGGGTTGAGTGGTCTCCATCGGCCTTCTTGCTCTGCGCCGCATTGTGCATTTGTGCAGTCAATGAGTTCGTCCCCACGATTCCTGAATATCTCCTCCTGGTTATATTCGGCGACCCATCTCGGTTTTCGTCTTGGCGTAGATGGAAAAGATGTCTGGTAAGGGACTGTTCTCGCGGAGGAGGCGTGGAGTCGTTTGTCACCGGCTGATATGGGTTTGCTGCTTCATATTCTGCGCCCATCGAGGGCTGTCCCTCCAACGCCCTCGCATCGCCCCTCGCGGTTCGAGCTTGAAAACTGGCATCTTGGCTTTGCATATTAATGCTCCAATTCAGTCCATACTCTTCGAGTGGGAATAGGGAGTGTGCAGCGTCGAAATGGTAGAGTGTCCGGGATTCCTCCAAAAATATCGCAGCAGAGAAACGAAGTTATCCAGGGCTCCAAATCCAGATAACGATAATAGTCACTTGGGTCACTAGTCTAGACACGAATCGTGTACCTGATTCGAGCCGAGACAGACGAAGCGGAAGGCAAGAAGAAAATAAAATATATAGGAGTAACAGCTGAGAACACCATAGTGGTGTTGGAGTTGTTGATCGTGTCAAAGGAAGAGGGTAAATCCATAAATACAGCTTGTTCTAGGCCTCTTATGCGCCATGAACGTCATGCGGGAAATCTTCGGCTCAGAAAGTAGAACACGGCCAGTCTCTTTGACGCCATCGGTACGTAAGGTATATGTACAGGATATAAAAGAACACAGTACACAGGTAACAAAAGTCCAATAGAACTCGACAAAAACTGCAATAGAGCATGAAGCGGCTCGGCGCGACGGGAAAAAGCTTTCGCCGCCCAGGGAAGACATTTTCAAGATGTACGCCTCTGATATGTATGCCTCAGGCATAAGTGAGGCCGCGTGCGGCAATGAATCGGGGTCTGAGGATCTTGAAGGTTGTGGGACTCGCTCGACTCTGAACCATGGACCGAAGTAACTATTGCTATACGGACTATACTCCACCCCGGAGGGACCGTCGCAGCTGATCTCGGCTTCGTACAGTTAAGGTACCTTGACAAGTCGCAGCAGATAACACTCTTCCACTCGTCCTCCTCTTCCGCCGTCCCTTCTGCCACTGCCATTCTCTTGCGGCCACTCTACATCTGCTGTGTCTGTCTTCCTGATAAGATAGCCCACAGCCAGTCAGTAAGTATTCGCCGGCTTCAGTCTACGATTCCTGTTCTCGACTTATTAGCGCGCTGACTTACACCTGCAGACGCCTCGTCCCCTTATCTCTCTTCTGCAACCTCGATCCTGCACGAGTGGACACAGTGTTTTGGTGGTCAACTAGAGATCCCAGGCGGATAAAACCATGAGATAAGGCCATCAATACTTCCAACGTCCATGTCCAACGGCAACACCGTGATTCTTGCACAAAGCTAAGACCGCCATGTCGACTCCTCAGGATGGCGCATCCTCTTCTCGACCTCTGCCAGTACCGATGGCTTCCTCCCCAGGTTCCAATAGAGGCCGAAGCTCACCAGGTAGTGGCTCACGCGCTGCTTCGACAGCTCGATTAGCAGCTTCTCCGGCCCCTTCGCATTTTGGCACTTCTCCATCCCGCCAACCGCCCACCCCAGGTCAAGCATCCGCGACTGGATCGGATTCCAACCCTCTGCCTCCCCTTGCCGGCCCTGCCAACTCATCGCAACCTGGGCCGGGTATCTCTGCACTTGCCGCGGCTTTATCAGCATCTATCGGCCAGTCGCCGCCTAAGTTCGGCACGCCTCCTCTCAGGTCTCAGTCACCAAGCACAACTGCTCTTCAAACGCAGCCTTCTGGCCCGCAGAGCAACTATGGATCTTTTGATACGAAAGGGCGCTACATACAGGGCACCCCGGGATGGACCGGTCCGAATACCTTCGAGGACCCAGAGATTGTGAAGAGACATCTTGTGCAACCTTCAGAGATATCATTGTAAGGCTGACACCCCCCATACTGATGGGTCCAAGATCTCTGGCCATCTGTTTTCTGCCCTTGTCAGATTTATGGCAGTTGGATAATCCTTCACTTCTGAGAAATGGGCTGACTCGATCTTTTAGGCCAATGGGGAATGACGCAACGCAAGATGGGGTACTTGGAAATAACCTGTCAATTCGCGGTGGTTCCCCTGCCGGTAGAGGCAAACAGGTCCTCGATAATTTCGCTCCTGGTCTGGACGACGACGAGTTTTCAAGTCTGCGACTGCAAGGCGGAGATGTTACACGACCAATATATAAGTGGACGGAAGATGCACAGGGTAGAGGGCGGACTCGAAGAAGCAAGAGTTTCCACCTGTCCAGGCCAGAGCCAGAGGACGAGGTCTTAGATATTGGGTCGATAAAGGTGCCTGGTGGATTTCGCCGCAATTACCTTCGACGAGCCGTCGGAAGCCCATCTCCTGCTGATGGAGATCTTGAGGAGGGGGCTGGGAACCGAGGACCCGCAAAACCGAAGATGCTCACAAACAACTTCATCGAATTCCTGACTTTATATGGCCATTTTGCTGGCGAAGAGCTTGAGGAAGATGACGAAGTCCTTGAACCAGACGAATACTTCTCATCTGGTGTATATCCTAGTGAGGAAGTAAGTGAAGAGGAGCGAGAGCCTATGGAGGATAGTGCACTACTCGCTCCTACTTTAAAGAAAAGGAAGCGTAAGGAACGCCATCCTACTGGTACCAATAGCCCTACAGGAGCTGCCTTGTTGTTACTCAAATCCTTCGTTGGTACAGGAGTTCTCTTCCTACCAAAAGCATATCTCAACGGTGGCATGCTTTTTAGCAATGTCGTGCTGTTGTTTGTCGCGGTTCTCAGTTACTACTGTTTTGTTCTGCTGGTCAATACCCGTTTAAGAGTTGAAGGCTCATTCGGTGACATTGGGGGCGTTCTTTATGGGAAATGGATGCGAGGGATAATACTGTCATCAATAGTGGTCAGTCAAATTGGCTTCGTGGCCGCCTACATTGTCTTCACATCCGAGAACCTGCAAGCATTCATTCTCGCAGTCTCTGATTGCAAGACGCGCATCCCGATCCCATATCTGATCTTGATGCAAATGGCAGTCTTCCTACCATTTTCGCTATTAAGAGATATCACTAAACTCGGCTTTACGGCTCTGATTGCGGATGCTTTCATCCTCATTGGATTGGCCTATCTTTATTACTACGATATCCTCACGATCGTGAGACAGCATGGCGTTGCTGATATTGTCAACTTCAATCCCAAGGATTGGACTTTGTTTATCGGAACTGCTATATTCACCTTTGAAGGAATCGGTTTGATCATTCCCATCCAGGAGTCGATGAAGAATCCGAAGAAATTTCCTCCGGTCCTTGGTATAGTGATGGTTATTATCACTGTGGTCTTCATCTCTATGGGGGCTCTGTCCTACGCTGCCTACGGTTCTGCTACCGAAACTGTTGTCATCCTCAACATGCCTCAAGACGATAAGCTCGTCAATGGCGTACAGTTCCTTTACTCTGTGGCGATCCTCCTCTCAACACCTCTGCAGATCTTTCCGGCAATCAGGATTACAGAGAATGAGCTGTTCACCAAAAGTGGGAAATACAACCCGTATATCAAATGGCAAAAGAATGTTTTTCGATTCTTTGTCGTCATGCTCTGTGCTGGAATTGCGTGGTTTGGCGCAAACGATCTGGATAAATTTGTCTCGCTAGTAGGCAGCTTTGCCTGCGTGCCCCTCGTATACATCTATCCGGTATGATATCCTATTTCTCTATGGAACACCATATGCTGACGTATAATAGCCGATGCTGCATTACAGAGGAGTTGCGAAGAATGTAGCATGGAAGGCAGCAGACGTGCTCCTATGCATTTTTGGTTTTATCGTAATGGCATACACAACGTCACTTACGATAATTAGCTGGGCTAGTGGAAACGAAGAGCCCAGCCTACCAAGCTATTGTGATAAGAAGAAGGCGCACCTGGTCTTCTAGCTTACTCCTTTGTTCTAAAGCGAGGTAGTAATCAAAATCAGGCCAAAGGAGGATTTCCTTCAACCGACTGTCCGAGCCAGGATGAGGAACGGGTTTTCATTTGTTTGTAGATTTGTTTTCTGCATAGCGTGTGTTCATAATTCCCTTTTTCCTTGGCCAAGATAGAGGCCAGTTATGAGATGATAACGTTGTTTGGGCATTAGAGTAGAGGTTGATTCTGTTTTGGATATATGTTAGTTTACGGGATCCTGGCGTCTTTCTCATGGACACTGCTACTCGTACTCATTCTAAATTGTTGGTTCCAAATTCAAATCAGAATTACAGCCTTTCGCTTCCTTGACTAAGTATTGAAGTGATCCTAAACATATGAGATAATGGAAAAATGGTATACTGCCAATAACATAGGAATCCGGTCTGTCCTTGTTACCCCTACCTCTGTAGATACGTTTGGTTCTCTCGACACTTCCTTCTACTGACCCTTGCCAGAAAAGCTCAACTCCTACTGTGAGCTTAAACAGACATCTTTTACCTTTTATCACACTCCTATTTTTAACCTTTGTTCGAGGTCCTAACATCATATACTTAACATACATCCTTCATCGATATTCGCGTGCCTGGGGCTTGCTGTTTGCCATTGTTTCACAGAAAGGGGAGTTCTGTCACGTGCCACTACTATACGCGATACGCGAAGACGCGTCGACCTCAAATTCGACAAATGAGCAACGAAAATAGTCACCTACAACACTAGGAAGAACGACGCCGAAGATGGCCATACCAGTGGAAGAAGGCAGTCTCCTGCATGCACCGTCGTAAGTCACCACTGCTGTATAAGGTACCTGTTATCCATGCAAACTGACAACTCTCAGGGATTCCAAATACACGTCCCTGACTCGGCAGTCCTCCCTGTACAAACCGCTTGAAACGTACGCGCTCGACAAAGAGAAGCATTACCAGCAGCAATATGGAGACATGTATTTCCTTCGATTAGCAAAGCTGAAGCCTGCTGTGGAGCGTATCGCTGCTGAAGCGTGGGATGGATTTCAGATTGCGGGGGAGACGGTGGAGAGGGTCGACAGGGTGCTTGATGTGAGGCAGGGCAAGTTATGCTGGGTTGCGGGGACCATATATATGGATATGCCACTAAAACCGAATATTCTGGATGATATTTCGAAGGATGTGAGTTGTTATTCGAGTGCTGAAGAAGAGTAGCACTGATATGGGTGCAGCACTGGACTACAGTACCACCGCCACGAGAAAAGTATGTGTCGCCGTCTGGGGAGGACCTGACAATGTTGGAAGATGAATCAGGACGAATACGGCTGATTGGAACACCATTGTCTCGCGAAATGCTTGTTACGGGATGCATCATTGCTGTCATGGGAACTGAGAATGCCGACGGTGAATTTGAAGTTGTGGACATCAGAGTGCCGGATCTCCCCCCTCAGTTGGAACGTTGGCACACATCAGACGCGTCAGCCGCTAATGGAGTGAAAACGAAGAAAGCAAAAGCCGAAGACGAGGACGTGGAAATGGATACGCCTGCTCCTGCTCCGGGGGGCGGTAAGAAAATTGCTATTGTCTCGGGTCTAGGCTTTTCTGGCACAAATGCAGAAAACTCTCTGGAGATCGATCTTCTAACGGAGTACCTGCTCGGAGAAGCACTAGATCCAGCGATGCAAGAAAGTGCCTCCCAGATCAGCAGGCTTATAATAGCTGGCAATTCCATAGCCTCGGACGGCGAAGCCGTATCGCACGATACTATAGGCAACAACCGGAAATCACAGAAGAAATATGGATATGATAGCAGCGCCTACAATCCTGCGCCTATAGCACATCTCGACAATTTCCTAGCGAGTATACTGCCAAGTATGCCAGTTACGTTGATCCCCGGCGCTACTGATCCAGCAAATGCCAGCTTCCCTCAGCAGCCGATACATCCTGCTATGTTCCCACATGCCAGAGCGTACGGATCCATCCCCCCTAGTGCCGGGGAAGAGAAACAGCCAGGATGGTTTGATGCGGTTACAAATCCCTTCGATGGTGAGATTGAGGGCTGGAAGGTGCTTGGCACGGGTGGACAAAATGTTGATGATGTGTTCAAATATGTCGAGAGCGAGGACAGGTTAGGTTTGATGGAAGCCATGTGCAGATGGCGGTGTTGTGCGCCCACAGCTCCCGATACTTTATGTGAGTTCATTCCTATAAGCCTGTTTCTGATTTGCTCCTTCTATTTTCTCTTTTGTTTACTTCCTATTTACCAAAAAGGCACCATAACTGACCAAGTCCAGGGAGCTATCCATTCCAAGATGATGACCCCTTTGTTCTAAACTCCTGCCCACATCTGTTCTTTGTGGGTTCTCAGCCTAAATTCGATACGGCATCCATTGAGGGCCCTGATGGCCAAACAGTTCGATTAATCGCGGTTCCTCGATTCGCGGAAACCGGGGAAATTGTCCTGGTGGATTCGGATACCTTGGAGACTTCTGTCGTTAGATTCGCTGTCTCCAGATAGAATCCAAAGTCCTATATTGCCAAGATCACGTTTCAAATACTTGCCTCACCGTTTTAATCTCAAATTAGCGGCCCAGAGTGCGCGAGTTTCGGTCGGAAATGAGTCTTTCACCCAACACGCCCATCTCTTACGATCTTACCGGAAGGCGCTCGTTTCCGTCGCGGAGGTGAGACGAACCAGAGGGGTTTCCTGCTCTTGTTTCTAGTATCTCTTCGTGGATTGCGTATAGGTCCTCGTGGCTGGTCAAAATGCGCGCTGCGAAATGTGGACTTAGCCAACCCTTGTTCTTCGCTTTGGCTTTGGCTTCCACAGTCATACAAACCAATCAATTCATCTAGAGCATATAAAAACCGGCTGGCTGTGGAGTCAATATGTGTAGGAGACCAATCCAGCATTTTCTCGAAGCCCTCGTCTTCAGTCAACGCTAGGTCAAGAATGTTTACGCTGTGCCTTCTAGGAAGTTCAATCCACGGCACATAGACAGCCAGCGTGCGCATGATAACTCTCGTGCGGGCCAGATACGTGGCCAAGTCATGGATGACCAAGCCCTGGCGGAACCCCTCATAAACATCTTGGCCCCAACTCCCTGATCCAACGAGCGCGGTCGATGCGGAACACCTCGTCCAGACTGGTGTGGTCCAGGAGCTGCTCCATGGATCAGTGATTGGCTCCAAGCTTGGAGCGACAGCCGGGGCAGTCGTGATCTTTCCCTGGGACAGCCACTACGGGTTCTCAATCAGCACGGGCACGGCTTCTTTACAAGAGCTAGCTAGCTCTTGAGGTGCAGTTCTATCTTCGAAAATGGAAAGTGGGAAGGAGTCAGAATATACATACGACACGCAGACAATTAGTGCCAAAATATGCCCGCACGACGTATGCACCGCGGCATGCGTCTTGCATGTCTTGCCCTCCCTGTAGTTCTCAAGGGCCTCGAAGCAGATCGAGCAGCATCGGTCCTCAGCAGGCTGTGTCGCTGGGTCCAGTGTCTTGCTGGTTATGTGCTGGAGTGGGTCAACGTAACCTTCTAGGAGCCATAGCTTTGAGTACACGGCGGCAGCGACGGAGTCGTCGAATGCCTGCACGCCTTGCTGGATTTCTTCCAATAGAGTGTGTTTTCCGTACCGAGAGAAAGAAGATATAGCTCGGGCTGCCGCAATGACCATGATTGTGGAATCCGTTGTGACTTGGTTGTAAATAGTGATGTGAAATGGGGATTGGTATGTTTGATGTCTTTGCTTCTGTCGCTTGGGGTGTGCAAAGAATCCTCGAAGTCGTAGTGTGTAAATAAGACAAAAGGCAAATAACGTAGTATACACATTCCACCGTATCCGAAAAATAAAGAAATAAAGCTTGCAGCTTGCGCGACTCTAATAACGTGGCCGTAAGTATCAATATGACTATTTTCAAATTCAGTCGACGACTCCCCAGAACCCGAGATCACTTTCTATATAGGTATGAAAATCCTCAAGCAACCGTTCCAGTTCCCAAGCCGCGCTCCTAGACTTCTAGCACCTCCCGACTAGCTCCCAAGGTTGGCTTGTTGAGTGAGGCAGACATGGGGGTTTGTGTTGGAGAAACCAAGAAGACCCTTTCTTATCTTGTTGTACTGCGTGAATTTTTTTTTGGGAAAGAGGGGGGGGGGGGGGGTCTTTTATTTTACTACGATGCAGAAAATATATAAGGTAGTTACGGAATGGTCAGGATGGAAAAGCACAATACTGTATATTTTTGAGAGGCGTATGATCATGTTTCAATGATTGAGAGAATTTCGACGTTATAAAAGTGCTTCTCAGGTTAAGTTAATGCTTGCATACACCGAGAAAGGAAGTAAAAATAAAAGTAAAACCATCGCAGTCTATAAGAGAAAAAACCCCCGAGAAATCCTTTGAGCGACAGAAGAGGCATGGTAAGTCCAGGTTGGAAAGGTAAGGGGTCCAGATGCTGCCAGCTAATAATGTAAATTTACTGTTGGGCAGCATAAGGAGCGATTCTACTTCCTTATTACCAAAGACATACCATCAGTAATTCTCTCATCATCAGCAAGCTCGCGACATAGGCCCTCCCTAATCGCTCCCTCACAATCCTTATATATCTCTTCGAATACCTGCTTCAAACCCTGCAGTTTCCGTTCGACAGACCGGGCTTTCTCACGCGCAATAGCAACGGTCTCCTTGTTTGCAAGTGGGCCTTCCTCTAGCATTCCAGCCTGGGAATATCTCAGATCGACTGAGATGAGCACGCGCTTCATGCCAGCGGGGCGTTCGACACCATCAGTCTGAACAGTGAGGTACTTCCTCATGACGATGTTGAGGACGCGGCAGTTGAGTTTGCGGATGGCGCCCATGAGCGGTCCGGGGAACCAGAAGAAGTCTGCAAAATGAAGCGGGCTTACTTCCATGCCGATCGCGGTGGTGGAAATGCCAATTCCGCGGCTGGGGGTCATCACTAGGGTGAGAGTGCTCAGGATGGGTTTGGCGTCGGCCAGCTTGCTGATTGAGACGGCGGCCTTCTCGTGCCAGTCTAGGTTCCAACTGTCCATTGGGCAGCTTATGACCACATTACGGAAGAGGGGAAGAAATTTGGCGTCAAGAGAAAATGCCTTATCGAACATGTCTGATTTGCGAGGGGTCCGGAGCATCATAAGAAAATTGTTGTTCTTGTAGATAAATTTCGATGCCTCCTGGCTAAGCTGCTTGCAGACGTATAGGATGGCGGTATGTTTCAGGGCGTGGCTTTCCACTGTTTCCCAGTCGGGCCCCGTCACGATTGGCTTCTCGTCGACGAGAAGGAATCCATAGATCTTCTCTCTTACCTCCAAAGGAACTCCAAGAAGAGGGGAGCGATCAGGGCTATTTTGGATGACCATAGTAGGATCTGCTTCTTCCCAGCCCATTCCAAACATTGCGTCAAAGTTACCCCTGGTGAGATAGTTCCGGAATCTTGATGTCTTGCCCTTCTTCCTGATGGGCGAAATCGGTCCAGTCTTGGTCTTTCCCCATGTACCGTGGCTCTCTGAGTTTTTGCCCATCAGTGCCACGAAATATTCTTCATGATTCTCCTCATTCTCGAGATTTTGAAGGCTGACCATGGAGAGAGTAGGAGCTCGACGTTTCCGATCAGCGAGTGATGTGTAACTGCAAACGAATTTAGATTGTGGTGTCATAGCTTCTCTTTCTCGAGGGTTGGCCGTTAGTGCTGAAGTAATGACATTGCGTTTTCGGGGTGCCATTCTGGAAGCCTGTAGAAGATGTAAGCAATAAGTCAAAGCCAATATTATGGTAGCTTGAGAGTAGAAGGTCGTTGCAGTTGAGCATTGACAGCCCATTCATGAATAGATAGTATCGGTTTGGTGAGGAAGGGGAAGCATTTGAAATCCTGAGGATCAAGATGAACAAGACCTACTGACAAGAGGTGAATACTGCAGTACTTTCTTCGGAAGTAGGTGAGAGGAAGTTGCCTCTGGACAGTGAAGTTCAGTCTTGGAGCAGATGGTCTTCCGACAAAAAGGGGTTAGCGAGAAGCTCTCGCCAGAAGAAGTAACAGGGGTTAGGTAAAAAGACGTTGCCTCTTGACACTGAAATCGAGAACTATGAGGTATGATTCCTGAGAGGCTTTCGTCGTAAGATGAGGAGAATTTGCCTCCAGGTAGTGAAATTGAGAATCATAAAGTTGCTGATAAAAAGCTTTCTTTAGAAGAATATAGAAGGTGACGAGAAGGTGTCTAGTGACTTTGAAATAGACAGTCTACTGACCGAAAATGGTTATTAGAGGCTCTTATTGGGAGGTGAGGTGAAGTTCTCTTCAGATAATGGAGTTGAGACGGAGTTGAGATGTAGCTATGAAATCAAGAAGTATCAAGTGGAGATTACTGGCCCCTGGTGATTTCAGACACAATATTCACCCCAAAGCTGGGGATTATATGCACTATTTTCACTTGAATTGCCACTGGCAAACAGTGGAACTTGGTAGACAAGTGAGCCCTGTTGTTGAGCGACCCTCTCTGCGTTGTTGAAGCCCAGCAAGTTGTGGATGATTCCAAAGGGAAAGACAAACGTCAGTATGAATATGAACTAAATTGCAAAGGCAAGTGAACCTTGAGAGCCAAACATCCCCACAAGTGTGAAAGATTTTATAGGTACACGACAGTTGCCCTCTGAAGCTGTTTGCTTCTGTTCAACTTCAACTTCACATTGCTATGAGCCTATGAGGATTCGAGAGAAGGTGGTCTTCAGCTCCAAAGGACGTTATACTCATATCCCCTTCATCCATGTTGACTAGAGTGTCTCCAAGAAATAGTTGTGAAAGCTTTAACCCGGTTTCAAGCGATCTTTCGATTGAGGAATCCCAAGTAGGAGAGGCTATGCCGCTGTTGATATTTACAGATACAGAGGTGGTTTTCGCCGGGTATTTATCGGCAACGTTGAAGGATCGGGACTCGGATATCAGGCGCCGATGTGGCTCAGGAACCCTCCAATCAGGTGCTGCGCTGTACCCTGTGTACATTCCTACAGCTTTCCTACCTTATTACCTACCTAAGTCCTACAAATAAACTCAGCCGCTCAACTGCTCAGCATTCGCGGGAGAAGATTATTGTACGACCGTCAGCAACAAAGGCTTTCTTCACTCTTTTAGAAACGACGCAGCACTCTCTTTACTATCGCGCTCTTACTCGTTCTCTTCCTCTTCCTCTTCTCCCTCCTCCCCTCTTTCCCAGGAGCATGCGCATCGTGCAATGACAAGCAGTTCGACCCGACGGTCACTTGGCGGAACCCCCGAAAAGACGAAAGTATATTCGACATCTGGCTCCAGTGCAACTTCTCCGCAGATCAGGACTCCTTCTGACACCAGTCCGTCATCCTCTCTCTCCTTCGATATGCCTCCCCGCACCAAGGGCCCGGAAACGGTTGGTAGAGTCACTGGGGACATGGAACGTACACATCTCAATGGTACAAGGCAGGGTAGGATAGGAAGGACGGGCTCGCCTTTGAGTCGAAAACAGTCGAGCCCTATGATGCCGGCTTTCATGGTTTCCGCTCCAGGCAAAGTCATTGTGTTTGGGGAACATGCGGTCGTCCACGGCAAGGTGCATCATACATAGCAACCCATCTATCTGCTCTCTGCTGCATGTGGCTAACAGTTACATGAACCCAGGCGGCAATTGCAGCATCGGTCTCTCTTCGATCATATCTACTCGTCACAGCGCTTTCGAAATCCAAACGAATCATATCTCTGCGGTTTCCTGATATTAATCTCTCACATACCTGGAACATCGATGATCTCCCTTGGGCCGCGTTCTCTGCTCCTGGAAAGAAAAAGTATTACTATGATCTTGTCACTTCTCTCGACCCTGAGCTCGTAGCAGCTCTGAAACCTCACCTGGTAAATATATCTCCGGATGCGCCTGACGATGTGCGAAAGGTCCATCAAAATTCAGCTTCGGCGTTTCTATATTTACTCTTGTCCTTGGGGTCTCAAAGTTTCCCAGGTTGCTTATATACTCTGCGCTCTACAATACCAATTGGCGCGGGGCTGGGCAGTAGTGCTTCTATTGCTGTCTGCCTTGCAGCTGCTCTTTTACTTCAAATCCGTACACTTTCTGGACCGCATCCTGATCAACCGGCCGATGAAGCACGATTACAGGTTGAACGCATCAATCGATGGGCTTTTGTGGGAGAAATGTGTATACATGGGAATCCCTCAGGCGTTGATAATACCGTTGCTACTCAAGGCAAAGGTGTCGTTTTCCAGAGAACCGATTACACTAAACCACCCAAGGTGAAGCCATTGTGGAACTTCCCAGAATTACCCCTCCTCCTTGTGGACACCAAGCAACCGAAATCTACTGCAGCAGAGGTTGCGAAGGTTGGGGCGTTGAAGAAAAAGCATCCCCAGATTACAGATTCCATCCTGGAGGCGATAGACAAAGTTAGCGAAGGAGCAGCGGAAATGATCACGCGGGATGATTTCGACCCTGAAGACCTATCAAGTTTGGAAGATTTGGGTAAACTGATGACGATTAATCATGGGCTGCTGGTCGCTCTGGGCGTGTCGCATCCAAGGCTAGAAAGGATACGGGAGCTAGTTGACCATGAAGGCATTGGCTGGACCAAACTCACTGGCGCTGGAGGAGGTGGCTGCGCAATCACTCTTCTCAAGCCCGGCGTCTCTCATGAGCAGATGAAACATCTGGAGGACACGCTAGATGAAGAAGGCTACGAGAGATTTGAGACCACATTAGGTTGCGATGGAGTGGGAGTGCTTTGGCCCGCCGTTCTTAAGAATGGAGCCGAGGACGAATTAGGAGGTGATGAGATCGATCAAGACAAGTTCTTGAACGCCGATGGGATTGAAGGGGTTGAAGAGCTGGTTGGCGTCAGTGGGGAGAACGGAGATCGCGAGGCGTGGAAGTTTTGGAGGGTAGAAGATTAATTGCTGGCAACAGCATTGGAACAGGAACAGGAACAGGAACAGGCATATGTAATTCCCCACTATTCGCTTCTATGTACCAAGAGGGGGAGTAGACTTAACCAGTAATGCACTCTATAATCCCTTGAGAGACGCAAGGGTTTCTTCGTATTGTTCCTGCAAGGACTCCTTGATATTGTTCGTACGCGAGGCTGACATTCCTCGGAATTTCCAACCCAAGCCTTTCACCCAACCCCGCCATAAAACCCGAGCCATGGCTCCCAAACCCAAGACTGCAGACCCGCAACCCAAGGCTCCGTCCGCGCCTATAGAATGTAAGTAGATCCCGATCACTAACCCGCGCAGCTCTTCCCAGGAATCGCCGGGACTGCAGTGGAAAGTCGGTTAACGGCGCAATCAACGAGCAGACCATACGATCGGGGCGCAACTCGAAGCCGAATACCTAGCCTCCCGGCCCTACCAAGTGCTGAACGAGACGAAGGGTCTCTCTGGCATGACGGCGGGCGAGAAGACGGCCTACACATACTCGCGCTTCTTAGAGACGGGCGCGTGGAAGAGCCTCAGCGAGGCGCAGCAGAAGGAGTTCTGGAAGGCTGTGAAAGAGCAAAAGATCCCAGAGCCGCTGCCGAAACCGAGGCCATTGGGGAAGGACCGGAGAGGGCGAGAGCTGGAGACGTATACCCCGGAGGAATACAGAGCGTATCGGCAGAGGGAGGCAGAGCTTGGGATATTTGAGAGGGAAAGCGACGAGTTCCGCATCCGGAGGGAACGCTTGAGGAGCGAGAAGAGGGAAGACGACATCTCTGGGGAGATAGAAGAGGAGAGGAATAGGCGGATTGTTATTGGGAAGTTAAGAGGCAGGGCTATGGGGAAATACGAGGGCAACCCGGTGTGGGATGATGTGGTGCCTATCCCGCAAGATGACGGCGAAGGAGCGTTGGCACAGATCGCCTACACAGATGAGTATGCCGAAGGTATGTCAATATACGCGGTTTGTGTTCTGGGTCATGTTTGATTGACGAGCTTCCGCAGCGATGGGATATCTCCGTGCCATCATGGCCGCGAAGGAATACTCCCCTAGAGTTCTCGACCTCACGGAACATATCATATCTATGAACGCAGCCCACTACACCGTGTGGCTGTACCGCGCATCCACGCTCCGCGCCCTGAATACGCCCATCGACAAAGAGCTCTCATGGATGAATGAAGTTGCACTCCAGAACCAAAAGAACTACCAGATCTGGCACCACCGCCAGATCCTGATCGACCAATTATACCCCAGCATCTCCTCCGATCCAGCTGCCATCCAAGCCCTTGCCGACTCCGAGTTAGCATTCATGACCCAGATGTTCGACGAGGACTCAAAGAACTACCACGTCTGGAGTTACCGGCAGTACCTGGTGCGCAAACTCGGCCTCTTCAATTCCCCGGCAGAGTTGAAGTCCGTCGAGAATCTCCTACGGAAAGATATCAGGAACAACTCAGCCTGGTCGCACCGCTTCTTCCTCGTCTTCTGCAACCCGGAGTATTCAACGCCTGATAGCAAGGCCACAGAATATGACGCCCGGATTCCGGACGCCATCGTCGATCGCGAGCTCGCGTTCGCACAGGCGGCTACTTTCGAGGCGCCACAGAACCAGAGCCCGTGGAACTACATCCGAGGGGTGCTGAGGAAGGGAGGCAGGAAGCTAAGTAGCGTGGAGCAGTTCGCTGGGGAGTTCGTCACGCTTCCCGAGGACGATTCGGCGGAGGATGTGAAGAGTAGCCATGCGCTGGATTTCCTGGCAGAGGCATGGAGTGAAGAGGGGAAGACGGAGAAAGCGGATCACGCGTTGAGACTGTTAGCAGACAAGTACGACAGGATCCGGAAGAATTACTGGGATTGGAGGCGTGCGCCGTTGAAGGAGAAGACGAGTAAGTAGCCGCTGGGGAATGGAGATATATCTACAGTCGTTCCCGCTGGCTGGTGCAGTTTCACCATATTTCACGAATTGAATCACCAAAAGTAGGACTTTGATCCCAATGCATTAGAAGACTTGACAGAAGCAAGAAAAAGAAGACGCAGAGCTCCGCCCACATCTCAACTAAGCTTCTCTCTCTTTCTTTCTCTCGATCATCATCAGCGTCAGATCCTCAGATCAACACGCCTCGGTACTGGTGTTCCAGATGACATCAGCGCGCACATCGACCAGGGTCCGTCGACCAGCCAGGATCATCTTGGCCAGCATCAATGATCTCATCGCGATGAAGCGCTCAAGTGCCAGCTTTGTTTGTTGTTTCTTCGTCCTTGCCACTGGCTCTTCTTGATTCCTATGTCTTGTTTTTCCTTTTCCTTCCTGTTGTACAGCATTCGTTCTCTGCAGTTGGCGATTCATGGTTTGTTTTATATCCTACGGTGTAAGGCATGATGCTTGACACACAGCCATATTTAATATCTTTCCAGATCCCCTTTTCTCCCCTTTCTCCCCTTTCTTCTCTTTTCATCCAAACAAACCAGGAAAGATAAAGTTTTCAAGTTCCGTACCAAATACACTCACTACACTTCTTACCTACATTACCTACATTACATAAATATATTTCTCTCCCGCTCGCTATCTCTTCCCAACCTTCCTCTGTCCCCAGCCCCCCGCCCAACCCAGCCATGGTCCTCCAGAACCTGCAGCATATCCTCCTGGACGGGCCGCTCCCTGATGTGCGCCCATCCCGCGCGCACCCAGAGCACCGCGCCCAGCGCAAGCGCTACGAGAAGGAGAGCCCGCACTTCAGCATGAGTGAGTTTGGCATCAAGGCGGCGGTTCTGGCGGTTCTGGCGGCCCTGGCTTGCATCCCGTGGGGCGAGGAGGAGAAGAGGGAGGGAGACGAGGGGAAGCGGGAGAGAGGGAAGAAGGAGGAGAGGGAGGGGCATAAAGGGGAGAGGAGGAAGAGCTATGCGGATGGCAAGAGGAGGAGTGCGGATGCACGGGCGGGTGATGGTGGTTATGAATATGATTATGGCTCTGGACCTTATGGTTATGGTTATGGTTATGAGGATAGGGATGCGTACCGGGGCTCAGATAGAAGGAGGAGGTCAGGTTGACGGAATGGACGGAAATACCCACCCACCTACTGCGAATAGTAGTGGCCGACACGCATATCTCTCCACGATAGAGCCCCAGTATTCCTCTCCAACTCCCGGCAACGAATCCTCCCTCCCTCTGGTTGGACGATTGGCGGAATCATCCACACACCGGCGGCATTATCACAACGAGCTGTGAGCCCGGACGGCTGTTGGCCAATGCATCATTACCTATGCTTCGATTCGATAGCGCAGTTGAAATTGATGGGAAAGAAGGAAAAAAAAGGAGGTCCAGGGGCTCTCCCGCGAAAATACCCGAGACTGAATACGTACGTGATCGGTCTTCTTGTCCACCTCATCCAAACAACTCGACTACTACGAACCTTCTTCGAACCTGCTGAGTATCCCTTACCCAATGCTTTGAGATATTCAACCACTCGCCTTCGCTCTCCAGTATCACGCCCTCTTCAGTCGTTTGCAATCCGCCATCCTCGCCCAACCTAGCGGCTTCCATCGGTTCGAGAGGAGGGTGCGCCACTAGCCAGACCCCTCTTATCGGCCGTTATCTGCCCTACAGAATCCTGTGATGGATCTTTCCCCGGACACCGATCCTAGTACCTGCACACCCTGGTGTCGGTCTATCGTCCAAGACCGCGCCCTTTCGCCGATCCCGCGTTGATGTCATGCACGCACGAAAAAGCGCCCCTCTATTTGTTGACACATTGGATGCTCCATGACCTGCTGCTTTCGTGCAATCAAGCCATTACACCCCACTATCCGGGCGACTTTCCGTGGTGTTTATAAATATCGCCATTGTTGGTGGTGACCTTGTGCGGTAGGTATATGCATATATATAGATATATGCATTCCGTACATATATAGGTACCTATATATATATGGAACAGGAGAAAAGGAGAAAAGGAGAAGAAACCCCTCCCAATCTCTTGCAAAAGCTCAATTGACATCTTAGATTCTCTTCTCTTGTCTCCCCTATAGCATATATCCCTCTCTTGAACCGGCTAAGAGGCTCCCCCTTTCCATCTGATCGAGATATAGGATAGAAGCCCAACAAGTCAACTCCTACCTGTAGTGATGGGTTCCCTCCAGCTCCCTTCCAAACCCTGGGTCGAAACCCCCTGTATCCGCTCAGCGGCCTTGTCCAGAGAAGCAGGATGGTAACATCCCCCTTTCTTTCCATCCTTCTCTCCCCTCTCCCCAACCTCTCCCCTTCCTTCCCATTTCACCTCTACCTTCAATCCCCCCAATCCCAGCGACACGTCCAAGAAAAGAAATTATATAAAACAAAACAAACCACCAAAGACTAACCCGCCCTCCCCCTTCCACAGCAACATCTACCTAAAGCTCGAGAACCTTCAGCCCTCGGGCTCCTTCAAGTCGCGCGGCATTGGCAACCTCCTCACGCAAGCGCTCCTCGCCCACGGGCCCCAGAAGCCCATCCACTTCTACTGCGCATCGGGCGGCAACGCCGGTCTGGCCTGCGCCACCGCTGCTGCCGCCCTGGGTCGCCCGGCCACCATCGTCGTGCCGACAACGACGTCCGCGACCGTGGTCGCGAAGCTGCGGACGCTGGGCGCCGACGTGCGCCAGGAGGGCTGCCAGCTGAGCGAGGCCGACACGTACCTGCGGACGGAGCTGCTGGCGCGGGATCCGGACGGTGTGTATGTGCCGCCCTTCGACCACGCGGATGTGTGGGATGGCAACGCGACGCTGATTGAGGAGCTGGAGGAGCAGATGGGCGAGCGCGGCGGCTATGATGCCGTGGTATGTAGTGTGGGCGGCGGCGGCTTGTTCGTGGGGCTGATGCAGGCTCTCGAGAGGCGGGGACGGTTGGGCGGCGAGGGGAGACCGGTTAGGGTCTTGGCCATGGAGACCGAGGGGGCGCATTCGCTGGCGCACAGTCTGAAGAATAAGGAGTTGTCGAGATTGCCGGCCATCACGAGTATAGCGACGAGTCTGGGTGTGTCGCAGGTGGCGCAGAAGGCGTTCGAGTGGGCCCAGAGACCGGAAGCCACGAGTTGTGTCTTGAGTGATGCGGAAGCTGCTATGGCGGCTGTTCGTTTTGCGGACGATGAACGCATTATCGTGGAGACTGCCTGTGCCGTCAGCATAGCGAGTGCATATAATGGTAGTCTGTCATCTCTTCTGTTCCCAGACATCAGCCCATCCGAGTTCGCCGATCTCAACGTCGTTATCGTCGTATGTGGTGGTTCCAACGTCACGCTTCAAACCCTTGAAGACTACAAACAGAAATACGGCACAGATGAGGCAGTTCTAAAGAAGTATCGTGCAAGGAAATCAGCCGTGGAGCGGAACAAGGCATAGACTGAGCGAGGACCCTAGAGTGTCGAACATTCTGCACGTTGATATTCACCATCAGCAGAGCGAGGATGTTCCAGAGAAAGATGTCAAGAAGGCCGGCCATCAGTTCTATCGGGAATCATGAGGTGGATAGACAGACCAACGGGAACGGGGTTTGGAGGTTTGTGGGTCGTCGACGCACTCAAAATCAGCATAGAAGATACCCAAGATGGAACTGATGGAAGAGATACCATATCGCTATGCTCAGTAGGATACTCGCTGTGTGATTATAGCCACAGAAATAATCGCTCTACGCGAAACCACCAGTTAAAAATACCCTTCCGCAAGGCGCCCAGAGGATGTAAACCCAAAAAACTTCGAAATGAGCCACAACGTTTTCAGCATGGCGTAACTCAAATCATAGAGTTTGATTGGAAACCGTGTGCCTGTATAGGAGTCCTCGAGCTAAGCTGGCAGGCTCGACCTGCTTCTCCCTTCCGCAGCATGGGAGGATGGTGGCAACTGTATGAGATGGGACCACGTTAGAAACTGAGAGTTGGGTGTGAGATAGTCTGCCATGGCAGAGGGAGCTCCTACAGGGATTGGTGTTTGCCTTCTCTCGACTTGTTGCTCAAATACAATGAGGATAGCCCGGCAAGTTGGGCAAGTATCGTTGTCAAGGAGCCACTAGAAGTTTGGGTAATTAGCAACGTTCAAAAGACTTCAACAAGATATCATGAAGGTTGACTTGAGCTTCATATAGTGGCAGAAAGCCCCACAATACGTACAGTTCTTAAACAATCGAAACGGAAATAATGTCTGCAAGGCGTGCGAATGGCAACACCAGGAGTCGAGTCATCATCAGGAGACTGTACCATTCCCAGCACAGGTACTACAGATAATCAATATTAAAAATTAGGAGGGCATCGAAATTGGCTTACCATTGTCCCTACAAATAGGACAGTACCGGTCCCAATCACTAGTGTCCGCTGTCCTCCACGCTTCGAGAGCCTCGTCTACTAACGCTATACGTACTGCCGGGTATTCAATCAATGTCTGTTGACGCCTCAGTCGAAAATTTTCAAGATCTAATATATTCAGAGTGACCCGTACATTATTTGCGGCAGGCGGCGTCAATGAAGCAAATTCCACGTCCGGCAAGTCCTGATTTAACTGTCAGTGCCTTGAGGACTAGTCGATTCCGATAGTTACGAACCCGTACAGAAGGATGCGGACTATTATGGCGTGTCTAAGCAAATGTCAATTTTTGAAGCTTCATACGTAATGGAGGCTACTTACATCTGGACCTCGACGTCCTCCTCGCAATTGGACCTGTAGATTATCAATTGTAAGAACAAAGCAAGGAGTCTCATGTGTACAGACCGGACGCTGGGTATATCCCTGAGCAAGAGATCGTGGCTAGAGGTCCGATTAACATCTTAAAGAGCGCAGGAAATTGAGATACCTACCAGGTTTATGACAGACTGCCTTGCCAAGCCTAACCAATCAAGGTCCTTATCACAAAGTTAACGTCTGAAACGTCTCTAGAGACCGTGGGCTACTGACTGAACATGCACATGAGCCGTAAGTGTCGACCAGTCCACAAAATTGCCGCCAACGCACTCGGAGATCACGGCGCCAACGGCGCCCACTGCTTGTACTGAGCTCAGTAGCCCGTCTCCGTACATTCATTAGCTGAGAGACAATACGTCTAATATCCATTCCGGCAGGGCGGTCCCAGAACAACCACGGGTTAGATTGTTCATCGTATAATGACTCGATCAGGATAGGCGCTTGATAGCGATTTAAAGTAGCATCGTGGTCGAGCAGGCCAAATAGAATCGGGTTTCGAGTGTTTAGCGCCACACAGAAAGCGTATATGAGGTTATATTGATCGAGGTGCTCTCCAAACGGCCGGAGTGTCTTCAACCTTCTAGCAATCTCCGGCCAGGAGTGTGGAGAGTAAAGCAGGTAAGCAAACATCAGCTCTGCCCCCCAGTTTGGCATCTCTACGACGCCATCGGGTCGAATATTAAAGATGATATCGTGCCTCTGTTGGATATCCATATTGAGTTATAGGTAACGAAGTAGCAGCTTAAGCGTTTCGGCGACTGCTGATTTGTGGGCTTCTAAAGTAGTGGTGTCAGATATTCGATATTCTCAATATTGGAACGACGAGAGAATTGGTAGCGAATGCGGATAATAGTTGCGAATAGCGACTGTGTATAACGAATGCGTGTCTTGATTCCGACCGTGTGTTGTTGACGAGACATAGAAGAGGAGGAAGTGGATAGTAGGTATGCACGATTCCCCTTGAGCCTTCCCCCAAAGACAATTTGTTTGTATACCGTGCCTGCAGAGCAACAAAACGGAGTCGGGTATGACCGGACGATAATTTCTGTCTGTACTGCACCTGCATTCCCTGATATATTCAACGTTTTCTTCCTCATCTCAAACATTCCTTCCCAGCCTCGACGTACGGCATTTCGCTGTACCCTTCAATTCCATAAGTTTCCAATAGTCCCTTCGTCCTTTCTTCACCAAGAAAGCCTTCAAAAACTAGCTCAACTTCACCAAAATAATTTGGGCCTTCATCGACCATGATGAATCCAATACTTTTGAAGAGTTTGATGCTGTTTTCATTCTTGCTTCCAATTTTGACCTTTAATTGCAGCAAGGACATTTTATCGACAGCCTGGCCCTTTTTATACTCGTCCAGGATTTCTTCGAGATGTGTTTCTATGTAATGCAGGAATGTCAAAACAGTAGCTCGCCCATAGCCACGTCTTCGTAGTGAAGGAGGTGCAATCATGAGTTCGAGTTCTCCAATGCACCCCTCGGGATCCTCGTCGGCTGCTGAAAGGAACAAGTTGACGTCGCCAATCATCAGATCAGGGGAATCGATAGTGCCCGCCAACAATTCTTTGGGCGCTTTATCAATCGGTAGGCAAGCAATGAAGGTTAGCTTGTCATGGTCGGATCTCCAACTCTGTTGCATGGCATATTCTTCGTCCAAAGAGAGTGGTTCTGAAGCTGTAGCGATCTGGATTTCCTAGAGATTCACGCATAATCAGATTTCATCCTTTTTTTGAAGAGAATCATGCGCAACTAACCTCATCCTTCATCCAATCATGGTACGTGATCACGTGCGATTTTTCATAAGGTACCAGTGTTACCCCTGAGGTGGAAATGGCTGAGAAAAATCAGCTAAGGGTGAACGGAGACACCTTGCTTCACAAGAGCAGGTAACGAAAGCCCTACTTACCAGTGCCTTGGTTGACCAACATTTCAGATGCTTTTTATTCACTCTTTTTGCAATCCTGTATTTGGTAGACGGCGGAAAAAGAAAAGGCACATCTTGGTCTCGAAAATGTGATATTAGTAAGCGCTCATCACGTGAACGGGCTCTAAATCAATCTTATATCTACCTACCTTGGCGTTTCCCCCTATATGATTTAATGATTTATACGGCGTGGTTACGGTCTATGCTTGAAGAACGGTTTAATTTGATTACCGCTAGGAGACGGTGTTGGAATCGCGAACGGTGTTAGTATACCTCCCTTACCTTACCTTATACTGGAACATAGCCTGAATATTCAACGAAAAGTAAGGATAAATCCCTTCTAAAAACCTATCAGTGGCTGCCTATGTAGCTTATCAAACCAAGACCAACTCCTACTCCTCCACATCTCCAAGAAGCCAAGGGTCTTCTAATAACTCAGCGGTCGACGCTCTCGATTCTGGCATCCATTGGACCATTTTGCGGACGAAGTCGAGGAAGCCTTTCTTACTCGAAACCTCGAGATTCCTCTGGGATTCTTCCCAAGAAACTGATAGAATAGGATTCAGACACTTCCAGTTGCCTGTCGTATGCATATTAGCTTGGCGGATGCACATCCTTGAAATCAAGTACTTACCTCTGTCATCGAAGTAGACGGAGCTGCACTCGCTTCGCTGGAGAAACTCGAGGGGAGGAGGTCCCAAAAGACCAACTATACTAGCAAGGTGGAAGCGATTCCCATACTTGCCAGTCTCGGGGTCAAGCCCATCGAACATGCGTCTGTTCTCAAACATGTCCCAGACCTAGAAGCTCTCATTAGTCTCGTGCTATTAGCCACATGCGGGAGATCTCGCACCATGACTCCAACGTTCCATATATCCACAGCATAGCCCCAGGGCATCTCTAGAATGACTTCGGGAGCTCGGTAAGGATCCGGCTGGATGTCATGGCAGTGCTCGACCTGTCCGTTCCGAGCGAGGGAGAAGTCACACAGGATCGGGCGGCCAAACCTTGTTGGAATACCGAAGTTTGCGCTTTTGTAGAGATTGTACCCGTTGACATTTTTGTAGAGTCTCGATGCCGCGATTTCTTTTGTGTCCAGCTGTTCCAAAATAGATGAATCGACCAAACCCAGCAAGATATTCTCTTCTTTTATATCTGGCACTCTGTCAATGATTTCCAAAGCATAGTGAGAGGAGGGACCTGACCTGTGTGGATGATATGGCACTCGCTATGCAAGAAATCTAGTGCGAGCAGCAAATGTATCAAAATTTGCTTGAGCATTGCCTCGGGCAGTTTACGATCTGGGCGAGTATACCGGAGGCTCAATATGTCGTTGGAAAGGACCTCGTGAACTAAACACTGATGGGGATTCCCTGCTCTGCTCGTGACAATGAAGGAATCCTGAATGGTGCGGACATACATCTTGCCAGGATGGTCGGGGTTCCCCGCGGTGCTGAGATGTTTGTAAATGGCAGTTTCGTTGTCAATCTCATCTTCTGCAACCAAATCATAGGCGTAAATCTTCAGTGCGGCATATTTGTTCGTACTGGTATATCTGGTCAATGCTAGACTCCACCTCACGCCCTCTGAGTTTACTCACGCTAGGTTACGACAGCACCATATCGTGCTTGCTGATCCGAAGCCAAGTTTTGCCACGACCTTATACTTTTCATTGATGACTTCGCCCAAGGTCACCGGATAGAACTTTTCGAAGCCCACCTCCCTCTCCTCTTCAAAAGGAGTGGCCGAGGTTGATCTGGAGCGCGATGTAACGCGGCCTGCGCGACATAAGGAGAATGACACAAGGCGAGATCTATCCAAGACTGGCGTTCGCAGTCGCAAGAATATGCGAGGACGAGAAAACATAGAAATCAAAGATTTCTAGTGTACAGGTAAGTAATGGCCAGGGGCGACTTCGGATAGGTACAAAATCGACATCTACCTACCTACCTAGGTAGGTAGATAATCGTCGACCTCGCCTAGGTGTGTCGACTTTTCGACGATTAACCGCTACTCCAGCACATCTTGGAGCTTCAAAAATAGTTCATCTGGCAACAGTCACATCAATAACTTTGACAGGGGATATAGGCCTATAGATGTCGACATTCGAGGATCTTGCCTTGGAGCATGTTGGGTTACAAAATCAGATCATTGGATACAGCGCAATGCGGCAGCCGGTGGCCATAGGATCATGGTCTAAGATTCCTGGGAAACTCATAGGAGAGGCCCACGAGCCATCCACCTTTCGAAATGTGGCTGGTGGTACTGCGAACGAACTTTGGGCGCAGAGTCTTGTCCGTCTCACGTGTAGGTATATCTCTACGAGCTTGTTACATCGCAGGTAGTCAAGTCGGCGGCAGGCTACGAGGCTTTCATCACCACAGGCTATGGAGACCTCAAGTTATTTAAACTTGGACATTTCCCTAGTTTGCAGGACCTCATCAATCATTATCCTCATTCAAGTCATTCATAATTACGCTCTTTCGTTTACGTATATCATTCTTTTCAATACCCCATCTACAATCAAGTCCTCCACGTTCTACATTCCAAAAAGCACTGAAAGATTCGTCGAAGGTATCGCCGCCAAGGACCCAATCATCAATGGAAATCAAGGTGAACAGACCCCGGCCCCATGAATCTCAAGACGACCCGGCTGATCCTGAGCCCGTCATATCCTTCGCTCTCTAAAAAACGAACAAGACAGCCGGAATCGTGTGACAAGTGGTCACGTTCACGATGACGGCATTGGACATGTCAATTTCCCCTCCAAGTACAAGCAATATCGTGCCATTACGGGAATGGAGTACAAACCTCCGAACAGCGGTATGTCTGGCCAGTCCAGCTCTGGGAAATCGAAGTCAGGTGGCTACGACCTCACGTGGAGGGCAAACGAGCGGACCAAGCATGCAGAATGGTGGGACGGCACGAAATGGGTTGCAGGAGGATGGTCTGATGAGTATCAAAAATGGTAGGCTATGATGCTGGACTTGACGCAGCAGGGCTCGAGATTGACGACAATACAAGTGAACAAGGCAAAATGACAGGAGTTAAAGGGATGAGTTCTACAGAGGTCTAGTAGGGGGGTGCTTGGTGTAGATCTATGCTTTGTGGTGCAGAGATCTGATCTGTAGAGCCTTCATATATAGTTCTAGATATCGAAAACTGATCTCCATGCTTATATGCCTATGCCTGTGTTTATGTCTGTGATTACACTCGTAATGATGGGTAGCCCCAAACTACCCAATTGATGAAACAGACAGTTCGGCATAATTTCCAATGGAAGAATCTAAATTTCTTCAGCGAGCAAGGTGCGGCAGAATTGAAGAAAGACAGGGACAACATTTTGAGGCGTTCCCACACCAACGTCTCACGTCCTCGGTGTCCGCATATTGGCTCTAATTCTTTCAAGTAGCTCCTCCCTGGTGTCCTTGGAATTTGGATGTAGGTTTCTCTGTAGGTAAGTTGAAGTCAGTAAAATGCTTCTTTTTCCTTCTTTTCCCGCCTTGAAACAGGTGTGATACAGGTAGCATTGTTCCAGTAGGGCCATGAACGATCATTGTGTAACAATTTTGAGATAGCCACACTCAAGATCTCATTTAAATGAGAAGAAGAGAGCTCTGAAGTAAAATGAAGCTAAAGGTGATAGAAAAGTTTGACGAATATGAAGACGAATTCAAGAGCAGAACTTACAGCAGCTAGCCACCTCCGCATCTCCTCCCTGGTCCAAGTCTCGGGATCTGGTGAGATGTGTGAGTATCTACTATTTGCTGTCAAAATAAAGTGCACTAATCACCACCAGAAGGATCTTCTTCCCGTGGGAACATATCCCCAGGACCCAATATTGCCCATGCTGCAACTGCTGTTACGATGCCAGTGAAGGCTTTCGATAATCAGCCTTGGCTGCTGTGAACTTGGATGGTGACTTCTACCAAAGAATGTGGTCTGGAACCAAGGTTAACACTCGATACAGTAAGAATCAAAAACCATGCTCACTTTCGAGTTCAGAGCTTTGTCTAAAGGGGTCGGCATCTTGACAATTCGCAATGGAAGACCTGGAAGGGGGTGTGGCGTAAACCTCAAAACTGGGGAGTGAGCGTGTTAGAGTTGTTGTAGCTAAGCTACTTTGAAGATGATCTAATATAACTGCGGACTTAGAGTTTCCAAATATCAAATAATACCTTTGTCTAGATAGACATGAAAAAGATCAACGTGCAACTCGAACTGAACACGTCCCCTGAAGTCCAAGACTAAGCCACTTGCGAGTCGTCAGCCACATCATGCATGCTTGGCCATTAAGGTACGCCGTACCTCTCCAGCCACCCGACCCTCTGAACCCCATCGTAACCCTTGCAAATGTACCTACTTATCATAGCCGAAATGTTTACCTAAGACACGCACAACGGAAATTTCGACTTGAACATCGACTTTACAACTCCTCGTAAAAGAACACGTCAATTCTCGTCGACAAGCTCTACAAACCGCCAAGATGCCTCGCGAAATTTCCGACATCAAGAACGTAGGTCTTCCTTGCCATTCCGCGCATGGGCGGAAGATTTTACCGCGTTGGAGGAGCAGAAATTAACAATTCGAGTAGTTCATCGAGATTTGCAGACGCAAGGATGCTTCATGTACGTCCCTACTATCCGCGCATTACCCTCCCGAGACCCAATGATACTCTGCTGGAGAAACTCATGAGAAGAATGCTGGCGAAGACGGGATTTCAAGGAATGAGACTGATGGAGAAACAGCTGCTCGCATAAAGCGCAGCAAGAAGACCACCCACATCAAGTTCAAGGTCCGCTGCCAAAGACACCTGTACACTCTTGTCTTGAAGGATGCCGAGAAGGCCGAGAAGCTGAAGCAATCGCTTCCACCCAGTATGTCTTCCTCTCCATGGTGTAACTCCAGAGCAAGAGCTCGCAGATTTTAGAATCTGCTTTGAGCTCCTGAAGCTCGAATTAAGACCCATATACCTCCGTTACGCTGTCCCTCAACTAATGCCAATACCTCTTAGACCTTACCATCGCCGATACCCCCAAGAAGAACGCCAAGGGAAAGCGAGTCGCTTGAACGAATGACGATTGGAGGAGGTAACGGGACTGCGACGAGGACTGTTAAAGGGCATGCATCGACTGAACTTGGAAGGCGTCTGGCATGAAGGCATACCTGGAATTGCTGAGCTGTAATGAGATAGCAAAGCGGAATTGAAAAGCCACCCATAACAACCAAAGAGCTTTCTCGTCCATGGAACCTAATCACTTACACGAATACATACATGTGCGAACTAACCATCCGAAAGGAGAATACGAGACCTCTCATTCTTATTTTTAGGGAACAGCTTGTCGTGCTGTAAGGTCAATTGTCGATTGGCCTCTGCGCACAGGTCCCCTGTCCAGAATGGGCCGAAATTGTATGTAAAACGTAGTAGGTAAGCGACTTTCTGCCTTTTAGGTACATTAGGTACCTCACGTGCTGATCTTGACTGATATAAGGTAAAAGCAAGAATCCCGCAGCTCTCCATCATTCCTCACAGCTCTACGAAGTGCCTGTAGCAATACTCAGCATTTGTTTGACTCGCCAACATGACTGTCACAGAATTTGCAATTCTCCCTCTCAACCATCCCCTTACAAAAGACAATTCAACCCTGCCCGAACCCCTCATCGAAAAGCTTCAAACAGCGAAGAAGGTTCTCGAATCCTCAGCCCGCTATCCTTTTCATTACTTTCAGCAGATTGAGGATCCGTCCACGATCTATCTCATTGGAAAATGGGGCTCGGTCGCCGAGCATGAGGAATTTTTATCTTCGGCGGAGAATCAAGCGCTGTTAGACCTCTTGAAGGATGATATTACTATGTCCGTTGATGGAGACAGGAAGATGACAATGTGGCATCTTGATACAGATGTCTTTGTTTTGAACATCTCGAGTGGGGAGAAATCAGTATTCACAGCCCCTGCCATCAGCTGCAACAGACATTTCGTCCCGGCAGAGAAGAAGGAGGCCTTTGTAAAGAAGTTCCAAGAAATCAGAGGTCTTCTGGAAGCATACACCAAGCCTTTTAAGGTTATTGGTGGATGGAGGATCGAGAAGGAAGTGGTGGAAGGGAAGGAGAGGGAGGAATGGGCTCTGTTCTCAGGGTTTGAGAGTGTGGACCATCATTTCGCCTTCGCGAAGACTGAGGAATTTACAAAGTATAAAGAGATTATATCCTTTGTGGATGGGTTTGAAGTGAGGCATTTGACATCAATTAAAGGGTTGTCATAAGGAGAGCATCTAAGATTCAAGCACTATATGAGCGATAGCTTCCCTTACATTACCTGATAAGATCAAGTGACCTAGTCACATGACGCGCACTCACATTAAGGTACCTAGTCCACCCCACCAGTTCAAATCACCCATCAACTCGTATACTAGAGCGAACGACTGCAAATAGAATATCCTATGGAACGAGATAGACGAACAGCGCTTGCTGGCATACAAGAAAGAGGGCAAGTCTTAGGAATGGATCTTCCGCAAGTTCCCGGGCAGGACTCGGCCAGCGTATTGCGGGCTGGATCATGGACCGGCCCAAAGGCGGCAGATATTTCCAGTGAGTGAAGTGGAGTGTAGTAGACTGAGTTTCTAGAGGGTAAAGGATGATACAGAAGACAAGTGATGGGAGCGGACAGGTGAATGGAAATTTACCATCATACCTAGGTGCTTCAGAAAGCTTATTCAACATCGAGCATGAAATTGAATGTATCAGAAATGGAAGGCGATGGTAGGCATGACTTCTTTTATCATTCACATGTAGTGGCATCTCATTCCAAGGTAATCGACGATTGTTTGAGACAAATATCGTCTAGAATATTGTAGTTTATCTAGCACCAATTGTCAATATTGAGGTTTTACCCAAGTTCAACACCACTTCTTTCCTCCTTTTATTCTTGGGATAGATTCAGAGGACCAGCCGGAAAGTCTGACTCTGGATCAACCATTTTTTCAAACCCTTCGGTGCCTTTGGGCCTTGGGCTTCCCAGTTTGGAACCAACACAACATTTTCGGTAAATCCTCTTGTTTCTCCATCCGTACTCTCCTTGAAGTACTTGACGCTTCCACTGACCATAACTAATATGCTCATCTTCTTCCCATCCTTATTTGGACCCAGCTTTGTTGAATCGACACCGACATTGTAATTCGTGTTTATAACTTGGCAATCAAAGGATTGTACTTCATATTGAGCTTTGGCTACTTGAGTCTCGAATATAGACTGCAGTTGGGCTGGATCTGCCACAGTGTTCCCGTTCAGGGTAATGTCTGCTTGAAGGGGCGATGCCTCTGTCGGTTTGATGTAGAAGTCGGCCAGATGCGCTCGGCCTTTTGGGTTGTTTAATGCCGGGTAATAGCTCTCAACGAACTTTTCGGCAGCTGTTTAAATTCATAGAACTGTCAGCTACCGTCGAGTAAAGTGCAGGGGGGAGTTTGTTTTACCATCCGAGGCCACCTTGACTTGGACGTCGTCCGCAGGTTCTGCCATGATCGAGGACAGCTAGAGGCGTATGATATTCTAGCGTCAAAGGTTCGAAGAGGCGAAAGAAGCCGTAGGTATAAAGACTATATCCATCTGTGCCGACCTGGAAAGTCTTGCACTATACTGTAGCCTTCAAGACTTGCAAGGCTAAGGCCCTGATGCCCGTCTCAATGGAATGCGCTTGAGGTTGGCCTTTGTGCGGGTTTTGCGGGTTTTGCGGCGCTTGCGGCCGCCTCGGTCCGGATCTTCTGAATCTGACCTAGGTACCTCTGGGAGCTAGATATTTATTGTTTCGAGCCTCAGTCTACAACTCCAGAGTCCAGACAAACAATGAACACTCGAAATCTGTTCTCTGCTCTGCGGGTACCATCGGGCACGCGAAGTAGGGTCTTCTGGGCGGGCAACTGGGTCTGCAGGTCATGTCGGACAAAGCATCCGTCTCGCGCGAGACCCTTGAGCTCCAGTAGCTCTGAAAGAAAACCCTATTATATTACGACCCCTATCTTCTATGTCAATGCTGGTGAGTAAATCCTGAGGGCTACCCTTATGTTCTGGTCACTGTTGACAGTTCAAATAGCCCCCCATGTTGGACATTTATATACTATGGTCCTCACGGACATTCTCAAACGATGGCAGGTCTTGAATGGAGAGAAGGCAATCCTCTGCACTGGAACCGACGAACATGGCATGAAGATCCAGCAAGCAGCTACAAAAGCCAACATTCCTCCAAAAGAGTTCTGCGACATAACGGCCGAAACGTTCAAATCCCTTGCAAAACGAGCAGCATTGTCGAATGACTATTTTGTCAGGACGACGGACGAAGACCATAAGGAAGCTGTCCAGTACTTTTGGCATATGCTGCGAGAAAGGGGTTATATATATGAATCTAAACATGAGGGGTGGTACTGCGTCAGCGATGAAACTTTTTACCCCGAGTCGACGATTGAGAAAAGACTAGATCCTTTCACGGGAAGGACTTTTATGGCATCACAAGAGACTGGCAAGGAGGTTGAATGGACGTCGGAAGCAAACTATCATTTTCGGCTATCTGCCTTCAAGGATCGACTTCTCGAATTTTATAAAAAGAACCCAGAATTTGTTGTCCCAGCAACTCGAATGAACGATGTCATCAATTGGGTCTCCGAGGGTTTGGAAGATTTGTCTATTTCTCGACCTGTTGAACGATTGACTTGGGGAATTCGTGTTCCCGATGATGAGACCCAAACCATTTATGTCTGGCTGGATGCTCTTATTAACTATATTACGAAAGCTGGCTATCCATGGGCACCAGGTCGGGAACAGACAGGAGGGTGGCCGGCAGATGTCCAAGTTATTGGAAAGGATATTGTTCGATTCCACTGCATATATTGGCCGGCGTTTCTTATGGCTCTTGACTTAGAGCCTCCGAGGCAGATTCTCACCCACGCTCACTGGACGCTAGGTCACCAGAAGATGGCAAAATCCACGGGAAATGTGGTCAATCCATTCTTTGCGCTTGATCGATTCGGAGTTGACGTAATGCGATACTATCTGGCCCATGATGGTGGTATTTCGCAAGATTCGGATTATGGCAACAGGTTCATTGTAGAGAGATATAAAAAGGGTCTCCAAGGTGGTCTTGGAAACTTGGTGAGTAGAGTCACAAGACCGAAGATTTGGAGCGTGCGGAAGTCCGTAGAGGCCGCGAGCGTTGGGGCATTGCGTGAACCGGACGAGAGCACGACCAAACAAATAAATATGCTCGAGTCTCTTCCTGAGAAGGTCAGCCTCAAAATGAAACAATTGAATCCTGGGGCAGCACTGCAGATTATTATGGATGCCGTATATGAGGTCAGTGTTCAAGAGAATCTCAAGGTGTGAAGCAGCTAACAGCTAGTAGACGAACAAATACCTGCAGTTCAATGAGCCCTGGATCAGAGCTAAGAAAGAGACAGACCAGGAAGCCGAGCAGAAGCACATTGAACGTACGATATACTATTCCGCTGAGGCTATTCGCATTACCGGCATCCTTTTACAACCGTATATGCCGGATAAAGCCTCCCAACTACTCGATATGATAGGCGTGGACAAGTCACGTCGAGAATTCAAAGATACTCTCCTCGGAGCTGATAAGACCTATGGTGATGCTGCTGCGCCGCTGGGAAAGGGTGCATGGGATTCCTTGTTTCCCCCATTATCTGTGGAGAATTGATGTACTGCAGTGTGTAAATAGATGGCGTCCACTGTGTTTTGGAGGATGAGATGCTTACGCTCTAGGAGAACTTGTACAATGTAACTTTAGATACCCAGTTGGGTTGGATTGGCCGGAGTTGGGCAAACGTTGCTGGTTTACTACCTGGTTGAAAAGACTAGGAGCCATGTACCAATTATCCCCACCTCAAATCTTTGAAATCAATTGAAGCCGCGAAGCCTCAACCGTCCTGCAAAACGTTTACGCGCACTGTTCTGAGTGTCGAAGAAGACATTCTAGGCTCTAGCTAGCATCATTCGAACTGGGCCATTTACTGTCTTTTAACAGCCAAGGATTGCAAGAGCTGGAGTTGCTTTCTACATCCGTGGGGATGATTGCAGCAACATGAAAGAAGACACGGCGAACTTAAGACGTGTATTCAAGGAGGTAGTGAGCTAACTTTGCGTAGTTGTTTCCTACTGTCCAAGTACTGCAGATCTCTGTGCGAGTCACTCAACACTTTACATTAGGCGTTGAAGGGCTCGGAGATGAAGGCCCAAGGAATGGCTTCACAATTTCGTAGCCTTACAGACTACAAATACCACATGTTTGATTGATAGAGATCTCAGTATGCAGGTGAATTGATACTTTGGTAGCCTGTTGATAGAATCACATGACCGTCGCTTGCGTCAAAAAGGGGTAATTTCATTATATCCAAATGGCTCCGTTCAGAATAGCTGAGCAGATTGCGAAACTGAGGTAGGTAGAAGACACTTGACTATTTCGATTTCATTGTAATGGCCGTCCCCCTACCGTCTGCTAGAGCCAACTGAATGCCTGCTCTCCTTTCCCGTGTCCTTCTCAACCGTAGATAGAGATGTCTAGATCTCAAATAGATACAGTTCTGAATGGAGGCTACGGCAATATAGTGATGGTTTGAGCCTCTCAGGCCTTAATATGGACTCTTACTACTGAACCATGATCTCTTGGAATCGAAGTCGAAGATAAAAGAGATTTGTATGTCAAAGCGTTTAGATAACTCTTTTTGACGGAGCTGCTTTATCTCGGAATGAACATCTTTCGTTGACTAGAGTCTTATTGCAAAAGCCTTTGCATGCAAGGAAATTGTCTTCACGTGCCTTGGCATTGAAGGGCGTAAGGGTGAGGTTATATTCAATGCTGGCTTCACAAAGAAATCAGGAGTTGCAGTGTAGACTCGGCGTATGACCATATCCAATATGCTGATGAGATGAAATCATAACGAACAGATGGATGTGACAAGATGAATTGACTAGTGCGGAGGTTTTGAGCAATTTTATTTCAAATAATGTTGTGTTGTCGTCTCTACTGTGTATTTTCCTTCGACGCGAACAACACTACACTGGCCAACACAACACGATCAACACAACTTTGAGATGTGATCTCAGAAGCCATAACTACTGAATTCTGAGGACACCCTTCCTGTTCGTTCCTTAGAATCAAATGCCTTTCTAGTTTTTTTTAGTACACACGCAGATCCTGTCTGCTGATGACCAGTCAAATGTCGGACAACCCAAACCAGATCGCTCGGTGGAGATGTCCAATATGCTCTTCGGTCAACAGAACCTTCGTGGGTAAGTACTTGAAATTCCTGTACCACAAGTAAATATTGGAGGCTTACCTTAATCAACGTTTAGATCTACCGGCACTGCTTTTCCACGGCAGGCAACGACACGCCCTTCTTCAAGATCAAGTTGGATTCTATGGTAGACAATAGCGCACTCCATACATCCCCCTAACGTGTAACTCTGACACTCTTGGCAGTCCATCTCGCCAGTCAGAACGAGCCTGTCCTAACTCTCAGCTCAATGGGCGCTGCCCTGTCCACAACATTGGATCGGCCTCATTCCTCGCAAGGAGGAGAGGTACTCACACCGGCTATATTACCTATGGATACTCTCCTTAGAGGCTTCGATATTGAACCGGTAGCTCCGAGTCCCGAACTTTATCGTGACATCTATTCAATGTTAAACTTCGGTGGCATCAACAATATGAATGTCACAGAAGAAGTCTCCAATAGGGAACTGATAAGAACATATGAATCCTTTCAAACACAAACTAGTAACGATCGGATATCGATGCGACAGCCATTGGGTCCTGGTACTTCAACCCAAGTGCCTCGAACTACGGGCTTCTCTTTCAATCACCCTAACAACAACCAAATTCTGCAGAATAGCAACTACGCAAATCAGCCCCTTGGGTCATGTCAGGCGCAAAACCCCCGTGCAGCCTTCTGGCAGACACAAAATCCCTCGGCCAATTACGACAGAGCAAACTATGCCCAGCCTCCTCCACATTCATACGGCCTCTCTATTCCTACGGCTAATGATAACTCGTCAAACTCTGCTCTATACGAACCCATTGTTCCTATGGCTGGTAACAACGGGTCAAACTTCGCCCAGTTTTCCCCTTCAGATCCAGATCCCCGGCGTCCATATGAGCACTGTGATACTACGGGCACTCGGCACTGGTCGCAACCCAATCAGCCCCCCATTTGGGGTGCCCCAGTTCCACTTATAAGTTATGACCACTCGGTCCCTATGGCTAACAACAACGGGTTGAGCTTCGCTCGGCCATCCCCTGCGCGTGTCCCACCTCCACCTCCATACGGCCACTCGGTCCCTATGACTAATGAAAGCCTGTCGAACTTCGCTCACCTCCCTCCTTCACACCTGCATGGCCATGGAGTGCCCTTCGTGGACGACAGACAGAGCCGCATGGCCAATGTTAACTCGTCAAACTCCGCCCAGTTCTCTCGTCAACGGCTACCAACCGCCCTGGATCCGGTAGATGGCCTTGGGGCCCGTAACAGCATGCCAAACCCTGCCCCCCCTCCAGTCCAAGTCCGTCGCCATGGGATGAATTCCTCTAATCTGACACAAATGGCGATGGTCGGTCACCGCCACCAAAACCAGCTTCGAACTGGCTCGGTTCAAGCCCCTAGGTTAAGCCCCAATTCATCAAATCAACATGAGAGCATATCAGGGCCCAGCCAAAACACGACCACATGGCCACAATAAGAGCAAAATTTAGAGGACCTACATACTCCCGAACAAGAGCAACGCACAAAGGAGGTAGCTACTTCTGATTTCTCAACAAGAATCCCCTAAGATCTGGACTTTGGAAAGCCAACAGTCACCCTTCTTCTCAGGCAGAGCAAGACCAGGATAGCTTGGGTAAGGCCGAGGATCATCCAGATCTATGGAGACACGCGAAGGAACTTGTGAGCATAAAAAGAAATCGGACAGATTGATATGCGGATTTTGGCAGTTTATGGTGTATGAGTATACATTTCAGCACTTGCATTATTTGCTTCCTTTTATCAGTGATTTGCTTTCATCCTTCGCTGTCGCTTTGTCCGCTCGGAAGGTTGTCTTTGACCTTTGATATTGGTAATTAAATTAGCTGAGCTCAACGTGACTGACAGCTAGTAAACAGTCACCCGTTAATGATTAATGAATGTATGTTGCAGCTGGTCAAATCAGAAGTAGTGAAATTGAATTCCTGACAGATTATGTTGTTGTCGTTGAGGGACGACTGTCCCCCCGCCAGTCTACCTCCGTAGCGGTCGGCTATACATACCCCCGTACTCCGTACATGCGCCACGCCGGATGCGAGGACAGATCTTATTATAGCTCGGCGCGGTTGTGGTTTCTCCTCCTCAAGAACTCAAGGCGCTCTCCACGCCTCCATCAAGTTGTTCCTCATTAAGCCGTTCCTTTCAAAAACCACCACAATGGACATTCTCCAGGTATGCCTTTGTCCATCCCTGAAGTCTTGAGGACCTCGGATGCACTGCTAACTTGCTTCAGCGGCTCGCGCGCTTCCTTGACAAGCCCTTGTTTCCCTGGAAGAAGCTCATTGTTGGCTTTTCAATTGCTCAATATCTTTTTGAAGGCTTCCTTTCTCTGTGCCAATATCAAGTTCTGAAGAAGAAACGCCCACCCAAGGTCCTACAGAGCGAAGTTTCCCAGGAAGTCTTCGACAAGAGTCAGGTATGCGGAGCACCGTGTTGTATCAATATCAACATACTGATGGCTTGTACAATAGGCCTATGGACGAGCGAAGGCCAAGTTCTCCCTGATCAGCGGGCTTTATGGTCAAATTCAGAACACTGCATTCATCTACTACGACGTTCTCCCAAAGCTGTGGGCTCTGACTGGATCATGGCTCCTTCGATTCGCACCCGCTCGGTTTACCGGCGAGATATCTCACTCCATCGTCTTCGTCCTTAGCTTCATAGTCATCCAACAAGTGCTTTCTCTGCCGACTTCAATCTACCATACGTTCGTCTTGGAAGAGAAGTTCGGATTCAACAAGCAGACCCCGAAGCTATTCGTCATGGACATCTTGAAATCACAAATGCTGTCTTTCATTCTTGCACCACCTATCCTTGCCGGTTTCTTGTCTATCGTTCAGAAGACCGGAAACAAATTCTTCTACTATCTCTGGATGTTCGGAGCTGGTCTGCAAGTCTTCATGATTACCATTTACCCTATCACGATCCTCCCTCTGTTCAATAAGCTCACTCCTCTCCAACCTGGTGATCTGAAGACTGGCGTGGAAGCACTTGCTCGTCGACTCAAATTCCCTCTTCATGAGCTCCATGTTATTGACGGTAGCAAGAGAAGTGCTCATAGTAACGCGTATTTCTTTGGCATGCCTTGGAAGAAGCACATTGTCATTTACGACACCTTGATTGAGAAGAGCGAGACAGAAGAGGTTGTAGCTGTTCTTGCACACGAACTTGGTCACTGGAGTCTTGGACACACGACAAAACTCTTTGGTATCTCCCAGGTAAGCTGATTTCTTGGTCCCCGAAAGAGAAAACTTTTAGTAACATGCCAAAGGCGCACTTTTTCTACATCTTCGCCCTTTTCTCCGTATTCATCAACAACCACTCTCTCTATCAATCATTTGGGTTTCACAACGAGTATCCTATCATAATTGGCTTTATCCTCTTTTCCGACGCTCTCGCCCCGATGGATACAGTCATCAAACTTCTGATGAACATCCTCAGCCGACGATATGAGTTCCAGGCCGATGACTTCGCAAAGAAGTTGGGTTACTCGACAGAGCTCGCTCGTTCTTTGATAAAGTTGCAGATCCAGAACTTGAGCACTATGGATGCCAACTGGATGTACGCAAGCTACCACTTCTCTCATCCAATCTTGTCCGAGAGACTGGCCGCTCTGGGATGGTATGGAGATTCGAAGGTGGGCGATTCGGATTCAAAGAGCGAAAACGTCGCACAGGCGAGTGGGAGGGAGTTGTGAATGTAAATTAGCCCATAATGATATAGCGATTGACGCACCAATTCGGTCCAGGATTCGCCATGCTGTGGTTGTGCTCGTTGAGTAAGAATCTCATTCCTCTGCTTCTTTATGCTTTTTATCTCTCCTTTTTCGTTTCTCTTCCTTTGATTTGGGCTTCTTTTCCTCCTTCCTGGGCTTTTTGTCCGGTTTCGCCCCCTCAACCTCACTGTCCAACTCCGAATCCTCGTCCCGGGCGTCAGCCGTCTCTGTAGGGCCCTCTCCCCCTTGCATAACCTGCTGCTCCCTCTGGTACTCATCCAGGTCCTGCCACCCATCGGTCTCCATCTGATCATCAGCATTGTTACCCGGCGCAGCAGCCAGCCCATTGGCAGCCTGCGTAGTGTTGTCTTCTAGGTCCAAAGTAGGGGCGAGCCATTCGCCTCGTAACCCAGCCTCCACTCGTTTCAGATTGTAGATTGTGACGCTGGAGTCGCTGGAGTCTGCGGTGGGGCCGGAGGGCTCGAGGCGCGCATTGGGAAGGAGATAGGGCGACGATTTGGTGGCTTCGAGGTACGTTTGCAGGTATTTGAGGGCGATATCTTGGGAGACCGGGATAGAGGGGACAGAGCGATGGGATGGGAAGGCCGACATTTTTCCTTTTTTCCCGGAAAGAGAAAGGAGGTATCTGGAGGATTGCGATATATGGGAGAAGCTCTTTGCCTTTGCTGTATCTCGTTGCTATGGATGTCTGACTTTTCTGTAATTTGTGACTTGTGAAGTCGGGAACTTTTTTTTGGATTCAGGCGGGATTTTGCCCGCTAGCGTACTTTTTTGGGAACCGCAACAGCGACGACGACTTTCAAAGAACCATTAGACATCAATTGATCACCAATCCCCGTAATGCTGTGTCTTCGCTGCTCCCGGGGCCTGGGTGCCTCCACAATATCATCAATTGCCTCACGAGCGGTGCAAAAACCGGTAATTAAGGCGTCTTCGCAGAGGTATTTTCAGCATTGCTCCTTTCCACAACCACGAAGCTAATGCTCTACAGGACATTCACATCCCTCACCCCCCTCCGGCCTACAATCTCTGCATCTGGCTTCAGGCCATCTCTCGCCATCTCTACCCCAGCCGCTTCAGCTTCTGTAGAAGCCCCGCTGGATCTCCTGCCCAAGATCTCCTCACATCCCGCGTTGGGCGCTACGCAAATCCGATGCGGTCCGCGGAATACATTCAGCCCGAGTCACTTTGTTAGAAAGAGGAGGCATGGATTTTTGAGCCGGATCAGGACGAGGAAGGGTCGCGCGACATTGCAGAGGAGAAAGGCGAAGCGGAGGAGTACGTTGAGCCATTAGGATGGGTGTTGTGCTTCTGCTAGGGGAGTAGGTGTTTCAACTTCTGGTTCTTGGGCCTCTGCTAGACAGTATTGTGGAGGACACAGTGTGTAAGATAGGCGTGCGAGTCTGGTGCTCTATATTCCAATGCAGATATTCCACATCAGGCAGCCTTGCCTACGACTTCGTGCCGCTGCCTCAGTTATTTAAGGTATTAGATCTCGAAATACTGCACTCTTTGGATTCACTGATGAGGCTTTGCGGGAAGAGTCACTGATATATCACAAATGGTACAATTCAAGGCTCTCTTGTTATCTCGTATCTTCTGACTCCATATTCTCCAGCAAAACAAAAGCAAGTTATTGTCAGCAAACCCAACTCCTAATCCATTTGCAGTAAACAACGCAAAATTCCATATACTCCCGGGGTACATCATGGTCATTTTCTGGGCCGTGCCAGCTTGATAACATCAAAATCGCAAGAAACAGAACCAGAAATCTGCTGCGGTGTTTGAAGGTATACATCACCCCAAACGTCAAGACCGTCACCAAATATCCAGCACCAAGCAAGCAATTATCCGTGAACCATTATCCATATCCATACCCTAGCCATCAGCAGTATCTCTTCTGATTATTCAATGCAAGTATGCACTCAGTTATGAATGCCGTTGGACCAGTGTCTCTAGGCAGTGCGCAGTTTGCTCGAGCGAGATCACTTCCGACCTTTCTCACGGCCAAAATGCTTCTTCAAGTAATCTTCAGTCGGGTTCTCAATCATCTTGATATCATCGGCATCCTCATTCTCTGAGCCATCATCAAGATTCTTGAAGGAGGCGGAATCGTATTTATCATCGAAACCATGAGAGAAGCTGCTTGAACCGGATTTGGAATAGCGGTACTTGAGGCTTGACTTTTGAGAAGCGGATGCGGTCTGCAAATTTGATGCCTTCGATATTGTCTTGTGGGGGGATGATAGACCAAACTTGTCTTCGATTTTGGGTGGTTCAAAATCATCAAAAGAGCATTCTTTGAAGATCTTTGGAGGTGGGGTGCCAAACTCGGAATTCACACATCGGCGCTTCTTGTTGTGAGTCGTGTACAAGTCTTCATCATCTTCCTCGAAGCTTCGGTTCTTTCTTCTTCCTGACTTTGGCGGAGCATAGAAGATTGGAGATTGGTCTGCTGTGGATCGATTTGCATGGGCCTTTTCCTCCTTCACGAGGGTCGGAACCTCAAGATAAGTTGCATTCTCACCACTGATAGGGAGATATTCTTTGTATTCTTCCTCGTCATAAACGAGAGTCGAGTCCTTGATGTCAGTTGCATTATCGTCGCCAACAAAACGGTACTCGACAGATTCTTCCTCCTCGTCATCAGTGAGACTTGGGTCCTTCACATAGGCTGTATATTCATCACCCATGTAGAGGTATTCGTTATACTCATCGTCATAGATGAGGGTTGGGTCCTCAAGATAAGTTGCATTTTCGCCATTCATAAAGAGGTATCTGTTATACTCCTCATCGTCATATATGAGGGTCGGGTCCTCAAGATAAGTTGCATTTTCGTTATTCAAGAAGTATCCGTTATACTCCTCTTCCTCATAAGTGAGAGTCGGATCCTCAAGATGAGTTGGATTCCGACCAAAATAGAAGTAACCGTCGGATTCTCCCTCAGCCTTATAGGTGAGAGTTGAAGGGGTTGTACTCTCGTCCCCCGACGAGTATTCGTCGTAATTTTCCTCGTTGTCATAAATAGGACCTGGGTCCCTAACGTCGGTTGCATTCCGACCAAAATAGAAGTACCCGTCGGATTCTTCCTCATTCTTATAAGTGAGAGTTGAAGGGGTTGTAATCTCGCCCCCCGACGAGTATTCGTCGTATCTTTCCTCGTTGTCATAAATGGGACCTGAGTCCTTAACGTCGGTTGCATTCTCACCAACCCAGAGGTATTCACCATATTCTTCCTCATCATCGTAAAGGAGAGTTGGATTTGGCTCATTGCCAACAGGGAGGTATTCGTCTGATTCTTCTTTCAGTCCTATACACAACGATTGGATTGATTGCATTCTTACCAGCAGACAAATATTCGTCCGATCCTTCTTCACTCTCATAAACGAGAGTTGGGTCCTCGACATAGGTCGTCTTTAGGCCATCATGGGAGACAAACGGGTCCTCCTCCGGCACTTCCACTTCGTCATCGGATTCCGTCTCACTGTCCGAAGAAATGTAGATTGGTGGGTTATAGTCGTCCACCTCGATACTTGGGATCACCTCGCCGATTTCTGGGAGGGCCAGCAGCAGCGCCGTCTCACTCATACGACCGATACTGTTAGGTATCGGTACGTATGGTGGCTAGTAAATCAGGTTAGTTAGTTAAGTCTGATGCTATTAAATAGATGGATTCATAGACTCACAATGGTTTGACCTTGGAAGCTGAAGCTCTCCATGTTGAATATTATTATTCAAGTATTTTCTTTTAGAAACAGAATCGAACTATTGCCTGATGTTAGCTCTCTGAAGGGAAGGAAACTTGATGGGTGTTGATATCTCGCCGACGAGACCTGGTGAATATATTTGGTGGTTGGGGGAGCGAAAGGTTTGGTTTTCACAACGATTGATATTTTCCAAAAGTTGGGACAAAATTGGAGGTACAAGAAGTACAGTGAAGAATTGAGAGATAACCTACAATATGGTAGAGGTGTGGAGGAAGGTTTGGGGGGGCGAGTTGTAGGTGTTGATGTGGACAGGAAGATGAAGGTATAAGAGAGAGGACGAGGAAGGGAGGGAGGAAATAAAATAGTGGGAGGATTGGAAGGGGAACTGAACTTCCAAATTGAATATTCTTAGGTAGGTGGGGAGAAATAAGGAGGTTGGAAGTTGGTCTATTGTCTGCTGGGTTGTAAAACGTATTGAATACTACGAACAATCTGTACCTTCAATAGAGCCTATTGTCTCTTCCTGGCTGAGCAATTTGACGAGAATAATAGGTTCCTCTATGACGGCACTAGTTGAATTCAATACTACCTAATGGCAGGATATGCAAAGGAAGGTAATGATGGGTATATAGTAATGTACTCAAGGCTTGACGGTTCGCCAGAGCCTGTTCAGATCACGGCTATGAAATCCCGGCGGACGTCGAACACTCCAAGTTGCTTAAGACGTCAAGGTAACTTGCTTCTCAAAGAAACGGATATATTGAGGTGCAACTCCTGAATTGAAAACAAGTTCCTTCCGTGTATTAACGTGTACCTTAATCCTGAACCGCTTACCGATACGCCGACCGCAATGGCTTTACACCGCACTGTCCACATCCATCCCTCCGTCACTACCCTCTTCCTCGGTCTCATCACCTCCTAACCCTAATAATTCCTTATCAACATCATCCAGGTCTTCGTCTGTTTTTGCTTCATCGTCCTCCCCACTGCCGTTACCCAGAATCCCCTTGCTCACGGGGTCGAGACGTTCCACCTCTTCCATAACAGTATCTCCATTGGCGTCCTGTTTCTTTGCAGGACTGGGGAGTCTCTCATCCTCCGTGTCGTCGTTATCTCGGTTCATCTCGTTACCGTTTGCTGGTGTAGGATTAGGTTGTGCAACACGATTGGTGCCCACAACACCAATATTTTTCCCTTTTTCCCATCGATCGAGTCTCCTATACAGATCTCAGATTCAGTAACTCTAATCAAGCAAGGTTTGTGCGAGCAATATTTACGAGAAAGGTGGGGACAGAAGAAGCCTTACCTTCCCATCCGTCTGAAAGCGGCAGCGTATGCAGCCATTTCCTCACCGAAGTCGTCTTCCTCGGTTTCCAGCTGGACAAGGCCGACAAACCCTCTTGACCTGAAGCTCCCTGGCGGTGCCATGAAGCTCTCCTCGCCCTCGCTGTCTTCAAAAACATCTGCAACATGTTTGGATCTGTTTAGGGCACGATAGAATGCACCCTCCTGTTTTCGTATCTTTCTAGCGTGATGATGTACCTTGCGCAATCCGCGTCCGAGGATATAATCAACGCGCTGATTTCGATTACGCTCCACAGCAAGTTGATGGGCTGTGAGAGGTCTCGGACGTCTCATGGCAGGTTGTTCACCAGGAGCTATTGGGGAAGAACCTTCTGCGATTTGGTTCTTCATGGAGTTCCGACCTTTAGCCGAGTTCAGAGCCCTGTGACCGCGCATGCCAGCTCCCAAAGCTCGAGGCGGCGGCGTAGAGCGGGTGCTGTCTAAATCGGATTCGTATTTGGGCCGGATTCGGCCGAGCATCGAAGCAGGACTTCCAGCGGCATCGTCGTATTTTGGTCGCATTCGGCCCATGAAGGTAGCCGGGCTGCTATGGCCCATCTCATCAGGAGGCAGATATAGTTTTGGCTTCGGGCCCCGCTTGGGAGGGCCATTTTCTGTTTGAAAAGCCGCCTGATCTGCTTCAATAATCCGCTTCCTCTCCCGCATTTTGGCGAGGCCATATTCTTTTTCTTCCGGTGGGTCGACATTTTCTAAAGCTTCTTCTTCCTTGCTCAGATATTTAAATCTCGGCACCCCTTGATTCCTGACATTAACATCATAATCAACACCAGGACCAAAAGGATTCTCCTCAGCTCCCTCCTCCGTGAAGTCAGATTCTAGATAGAACCACATCAACCAGAGAAATGCCCTTGCTCTGGATTCGCTTGAGATATTGGTCCGCATGATTAAGTCATAAAAGTCGTGGGGTGGAGGGAAGTGCAACTCGGTAACTTTTGGAGCGAATTGAGCGAGTACGAAGATCAGATTTACTGGGTTCGTCCGGGGTACGTCGAGGGCCTTGAGCTTGTCCAGCGTGTTTGGCTCGGGTCGGTCTTCGGAAGCTCCTTTAAGGATTGACTTAAGTCGGGGCGCGTCTTGAAGTTGCTTGTAAGAATTCGGGTCTTGATGTGCTTGCAAAGACGGGATCGCATGGTAGGTTCGAAGTTGTGCTCGCATCTCTGGGAAGACTACATAATATTAGCTCAGTGCATCAGTAAAGAAGTCAAACAACTCACAGTTCAAGGTAGTGTTCATGCGACCCAAGTTAACCAGAAGGCACACCATCGCCATGTTCTTCGCAGGCTCATGCTCACTCAAAAGCTTGTCCCTTAATATCTTGCTCGTTTTGCTACTTCTCGCCATCGTATCAATGTAGATATCGGCAAAGGTTTGCATGCCAATGGTCTCCGGTTCGTAGCTATTTGTAAAGACTTTCTGGTCATTCTCAAATATGAGCTTGAGAAAGTCGTACTGAATATCTGTCCGCCACAAAGGTTCCCCATCATCTTTCTTAAGATGACGAACCTTATTGCCGCTGTATATCGAGGAATTCTGTGTAGCACCAGATGCGGCATCTTTCTTCTTCCGCGAAGTACTCTGTGCAGTGCCTGGTGGGCCTTCTGGAGCGTTGCCTCCTGGTGTTCTAGCCTCATCGTCCTCCGTTATATCATTCAGTTTCGGTGCCGATGGAGTGTTTCGTTCAGAGTCTGGGAGTCCAAGTACATGCTGCAAAGATGTTCTTGGGTCAGGATCTGGGCGGACCGGGGAGGAAGGGTACGTCGTAGTGTGGTCGTCCATCTCTGAAGCTGCGACTGTAGAGCCGCCTGGCGAACGGGCCCCATCGTCCGTCATATTTGGTGCTGTAGTTCGCGCTATCACATCGAAATTTGCAAGGCTATTTGGCGTTCTCGTCCAGCGCCAAAGCGATTGGACTATCTGAAGTTGTCGATAGGAGGGAAATGGGGAAGCAATTCGCGATAATGCGATCGTCGTTGGAAACCGTCGCGTCGGTTACAGAGGTACAGCCCTGCCAGATGGTAGTCGTAAGATACTGCGGAGTAATTGTTATTCCGGATCCAGTTAATTTGAGTTGACGCTAGCGTTCGCTTAGTATAACCCCTGTCATGATGCATATGGCGATCTCTTTTGATATCAGATCCTTGTAAGTCAACCAAATGTATTTTGCTTCCCCCGCGAGGAAAGGTCAAGATCTTCCAGAACTGCACAATTTCATGACTACTCCAGTCTCATATTCTCCTTGCTACTAGACGGACTATATGACTCTGATAAACTGCCTATATATTGGGCATCACTCCTGAAAGAGCCGAGGCTAGAATCCTAGAAGAATTCTTCATCCCTGCGGCCGTCCAAATCGGCCTATGGTTTATATATCTAGGTATATTACACAGCTAAGTTCATCGAACTCCCACCTATGTCTACCGCGCAGTTACCCCAATCCGAGGCCCGGCTGTCAATTGACCTGAACGTTCCGCAAGGTCCACAAGGATCGGCGTGAGGCGGACCCGCGCGATGGGTGGGTTCATTGGATGATGCCGGTGACCGGTTCTTCAAAGTTGAACTATCATTGCTAATATCGATGAAGGAGTTCTATATAATACATTCTTGGGCTGGAGCCTCGAGTAAGTACATAGCTAGAAGAATAAGAAAGCTTGCTACATCATCACGTGCAGAATGATATAAGTGGAGCGGCATTGCTTTCCTTTCTTCAAAAACAGAAAGAGAAGAGCATTCTAGATTCTAACATAAGATCTGTTCAAAGAAAAAGAGCTGAGAAGATGACACCGTAAAGGTACTGAAACTCTTCGTTCCTTCTGCTTTCTTGCTAAGAGATGAAAAACCCCAAGACCCGTCGCAAGAAGAAAGCGGCAATATCGCGATAGAAGCAGATGTAGGAATTTTCGTTACTCATAGCCTCGTTTAGTCGTAAGGATTCCCAATGATGCGAGCCCTATAGCCAGAGTCAGCTGAGTTGATGAAATCTACATGTGAGTTCTGATACCTACATGCAATGCGAGACAAAATGAAAGCGTAACCGACCACTACCTATCTTCCATGGCCACTGCCACTCCCACTGCCATAATCGTAGTATGCATGGTCCCCTTCCTCATAATAAGTCGATCTGTCATCGTAAGCCGGTTCTTGAGATCCGGAATGGCTCCTCCCGTCTTTAGGAGACCCTCGTCTAGATTCCGCTTCCTTAGCTCTCCCTTGCGAAATTACGTGCTTCAGAGATAATGATCCCCAAGGTAAGCCGGAGAGCTCCTCATCGGTGCCCAACTCACGCGGATCAGGAGTGTGATATGAACGTCCGGCGTGAGCTCGATCACGGGCTTCTCGATCTTGGCGCTCCTTGGCCTCCTTTGCCTTATCTCCTATAGAATTGCTTCCTTTAGCTACTTATTGCCTTCTACTAAGATGGCCAAGAAAGACTAACGGAATTTTCTTTGTGCGTTTCGATTCTGAACGCGTCTTCTCTCCTCAGGGTCGGTAATATCCGACCAGTCATCCCCTTTGGGTCTAGAACTTGAAGAGGAGGAGTGTTCCTTTCCCTTTGATGACGAGGAGCTCGAATTATGGTGAGAAGACTGGCGGGAGGACGGCATCTCGGTTTCGGTTGAAGAACCCGATTCGGATTTGTCGACCCGATTGTTATCAGGATCGTCGACGGCGATCCGGGGGATTCTGCGCGTTGGTTCTTCAGGGGAACTTCCACTAGGTTTGTTCTCTGAGATCCGGGGGTCCCTTTCAAAGCTTAGCATGCTTTACCAAAATAATGTGATACGGTAGTTACCAACATCTACCAAGGAACCTGCTCCCTGAGATATGGATAGTATCAAGCAGTTCCAAGATGAACGGAGGCAGATGTGATAACCATGAAACTCCTTGTGGTTAGAAAGAGGATCGAAGTCAAATCAGTGGACGGGTCGAAAATGCAAATCTGTGGATGCTGGTCGATCTAGGCTTCTGACGTACTGGATGTAGTACAATCCAATTGACTCTTGGGAATACTTTGGTGATAGAGAGAAAGCAGTAAAGAAAAGCAGAGACTGGGAGAGAATGGACCAGATATATAATGCCTCGACGAAGAGAAGTGGAAGGGTTACCCGAACTGTCCCAAAAGCAGAAACAACTAAATCAAGAGGATTCTGAAAAGAGTTAGAAGAGATGTGACGGCCGCGAAGTTAGTGACGCAGATAGACCAGACGACATGGGCAATACCTCAAGCCTCCATGGTGGGGGGGAGGGGGGCCGGCAAGGCCCTGGAAGGCTGCCTCAACCTGAATTGAAGCCTAGAGAAAGTTGATTGGCCTACCCCGGAAATGTTCATGTGACCGAAGCCTGCCTCCCGTAAGCATGCTCCAGGGAGAAATATAGAGGCAGCACGAGAAACGAGAGGGAGTCCATGTCCATGGAGAGTTTATGGCTAGGCACGAGAGCAGCAAAGAGCAGGTGGTGATAGACAAACACTTGTTTGAATCCATGATCCAAGAGATGGACAGCTTTCCTTCACAAAGACAAAAGCAGATATGCAGCGGGAATAAGAGTATACGGAGCACGGAGTAGCAGGTCCAGGGAATGGGTAGTGGGCAACGGGCAACGGGTAACGGGTAATCGGTTATGAGGGAACCCCGGCATCCAGGCAGAGATTCCGGATTTGGGTGAGAATCAGGCAGCACCGTTGCTATAAAACGCCACGCCCTCTTGGTGCAGGACGAGCAGATTGCAATGGTCGCCAGATGAGTCTTTGGATATCACCCCGGCGGTGGTGACGCATACTCTGTGAGCGTTCGGTCGCATGTCGTGCAGCAAGTGTTGAAGTGCAGGTTCCGCCGAGAACCGTCTTGACCTGAGGACATCCCATCGGCAAGGCAGCCCCCCCTATTGAATGGCTATAGATGCTTTGAATGCTACTATTGTCAACGTTAGCAGCCGCGTATTCGCAAAATCGAGGATCTCTGCCTACCGCAAGATGGGAGGAGGGAGCCATTGGCCAATGCCTCCGAGTCTTTCCAGGCATTCTCCCCCACAATCACCATCGGAGCCGCCGTCTCTGTTTCCATGAACAAGTACCAAGTCCACAAATACCGTCCTTGGCCTCTGCAAACCAGGAGTTGTGATATTGGGGTTAAACAATACGAGGGAAATGATTCATACCAACCCCGCGAGCTTCCTTGTGCGGTACGGCGTGGAGAGCCGAGATTCGAATGGCTGGGAGGAGGCACGGCACGTGTGGTCGACGAGGAACATTAGGTAAGGCAAAGTAGAGTAGGTATATTTTGGCCACCTCTTTGTCTCCCCTTATGTCTTTCCCTCTTCATTCGCCCTCTCTGGTTACAGTGCAGTCGCCGGGAACTCTCCATGTCGGGTTGGAATTGGCCGAAGTATCCCTATTTATTACCGCGCACTCTTCTTCACTCCCGCGTTTTGCTCGCGGCAGATGACCCCAATCGGAAATTCCTATAGGCTGTCTGCGATACCATATAGTTTACATCACAAGATCTCACGCTCAAGTGGGGATGGATGCTGTGCCTATGCCATTATGTTGTACATTTGAGTTGACCTGCAAGCTTCGTGTGCGAAGCATAGCTCCATAATCCTACATTCAATAACACGCTTCCGAGCACATGACGGCCTCTACCTTGCGTTCTTTGCCTCTCTCATCTTCTTGTCGCGAACCTCGGCCCGTCGTCTTTCTCCTCCATCTATTTTATGTCCCCTTCGGTGTTCCCAAAGGCCCTCCTGAACCACAATCTTAGCTCCTTTGCCCCCTTTTATCGGCTGCACACGTGGTCCAATGATCGTGTGGGCGCCCTTGACCTTAAAGCCAGGAACTGGCTCAAGCCCCTCTACATTCTGAACCTTCATGGGGTCTTTCACATTGACCACAATCTTTCGCTTGCCTGGCGATAACGTTGCTGTTGCCGTTTCAGCACTACTGCTCTGTGCAGGGACCTCCACAACAGAAAGCAGAGCTTCGCCATTTTGGACATGACGCAGATTGCCTCCAACACCAAACTTCCCTTGACGGAACCTCTCCCGCCATGCGAGCAGGTACCGTCTAGACCGAGGAGGCTCAATTCCAAGCTCTCGAAGTTGCGTTGAGCTTAAGGTGAACAAGGCCTCCCAACTCGGTATCTTCGAGGCATGCTGGCTCAGATTGCGTCCAATAAGTGTAAGAAACGTCTGAACATCGGGGACGAAGGGCGTTGGAGCCGGTGCTCTGGCGGCTCTTATGCGATCATGAAGGTATCGCGTTTGAGTAGACGCCGACTGCGTGAAAGGGAGGAGGAAGGAAGGGATTGGCCGTAACGGCGCCGACTTTATAATCATGGCTGACTGTTATTTCCCAATCGCGCAAATTAGCACCTGCAATGGATAGAGAGGATACATGGAGACACTTACAGGCCCTGGCCGTTGCTGTCTGTCCTCAATGTAACTGCCGTTGAAACAGACTTCAGCTCTCTGAACTCGAAAACTTCCCGAATCAATTAGCGATTGCTTAGGTAAACACCCGCCTGTGCAGGCTTACATAATGTGTACCAATGGAGTGTACTGTAAAGTACCTTACCCTAATACAGTTTAGCGCTCCGCGATAAGATAAGGCAAGGAGACCATGTTATTTTGCCTTTCTTCTATCGAGGCCACTGCCTAGGCGCCACTTCTCTCCCTCACACATTCATTTTCTCGATTTGTTCCACCAGGTCTGTCCTTCTTCTTACTTGGCATATGCTCCTTGTGGCATCTCATCTGAAGCGAATATATACTCGGCGCGACCGCGACCCAGTGTGGTGATGCCCCGAGTTTGTACTCAGAGCCTGACATCCCAATTCTGGAGGCGCAACTGTCATGCCGCGAGCAAAAAAAAGTGCTCGAGGAGGTGTTCCCCTTGGGGACGCTCACCGCTTTAGAGTCTACCATCGAGACGCATCTGATGAAGCTCCGCGCGAACTGTCCGACGACTTGATCGAGTATGTATCCCGAAATGAGACGGGATGCGAGCCACCACGAAAACGATTGAAGATGATGCCAGAGAGAAACTTGGCAGCGAAAGATGACATAGAATTACAGCAGTTGGATGGGAACAGGGACAAGGAGCTAGATTACATCGTCGTGAATCAGTCGACATGGGACATAAGGTGCGCTGGGTCGAAATTGTCAGGCATGGAGATGCCTTTGGAGAGAAGCAATATCAGGCCGTATGTTTTATGGGCGATGGACACAGGAACTAGCAGCCCATGGCTGAGACCCATGGTACCCCAATATATTGAGATCCAGGATCATGCGAAGAACTGCATTTTTAGAGCGCTGCTCCCTGAAGATAAAACAGGCCTTGAGGATGTCCTTCTGGCATTGGATATCGATCACGGGTTAAAAAAAAGGGCTGGGGGCCAGGGGAAAATATGGACTGAGTTTGGAATTGTATTGCTGCAGAAGGATGGCACGGATTATGTTCGAATGGTCTTTACCATCAAGTGGAATCTCGCAAGTTCGCTGGATCATGTCGCCCAGTCCAATAACAAAATCCCTTCCTTGAGCAAGGTACTGAGCACCTACTTTCCGGATCCAAATGCCACGAAGTTAGATACATGGTCGCCACAAGATTTCTACCAAAGTGTCCATACTCCCAGCAAGGACGACAAGATAGCAGCGAGTATTAACACCAACCTAGAGTCAATCTTGTATCCCTTTCAAAAAAGAGCCCTCCGATGGATGCTCCAGAAAGAAGGGGTAGACTGGTCCGGGGTGGATGTACGAGAGCGTGATTTACGAGGCACCGGGACTGGAGACCTGCCAATCTCTTTCATCAAGACAAGGGACGCTCGAGGCAGGTTGTGCTATGTAAGCCACCTTTATGGCTGTGCAACTTTGGACCTTGAACCCTTCAGATACCTAGAACGAAGCCTAAAGGGGGGCATTCTTGCGGAGGAGATGGGTCTTGGAAAAACTCTCGAAATAATATCTCTGATTAATCTTCACAAACGTCCACAAGAACCTTCTACGTTATTTGACACATATATTGGCGAAGAAGTTCGGCCGATAGCCGCGACACTGATCGTCTGTCCGCCATCTCTAGTACTGCAGTGGATCTCCGAGATACAAAGGCATTCGAATTTAAAGGTCATGCATTACGAGGGGATCAATAAGCTATCCGGAGAGGTTAACACGTCGGAATTATTGGATACCATGACTACGTCAGACGTCGTTGTTTCGACATACTCTGTTCTTGCGGGTGAAATACATTATACGGCTTTAAATCCCGAGAAGACATTACGTAGGGAGTCGAAGTATCCCAGGCCGAAATCCCCCCTGATGATGTTTAGCTGGTGGCGAATCTGCATCGATGAAGCTCAAATGGTGGAGAGCGGGGTCAGCAAAGCGGCCGTGGTAGCTCGTATGATCCCTCGAGTTAACGCTTGGTGCATTACTGGTACACCGGTTCGAAGAGATGTAAACGATCTCCTAGGTCTCCTGATTTTCTTGCGCGTTGAACCCTTTGCCTCAAAAAAGGATATCTGGAGCTCGCTCATCTCAGTTCACAAATCCTATTTCCGTCGCCTGTTTGGATATTTGGCTCTTCGTCATAGCAAGAGGGAGGTACGAGACGAGCTCAGACTTCCAGCTCAGAGAAGATACGTTATTACAATGCCTTTCACACCTATTGAGGAGCAGCACTATCAGGAGTTATTCAATCAGATGTGTGAAGAGACAGGGCTGGATACTGAAGGGGCCCCCCTATCGGCGGACTGGGATCCCGATGTGGCAGCTGAACCCATGAGAAGATGGTATGTTGTCGAAAGTTATCAGTTTAATGGAAGCCAGCAGACTAATGTATGCTTTTAGGCTGGTACGCCTACGGCAGACAACCCTCCACCCAGAGGTTGGTGGAAGAAACAGGCGCGCGCTAGGACACAAGGACGGCCCTTTACGGACAGTGGATCAAGTCCTGGATGTGATGATGGACCAGACCGATGTTTCCATCCGGACAGAGCAACGGCTGCTTCTTACTTCCAAGCTGAAAAGGGGGCAGCTTTTCGAAAACTCCCCAAGGGTTAAGGAGGCTCTCAGGATCTGGGATGAGGTAGCTCGTGAAGCCAATGAGATCGTTCAGGAGTGCCGAGAGCAACTGCAGCAGGAGATTGCTAAAATCCCGACTGAGATCAAGAATTCTTCAGTCAAAGAAGAATCATCTGGATCAGATGATGACCTTGATACCCCTGAAGGGCAAGAGGAGTAAGTATCTCAGTACACAGAAGATGCTCATGAAACTAAAATCTCGAACAGAGTTGCACGCCTTGGAGTGTTCCGAAATCGATTAAGGACTGCTCTGGAAATAGAGCACGTGGCTATCTTCTTCCGTGCGAGTGCTTACTACCAGATCAAAACAAACCAAGATATGACGAAACCCGACTCGCCAGAATTTCACGAACTGGAAAAGCTTGAGACAGAAGGTTACGAAGCAGCCAAGAAATTGAGACGCGAAATCCTGCAGGAGGTGAGCTTGATATTTTTACAACTCTACCCGTTCTTGGGACTGACTTATTTTCTTCTAGATCTACCGGAAGGCTGAAAAACTCATGAAGAGGGTATCTAAAAGAGCAGAGGCACAAGACTATGTCCAGATTCCTGAATTTACGACTAAATTTCCAAAGGGAGGCATCTTGAGTCGCAGAATTATAGATCAGTTCGACACTCTCGCTGCAGCTCTAGATGCACAGGCGAACACGCTTGATGAGTGGCGCGAAAAGACAATCCAGTTCCTCCTTCGGCCTTTGGTAGATGAAGAAGATGATAAAGAGATAACTGGTGACGAGTACGAAGATTCTACCAAACTCCAAGATGAATTGATGGGTTATGTACAGGCTTTACGGACGGTAATAGCTGATCGTCACGACACCCTTACCGGGCAGGAGAACAAGTTGGTTGAATATGAAGTCAAGACAACACTGCGCATGGCGAAGGAAAACGAGGGTGTAGTCCCCTTGAAGACTCTACAACTTCTTAATATTCGTCAAGAACTCAAACCTACAAAGGAAATGGGCTCGTTACGGGGAATTGTTGCAGAGCTTCGAGCATTGGCAGCATCATTGAGGCCCGATGCCGAGAACGGTAATAGCCGAGCAGAAGCAGAACTCGCGATTGTAGCGGAGCAACTCAGCTTGGCTCAAAAGCAATTGAGCGAGCAGACCAAGGTCACGAGCGCACTAGAGAAAGAAGTCGAGCTGTTTACCAACGTCATGAATACCAGGCTAGAGTATTACCGCCAACTTCAACAGGTATCTGACATGGTAGAGCCCTACGATGGACCAAACGACGAAACTGTCCTAGCAAAAATGCTGGAAAACGAAGAGAAACTAGCCCATAGAATTGCCATGGCCAAAGCCAAACGACGCTACTTGGTACATCTGAGAATGGAGGCTGAAAATCCACCAGAGCAGCGGATCTGTGTAATCTGTAGAGAGACCTTTGAAGTCGGAGCGCTTACAGTCTGCGGGCACCAGTATTGCAAAGAGTGCATCCGACACTGGTGGCACAGTAAGTAGCCCAAGGTCCGATATAAATCAAGGATACTAACAAGATCTCAAGCCCATCATAATTGTCCGGTGTGCAAGAGGAAGCTGGTCCAAGCGGATCTACATGATATTACTTATAAGCCTCGAGATCTCTCTATTCAAGCCGAGGAAGTCCACGAAGTATCGCATGAAAGAGCTTTGCCAAGCCCTACATCCAGAAAGTCGGCAATCTACTCGGAGATTAGCAAGAACAAACTCGCTGAGATCAAGAATATCGAACTTGATGGACCATCATTCACAACGAAGATAGATACCCTGGCTCGACATATATTCTGGCTCCGGGAGACAGACCCTGGAGCGAAATCCATCATCTACTCTCAGTTCAAAGACTTTCTTGATGTCCTAGCTCGGGCATTCCAAAGGTTCCGGATCGGATACTCTTCGATTGATAAGCCGAACGGTATTGAAAGCTTCAAACAAGATCCAGGTGTCGAATGCTTCCTTCTCCATGCTCGGGCACACTCGTCTGGCTTGAACCTGGTCAATGCCAGCCACGTCTTCCTCTGTGAGCCGCTGCTGAGCACCGCCCTGGAGCTCCAGGCTATTGCTCGTGTCGACCGTATTGGCCAGCAGCAGGAGACGAACGTCTGGCTCTACCTCGTCGACGGGACAGTGGAGGAATCGATCCACCAACTCTCGGTGAAGCGACGCATGGAGCATATCGGGCAGGCGATCTCCAAAGACAAGGGCAAAGCGAAAGAGCTCAGCATCGACGAGGTCATCAATGAGGCCGTCGACGATGTCCTCGACAGCAGCATCGAGGAGGCGAACTCCCTGGAGCTGCAGCAGGCGTCGCTGGCGGGCCTCTTAGCCAAGGGCGGCAAGGGCGGCGAGATGGTCGAGAAGGAAGATCTGTGGGATTGCCTGTTCGGCGGCGTGAGTAGGCGCAAGAAGGACGCTGGGGACCGCACGATCGATACCCATGAGCTGAGAGACGAACCGGAGATTCGGAGACACCTGGTTGCGGAGGCGGCGGAGCAGCGCGCCCAGGATAGTCTTGCTTGACATGTAATGATATCTCTCTGATCCGAGAAGCGTAGGCGGATCAGAAAGGAGCTTTAGAATGGCTCATACCTATATAGAACTTGCACAGTACAGTTTGGCAAAATCGCTAAAGCTACATATAGACAAGGCTAATGGATCACTTTCTGAATCTTTCTGCCCGTTTTTGATGTCGAGAAAGCGTTCGTGGTTTGTTAATCTGAAAATTGGAGCACCCTTTCGAATAAACTCCCCAGAACCATCGACTTCCGTCATCCTTACTGGATATACCCATCTCAAGACATGTACCTAGGTACGTAAGACAGATACTAGGAATTTGGCGGATATGAAATCCATGTAGGCGAAAGTAAAAAAAAACAGTCCCCGCTGATACAGCTTCAAGAACGAGAGGGGGCTTCATGCTTGTTACAGTGATGCTTTGCTTTGCTTTCCATCTACTTCGTAGTAGGTGTTGAAGGAGAAGATGCTGAGACGGTGGGGTGGTGATAATTCAAGAGACCAGAGCTCTCCACCTTAGAGCTCGATCAGTACGAACGAATGGTCGGACCCAAACGAGAAAATTCGCACAGCTTGATACAACACAACAAGTATATGTATTTCTATATAGAACAGTTCTTGAATTTCATCATTATACATAACTAAGTATCTACTTCGTTCCCTCACAGCAAACGTAGAACCAAAACCAAAACCAAAAAAGGGAAAAAATAAAATAGGGCATTGTCTCCCATCAACGAACGTCCACCCCGCTCTCAAGACGCGGAACGGCGAACTTTTTCAATCCAGGAGCTCTTACATTTATCTCCAGAGCCGCACGCCCCGGAGGGCGCTGGCAACACACCACTGTGACGGCGTTCGAGGTGGGGGTCGTGGCTGGCTCTGTTTACTTTTTGATAAAGAGAGAAGAAGAAAAAAAAGAGGTAAAAGAGATGTGTGTTGCGCGGGTTTTATAGGGACGAGCTAGGGAGCGTGGGCCGCTAAGGGAGAAGAAGCGAGGTCACGCGTTTGTGGGTTTGTTTGTGGTGGCCTGAGGCGGGAAGGAAAACATGAAAGGGGGAGGTGTGGATAGGTAAAGGAGGTAAGGTAGGTGGTACTCTATACTTGAATGACGGAGTGCTGTACGAAGTTGGTTGGTCTTTTGATTAAAACAAGTTTCCTACCTATCTCAAGGTACAAAGTAAGAATCCTAGGAAGGTGTTGTTGACCACGTGAGACATAAACTTGTGTTGCACATCGCAGTCGATGAGAGGAGATCCCTGTCTGGTAACTGGCATATCCGCTGTTGTAAGCGTCTTCATGTTCTGCTTTTGGGAGCGGTTCTGGAAACGGTCTAGGAAGGTCTTGTAAATTCATAGGAATTTGTTTTGTTGCACATCGCACTCTTGACCTCGGTGGCCGCCGGGAACTCGCCATCTACTCACCACCTACTCACCCCTTGTTCGCCAGCTTCACCATCGTCACTTCCGGGGAGGGCCTTCGAAGTCATAAGATATCTAGATTTGTAGGTTTTTGTTACACATCGCATATTTGAAGCTCGCTGGGTACTCGCTGGATACTCGCTGGATGCTCGCCGGGTGCTCACCAGCTACCTACTACCTAAGGTACGGTACTTACCACCTCATCTGTTGGAGTTTGTCCCTCATAGGTCTGAGTGGTCGGCCTAAGTAACTTTACAGTCGTCACTCTTAGGAAGGCCTTTTCAAATCCTGGCACATTTAGTTTTCTAAGCTTTTGTTGCACATCGCATTTTCAAACCCTCGCTGCGTGGTCGCTGCGTGGTCGCCGCGGGTGCTCACCGGGTGCTCACCAGCTACCTACCGGTGTCAACTCTTGGGAAGGGGCCTTTCACCTAGCTACTCACCAACTTTACCAGGAGCGCCGGAAGGTCTTGTAAAACAACGGAATATGTAGGACCAACCCGAGCTTTGTTGCACATCGCATTTTTATCGGCGGGTAGTTACCGTGTACTCACCTGATACTTACCGTCTACTTACCGTGCGCTCACCTGTTACTCACCTGTTACTCGCCACCTGCTCACCAACATCCCAGGAATGCTCGGGACGTCTTGTCAATCTACCTGCAGGACCCGAGTTTTGTTGCACATCGCATTCCGGGCGTCCCTTGCTCCTGCCGCCAAATTGACTGGGAATTCCCGGGAACAGCGGGAGACTTCTTCCTTCCGTCCCTCTTGTTGCACGTCGTATTCCCGAGGCATCTTACTCTTGCGAGTTTTGATATCGTTCTACTTTACAGTACCTATAAGGTAGGTTTTCTATACCAAGAGCGAGGACTGTATAAAAGACAAAAAGAAAAGTGAGGAAGGTTTTGGTAACCGGATGCCTACCTACCTAGGTACCTTGCTTTACAGTACGGATATTGCCCTTTTGAGGTCGGAAGGCTGGTCCTCATCCCTACCTATCTTATCCGCTACGCCTCTATTCCCCGGCCCATCCCTATCCATCCCGTGTCTTACTCCATCCCGACCCGTAATCTTTTGTTGCACATCGCATTCTAGGGAGCCCTTGCCTCGACGGCTGCTCGCCAGCGATTCGCCGCCGCATCCACTAGGAACAAGCCTCGGGAAGGTCTTGCAGAAACATCTTTGCTACGATATCTCGCAGAAGCCCCTTTTCTCCGCGCTTGAGAATTGGGGGTTGGGACTTTGGCATGGTATTACTGACAAGTAAGGTACCTGAAGGTAGGGAAGGTAAAGGTAAAGTAAGATAAAGTTGATAAGAGAGCCCTCGACGAATTGTCGTCCCTATCTATCCTCGTCTGTCCCGACAACTTCCCCTCGCGTCCCGTGTTGTCCCCGCCTCTTCACCTTTTGTTGCAGATCGCAAAACGGGCTGTCCCGACCTCGACGGCTGCGTGCATGTCGCGCTCGATTTCCCCTTGGCTGCGCATCTGCCGCATCCCGGCCCCCTTGCGATTTCGACGTGCAACAAAACGTGAGAGAGGGGGGATATTTCCATTCTGCACACCACACGAGAGGCGAGAGAAGAACGGGAGAGGATACCAGACTCAGGCCGCGGGATGGATGGGATAAGAATGCCAAGTCGTTCGTTCATCTTTTGATTCTTCCCTCTCTCTTCTTTTCATCTAGATTGGTTGTTGGTTCATCTCACATCTTACTTCGTTTGTTGGTTCACCATCCATCCACGGCTTGCCAACATGCGCAACGCACACACACACCCGTCTCGAGGCGTCCAATTCCCCGCCCCCAGCAGCGCGCCACGAGGCCGCCGGCATGGAGGCGAGTCTCGCCATCCACTCCCAAGCCCTGTCCTCGAAACAAACCGCAACGCGCCGTTTCCTGTTGCACGTCGCAGACCCAGTGTTCTAGACCGTCGTGTGCTGATCTTCGACTCGTGCCCCGCGGCCGGGGTGTTTGTCGAGTAGCACGTGACGCCTTGGTTCTTCCATGAAAGAAGGGGGGAAAGGCGGCTGTGTATTTGGGGAAAGGAGAGGATTGGGGTTCGGGTTCTTGTGGTTTTGGTAATAGAGGGAAGAGAGAAGGAGATATTTACGGTGGAGTCACGGGACTGGGAACAAAGAAAGGGGAAGACGGGCAGATCCATCCCAGATACAAGGATCCGGGGTCTAGACCCACAGCGGGCGGACGTGGATACCATGCATCAGGGTCTGGGGTCGTGAAGATTCAAGATGAGAGGCAAAAGGGGTAATATTGGATGCGCAGTACGCTGTGCCTCTGTGTTAGGGGGACGGATTACTTTCCTTAGAAGGGTGTCCTGGGGCTCATGCAATAGACGTATAAATAGATGGCGAGTATGGTTCTATAGGTATTCAATGTAGGATAGGTAATGCAGGTATAACTAGAATCCAGATTAGAATGCCATGGCTACAGCATCTCCCTACCTACAGTAGGTAGATGGTATGTCTTAGTCGGGGAATCCTTTAAGCAGTGCTCCGTACAGAGGCAGAGATGATACAGTACAGAGTAGATCAGACGAACGAACAAGTACGTACAGAATCAGAAATACACAGTAGTGTAGGCCGGAGATTCAGAATACTTGGTATAGGTATGTTACATCATGATAAGCGACATGATGCCCTTCATCCCCACATCCGGTTAGCTCTGCCCCTAACATTTGCACGCGAGGCCCTTGACGCTAGGCCGCGTTGGGAAATTACCTGGGGCCGCGCCTGTACAACGCAGTCCTCAGTATGTCAAGTCCTTGTTCTGACTGACGTGCGGTCCCGTACATAGGTAGTCAAAACTCAGCATGCCCTCCTATTCATTACTTGTGGGCGCTTTTGTGTTGTTCATTGTTGTTTCTGTTTGAGCCTTTCTTTGCTCCATTCACAGGCACAGTCATTCAAGGTCTTGGGAACTGAGAGTCGACGAACACTGCGCCTTGCTCGCTCCTTCATCATCAAAACAGGGGAGTGCGTGCGCAATCTTCTTCCCCAGGCACCAGCAATCCTTCAAGAATCAGTATTTCTCAACCCCAACAACTGCATCATCACCATCCCGTCGTACAGTCTGCACATCAGACATCCATCGCTATCATGAGCACTTTCACAGAGAAATCGTACGGCGCCAACCCCAATGGCCTCACACTTGCCTGGCCGGCCGTCACCCGCCAATCCTCATCTCAATCAATCGATCTTCTGACCCCTATCGAGGATGCCCAGTCCAATAATTCCTTAACTCCAGCATCTTCAAACACCAACGAGAAGGTCAATCCAACAGTCTCCCCTTTCTCTCCCTTCTACAACCCCTCTCCGTCGCGCCGTTCCCTCGAGGCACAGAAGATCGAGTCGAGACAGAGCATCATTGCTATGCCCCCTCCATATGACGCCGATGTCGAGGCTGGTGTGGCGCTCCCACCCATAGCTGCCAGCTCGAGCAAGACCGGGCTAGTGAAGGACAAGAATCAGGTCGCTGTCAGCTGCACCATGTGGCCAGATCAGCAGGCGATGAAGCTGAAGAAGAAGGAGATGAGGAAGGCCAAGGCGAAATACATGCTCTGTGGGTGGATGGCAGGCTATAATAGGGCCACCCGGATCTGGATCAAGATTTTGATAGCGGTGGTGGTTATTGGCGCTGCCGTTGGAGTCGGGGTTGGCATTTCGAGGGCCACGGGTGGTGGGGTATGGAAGAATCAGCAGAACTCCAATTCGCCCATCGCCCATCGTTCGGATGCTCGTTGATCGCACGAGGTATGTTGATTTCGTTTGGCCTTAGAGGCAAATGCTAACGCTCCCAGTCTTCGATATCACTCACTCTCCAAAGGACTGTCCTTCAAAACTTCCGGACCTGGCCACGACCAAGATAACAACTTTCTCATATGACCATCTCCTTCTCAGCCACGGCGGCAACCTTTCCTGTGTACATAACGCTCCTTTCGCTGACCACATGATCGGCGCTCCGGTCCAGCACACACTTCCTTCTTTCCTAGCACGGCAGCAGGAAAGATCCAAGTGCTCTGCTCATACGCAGTGCACGTCGACTCGACTGGCTCGTGTCGGCCTTGTATCTCCCAAGTTCCCGCTATAGTAATATGGGGCATGGTAGAGTTCCTCTTGCCGTACTTGTGTGACAAGGCCTTTCATTCTCGGAGAAGTACCGTGTATGTGAATAGAATGACAGTATTCACGACATGGATAGTTTAGGGGTATATAGAGGGAGAAGAGTCAATCGACGACTTCTCACCTACCTTGCGTTGCCAGTAATCATTCTCCGACGTGATTCCTGAGAATGACTTACCAAAACTCAAAGCGACAGCATAATCATAGGACTAAAACGAGCAAATGAAGAAGATCACAGAGAAGACAACTAGAGCACTCTGATGGGATGCACGGATATATACCTTACCTTAATCACTCCCCCTGGTGGAGAGGCTTATGTAAGACCCCAACATCCGGCATCTCCAAGCCACCGAGCATACGCTTTGTGCAAGGTTATGCACGGGATGACTGAGGGGATGAAATTGCATAACCCATTCAACCAATCAATCACGATAAGACTTTCATCGTCCCTTGAAGCCGAAAATGCCCCCCCAAAAACAAAGAGAAAGCAAAGCAAGCAAAAAATAAGCCGCTATACGAAACAAAAGAAATAAAAAAATTTAAAAAAAAGGGAAGGGAAGAAAAAAATACATACAGCAGTAGGTATTCGCTGGTGGTCACCCACCCAACTACTAATCTACCGATCTGAAGCTTATGTATGGCAGAGCGGACGGGATGCCCAGTTCTCTTCAGTCTATGGCCGTATGTGCTGGAAAAGGTTTTGTTTCTGGATATATAGTATGTGATGAAGTGGATACAATATAGGTAGGTAAGGTAGGTAGGTAAGTATACATTCTTCTTTGTTAGGGAATTAAGGAGAAGATGGCTAGAAAAGCAAAAAGCAAAAGCAAAAGCAAAAAGCAAAAGCAAAAGCAAAAATTCGCCGGGAACTATCCATTCTTTCGTTCGTTCGTTCGTTCGTTCATTCATTTTTAATTCGTCATCTTAGGCATGAGCAACGAATCCGTCTAAACCCGTGCTCCCTCCCTACCCATCCATCACCTCCGCCAACCCTACATTCCCCACAGCCTGCGGATTCCAAAACACATCCCGCGGATCCACTCGCCGCTTGATCGCAAGCAGCCGCTCATACGTCGACGTCCCATATCCTAGCCGCGCCACCTGGCGCGCCGACAGATCCGGATCCGCATAGTTGAGGTAGATGCCGAAATCTGTCGCGTTGTTCCCCGCGGCCAAGGAGCTCGTGAGGTTATCGAGGAAGGGCACGACTGTGCTGGTGGGGAAGGGGGATGCGTGGGATGCGTAGTTCTATTCAGTGTTTTGCTAGTGAGTTTTCTCGTTCGCAGGGGGGAAAAGAGGGGAGGGGATACGAACTTGGAAGACCCAGAGAGCGTCGCGGTCAGAATACGCCGAGGCGTTGGCGGGCGGGACGTTGATCTGACTCCCTGCGCCGCCGTACAGATTGATGATCGAGTACCAGGGATTTGGAGCACTCCTCCCTGGGCCTGTCACGAACGTCCAGAAGCCGAGCCATTCCGCGTGGGTCGGCGGGGCGGCCTCCTTCGTCACGATGGATTTGGCGTAGAAGGTATCGTGCATGTCATACCCGTACAGAGGGACGTTGAGCGCTTCTCCGTTGGCGAGGTTGGTCAAGCTGTCGATCCAGCCCAGCGGCGTGGCGCTCTGGGAGGACGGGGGAGGGAAGCTCTCGAGGAGCTTGGGGAAGGTGATGCTGTTGAAGGTGGAGACGTCGCACTCGATACACCAGCCGGAGAGGCTGAAGGCACCGCTGCTGTCTGTGTAAATGCCGAACGAGATATTGCCATTGATGTACGACGGATCAGCTACTGTGGTCTGGAGGCCCAGAAGGGCCTCTGTGACTATCGTCGCATTATCCAGGACCTGCGGGATTGAAGCCGAGAAGTTGATGACAGACCACGGTGCCGGATGCGTCTGCAGGTAGAAGTTGACCGCGATGCCGAAGCTGTCAGCGGCGCCCCGCATGGCGAAATAGATCGAGGGGTATTGGGTTGGCGTCACGTGGATATAGCTCCCGTTCGCGAGCACGACGTCTAGGGCCACGATTGTATCAAGCCCTAATCCCCAGAGGCGAGAGGAATGTCCATATCCGCCATGAGTGAAGTGTCCGCCGATGCCCACCCCAGGGCAGGTGCCATGCGGCAGAGCGCGCTGTCCCTGGGCATAGATGTCAAGCGCTAGGTTTCCAAGCCTGACGCCTCCGCCAACCGTCGCAATGCCCGTGGCTGTCGTCCTGTTAGAGGGAGCATAAGAAGTAGGGGTAAGGAGAAAGTTCACCATTGTTGACAGAGACACCGTTGAAGTTCTGCAGATCCACGATCAAACTCCCGTTCTGGCCACCGCTTGAATAGCTAGCGTATGAATGCCCCCCAGACTTGGCTTGCACCTTGAGACCAGCAGCTGCGGCACAGATAACTGAGGCGCTGACGTGTTGGGGAGTATAGGGGAGTGTGACGATAGCGGGATACCAGAAGAGACGGAGGTTGTAGGGGGTGATCAGCGAGGTCCAATTCGAGGATGTACTGTCTTCGAACGGGACCTGGTATGAATTGAGACAGTTGGTGACGTTTGTAGTTAGGGAAGAGCCGTCAGAGGCAGGGAGGGCAGATGCTGAAAAGGCAAGGACTAGGACGCCAGCGGCGAGCTGTGTGAGTAGCGAGTACATCTTGAGCTATTGCTGTTGGTATGAGAGAGACTGTTGTCAAGTCTTCCTGACTTAGGGTTGCTCTTGTTAAAGAGATGCATGACCAAGTGAGAAACAAAGGAATGTTGAAGATCCACCTCATTTAAAGTGGCAGATATACGTGGTACGTGGTACGTGGTACGAGAAATGAGAGATGAGAAGTGGATCCTCTCCAAGAGTCAAACTACTCGTATTCGGAAGAACGAATCAAGGAACATTAGTTGAGTCCGCTTGGAGTCTTCTCCAAAATGACAGGATGAAGTTGAGAATCAAGAGAATGTAGATCTGTGGGCGACCCCAGCTGAGAATTGTGCTGAGTGAGAAATGTGCTTACTGAGAAACGTGCTGAGTGAGAGATGCGCTGAGTGAGAAATATGCTGAGAAATATACGGACGGAAAAGCCCTTACTTTCTCGTATTCCTTGAGGGCAGAGACTTCAATTGTACTTGCTCAGTCACCATGAAAGGCTCAGTGCCTGATATAACTCCAAACTTCTGGAGCTGCGATTCAACGACAGGACGATGGTATCACTAGTCAGAATATGCCGCACCACTTGGACGAACACATCCTCACGAGATCGTATCAAGTGTACAGTAACAGAACCTCCCTTCTGGGCCTCTATTATTCCACCAGACGCCCATGAACGCACGATCTAGCCCACCTGCGCCTGAAAAGCAACTTCCCTCTTCACCCACTACTTCCGATCCGGATTCGGCATGCCCTCCGCTGACCGACTATTATACTGCTCCCTCAGAAATGCCTCCACTTGAACATCATTCTCCGGCCTCTTAATCCTCTCCTCCTCCTTCCACTCCCTTTTCTCCGTCTCGCAACGCTCAGAATTATTCTGCTGCTGTGATTTGTCGAGTCCGGGGATATACGAACATACTTCTCTCTATCATCAGCCACTGCCCCTCCAGTAGAAGCAAAAGCAAACATACCTTTCTCCAATATCCCCTCCTCCCCGCCCCGCTCTGGCACCGTCGCCTCGCCCAACCGGTCCTTCAGGGCCCCCTTCCGCACCACGTTCCCGAGCGGGTCGCGCGTAAAGTTCTCCGAGTCCTGGTCTGCGTCCTGGTCTTGCGGGGCTATGGCCCGGTCGTAGATGCGCGCGGCACGATCATGTAGCTGGTCTCTGGTAGAGGGTTGGTGTGACATTGTATGCTGGGTGGGTGAGCGCGGGGTACTTGATGGGCCGGGGGTGGTACCGGTTGGGTGGTTGTCGATCAATTGGTATAGATAAACAGATATCTGTTCGTTCGCGGTAGGAAATAGGTAGCGAGAAAAACAACATGTGAATATATACAAGGATAAATATAATAATGGACACAAGTTGCGAATAAGGATCTGATATGGAGGTTAATAAATGATGGAAGCTGGAAATGGACGATGCCCCTTACCCCGCGTGACGTCAGTTCCAGGGATTCGGAACCGGGGAAAGACGACTGATCCTCGTCACGCCTTGAACTTTAAACAATGTCCTTCATGATGATCTGCTTTATCTGATGTTGTTTTCTTTTTAGAGTTAGCTATTATCTGATACTATACGGTGTACCTCCGTATTCCTTTTCGGATATCCATATATGCAGGGATCTGTGAGAGGCTTGCTTTACTATTCGGATATATCCACTTGGACAGGCTTAGCTGGGGGAAGGATGATAGATCAAAACAACAAAGTTATGTTTCAAAAGAAACAGTTTGCTTGTGAAACCCATGAATGTTTTATTGTCGTAACGCTCGTAATGTAGGTCCTTTTTTTATAGCGCCCCCTAGAAAGTTGTGGTACAAGCCAGAATGTATCTCTTTCATAAGGTACAAATGACCACCGTTGTTTCACCAAGCCTGTTCATCGCCCCCCTAGAAAAATCAACTACATAAAAACTTTCCCCCGAAGGGGTTCATGTCTACAGCTTAGCTGTCAAAAAGAAGTGAAAAGGATCCCAGATCGTCGAGCCCATTCTCTTAGGAAGAATAAGGCTTAAGTGGAGACGCCACGAACATGCTGGTGCAGATGACGGCTGCGACGCTTCGTACTGCCGGACTTGGAGTATACGCTCAACGTCAAGCTGCCTCCGCAAGTCTCGGTGGCACCGCCCTCGCAGGTCATGTTGCACTGGCTCTCATCTACAGCTTTGCTGCCGCTCAACTCGTTGCCGCAGAAGCACTGTCCACCGTACTCAGTGCCGGCCATGCTATACCCAGCAGCTTCGCAGTAAGCGACGCACTTCGTATTGGTGACTTCGTGGTTGCCAATATCAGCGAACTCAATACCGGAGAGGGCACGGTTGCCGTTGCCGAGACTGTCAGAGTAGCAGCCATGGTAAGACCAGCCAGCTGCGACGGAAGACGAAGAACCAGGTGTAGAAGCAGGAGCAGCACCAGGCTTAGTCACCGTGGTCCAGATAACTGAGGTTTGGGAGACGTATGATGTAACAAGGGTGTTAGAGCCACCTGCAGCTGCGGGAGGTGCGGTGGGAGCAGCGCCAGCTGCATCAACAGCAGAGGATAACGGAAGTGGCTGAACTGAGGCGGTCTCAGCAACGACCGCAGGGGACGCAACACTTGTAGCGGTGGAGGAAGATCCAACGGTCTCAGCGGTTGAAGGCTTTGCAGCGGCAGAAGAAGTCGATCCAACAGATCCAGATGCTGAATGGCTTGCAACAACCGTGGCAGGTGCAGGTGCCACTTCAGCTACCGGGACTCCCCATTGTCCAAGAGGGTTATTGCCTGGCAACTTGTCCAGAACTCCGGAGATTTGTTCGTCGACGGCAGAGGGGATGTTGCAAGAGGTGCTTGGGTCGTTGAGTCCACCAATCAAGCCAGGGCACTTATCCATCCCGCTGTCTCCTGCATTGCAGTTGTCGATGATCTGCTGTAGCGTATCGACATCTCAGCCAGAAATCTATGTAGTCAGCAAACGAGTAATTGTGCAGGGGGTTGTAGGGGTGCTTACAAAATCAGCGTGGAGACTGTAGCCGGTTGGATCGCCATTGGCAAGGACAAATGGTTGGTTCCCCTGACCCGGTGTCCACTCATTTGCAAACAACGGGGTGTTCCAGTAGACCTCGTAGAAGAGATGAGGCTTGTGTTCCCATCCTTCCGGGCAGTTTCCGTTGGTTGGGAATTGCATGTTGGTCTTGTAGGCGTCGAGGCCTTGGGAGGGGTCGTAGCAAGATGGGAAGTGGATATCTGCACGGAGTGGAGAAGCATACCCATCACAGTCCTGGTCCGGGAAGCCAACACCCGCGCCGGCGTTTCCAGGGTCTTGGATCCCGACTCCATGAAGACCGTCTGAGTCGGTGGGGTACAGGGGCTCGGCAGTGTTCATACGAGGGCAAGTCCACTGGACTGGTTGAGGCGCACCGTCCGAGAGATCGGTGATGGATAGACCACCAGTGGCGGGCGGCGTACGGAGGGATGGGTTGCCAACGACCATGCGGTGGCCGGGTTGGAAAGCGGTGATCTTGTCGGTGGTTGCCTCGAAGCTAGTAAGAGGATTAGCATCGGTTGGGAGGATGGTGGGTTAGGCGTGTGGGTCAGCTCACAAGTAGTACACATTCATGTAGAACATAGGGACGTCGATGAAGCTACCATTCTGAGCATGGAAGTACAACTTGGGGGTCCAGTAATTGCTCTTGTCGTTCTTGACTAGAGACGAAGTGCAGTTCGAATCCAATGCTTGATCATCGGCCATGGTCAAGGCAAAGTTGCTTCCACCCTGCACAGCGTGAACGTGGCTTGAAGGAACCCCGGGGTTGATGATGGGATCCATACGGCCTTCCACAAGAGGTCCTTTGCCATAAAAGTGATTGACGGCGAAGGTGCGTCCTGTAGCCGAGTATGCGGAGGCGCACGCGGCGGACGTGGCCCACAGAGCTGGTGTTGAGAAATGCATGTTGCTGATGCTGTCCCACGATCTGAGGAAGTGGGGGATCCTTGTTGCGGTGAGGAGGGAAAGTGTAGAGTATCGCCGGGAGTACTGTGGATGCTGTTGTTAAGGGTGACGAGGCAGCTGTCGAAGCTGGTTGAATCAAAAGAGTAAAAGTCAAGGCGTGAAGGCCGGTAAGAAGAAAACACACAAGAGCAGCTGGACTCTGGTGAAGTGAAGGAGTGTAGAAGAAAGGAATGATCTGTATCAACAGACGATGAAGGAATAGAAAGGTAACAACGAACAAAAGGAGTGTATGAAGGACAGAGAAAGGGGGGGCGGTGATGGGGTGAGGGTAAGGAAGTGGAGGAGAGGAGGGGAGGGAGAGAGTGAAGTTTATATCAAGATTATCCATATCAGATTCCATCCCATCTTGGGGTCCTCAGAACCCGCGCGGTGCCATCGCTTAGGGGGGGTGGTCTGCGCAGGGGCTGCGGCACGCATTCACTGAGCGCGGAGGACCAAATCATAACCGCGAGCGACACGAAACGAAACGCAAGGCAAGGCAAGGCAGGGCCAGCAGGCAGAATAAAGCCAAAAGCGGCACAACAAGAAGCCAACTCGAAGAGGCGAGGAGTCCCGTGGCACGGTGCAGGGGGGCAGAGACTCAGAGGCTTGATTCTTGGGAGACTGGCGGCTGGCCAGATGCGATAGGATGAGATGTGAGGGATATATCATATGCCTGTAGTATCTGACTTGACCCATAACTTACCCATAACTTGACCTATCACACTTGATGCTTCCTCTGGCCCTGCTCGGCCGTCTGTCGATGATTTGTTTTGACGAGACCGGCTGTTTGGCACCAATCTTCTCCCTTTCCCAGGCATGTTATCAGATATGCCCCTGCAGGCGCTGGCCCTAATCAAACAGACGTTTCATGGGGACGCACCGTAACGCGGGCACGGAATAGCAATATCGGAGATACATGAGATGAGAGATACGGGGTGATATAGGAGTGATATAGGGACGATATACCACCGCAGGGACAATACCTACTCCGTGGGTTGCCTTATGTAAGCAAGAAACGACGGAGTCTAGAATCCAGATGCGCCTCCAACCGCCCGTTGAGCGTTTGCTGACGGAGCTATCTGAGCCACAGTCCTTACACCACTTCCAATAAAGCTTAATTAAGATCAAACAATTAATCAAGAAAATAGGCAAGGAAAACAGGTAAAAAGAGATCCCTACTTGGAAACAAACAATGAGGTTAACAATAAAATAGCATGGAACCAACCAAACAAAACAAGACAAAGTAGATATCAGGAAAACCAGACCTCTGCTGCAGGTAGGATACATACATGCATCACGACGAGTCAGGAATAATGCCATCTTTCACGGCGACAACCACCCTGCAAGGTGGAATCCCTCACAGCAAGGGTCGCCAGACGGAAAAATGCCAGCACCCGATTGACTGATCCAGCGCCTTCGAAACCTGAAACAAGGCCACTACTGAACCGTGGAGGTGCATGTTCCATGATCATATACCCGGCAGATATATCCATACTGTACAATGCATCCTTGCCCGGTGGAAAGCAACCGAACCGTCGAATAATCGCTTGTTCCTGGCGCCGAGGCGGCATATACGTATACATGCAGAAGAGTACATACCGATCAAATGCCCTGTCCTGTGTATGGTATGATACGGGCCAACTCTCGCCCCCCCTTTCTTTTTGCTTTTTAACCCCCCTAGGGCCCTTCTGCTGCGACTCGCTGGGAACGCCTATTGCGGCCACAAAATTCGGAAGACCAGTCTAGATCTTGCTCTGCGTACTGCAGTACAATCCGATGTTATAGGTCCCTGACCAACCTGGGTCCTGTGCCTGTACCGTACGACATTACAACCAGTATCCAGTGTCCACGGTATCCAGTGCTAAAGTCCCCATTCCAGGCCACAATATATGGGCTTGTGTCCTCGCATTCCCTGCCGAGGAGAGGGCGGCGTGGAAGTTGAGACCATGGAAGTGAAGTGACAACGGCCCGTCTCGAGGGTCCAGATCCCCTTGATCGCCACGCTCCCTGCCATCCAACATCCCGGATCCGCAGGGAAGAGAGACCGAGACGCAGTAGTCCGTACGGGGACGGAGTAATTATCCTCGCGAGCCGGCTCGCCGCTCACCACATCTGCTGCCACGCGATCGTTGCACTGTCTCTTTGGATGCAGGCTTTGGCATGGGAAGAGACAATATAGCGTATTCGGTGCGTATAAGACGTCCGTCTTACGGAGACGACGTTGTTGTGCCTCAGTACGTGGCACCGTGGCTGTCATTGACCTGGGGAAGTACTCCGTAGTGCCTCAATTACTAGGACAGTCAAATACTCCCTACCTATACAAGGAGAATCACTAGGTTAAACTATGGGTCTTGGACACAGATAGAATTTGGCACCCAAATGTACCCAGCTGAAGATGTAGCCCTGTTCGAGTCAAATCAGGATTTGGTTTCCAGAAATGATTGCTACTTTGAGGCAAGTAGTTACAAAGAGAGTTTTCAGGAGCTTTGACATACGGGATATCAACCGGTTTGGTGGTTCTCCTTCATACTCTCCCCCGCCACGCTAGGTCGGACTCATCAATCGCACATTACATAAGCAACCCCTCTTCACTCCTCAACGACGAGCAAACTACCACGACAACTATCACCACCACCACCACCACCACCACAGTCCCACCCCTACCCCCAAGATGACTATTCCCGAGAAGGCACCTATCCCCATAACCATTGTAACGGGCTTCCTCGGCTCCGGCAAGACGACGCTCCTCCTAAACCTACTGCCGCAGCTCCTGGCCAAGAACCCCGCCTACAAGCTCGCGCTGCTCAAGAACGAGTTCGGCGATGTTGCCATTGACTCGCAGCTCGCCAGCTCGTCGTCCATCACGGGCGTGCGCGAGCTCCTGAACGGCTGCATCTGCTGCAACCTCGTGGGGCAGCTGGGGACCGCGCTTCAGGAGCTCGCGGAGCAGGTGCGGCCGGACCGCGTCGTGATCGAGACGAGCGGCTCGGCGTTCCCGGCTACGTTGGCCATGGAGGTGAATCGGCTGGCGAGGGAAACGAATGGCGGGTATGTGCTGGATGGGGTGGTGACGGTTATCGATGTGGAGAATTGGAAGGGCTATGAGGATACGAGCTACACGGCGAAGATCCAGGCGAGGTATACGGATCTAGTGGTATTTAATAAGTGGGAGCTGTGTGATGAGAGGCAGTTTGATACGTGTCTGGACAGGCTGGGGGATTTGGAGGTTCAGATTGCGTGGGTGAAGAGTGATAAGGGGAAAGTGCCGGCGGACCTGATTTTCGGTATTGATGGGGGTTTGGCGAGGAGTCTGGGTCCGGACGCGGCTGGAGGGATGGTGGATGGCAATGAGAACCATAGCCATAGCCCCGGCCACGGACACGGGCACAGCCATGAGAAGGGTCATCAGAGCGAGGTTGAAGTGCTATCGATTACTCTGCACGCGGAAGGTTCCGCGGTAGTAGACACAGAAAAGCTTCTAAAGCTGCTGAAGTCTGCGCCAAAAGATGAGGTCTACCGCATAAAAGCAGTTCTTGCTGCTTCTGCAGCACTCCCATCCTCCGACAGTGAGCCCACCGAGGTAGTATCACCAGGCCAAAGCGGAAGATACATTTTGAACTGGGCATTTGGGAGATGGACCTGTACCCCGATGGCGGCGACGGCCGACGAACACGAATCCAGCAGCGGCCTAGTTCTGCGCATGACCATGATCCTCGCGCGGTACGAGAGCACGAAGTGGAAGAAGCGGCTAGAGACAGCAGACTTCCTTGAACTGGAAGGCAATCAGAAAGGTACCCTCCAAGTCGAAAAGATTGCATGACCTCCCCATGAGGAAACGATAATGAACCGCTGGGGAGAGTGTCACGATATATATGATTACGGGAAATGATTTTTATATAGACATTTCGGGAGGGGGCGAATAACGGATGGGGCGTGATATATTATAGACCATATATATAGATTGTGCCCTGCGCGGCACCGGGAGCTGAGACCTCCCTCCCTCGATCCATCACCTATCCTGCTATCCCCCAGCATATATCCAACCAACCTCCGCTACACTACACTAGCTATAAGTAAGCTATCAGCAGTGTATAACTAGCGTGCGTTGACAAAAGCTAGGTAGGAGGACGAGGACGAGGACGAGGACCACTCAACTCAGAGAATGATGCAAGCATTCCAATAAAGAAGAACTTCCTTTCCTCAAGGACATAGATAGACATCCCATCTCCTACTTTCTGTCTGCAGGGCCCCGAGACCAAAAGTTAGTCAGTATTCAAATGGTAGAAAACCATCTAGATATCTTAGATAGATAGATAGATAGATGATATAATCTGGTCCTTTTGATTAAAAAAGAAAAGATAAAAATATAAGATTTTCTTATGAGATGTATGTGTATATATATACCATCTATTCTATTCTATCTCCCTGTGATCCATCGTATACCACCAATCAACACAACATGTTACAAAAACACATCATATGCGTACGAATATCAACGCAGCAGTTCCATTCCATCTTTCTTACAAGCACCGCTCACTTGCTGTGGAATCAAGTCATGCAATATATATATATATATATATATAATGGATTTGATTAGGATGACGAGGCGGATAGAAATCTATTCGCTTCGCGAGAAACCGTTCATCCCTTCACTCTACCTATGAGAAGCTATGTGAGTCTTTCGATTTCACCCGGGTGTTTATTATCACGAGCCAGGGTGGGGAGTTGATTTCGAGATCAAGAGCTAGTAGTAATTCACCGAGCTGAAGGCAGAGAATAGCGAAGAGCGCTCGCTTTACACAACTACAACACCAAGTTCACTAATCCAGATCACACGCCCGTTTCCCATACCGAATCGTGCATTTCTCATATGCAATGGACCTGTTAGATACAACCCCGCGTGCCCTATCTATCCATTCATTTCCGGTTGACCGTTGTCCCATTCTGTAGCATTCTGTTTCTACCCATTCCCAGGTGTCTCGAGAGAAACCACGCAGATCTTAAAAAAGGAAGCCCAAGCCTATGCAACAGGGGTATTCACACACGCCATATGTCACTAGCGCCAGTGCCATCAACGTTTCCCCAAGACGTCCCAACACCGTGGTCCATATTCGGCATTGGTCAAGACCCCCGTTCACCTCATAACGCCGGCCGCCCGAAAAAAGCTCGAAAAAACATACAAGAAAGGGATGAAATTCGTATCCGAACAATAATCATTCATGCCTCTGGTAGAGGAAGGCGAATTGAAATGTGAGTAACGCCGAGCATGCGGTTGGTATGTATGCATTATGGTTGATGCCGTGCTAGAATCCAGTCCAGCTTTCTTTCTGCAGCAGCGGAAAAAGAGCATGCTCTTTTAGGTGTAGTTTTGGTAAGCACGATCAACAACGCCAAGTCCTCAATGCGGCGGCGTATTCGCAATAGTTGGTGTCGTGCTGCCACTATGAGTGATACCAGAATGACGAGGGGACGGCGGCTGAGGTAAGGATTGGTGTTTGGCGATTATGGCCATCTTCTTTCTCAGGGTTGTGAGACGAGTGCGGATCATGGATACGACTGACGAATGTTAGATTGTGCAAAACGAGGCAAGAGAATGGAAGGTACCTTTCAACACAGCCTGTCTATCATCCAGGTTGATGCCATTTACTGTACCGTCACCCTCAACCTTACTCTCCTTGTCTTCTCTCAGGCTTGAGGAGCGCCTCCGCTGAGGAGGAGCCTCATCGTCGCTCTCGAGCACGGCTTCCAGCATTCTAATAGCAGTGACGTACGAGATCTCACAACCAGGAAGGTCCTCATTTGCTATCTCGTTGATGGCTGCAGAACGACTCATCTCCAATGCCCGATCATACATCAACTTCTCAGCAGTAATGCCCGAGTTCAAGATAACTCCGTCCGTAGAAGAAGCTCCGGCAACTCGTGACGCGCTCGTGTTATTGCTTGGATGCCCTGGGTGATCTTCGGGCAATCGTTTTTGAGCCTCGATGAGTTTCAGTCGAACGATTTCCGCCTTCTCAAGGACTTCATTGAAGCGGCTGCGAACCCACTGGACTGCGCTATTGATACGATTGCCAGCTGCAATGCTGGTAGCTGTGTCACATCTCGGCGCATCGCCCGAAGTCTTCCGAGACCACCATGCCCCAGCTATGTCCATCGACTTGGCAAGAAGTGACAGCGCCTTGACGTATAGAACGAGAGCCTCTTCGGATAGAGCAACTACAGCCTCTGTTGTGAGACCCTCATCATCATCTCCTGGCCTATCTTGGGCGGGCCCGCCTAGACCGTGGTCCATAGAGGGTGCTAAGGGGATGAGTTGCTTATATTTGACCTCAGCAAATCCATACACCACGTCGCTCCTGGTGGCAGACTCCTCAATGATGTTAACGGTCCTCTGATCCTCGTCAATCGGTGCACTGGGTCTTCCATCTCCGATCAGGCCGATAGCGCCGTGAGGAGTGGGATAAGTCGGGAAGGGACCGTAAAGCTGAGGAGGGGACACCCCTTTACCAATTAGATGGGGGGACCACCCAACGCCGAAGACTCTAACACTAGCGCCATGGAGAGCCTTTGCAATGGCCGAAGTAGTTGACGGACTGCTGCCAAGCTTTCCGAGTGGGGCCTGGCGCTGTGTCGTCTGATCTGGTCGTACTCCACGAGCGATCTGCACTACACGTGACGGTGAAGCAGGTACTGCACCTGTAATTGAAGAAGGGGAACCCTGTGTTGTATTCCGTCGAGTTACTACTGGCCCTGATCGAGGCGAAATCTGCTGCTGTGCCCCTGACAGTCTAGGGTTCGCCGCCATTTCATCTGCAAACGCATTGACCTCAACTGCTCGTTTCTCCACCAAGACGTACTCTCGTGCGTCACGAACAGCCTGCTCAGCTTCTGCGATTGTTTCCTTTGTCCGCAAATCTGCAGCGGGCTGCTTTGGCTTTGGACCCTCATCAACTGAAGATTGCCTCGAAGGTATTTGGCGTTGGTCTGTTCTCGAAACAGGGTTGAAAGTACGGGCTGGTGGACGACCGCTTTGTGTGCCTTCTGCATTGGAAGCCGTATTTGAAGGCGCCATGGGTGGTCGTTTTTGCTCACGTGAGCTTGGGCGAGCTTGAGGTAAAGGACGAGGAGGGGTTCCCGCAAGCTGCCGTGTCGGGTCTGCTATTTGAGTTCTCGGAGATGGCGGCGCTGGTCGATCACGAGGAGAGGAGGAATGCGTTCGCCCAGCAGTAGGTCTTGCATCTCGTTCGCTCGCAGAAGCCTGCTTACGACTAGTCGAAAGTTGTCGTGATATCGGTATATCTTCCGATCTCGCTGGTTTGACTTCTCGAGGTCTATCATCGCCGACCAGCCCCGGGATTGGATCAACCACACATGCGTGTCGGAAGAAATCCTCGAACGGTATACGTTCCACCGGCGTTCGTTTCAATAGACTCTTGATCAACTCTTTGATGCCTGGGCTGATGACTACCTCCTTTGGGAATTTGATTTGGTCCTCACTCTGCTCGATTTTGCGGAGTAATTCAACATGATTCGTTGCACGAAAGGGGGGTCTTCCAACCACCATCTCGAACAGCACTGTACCCACGGACCACAGATCGGCTTTAGCGTCGTACTTCTCGTACCTGAGTATCTCGGGAGCCATATAAAGAGGAGAGCCGCAGAGTGTCTCGGCCAACGACGTCGAGGGCAACGATCGAGCGAATCCAAAATCGGCTATCTTCAACATTGGCAACGAAGTAAGACCGACCATCGGGATCAAGGCTTCTTTACTCGCACTCATGACCAGGGGGAGATCCTTTGACTGTGCCAAGTATTGAGGCGACGGAAGTAGAAGCATGTTCTGTGGCTTGATGTCCCGATGTATGAAATTCCGATCTCTTAGGAATTCCATCGCGCTTGCCAGTTGCTTGAGAAAATGGCGAACGACGACTTCGTTCAGACCAGCATGAGCTGGCATGGGATATTTCCTGACCATATCTCTCAACGCAGGATTATCGGCCAGCTTCTCTCTCTTCTTGATAAAATAGGACAGATCCCCAAGCTCACAGTATTCCATGACCAAATGTATATGCGTTGACGATTCTCGGCAGTCGATCAAGGCAACGATATGAGGATGATGAAGCCCTTTGAGAATCTCGATTTCGCAGTAGAGGTTGTCCTTCAGCTTCTTGTTGAGCTTCGATAGATTTACCGATTTGATTGCTACAAGAGCTCCGGTGGCCTGCAGGCATGGGGGATCAGCATTGACGTACTCGGGGGGATTCTGGCAACGATGATAGTAGCCCATCAGGGATAGAAGTATAGGAGTGAGAGCACATAGTGGACGATAGCCAACGCACCTTATGAGTACCTCTGTAGACGGTAGCAAAGCTTCCTTTGCCTATCTCGTCCTCAATACTGAATGAACCAACAGCCTTGTCACCCGCCCTCGACCGCCTGGAAGATGACGAGGACGGGGGCGGTGGTGCCGCCATGCTTGCGGGTTTTCGGGCACTGGCGGGTCAAGCTCGAGGTCCTCCTTGGAGTATCACCAGGCAAGATGAGGATACAAGCTTGGCGTGAGTTGGTTCTGCATGTACACTGTGCGTGGCAGATGGTGGGAAGGGAGGGAACTCGGAGAGCCGGCCGGTGGAGAGGATCGTCGCGTTGTGCTAAGCGGCGTCAAGCAAGCAAGGCTCGCGATGAATGGGAGCTCCTCGGGTTGGGAGTGCCTCGATTTTGGGGCTGATGCTTTGGCAGGCAGGCTCTGGGGGAAGTCGAGCTCGGATCGCGGACACGGGGCAGGACAAGGCCAGTAGGCTACTTATAAGGCCAGTAAGGCTGCAGACGACAGTTGGTAGCCGGCTGTGCGAACCGGGGAAGAATGTAACGCAGGTAACGAATGGAGGAGCTGGTTGTGTCGAGCTCAAGTGAATGAGTCGATCGAGCAGCGGTGGGCGAGTTGGGGGGGGGACGTATTAATGATATAAGACGGGGGGAGTGGATGGGAAAGGTTCTTGATCAGAGGGGAGGGATGAGAAGCGGAACACAAGAGTCGACAGGACGAGATCAAGAGTTGTGGTGTCGGGAGGTGAAGACTCGGGAGGGTTGGAAAGATGAAGGGAGAGAGGGAGAGGGAGAGATGGAGCAGATCAGGTAGATACAGTCGGTCGATGGGTAGACTCACATCACGGGTCCCATCCGTGATGTAGGTACGCACTAAGCAGTACGGGGACCCGAGGGCGCGCGCCGGCAGTGAAAGCGGCCACCGTACAATGCATATCCCGAAGAGGAACAGTCGCCCAGTAGCCGGGGGGTGCTTAACCGCAGGGGGCATGTCACCCAGGTGATAATCGTACGGCGGACTGTACGGACTGTACGGACCGTGGTGCGGAGGTATACTTATCTCTGTCCCCTGCCCTGCGATAAGCCTGATAACCAGAGAGGTCAGGACTGAACACAAGAGCAACAAAGCCCACAGGGAGACAAAGGCAAAAGCAATCACGCTCATGCTCAAGAGGTTGAAGATGGCAGCTTTATCGCCATGGCCATCGCCAGCGGTCCGTCAGGCTTCAGGACGGCTGCTACGGACATACCTACCTCTGCTGTCCGGCACCAACTACCTATCTATCACGTCTCATGTCCAATACAGTCACATCCCGGAATCGTCACAAGGAGAGTGGCGACAGCAATGCATTGTCCCTACAGAGAGCACACATCCCCAATGTCTCCGATTCGAAGAGACCACACACTCTTCCTCTTCACGGTGAAGGTCCTGGCCACTGTATGTCCTGTACGTGGCACATTCCCCGGCTGCCGTTCAGTGATGCGCGCACGCGTTTCAGGGTATTGCGATAGGTATAGATAGATTACCTTAGGGAGGCAAGTATCCCTACTATGGTCAAAGGGGACTTCTGGTCTAGACCAATGCGAGGAAAGGCGGTGTTGTGGTCACGTGACCTCTCTGCCCCCGTACCAATCCCTTACCTTAGCTGAGGCCTTGCCCACTTTATTGTCCCGAGATACCCTAGCTATAACTGTTAATCGCATCGATCAATTCGCAATAATAACGAGGTGGATCTTGCAACTTCCATCATCGGCATGAATAATTATATTGAACCGTCGCCTCGACGACACTTGGACAGACGACCAAAGGAGAAGCGCTACGGAGTATCCTCCTGTCCTCCTGTCCGTGCTTAAGACACCGGTCGCTGTTTTCGTTCGACCCTCGACTTTTCAATGGCTGAAATCATTTAGGATATTGATATTGTCTATCAAAATACTCTCATCTATAGCAGTGTGCTCTAAACTCTGCCCGGGACCATCTGTGGTCTTGGTCCATGGTACCATCCAACCCAAAATTCCACCACAACAGTGGAACCTCACTCCTTAGGTCCGGCTTGGTTCATGCTTAACGACTTGGTCCACATCCATAGCCCGACGCTCTTGATATCAATGTGACCCACGGTTCCAATTCGCTTGTCCCCAGATGACCCCGCTCGAGGGTATTCCTTCAAATCTCCAGTCCAATATGAAACGCCCTTCTCCGTATCGTGAATGGCCTAAGCCTCTACTTTGCCCTTCAAGCTGGGCAATTCTTTGACCGCGTCGCTAATGATCTTCAATGAATTCCGAATCTCTTCCTCGCTAATCACCAATGGCGGTGCCAGCCGAATGATGTTCTCATGAGTAGGTTTAGCCTGGTAATCAACAGTGTTAGCATTCATTCCTTGATACCTCCGTGCACGCATCGCCCTACCAGTAAACCCTTGCTCTTCATCAGCATGCATAGATCCCACGCAGAATGGCCGCCTGTCTTTGACTCGTCGATCACGATAGCGTTCAGGAGACCTTTGCCTCGGATGAGCTTGATCATAGGTGCCTTCAGGTCAGCGAGGCCCTGACGCAGTATCTGGCCCAGCGACTCGGCGCGCGCGGTGAGGTTCTCCTCTTCCATGATTTCGAGCGCGCGGATAGAGACTGCACAGCCGAGAGGATTGCCTCCGTATGTCGAACCATGAGTTCCAGGCTCAACGGTGAGCATTACTTCTTTCGAACTAAGCACACATGAGACGGGGTACATGCCCCCTGAGATAGCCTTGCCGAGAGTAACCATGTCGGGTTTGATGTTTGCCCATTCTGAGCACAACATGCGACCTGTTCGTCCAATACCAGTCTGAATTTCATCACAGATCAAGAGAACATTGTGTTTCTTGCACAGCTCGTGTACTTTCGTCAGGTAGTCGTCTGCTGGGACCACCACGCCGGCCTCGCCTTGAATCGGCTCAACGATGAAGGCTGCGGTCTCTTTCCCATGTGCTTCCAGGACTTCCTCGAGGTCGGCAATGTTATTATAGCGGATCGGCTGGTTCGTCGATGGGGATATGGCGCTGATACCAGGAACGTAGGGGCCGTAGTTATCGCGGGATTCAGGATCGGTGGACAGGGAGATCGCAGTGACCTGTTTTCGAGTTAGTGACATCTTGTCCCAAATTCCCAAGGGGATTGCGTACAGTTCTTCCGTGGAAATTTTCGGCAGCACCAAAGACCAAAGCCTTGCCTTGTGGGACACCCTTCACCTTGTATGCCCACTTCCTGGCAATCTTGATGGCCGTCTCGACTGCCTCGGCACCAGTGTTCATGGGCAAAACCATGTCATAGCCGAAAACCTCCCTGACTTTCTCAGCCCACTTTGGGAAGACATCGTTATGGAAAGCGCGGGAGGAGAGGGTAAGCCGTTGCGCCTGTGTGCATAAAGCTTTCACGAGCTCCGGATGGCAATGGCCTTGATTGACAGCGCTGTAGGCAGAGAGGAAGTCTATGTAATGCTTTCCCTCGGGATCCCAAACATTAGCACCTTGGGCGCGGGCAAAGACGATGGGAAGGGGGTGGTAGTTGTGTGCAGCGTATTCATGTTCGGCCTCGATCGCAGCGGCTGTGGAGGTGGCATGGTACCTGGACTTTGGCTGGAATGCTGGGGCAGTAGGCTTGAGAGCGCTGCTATTGGCATCGACGGCGCCGTCAGCGTGTGGTGCCATGGCTATTGATTAATGCTGTCGTATGAAATGGGCGGGGGTAGTTCTCTGTCTTGAGGGGGATTTGGAGCGAGTCCTGTCGTGTGTCCGGTTGTTGTTTTAAGTTTTTGGTGGGTTTGTTGGTGTGGGGGAGAAGAGAAGAAACTTGGAGGGGATGATGTCGACTTAAAGAGGCAGCGCAGGAGTGAAAATGAACTAGACCTTTAAGTGCAAGTAGATGCGGAAGACTCTTGATTTGCCTGTCAGGTGGCCACTTCTGCAAGAGTTTTACTTTGAATCCGTTCAATCTTGCCTTTAGGGGTCAGACGAGGACCGATTCACAAGGCGAAATCCCCTATGCGCAGGTGTAGCCTACACCTCAGCCGTGCGAGGGGTACCGTGCTTAGTAAGCCAGCCGCCGCGATAAGTCCTTACGTAATACATTCAAGATCGAGCATCTGGCGACCAATCACAAACCCAGCATATGGAAAAAAGAGATGTACGGGCGTTGGTTGGTGGCAAAATAAGGCGGTGATGATTGCTTTTCTGGCTATTAGATGCCCGATAATCAAGGCAACAAGCAGCAGGACCTCGAAACACGTGGGCCCAAGCCACCTCCTCCGTTGGAGAGACGAGGCTTTTCCATAACGAGATTCCTTCGTCGAGTGTCTTGTTTTATTTTATTTTATTTTATTTTTGTTTTTGTTTCTTTCATTCTGATACCATACTCCCCCTTCAGTTCCTGTAACGTGTGGGAACAACTATTGCAGTATGAGCTCAAATTCAGAGCCTCCTACCTCAACACAGGGGCACGATGGCAAGGAGGAGCAGGAGATGCTCGACTTTGCTGCCCGCCACGACAATAAGCTCCATCCGCTTGTCAATGAGCAGATGGCCAACGATGTCTACACAGTCCTCACTGCATTTCGCTGTATAAATGCCCTCTGTGTCTGGACATTCTTTCAACCCGATGAATATTTCCAATCTTTAGAACCCGCATGGCAAATGGCATTCGGCCCTGAGAGCGGAGCGTGGATCACGTGGGCAAGTATCCCTTCCCCCCCTGGATGCCTTCACGTTCTGACAAGAGACAGGAATGGCAACATCAGCTCCGCTCATCATTACACCCAGCACTATTTGCTGTCATCTATTATGTCGTCAATAAGCCTATGGAGTTTCTGGGATTCTTCCCTCAGTTCCGGGCCCTGATCTTGTCGGTGCTACCAAATATTGTACAAGCACTCATTGCTGGCGTTGGCAACTACTTCACCTGGCAACTGGCACAGAGGATGTATGGAGTAGGAAGCCATACCGCCTGGACCACTGTACGTTTAACATGATTATGTCTAGAGTCGTTTGCTAATATTGCACCGGTCAGCTCTTGATGATGCTTTTCAGTCCCTGGGAGTGGTTCTGTTCGACGAGGACATTCTCAAATTGTCTTGAGACAACAATGACTATTACTGCGTTATATTTCTGGCCATGGCAGATGACAATTGACGCTGCCCCACCTTCGATTACTGTATCGAACAAGAGTCAGGCCGCTCCTACTCCTACCAAGGACTCTCCAGGCATTTTCCAGACCCCTGGATCGATTAAACAGTGCGTCCCTCTAGGAAATCCCCAACCATAGAAGCACACTAACAGAACCCCTAGTCTGCGTATCTCCCTACTTCTCGCCATTGGAGCCTGTATCCTCCGGCCCACCAACCTCTTGATATGGTTCTGCATCCTCATGCCAACGCTCACCCGCCTCCTATCCTCAACCTCACCCAACTCCCGCGTCCCGTTCTCAGACTATCTAATCCTGCTCCGTGAAGGACTCCTCTGCGGTTCATTCGTACTTCTTGTCACTGCCGTATCAGACCGCCTGTACTTCGGCGAATGGACCTTCCCACCTTACCAGTGGCTGTATTTTAACGTATCTCAAGATCTTGCCGTCTTCTACGGCCGCAACGATTGGCACTACTACCTCACCCAAGGCCTACCTCTCCTCCTCACAACCTACCTCCCCTTTGCCCTTGTAGGGCTATGGGAGTCGACCTCTGGGCACGGTCTCCGGTTCCTCTTCGCCACAGTAATATTTACGATGATCGGGAGCCTATCCCTGATCTCACATAAAGAGGTCCGATTTATCTATCCTCTACTGCCTCTGCTGCATCTCATCACCGCACCCACCCTCGCCTCCTTCTTCTACACCACCACCACCACCGTCCACCCACCAGCCTCCCCCTCCACGTCCAAAACCTCCACCATCATCGTCGCCCGGCGCAAGCTCCTCCTCGGGCTCATGCTCATTCTCAACCTCGGCATCAGCGGCTACACAACCTTCTACCAGCAAAGCGGCGTCATCTCGGCGACCAAATTCCTGCGTTCCGAGTACGAAGCTCTCGCGCTCGACAGCCGCGGCGTCCCGCTCTCGTCGCCCGACGCCAACAAGTACGAGTTCGAGGGCGCCCCCAAGATCACCGACTTCGACGACCGCGAGACCTTCGCCGCCTTCCTGATGCCATGCCACTCGACGCCCTGGCGCTCACAGCTCATCTACCCGGGTCTGAAAGCGTGGGCGCTGACATGCGAGCCGCCGCTCGGCATGGCCAAGGACTCGGAGGAGCGCGCGCGCTACCGCGACGAGGCGGATCGCTTCTATGATGACCCCGTGGGCTTCTTGAAGAGGGAGGTTAATACGAAGGAGCGTCCGTGGCCGCGCTACGTGGTGGGCTTTGAGGGCGTGGAAGACGTGTTGAGAGAGTACTATGAGTCGGAGATGAAGGGGTTCAAGGTCAGGGAGAGGTGGAGGGCGGCGAATAGCCATTGGCATGATGATTGGAGACGCAAGGGGGATGTCGTGGTCTGGGAATTTGTGGATGGGAGTAAGATGGAGGAGTCGGAATAAGGTATAGGTAGTTTTTTTCGCAATGCAATGCAGTGTACAATGTAATGTACTAGTAGTAATATTTCGTTAGATCAGACATCTCTCGGCTTGTGGTACGTTTCAATTCATCATGGTCTCGAGAAATTCCCGCCATTCATAAGCAGTCAGTCAATTCCTGAAATATTTTGTGTTTTATTTTTCTATGCCAATTTTTGTGGTAAGAGACAAAAAATTCCTCGTATCCAATAACTTTTACTTGATTCGGAACTAAAGAAGATACCGATAATCCGGGCTCATATCCTATTCTCTCGCGTTAGTATCAGGTGTCAGAAAAGGGAGGGAGGGGAGGACATACGCCTAATTCCGTCTTTTCGTACTCCGTCAACCCCACATCTCTCGGCATCTTATCCCTCTGTCGATTCGCCCTATCCACCGCAAAGGCATACACGCAACAGCTCGCGAAGGCCAAGCATAGGAACGCAATACAGATGCTGTAGCCCTTCTTATAATAGGGCGCGTCCGTCTGCAGGAAGGCATAGGTAGCGATGATGCCGCCGATGTTGCCGAAGCCGACCTGCCACGCGCTGCCGACGGAGCGCCGATGGTGCCCGCCCAGATTCATGTTGAACCAGCAGACGATGACGGGCATGGCCGAGTACGCACCCATGGCCACGAGGAAGAGCCCCGCGTACTCAACGCCCCGGTTGTCGTGCACCGCGATCAGGATGCCGAAACCGGCGATGGCTACGGCGATGGGGATCAGCGTGAAGATGAAGCGGTGCCGTGTGTAGTCGGAGCAGAAACTGATGATCATGGCGAAGGCGAAGGCGCACGCCCACGGAGGTACGCTGTGGAGTTGCGTTTGGATGGGAGACCACTTGTACGTTGACAAGATGGTTGGCGCGAAGAAGGCGAAGCCATACGCGGGAACAATCATCCCGAAGTACATGAATCCTCCGACGATGACCTTGTAGTCCTTGAAAACCCGGCCGACATCTCGAAGCGTGATCTTGCGCTCCGCAGCTGAATTGCCTTGGTCAACTTGCAGACGAGCCTTGACGTAGTCTTTCTCCTCCTGGCTGAGCCATGTGGCCTCCTCGGGGAAAGAGGGGAGGAGGAAGAAGAAGGCGAGGGCTACAACAGCCGTAAAGGTACCCTCGATGATGAAGATCCACCTCCATCCCGAGTAGCCTCGGTCACCATCCATCTTCCCGATTGCGGCTGCCAGGAGACCGCCAAAGCCGCCCGCGAAAGTGGTGCTGCTAAAGAAGAAGGAGTACCGGCGCTGAGCTTCGGAGCGCTTGTACCACATGCCAATCAGATAAAAGCAGCCCGGGAACATGCCCGACTCGAACATGCCCAGGAAGAATCGAGTTGCGAGGAGACCGGAATAGTTCTGGACCAGACCCTGACAGACCATGACCACGCCAAACAGGAACATGCACCCGGAAAGCCAGACCCGGGGACTGAGTCTCTTGAGGAGGATGTTGGAGGGGATCTCGCAGACGATGTATGGAACGAAGAACATGGTGAGGGCGGTATTGTATTCTACATCCTTCAGTTTCAGGTCCTTGACCAGGCCGAAGGAGCGCGCATTGCCAATATTGACTCGGTCGAGGAAGGCGAGGAGGTAGAGAACACAGAGGAAGGGAATCACTCGGAAATCGATCTTCGTCATGAGCTTCCTCTCGGTCGTGTGCGGTGGGCATTCGACGTTCTGCCCGCCGAACTCGACATGGGCGCCATTGTCCGGGGAGCTGGACTTGTTCTCAAGACCAGCTTCATTGTCGACCGAAACCGCAGGCGACACGGTCTCATTCTCGTCTGGGATGGTGTTAGAAGAAGGTCAAGCAGGGTTTGTTTGTCTATCTGATTTGCGAGCGCATCAATCGCATCACTCCAGACTTTCTCTGAGAGCGCGGGGTGGACTGGATGGACTCACCGTGTTTTGAAGCGAAGCCGAACATGTTGTCGCGCCGTCAATCCCGAAGATTGAATTGCACCGTGGAGGGATCAGTGAGTAAGACAGCTATATACCTAGGACCTTGGTGGCCAGCAGAGCGACTGCGAGTGCGACGAGCTTCAGCGCTGCTCTACCTGTGAATGGGAGAAACGGACAAAGAAAAAAGAAGAGAGAAGAGGAGGAAAAAGATCGAAGGGGACCATGGCGATCATGGAGAATCATGGAGAGCACGGGAGCGCAGGGTGGTTGGACAAGAAGCAGTCATGCTGCACAGGACGGCAGTCCGAGAACGGGGGGATTTTTGCATGGCCATGGCCCAATTGTCCGTCGACCCCTGACTGTCCGCGGTCAGGATGGGCATCTGATTGTCGAATAGCGGTTCTGCAAATCAAAGTCGCGGCGAAGCAATTCCTGAAAACAGTTTAATGGCATCCCAGGGGCCAGAGACCAGCGATCTTTTTTGCGCCTGGGGTGCGCGCCGAGCGGTGCCAACTGTGGAGAAGTAGATCCGAAGAGACCTCCGCGTCCCCGCAAAGCGGGAGGGGGGGCTGGCTGGTTGGTTGGTTCAATGGTGGGCTTGACTCTGGAAGCTGATATATATGTACATATTACATATAAGTATATACATGTATCTAATATACGTGTATCTCCAGTACTTGTGTTTTTTTCATGACGGTATTAATTTATGAATTTATGATTGTGTCTCAGATCTTTTCTCAAAGGAAAGTAAAAGGAATGTGGAGTCAGTCGTCTTCAGAACACGGAGTAGCGCTATGGCCAGGACAGGGTGGGTTCCTGGAATGTAAGGCTGCATGTGGATACCTGAGGCTCTGTACGTCCGTAAGGGCCGTCGCTGCCTGACAGTCTTTCTCCTCGCATCAGGCATCCAGCCTTCTATAGACCGCGTGGTACCTGACAAATAAGGCGACACATTCATCATGCCTGAGGCGGAGAAGACATCGACCCGCAAACACCGACTAGACCCCTCTGCTACTAGTAGCCCTCGCTAAGTCTCGCTAAGCTTTTAAGTTTAGATTAGCCCCTATCGAAGGCAGCTAGCGGCGTGATTAGCCCAAGGCCGTAACCGACACGGCCAATGTGCACGGGGGACAGCCATCCTTCGTATTTCTCACATCCAGTGTCTTCTTCTATTCAAGGTCCCGCGATCAGCCTCATCTTCCCGCTCCCCAACCCACATCCCACAAACCCCCCCTCCGCCCTCCGCCCTCCCTCCTCCCCCTCCGCGTTCGATCACCATCGCGCGCCTGTCTACCACTGTCTTCGTTACCCTCGCGGTACCCACATCCCATCTATCGCACAGACACTCTCGTCTGCTCTCGGATGTGAGCCCTTCCGATCCTTACGTCAAGTCCTTTGGCGGGGTGAACACAACCCTTCAAACGACCCTGCCAACCCTTCTCCGACAACCCTATTCCTCCCGCCTTTCGAGCTCTCTCTGTCTGTAGAGGATGAGTTTCGATCTTCCCTCCGACGACTCCTCCGACCCTGTCGACCCGCCCGTAGATCTATCAAAGGTCTTCCGGCATCCCCAAGGCCTGCCAACCGCCAGGTCAATCGTAACGCTGTTCCTGCTCGAGGCGCAAAAGGCTGCGCAAGGTGCCCCGCCCCCTTACACACAGCAGATGCCTTTCCTATACGCTCTATCCATGTCTGGTCTAGATCCCAGCGGCGCAAGCAGGCTCAAGGAGCTTCTGGAATTCAATGATCCTCAGCCTCAAACATCTGATGAGAGACTGGTTGGAACACGCCATGCCACTGAGGCTCTAGACAAAGGCGTCGAAACAACAGACAGATGTAGGTCCTTCCACGCGCTTGTCCTTACGTCTCTAAACCTGACTCCTGTGCCACAGCTCATCTCGAACCCTCTCCAACCGTAACCGTGCAAGCAGGTCCTTCTATCAACGCCCAACGAAACCATATGAGCGGACATCACAATGCACAGTATTCACCTTTTGCCCTCCAACCCTTTTCTGGCAGCTCCCCTCAAACATACAGCTCCCTACCTCTTACTGCATCGAACTCCTTCCCACTTCATCCTGTCGAGGCTAGAGCTGCTACGCAATTCACTCCAACCAACAACAGACCCGAAGAGAACAACGAACCTTTCATTGTCGAAGAACAGCTGCCCTCACGGTCTCCAAATCATACTGTCCCTTCTACTATCTCTATCCGCCCAATTGACTCCATGGAAATTGCATCTAACAACCCCACTCCTTTGAAACCATCTCAGATTGTAATGGAGCCGATCGATGGAGAAACGACTACGAAGAAGCGGAAGAAAGGCAGCTCGAATGAAACAACCGATCTTGTGGTCAAGAAACGGAAGACGGGCGAGACGATCAAGCCAAAGCGCGTCCCAAAACCAAAGGTGGAGAAGAAGAAGGAGTCTGTAAGTACAATCGCTCCTCGTCCCATCAGGTTGCTGACTACCGATGAAGGTGTTCGACCATAATATCTATATGCGGATTCTCGAGTTTACACCACCCGCCTTCCTAAGCAAAGCTCGCCTCATCTCCAAGGAGTTCAGAGGTTACGTGGACGAGTTCACCTCGATCTACGCCAATTGCCGCAAGGAAAACTTCGGCTATGACATGCCCCCTCCTCCCCCAGGTCTTACAGAACGACAGTACAGTGGACTGCTCGGAGGGCAGAAGGGCTGCTTGGAACCCGGCTGCAGCGACAAGAAAGCCTCGCGGACCCACTGGTCTTGGTCTAAACGATGGTGCTGGGACTGTTGGAAGAGTAAGATCGAGAGAGAAGATCGTGTTATGAAGAGTCGCGCGCATGAATATGGTCGGACTACTCTCACAAAGATGTTGGAGTGTATCCCTGTTGGCATGCATGACTCGTTCATGAAACCACACGACTACATCGATGAAGGCGAGCCGCGCCCTCGCGGTGCCCCGAGACTCTATAAGTATTATCTGACGGAGGATATTGAGAGAATCATTAAAGAGTATGAAGCTCTGACTCCAGCGCCATACGTTGAGAATCCAGAACACTCTGCTGCTGAGAAGGCTGCTGCTTTGGCTGCACATCAAGCCCTCATGGATGGCCTGGACGACAAGCGCGCGGCGTTCTTTGCAGCGGGGAAGGCCAAGAATGACGCGCACATGGCGCAGGTCAAGAAGATCGAGGCGGGTATTAGGATGAGGAGGGCTCGCAACCGGGACCCATACGATGAAAACCGAAATTCCCGTAAAGAGCTCTTCTCCAGACGTGCCAAGGAGGACCTCCCGCATATCGATGAAGCTTTTGTCAAGAGCACCAAGGCTTACAAGGCTGCAACCCGAATCTTCCGAGACGGCGGTACTGAGCGCGGCTGGCAGACTCTGAGGCCCAAGATAGTAGCGGAGTGGGAGGCCTTCAGACGCGGCGAGGCTAAAAGCGGCGGGGAGAGCAATGGCACTTCGCAGCCTGCGACTGATCCTGGCGACGTTAATCAAGCTGAGGATGACGACGAAGAGTCAACGCGGATGGAGGTAGATACCGATCAGAGTGAACCGCAAATCAGCAACATGGGTCGTCACGATTTCCAGCTGCAGGCACATGCCAGGCTGATGCAGTTTATGCAACCTCGTCCTCAGGCTCTTGTGGTCGCCGGCGCCGTGCCAGTCTCAAATGGAATGAACTATGTGAACGACGTATTGTCTGCTTCTCAATCTCTACCAGTCTTCTCATCTTCAGTTGGAAGCAACTCGGCATTCGGAAGTTCAGCACGTAGCTCGATGTCTTCACCCGACAGAAGACTTCTCACCGATAGCGGTACTCAGCTCTCCGGCTCCCGGTCTCTACCCGCCCCCGGCTATCATCAAGCTTCATACCAATACTTTCAATCCGCTTCTCTGAATGCGAACGGGAACGCCTCTCATGTCAACTCCAATGGGCCCAGCACCCAAATCTCAATCACCTCGCTTCTACGACCTCCGACCCCAACGGCATCCCAACCCAAGTTCAACCACCTTACGTGACTTCTTGTACCTCGCTCTTCACCCCTACTTACCGGCGGTTTAGCTGGATTATGATTTGGCTGTCCACTGTCAACTCATTGGCTGTTCAATGTCAAATTTCTTCTCTTTTGACGTGCCCTGCTCTTTACACCTACTACCTACCGGCGGTTGGCTGAATTATGACTTGGCTGTCTACTTTCAATTCTCTTTTTTTGACGTGCCCTGCTCTTCACACCTGCCTATCGGCGGTTGGTTGAATTGTGATTTGGGCCGTCAACTTTGAATGTTCCTTTTGACGTGTCCTGCTCTTCACATCTGCCTACCGGCGGTTGGTTGAATTGTGTCCACCGTCACTTCTCATGTCTTTTGAATTTTAGCGTTTGGTCTCTCTCATGCATACATCATGGCTTGCTTTTCAAAATACCCCTGGCCATCGCCGGTTACTAAGGATTAGGTGGCATACTTGCATTTTCTGTCCATTTGGGCTGTAGTTCTTGTCTTTGACCATCAGGATCGGTGGTTCACGAATCAATGGCATGCATGGCTGGCGTACTGGCAAACCGTGGCGGTGGGGGCGGGGCGTGCATATTTGCTCGTGCGTTTGTGCACATGTGTGAATAATAAATCAGAAGGCGATCATTGTCTCCAGCATCGACGAGGAGTTCTCACGAAGTGAAACTTCTCCTTGCACATGTGATCTTGATCTCAAATCCAGTAAAGTGACTAAACTCTCATTGTTCCTTCGATACCACCATTTTCCACAATTTATCACCATCTCCCCCTCTAATCAACCCCAATTTCCCAAAGCCCTCCAAGCTAAATCTTACCTAGTTCCTGGTAAGCTGGCCTACCTTATCTATTGAGCAAGGCTCTTTACGCCGTGAAGCCGCTATCAGTTCGCACCTATATCAATAGTCAGCAATTCAAGCTTCCAGAATGCACTTACCTTATATCTATCCCTAATAGAGGTGTGTGGAGGATCGAAAAAAAAAAAAATCTGAGAGTGAGTGACTTGCTTTGCTTGTCTCTGAACGATGAGTGCTGCTGATTTATTATTTATATACGCGTTCTATTCAAGATGATGATTGATAATGAAGCTCTTTGAGGGGGGGGGACTTTGGGAGTTATTTTTAAAGAAACCTAGGTAAGAAGGCCACGCTTCTTCCAGATTGGTGTTTGTCGGGCTTAAAATAGAAACATATTATTTATAACCTCCCTTGTTATCGTTAGTTATTCTTAGACACATATTATCGGACAAAGAGATTTTATTCATTCAAAGCCCTAAGAAAGAAAGGACTTGCAGAAGTATCTCGGGTCTTCGTCCTCGTCAAATCTAACAATGCCATGCTCTTTGTCTTGGTGAACAAAGGTTAGGCCCAGCCAGATCGTACGCGAGCAAGCAAGCAAGTAACTTTTCGAAGAAGCACAATGAGAATGTGATGGTCATTTTCTTGATGAAGAGAAGAGCAAATAAAGGAATGTGACAGATATATTATTTATTTAACGAAAGTCATCGACTGCAGCGGCCTTGACTCATAATAAATACGTTTGTTTTTTCCTATATCTGAATCTGCTAGCAGCACTTTTCCTCACAGGATACAAATTAACCCATTACTCGATTTGCGACGGGACATAGACTGTCCAATATTAGAAGGGGAAGACATGAAGAACTTCATGGAGCAGGAAAGTAATATGAAGAATCGAGATACAGCGTACGAGCAATCTCGAGGGTGCGGGACTCCCTCACGACCTGTGACTGCGGCTAAAAAGGTGAAGAGCTATCTTTCATCGCGCCTTTATCGTCATTCGGATGTTCAGGAAGTATTGAGCAGCGGGAGTGTAGTAGGTATTGGAAGACCAGCAACACTATGGCCGACAACGGATATGAGAGAAGAAGAAAAGGCCATAGTCAGCGCCAACTCTTTTAACAAGCGCTATTCCCCTCTGACAGATGCTGATGGCAAAAAGATAGAGAAGACGAATACTGGAAACCCATTACCGGCACTGAGACGAAAACCTAAATTCAAAGAAGTCTTGAGAGAAAAGCTGAGAGTTCCGACGACGTCGGCAGGAGAGGAGGAGGTCAGAGATGATAGAGAGACAGATTTCCGCAAACTCCAAGCCCTACGAAATAAAATTCGAGAGGGTAAGTTAGAACAAGCTGTCCGTCCAGTCCAGAATCTTTCAACTGAAAGATCATCATCTCTGCCCCGTCACCCACGCACTTCCCTCTTCGATCCACCCTTTGCCAGACATCCGCGGCACAAGAAAGCCAACTCTACTTCCAGTAGAGTAGCAGAATATTTCGGGACTACCGCAGACATTCTCGACGAGAGGCGGAGAGAACTCGCGGGTAAGTTCCGACCACCTTTTGAACACCTCAGCTATGCCTCCTTTTCTCTCTCCCGCCGTAACTCGACGACAGATACCTCTGGCTCCCAGACTTCCTCAGAGACTTTCTTCTGCATAGGTGAAGATGGTTCGTCTCTAGAGGTGATCGATGTTCAGGGAAAACAGGCGGATAATGGCGGGAGGAGAATGAGTGGCGACGGAACTAATCCTTGGGAGTGCGGCCCTCCCAAGCTCTGCAGACTTTGCAAAAACCAGGGGGTGAGAGGCGTTAGAGGTTTGTGCAACAAATGTGAGAAGGATTTCATGGGGCCGAAAACTCTTGCTTTCGGTGCCTCGTTCTCGCCTCACTCCTATTCTCAAAATCACGAGATCAAGCCAACTCCCCCGCTCAAAGATAGAGATATCCTGTCAGCAAGAAAAGTCATGACTAAAGATAAGTCTGCCTATCAAGTTAATAATGAGCATGGATATGTCAGTCTGGGGGTACCGGACAGGGGTGTCTTGAAACGGGTCAACGCAGACAGAAAACCTACGGTCATAAAACGCACTTCGCAAGAGCAGGGCTCTCGACAGACTGAGCTGAACCTTGGGGATGTGAATAAAGATGAGGAGGAGGAGGAGGAGGATGAAAAGTACCGGAGGTGGCAGACGAGGTCCACGAGATCGGAATATGAGAGAGCGCGGGAGATAACCGGGAATTGGCCTAGTTGCCACGAGAACGGGGACTTCGACTGGTTTGAGGAGGAGTCTGACATCACACCTCTAGTCGGAGTAGATGCAAAAGGAAAGTATAATACTATGCAGAGGCACAGTAGCTTCTACCAGTTCTGGGACGAGATCCTGAGGGATCATGGGGCGAAGACCAGAGTGGAGGATGGTAAATAAAAAGTATAGTCCTTTCTCTTGAGTAGTTAGTCAATCAAATCAACTAGTGCAGACTCCCTGACTGGATGGGGCCCAATGTGAGAGCCCTATATAGAGGTATATCTCCTGTTTAACCATGGTGGTAGATCATTGTGCATACCGTCAAACCCGTGTGACGTGTCCACTCGACAGTATCAAATCCAACCTTGATTTTCGTTATTTAGCTTTGGTATCGAGGTCTTCTGACTGAAACTTCACTACAAAGCTCTTAGTACTCTTGTCAAAATCCGTACCACCAGTCTACCACGAGCATATGCAAGTACCCTAGGGTACTTACACAGGTTCAAAACACGTCGTAGGCTTGCGCAACAGGTTGTATGAAGATTGAAGTACGTTATCCTACCTTTTTTGACGTCCGGTACTCTTGTATAAAGTATAGAGATCTATACAAACTAAGAGAGAATAAGAGAAGAGAAGTAAGTCCTCAGGATATACGTTGGACGTGTTCGTGGTAAGTGGTCCCTTAGCGGATTCGCGTGATTCAGGGGTCAATGATAACCGGGCCAGGGGAGGCAGGGGTAGATCACGTGACTATCGCTAAAGAGTTGAAGGGTCTTTTCTAGCTACTCCTCGACCCTCACCCTCTCTGTTCAAAGAGTCAAGTCCCGTTACAATGTCTCAAAACCAAGCCCTTATTCAAGATCTGGTCCATTGGGGAGAAGTGCAGGGATCGTACCTCAATCCCAATGTCGAGATATACCAGGACCCTGTAACGGGACTGTCCTTCAGAGCGATCAACAACCACACTTCTGGGTCGAAGGTAGCCACATGTTCGTATCAGACATCTCTCTCGTACCTCAACGCCATAGAGACACATAAGTTTCTTCGTCATAGCGAGCCATTCCCGGCAGAATTTTTGAACACTTTGAGTCGAGACGACCCGAATATTATCGGTCACTTCTTTCTCATGCAACAATATCTCATGGGAGAAGCGTCGTTTTGGTGGCATTATATCAGGCTTCTCCCCCAACCTGATCAGCCCCAGAGCCTTGGAATACCCATCTGGTGGCCCCAAGCCGATCGAAGATTCCTCGATGGAACGAACGCAGAACCGCCACTACAAAAACGAAAGGACCTGTGGAAGGCCGAGTGGAGTAAAGGTATCGCCATCCTTCGGAATCACTTAACAAACTGGCGAGACTATAGTTATGTCATTTACCAATGGGCTGCTACTATATTTGGGAGCAGAAGTTTTCGTGCATCGTTGACAATACCAGAAGGCTTTCTGCAAGATGCTCTAAACTTGGACCATGTCAGAAGGGATCGATTCTCAGTTCTTCTTCCTATTTTGGATATTGGAAACCACAATGGTTTAAACAATGTGGATTGGATACCGAATAATGAAGGACTGAGCCTGTCGATCCGTGACTCAGTTCCCCAAGGCAGTCAGATCTTTAACTACTATGGAAACAAATCCAACAGCGAGCTTCTAGTGGCTTATGGGTTTACTCTTCCAGCAAACTCACTGCCCAATCATCTTGATCGAGATGTTGTGAATTTGAAATTGAAGCCTAGTCCGGAAGTTCTGTCTTTGCGTCGGACTCAGCGCTGTCATGTAATCCCTCCTGTGGAAGAAGAGGAATATACTTTTGCAGTTCAAAAGCAACCTTTTCGTGAGAGTGGTTTGGAAGATCTCAGGGTCTTCTCAGATGGTCTGATAGACCTCATTATATGCATGGTAGCCAATAACCGTGAAAAGCGATATCTTTCAGCCAACCCAGAATACTGCCCAGAGAAAGATGTGAACCTGATCGGAGGTTGTCTAACTCGGAGCACCTTACAGGCTTTGTATGTTTTACATCTCAAGCTTGGCATTGAACAGAGGAGGATCAAAGAAATAGAAAGAGATCTGCCGTAAGTTATTATAATAGCATATTTTGACCCTCGAAGGTCGATGGTCAATGTTCACAATGTCTGGATTGAGCACACATCCAGCTTACACAGAGGGACACTTATGTGGATAAAGCCTCGGTTTCTGTGCTATACTATCTATACATTTCAAATCCTGACTAATATCCTTACAGGAGCCCAGCGAACAACAACCAGAGATTGGCAATGGACTACCGGAATCGACAGCATGCGGTTCTGTCCTCTGCCTCCCACAAACTTGGGATACGGCTCGATTTAGCATTAGGGTTCAGCTCTTTCTGCCAACATGCAGACCACCAAGCTTCAAGTGGATCTGGCGACGAGCACCCTACTCACATGCACCTTCACGTGGAGTTGTTGTCTCTCGAGTGTGCGTTTGAATGGCTGCGCCTAAACTACCAGGATATCTTCGATGCTGTTGTAAAGATGATAGCCGAGGACCAGGAGGAATCACTGCCGCTGAATTGGGCCATCCTTGTTGAGGAGTGGGATCATTCCTATTGGATCGTGTGGATATTTACCGTCTGGTTGCTGTGGGCGCGGGACGGAGAAGCATTCAGACAGCGCCACAAGAATCTGAGTTCTTGGCTATCATATATGAACGAGTAAGCCTCAGTTTGACATGTTTTGTTTCAGAAGTTCGTAGGTAGCTGATTGAACCATCTGACAGAGCCTTCGATTCCGAGCTGGCCTTAAATGATGCCGCCGATACTCTCTACGCCGACCCATCAGAACAAGAGACAATCAACCTAATGACGGAAGGCATTGCACGTATTCCCCAATTAATCAACTCAGATCTAAGGGAATGGTTAGCAGACCCCTCATCCATCACGAGGCTGCGGAATTTCGCGAGTTTCGTAGCGCAGGAAGAAACGTTCTCTGTGCGTTACAAAATGCAGGAAGGCGCACGGCCACTCGTCGAGCAGAAGGTTCTTTGTATAACCAAGAGCACGGAGAGGGGGGGAGCACAGAGCGCGGCAGGGGCTTGGACGCGCTTCTTTGAACAGGGTCCCAGACTTAACTAAACTTGTAATTGTTCTAATAGTACGGTATTCCGTGTTGTGTGATTGATTGGCCTCTATCGAGTGGAGATCATTGCAGCGTGTTGGTTGGCGTCCTGGATCCCGTCTGGGGTAGAATATCCAGACTGTATCCGAAAATATTTTCAACAGTTACCACGTCCTGATTAGGGAGAGGTTCGTTTAAGTCCCTGGCCTTCTGAAGGCGGATATCTTGAAGCAAGGAGAGCAATTGGAAAGAGTTGAACATCCCATTGTTCGAGATTCAGGCCAGATCATGTCACGTTTGAAAAGATAGGTCGTAGCAGATGTACGGCGCCATCTCAATAATCCTATAACGGGCGTGGAAGGGAAGTAATCTAGCGAACTGGCAATTACTGAAGTCTTGACTTCATGGAATATCCAGTTGACAAATGGCTTGAATTTAATATGAGATTGATAACATGACATAGGTACCTAGGCTGCTCCTGAAGCTGGATTAGCTTCGGTACTCCTACCGTTTCCCCATGGGGTAGCTGATGGAAGTACCGCCTTGGCATACAACAGCTAACGCCCCCCCAATTAAATGTAAAAGATTACATTATTCGAGGACGACAAAGGCGATCACGCAATTTGAATATACGGGGTGGAAATTCAGGTCATGGGAGAAATATAAACAAAATGATCATGATTCATATTTGCATCTAATCATTAGATCCCAAAACAAACGTCCCAATGCAACAAATGCTCCCACCGATACTCCTCAGATACACCCTGCTTATGCTCGTCTTTTTCTATATTCATGGCCCGAACACTAAAGCTCTAACCTCAATACTCTCTCTACCTGGCGCACCTGCAGGCGTTCGAGGGTCGCGGAAGGCGGTGTGAGGCACACGTCCTCCTTGGACCTTGCTACCGGGCTTTGAAGCTTCGCTGTCAAAGCATTCCAGAAGCAATCTTTCATCGTTCCTCATGCCCGACAGGTAGTACCACTTCTGGCTATCGCTGTATTTAATGCCAGCGGTCTCACCGGTGCGGTCTGGATATCTGTGCTCGATGGGAATAAGGTCCTCATCCTTCAGGGTCGAAGAGCTGGCAAAGCCAAGAGGGGATGCTTGGACCGGACCGTTCAGGGGTCGCCAGACGTTGATGATTCGGAATCGGCCGTTGAGAAGCTTGTCTGCTTCTTCGGGAAGATGGTGTCGCACCCGTTGCGTGGCGGACTTTCTGGTCTGGTCAATGTGCACTCGTGTGACCGGGGTGCGAGGGGCAGAGGGGTTCTCTCGGCGAATGGTGTGGTCGAAGAGGAAGACTCGGTTGCTACCCGGCACATTGTCCAAGATCAACTTCTCAACCCTGATATATAATTAGTAATCTGTTATCATGAGACTACCTTACATAGTCTACTTACTCGGGATAGTAATTCTTCTTGATCGACTCATCGTCTGTGAAATCCCGCTCGGCCGATTCAGGAACATTCGAAATCACAGTAAACGCATCTTTGTCGAGGGTGTATTTGGACTCCTCGCCTCGAATGTCATGTATAGGGACCTTGATGTCAAAATCACCGAAGTTGCGCTCTGGTTGTCCCGCAGGAGGTTTTTCAACATAGTTGAAAGGCACTGATCCGTCTTCTGGTGGGCGGAAGTAGTTTAGTGTGACAACTGCATCGCCTCGAGGGATGAAGCTGCTGTCAACGCTGGTCTGGTTTGATTCCGCACGAGCAGACTGGGAGAGGTTGTGTGCTGGAGTAGCGTGGAGGGGTGCTGCGGTCGCCATGGTTCTCGCAGTGTGTAGTGCCCGAGGGGTTGCGCGTAAAGATCTGGTTGCTATGGTTCTGATAAGATTTGGTGGTCCAACCGAGAGCATCCAGGGCGATGAACAAACCGTCTGCGGATCAGGATATTATTGTAAGGTATGTTTGTTTGAGAAAGTGTTGTTGACTGTGATGTCACTGTTGTCTAAGAGGAGGAGGGGAAGCAGAAGAAGAGGCACGAATGGGTCTTTATATATACGCATCTACGAGTGTGCAGTATGCCCCTCCGGATTGTATTAGAAATCCAGATAGGAGCAGATGGCAATGAAGTCACTTACCTCATTACTAATCTCCCCTGTAGTCCCCGATGGGCAGAGAAGAGGGCAGCGAAGATGGCAAAATCTTGTGGCAAATGAACGATGAAGCTGCAGTACTTCCGAAGCACGCAATACCACACACGGGTAAACTGCCCGACTCCGCGCCGCGACCGGGCGGGAGGGATCACGTGTGCCGGGAGAGGGCGAGGGTGTCCGCAGGAGGCCGAGGGGTGTGGTTTTACTACGCGAATTGCCTTAACTGGCTCGGCCAATGAGGGCCATCCGGAACGGACAAATAATTCTCCTTCATCCGCAAAACCACCTTACGGACAAGGGACCGACCGGCGCTACCCCAGAAATCCCAAAATCCCAAAATGTAAACAAACAAAACAAACAAACAACACCCCCCCCTCCTCTTTCGTCGCTCCACGATCCTACGATCCAAGGGACCTGGCCACAAACGCCCAGCTACTCTACCCGCCTATTTATCTAATACTACCACACATACGACGCAGCAATCCTCGACGTCTCCTGTTCCCGATCAATTCACGGCTGGCAACATGTCCAGCGCCGTCTGGTCCTCGCCAGACCCTCTGAATGACTCGCCCACATTTCATTCTCCAGCAAAAACATCCCGCTCTTCCAAGGTCAAGCGCTCCCTCCCCCTCCAAGGGAGCTCTCCGACAAAGCAAACCTTCCAATTGGACGTGGGAAACCAGCTTTCACCACAGAGGATACGAGTCACAGTCGAAGCCGGAGATTCTGATATAGAAAATGCATATTCGCATTTCGATGATGGCGGGGTTATCTCTCCTTCGCCGGTTCGTAAACCTGTGAACCGTCGGAGGGAACGAACGACAACGACAACCATACCCGTGAAGGGGCTCTCTGATACAGAGGGTGAGGCTCATGTCGCGACACCAAAGAGGGGCAGAGGGCGGCCTAGGAAGTCTGGAACTCCAGTCCCTGCAAAGCAACGTGGACGAGCTAGCACACCCGCTCAGAAAGGCAAGGGAAGGAGGAAATCTATCCTTGAACCGGGCGATGGGGACAACGAGGATGATTGGGATTTCCAAGTTGGAACGGAGGTGGAAGTTGGCAGGGGCAAGGGAAGGTCGCGGTCAAGATCAATGAAAGGGACTTCACGAAAGTCGGCGCCATCGGCGAAGCAGACCGAGTCATTGGACAAACCTAGATCGAGTACCACAGGTAAGAAGGGAAGGAGGAGGACTTTAACCTCTGACGTTGTGGTACTCGAGGACGAAACTGGTTCGAACGGCGAGGAACCTGTGTCGGCTGAAGTGAGCCAGAGTCCATCTACAATCGATGGTCATGCGGAACGCGCTCAGTCAGAATACTCTACAATCCGATCGACAACCACAGTTGAAGACCCTGAGCCAGATGTCATCATCGCAAGATTCCATCCTGGCAGTGAAACCCCTCTCAAAGCAGGATGGTCAAGCCCGCGTATAATAGACGGGTCGCGAGATTTGAGTCCGACCCAACCAGTAAGTACCCGTTTATTGCCATCTCAGTCCCCCGAAATGTCTCAAAGAGGCCAGGATGGAGAAGATAGCGTGGCTATGGTTCCGGTATCGCCTGAGAAGTATGATTTGAGTGCGGGAATCGATGGACGAGATGATGAAATAGGCCCTTTTGATGGAGGAGAAGGCGATGATGACCAGGTCGGTGAGCTTCGGGAGTTTGACACAATCCTTGAGAGTGAAGGCTTTAGCATGATCTCAGTGGACTCTGTACCCTCGTTACGGCATCACCTGAGCAGTCCATCGAATCAAAGCCAAGAGAGAGAATCAATCGACACTGTCAGGGATCAGGATATTCTCGCTGTGCAGGGAGTTCAGGCGGGCAAAGACGACTCGTTCTCTAGTCCTTCGGTGGCTATTCTTGAGTCGGCTACCCCTGGATCCAAGCTTCAAGACCCAAGGCTTCTGTCGATGCAGAATGCACGGATGGAGGACTCTTTTTCAAGTATTCCACCTGAGATTCTCGAGGCGGCCACCCCTGCTGGGAAGTCGAAGATCTCCGCATTACTAGCAACTAAGCGTTCGCACATAGAGGATTCATTCTCGAGCATAGCGCCTGAGGTCCTCGAAGCAGCAACTCCTGGTAGAGATTTATTAAAAACAACACTCGTCTCAGCGCAACCAAATCAGGGAGAAGCCTATGAAGATTCTTTCTCCGCAATTCCATCAGTGATACTGGACGCAGCTACCCCGGCACCTCTACGACAGACGTCGTTCAAGCCAAGTAGTGTGAGCAGGATTGGTTCTGCGTCGGACAGACTAAATGTTCCAGGTTCTGACCAGAGGGAGCTCCCAGCTGATCAGAATGGCCAAAGTTCGGTCACCACTCGACTTCCAACACCCGAAGAAACTCCATCACCTCCTGGCGAAATATCTAGTCACCAGATAATCACATCAAATAGTAATGGTCAGGTTGCAACATCAACAGGAATCGCCGGGGACGAACTTTCTGGAGACGAATCTTTGATTCATTCGCAGATGAAATCGTCACCGCCATCTATAGCGCCACGCAGGCATACACAGGCAGCCTACCTTCGCCAGCAGCGTGAACTACGTCCAGGAGAGACAGAAACTCCTTCAATTATATTTTCATCCCCATCGCTACCACCGCCGATCCAGTTTGCAAGAGCAAAACCTGCTTCAAACCCAGGGCCAGAGGGGCAGAGACGGGCTTTATCCCCTACGGTACGTGCTGGACGTGTACTCCAAGATATTATTGTACCATCCTCTCCACAAGGCCGAGCTCAAAGCTTAGGAAGTCCGTTCAAAAGCCCGGCTGTGGAACGGAAATCCTCGCCGAGGGTTGCACATGACGAACCCCCTTCATCTCAGGAGGCGGAAGAAAAACCGCTTGTTAGACTTGATGTGGCTGGAAATACGTCGCTTGAACATTCGCAGCATGACAAAGCTAACAGCTCTATCAAGCACGATGATCCGTTTAGAAACAAGGTCCCATCCACTGAGGGGAAGCAAGCTTACAGCCTCGAGGTCCCCGAGCAGCGTCGGTTCTCCAATCCTCGTCTCTCCACCATTAGATCAGAGGGTGAGTCAGTGCTAAGTTACAATGCTATGAGCTGGCAAGCGGAAGAGGAAGTTCGTCTCAACGATACCGTAGCATCACCAGTGAACGATGCCAACCAGTCAGCTGGAGTAAGGGGATCTTCTGCAGGTGAAGATCCACGCCATCCCAGTGCTTTCGATGGCACAGGGATATGGGAGCGAAAATGGGCGGCTGAGAGGGCTACAGTGGTAAGACAAATCGAAACCGCAAGCACCAGTCAAGTTATAGTCATTAATTCCGATAATGAGACTTCTACTGGTCGGGTTGATGATGATGAAGATTTTGGCCTCTTGCTGGAAACGTTGAATTCTTCCTCGCCTGCGGTCCAGCCTCGCCAGGAGAATCCGAAATACGACGGTGTCGAAAGGCCCAGACGGAGTAAGATTCCCAGTCCTTGGAGGAAAAATAGCAAGCGACTGGTATACAGCGATGAGCTGTCGCAGGCAAGAGTCCCATTGGCCAAAAATATTGTGGAAGACGGTGCCAACGACGACCTCGAGGCCGCAGAACTCTCAGCATGTCTCATCACCCAAGAGTCAAACTTCAAACCTCGAGTTCGGGAACGTGGCACCCGGGATATTTCTGCCCTACTGGCATCTTCCCCTAACAAAGCTCCGCTGCCCGTCCTTACAAAGAGTTCTCGATGTGATAGCTCTCTCCCCAAAGAATCAAGCTCTGGTAGCTCGTCAAGTGTGCATGAAAATGATGAGAGAGGCAGCAGTCCACCGCAAGAATCTTTCACGCCAATTCCACAAAAGTCAAGCTTCAAACCCAAAGTCCGCGAGGGTAAAGATCTCGAATCAAGTTTTGCTTCTTCGCCTGTCAAGCCGCCTACATACGGAATTTTTGGTATTCAGTCCTATAACGTAAACGCATCCAACCATTCCACACGGAAGCCACGCTCTTCTGTCGACTCAGGTCGGAGACCACTGGAGACATCGTCTCCAAGCAGGACGAATGCATTACCTACCCCTACCTACCAGGCTCCATCAGCGGAGCTTTCGCCATCTAATTGTAGCGATGAGTCCACATCCTCATCCACCTCGAATGAGCAGGAGGATCAGACTATAAACAGCCGCACCACGAAATGGATGGAAACTGTGCATCTCGCACCTGCTCCGATGCATGGATTCTCATCGCCTACGAAATCCTGTCTGCGATCACCGCTCAAGACACCTGCCGGTGGTTCGGGATATGAAAGCAGTGCCTCGCCTACTAAAACTGTGGCATTTGTCTCCTCGTCGCCCATCCCTTCCTCCCCCGCCCAGGAGCCGCTATCATCCACAACCTGGTCAAGAGATCACTGGGTACTCCTCGATTCTATCGTACAGAGTTGGAAACCTGCAAATCAGGCTGGGGGACAGGAGAGGCGAAGGAGAAATAGCACTAGGGTTATCTCCAAGCTGTTGGGTAAGACCGTACGTAGTCAAGGTGAAAGTATGAAGTTGCAGCAGTGGCATTTGGAGGCTGTGGATGAGTTCCGTGGGTGCGTGCCAGGTTGGAAGGAGGATACCATTGCGATGAGAGTCTTTGCTTTGCTCCTAGGGGAGGAGAGGAGGGCTTTAGGGTTGGTTGGTGGGGGCCAACGTGCAATTTGATGAACAGCTTTGAGCAGACAATACGAAATGGGAAGGGCGTTGTTTGGAAGCAATGAATTAGCGGATTGAGATTTGATGCGATTGGAATATGGAAAGGAGCACTTTTGGATGTAAACTTGTATTTGTTGGAGTACTGGCAGAGATCTTCATGAATAATACGACTGCAATTGGTTATTCGCTCAGTATTTGCAACTCCCCAGCTCCCTCCGCCAACTATGGTCGCCTACTCGACATATGCAAAGTAAACTATATCAAACAACATAATGGGTAATGATAGTGGCATCGGGGCTTCCGACAAATCCAAAGGATCGTCATGTGCTGTCTATCACTCAAACGCAGCAAGGAAGAGCCGATTAATACATATCTCCTAAATCCTCTGCTACCAAAGCTATTGAAGTTGGATGGATGAATACGAGTAGTGTATTGCATTTCTCGCATCAAAGAGAGGAAACAGGTCTTTATTTAGATAGGTAGGTAAGGTGTAACTTCAAAAGTATGCTGATATGCTTTGGGATAATTGATACATCGCTAAGATGCTCATCGATTGTGTTCAAGTTTCACTCTACTTTATGTACCTATGGTGCCATTTACCTCCTGAGCAAAAGTTCAAAAGAAACCTGAGCATTTTGTAGACTATATCAAGCGCTGGAAGCCAATCCTAGGGACGCACGGCGGAATCTTATTATATGGCAAGTATACAGGAAGTAGTACAGCTTGCATGCGTAATGGTTAATGAATGGTACGTTCCATAATCCTGACCGGTAGCATTTTTCATGTCCCACCTTACACAACTACGCCATTATGGTACAAGTATGCATGCCCATCCAAACGCCCGCCTATTCGAGCATAGAAGCCTGGTTGGTATAGAGCACATCTACCACGCTGCTCAGCTTCTCAATCGTAGCCAACGCCGCATCATAACCCTCGTCTCTCTGCGTCTCATCGTAGATAATCAAACATCCAGCCCCCTGATCCAAGACGCCGATAATCACCTTGTCTAGAATCATCTGAGAGAGCTTCCGCTCAACTTGTTGTGTATCCAGTCCTACCATCTTTGCGATATGGTCGATTTCTACACGTGAGAATGGCTCGATGACTTTGATTAGGTTTTGCTCCAACATGGCATCGTACAGGCGTCGGAGGTGGTTACGGATGAATGGATCGCTTCCAAGTTCATGTCTGTAGTCACCCAGGGCCTTCTCATATTCCTCCAGAGATCGGTTTGAATGTGCTCTTGCGACGGCCTTCATAGCCTCTAGGTTCTTCCCGGCATATTTCATGGCTTGTTTGGATGTCATGAGCTGGTTTACATCGTCGACAAGGTTGAGCATGATCTTGCACAGTAGCATGTATTGCAACGCTGCGGTAGCCTTTTCGGGCTCATCTTGGGTGTGGTAGCCATCCAGAGCTTCGATAAAGTAAGAGAATGCTGTGTTGAAGTCCTTGTCTTCGGCGTGCAGCTTTCCTGATTGCATGTCCAGACCTGCTTGGAGAAGAGGCGGCGTGTATACAGACGCGGCACTAGTTCGGGCGCTGGTTAATGCAGCTCGTCCTTTGGCTACATTTCCTAAAGCGTGGTAGACGCGCGATTCGAGAAGTTGGACTTCGACGAGGACGAGCTTGTCATCAAGACGCTTCAGTTCCTTGAGCAAGCTGTTGATGAGAGTAAGGGCATCGTAATACGATTGCTTAACCATGTATAAGCCAACCAGGCGGGTCTCGAGGTTTTGTCGAAGGAAACCCCGGCGTTCAGATGTAGCCCATTCGATGCAAGACTTTGTAACGGAAATTTGGATATCTGTTGAATCTGGGATAGCATGGAAGAGATCGAGGAGTTGCCGGACTAAGAGAATCAACGTCAGTGTCTTAATCGTCTCATACATAGGCGCGATGCCATGTTTCGGTCATACCTAGTTTCGCCGTCTTCGCCTTTGCGAAAGAAGATAACACCGCCCGACTCGTCGTGATCAAGTCTACCAGCTCATTCGCCTTCCTATTAGATGTTAGCAATCTGCCAGACCAAATGCCTCATACGTGTTGCCCACTTCTCGTCCCGATATAACTCTCCCAAGCTGACCAAAGCAGTCTCATATTCATGAACAGCAGCATCAGACGTTGCTGAGGGAGGCTTGGAAATGATCTCCCTATATTGCGCTTCGGCTTTCCGTGGATCTGTCTTCGCAATCTTCTGTGCCTCTTGTATCCTAGCTGACTCTGCGGGTGCCATCTTGATGTTGTGATGAGGTTTGTGGGGGATGTTCAAGCAGAGCGTCGCATTGGAGCTATTCGCCTGAAGGTACCAAGCTCCTACGCGGCAACGGTAAACTTTAAGTACGGGAGGCGAGAGCCGCCAACCGCGCAGAGCGCATGATTTTCTCCTTCAGGACATAAATTCGCTGCGAGAAATTTCATCGACATGGCAACAACGTCCTGAGCCCAACATGGTATGTCTATATTGAACTATTCCGGTTCCTAAGCTAACGGAAATACTATTTAGAAAATTACAGCTCTCAGTCGCCCTCCGGCGTATCAGCCAGGAACCGATGTCGCAAAACTAAGTCGCAACCTTGACCCCGCCCTCCATCCATTCGAACGCGCCCGAGAATAGTAGGTTCAGTATCCGATTTTTATGGAGGACGCAGGCTGATAATTCCTAGTACTCGAGCCCTAAATGCGACCAAGCTGGAGCGCATGTTTGCAGCGCCATTTATAGCAGACTTGGGACGGGGTCACGTTGATGGCGTATATACTATTGCCACAGATCCCTTGTCTCTCCACAGATTCGCCAGCGGCAGTGGTGATGGAGTCGTGAAGGTGTGGGACCTGACGTCGAGAGACGAAATATGGAATACAAATGCCCATGAAAATATCGTGAAGAGCCTGTGTTGGACGAAAGATCAGAAGCTCTTGACATGCGCTAGCGATCGATCTATCAAGCTCTTCGATCCTTATAATACACCATCAGGAACGGCTCCAGTTGCAACATGGCTTGGAACGAATGCTTTCACGAGCTTGTCCCATCATCGAACGCAGAACTCCTTTGCCGCAGCGAGCGGGGTCATCTCAATATATGATTTGGAGCGACATACCGCCCCGCCCGAGGTTCTCAAATGGCCAACATCTACGGATACGATTACAGCCGTTTCATTCAACCAGACCGAGACTTCGATATTAGCATCGGCGGCAACTGATAGATCAATCGTTCTCTATGATTTGAGGACATCAATGCCTCTGGCAAAAACGATCTTGAATTTTGCTTCCAATGCAATTTCTTGGAACCCTATGGAGGCGTTCAACTTTGCTGTGGCCAACGAAGACCATAATATATATATCTTTGATATGCGAAAGATGGATAGGGCGTTAAATGTGTTGAAAGACCACGTTGCTGCAGTAATGGACGTACAGTTCTCCCCTACGGGCGAGGAGCTCGTAAGCGCTTCCTATGATCGCACAGTACGGCTCTGGAATCGCAGCAAAGGCCATTCGCGAGATATCTACCACACGAAGCGTATGCAGCGAGTTTTTGCAGTGAGAATGACCGGTGATGGAAAATATGTCCTCAGTGGTTCGGATGATGGGAACGTCCGTCTTTGGAGAGCAAACGCTTCAAAGCGAGAGGGCATTAAATCAGCGAAGCAGCGACAGGCTCTGGAGTATAACGAGGCCTTGTCGGAAAGATACGCACACATGCCGGAAATCCGACGTATCAAGCGCCACAGACACATTCCCAAGGTGGTTAAGAAGGCTGGCGAAATCAAGGCGGAAGAACTCAAGGCCCTCAAGCGAAGAGAGGAGAATGAACGGAAACATACGAAGAAGCAGCACAAAAAAAGGAGGAGTGAGAGAGAAAAGATGGTTCTGGCTGCAGAAAAGTGATTGTATTTGTATGGCGCATATGGATGGAAAAAAAAGGCGTTTCGGAATGGAGCATCTGCATGGCGCTGGAAACTACCTATCCTGTGTTGTAGAATACCCGAGTTTACTTTGGGACGGGGAACACCCAGAGACAGAGGACACCAGAGAGTTCCTGAGAAAATTGCAGTTCCGATCGAATCAAATACAAGTCTTAACGATCATAAAATAGCGAGTGAGTGTCAACTGGAAAACATATCCAGCCCTCAATCAATCGGACCTAGTTCCAAGTGTTATGTTGCAGTCTTCCCAACTCGACGAGCTTTGCGATGGTGCTGTTGAATGATTTGCCTGCTACAGGTAGCTATCCAGACGGATCCACATGTGTGGTTCAGCATATTGTAAGGATAATCAGGGGAAGACCAAGACTACATGGAGTTAAAAAGATAGAATGCATAAACAATGAAGCTACGGATCGGATCGTGACTCCTGTTACATATTCTTTCTCTGGATCTGAACTGTCCACTGGCCCTGCAATGGATCAGGGGAGTCGAGGCTAAGCGAGTTTCGAAAAGGGGCAAAACGAGGGTCCCACTCCGAAGCAGCAATATCAGTCTTAACAGCAGGTGTCCGAATCTGCGGTCTTGACTTGCGCGGCCCTTCAAAGAATCTCAAAGCAGACCCTGGACACACGGCGAGATCTTAGCAATGACTGACATGCCACATTGCATTTTGCTGCGGAGAGCCATGGCAATTGAGATCGGTAGTCAATTGCAATTTGCAGCCAAGTATAATAGCGGTGCAAAGCCGTGGCGCTGAATATAAATGCATATCATTTACGGTATCATTGTAACACTCTGCTAACGCCGTGCTAGCTCATACCTAAAACACCGCCCCATCATGCCATAGGTGGGAGATAACCATTTAAAATTATCCATCAATATCCATCACCTCTTCCTGCTTTAATTCCATATCCGATTTCTCCTTCCTAGCCTCCTTTGCATTATCCGTCATGGCCTGTCTCTCTGCTTCCCCATCCGGTTTTCCCAAGACCTCGGCAATGGCAGCTACAATGGCCATTTGCTGGTCATCATCAAATCTCCCTTCCATTTCTTCGATGATTGTGTTTAGATTCTCTGGCTTCGTGGGTCTCAGGTTCATGATCATAATAATCTCGGCTTTTGTGAGTCGAAATTCCCGTAACCTTGCAAGAAGCCTCTTAATAGTGTTGCTGTCGTACGGGAAGGGCTTGGAGCCGAGAGGTGAGGGAGCCTCATAGAAGTAATCCAGTATCTGTGCGGGGTATGGTCAGCAATGTAGACCAGATGGTGTTGAGCCTCAGCAGCAGCGTCAACATCAGCATCAAGACGAACCTCTTTAACGACCGTCTCAAGATTCCCGGGGGCTCTTCCCAGGGCCCGGTTCCCTTTGCGGGCATTCGACTTTGCTTTGAGCTCCGTCAGGTGCGTGAACACCTCGTAATTGGTCAGCTGTGCTGACTGGGCCTCCAGGATCTTCATCGCATTCCAGGACGGGGGTTCTCAGCCAGGCGCTGCTGTCAGATTGATTCCGGCTGGTCCAGTGCGTGTTTGTGTTCTGGCATGCTCGCCCGTCCGTCTAGGCCTGGTCATGCAGCGTACAAAGCATCAACTTTTCCCCGTCGCCCCGTCGCCGTCGCGCGTTCCGCAGCCTTGCAGAAATCTTAACCGAGCATCGACCCCGCGGCAAGGCTAGGCCGCGAACGGCAAGATTGGCGATGGTTCGTTTCCTTTTGGCTGGCCTTTTTTCCTTCTAACCTTGCTCGCACGACACCGATTTTTTGCCAGTCCCTTCTTCTAAACCTCCACTCCTGATGGACTACAAACATCAAAACAGACGTGGTCCCGTTGGTCTCGTCCACTCCTCATAGCCCCCTCCTCCTCCTCATCTCCTCTCCAATTGTCTCTGGCCTCGTCCAAGGCTTCCCCGTTGCAGCATCAACAAAGCTTTGCCTCAGCCGCGGCACCTCGCAAAGACTGCATCCCGCCAAGAATCCTCCTCCTCTTCCCGCATCCAGCCTCAAGCTCCTCTGTGAACAACACTGAACCATCATGGTCCGCAACATTGTTGTTCTAGGGGGCAATTCCCACCCCCAGCTTGTCGAAATCGTCTCCAATACACTTGGTGTCCCTCCTTGCCAGAGGATCCTAAAGAAATTTTCTGTTGGCGAAAGCCGCCTCGAGATCCAGGACTCTGTACGTGGAAAGGATGTCTACATCATCCAGTCCGGCGGCGGCAAGGTGAATGATAACTTTGTCGATCTCTGCATCATGATTTCGGCTTGCAAGACGGGATCCGCTAAGCGCGTCACTGCGGTTCTTCCTTTATTCCCATATTCGCGACAGCCTGATGTTCCGTATAACAAGATTGGGGCACCGCTTGCAAAGGCTCCTACAGACATCAACAGGTGTGACTTTACCTTTGAGAGTCGTCCTTCAACCCCTGGCCCCGGACAACCGCAGTCTCTTGGTCTGCCAAACGGCATCGATGGTGCGCAGAAGAAGCTTGGCAAGGCTTCTATCGAGCAGCAGAATGGCCTGTCGAACGGGATTACCCCACGACGCTCTGACACCCTGGATTCTCATCAATCTGCCTCAGGTGGACGGGGCCGAGGTAGTTCTTCAGCCTCCCAAACAGGTGTCTTCACGACGCACGACTATCAGGACCCGACAATCCTCTCCAAGGAAGCCAAGAACTTTTTCCAGGCTAAGCCGGGTTACAAGCAGTGGGTCGCGCAGGCAGGAACTCTTGTTGCAGACCTCTTGACTTGTGCCGGTGCGGATCATATCATTACGATGGACTTGCATGATCCTCAGTATCAGGGTTTCTTTGACATCCCCGTGGACAACTTGTATGGCAAGGCTCTCTTGAAGAGATACATTCAACAGAACATCCCCGACTTCAAAGAAGCTGTCATTGTTAGTCCTGATGCTGGTGGTGCGAAGAGGGCTACGGCAATTGCGGATGATCTCAATATGGAATTTGCATTGATCCACAAGGTAAAAATTCCCATTGTTTCAAACTTGCGCACACTCATATCCCCTAGGAACGCCGACCAACCCGTATTACGGATCGCCAAAATGCCACAATGATGCTCGTAGGAGATGTTACCAACAAAGTTTGTATCTTGGTCGATGACTTGGCTGATACATCAAACACCATAACGAGAGCGGCGAAGTTGTTGAAGAAAGAGGGGGCCACCCAGGTTCTAGCCTTGCTTACTCACGGCGTATTCAGCGGTGATGCCATTGCCCGCATCAACGCTTCTGCTCTGGACAAAGTCGTCGTGACCAACAGCGTCCCGCAAGAAGAGCATTGTCGCTTGTGCCCAAAGCTGGAAGTTCTGGAGGTTGGCCCTGTCTTCGCTGAGGCGATCCGTCGAGTTCACCATGGGGAGTCCATCAGTGCCCTCTTTTGGGAATAGTGAGGCGTTTCTCTTTTTCCTTTTCAAGAATCTCTTGTTTCTTCTGGTGCTGCACTCATTTGGCGTCCGAAGGAATCGATTGGACGATGTGCATCTGGGTGGTGAGCCGAGATCTCGCAGACATGCGTGTGCTCTACAATTGCTATACCATTGAACCGCCTGGCGGATCATACTGACTCCCAAATGGTCTTCGGGAGATATAGACCCCTCGATCTTTGGATGAATTTCCATTGAACGCTTTCCCAAGTGCTGGCATAGGCGTGGAAGAGGTACATTGTTGGAGATTGCAATAGAAAAAAACGAGAATAAATGTTGGAGTAGACTTGAATTATTGCGGCCAAGCACCTTAGAATGAATGTCTGAATCCTAATAAATTCCGTATGCCTTCTTGATCGGTGCACCCCATAATCCACGACCTAATCCGCCACCTAACCCACCTAACTTATTATACGAAGGGCGGTGTTCCCTTGGCTGAGCTATACAGCTATGCCATCGTCATCGCCAAGAGTGACACAGTATACGGTATACGCAGTGGTACTCGGTACAGACCCGTATAGTACGTATGTAGTTTGAGGCAACGGCGTCGTCCTAATTTCGATTTTACCTAGTTCAACTACCTTACTGTGCAATGCGGCGACTTCAACCTCCGGCGGCACCACTTGTCGTCATTCAACGGCTTCCCCGAAAATAGCAGGTGGAGAGTTTTCTCTTCTAGGCCTGTACCTCGTACCTCCGTACGGACGGAGACAAAAGGGTCAGACGTTAGACGCCTTCTCAGGGTCCAGGGGTGTCAACACGAGGGATGTACAGACTCAGTGATCAAGCCATCCGTCACTGTCAAGAGAGCGGAGCAGAGCGCATCCACAGTTGACACAGCCTTTTTCCGTCTAGACGCTGCTGCCAAACTTAGGGGTCCTGGGGTAGGTAGGACTAGGTCATGAGGTAGTTCTCTGACAGATGTGATTCCGCTATAGGAAGTGCTCCCGTGGCGATAAAAGTAGGTACCTTCGAAAGACTTCTCAGAATACGAATTATTTATACCTATATATACCCTTGAGGTCCTTATTTCATCTCATACCTTACTCTATCTCCTCCTTTCAGATCCATTGATCCCGTTTCATTGCCCTGAATACTACAAATAATGCATACCAAACATTTCCTTGCAACCGCCCTCGCAGGCCTCGCTGCCGCATCTCCAATTCGTCGTGCTGATATCAACACCTTCGAGCTAGTTGCAATCAAGTCGGGCAGCCCCATTCAGAACTCAAACATTCACGCTTCTGGCTCCAAGTTCTGGATTGGTAAACCAACCGCTACGTACTGCCCCGAGCAGGTAGGATCGAACTGCCCAGGTATGGAATTCCCGTGCTTTATTTCTATCCAGAGCACATTGCTAACAGTACTTCAGCTGGCGATCAGACAGCCGTGTCCCAGGGCTCATCCTCCAATACACTGAGCATGAGTGTTGTGGTCCCCGGCGGCCAACTCGTCTATGTTCAGACTGACGGACAAGTTGGTTATACTATTGCCCACAGTGCCTCTATTCCCCAAGGTGCCCTCACGTCTCCATTCGAGTACACTCCTCCAACGGACGGAGAGCCTCTTGGATCTCTGACATTCAATGAAAAGAGCTTCAGCGCCTGCCCAACTAGCGACGAGGGCGTTTACCAGATCTACGCCAACGTTGATGGATTCACCCGGACTGACTGCATTGGAATTTTAATGGGAACTTCCGAGTTTGATGAAACAGCAGCTTGGGAATACACCTAAGAAGTTAATTCAGAAGAGTGGGTTATTGGGTTATCCGAAGAACCAGAATCTGGTACGGGGCTGACCATTGGAAACGATGGCATCCTCTGCCACCACCACGACTTGCGAAGACTTCCATATGAAGAGATCCTTTTTTGTAAATTACTATCATTTTCACGGACTACCTGATTAGCATGTACCATATTCAGTCATTGACATTGACATTGCAATGCTCAAGAGTAATCTTCTTCATACAGGGGGACACATGCGAGTGTTTCTGAAAGACAAGCCTCTATTACATGTAGGTCTTTTTTGCCTCACATGACCAAACAACCACCATCGCTCAACCCTCCTTTGGCTGTGGTAGTCATAGCTGCTGTCCTACAAAGATCCCCGAACGCCACATGGAGAAGCTCCCCAGTCATTGCCGAACATTCCATATATTTATCACATCTCGTTTCCTGAGCAATCCTGTACGCCTCTTCCAGATGAATAGTCCCATTTGGATCAGTTTTTGATCTCAGATCTCTTTTCAGCCCTAATAGGAGTATTGGCAAATCGCTTCTATGGCCAAAGGCTCTGTGGGTTTCTTTTATCCACTGCAAATGTGAGCTTGAACAGACGAATATCAAGCAAAAGGGATCAAACCCACCCGATTTTTTATGTTAACCAAGCTGGGGCGAGAAGATATATCGTAGCACAGGACAACAACATTGGGGTCTAGAAGGGTCCAGTTTTCAGGGCTGGCAGTGTCATAGAATTTAAGGCGATATGGGCGGTCGTGGAACCGAATATCGAGTTCAAAGGGTTGGTCCCCATCACGGAGAGGGTTGATGGATTCCTTGGAGGCGTCGCCTGGAGACCCTTTGATTATTCTCCTAGGTTTCGTGAGCCCTACGTTGAATCTGGGATTCCACTGTTCCCAACCGGGCACAAGAATCACGGGCGCTGAAGGGGAACATACGATAGGAATGTCGACTTCCCAACTTCCGCATCACCAAGAAGCAATATTGTTACTTCTGGAGGGTCATCCATACCTGTATTTCATCCATCTCCAAGACCATAACCTTCCACGGAGGAAGATATATGAATTTAACCGCCTCGTGGAGGGACTTCCGATAAGAGCCAAAGTCACGTGGTGATAAGAAAACATTCGTCCCTGAAAATTTGAGCCAACGACAACACCAACGACAGGAACCGCTCTATGCCTTCGTAGTGCTTCGAGACTTGGTGCGTGCGGAGGGCATGCGGCCATTCTCTTTCGCTATAACCAGGCAAATTGAAGTTAATCTAACTTCCAAAGCCAAGTTCCACATGTCGCGCAGTCGGCGCTGGAGAACGAAAAACACTGCCAGTCGACAGGAAGCACGAGCCGCTTCTGCAGCAGCGAAGATGGAGAACAAGCCGGATTATAGTAACTGGACCCATGAGAGTCTGGTAGAACGTGTTACGCAGCTGGAAAAGGAGCTCAAGGATAAGAATCAGAGGTTAGTCCGTTCTACTAGCACTCCAGAGGACTTTACTGATAGGAAACACAGCCTCTCACCAGCCATTCCCGAGAAAAAGTCGTGGAAGAAGCCCCATACAGCGCGAGACTTCGACCCCGCGAAATACAACACCCGTCTGGTGGCGTTCAAGCTTGCATACCTGGGCAAAAGGTACAACGGCTTCGAATACCACGCTGGGAATCCGACCCCACTTCCGACGATCGAGGAGGAGTTGTGGAAAGCACTGAATAAAGCACGGTTGATTTTCCCGGCAGGTTCGCATCCATTGCAGCCAGGGGAGGTCAACTGGGAGGGAACGGATTACAGTAAATGTGGGAGGACAGACAAGGGAGTAAGCGCTTTCGGGCAGGTTATTGGAATCCGTGTCCGGAGTAATCGACCTCTGGGGAAAAACAAGAAAAAGCAAGATGTAGACGAAGCGGTTGAGAGTCCTGGAAATGTGGCAGATGACTATTATAATCTGTTCCCAAAAGAAGATGGGGAGCAAGATGCCTTCAACACATTGCCAAGGCCAGGTGGGCTCGAATTGGCTGCTCCCCCTTTAGGTCTGTCCGAGGGAAATGTCGAGGACATTGGCACGGAGGAACTCAATATTGATGACCCGGAGTACCAAGATAGTCTCAACTTCGATCCTGTCAAAGACGAGATCCAGTATTGCCAGCTTTTGAACCGCCTCCTGCCACCGGATATTCGAATTCTGGCCTGGTGTCCCTCGCCACCTATTGATTTCTCTGCCCGGTTCTCATGTCGAGAACGAAGGTACAAATACTTCTTCACACAGCCAGCTTTCTCCCCAGCACCTCATCATCTCGAAGTGGAGGTACCAGGGAGATCTCCGGGACAGGTCAAGGATGGATGGCTAGATATCCAGGCTATGCGAGAAGCTGCTAAAGCCTTTGAGGGAGTACATGATTTCCGGAATTTCTGCAAAGTGGATGGGGGGAAGCAGATTTCCAATTTTGAGAGGACAATATTTTATTCTAATATTGAGGAAGTGGAGGATTACACTAGTGCATTGGCTTATCTCAATGGCACTGATTTCCTACCTGCAGGATCTACAAGCTCAAATAACCCCAAGGTCTATACATTCACGCTTCATGGATCAGCATTCTTGTGGCACCAAGTTCGGCATATGGTCGCTATCTTGTTCCTTGTTGGGCAGGGCCTCGAGAAACCATCTATTGTATCGGAACTTCTGGATGTGGAGAAGAACCCACGAAGACCAACATACGAGATGGCAACAGACACACCACTGGTCCTCTGGGATTGCATCTTCCCCCGCGAAGATGACCCAGAAAGGAAAGATGCAATGCAGTGGCTTTATATTGGCGACGGACCACAACGCGGAGATACCAAATATGGGACTCCAGGACTTATGGACGACTTATGGAAGCTCTGGCGCGAAAGAAAAATTGATGAGATGCTTGCAGGAACATTGATGGGCGCTGTAGCGAGCCAGGGAAGCAAAGTATCAGATTTAGAGCGTTCAGATGGTAGCAGAGCAAGCAAGAGCCAGAAGGTTTTTAGCGGGGATGATGCGCCGCGTTTGCAAGGTACATATACACCTGTGATGAAGAAGCCCTTGATGGACTCTGTGGAGGTTATCAATGAGAAGTATGCGGTTAGGAAGGGGTTTGAGAGTTCTGAAGACATGAAAGAGCAGGGGTTTAGGAGGGTGAATAAGTTAGACGCGGATCAATCATGATAAGAGATATATGAAAGGGATGGCGGTTTGGATTGTCATATTCTATGAGACTTACCTATGATAAATCATCTCTCCGGCGAGAATACCGTAATAGGTACCGCAGGATATGGGGGTATATAAGTTGCATTGTCTACCTAGTGTAGAACATAACAAATTACAATGGCTCCTACTCCTAGATGTGCCGATTTATTTGAAGTGTTATAATATTAAGATGAACATATGAAGAAGATGCTCTTACAAGTACAATGATGAGTAAAAGCTTTTGGACTTCCTGTTGTATGCCAACAACCGACCCCTATTCATCAACCTCAAGCAGGCCTCTCTAAACTCCAGACTCCGCTTTGACCTGACACCGAACAATTGTTATGTGACGCATTTCATTCCTAGATCATCACCCTTTCCCGCCATCCTTCCCCCCATGCGGCTCATACAAGCAAGCCCTCGCGCCCCTCCAAACGCTCTCTACAATCTGTCTCCTAGGCAATAGCCTCGGGAACACAACCACCACATCCTCTTCTCCCTCTACCACAACCACCAGATAATACCTCACCTCGAACCCCCTGAACGCTTCATTAACCAGGATATCTTGGATCTTGTCCGTAGGTATGAATCTCGTCGTCGCCGTGCTCAGGTACGTCTCGCTGCTCGTCGAGGTCTGGATACCCAGGCCCCGAAGAACCAGTAGAGACTCAGTCGTATGAATGCGCAACAGGATCGTGTAGAGGATGAGCAGAGACGAGGGAAGGAGGACAACGAGGGGGATATGCGACGCGAGGCGCGCGGCCAGGAGACCTGGTTTCGAAGGTGTGATCTTGTGGATGAGAAACCAGACGTAGTCGGTCGTGAAGAAGGCTGGTGGCTGCGGATAGGTGGGTATTGGGGAGGAGAAGCTGCTGAGCGCGAACTTGGAGTACAGGAGTAGGAGCACGCTCAGACCGATGATGGTGCGGAGGACGAAGTTGGTGAGGAGCAGGAGCCGGAGCGGGAGCGTGAGGTCGGGCGACGTCGACACGGTGTATTCGACCGTTGTCGGGGAGGGCCGCCGTGTGCGAAGGTGCGGTTGGGTTGTGAGCATTGCATGGAGGTATATGATATGTTCTCGTACCTCTCTATGTCGTTGTGGTGGGAGGGTCGAGCCGAGGTTCGACGATGCTCATGTAGCAAATAGTAAATATTTATTTTTATATCAGGGGCGGTTTTGTACTGGATATCGATAAGGAAAAGGATAAACATATATTCCACGCAGCACCATCTCTAGACCGCAGAAATCTGAAAGGCCCAATTGTCTATTTGAGTGATGGAGGACGTAAAAGAGTATTTTGCTAATTGACCCTCTCAATTACTGCGATTATATTCGGTGACGTTGAGGAAGCTCAACGCCCTCCTTTCAGATGCATCGTGCATATGGCCTCGCGAACCCCCAGCAAAGCGATGATGTATCTTTCTCGAGAGACCCCAGTCCACATCACCCAACGCCGTCCAGATGGGGACAGATCAGAGCATATTGTCATTACACTCTCAAAATATAGTTCTGCCCGGTTGCTTTTGACTGCAAATCCAACGCCAATTCGTTCCAATTCCATTCCATTTTACTCCCCGGTGTCAATCTCCAAATCGATCTGCACCCCATTACTGATGCCATAATCCTCCAACGTCAACTGGTCCTTGAACGGCCGTTCACCCTGCCTCTTCAGAAGAATCTCATGCGGCTGTCTGCCAATCATCGCCGCAACTTGATGCTTAAACAGCTTTATCGTATCCGACGCCAGACACGGAATCGCAGCTTTCGTGCCCAGTCTATCGTTCACATGTACCACGATCATAGGTTCGCTCCTACTCACGGAGGCTGGCTGTGCAGCTGGTCTCTCTGGCGGCTTATCCGTGTTCTCCTTTCTGTCCGTCTTGCTGGCGCTCGCCCCGAATTTGTCTGCCACTCCAAATTTGTCTTCGACTGATGCGCCGTTACTCCCTTGCGTTCGGTCTCGGTCCCGTCGTGGCGAAGGTGAGCGCTTTCGATATCCCCGTTCTAACCTCTTCTCGCTCCCGCCTCGTTCTTCGTTGGGGTCTTTGCGCTTTTCCTTCCATCTGAAGCCGCCGCCACCTGCACGCCGTGGTCGATCACGGCGGTCTCTGTCATCGTCGCGCCTTCGAGGAGATCGGCTTCTTCGTCTTGAGGAGCCGTCCCGCGCTGGTGGTGGGGATCTGGATCTTGCCCTGTGGTCTGCCATTTTCATGCCGAGAATATCATAGGTCACGTTGAGGTCGCGAACAAGGCTGTAGCACATTCAGGCGAGGCGAGAATTAGCGCGGGGCTTGGGCTTTGCCTTGCAAGCCTGGTTCCTCGAACATTTATTACTACTAGGGATTTTGCTCAAAATTTGCAAGATAAGCCGTGTAGCTATGTATTTTCAACTACTCATGGTATCGTCACATAAAGTAGGTAAGGATCAAACAGTTATCAGAACAGGACGAGAAACCCAAATGTATTTTAAAGAGCACTGAAAGCGCCACATCCAATCAAACTTTGAATAAGCCCCTCGCTTTCCCCTTAACGCCAGATACAAAAAACACCGAAATATCGAAACCTTATGATACATTGGGGCTTCAGCTCTTGCTCTTTTTCTTCTTCTTCTCAGACTTCTCCGTATCCTCCTCATGTTTTCGCTTCTTTCCGGTCTCCGCAACGGCTCCACTAGACTTTTCTTCCGCTTTCTTCTGCTTTTTGATGTCCTTCTTGCTGATAACAATTGGAGTACCATCTGAATCAAACTTGATTTCTCCTCGAGCTGCCTTGCGCTTGTACTTCTCAAGACTGATACCCGCGGCAGCGGCCAGCTTGACATCTGGGTCTTCCTCGTCCTTAGCACCTGCCGTCTTTGCTTTCTTTTGTTTCCGCTCCTCCTTCTCTGCCCGTTTTTCTTCCTTGGACTTCTTCTCTTCCTTCTTCTTTGACTTTTCTTCGGACTTGTGCTCCTTCTTATGCGCCTTCTTAGGGGGAGATTCAAGCGTGTCGGCAGAGGCAGTGGAAAGCCCATCAGTTTCAACACCATTAGATTTGTTTGCTGCCGCCTTTGCCTTATCAGCGACATCTTCCATCTCCTCATCTGAATCCTCCGATTCTGACTCTCCTTCCGACTCCGACTTATCTGAGACTTCTTCGATTAAAGGTTTCTTTACTTCCTCAACCTTCTCCTTCTTTCCCTTCTTAGCTTTCTTGTCGGAGGCAGGAGCGATAGCGGCTGGCTCATCACCAGCAAGACCGTCGGCATCTGCATTATACTTCTTCGCCTCCTTGACTTCCCATTTGCCTGGAGTAGCGACAGGCTTGCCGTTTGGTCCAACTGCAACACCTCTAGGAAGCAGAGGCTTTCCTTCCAGAGCTCGGAGATGGCGTTCGATCTTAGCACGCGAAGTAACACCCAATGCAGATCTCTCCTCCTCATCAACATCATCGCCTTTGCCTTCGCCTTGGGCACTCCAATCCGAAAGAGCATCGACGCGAAGACCAATAGCTGCCTTAGCGGCCAACATCCGTGCAATCTTCCCTTTGTTCTTCCCTGTGGCTTGGCCAACCAACGAGGCATGATAGATGAGTCCATATTTTGGTGTGTCATGTTTCGTCTTCAGGGCTCGGAACAAAGCTTTCTCAGCACCTAATATTTGAATAGTGCTGGCCGGGCTTTTTGCAAGGTTCATAAGTGATCCGGCATGAGCAATGAGTCTAGCTCCAACAAGTTCACCAACTAATTCCGTCAGGTTGGGTGCAATTGCTTGCATGCGGGCGGTCAAATAGCTGGATAGTTGCTGACGATACTCAGTGAATCCGACAACTTGCTCGGCGAGAAGTTTGATATTGTCCAGATCCTCCTCAGTTATTTCGGTACCCATACTGACTTCGGCCGCTGCCTTCACAGCGGTTTCAATCTCTTCTGGGAGAATATCGGAAAGGTCTGTGGCTGAAGTGTTCGTTCGCATGCCAACCTTCAGGATAATTCGAGAATAGGCCAAGTTATCATTGACAATCCGGCCCATCTCAGGGAAATGCCATCCATACCACTCCTTAACTCGCATGGCATAGGTGTTCAACTCCTTGTCGAGGTCATCCAGAAGCGCGATAGCCTGAACGATCATAGTATCAACTTTGTCTGGCGAGAACTTAAGTTTGTGGCGAGATAGGGAATGCGACAGACCAAGGGACATGGTGGAGATGTTTTCTGGAAGAAGACCAGGGATCAGAGAGGAAAGGTTGTCACGGATCGCACGATAGAGGTCGTTGGTACTCGAGTCGGAGATGGGTGTCAGGGAGATTCCAGGAAGCTTATTGATAGCTTGTCCCAGTTTGGGGTCCGCCACGGCCAAAGAAGCTTTTTTCTCATCTTTGAGTGAGTCCAGAAGTTTTGCCAGCAAAGGCGAGACCTTGCCCTCAACCAGTGAAGCTACCTCCTCTAGAGCTTCTGCTGCACTGCTGAACTTCTCAAACTGCTTCAGTTTCAGCCTGTATTGAAGAGCTTGGTCAGTCAACTGTACTATAAGAATTAGGGTTGTTGGCTGGTCAATTGCACTTACAGGCCATTGATACCATCCGCCGTCTCTATCTCCGCAGACGATTCCTTCAGGATCTTCTTGTCGCGCGCCTTGAAAAGGGCGAATCCAGCACTCGTTTCACTAAGAACGAACAAACCCATCTTGAAGATTGGAATTTATTCGTCGTCGTTGTGCTGCTGTACAGGGTCTGTGAAGCTTAAGTTTTTTACAAAAAAAAAGTTCGCGCAAGAAAGTGGACGCCGCTAATTGGAAGTCCAACTGAGCTTGCTAGTTTAGCGTCGGATATCATGTGACCACGATCGTCGTAGGTAATCGATCAAGGTACCTAGCTGTCCCGGCTTGGAGGTCAAGCTGCAACCACCATCCAAACAGACCTTGTCAAATCCTCAAATATGGAGGGCCTCCTCTTCAATGTCAACAATGGGTGAGAAGCTTCAATAGCGTCTGGATCTTGCCCGCTAATTGGTTGAAAGCTATATCGAAGGTATTGTCAGAGGTTATCGCAACAGCCTCCTGACAGGTCAGAACTATAGCAACTTGACACAATGCGAGACGATCGATGGTGTGCAGGCCCCGTCATTACTCATGGCCATAAACTAAGATTCATTAGATCTCAAGCTTCAACTTGGCCCTGCCTATGGCGATTTCCTTGCTTCTCTCCCGCCAAACCCCTCAACGTCTACCCTTGCCGCAAGAACCACCGACAAGTTGATCTCCGAATTCCGATACGTTCGAGCCAATGCTGTCGGATCGCTGGCGAAGTTCATGGACTATTTGACTTATGGCTATATGATCGATAACGTGGCACTTCTGATTACTGGAACATTGCACGAAAGGGATACTCGCGAACTGCTTGATCGATGCCATCCACTTGGATGGTTCGAGACCATGCCAGTGCTTTGCGTAGCAACGAATATCGAAGAACTATACAACAGCGTTCTGATTGAGACCCCCCTTGCGCCGTATTTCAAGGGAAGCTTGAGCCATCAAGACTTGGACGAGTTGAACATTGAAATCGTCAGGAATACTCTGTACAAGAACTACCTGGAGGACTTCCATAACTTCGTTAATACGGATCCAGATATGGCGGGCACACCAACTAGTGAGGTTATGACGGAGATGTTAGAGTTTGAGGCCGATCGTCGGGCCATTAATATCACACTCAACTCATTTGGAACGGAGCTCACGAAAGCCGATCGAAAAAAGCTATACCCAAACTTTGGTCGTCTCTACCCCGAAGGAACATTTATGTTATCCAGAGCAGAAGATATCGAAGGCGTCCGGCTAGCTGTTGAGGGTGTCAACGACTACAAAACTTACTTCGATGCAACGGGCATGGGCCAAGGAAGCGGTACTGGTGCTGGAAACATGAGTGGTGGGGCGGGCGGAGAGGGCAAGAGCTTGGAGGACATGTTTTATCAAAAGGAAATGGAGATCTCGAAGGGTGCATTCACACGACAATTTACTTATGCAATTGTCTACGCTTGGGTAAAGTTGCGAGAACAGGTATGTCCTCAAAGTAATTGATATTCAAGATGAAATACTGACCCTATCCAGGAAATTCGGAATATCACCTGGATCGCTGAGTGTATAGCACAAAACCAGAAGGAGCGGATTGGCAATTACATCAGTGTATTCTAGATCATTAGCATTATTTGATACCATTTTTAATCGCGATTCAGGTCACAGCTATCGATTAGTCTGATAGGCGGGAAGGCGCTGGAGGTCAGGAACACAAAATCCAAAAATGCTTCGTACACTTCTCTATTATACATTCGTGAAAGTATGCAGTACACATAGTTTACAAACTGATCTCGCCCTTCCAAGTTCCTTCAGTCAATCCCAATGTTTCGACCAGATGCCGCCATCGATCACTGCCACGCTCCTTCCTCCGTAGATACTTGAGCAATTTCTGCCTCTTGTGAACCAATACCCTTAAATTCCTCTTATTGATCTTATCCTTTTTACCACGAGGCATCTCCAACTGGTTCGCCAGAACTCTGATCTTCGCGGTCAAGATCGCTATCTGAACCTCTGAGCTTCCAGTATCTGGGCCAGCTCTTGGAGTCTTCTCTGGCATTTGCGAGTTGCCATCCTGGTGTTCCGGATTCAGCGGTGCTCGCGGTCTCAAGGTCAAATCGGTCTTGTGGCGACCGAATGTCTCTATACAACGCCTGATATTGGCCCTGGTCTTATCCTTCTGACTTGCATTCGCCAGACTAACAATTCTAGCCAACGCCGCTGTGGCCCTCGCATGGCCCTCTATATGCTTCTTCTTGTCTTCTTCCTCGAGCATTGGATCCTGGAAATCTCTTATTGAGGCTGGTACAGGCTCGCTCAGGGCATAGGAGTGTTTGATAGATTCTTCGAGTTCGGATGGCTTCAGGAAATGATTCAGGAGGACATCATCAGCGGTCTTGATTTGAGTCCCCTCTTTGGATGAAGAACTGGATGTGACATCGAGGATGGTTGTTGAGCCCCCTACATTATCGAACGATTCGAGGAATGGCGTTGAGATTCCGCGGACCGGGTCCCCTAATGCTTCCTTTCTCTCCTTCCGGAGGATTTCTTGCCGTGCCATGTTCGCATCTTTCCTTTGCTTTGCCTGGGCCAATGCATATGGGTCTTTATGCTTTCTCCGCTGTGCCATAGTTGCAACATTGGCCGTCCAGGAGATGGGATAACTGGACACCGCAGGAGCTGGCCGAAGACATACTATACATTTGATCAGTCTGGACATTGGCAGCTCCTAGAAGACAGCAGACTTACGCTTGGCGACGCCTAGTCGCGGTGCGACGGGTATTCGAGGAGGCATAGTGGTCCCTATCACAAAGTGTCGTCGTCTGCTCTCATCTCTTCCAGCTTCTCGAGATCCTCAAAAACTTGGGCCGAAGATGAATTGGGACTAGTGGAGTTTCTGCCTCGTGACTGAGGCTGAACAGCGATTAGGGTTTCCGCGACGCCCCACTTTAACTTTTTCCCACACGCGGATTGAACTTCTTCGTTCATCTCATCCTTTCGCCTTCTTCAACCATCAGACCAGCAACCATCTCGACGGATTTGACATCGGCAAAGTCAAGTCAAATCGCAAAGATGGCCCCATCCAACCTTCCTCCGATCTTCAATGCGACCTCCCAGGACATTGAGATGCTCCTTGCAGCTCAATGCCACCTCGGATCCAAGAACCTGCAGGTTCACATGGAACCCTACTTGTGGAAGACTCGCCCGGATGGAATCAATGTTATCAACATTGGCAAGACCTGGTAGGTTGAGAGTCTACCAATTCATGCGTTTTATGCGATTCTGACGCTCTCTTGATAGGGAGAAGATCGTCCTCGCAGCCCGTATCATCGCAGCTATCGACAACCCAGCAGACATTTGTGTCATCTCTGCCCGTCCCTACGGTCAGCGTGCTGTCCTGAAGTTCGCCGCACACACCGGTGCCGTTGCTATTGCTGGTCGTTTCACCCCCGGTAACTTCACCAACTACATCACTCGATCCTTCAAGGAACCCCGCCTCATCATCGTCACTGATCCCCGCACCGATGCCCAAGCTATCAAGGAGGCTTCTTACGTGAACATTCCCGTTATTGCTCTCTGCGACACCGACTCCCCAACCGAATTCGTCGATGTAGCTATCCCAACCAACAACAAGGGTCGTCATGCTATCGGCTTGATTTGGTGGATGCTGGCTCGCGAGGTCCTCCGCCTCCGTGGCTCCATTGCTAACCGTGAGACTGAGTGGGATGTCATGGTTGACTTGTACTTCTACCGTGATCCCGAGGCTGAGGAGAACAAGGAGATGGTCGATGAGGCTAAGGTTCCTGGTAAGTATTTACAGCAAAACCTTCCATATTTGGGCTTCGCTGACTTCTTTAGGTGCTGATGAGGTTGGCCCAGCTGCTATTGAGCAGGGCTTTGGTGGAAACGCCGACTGGGAGGTCTCCGGCGCTAGCGCTGGTGGTGCCTTCGCTGCCGCCTCTGCCACTGCTGGCGCAGCGGCAGCAAACTGGGACGCATCTGCAGCAGCTGGAGAGGATTGGGCTGCGGCACCTGGAACTACGACCGAGTGGGGTGCGGCCACCACTGGTCCAGCTGAGCAATGGTAAACTAGAACGAAATACTGTTTGACTTTCTGCACGTGCCTATTTTGCTCGAGGACCAAAAAATTTGATTGCGCCTTATGAGGGAAAGATAACTCTGCAGCTGTCACTCTTTCAGTGGTAGAGGGGAAAGCCCTGGTGCTGTCACCGAAGTGGACTTAAAAGTTGCTTCACCTCTGTATGAGCAAACCTGCAGTCGAGTCTACTAAAAGAATTCTGAAAAAATACTTGGTGATTATTCCCATACGCAAGACCTCTATTGTACTATATGACATAATGAGTGCTATCTCTTCCGTAGGGAGCTTGTGCGTGTTATGTTGATATTGACGTACAAAGTCCCCTTCCACCTAGTAATTAAGGTAGCCAAGGGTCCTAGAGCCTTTGTTACATTGATAGATCTCTATCCTATGATGCCTTGAATCATTAAGAAAGCTTCTAAATGGCCAATCTTACATATTAGACTGTTAATTTTCCTTGCTGTTGGCTAAAAAGGGGCTTTCTAGATATGACTACTACTTTCCTCGAGTACCCAAGGAAAGCTCACACTGTAGACATGAGAAGAATGGCTTCTTATGATCATCGTGAAGTATCTGAACATTTGAGGCTGATGTCTAGGTTCGTTCAGATTCCATAATATATATATATATATATATTGACAACGCATCCTTCATGCACCCCCCCCCCCCCCCACCCCACTTAGATTAAAATCAGTACTAGTTAGTTTTAAAGATACAAGTATTATATAGAGTGTAAATTCCAAAGAAAACAGAGAGGCACAAGAGATCCTTCTTAAAAGTGGTAGTGGTGAAAGTATCTCTAAAGTGTGGTTGAGCTCTCTCTCTTGGGGCCACACATTCTCCTATATATATCTTTCATCCGCCTCGAGGGGGGTTCAGGCTCGGAGACAAGTCGGCTTATGTCATCAGCTCATTGGAAAGCCACGGTCAAGGGATCCAGGTCTCTGCCATGGCTGTCACCTGGCTATACCCACTTGAATCACGGGGACTCTCATCTGCTCATGCGTGAACGGTCATCATGTCTCGGCGGGAGCGCCAGTACGAAGGGGGTGTCTACGCCTAATCAGGAAGTGTATTTCCCCCCTCACCCACTGAGGACGGATCCACGCATCTTTCACACGTATCACGGCATGTGTTAAGACCCTTGAATTGACAAAAGTACCTCAGAGCTACCGCTATAACAGGTAAATTCACCTCCAGAAAAGACAACGCTATCCCGCTTGCAGTAAGAAATCCACCCAAAGGAGCCAGAAGAACGCCCAAAACAGTCCGGAAGTACAATTTTGTGCTCTAGAAAGATCCCCCATCCGTGCCAGGTCCAGGAGCACGCGGCACTGTCCGCTATCCGGAGAAATCCAGGGGCAGCACGGAAGCTACTGCAGCCCTGGCGTTCCTGCGGCGATGGAACACCTGCCCCACCCAATCATAAATCATAACGTCGTTTCCATACGCGCCCACCATAAAGCAGCAGTAAGTTCGCGGCTATCTTAACCGCGGTCATATCTATAACAAGGAAAGAATATAAAAAGGGGGGAGTGAAGTCACGGCGACGACGACAACAGACTGCCGAATTCGGAAAGTATGAAAAATGAAATCAGTACTCTGGCGATGGATACCGCGCACGTGCTTGCTTGTATTCCTTGGGGTGTTTGCGTGCCGTCACGGTTTTAAGATTTCTAGGTGCTTATTAGCTTTCGGTTCCTCATATACCAAAATCCCAGGAAAGAGATCCCGTGCTTTTCGCAGCAGGATCATGACGGTGCTAGAATTGGCGAGGGGAGAAAGGGGCGGACTTACGAGACACGCTTCTGTGTCCATTCCAAGTCTCTCTTCACCTCTTTCGCGTCCTGATATCCTTCGGCCATTCTGGCTCTGGATCTCGCGAGACGCTGCTGGGCTAGAGCCTGCAAATCTTGAAGTTCTCGTTGCTTCGCATTCAGCAAGCCAGATCTGCTGAATTGTCAGCAAACCTGATGCAGTGAGGGGAGATTCTGCAATTGAAGACTCACGTCTGCGCTTGCATGGCCAAAGTGCGGTCAAGAGGGAGAGGATCGAAGGCACCGGCAAACCGATCCTGCATGTATTCTTGCATATCTACGCCATTGGCAGAAGAAGCGCTATCGTACTCGGAGTGGCTTGCGCTCCCAGCATAACTATCGGAAGTTGCAGAGTAGCCCGAATGACCATATGATGGAGTCATGCCGGTGCTGCTAGTGACAGATTCAGCAGCCTCAGGAGGCGAAACTGCGTATGGTTGGTTTTGCTGGGGGTAGTATGAAGCATATTGAGGCTTTGCAGGTACTGCGATTGGGAGGGAGGTCTGGTAATAACCCGCTTGGTAGGCCATGACGGTATGATGAGGTAATAGTGTACTTAAGGACGAAGAGGTACAGAGACCAAGAGGAGTATGGAAGGTGAGTGAGAAGAGCAGTACAAGATGCTGTGACGGGCACAGAAGTCAAGCAAAGATAGTAGTAGAGTAGAAGCAGTAGTAGAGCAGAGGCAGTAGTGGTTGATGGTGATGAGTGGCAGTGGACTTTTGTTTGCCAGGCAAACTGTTTGTATGGGAATGCAGTATAGGAGGAGGTAAACGGATGGAAAGGAAAGAAGGAGGAAAGCTTTCAAGACCGTCCCTCGAACCCCCTTTTATAGACGGCCAGTCCTCCCCACTTGTTCGAACTGCCAACCATCGAGGGGGATGGCCTTGACCCCGACTCTCCTTCGTATCTCAAACCCCGCTCGAGGAGAGGAGAGCAAGGCCGATGATTCTGTGCTCTTCTCCAAGCCCCCGTCTCCCTCGCCGCCTCGCTGCCCCTCCGGTCCTCTCAATATTGGACCGATCCTCGCCACCATGCAGTAGTATGGACGTTCAACGGGCGAATACCCGGTGTCCTGGCTTACGCAGCCGGCGCGGATTGGCCTAGGCTAGAGCGTCCATTGTTCAGAGATAGCCATTCCTGCCGTTGCATGTGCCGAAACGGGTTGGGATTGGCTGGATAGGGGGAGGGGATGGGGTGTTCGTGGTATGGCTTCCAAGGAAGGTGAAGCACTACGCCGAGTTGTGACTGTGAGCGCTGAGGCGATTTGGTGCGGAACAAACGAACAAGCGCGTATCCACCTAGCGCTGGATTAAAGCAGCAAGCAACACGGTTGTGCCCAGGGCGGGCTCATGGTGGGAAGCTCTTTGATTTGGATGGTCCATCGAACGTTGTTAGGCACGATTGCATGGAAATCGTTTTGCAGAAGTATGTGTTGTCAAAAGTCTGGAGGTTAGCTAACCCCTCCGAGCCCCTCCAAAATTTGGACGACCCTGGTCAAGGATAAAATAATAATCCTAAGATGCCCGCGGGACAGGAAGACGGTGTCGAATGACGATTCAAGCATCTTAGCCTTTCGGTATCTCTCTGTAGTGTGCGGTCACGGGACTGGAAATAGATGCAGGTGCAGAAGGGTGAAGGGTGAAGGTTGAAGTGAAAGGTGAAGGGTGAAAGGCCTTTGAAAGAGGCTCTGTGGGTGCAAAAGAGGCCGCGGGGCCTCCCCTTCAGAAGGGCGGGTACAAAAAGAAGGAAACATTGATTCTTCCTGTCCTCCGTATGTACAAGGTAGGGCGAGTATTACCTGCTATTATTCGTGGGATGCGCGCTGCATAAGGGATCCAAACGATCCAAACGATCCACTGGAAGAATCAAGGGTCTTCGGCCTTACCGACTCGCGAATCGTTCTATCATAAACCGTGACTACGAACAGTACGACACTTCTATACCCTACCTACCTATATTCAATCCAAGCCTTTCCAGATTCCCCAATTCAACCCAATCATTACTCTACCGGTCCTCCTAGAGATCTTCTGAATATAGACCTGCCCCCCATCGTAGCCTGAAAGACTGAAGTCTGCCGTCTAAAGTCTGAACTCTAGAGTTATCAACTCTGAAGTCTGAGGTTCAACATAAACGTCGGCAGTTGACCATGGTAGGGCTGTGGGAAAGACAATTATAGCCAATGGCGTGCATGAGTCTCCCACAAGGCAGATTACTACTGCCGTACATTAGGAGAAATATCTGCCGCACCATAAAACAACCGTGCCATAGACCTGGGCCATCTGTACTGCATTGTATCTGGCTTGTTCTACGCTATCCAAGCCACCGAGCATCATTCCTCCCCCATGTACCCCCATCTAGCCGAATATCTTCAAGAAACCCCACATCCCCAGGCCACTCAGTACTGGTATCGTCAAGTTGTCATCCCATCCAAAGATATCAACCACCTCGCTAGCCGCTGCCACAAATCCAGTCCATATACTCATGACCACCAGGGCCGGACCTCCAGTAATGCTTCCTTGGACATCGGGCAAGCCAATAGCGTCCCGAACTGCCCCTGGAAGTCTCAAAGTGCCTGTGAACATAAAAGGCCAGTCAACATTATCCACAAAAGGGCCCACCCGAGGGGCCAAGTAGCCCCAGAAGGAGGCTGCAGTGATCACACCGACAGCGAAAGCGGCAAGTGAGCCAGCGAGGGATTTGCCGCGTCTGATCCTAGGCGTATAACGACCGTAGGCTCGGCCCACGGTGCTTGCGGCTGTATCGCACCAGCTTAGAAGAAGTACCCCCATGACACCCACGTCCTTGGGAAAGAAGCCGAGCACTATCCATGCTCCTAGTAAATACCAGATAACTCCGTTCCACCCGTCATACTCAGTTTCACGCATCAGTAAACCGACAACTCGAACGTATAGTCGATTTAGAGGGGGGTACTTGTGCCGAATGAAGTCGATTGTTGTGATGGGTATTAGCGCCGTCATGAGATATGGGGTAATGGCGTCTGTCTGAACCCCCGAAACATATAGCCAGATTGTGAAGAATCCAATCGAGACGTGTAACAGCTTCCGTGGTACCTCATGTCGATGTACAAAAGTTCGCCATTGTCTGTGAATGGGGATAAGACCGAGTGGACTGGGACTTCGACTGATGTCCCTCCAGCTCCAGCCTGGGCTGGCACTCGACGGGGAGAGATACCCGTTCGTTCCCTTCCCATTTCCATCCTTGTCTGGGGTTACTGCTATTGGTGATGGTTTGGTTGTTGGTGGTGTGGCAGGAGCTTTGGCGCTTGATTGTTTCTTTTTCTTCGTAGAACTCCTACTTTTTGCTCTCGCCCTCCTTGACTCATTACTCGAGTCCTCATCGATCTCCTCGTCTATCGGCACCTGTGATGCCATTCTCTTCTTCCTAGCAGATCTTGTGACAGGCCCCGAGTATCCACCTTGCGACTCTTCCTTCCTTTCCGAGGGAGTTGGGGAGGGAGAGATAACTCTCGGAATTGCCGGGATTATGTTGGACGAAGAATATGACATGTTGAAAGGTGGCAGAGAAGACATTCGAATGACACCGGTGAGAACGGGACCAACTTGTGAATTCGGCAGAAGCCAGTAACTAGACTGGAGATATCTATCTTTTCGGGAAGCGCGTGAGTGAGAGAAGGGGGGCGGAGACGATGTAGCTATTGGCTCCAGCGGAACGAATGGCGCAGAGCAGGGCTGCGCTGCATTGTTAGGGAGAGAAATGATGCCTTTTTGTGCCGTTGGAGAGGCACACGGCGGTGAAGAATGCTGTAGAGGTGATGCGTGGTTGTGGATTGCAAAGATCGGGAGGTCTCACTTCGTAGAGTTTTGGATGGCACGCGACAGCTGTCACATGCATGCTTGGCGGAAATACTTTTTTCTTGCGCCGCAAAACATCTAACTAAACAATCGCGAGTACTATGGATAAATAACAAATATAATTCTGTCTTAATTTGCAGGCCTGTACTGGTCACAATCTACACTGTCCTATATAGAATCGAATCATTAAATACTCCTGAAGGTGGGCGTCTGGGTAAAATCTAAAAAAGACACATTAAATGCGTGCTGGTTCTGGCGAAGCGGCCGACGAAATTTTATATCAATTTTGCGCTTCGACTTCTACAACGCAAAACCCCATACAACATGGCGCCAGAAAACCAGAAGAAGGATCCCAGAGCCTGGGATGCTCTGACTCCTCCCCTGGCAGAATGGATCTTAGACGCTATCGCCTCAATGGGGTTTGGGAGAATGACTCCAGTCCAAGCCTCCACGATTCCGCTGTTTTTGGGGAATAAAGATGTAGTTGTCGAGGTACGTGGACCCGGACCCCTTCAATCAACCTCCCCTAAGAATTTACAGGCTGTTACAGGTAGCGGAAAGACTCTGGCTTTTCTCATCCCCGTCGTCGAGAAGCTGTTACGGTTAGAAGAACCAATTAAGAAACACCATGTCGGCGCAATCATCATATCCCCCACTCGAGAGCTCGCAACCCAAATATACTCCGTCCTCACTTCTCTACTTGCTTTTCACGAACCATCTGCGGCTGCGTTAAACCCACAGGGGGAGGGTGAGAAGAGGCGCCCAACCAACACCCTTACCGTGCTCCCACAGCTTCTTCTGGGCGGGACGACTACGCCGGCGCAAGATGTCAGTAGTTTTCTTCAAAACAGTCCAAACCTTCTCGTCTCTACGCCTGGGAGACTCCTGGAGCTCCTCTCGTCCCAACATGTGCATTGCCCTCAATCGTCCTTTGAAGTACTCGTCCTGGACGAAGCAGACCGACTTCTAGATTTGGGGTTTAAGGATGATTTGCAGAAGATACTCCAGCGCTTACCAAAACAAAGGCGGACTGGGCTGTTCAGTGCAAGTGTCAGCGAGGCCGTAGGGGAGATTGTCCGGGTCGGATTGAGAAACCCAGTCAAGATTGCTGTGAAGGTCAAAAGCGCGGCCGGAGAGGATAAACGCACTCCAGCAAGTCTTCAGATGTCATACTTGTTGACACCTGCCAGTCACAAATTTCCTGCTCTACTCTCTCTCTTATCGCAATTAGAGCCCACACCCCAGAAGACCATAGTATACCTGTCGACTTGTGCGGCAGTCGATTACTTCCAACATATCCTCGCGGCATTATTACCCAAACAGTTCACTTTGCTACCACTTCACGGAAAGCATCCACCGAATGTCAGGCAAAAGAACTTCTCGAAATATATCACGACAGTTACGCCAACGATCTTATTGACCACGGATGTGGCTGCACGAGGTCTTGATATCCCTCAGGTCGATCTTGTCGTGCAAATAGACCCTCCTTCAGATCCTAAAGTGTTCATCCACCGATGTGGACGAGCAGGTAGAGCAGGACGAAAAGGTCTAAGCGTTATTTTCTTACAGCCGGGCCGAGAAGAGGACTACATCCCTTTCCTTGAGATCCGCAAAACACCAATTACGCCTTTGAAAAAACCAGTGATCACTGTCACCAACGAGGATGCGATGTTAGTGACATCAAAGATACGAAAAGAAGTCCTAGCCGATCGAGCACTCTACGACAAAGGACAACGGGGCTTCGTAAGCTGGGTGAAAGCATACTCAAAGCATCAAGCAAGCAGTATCTTCCGTGTTGCAGATCTTGATTGGACAGATTTAGGAAATTCCTGGGGCCTCGTACATTTACCCAAGATGCCAGAGCTGAAGAAATGGGATGGTGACAGAACACTGGGAGTTAAAATAGACATGTCAGAATATGCTTACAAAGACAAAGCGCGAGAGAAGGCAAGACGGGCAGCGATGGAGGAAGCGAAGAATGCCCAGCCTTATGTACCAAGCGAAGAGGTGCTGAGGAAGAAGAAAGAGAGGGAGGCATGGAGTCATAAGCACGAGCAGGAGAATATTAAGGAGGCAAGAAAGGAAAAGAGGAAGAGGAAGAGGGAGGCGGAACGTTTAGAGAAGATGACGGAGGAGGAGAGGGCAAAGGAGAGAGAATTACAGGAGTTGATTGAGCAAGTCAAGCGCAGGAAGCTGGAAGAAGAGGCCGAAGAGGAGTTTCAAGGGTTTGATGATTAAACTCGAGAAATAAAAGATATCGAAGCATCCAATATACGCCCTACCTACCCAAGGTAGGCACATTGAATTCCTTTTAGGACTATCTGTCACGTGTGATATAGGGATCGTGATACGGGAGTTTTGTTGCACATCGCGATCTGTGACGGTCTCGTGGTTGTTGACCGGGGGTCTGGATGGCTGTGGGGTTAGCATCACGTGATAAATATGAGAGAGGATTTGTTGCACGTCGCACCGTTGCTCATCTTGGGAGTGTTGAACATGGGTTTCGATGCAAACCACCAAGTGTATCCCAATATACCATCATCATAGCGGACCGTTTGTGCGTGTGATCACTGTCCCCCGCGGCCACAACCACCCCCCCCCCCCCAAAAAAAACCTCCTCCTTTTCCTCCCCGGATTACCTTAAACGAGAGGCAGAAAGGAGTAACACGTGATGCTAATCCCATCTCTAGTTTGTTGAGCATGTCTCGTAAAATATAACGACGGTACAAGTACTGATCACATTCCTTCTCCAGAATCATTACCCCGAAGAACGAAGCCTCATCGCAACGGCCAGCTAGGTGCTAGGTCATGAAGTAAGTGTAGTCCATCTTTAAGTCGTCAGGAGTTCGTTTTTCTTTCAAGCCTTGTCATTCCCATTTACGGCGCGCTTGTGAAGTATGAAAAGGAAGTTGGAGAAAGGGTTACAACGAGGTTTGGGTACGGGATAGCCTTCCCGTGAAGGCTAAATAGATCTCCTTCGGTATCAAGAGCGACTCCTACACAACTTGATGTCCTATTCCGCTTCCGTTCTGCAATTCTAAGTGGAGCAAAATTAGATTGTAGTATCTTTCAATTTGCATTGATTGGTCGACTATGAAAATGTCAGGGGATATACTTCTAGATCCCACCGGTTCCAGGAGAGCGCATCAGGTCGAGAAGTTTTGAAAAGCAGGGCTCAAGAAGGCAGATAGAGTATAAGTTGGCATATTCTATAAGATAGTAGGTTTTCTTCGTATGCCTTCCGGAAAACCTTATTCATCTGGTCTCTTGTTTTTGGATATTTGATTGGCAGCTTAGTAGTCCCTTTGAAGCTTCCATGCTGATTGTACGCAGGAGGTTCTTTGGGACTCCAAGGCGTCGATTAACATCAGGTTTCTGACCTGAAAGAGGGAAAGGCGAAGAGACCTCCATGGCCATTCTCGAGTTTCATTCAAGATCGCCCATAAACGAACATTCCATCTCTGATTGCCATATTTGATACCACACTTTGGAGATCATAAGCGTTGTTCTCACGGGACCATACGCACTCCTTGGTTGTCTGGCCATCTTCCCAACGGTTCAAGTCCCTTCGCCTGTTCCAGCCTTGTCCAAGGATTCTCATTAAAGCTTGGATCGTAATAGCCCACATACCAGTTCGCATTTTTCTGGCCCCTTTCACTAGGTCTCGAGCTACTGGCCATCGACGCCGTATCATTGAAGTCATTCCGTGACATGTACGATGGTCTTGGCCCACCTTGCATCGAAGCCCTATCACGGAATCCTGGCCTTGCAGGCAATTCATGAGATGAGGGCTGTGTTCCCGAGCTCGACTCGGCAACTGCAGTATTTTCTGGCCCTTGATTTTCAAGGCTCGCGAGTAGAACATCGATTCGTCTTTGCACCTCCCTGGCTTCTTCATCGGACGCTGGAGGCGGCTGGCTCACATCAGCATATGGTAGCCCACCACTCCTCCCTTGTTCAATTGGTGGCGGCAAACTTGTATCGATATAATTCGGGCCATCTCCAAGCTCTTCTTGATCCTCCCCCAGATCAATCTCATCCTGATTCCCCCCAGGCACATGTTTCTGACCAGTACTCGAATCTGCAGCACCCGGTCCAGAACCAATAATTCTCGTCTTCCCAAGAGGTACTGTATTACCACCACTCCCTTGCCCCTTCTTGCCTCCTTTGTCTAAGCTTGCAAGCTCTTGTCCCTCAACATACGCGTCCGTCGTTGGATTAAACCTCCGTTTTTTGGCCGCCGGCTTGTGCGAGCCGAAGCTCGAGAAGCCCATCGCAGCAGCCATCTCCTGTGCTTCAAGATCTTCCTCGTCGCGATCCATGATTGGTTGAAGTTAATTGTGAGTGTGGAAATTTGGGGTCAAAAATCCGTTGCTGATCAGCTGTCGCAAGCGAGTGACGCAAGGCCGAGTTTCAGCCTCGTCTCACTCCCCAAGTTCGAAGGGCACTTTCTGGGATCTTATCCTCTGTTGCTCACATAGGCATTCGGAAAAGAAAAAATCTCTAACGCCGTGTATAGAAATCGGCAACTGGGCCTATAGAAGGAACCTTCTTAAGACGTTGCTGATCGAAGATGCATCTCCTGTAGCTCTTCTGGCTCCAAACTACTACATCGTTTTGCCTTTCTGAGCATAAACATCTATCTGTTTGAATCTGATAAATTACACTCCGAGGCGCGCAACACATCTATTTATATGTAAGCGTTTTACCTACAGACCTCTCGGGAGCATGATCTGATGCAGTCAAAGTCCCTGGATTCGGCCAAGATGACAGATCCAAGTCCCATCGCGACCTCCAATCTCGCACCGGGAGAATCCCCAGGCGGAACCACGATCATTGTAGACGTGCCACCTACCATTAGGACCGCAATGTCCCTGCGCTCTCCTATCAAATACAATCCCAAACTGCCATCTTCTACATCTTTCACCGCACCACCTCTCGAATGGCTCCAGGGGACTTGGTCTGTAACCCATTCTACACTACCCATGTGGCGCAAAGCAAAAAACGTCCGCATAACCTACAAGATCATCCCTAGTACCAATCCATCCTCTCCAACTCTGCTAGATGATGAGGTAAGATCCGAACCGATACAGTGGAGCTTACTTCCGCAACCAAAGAGTATTAGGGGAATAGATACTCCAGATGGAGAGGGGTCATGGAATTGGAGAGGGAAGGGATGGTTGAAGATTGCCAGCAGCCACTGGGAGCTTTTAGGCTGGGGTGAAAGAGGAGACGAGAAATGGGCTGTTACGTGGTTTGCACCAAGTCTGTTCACTCCTGCGGGCTTGGATATATACAGTAGTAGGAAAGAGGGTATGAGTGAGGTGCTCTACAAGGACATATTGCAGGCGTTAGAGAGGTTGGAGGCGAAAGAGGTGGCGGATTTGGCAAAGGCGGAAATGAAGGAGGTGAAGATTGACTATTGAATGTTCAAGAGAGAGTCCAAGAGAATGAGGTGTGGAGGGAGGATATACCCCTAGACACGATCTGTAATTATTGCTAGATTGCCAATGATCAGTCTCCATAACTATGCCTGTGCCTACTATGCCTATGTCTGTGATGACCATTCTCATCTCGATGGGACCTTCGTCTTGACTCCCTATGCCGATGGTGTCGATGCTCTCTATCGCGATCATCCTCTCTCCTGCGAGATGAATCTCTGTCAGATTCGTCTAATCTGAAGTTTTCTAAATCATCGTCATCACCTTCGCTCCTTCTTCTGCGTCTCTTTCTTCTCCTTTCTGCCTCTTCCAGTTCACGGATCTCCTTCTCCTTCTCTTCTCGCCAGCGTTTTCTCTCCTTTTCGACCTGCCGAACTTGTGCTGCACCTTGACGCATAGCGGCCAATGGATCATTAGACATCATCCTCGCCGCCTCTCTCTCTTTACGCCCGGGGTCTTCATCACCCCAGACATTCTTACTCGGCATATCGTTTGCGAGGGCCTCTGCCGTAACAGCATTTCTGGAATACCACGGGTTCTCCAAGCCTTGTTTGAATCCAGCAGCGTTTGAGAAGCGCATAGTATATTGATCCTCGTATTCCTTCTTCCTCTTAGCTGTCTCCTTCTCGGCCTCGGCGTTCTTTTCCACGGATTTGCTTGATCGTTCTTGAGGGAACAAGTCGATATGACCCGAATGGTCGACTAACGGTGCATCAACAGACCCCCGCAGCACGATTTGTTTCTTCGAATCCGAGGCCAATGTTTGATCTTGAGCTATTCGCATTTCGAAATCCGTATCATTCTCCCCTGCTTTCTTTCTTCTCTTGCGCTCCCTCCCCGATCCATATGAACTGTCCTCTCGTCCGCCATCATTCGGTTTGTCCTCAATTTCAGGCAAAGGCGTAGGTATCTCCCCGCGAAGAATTTGCATCCGCCGCTCAGTATCTATCTGTTGCATGCGCTGTTCCTCGGCTTCCTCTTTTGCCCTTGCAGCAGCTTCATCGCGTCTGACCCTCTCGATATTATCCTGGTTGTAGACGTTCCATGACTTCTTCCCTAACAAATGGCTGTGATAGATGTCAGCAAATCAACTTTAAATCGCGAAGGGTAGTAGAATCTAACAGAGGCATTATTGGAAGCTTGAGCTCGTGGTTTGCGACCTGAACAAAGAAGTTTAAGTCGAGGCTGAGGTCGCTGGGTCGAGGCTGTGATAAGGTTGATGTGGGGGCGTCGGCGACGGTTGAAAGGGCAAAGCCGACTCTCAGGTCGCTTCCAGAGGCTGATGTCAAACCCGTGAGAGACAAGAGATGCAACAACATCGGCACAGTCCACTTTGGTAACTTCATCGCGACCATCTCACCCCGGTGCTGTACGAGTATACGACCAACTCAGCAGAGTTGACCGGCAGTCTTTATTCACATCAGAGGCATATCTGTTCTCTGGGTAGCCCGCGTCATCCTCAAGGACCACGCCCCGCCAGTAAGGCTGCCCTGCACACTGGACAGCTTTCACAACCAGACCTTCCGTACGAATGACAAAGACCCTGAACGGTTATTGTAAAGGCTAACTCTGTTCTTGCCACATAGCTTTTACTACGCCGGGCTCCTCACGTGGCCCTCCAATCATTCGAAGTCGTTGACGAACCTTGAGTTGCTCGAATTCTATCTATCCCTGAGGCTTTGAACAGCATCAAGACATACACAAGCGCCGGGAGATATCCGAAGACCCCTCTTTCCGTTGCATCGCGGATCCCTTCTTCCCAGAAAGGTCGCAGTCTTCGAAGCCGACCTTCACATCATGAATATTCGACAGAACCTCTTCGGCCATGGTCGCGCCCCAGCGACTCCGCCTCGAGGCGAATCGCCCATGGGGGGGCATGATGCTCCACGAAGCAGTTTTGGTGATAGAAATTCGCTGGGAAGACCTCACCTCCCTTCGATCCCCGGCCTAAGCCGTTCGCCAAAACGAATCCAAATGAGAATCGCCAAAGTCGAGGATAAAAACCTGGCAAACCAATACATCTTTGGGAATATGTGAGTTTAAACTGTCAAGAGAGGCTGAAATGTTAGGCTGATATCAATATGTAGTTGCGCGGTGTCGCCGGTCGACTTTCCCCCGTCTCGAGATGGATCGGATTTATACATACTTATCAACGGGATCTATGTTGTGACAGCCCGTCCTACCAATCAGTTCCCCCCAGGATTCATAAGCTTGAACGATAAGCAAAGGTCATGGTGCAATGTTGGAATGATGGATATTCTGACCGCCGAGTTATACGATCCATTCTCACAGGGCAGCCACGCCTACTTAGGAGCGTTAGATATCGACGTAGGATTTGCGTCCCCAAAGAAGATCACAGATGTTCCATACGACCAGGATGTGCTTGCCGATGCATTCGTCAGGCTGTTTGAGAACCAGGTGTTCGCACCTGGACAACAACTTCTTATGGACTACAAGAATATCCCATTGGGATTCAGGATCAGGACCGTCCAGCTGGTAGATCTTACTATGGAGAAGAACCCATCATCGCCGACATTGACGAACCCAAGTTCACGTGGTATCTTGACCAGGCATAGCGCAATCACGTTCTACAAGGACGCAAGCTCACCCATCAAACTGAAGGGATCTGCAAGGCGGCCGGCTGCGAATTCCATCATTGCTCCCGACTTCAAGTTTGAGAATATGGGAATCGGTGGCTTGGATACCGAGTTCAGTTCCATATTTCGAAGAGCGTTCGCTTCCCGTATCTTCCCTCCTGGCTTGATAGATAAGCTGGGTATTCAGCACGTCAAGGGTATTTTACTTTATGGTCCTCCAGGTACCGGGAAGACGCTCATTGCTCGGCAAATTGGAAAGATGCTGAACTCCAGAGAGCCGAAAGTCATTAATGGTCCGGAGGTTCTGAACAAATATGTTGGACAGTCAGAAGAGAATATCCGAAAGCTCTTCGCTGATGCCGAAAAGGAGTATAAAGAGAAAGGAGACGAGAGTGGTCTCCATATCATCATTTTCGATGAATTGGATGCCGTTTGCAAGCAAAGAGGTAGTGGGGCCGGTGGTGGAACTGGTGTTGGAGACAGTGTGGTCAATCAGCTGCTGTCCAAACTTGATGGTGTCGACCAGCTCAACAATATCCTTCTGATCGGAATGACCAATCGTATGGATATGATTGACGATGCGCTGCTCAGACCGGGTCGATTGGAGGTCCACATGGAGATTTCCTTGCCAGATGAATCCGGAAGGGCACAGATTCTGAAAATCCACACCTCGAAGATGCGTGAGAACAATGTGATGGATAAGGACGTCAATATTGCAGAGCTTGCTAGCCTGACCAAGAACTTCTCTGGGGCAGAGATTGGGGGGTTGGTGAAATCCGCTTCCTCATTTGCCTTCAACCGCCATGTTAAAGTTGGCACCGTGGCCGGTGTCAGTGATGACATCGAGAACATGAAGGTCAACAGAGCAGATTTCATGAAGGCCTTGGAAGAAGTCAAGCCAGCCTTTGGTGTCTCCGAAGAAGAGCTCGAGACGGCAATGGATCGTGGCATCCTTCACTACAGCCCATACATCGAGCACATCCTCAACGACGGCCGCTCCTTCGTGAGCCAGGTCCGCAATTCCGCCACCACCTCTCTGCTCTCAGTCCTGATTCACGGCCCACCGGGCTCGGGGAAGACTGCCCTCGCCGCCAAAATCTCACAGGAATCCCAATTCCCGTTTATCAAGCTCGTCTCGGCCGAGAACATGGTTGGCTTCAGCGAGATGGCCAAGATCCAGTATCTCAACAAGGTCTTCACGGATGCCTACAAGTCGCCGCAAAACATCGTCGTCGTAGATAACATTGAGCGACTCATCGAATGGGTTCCCATCGGACCTAGATTCTCGAACCCCGTGCTCCAAGCCCTGATGGTCCTCTTAACCAAAAAACCCCCCGCTGTACGTATATTTATTTCCCCAACTCCCCCCACACATACATACATAAATACATTACTAACATCCCAATCCCAGGGTCGCCGTCTCCTCATCCTCGGCACCACCTCACAGCGCAGCGTTCTGCGCCAGCTCGACCTCCAACCCATCTTCAACTACGAGCTCGCCGTGCCGAGCATCAACACGCACAAGGAGCTCGCAGCGGTGCTGCGCGAGGTGCGCGCCTTCGACAGCGAGGCCGAGCTCGCTCGCTCGCTGCACGAGCTGCGCGAGACCACCGGCACCGACCAGGTCGGCGTCGGCATCAAGAAGGTGCTGCTCGGTGTCGAGAAGGCTAAGGAGGAGAAGGAGAATGTGCCCAGTAGATTGGCGGATATTATTGCGCAGCAGATGGCGGCGAATATGGATTAGTTGGTTGGTTGGTGTGTGTGCGCTGCGCGCGTGTACAGGATAGAGAGCCCCGTTATATATATATATATATATAGATTATATATATAGGGATGTATGTAGATTATAGAAAAATGTATTATTTTCTTGGGCGAAGTCTCGTACATATCATATCTATCATATCACTAATAGAGCATAGCATCATGGATGGATGATGGCCAAAGGACAGAAAACAAGTTCAAGGTAATACGGCCCCAAGGCCTCTCTTGTATTCTTTATTCATCCCTCCTCCCTCCTCTAGCTAAACACCATGTAGCAAATGGTGTATAAGAAAAGCTCAAACTCATCTGGGTATACCATTCATGCAACCACGCCACCACACAACGCAATATCCCACTCCTCCCACTCCTGCAAACCATTAAAAGCAGCCGTATGTATAATGAATGCTCTTATTTGCTGCGAACCCGCGAGGGAGAACGGACAGCGACGAGCGATTAAAGAGTGAATTTCAAGCGCCCATCTTCCCCCCCACCATATTTTACTCTACTCTCCTCCACCTCATTTATCTCTAACTAATCTCGAACATGCAAAGGCGTCCCGTGGGGACAAAGAGACTCGTAACTATCATTAACCGCCATGAGAGGTAAGGAAAAAGGGACAAGGCAGTCAGGTCGGCCGTGAAGGCAAGCGTTCTAGCAATCAAAACAAGAGTAGAAGTAGAGACAGTAGTAGTAAGCTCATTATAAGCAGAATATTGGACAAAAGAATTGGAACCGAGTATGGAGTTTGTACAGGTGGTGATGCCCATCCGAAAATGGAGCCAAAAGGTTTCGAAAAAGATGATGTTGTGAAAGGTACCGGAGATTTGGTAAGGTGGCGAGAGTCCAGGTGATGTATGTCTCTGCAGGTCGAAAACGAGAGGGATGAATGTAGCTGCAATGACTATCATTGCAGTCATTCTTGGATCATCTTTCCATATTTGGTGATTTCTTCATCGCTCAATGCAGCCATCCACAGACACCTCTCTGTTATCCCCTCGATCGGTAGGAATCTATACAGTTGACTCGCTTCCAAGAGTCTCAGGAGATTCTTGACTACTGTGGCATCCGTGCGACATCTCTCAAAATTCACAAGTGGTTCAGTCGTCGGCGTGCCAGCAATCTGACTCGGTCTCTCTGAATTAGCCAGAAGATCATGTGTATAGATCCCGACAAATGGAATACAGCCTTGATCAGCGCCGCAACCTTCCATCTCCGCTCTAAGGCTATGGAAATTTCGCGTTGGAGTAATGAGGGCCTCAAGCTCCCTCAGGGTCTGGATATCGGCAGCTGGGACATGCGCCCAGGTATTCGTCAAGCGGCTGATATCTTTCGAGGTAAGGGCAATCGTAAGCTGGGTCATCGTAGCAAAATTCCGATATCTACGACAGTGTGCCGCTATATGGATGTACTTGATGATGCATTGGACACGCTCTCCCAGGTCTTGAGTGAGGACGCACTCAGAGATAGCCCATTTAACCATGAGGTTAAATCGTGCAATAACAACCTCCACACCTCGCGGTTCCGATGTACGAAGGAAGTCAACCCAGGATCGGGAATCGGTATTAGCGTCCTTCCAGCGCATTTCGATCAAATCTTTCCAATCGATCTCATTCAAGGCATCTTTCTCAATAAGAGTGAACTGTTGTGCAAGAACCTGCGAGTCAAATGCCAAGATGAACGGCAGATGGGCAGATGTTTTTCGAGATGCCTCAGGTAGACGATGCGATCGAAGAGGATCTGTCAAAGGCGATGATGCGCCTTTATCACCGCCAGTTTCTTTTCTTGTATTCTCTGGCGACGGGGGATGCTGATTTTGCTCTTTCTGTAGTTGTTCTTTTTGAATCTGCGGCGTCTTGGCGTTGATTGGGGACGTCTGCGGGGCCTGCGACAAGGTCATTGGCGGCGATGGAGGGTGCCGTAGCGGATGTGATGGAAGAGCCATCTCCTTCATTACGGTACCTGGTTGGGTAGGTGGAAAGGTCTGGGGGGAAGTCGTATCACGTTCAGTATACTCGGTCCGTGAAATAACTTCCAAAGATATTTCCGATGAGAGGTCACTCCGATTCTCACTATCGCTCTCCAGAAACGAATCTTCATGGCTAACATGGTTAGGTTCCATGGGGTCGGAATCGATTCCCTTCATACTATCCGTCTCGTTAACGAAGTCAAAAGAATTGGCGTGGGATGACTCTGGAGTATGTTCGTTATGCCTCTCTAAACTGGGTTCGTGAAAGATTGAGCGCTCTGACCAATCTTGGGTCCTCCTTTGCATCATTTCATCATCGGTCAGACCTCGCTCAAGCAAGGGAGTAGAGTTATATGACTCTACTGATCGGGTTGATACAGTAATGATTGTTTCTTGAATTCCACGAGGCTGGTAAATGGTAGGTTGTAGCTCCTCGTCAGTCCCGAGGTAAGCGGGTGGCATATGCTCCTGTTGATGTTGGTGATTTACTTCCTCCTCCTCATCAAGTGTTACTGGGATAACGTCGACTTGAGTCGCGCCGAAGCTATTGTGGATTCCAGAATCACGGGGGACACCTTCAGACAAATCAGAACGCCGTTTTGGTTCGTATTTACCTTCTAGTTTCAGCAGCGCCGACTCAACACCACCATCATCGTCTGCATCATCAGGAATCTGAGCAAGCAGTTGGGCTTCTTTTTCGAATGATGGCCGCATGACAGGTTGGGAAGAATGAGTGCTGAATAGTGAAACAGGCTTCTTTGTCGAAGCTTCAGCCAATGCACCCAGCGAAAACGTTTTCACATTCGACTGGGATTGTTCATAGTCACTATTGACAACATCAACATAGTCGCCCGAGTCTTCATCGCGTAAGTACGAGCTTCGAACCGAATCCGAGTAAGTAGCCAGTGAACCGGTCGACTTTGGTCTTTGGAGTGGGGATGAACTGAGTTCGCCCACGTTTGCCACTGCTCTCAAATCGCCGCCCGGACGTCGTCTGAGGACTCTGAGAGGCAGAGGGAGGGATGGTACGTGAGATATTCGATCAACCTCTTCCGAAACAGTAGTGGCATCGAAGCTACGTTCACTCCTATGGTGTGTAAATCCACTCTGGTAGGAAGCATATCGACGAAGTGACGAGGGTTTCTTCGGTATAGACGGTCTCCGAGACTGCATCGAGCGTCCGCCAAATGGCTGGTGACTTGGGGAGCGTACATCCTCTCCAGAAGGACGCGAATCGAGTACCATGGATGGCGTGGCTTCAGATGACACAGGACGCTCGCTGACGTGCTCTCCGAGGAGATGAGACGATCTTCGGGGTATTCCTAGAGGCATATCCGGGGGCGTTGACGGTGGAGTTGGACCTCCCGAAGGTCGTCTGAAAGCATCGGCAAAGGTACCTATAGATACATTGCCCGATAACGCACCTGTCATGGTAGGCGAATCGAACGTCATAGTATCATCAACTATTACAATTGACTTGCTCCCGGTGGTCATTTCGCTCACTGGGGCCCTGCGTCTGGGCTGCCTCGGTGGCTCTAGAGCCGTATTTGGGCTCAAGGTGGAATGGCTAAGATGATCATCACCCTCTTGACTCCGTGTCGACTTCCGCTCGCTTTCCTCACGCCTTTGAGCGTCGGCTTCTGCGTCTTCCCGAACCGCCTTCTTGAAGTCCTCGGCGACTTCCGCACCGAGCAAATCAATACGCATGGGTGCTCTTCCCTCGCTGTTGCGTGGGCGTGCCTGTGGAACAATAGCTGTGCCCGGAAGCCGGTTGATCGTGGCTCCTCGAACCCCAAGTGGTGGAATGTGAGGAAAGCTACCCTGCGTGGGAGAGGAGGTGGGAGTGCTGGGAAAAGCTTTAGTACTCAAAGCGCGACGTACGCTACCAAGGAGTTTCTTCATGCCGGGTCCCGACATTGCGGACGGGCTTTTGTTTGGGGACCTTGCAGGGAAATAGCTGTTGGCCTGACTTGTTTCTGCAGGCGTGCCCGGAGCAATCGCTTCGACAAATGGCTGTCCAGGAGGGAAGAGGTTTCCTCTGACTAGACTGCCAGCGTATGGAAGAGTAAGGAGAAGCTCAGTGCTCTTGTACAAAGCCCTCTGAACCGGTTGCTGCGCCCGATGGTCTCGGAATGAATCTGAGAAGCTTCCACTACGCTTATGGGAGTTAGCAGGGCGGACACGTTTTCCCGAGAGCGCCCTGGGCGTCGTTGCAACAGGCGCAGGAGGATCATATACTGGGTTTGCCGGTACAGGGTGAGATGCTAGGGGTTGGGCTGATCCGATGGCTCGTACACGAGAAGGGGGGAGAGAGCAGGAAACAAAGTCTTCACTCATAATACTTGTAGGCGACAAAGGCGGCTCTCCTTTTGGGCCCTCCGTTCGTATAGCTGGGATGCTTTGAAGAGCCACCATAGAATCAATGTGGCGAGTGCGGGGAACCTCTGCAAGAAAGCTGTGTGCTTCTAATGCTATTGACGTCCTGTGTTCGGCCGAGTCTGGTTCGATGATGCCGTCCAGACGTGGGGGACCCTCAGGCTGTGTTTCCCAAAAGCTTGGGTCTAAATTCGGATCTCGTGACCCAGCGACTCCTCCTGGAAGGATGGGGACGTCAGGCCCCAGCTCAGTGTCGAATTCGGGGCCATCCCAATACAACGCACACACTCGACGCCAGCACTTTTTGAGTTCCCCCAGAATCTTCATCGGAACCTTGGTGCACACTCCGGATGCCAAAAGCTCGCTGACGAAACCGTTGAGCAGATCGCAAAACGACTTGCGCAAGTCGTAATCAACAACATAATCGTCCAGAAAGTAGTTTAGAATCCAGTGACGAATTGCAACAAACGTCCTAACTCTGACCACCATACCAGTTCCATCCTCCCTTGCAAGTGCCCACTTCAGCCTCGCAATGAGCATGTAGAGCAAGTCGGCCGTCTCGAGATACGAGCGAAATGTCAGGAAGAAGTCGGACACGAGATCATAATCCACAAACGTAGGAGACGTGATCTCAGCTACCAGGCGTGCCGGAGTGGCAGCCTTAATCCCACCGCTCGCAGAATAGCGAACTACGGAAGGATGGTCGCAAGCGGGTTTGAACGTAAGATCGTCGAACATCTCAGGCACGATTGCCGCGGGTTGTCTCACGACACCAACAGCAACAGAGGGACGAGGGGACGAGTTGAAAGGGCTTGATGGTGCGAATAAGGAATAGTGAGGTTGTGGGGAAGTATCAGAATGCCGCCTCGAGAGAACCTGCGTTGGTTGTTGTGAACTTGCATCTTTTTGAGACGCGTCTCTGTGAGAGAACATACTCGAGCGCATCTCATCGGCGGTAGAGTATGAGGAGCCTCGGAGGAAGGCTGTGCCACGAACACTGAACCGTGGTATCCCAAGCTTATATGAAGGAATGGGGACCTCCAGAGTTGGAATTCCCTTAAATGGAGCCTCTGTCTTTGGTACAGGCCTCTCTATCACAACCTTGAAAACGCCCATGTCTGAGTCACGCCCAGATACGTGCTGCTCGTGCTGTTCGTCCACAGTCGAATAAGAGTATGCCCGCTTATGGCGTGGGGCTTTCGATGGTGTCTTCAAGTAGTAGTCATCTCGAGCTTGCATGATCGGAGTCGAAGGTGGAAGTGAGGGGGTCCATAAACTCTCACGCGGCGTCTCTCCTCCCTCAAGGTGCGATACCAACGTATCAAGACCAGCGGTGCTTGGTGGGGTAATGGGGAATGCGAAAGGCGGTTGAGGATATTGCTGATTTGCAGGGCGTCTCGTAGGACTATTCCAGTGTCAGTCGGTCGGTCTTGATACAAACATGCTCTCCAGCCATGTAGAAGAACAATGGTCTCATTCTCTGCCCATCGCGTCTTACCGTAAATATATCCTGCCATTATTCCCCACGTTCGCAACCGTGAAATGCCTTCCTCCCTTGCCCGCCGAGCTCCCATCCGGGGCTATCTCAAACTTGCTATCCTCGCCCTCTCGGGGGGCCCTCTGGCTCACACTGTTCTCCTTGCGCAAGCCATCCTGTCTCTTCCTGGTGATGAGATCGGGCGAGCCCGTATTGCTATTGCCCGCGCCTCGGGACCGCGGGGCCGGCGCGAGCACGACGCCGCTCTTGGCGGCTCCGGCCAGGTCTCGAACGGTGGACGAGATACGACTCGTCTTCGCAAATCCACGGCGCGGCGACAGACGGTCGCGCTGTCGCTGTCGCAGGCTCTCGGGGGTGCGAGCCTGGCTCCCCGTCGGGGAAGCGTGCTGCATGTCGGCCTCGGCCTGAGCCTCCATTGTCCTGGATCGGACGGGAATCTTGGGGGACGGCAAGACTCAGCTCCTCCTTCGGGTTTTTCCCTTACTTCTTCCTTCGATGCATGGGGGGTGGTTTGGGCGATGGGAGATCCTGGGCGGGGGAGGTTGGGAGGGGAAGAATCGAGAGTTGTACGCGTTGTATACAGGACAAAGGAGAGGAAAAGACGGGAGGAATGAAATGAATGAGAGAGAGAATATTCAGATCAGTTCGTAAAGGTGAAGGGAGGAGTTGAGCGAGTGAGTAAGGGAGATGGAGAGGAGGGCGAGACGAGAGCGAGAGCGAGAAGCAGAAGCCGAGAACCCAAGCCACGAGAGACGGAAGGGTCCAGTTGGTGCCGCCCGGTAGCGACTGACCGGGATTATCGTGACATTGGCATTGATTACGATGAGCCTTGCTTTCCCACGCATATATTGATTGATTGTATGATTATGTGGTGTTTGTTATGGCTCTGGTGATCCTTGGTCTCGATGATACCCGATCTCATCCTGTACAGTCCCTTGCCTTACTCCTATTGTTGATATATAAGATATAAGATATAACTAACTGACCTAACCCCAGCCATCGCCAGCGGCCCGAGGAGAGTCCCGTCGTCCATCATCATACATACCTAAGGTACCCAAGATCATCATCAATCCGCAGATCCAGTATCCAGTATCCAGTATCCAGTATCCCGCACACAATAATAATAAAAATCACCATAATCATCATCACGGTCGGTCTAAACGCCAGAAAATGAATCCCGGAAAGCGAGGCTAGTCTCCAGCAATTGTGGGCTCCAGAACCCAGCGCCGTGGACGCGAAACCGGGAACTCGACCCTGGTGGAGATTTGATTTGATTTGATTTAGATTTAGATTCAGATTTATCCCGTGGCTGGGCGAGAAGGGTGCTTCTGACCGGGTGAAGAATGCGAGGAGCGTATAATCATAATACCAAGAGGAGGAGCAGAGAAGAGGAATGAATGAATGAATGAGTAAAGCAAAGAACGAAGCAAGTCATTATTCCACACTCTCCTCTATACAGCCAGCCAGCCAGCCAGCCAGCCTCCCCAGAACCTCATGCATTCATTATCCATACCTACACTACATCCTCAAGTTCCATCAATTCTGTATGACAAATCCCCTTGTTCTTTATACACCGCACTCCCGCCATATAACATCAATTCATCACATCCATCAATCCATCAATCCTACCGTACCTATACAAAACCAGACCCCCATCCCATCCCATCCCATCCCATCCCATCCCATCCTCCCTCAATCAATCATTCACTCATTCATTCATTCATTCGCATCGCATTTTTCCCGAGGAGATACGAGATACCCTAATCTTTTCCGTAATCGCGATGCAGGGCTTCCCGGAGGCGCGTGCGCTGCAGCTGTCAGGATCTTGCTTGCGTTCTTTGATTTGATTGGCTCTTTTTTTTGGGGGCCGTCTTTTTTAGAGAGAGAGAGAGAGAGAGAGAGAGAGAGAGAGAGAGAAGATAATGTAAGGTATGCACTTATATATATACGGCATTTACCTATTTTCGTGCGGAGGGAGGAGGAGGAGGAGGAGGAAATTGGTATTGTGATCTGGATGTGTAAACGCATTCTGTGCGTGTATTGCTTGATGGAGGGAGGGGGAGGGGAGGGGGGCTTCTTTCTAGAATACTTCTCGGATCCATTCATGCGGGCAAAAGTAGAGACAAGAGACAGGTGAGTGATGATGTTAGACAAGAGGTTCAGTTCAGCCGCTCGAGAGGAGCTTGAGGATGCATGGCAATCAGGAGTCAGAGATCAAGCCTCGACGAATATGTAGTTAGAAATAAAATCCCAGCAATATCAGAATTCACACAAGAGCAATAGTCAAGAGAGTTGTTTGTTTGTTGAAATTATCATTTGCTTTTTTGAGACCACCGCTTTTTTTATACTCGTACAACAAAAGACAGACGAGGAAGACACCATCGTCACTTGGGAGAGCACACAACCCGAAGACTTACTCAATCCACCAGCGAACCTCAATGTCCCAAGCCGCAACCAGCGAGGTCAGCCAGGTCTTACCCGGAGGAGCACAACAGTCCTAGACGACTCAAACCCGCGAGGGTGAGCTCTATCCAAGACCGGCTCAATTCCAGGGAGACCCAGCGGCCCCTTATTCCCAATCCACCAAAACCAGACCTAGAGGAGCACAACAGTCCTAGACGACTCAAACCCGCGAGGGTGAGCTCTATCCAAAACCGGCTCAATTCCAGGGAGACTCAGCGGCCCCTTAATTCCCAATCCACCAGAGCCACAGCCCACCAAAAACCACGATCCAGAAAAAACCACGACCCAGGATAAAACCAGATCAATCCACCGAAGCCAGATCACTCCCCCAAACTCCGGCGCTTCGTTATCGTAATAGTAGTAACACACAACAAGCAAAAAAAGAAGAAGAGAAAAGAGACTCTACAAAATTGACATGCACTCCATCCATTTACCCATGACACGCATTCATTCCCATTATCATTCCTTCCAATTAAGTAAAGTACTTTTCGACCTCCATGTCCACGTCCGACTGTTTGCCTTTTGCACGCTCTAGCGCGTCACTGAGATAAGGTGGCAGTGGATACTTTGCGATCTCGTGGTCGGGAATGTTATTGACGTATGCTTTAACCTCCGGGTCGAGCCGCTGATGCATCAAATCACATCTCCTGCTCACATCATCCCACTCCTGCCTATCTACGCCGGAGTCTGCTAGGATTTTATCGAAGTTCGGGTGAGAGGTGAATGAATCCATGACCTTTATGTTCTCCTTATCCATTTGCATCGGCGACATCTGTGTGACATTTCGGAGTCCGCTCGGTTGTTTTGGTTTGAACTTCTCGGCCTTGGCCTTAGCCAGTTCTGCTGCCGACAACTGCTGAGCGGTGGCCGGAAGCAGAGCGTTGCCTGGTCGTGGCTTTGGCGGCGGAGTCTGCGTCCATTGCTTTGGTTGTAAAACGGAAGACTCGGAAGTCTGGTTCATGTTCTGCTCTCTCTCATTCTGCTCTCTCTCGTTGCTCTTCTTTGCTCCATGATCATCGGCGCCATCATCGTCATCATCACTGTCGCTACCATCATAACCGGGAGTCTTGAAGGACTGGAAGGTGCTAGACCGATTGGAGGAAGGAGTTGGGGATTTGAGGAAGGGGTTAGAACGGTCGTCATAACCAGGGGGGGTATCGAAGAAGCTTTGTTCGAGAGGAGCGGGCTTGGCAAGGGGCCGATCGAAAAAGGAGGTAGGGCATTCCTCAAACGGTACTTGGCGCTTGGCGACGTTAGAAAATCTCTCGAAAGGCAGGGGCCACTCGGAACGAGGGAGAGTAGTATGTTGATAATTGATGAGCAAGTCGCCAGCTTTGGCAGAACTTGGCTTCAATCCCAACTTTTGGATACCGGGGGGGCATACCATGTCGGCAGCGGAAGTCTCTCCAGTACGTGCTGGACGGCTACCAATTACTTCATCTTCATCCGAATCATCGGAACTTCCTGGACTGGGGACACGGAAGGTGCCAGGTGGCGGAGGAGTTCGTCGCTTGCGTTTCTCTCCAGCTCGGGCAGGATTCGTCGACGGGGTTGCAAGGATTGCTTCCTCTTCATCTTCGACACGAGCCGCATGAGCCTGGCGCTTCTTATTTCTCTCTTCGGCCAAGCGGTCTTGCTCGCGATGAATCTCTGCAATTCTCGTTGGAGATAAGAGACCTCGTAGGTGAATGGGTGGCTTGGGCTCCTCGCGGAGACGTCGACGCCGCTCGGTCTGTGGGTGCTTACTATGTGTTGATGGAGCACGACTCTTACGTTCCGATTGCGAAGTCTTCTTACGGCGAAGACCAGGTCGCGTTGGTGTAGTAGGGCCGTTAGTAGAGTTGATCGAACCAGAATTGTTTCGGGGTTGTGTAAAAGTAGATGCACCCGTAACTGAATCGCCATTAGTAGCAGCGGCTTGGCCATCCTGTTGATTGCGAGAACCAAGGAACTGAAAAGGAGTTGCCAACATGCTCTTCACAGCCGATACACCACTCCAAAAACCGCGAGACTGCTGCAGTTGTGGTACCGTTTGATTGGCCGGGGTCTGGGGTTCTTGGATCTCGGATTGTACTTCACTTGGATCCTCTGGAACTCCGAGGGCACCGGACATTTCATCTAACTCGTGCTCTGAAGAATCTGACTCAGCTTCAAGAGCTTCATGTTGAGCATCGTCCTCGTGGGATGATACAGGTACAGGGTTGAGTTCAGCTGAAGGTTGAGGAAGCGCTGGGGGGGTAGATGGTGCTGGGGTGGATGGTGCTGCGACTTTGGCCGACTCCTGAGCATGAAAGGCATCAAGAAGCGCCTCCATCTGCTCCGCTGTTGGAACTCGACGTGTTTCGTCACGCTCAGCCCACGCGGCGAGAGAGCGCGCAGCATCTATCAAATCAGGTCTAGTTAATACAAGTTCTGCTTCGGAATGACTGGCGGGAATGATAATCTTTTTAGACTTGGAAATAGTCGTACTGGGGCGAGGTTTTGAGGCTCGTGCTAGCTTGCGTCGACTCTGTGGGATTGTCAGCATCATGTAGTTAGGCCTCTTTTTCATAGGGCGGCTCACCTCGTGGTTGTCCGTGAACTGGGGTAATTCAAATGGAATTTGGTCCCGACGGAAGGTCTTTGGAACATTTTTCAATTTGGCCATTTGAGATTTGGTGAAGGCTGGAGCATCAAGAAAATCGAATTCGCCATCGGATCCTTCTTCTGGATCAATGTACTCCGTCTCAGTAGCGCGTCTTGGGCCAAAGTAATCTGCGCCTTGCTTCATGATATTGCGCAATCCGGGCCTGTTGTGCTTTGGCATCTTTTCGCCGAATATCTCTTCGAAGAGAGCTGCTCTACTCTTCATAGCTGCAGGAACGGGCTCGCTATCCCTTGGCACAAGGCTCATAGAGTGGACAGTATTGGGCACCGCTTGCTTTGCAGCCTTTGGTCGGTTAGGCTTTGGGGTAAGGAAACGTCTCTCGCGAAGAGACGCGCCTGGAGATTTCTGAGTCTCTTCAAGTCGCGGTGCGACAGTCTCCTCTTCGGAGGTATGTTCCTCAGGGTAAGATGCGGGAATAGAGAGCACGATTGGCTTTGGTTGTGGGGAGTTGTGCGCCTCGTCGCCATCATCATCGGCGTCAGAAGCATCATCATCTTCTTCTTGCTGGTCCTCAGCTGGCGCGTTATTTCGTCTTGATCTCAAGACGCGCTTTGCTGGGCGGCCCGCGTTACCTTTCTTGGTGGCACGAAGGCGCTTCTTGGTAGGGGCCTTCTTTGAAGGCTTGGGGTCTGGTTGTTGGTCCGTTGTGGAGATATTGGGAGTTTGGGATGTGGGCGGCTGGTAGGTGGGGGGAGAAGTTGATCGCGACTCTGCGACGGGGGGAGGAGAGTCGGAATGCGACTCCATAAGCTGAGGAGAGGCAGACCGCGATGTACTGCCCTCATCAAGGTGCGCGGCAGTGGGAGCAGCCACGGGAGTTACAGTCTTTGCCTTACGGGCTGGTTTCTTCTTCCTGCCATCCTCTACCGGTCCATATGGCAGAGACCGCAGCCCACTGGGCGAAGGGTTGTTTCTGGTGCGTCGAGTCGACATGTTGTCAACTCTCCGGCACCGCGCGCTGTTGAATTGAAAAGACGATACGGCGCTCGCAAAGTCTGGTTTTTGTGGTCATTCGATGGCGACGTGGTGGTTGGGGATGAGGTGAGGTGGATGGATAGATAAGAGAGAGGGGAGTCTGAGGACAGACGGGAAATGTTGGAGGTGGAAAGGTTTGTTGGTGTTGTCAAAATGGCGTTGTTGTTGTTGACGTTGACGTTGGTGTTGACAATGATGATAATAAAAGAGGTCGAGAAAGAGTACGCGCGAAGGGTCGCGCTTATTCCCTGGATAATTTTCAGCCTCGTCTCGCTTAGTCGCCTCGCCTAAATCATCCCGCGCGCTTGGGGGGGCAACCCCGAAGTTTTGGCGAGTACAGAGGTACATGGTACATGGTACATGGTACGTACCTAAGGTACACAGGTACACAGGTACAAACAGGTACATACATATGATATGCACATAGGCACATCAGTGTACATACATAGGTACCTTACATACCTTAGGTAGACACATAGATGCACATTTCCCTAGAATAGATAGGCACATATGGCATAGGTACAGTGACTCAGGGACTCCCGTACGCTCCCTCACCGTCAAGCATCCACAACACACAATACAATCGAAAGGGGCCGGAAGACTGCGCTCTTACAAATACATTTCCATTCAAAGGCGGGACGCGGCGCTTGTTGCGGTATAACCAAGCTCCGCCCCCCTAGAAGCAGATCTAATAACATACACCACGATTCATCTCATCTCCTATCATCTTAGTATTATTACTCTTACGCTCTTCATCGCAGAAGAAAAGATGCCCAATGCCCTGCCCCTAGCACGCCCAGATCCATGAAGCACATACGCTATGCAAGCAACGCTCAATCTCTTTCGTATCATCCCAGCCATACCTGTGATCTTCCAAGTCTAGCCGAGCCAGTATCATGATTGTCCGTCCATGCGAGTACCCATCCATTCCGAAAATGCATGGGACGGAGAAAAATGCGAAGGGACCCAGAAAATCCAGCGACCGATGGTCTGTTTCGCTGTCCTGTTGAAAGAAAAAAAAAAAGAAAAAATTCGTGTCATCCATATGATACACCTTTAGAAGTAGGGAAACGAGGAAAGGAGGCCGGGAACGCCATGCCATCCGCCCATAGTAATGCCATACAGAGAATCGAAACCCAATGCCAAATATGCAGAATCAAACAAAATTACAAGAAGGTCCTAGGTCTCGTCCTTCATCAAAGTCGGAGGCCTCTCCGACCCAGCTGGATCCAGGAGATTACTCATGGCGGTGCTGAGAGCTTTGAAGTCGACCGGCTTCGTCACGTAGCTATTGAACCCGGCTCGTACGCACTTTTCAAGGACGTCTGCCATGACATTGGCGGAGAGGGCGATGATTGGCATACGTGGAGCTGATTCCCTCTCCTCCCATTCACGGATCTCACGGCACGTCTGGTAGCCATCTTTACGAGGCATATGTAGATCGCACTGTGTATTACATCAGCAAAGGTATCAGTAGAAGAGGAGGAGTAACTTACGAGAATAAGGGAATAGAACGAATGGGGGTGTGAGAAGACTTTATCTGTGCATTCAACTCCATCCATGGCAAGCTCAACAGCAATGCCCACTTTTCCTAGGAACTTCAGGAGAACCTTCTGATTCACGAGGTTATCCTCTACCAAAAGTACCCTGAGACCCTTATTACCAAGTCGCTTGCCAACATCAAGATAGTTCTGTTTCTGGTTCGCAACATGCTGCTGCGCGCTTGATCGATTACGATCGGTGCTGAGATCACGCTCCTTGTCGGGGTCAAAGATCACAGCAAACCGTGAAGGTTTGACCGGCTTGTAGATGAAAGTAACGCGGTTGCCTTTTGCAAGCTCTTCAAAGTTGTATGCAGCAGCCATCTTCATCACCTCTTGCCGCTGCACGGGGTCTGAGAGAACAACAATAGAAGTTTGTGGCGATTGGGAAGACGTGATAATCTGTTCGATCAACTTGACGATTTCTTCTGTTGACCCCAGATTTAAGACGATGTGAGTAAAGATCACAGGATTTTCTCCACTGATCAGCTTTTCAGCCTCTGCTACACTTGACAAAGGAGTTATTTGATGCGGGACGTCCTTGGGCAGTGTGATCTCAATGTGCTGAGTGGTAGCTTCACGACTATGCGTCTGTGGACAGATGAGTAGGATCGAGTACATAGGCGGGCGAGAAGGCCTCGAATCCAAGGAAGATACACTGCTCTGCCCAGACAGATCATCGCCATGAACAGACAGCGGCCCAAAAGTAGGTGTTGTTGCAAGCTCCTGTGATTGAGAACCATTTACAGACTGCGAAGTGATAGCGGGATCACCTTGGGAGGAGGAAGGGGGTGACGGCGAATTCTTCTCAGGCAGTGCAAGCTTCATCTGCGATAGATCTGATCTGACTATCTGAGCAGCCTCGTCAAAATGAGACAGGCCAGGAGCAACTGAAGAGCTAGGCGACTGAATGTGCGAGTGATTTGATTGAAGAGATGGATCTGAGCTGGCTGAGGACGCTACGGTAGGAGAATCGGTGCTTGATTCGGTCCTTGGACTGGTAGTGATAGGAGAGTGCATTAATTTATTTGCCAGAATGGGATTTCCACCGGCTTGTCTCAGAGCACGTGCCGAGGCATCATTTGAGGCAGATAGCGTAGTTGGCGGCGTCTTGCTCAGCGCCGGTGTTAAAGGCGGTTCGGGGTGATCTTCTGGAGTTGGCAAGCAAAACTTGGCTGTGAATGTGAAGGTGGAGCCTTTTCCAGGAACCGCAGTGCCCTCCATCTTGCCTCCATGAAGCTCAACAAGCTGTCGAGATATGACAAGCCCTAGACCGCTGCCACCATGCTGACGAGTACTGCTTCCATCAATCTGACTAAAAGGCTTGAAGATAAGGTCTGCTTCTTCCTGAGTAAATCCTCGACCAGTGTCGATAATGGAATACTCGAGCATTATCTCATTCTCTCCAACGTTTTCAGCGTCCTTAACAACCCTGCAGCGGCTGAAAACTTCGCCAACTGTTGTAAATTTGATGGCATTGCCAATGACGTTGAGGAGGACCTGACGGATCCGGAATTTGTCTCCTTTGACCATCTCTGGCACATCTATGTCGACAACATAGTTTAACTCTAGCCGCTTGGTAATCGCCATAGTCGATACCATTTCGTTCACTTCTTCAACCAAAGATCGAGTATGGAACCATTCGTAGGAGAGCTTCATCATGCCTGCATCCACCTTCGATAGATCCAGAATATCGTTAATGATATTGAGAAGACTGCTGGCGCTTGATTGAATGGTGTTGGTGTAGTCCAGTTGCTCATCATTGAGAACCGTATCCTGAAGGAAGTTGACCATGCCAGAGATACCGATCAACGGTGTGCGGATCTCATGTGACATGTTGCTTAAGAACTTGCTCTTCGACTCCATGGCCTCCTTTAACTTGGCTTCCAGAAGCTTGTGGTCATTGATGTCAGTACAAGCCCCGAACCAAGACCCGTCCCGACTACCAAGACTAATATTATCAACTTCTACGCATCGTACAAGATGCCAACGGTATTCTCCCGTCTTGCTTCTGAGTCGGACTTCCGTCGTGTAAGAGAGCCTCCCGTTGCTATCCATGGCGACCTTGATAACGCCGGCTTTTGCAAGCTCGGTCAGATCGGCAGTGGGGAGGTCATATATTGATGAGCTACTTGAGCTGTTGTTTCTGGAGAGAGACTGGTTAGCTCCTTTGACCGTCGTCTCGGTACCTGCCTCGGAGATCGCTGAAGACCTGGATGCTTTTTTCTCTGAGGATGTCTGAGACGGATTTCGACTGGGATCTTGGGGTTTCTTGTATCGCTGTGACGGACTGGCGCCTCGGTCAACCGGTATGTGGCACCTTGCAAGATCGTCAGGATGTACGAAATCCATGAATCCTAGACCGAGGGCATCGTTGAAGTCTTGACCTGTGTATGAAAGCCATTGCTCATTCGCAAAAGCGACACCTTCATCCTCTGTTGCAGCGAAGATGATCTGTGGAATCAAATTGGCGAGTTGCCTATGCTTGGCTTCTGAAGCCTCGATCTCTTCCTGTCGAGCAGCCTTCACCTCTGCAATATGCTGATCATGTATATCCATATGTGAGCCATACCACTGAACTATAACACCGCGAATATCACGCGAACCAACGGCCCTTGTGTAAAACCAACGGTAGGTCCCGTCGAATCGTCTTATGCGAACCTGCATTGAGAATTGCTCACCCGTCCGCACCGCATGACCCCACGCCTTGAGGTATTCTTCCCTCTCATCTGGATGAATACTACCCCAAGGGTCTTCGTACAATTCTGATACAGTTTGGCCTCGGTAGGTTAGGTAGCGGCTGTTCACCCATACAATTTCACCCGTCTGCGGCAATGCAACAAACACGTGCGCGGGTAATGAATCAAGCATCAATCCCTTGAGGCGATCTGAAGGGGGCGGCATATCTGTCGGGACGGTCACAGACGGCGCGCGCGAGTGAGGTCTTACATGGGGTTGATTCTTGGCAGATGGTCCAGAAGTCGTTGGCAGAGACTGAAAGGTTGCACCAAAATCCGCCCCGTACGAATGCAACTGAGTATGGGTATGATGCCGGTCCGCCTTGCTTGGACCATGATAAGAAGCTGCGCGGATGGCCTGGCGTCGAGGTGATAGAGACTCTGGGTGATGGCGAGGAGGGCTACTGTCACGATTTTCAGATGTATTAAGATGAGAAGCACGCTCGGGACGCGTGCGGGGTTCTTGCTTGGGGGTGATTGTTGGAGAAAGAGTCTCCTCCGGCTCCAGTTTACTACCCTTGGCAAGGTCTTCTCGACGCTCGGTGCTTGAAGAATCCAACAATTGCTCATCAGAACTCCGAGGCCGTTGCTGCACCCTCGCCTCCGCCGGAGAGCTCTCCTTCGATGGATGTCGAGCTCCAGTGATACTACTACCAGAGCTAGTATCAACCCGTCCTAGGCCTGGTCTGGATTTGGCACTGAAATAACTCTCAGCTGTACTACCCGAGGGGCTTCCTCCGCTCGATCGTTTGTCCATGCTCAGGCCTACATTCGCAGGATCCCAACCAGGGGTGCCTCTAGGCGAACCCGCTGCGCTTCTGGATACGCCAGAGTAGTCGCTCGGACTGGTAAGACTGCCGGCTACTGATTGTCGAGGCTCACTTTCATCAAACGGAGTGTACGCCATTCGGTCTCCAGTCAATCGGCCGCCTGGAGCAACAGCTCCAAAGCCGGCTGTTTGCGGACGTTTCCGAGATAGTCCTGCGATTTGGTTCTCGAGGTTGGAATAATGACGGCAGAGGGAGAAGGAGGTCGCCAGATGTGGTGCAAGGTGTTCTAAGGAGTGCCTAAGATTCGAGGGGTATGGAATGACCGGACTAAGGATTGAGAGGATGGCAATGGGCGTACCCCTTTCTCTGGAAGTGTCCGGGCCTCGCGCTAACTTTCCAGGGTCCGAGTACTTGGGAAGCTGGCCACCCGATTTCACTCGCCCTGCCGATTTTGATTCCATAGCAGCGGTGTCTAAGCGGAATGACTGAACCGGCTTCGATAGTAAGGGATGAATCAGTGGGATGTGCAATACTGTCCACGACCTGTCTACTCCTATAGCCTCTAGCGGTTGTATATTTGAGTAATCTTGTGGCGATGGATTGGGATTGAAGGTCTCTTCGTCAATAACAGCGTTTCCAAAGAAAGGATTCTCTCCCGTCTCAGCTCGGATCGCGGGAGACGGTGCCGGAGACTGAGCCCATGGTGATGGCGGCGCTTGCTCGTATTCCTCATATCTTTGAGCACGAGGAGATGGAGGCTCGTCAAAAGTACGCAGAGGCGCGGGTGTGCTTTTTCCTTTGTCACTCGTGTGGCTGCGGCTTTTACGACTTGACCGCCGGGAAAGCTTGCCATCCAGGAATGATGAAATTCGTGAACCGAGGTCTGGACCTTTGCCATTCTCGATCTTGTCAACCAGCTGCTCTCTAGGCTTTACACTTGGATGTGAAGATCTGCCACCTCCACTCTTCTCGCCTGGGTCATCCAGGTACGGGTAGTCACGCGTTAAAGCAATGACCTTGCCACGCTCTAGGACTCGCAGCACTCCACTGCTATCTATCAAAGGGTCTGCTTCATAGTCCAGCGCTTGCAACACTGAGAAGACTCTTCCCCGGACCTCTCTTGTCGAGGCTGGAGGGTTCTCCCAAACAGCAGCAGTCTTTGAATCCTCATAATCCATATGGTCTTGCAGGGATTGAGAGCTGAGGCGGGTATTTTGTGTAGCTGCGGTTCGCGAGAGCGGATCGGGACGACTTGATAGGTAGCTCTGGGCTCTGGCTAGAGGCGCGGGGCGTGGTGCAGCAGCTCGACTGCTCTCGGGAACGAGCGTTGGCTCAATCTTGGTGCTTTCAAAGGTCGTAAAAGAATGTCTGCTTAATAGGCTGGGCCGAGTAGCTTCAAACCTTGAAGTCGGCATTGGTGGAGACTCATCAGGATTCGTGTACCCAGAATTCGAAGTCTCGTTCGTACCAACACTGCTCGGCACCACACTGCTTCCTCGTGGTAGATATGCCAAACTCAGCCCATCCTCCTCCACTGCATTGAATGTTGCTTTCTGACCCCAAGGCACGTTTTCAACGTCCGTAGAATCTGCTGGTACTGAAAGTGTCACCCGGTCTGCCTTGTACAGGTCTCTCATAAATTGGACCACCGTCGTCCACCAAGCATCCAAACCAGGCTCCGCAGACAGCATCAGACTCAGGTCATAAAGATTCGGGGTCGGGAAATCCGACTCTCCCTGGGGCTCATACGAGTCCCCCGGGTGGAAGTTCAATGTCGAAGCAGGCGTGGTAGAACCAGACAACACCTGGTCATGTGGCGCTCCCAAGGAACCCCCCACGTTCGCTGGGCTGGTTGTGGGAGATAAACCGGTGAATGGATGATGTGCACTGTAAGGCAGGTAGCCAGGCGTTCGCATTGGGGGGAAAGGGTAAGCTGGTGTTCTGGCCGTGCTCGCAGCAGGTGTCATGCCGCCTCGAACCGTCTTCGCTGATTCTGTGGACGCCGTATCCAGACCACTCGAGATCGGGCTATTGAAGGCGGCATCCAAGGACGGCGACGTGGTCTCCTCATGGATGGGGGACACCCGGGGTTCGCCACCTACCGCTCCAGGCGCGCCTCTTCGCCCTGCCCTCTCTCCAAACTGCAGAGCGAATTTCTCTCTGTGTTTATTCAGCTGTAGTTGTGCATTCATCGCCGCTACGCGTAGGCGTTCGACTTCTCCCGGCGAGACATCCCGAGGCACATCCCCTTTCTTGTATTCGCCCGGAAGACCACGGTCAGTCCCTCCAGCAGGCGAAGAAGACCGACCCGTTGCACTGGCCGCGCTTACTCGCTGGTGGCGACCACTGTTTGGCTGGAGGTCGGCGCCCTCAGGCATAGGGGTCTCGGGGGCCTCTCCTCTCTCTGTGCTCTCTCTCTTGCTGCCCTCGTGCTCAAATTCCAAAGGCGCCTCCGCGCCTACAGGCAGGTGCGACGGCAAATCCGACATTGGATCCTGAGTCTGGCCGGGGGAAGAAGGGCCACCTGTTATTCCATGCCTGCTCGGCGGGCTCGGTAAAGACTGCTGGGTGACGGGAGTGCCACTGCTGGACGGTCGCAGACCGCCAGGGCTTCGAGGGTGCGATGGAGAGGATGGGGAGGGTCTGTCCAGCGGCGACTCTGGAAGGGGCATGCCGTCTCCCCTGGAGCCCCTCCGACCGGACTACGCGAAGACGGAGACAGCGATGACTCCAGACTGTCGAAGGGCCGTGGTGGTGTCTGCAATGACGGACTCTGGCCTCTGGTGCCTCATGCGCGCGGGTGGTGGTGGTTGATGATCGGATCTGGAGAGCGAGGCGTGCGGTGCCTGCGAAAGTCTCAGTCTCTGCCTCTCAGTGTCTTGTCTCTGGCTCTGCCGAAGAATGACGTCGGTGTACGGCGGCGCGCAGCGGGATCCGAGGCAGGAACAGGAGCAGCGGTGAAAAAGGGAGCGATCATGCGGGCGGGATGCTGGCGCGCATCTCTCTCTCTCTCACGCTGAGCGGGCGGAGCAAAGCAAAAGGAAAAGGAAAAAGGGTGAAGGGTTAGCAAGGACAGCACGGGGTGACAGTGGAATTTTGCGTTGTTTGGGTCAGCAGTTAGGTAGGTCGGTCGGTGGTGGGTGGGAGTACTGGGAGAGATACAGTAGCACTGGTCCGATGGATCTGGGTCAAGAGGCGAGAGAGGAGGCCCCAGGGATACACAAGGGTGGCAATTGGGCAATACACTGTGGGCAATGGGCAACAACGGGCTCTAGAGACTCTGGGCAATGGGCTCTACGGAGGAAAGTGGATTGACCGTTGGCCATCCAGGAACACGGCGTGCCCTAGAACGTCGGAAGACGCCAGAAGCCAGAAGCCATGTCCGGGTCTGGAGGCTGGCTGAAGAGAGAAGCAGTTTGCCTCTTCCGTCATTGAAAGTAGTGTTTCCTTGTGTGTATGTGCTTGTTATCGGGGTATCTATCATCTGTGCATTGGCAATGGTTGTTGGGATTGAGACACGGGTAGAGACAGACAGGTATCTATAGTTACTTGTGTAGGTATAGAGAGAGGATATTCTGTATCGGTGCATATAAGGTAGATACATACCTCAACTACCTAGGTAGGTATATACAGGTAAGACCGTGCTGTACTGTATAGGGGTCAGCTCTTCAACCCACCACTTTTGCCCCTCTGCTTCTTTCTGCCTCTTCTCGCGCGCGCGTGGGGGGATTTTAGAGGTCATTCGCACTCTGATGCCATCGCGCCTGGCCTGTCGCTTCTTTGTTTTCCCTTAATATTTTCTATTATTATGATTCTCTGTTATTGGCGGGAAGGGATGCCGTATCCGTCTCTTCACTCGGTCCCCTAGTAGAGCCTGCACGGACTGGGCTCTGGACCGGCTTGCGAAGAAAGGGAGGTCGGGGTGAGAGTAGTCTCAGTAGTCGTGAAGGCCATTATGGGCCTGCTACGGCCGACCACAGCGACGCGTGCAGCACCGGAAAAGGGAAAGGGAAAGGGAAAGGAGAGCGCGCGCGACTCGAGGGCCACGTTGCTTCCGGTGTAGTGGGTGATGCGGGGAGGGGACGATCCAGAGCCAGTGTCAGTGTCAGTGTCAGTTGTGTCTCCGTCTGGTTCTTCCGATGATGATGATGATGATGATGGTGGTAATGATGATGATAAAATAGAGGCGGTGGATAGTGATAATTCCTACTTGAGACGGGTTCTTCTGCCTCCCCTTACCACTGCTTCATGCTCTGTCGCCCGCGTGCGCAACGACTTTTAAAGGAAGATGCAGAGAAGACCCCTGGGCCGTGGGATGACGTCGGTGGCGGGCGCGACGTGCGTCATACGGGGGTATTGGTGAGTGCTTGACCCTTGTCGCCATCCCTTCCGCCGCGTTGCCGCCAGCCAATGCCAAATCGGCCGTTGTGCTTAGGTAATGCGCCAATGCCCAATATTGCGCTTTTCACTCAGTGTCTGTGATCATCCCTGGCCTCTCTTATTAATCCATGCGCTACCCACGAAGTATATCTGGCGGTCTTACCTCCCGATGCCCGTACAGAATATTATTGATGCAGAATAGCCATGACTTGTCTCTTCTGTCTGGCCCATCACGTGTCGTGGGTAGCCCGGCTACCTGAGGTCCACTCTTTTGTTTATTATTAGCTCGATTATCTATAGTACAGTCCCTAACTAAGGTACCTACCTACCTTACCTTACCGTTGTGGTCCTGCGGAGTAGTACGAGGAGCGCTTGGTGTGAAGTGCGACGCAAGAGGAGCAAGGAGGAGTCGTAGCACTCGTAGGAGGCCTATCCCAGATAATACGAGAGCCTCTCCTCTCTGCGCATCTCCTACATATGACATCATGCTGAGCCGCCTTGAGTGTCTTATATGTCTTCTGCTGTGTTGTCGGTACAGGATGACCCTTTTCAGTGCAGGACTACTACTGTAGTAGTACAACATTCTGTACGGAGGTTACCCCGTACCCCCCCGTAAGGCTGGATGCTCATTTCTCGGCTTCTTCGTCATCTCACCCTTGTGTTGCTTCTCTCTGGGATCAAGGGGGCCGGCTAGGTGTGTAGATACTTCCCCAGCTAAGCAATCAATCCGGCCTGGTCGCCGTACCGCCGTCGTTCGGGCAGCTAAATCGATAGTGTCTACTCTTCACGGTATAAGTAAGCTTCCTGCCAGCCTTTACCAAAAGGATGGTACGGGTGATCATGAGGATGGATGATTTTCTTCACAGTTTCCGTGTTAAAGAAGAGACCTTGCTCGTGTTGGGGGCCCGCTCGAGTGATGGCAACGCGTGTGCCGCGCTTTAGCAACAGCCTACCATCATGAAGAGGCCGCGTTTGCCTTGTACACTAGCGAAGCACTTGCTCAGAGCGTTGGACCCAACCGGTAACTGTCGGTGGGAACTGTAACTGTACAGTAGTAGTAGTAGTTGAACTGGTACGGTAAGTTGCCTCTCCAGCAAGGTCCCGCACAGCTTCGTGGGAAAGGGGGATGGCCGAACCTCTCCCCGCATGATTATGTAATCGCGCCGGGAACCGACATGACAGCCATCACCCGCGAGCTCGTCACGTCAGCCCCATCAGCCTCAAGTCACCTGCTTGACGTCGGGCACGCTGGCTTCAAAACACCGCTGTAAGAGTAGGTCAAGGTCGAGCATCAGATTCCCGTCGAGATCTTGCTCGAAGTGAGGCTCGCCAGTTCATACGAAGTTTATTCTCTCTCGGGCTAGCCTCCTCAGCGCCGTAGCAGCTCGATTCTACGACATGGCGGTCCAGCCTTCGAGGCAGCCGGAGCAGGACCCTCTCCTGCCAGAGGCCGAGAGAGGTCCTGAAAGCCCGGAAAGCCCTCATCTGTCTCGCGCAAGGAGGGTGGTAAAAGCGCTTGCTGATAATGCCGTGCTCATCTCCATCACATTGCTGATCGCAGCTGTGGTTGCTATCCTTTGTGTCTTCATTGGGGGTCAGTCCAATCCAACCCCGTTGGGAGTCCCTGCTAAGCCCTATGATAGTATATCGTCACACAAAACAGGAAATCCAGCCCGCCGTGTGCCTAACTCCTGCATGCGTTCATGCTTCGTCCGAGATCCTCTACAACCTTTCGCCCGATTACAAGAACATTGATCCGTGTACCGATTTCGAGCAGCTGGCATGCGGTGGATGGGATGACCGCCACGATCTTCGACCGGATCAGGGGGATGCCTTCACGGGCACGATAATGAGTGAAAACTCTCAGATGTTGCTGAGACACATACTCGAGGCCCCATATCCCGATGAGTCAAAGGTTGGTACTGAGATCATGTCGAGATGACGACTGACGTTACTCTACAGCACTCTAGCTTTTCCCCTGCAAAACTTATCCGTTCTCTTTCGTCCGCCGACCAGGATAATTTCAACAAGTTGAAAGCCGCATATGATGCATGCATGGACGAGGATACCATTAAGAAGCGCGGATTAGAGCCACTGATGGGCATCTTGCACCATGTCGCAGAAATATTCCCCCTTACGGAATCAGCTCTAAACGAGAGAGCCCTATCCAAAGATGCGGAAGGGGAAGGCCTGGCAAATACAATAGGTTATCTTGCCAAGTTGGGTGTTTCGGCATTGATATCCTGCGGTGCCGGGGCAGATGATAAAGATCCCGATGTTGTTGTGGTGCAGGCATCGCCTCCATACGAAATCGGTTTACCTGCGAAAGACTACTACAAGGATGGCAAGGTCGTGAAGTTATATGAGGCTACTCTTGCGCAAATATTCGACAAGTTTCACCCCGGTAGCAATGATGAAGACGCAGCACTGAAGTTTGGAGGACTCGAAATCATTGCTGCACGTGGCAGAAGCAACGAGTACGCCCACAAAGTTGTCGAGTTGGAGAAGAAATTGGCAGCCGCATCTCCAGATGCCGAGGACAGGGATGATGTTACTGTGAGTAATTTCGTGCATTCGGAGGAGACCGTCATGCTAAAACAAAGCCTAGAAATATTACAACCCTATGTCTCTCTCTGATGCTAATCTCCTCACACCCCAAATCCATCTAGCGACGATCATCAATGGTCTTGCTCCCTCAGACGTCAAAACAGATCGCTTGATAGTGATGTCACCTCAGTATATGAAGGACCTATCCGAAATTCTGTCTGAGACGCCGAAGGATGTGCTGCGGACGTATTTTATGTGGAAGGTTATACAAAACTACGCCTCAGCGCTTGATGCTGATGAACTCAAACCATATTCGAGGTTTACGAACCAGCTTCAAGGAAAAGTGAGACTTTTCCCACATTCCAACGACCGTTAAGCTAATAATCATAGGACCCTGATTCAAGTCCAGAACGCTGGAGAACTTGTGTAGACCATGTCGATGGTGGCTTGGGTTGGATCCTGAGTCGCTTCTTCGTGGAAAGGGCCTTCTCGTCCAAAGCCAAAGATTTCGGTGATCAAATTGTATCTGACATTAAGGAGAGGTTCATTGAAAAGTTAAAGGCGGCGACTTGGATGGACAAGGATGTTGTGCAACTTGCCATTGAAAAGGTCCATAAGATTGTCCAAAAAATCGGTTACCCGACCAAGGTAAGAGATCGCTGGAATTCTAGAATCTCGGTCAAATACTGACTACCTTCAGAGCCCTAACATCATGGATCCGCCAAGCCTGAAGGATTACTATCGCTCGGTCAATATCACATCCTCCTCGTTCTTTCAAAACACTCTCGAGATGTACCGATTTGAAGTAGCAAAGGAGTGGTCAGCTCTGGGCAAGCCTGTTGATCGCGATCAATGGGACATGACAGTTCCAACAGTGAACGCTTATTATAATCCGCCTGGCAACGAAAGTAAGGATACCCTGGTGAAATCCCCCTATATCGGAATATCTCACGAAGAAGGATACACAAGGCCCCGAAAAGCTGTCTCAAAAATAAGCCTGTTATGCAGCTCTTGTGTCATGTGCCACAACTTTATTTCCTATACCAGTTAGGCAATTGCTGACTCTTTGATACTCTAGTTGTATTCCCGGCGGGTATCATGCAGTTCCCTGTTTTTGACGTCGAGGTGCCACAATATCTCAGCTACGGCGCATTTGGCTCTGTATCCGGTCACGAGCTCTCTCACGCTTTTGACTCCACAGGACGCCACTACGACCAGAATGGGAACTACACAGACTGGTGGACACCAAGTACGGTAGAGGGCTTCAAACAGCGCGCCTCCTGTTTCGTCGACCAATACCATAACTTCACCGTCCCCGGCCCTGACGGAACCCCCCTCCACGTCAACGGCAAACTCACCCTAGGTGAAAACATCGCCGACGCAGGCGGTCTCTCGGCCGCCTTCGCCGCCTGGAAGAAGCGGCAAGCGGAAACGCCGAACCAAGACCTCCCCGGCCTCGACTTCTTCACCCAGGACCAGCTCTTCTTCGTAAGTTACGCGAATTGGTGGTGCGGCAAGAGCCGCAAGGAAACAGCCATCAGCCGCATCTACACGGATCCGCACGCACCCAAATGGGCCCGGATCCTAGGCACGATGGCGAACTCGCGAGATTTCAAGGAGACGTTCCAGTGTAAGACTAAAGAACCCGTTTGTGAGCTTTGGTAGGTGTAACTATATTGAATTCTGTGGCGTATATAAATTGCATAGAAGATGTGTATTTCTTAAAGGGTTCATGGTAGGATTCTGGGTTCTAGGCATACCTCGCGTGGGTACGCATAGCATTAGGTATTCATTACCTACCTACCTAGGTAAGGTAGGTAAAAGCAAACACCATTTTCTCACTCAACATGATATCAATAATCAATCCAGACCCCTACCTACCTACCTACCTATTTCTAGAAATAAATAATAAATAAATAAACTAAATTGAACATTGAACATACTACCTACATCACGAATCACTAATCTCGCATCTCGAATCACGAATCAAGATCAGTATTTTTTCTTATCTCTATATCACTAATTCATCAAAAGAATTTATTTCTTGGGTTTATGAAGTGTGTGTGTTGTTTGGTTTGGTTTCGTCCATGTCATCTATTCGTTCATTCATTCTGTAGCAAGAGCCGGACAGCTAGTTAGCTAGTTAGCTGTGATGTGATGTGATGTGATGTAAGTAAGGGAAGAAGAAAGTAGTACGTAGAAAGGGAGAAGAAAATGAAAAGAAAAGAAAAGCTTGTGATAGCTGTATTGGAGAGGGAGAGAGAAAGAGAGGAAGGAAGGAAAGAAAGACAGTAAGTATTTCGAGTTGTTTCATCCCACTGCGCAGAAGAACCCCCCCCCCTCTCTCTCTCTCTTAGGCCAATATATAAAAACCAGTAATCCCCCGCCTTCCCCCCC